TGCTTTGGTAACTTTGGTGCTGATATGTTCCAGCATATGGTCCGGGTACAGAAACGCAAAGAACAGCTTGTATCTTCATCGTTCGAAGATAACGATTTCGAAAATTGAGACTGGAGGGAGAGCCTAATTGTATGTTCTAGCACCTCTACGTGGCCCCTATCTTTCCATAATTCCGACCACGTGGTAGCCCAACATCAAAGGGCTTTTTTTTTTTTTTTTTTTTTGGGGGGGGGGGGGGCATCCTCGATACGTTTGACAGATCTGAATATTAGTCGCAATTCTGCAATCTGTTACTGACCAGACATAAAATAGGATTTTACAGGCAATTTTCAGAAAGAAGGTCCCTTGGCTGAAGTGTCCTGATGCGCGTTTCTGATCAAAGTCGAAACCCAATCTCTTGGAGCCAGCCTTGTCTGTCTTGGATCTCTCAGGCACTCTCCACCAGATGTACTATTTAGACTAATCTACTATCCCTTCCTTCTTGGATGTCCTTGGCCAATCGATCCCATGTTTTACCGAAATGCTTCTCGACTACCTTCAACCCATTGAGACCGTTGATTTTCAGACCCCTAGGCCTTGAAATTGCGCCTGCTCGAAGCAATTTTTCAATGAAGGTCAAGTCTATGATGGTGGTATTCTTGCCATCTTGAATATGTGACATAGTTCGCTGTAACATGCTCTGGTTCGAACCACGCTTATAGTTAGGGTCGCCGCCGTTTTCTAAACAAATATCAAAGGCGACATGGTGGTGTTGTATCGTCGCCTCGAACAGTCCGTCGCTGTAGGCACTTGAGGGTATGTATCTTTTTACCTGCAGAAATATAGGCCTGAACCCCTCAGGTTCCCTTCTTGTATGAATGATAAGGTATTTCAGGCAGTTTTCCTCAACTGTTTTCCCCAGCTCGTCAACCAATAGCTGAAGCATTTCAATATTTGCGTTACAAATTGCAGCCGCTACCGGATTTCCCGATTCAAGTTTCAGTGTGATTCCTCTAGGGGACATGTATCGTCGTTGCAGTTCGGCGTCGATAAATCCAGAGTCGTCAACTTTCGCGCCCATTTTTAGCAGACAACGGGCCCCCGTTCAGGTTATTGAAGAACGCGGCAACAAGTAGGGAGTTTCGAAGCAAAATGTTAGGCAAATACCTGTAGCCAGTTCTTTTCCCTTAGATCCCAATGTTGGCCACGATGAGTTCGATCATATCCTCTGATCCCTTCCACGCCGCCAACTGAAGAAGAAGATAAAGTTGCGAACCTTCTGCGGTAATGTGGCCGTATAAAAGACGGCCGCCAAATCTGGCTGACCTCGCCAACGACTGTTGAACATCCGGTATGACTTTAAAGAGAGAGAAATCGTCCAAAAAACTCACTGCCCGCTCGTCATCCCCCTCTAACTCATTGCTTCGGCTCTTATAGAAGAGCTTCAGTGCTGCGTTGACGGGGTTCATCTTAATTGTCCCTTCCAAGGGTAGTCGACCCAACTCCTCAACATAAGTTCAGTAGCATAGTGAAATAAGATCAAGTCACCTTTGAGAAGTTGGCGGCGTATGCTTATTTTGTCCTCGTCTGTAAAGCTTGTTGTGAACATTGAATCAAAAGATTGGAATGAGAGGTACGTTGGGAGTACAGTCGCGGCTTCTAGGTGTCCATTGTGGGTTTTGAGGAAGTCGTTGCTTTGGCTGTCGAAGAGATATCTGAAAAGTCAACACTGCAATTTATATGGTTGGTCCAGTCTACTCACTCTCGTGCTGTGAAGTGTACGAAACGAGCCACTCCTCCTCTGATCTTTATGACCGGTCCACAAACAGTCTGTATGTCAACCCATGCTATGTTTTGCTTTGTAAAATACAGCATGGAAGGTGTGATTAGAATTGCTTGTTTTATTTCCATCTCGTTTAGAGGCACTTTTGCGCAGGCGATCCATAGGAGAATTTTCTTGGCAACTTCCTTATCCTTTAGGCGGGATAGGATCCTGCCATAGCTACATGAAAACTAGTAAGCGTATAAATCATTGTCAGCCTTGCACAAGATTGCTCTTACGCTTGGTCGAGGCCTTTTGGGAGATTTGCCAATTCGGCTTGACTACACTTGAGATCGACCTGTGCTCTGGCCAAGTCTAGAACAAGTTTGGCGTATAAAAACAGTGTAGTTTACGACCAAAAAAGGGTCGGAGGGTTACTTGACTACTCACCGTTTGCCCTCTTCACAACCCCCTGGAGACCGTGTCTAATTGATGTGCAATCTTCGTCGTCGGCGCCCAAGTCCTGAAGTTCTCCAATCCAGTCATTCCCCTGTTTTTTTATGTATCTCTCGATCTCTTTGGCATTGTTGTCGTTCACCTTTAGGGTGTCATACTTGCCAAGCTTGGTTTTAAGCACCTTGTAAATGTCGCGCTCTTCACGTGAACTGAGAAGAAGCTTGATTTTTTGACACGCGCCAATCACATACATTAGAGCGTCCAAGATGCCCGCTCGCTCGCTTTTTCCGATCTCGTCAAGCCCATCGACAATTATGATGAGCGGTCCGGTTTCATTGACAAAGTCGAAAGCAGTCTCTTAGTTCTTTCACTCTAGAGAGGCGGTTGCTTGTGTAGGCATCGTACATGTAGTTAACTAGGTCATCTTTGTCGGCGATAAGTTGGAAGAGTAGTGACTGTAATAAAGGAATCGGAAGTTCAACAGCCTGCCTATCTTGAGGGAGAAAGGCATATAAAACGGAATATCTGTTTTTCAGTTGTTCAATGGCGTTGGCCACCAGATATGTCTTCCCTGGAGCGTAATAGCGGTGTCAGGACTCTCTTCTTCAGCGAGAAGGTTTTCAGAGTAGGCCGAGCGTAAAGTACTCGGAGAAGAAGAAGGGACCTGAAGAGGAGGAATAGGAACTAAAGAAAACAAGTGAACGTACCAGCGCCAGGGATGCCTTGAATCCAAACACAGCGATCTTCCAATTCTGGATGTTCTAGCCAGGTCTTGAAAGTCGGGTGCTCAAGCAGCCAATCTCCTGAATCGTCTGAGCTTTCTTTGACAGCTTTCCGGAGATTTGCTTCGCACGACTGACTAAACATCACATGGTAGAGTTCGTTACGTTCTCTCCGGACTTGCTGCCTGTTGTCTTGGTCTAGCTTATAAAGCATCTGGGTACGGAATTGGTTGGCCTGGAGGATATGCTCTAACGTCAAAATTATTCGTGATGAGGGCCTTGTGGCTCCCAATATTTTGTTGAATTCCGTCCAACTTATTGCGGAATTGCGGCCAGAGACATTCGATGAGTGCGTGCAGCCCTGAAATTATTGGAGATAGTAATCAGAAAATGAAGACCAATCCTCGCTCGTTCGGTCTCGTACTTTTCTTTCTGAAGAAATTGTACATTTCCATATGCAAATCGAGAATGTCGCTATAAAAAAGAGCCATTGCATTCCTAGCCTGCTCGTTTTGGTCGAGAAGGCCAGACTCAGCGTATTTCTTAAACTGAGGTAGCATTTGTCCTATCTCCTCCAGGGCTGCCACCAATTTTCGAAAGGCTACGGCGATCGAGTTCGCGAGCTAGACCGCAAATCAGCTGTCCGAGATCGGAAAGGTGGAAGTATCGCGACTGTATTATCGCGGTACAGTGGGCATCTCACCTGAAGTATCAGTCTCAAAGGCCCCTGTGATTGGTGTGAACGGGTCAATTTCTGTCCAGGTAACTAATCAAAGACGAACATCTGCCTACCCATACAAGACACATGATTTCGGGCTTGACCTGCGCGAAGGTGTCAATGACCCCGAAATAGTCTTATAGCCCATTCATGTATGGTTCGATTCGTTTTAAGGCGACAAGGGTTCTTGTCTTGGATTGCGCCTGCTGGATATTCTGAATCTCGGCATGGACGTCATCGATCGTCCCAAATTTAGTGAACTCTGAACGGTGTTGATGGGGGATCTTGTCTAGGAAATCTTGCCGTGCTTTGTTGAAGGAATCTTCTACCCAAGGAGATGAAGCCATGTTGAAATCGATCGTGTAGCTAGACGTGATGCGAAGGTGATTGTTATCGAGACATTTTTAGGCAGAAGAAATCGTCAAGAGGAGAGGTCGGGCTTCTCTAACCCAGACGTCCGCATTATTGCGAACCATATTAGGAGGGGCTATAAAGGCTACCACATCCAAAAGCAGCTCATTGGTGGTAGGCGTGGCAGTGCAGTTTGCGGAGTTGTTTTCCTGCTTGTCGTGACAAGCTCAACTGTATTATGCCGGCTTTCCTGCAAGGCATCTTTGTCCGAAAGGGAGCGGTACAAAATCCGGTACGATGTTAATTTATAACATTATCATGTCAGTATCAAGCTCTGTGTCAAGTCACCGCCGCCGCACAGTAAAATCCCAACTTAGCCGTATCACGATTAAAGATACAGAGACATACGCAAAATAGACCCGGAAGAAGCCAGGATTACAGCCTGCTTAGAATCCGGACATATCTTAAGAAGTAACAAGAATCGCTCTGGTTTGCGTCCAAAATAAAAACTAGCTGGACGCTTTGCATAGGTAACGCGCATCATGATTGTACTAAGACTACGGAATACAGCTGCTGCATTGGATCGCTTCCATGTCTTCCTCACAACCCCACCTTGAGATCGACATCCCGAAAGCGAGTTTGGGCTGTCGTAAAGTATTTTAGTGGCGGCCATTTACTGAGGAGTTCGCGCCTTACCCCTTTCACTCCGTATGCCATGGGCTTAGCCAAAGTTAGTGAGGCAAAGGCTGAGCTTTCAGACACGATTGATTGCATGCTCCGCCACTGCAGAGGCTAGAATTGAAAGCAGTACCGGCTCGTGGGGTTCGAGCATATTTCACGGCCGCATCTACGTAATATTAAAAGGCATCTAGCCCAAGTGAGCTCTCACGAAATGGCGCATGCCTTTCCCAACAACAAGGACTGGGCTTAAACACACATTGTGACCGTCTGGGATAAATCTTGCTATTTTTCCTTCTGCAGGTTTACAGCCATGTCTTGGCACGCACCATCATCACTGTTCCACTTCCTCAGCATCATCCTTCTTCACCCGCTTATACCGCACGACGGTGATACCATCATCGCCCCGCACATGCTCTGGTTCCAGTCGGTAGCTGCCCAGCCACGGACCGATCTGGGTCCACACCAGCCAGTATACAGCGCCAAGCACCAGGACACCGACCCCAACGACAGGGAATATGTAGTATGGGTAGCCTTCCGGGTCCCACCCTGGTGCCGGCGGCCAGAAGGGCACCATCATCAAGAAGACGTTGCTTAAGAGGAACAGTATGGCAACGGGCCATGGTGTGTGCCAGGGCGACAACCAACCCTCCTTTTTGCGGTTGTAGTGCAGATACAACAGGCCACCGGTGACAAATATGTTGACCACCGTGCCGGGATACACGTAGAGATTGATGATGAAGTTGTAGGCAGGACCAGGGGGCGGAGCCACCAGAATGATGATAGTGATGATCCCGTGCAGAATAAGCTGTGATTTGAGTGTCAGTTGGGTGTTCGCCAAGCGGTAATGAGATAAGAAAGACGTACGGATGCAGCCGGCGAGTTGAATGGTCGACTGGATGCCAGAAGACGGCTAAAGGGCAAGATGCCTTCGCGGGCCAGTTCCTGATTGAAGCGGGCATGGGCGAAGCTGACGGCCAGGACGTTGCCGAGGTTGCTGACAGCGACAAAGATGGGCAGCACACGAGCGGCGGCGCCGTCGCCAAAGACGTTGCGGAAGAAGAGGCCGGCCACGATAACGTCGGAAGCGGCAAGGTCGTCGGCTGGGATGGCGGCAAAGTAGGCGACGGTGGCGAGGACGTAGAGCACAGTACAGAGGCCAACAGCCAGCGGGCCAGCCACCATGAGAGTCCGGCGCGGGTTGCGAACTTCGGACAGTACGTAGTTAGCGTTTTCCCAGCCCTTGAAGCTGTAGATGATGCTGAGCAGCGCGGATGCGTAGGCATAGGCGCCACCGCCTCCGTAGCGGCCGAGATCGCTCATGTCAAAGGGCCGGTCAAAGTTGTGCGGGTCGGGCACTCGGCGATAGCCGGCCAGAGCAGCGAAGCCGGTGACGACGATGAAGGCTAGCACGCCGACCTTGAAGACGCCGAGGGTGTTGAACAGTCGAATGCCCCAGCGCGGTGCCACCGAGTGCAGGCCGATGACGACGATGACTAGCACGACGCCGATGACGCGGGCAAGCCAGCCGTCGGTCGCGCCCATGGAGCCGCCATCACTGACGGCATAGAGAACGTATCGGCCAAAAGCGAGAGCGTTTCCGGCCGAGAAGCCCAGCAGAACCATCTGCGACGCCAGCATGCAGGTGGCCAGCAGCGGCGGGCGGCGGTAGACACGCTCGAGATAGTTCTTCTCGCCACCGGACCGCGGGATGGCCAGGCCGAACTCGAGGTACGTGCTGAGTCCGGCCATGATGATGACGCCTCCAGCGATCCAGAGGAGGATTGACAGGCCGACCGAACCGGTCGCTGCAAAGACGCTGGCAGGAGTGGAGAAGACTGGAAGCAAGAGGAAGAGGGATGTGTCAGCCACGTAGACACGACGGGATGGCTAATCGAGCAGTCAGGACGGAGGTGACTCACTACCGGTACCGATCATCTTGTTGAGAATGAGAAAGACAGTTCCGGCGATGCCCAGCCGCCGCTCTGGCGAATGCTCGTCAGGGACGGTCTCGTGGTGATCATCGTGTGGGCTGCTGCCGTCTGCGTCGTCAATTGACTGCAGCAGTGGTGTCGAGGCGCTGCTACTGCTGCTGTTGGGGACTGCAAACACGGAAGTACTCGTGGGAGGGCCCTTGGCTGCATCGACGCCATTTCTCCGCGTGCTGCCATAGGAGGGCATCAGTCAGGGCGTAAGCCCGTCGGCAAATGCAATTGATGTTGAAATCACGAGGTCCCAACTTCAAGCTGACTCTGAACGTCGAGCCGGAATGAGCAGCAATGAGATGTCAAAAGCAACATAGCCACGAAGATAACAAAGTAGAACAGGTTGATCTGTTTCATTTGAATTGCTTCATCAAACCCATCGCCTCAGCGTCTCCGCTTATGACGCCAAAAGATAACGACTGGAAAAAACTGTCTGCCGTCGAGCACGTCATGCGGTTTCGCCATGCCGCTGCTGATGCACCCCCAAAAAGAAAAGCAAGAAAGACAGTGGCACAGATGGAAATCTGCTAAAATCGCCGCAGCGAGAATCGAGGCCTAGGAGCGTAGCGACGGCAGACATCGCTCCTTCCCGTTGGCCTGCCCGTGAGACTTGCCGTTCAAGACAAAATTTGGTGACAAACTGCCCCACTCCGTGGTAGACACATGGCGATTGGCCGGATGTCAGACCTCTCGTCATTTTCCGCTTTTTCAAAACGGGTTTGGGCCCAAGATTAGAGACCGAAGCCGTCGGTGTATGAAGATGGCCCACGGCCGCTGACTTGGCGATTACTCCGTATGCCCCCTTATCGCTGAGCCGAGGCATAGAATGTTGGGACCCTGGCTAGGGGGCTTACATATGCGTTTCTGACAACAGATGGAACGATCACGGCTGCACGAATAGTACCAAAAACGACCAACAGCTCCGAGGAGATGCAGTAGCGTTCTCGGCGCGGGTCCAATTGGCGAGATAGCGCGTTCAACAAAATGAGTTACGAGCGTGTTTCTTGGATTTTACATAGTACGGAGCATGTAGATGCAACCTTAGTGCCCGTTCTCTGCCTTAGCACCGGGAAGGTCATCTCAAGATACGCGCATCCAGGCGCCCGTTACACGCGTTGGCAGCACGACGATTGCAGTACCCCAAGCAGTTAACAGAGATCAACCGGCAATACGGACATTACTGCGCAGGAAAGCCGACCAGATTTGGCCAGCAAGGGCAAAAGCCGTTGAAAAAAGAGAGTGGGGCAATTATGTCAGATCTGGACTTTTGCAGAACGACCACAGCAGTCAGAATCTAAAGCAAGTATACGGCGTATTCACCTGCGCCGTTCGCCTTGTTATTCCAATCCGGGCAAGCAGTATCTTACGCAGGAATTGAGCCTTACAAGAGGCGGGAACCAGCTTGGCGGGAAGCTGCGCCTGCGTGTTACGAGTCGTAATCGCCTCTCCTTACGTCGTATGCTTGGCTCCTTCCGTCTGCTCTCTTTACGACGTAGCCATGCTGCCATGGACCCGCAGCCATTGGAGCCCGAAAAGTCCGCTTCGCGAAGCGGTTTGAATGCTCCGTACAGATGCAACCTGGCTGCAGCTTGGACGCGCCGATTCCCGGCTTGTACGCTCAAACTACGACCACGACCGAGGCACACCGTCTCACAGCTCTGGGCGAGACCGCCCCATTGTGTTGCCTGCCTGCATGCGGACATGCTATAAGACCAGGCTATCTGTCGTTTCATCTGGCTCTCGAGGTCTACACACTGGGATCAAGCCTAAGCGACACGTCTGAAAACCACGCCCTGCTCAACATGACTGTCGATACCGTGCCCATTCCCGGCCCTGTTGGGCTGCCTGTCCTGGGCAATCTTCTGGACATTGATGCCGAGGTGCCGACGCAGAGCTTTGCTCACCTTGCCGAACAATATGGTAGGATCTGCCATTCCAGTAGGTGCCATGTCTTGCCCTAACTCGCGTCACAGGCGAGATTTACCAAATGACCTTTCCGGGCAACAATGTGTTCAATGTTGTCTCCAGCCATGCGCTCGTCAACGAGTGCTGTGACCAGAAGCGCTTTGGAAAGTCCCTTAGCAAGGCTTTAAGAGTACATACCCTGTCTCTTTTCAGATAAAGAAACATTTCACGTTGCTAATGCTACACAGCAAGTTCGCAATGGTGTCCACGACGGCCTGTTCACGGTAAGCTATCGCTCTAGATCCCTTATCTCGGACTCTGGCTAATCATCTCAAGGCCGAAAATGGCGAGCCCAACTGGGAGAAGGCGCACCGCGTGCTCACACCTGCCTTTGGCCCCATGCCCATCCGACATATGTTTGACGAAATGCACGACATCGCCTCACAGCTGGCCCTGAAGTGGGCACGTCACGGCCCAGAAGAGGCGATCATGGTGCCAGAAGACTTTACCCGGCTCGCCTTGGACACGCTGGCGCTCTGCGCCATGGGCTTCCGGTTCAACAGCTTCTACCGTACGGACATGCACCCTTTTGTCGAGGCCATGGGGTCGTACCTGACCGAGTCGGGAAACCGCAGCCGCCGGCCACCACTGCCGGCGTTTGTGTACCGGGCGGTCGACCAGAAGTACTGGGCGGATATTGCGGTGATGCAGGACACGGCCGACGGGGTACTTCAGGCACGCAAGGAACAGAACCCGCCGTCCGACCGCAAGGACCTGATGGCGGCCATGCTGGAGGGCAAGGACCCGAAGACGGGCGAAAAGCTGGACGACAAGTCGATCATCAACAACCTGATCACTTTCCTGATCGCCGGCCACGAGACAACGTCGGGCATGCTGTCGTTTGCCTTTTACTACCTGCTGCGCAACCCAGAGACGCTAGAGAAGGCACAGAAGGAGGTCGACGAAGTGATTGGTACCGGGCCTGTTCTACCCGAGCACATGCCGAAGCTGCGCTACATAGCGGCCATCCTGCGGGAGACGTTGCGTATCAGTGCGACGATCCCGGCGATCATGGTGGCACCGCACAAGGACGAGCTAATCGGCGGCAAGTACTTTGTCAAGGCAGGCCAGAACGTGCTGCTGCTGTTTATGAAGTCGCACCTGGACCCGGCGGTGTATGGCGAGGACGCCAAGGAGTTCAAGCCCGAGCGCATGACGGACGAGAACTTTGACCGACTCAACCGCGAGTTCCCCAACTGTTGGAAGCCGTTTGGCAACGGGGTGCGGGCCTGCATCGGCCGGCCGTTTGCGTGGCAGGAGAGCCTGATCACCATGGCGATACTGCTGCAGAACTTCACATTCCGCCTGGACGACCCCGACTACGAGTTGACCATCAAGGAGACGATGACGTTTAAGCCCAAGGACTTTTTCATACGAGCACAACTGCGCGATGGCCTGACACCGACGATCATGGAGCACCGGCTGGCCGGTGGCCGAAGCCAGACCGAGATGGCAACAGCAGCAGCAGCCACAGCAGCCGAGACCACATCGAATGGCGTCAAGAGCAGCGGCACGGCCAAGGGGCTCCCTCTGAACATCTACTACGGGTCCAACAGCGGGACGTGCGAGGCCATGGCAGATCGGCTGGCGGCCGACGCACAGGCACACGGGTTCCGTGCCGAAGTGGTGAAGCCGCTGGACGCGGCCAAAGAGGCACTCCCGACGGACCGACCGGTGGTGTTCGTGACGGCGTCGTACGAGGGCGAGCCACCGGACAATGCTGTCTCGTTTGTTAGCTGGCTGAAGGAAGAGACGGAGGGAGAGGCAGCAGGCGACGCGCTCAAGGGCGTTGCCTATGCCGTGTTTGGCTGCGGCAACCACGACTGGTCGCGGACGTTCCACCTCATCCCCAAGCTGGTGGACGAGAAGCTCGAGGTGAAGGGAGGGGCACGCATTGCACCGATCGGCCTGACGGACGTGGCCGAGGGCAACATGTTCGAGGACTTTGAGGCGTGGGAGGACAACGTGCTGTTCCCGGCGCTGCAGGAGCGGTACGGAGTGGCTGCGGCGAACGGCGACGAGACGGCCGAGGCAGCGGAGGCAGCAGTGCTGGATGTGGAGATCACGATGCCGCGGGCGTCAGCGCTGCGACAGGATGTGCGCGAGGCACAGGTGGTAGCAACGAGGGTGCTGGTAGACGGCGACGAGAAGGAGGCGGCAGAATCACGCAGGAAGAACCACATTGAGATTGAGCTGCCGAGCGGGATGACATACCGGGCGGGCGACTATCTGGCGGTGCTGCCATTTAACAGCCAGACGACGATCAGACGGGCGATGCGACGCTTCCAGCTGCCGTGGGACGCCAACATTGCGGTGCACTCGGGCGAGAACGGAGCGGTGCCATCGACACAGATCAGTCCCTACCGGCCGACCGGCCGACACCGGCGTACGGGATCCTGGGAGCATACTACGAGCTGGGACAGCAGGCGACAAAGCGGGTGAGTGGAAGATGTGTGTTTTTGTATTCGTCGTGTACTAACAAGAGCCACAGGGCATCACGGTGCTGGCCAACGCGGCCACGAAGGCAGAGACCAAGGCCGAATTGCAGCGTCTAGCTAGCGACGACTATGCAGCAGACATCAGCGCTAAGCGGGTCTCCATTCTCGACCTGCTGGAACGGTTCCTAGACGTCGACCTGCCGTTTGGCACTTTCCTGTCACTGCTGCCGCCAATGCGAGTGCGCCAATAGTAAGATAGCCCCATCGTTTGATTTTCTTTTGAAGAAGGGAACACGCTGACACAGACAGCTCCATCTCGTCTTCGCCGCTGTGGAATGCGAGCCGAGTATCGCTGACGTACTCGGTGCTGGCCCAGCCGGCACTGTCGGGCAAGGGCGTGTATGAAGGCGTGGCGTCCAACTACCTCTCGCGGACGACGACAAACGACACGATTCACGTTGCGGTGCGGCCGAGCCACAGTGCGTTCCACCTTCCGGAGGACGTGGAGAAGGTGGGCGTGATCATGGTGGCAGCAGGCGCAGGTCTGGCGCCATTCCGCGGCTTCATCCAGGAGCGGGCAGAGCTGAAGAGCGCAGGGCGGCAACTGGCGCCAGCGATGCTGTTCTTCGGCTGCCGCAGTCCGGCCGAGGACCTCTACCGCGACGAGCTGGACGACTGGGAGGCCAGAGGCGTTGTCGACGTGCGACGAGCCTACAGCCGGGCACCAGAGGACACGAACAACGCAGTGGCTGCGAAATGCCGTCACGTGCAACACCGGCTGTATCATGACCGCGCCGACGTGCTGGAGCTGTGGAAGAGCGGCAGCCAGATGTATGTGTGCGGTTCGCGGCACGTGGGCGCTGGTGTGAAGGAGTCGGTGATGCGCATTCACAGCGAGACGAAGGCGGCCGAAGGTGCAGCTGAGACAGAGGCGGAGACGGAGGCGTGGTTTGACAGCATGCGCAGTGTGAGGTATGCCGTAGATGTGTTTGACTAGGAGTTGATGGTGGATTAGTGGCCGATTGAGAGTCCCGGTTTAGAGTAATAGCGAATGGACAACACTGTCACCTTTGTGACAGGGCGAGAGGAGACTGAAGAGTGAAGCCGATTTCCATTGGAAAGCCATCATATGCCCATGTCTTCGTCTTCGTCGTCGTCGTCGTAGTCTTGGCCGCCTGGACGGTGTGATCCGTCGCCAAGCTGAGCCTCGTCGTCGTCACGGCGACTGGCCTCGGCAGCGGCGCCAAGCCGGCGGACGCCGTTGTGGACGGCGGTGACGAGGCCGCGCGACTCGGCGAGTTCCATGGCGCCGATGCCACGCAGGTTGACGAGCGGTGGGCTGTCGAGTTGGCTCGAGCTGGCGAGATGGGCGGAGGTGCCGGTGCTGGCGACAGCGGCAGCGACGGCGAGCTGGCGGACCTTGGCGGCACGAGCTTCAGCGAGGTCGCGGAGAAGGCCACGAACATCACCGGGGGGTGCGGGAAGGTCGTCGGGGGCGTGAGCGAGGAGGATCTCGGCGAGTTCGAGCCAGTGATAGGGCAGGTAGCCGGCCGGCGCATCAGCAGTGGCGGAAGGAAGAAAGGGAGGGGAGACCGTTGGACCGTAGGCGTGAGCACCACCTCGACCATCGGCTCGACGGGGCGGTGGCGGCGGCGGCGCAAACATGGAGGCGTCCTCGGTGCCGCCGCTGTTGTTGTTGTTGTTGTTGTTGTTGCTGCTGCTGCTGCCGACTGTCTCGATTCGCACCAGCTCCTGCAGGCTGGACGGGTGCAGCCAGGGCGGGGCGACGATGCTAGCACGACGCTGGCGCTTCAGCAGGAGGGCCAGCCAGAGCGGCAAGACGGCACGGTGAGGTGGGCGCAGGGGAGGGGTGTCGCCCTGGCAGTCAGCACAGGCGAGGAGGAGGATGGAAGGAGAGACGAGAACCTACTCCCAACAGATGGATCGGGTCGAGACGCTGACGCGGGACGACTGTGACGAGCTCCATCTCGCAGAGAAACGACACCTCGGCGGGCGTGATGCCCGGCGGCAGCGGGAGAGCCATGGCAGCGAGGATGACGGCGTGGTGAAGAAAAAGCGTGAGCAGATGAGCAGATGGGGACAATGTCCATTGGAAAACGTCGCGTCGCGTCCATCTTGGCGGGGTTGGCGTGGCGTGTGGCTGGCTGTGGGCGGGTGGGTGGCGGTGGTTGGTGGCTGTACGCTGTTTGTAGCTTCGCCTGTTCCCGTGCTTGTGACTTTGGTCTACTCCGTACTTTGTGAACTATCTCACAGCCTCGATACTTCCGTCCGCTGTCCGACACGGAGCAGAGTGCGGTCAAGACATACAATGCTCATAGATTCCAACGCCAGGCGAGGGCAATAGACATCCCGATCGACGACTCTGCCACGTGGCCTTCGTTCCTATTCCTCTTCTTTATCTCTGTACTTCTCATATGTATCTCGGCCTTCATCCTCTGTTCCACACCCCCCACCTCACGCTCTCGGCCGCCGCAGCGGGTGTGCCTCCGTGTTCAGCACGTACTCGTCCAGGCTGACCAGGTCCGGCGACGCGTACAGCAGGTAAAAGTACTTGAGCGTCTCGGCCAGCCAGAAGCTCTCCATGCTGTCGACCATGCTAGCGCGCGGATCCGTCTGCGTGCAGTCCTTGAGTGCCGCGTGCGCGATCGGCGTCGTCGTCGTCCGCACGATAGCCTCGAACATGGCCCACGCCCGGTCCAGAAGCGTGGCCTCGCCCGTCAGCCGGTACAGCACAAAGATGCTCTCAATCGCCTCTGGCCGCAGGATGTAGCGCGTGTCGTCGTAGCGGGCTATGCCCGGCCGCAGGTTCTCGGCCTCGACGATGGCTGCTACGTCCACTGCGCCGTCCTTGTCCTTGGTCGTCGATGCCAGCCGACTCTTCCGCCGCACGTCGCCGTACCAGTCCTTGTCGCTCCACACGCACTCGGCCTCGGCCCGCGGACACGGCGACACCTCCATGATCTCCGGCATGATCCCGTTCGGCGCGTTCTCGTATCCCCACAGACAGCCCTCGACCAGCTGCCGCGCCGTCTCCATGTCCTCCGGCCGCCCAAACAGCCCGCCGACCCCAGCCCGACCATGCCGCCGGCAAAACAGCTCAGGTGCTGCACCCGCGGCACCGTCGCCACCTGCGCCGCCACAATGTTCCTGCCCACCGTCTTGTCGCCCGGGAAGAGCATCGGCCGCGCCGACTTGGTCCGCGGCCGGAAGAACAGGTTCGCATCCATCGCCGCGAGCGCCTTAAGGTACATCGTGCGGTACTGGTCGCTGGCCCCGCCGAGCATGAGGTGTTCCTTGGGCAGATACTCGTAGAGCGAGTCAGCCATGCCGCCAATCGTGAACCCAGACCCTCCCGTAAAGTCGCCCTGCTCCGTGTTGACCGTCACCGGCCACAGCCCCGGAATAAAGGTGCGGTCCTGCTGGTCGGCAAACAGGTCCATCACCCGCTGCACCGCGTCGTAGTACTTGGCATTGCCCGACAGCTGACTCAGCCGCGTGAACTCCATCGACAGTGAGCCCGGTTCCGACACCAGCGCCATCCGGGACGCCTTCTGCGACACGCCCTTGCGTGCCTCGCCGTACTTCCACCGCGCAATCGGCACGTGGTTGGGCGTGTCAAACGCCACGTACAGCATGTCGCCCAGCTCCACTGCCTTTTGCAACAGCGACGGGTACTTGCCCCCCGACAGGTCATATGCAGCCAGGAACCCGCCCAAGTATCGGATCGTCGTCTCAAACACGTTCACCTCCTCCTCAGTAGACGTTGTAAAGTCAATCTTGTCAATAGCCGCGACGGCCTCTTCGAACTCGGACGTCAAGCCCATGATCCACAGCGTATCTGTGCGCGATGGACAGACAGTCAGCCATCGAGAAAAGCAGCCAGATTGGGCGCGTCACGCAAGACATACCCAGAGAGTCCACCAGCGTGGCGGCCCAGCCGCCGAACCGCTCGACGCCCCCGCCTTTGATCGGGCGCACCTCGTCCTTCAGCCAGGCCTGCGTCTTGTAGCCCGTCCAGGCATGCGTAAAGTTGGCCTTGACGTACGCCAGCCGCTCCAGCCGCACCCGCTTCGCCTCCGCCGTCTCGGCCCCGAACTCGTACTGGATCTTGGGGATCGCCCGCAGCATCTCCGGGCTAGCCGACGGCAGCGGCTTAATTTGCTCGGGCGCGATAGGATAGTGCAGCTTCAGGGTCGACCAGTGAAACTTGCCAGAGCTGACGACTGGCGGTGGTGAGGCTGCTTGTGCGGGAGGCGAAGGTGGAGGTGCTAGCGGTGGCGGCGTGGGTGGCCCGGGGACGTATGGAGTCGGCGCCGGTTGCTCTTGGGTGGGCGGGATAGGCGGTCCCGGAGGTCGAATGTCGCTGGGCGGCACGTCCCAAGGCGCCAGGGCTCCGGAATCGTGCTGCAAGTACAGCAAGCTGATGACGCCAATGACGACGAATGTAGCGACCAGTCGCCGTCTGTTCCATCGTGTAGCCATGGCTGGGCGACTGTCATGGCCCGAAGCAGAGATGAATGGGACAGACAGGCAGGCGAATGGGTGTTGATGAAGAAGAGTGAAACTCCTCCAGTTACGCAGATCTGTACGGAGTACCTGCTCGTACTTGTATTAACTGCTGTGGACCCAGAGGCAGGGAATACGAAAAACTGTGTGGATGGTTGTGACACGGCCCATATACACTGTACTCGCAGTACGCAAGCTGCGGAACGGACGCTTCCACGTGGAAACCACAACCCGATCTGTCTGTATTTTAAGCCAATTCGTCCATTTGCAAAGACAGTTACTATGATGTATTTAGCCGCGCGTTCTAACAGCTCGAGGCATTACTATGTAGAAAGGTCCCCTGTCCGAACTTGTTGCGGAGACGTACATAGTAAGCTATACGGGGTGGAGTGGGGCCAAGAACGGGAGAGCTGCGTCGCACGTGACAGCGTGTAGCAGAAGACACGAAAGGCTGAGGGCAAGCACGATGTTCAGCGCAAATTCTGCCTGTCAGCAAGCCGGCTGACGACGACTGCTTCTGACTCTCTCGTCTTCTACGATGCACCGATTCAAGCGAGGAGCGGACCGGAGCGGTCGTGCATGGTGTGCCATCGACGCAAGGTGCGCTGCGACAAGGGTCTTCCCTGTGGCAACGACACGAGGGCCGGCGTTCTGTGCTGCTACATGTCAGGCGACAAGACGACACGTCAGCCCAAGGCGACAATTGTCGACATTGCATCGCGTCTGATCCAGCTGTAGCGGACCCTCGTGGCCGTATCGGGAGGTGTTGGCGATGCCGATGGCAGCAGTGAGAGCGCTCCGGGAGCTGAGGCGGCAGTACTGCCATCGCTCGAGCAGACTCTGTCCGGCAGCCAGTCTCAGCCACTGATAGAAAACGAGGACGCAGGATCTATAGCCTCGGAAGATATTCCGATCAAGAACTCGTTTCGATACATCAATGAAATCTAGCTGTCGCGGGTGCTCGAAGAGGTGCGTTGCTGACGGGAACGAGACATTGTTGTGTTAAGCCATGGCCATTCTTCCAGGAGCAAGAGATCCAATCGATTCTCGCATCACTCAAGGATCCAGACGCCGGAGACGACAGAAGGGACGACGACTTCCCGGCCCACGGACTGGTGCCGACATTCGACCTCTTCTGGTCGCCTGACCGCAACAGGCCGCTGGGGTGGACCGGTTTCAGGCTGGACTGGAGTACTCGTTGGCACGGTCCAACTTCCTGGACGCGCCTACGGTGTACGGACTGCAGGCACTGACACTGTTTCTGCGGCTGACGCGGGCACGGTCGCCGGGACGGTCGGCATGGATTATGCACGGAACGGTGCTGCAGGCGGCACAGTCGATCGACTTCCACCGTGACGGGGACAACTTTGGGCTGTCGCCATTCGAGTCGGAGATGCACACTGCCGGTCTGCATGTACCGGTGCGAGCTTGTGCGGTATCACACGGCCAACGTGGAGGCGCTGCTGCTGTAGTGCAACCCGGCGGTGCCGCTGCCACGGCTGACGATCCAGATGGTGCGCATGGTGCAGCTGAAGAACAGCCTGGTCAGCCAGCTGCAGCTGCTGACGGCGACGAGAACCAAGGCGACCGGCCGCAGTCAGGTGCCACGCGCGACCGCGGTGTCGCTACTGGGTGCCTGCCAGATCATCGAGCTCAGCCCAGACATCCAGGCGGACGAGCTGCTGCAACACATGCGCTGGGCTAGCGATATCTACCCGCAGTACCACGTGCTGCTGCACCTGGTCTGTCACCTCTGCGAAGGCGATGCGGATCCGCGAGGCGACGCAGAAGGGGGTAGGTGGTGGTGATGGCAGTGCTAGCTCTGACAATACGACTGCTACGAATACTGATGAGACCGGCGCTCCTTCATCACAGACGGCACCTCCGGCCTTTCTGCCAGACGTAGAAATGACGCCTCTTTGGAGACAGCACAAGAGAGGAGACGACCACGAATTGGGACAACGACTACTTGGGAGGCCGGTGCGGAAGCCGATCTCCTTTGGCGGCGAAATCTGGGCGACGAGCGAGGCGATGAGGCTGACGTACGCGCCAAAGAAAAAGTCGAAGAGGACGGAAAAGGCGATACTGGCTGGCTGGCTGTTGCCGGGGATCCAGAGGGCGAGGATGACGATGCCGGTGACGGTTTAGGAGACGATAAAGGCGTTGTACTTGCCAGTCTTGTCGGCGGCTCAGCCGGAGAGCAAACGGCCGACGAGGCTGCCGGCATTGAGGATGGCCAGCAGGTACTGCACACGCCCTCCGATAGCAGCAGTTGGTAGTACTTGGTCGCGAGCGAGGCCATCATAAGCCCAAAGACGTGCAGCAGCGTGCCGACGAGGAGGATCTGGCGCGGGCCATACGAGTCGAAGAGCTTGCCGACAACAGAATCCTGGACAAGTCAGTATTCAGAGAATACAACAGACAGGAGCAGGCGAGTAGTCGAAAGCAGACGAGCAACATCCAACACCTCATACGCACCATAGTCATCATGAAAAAGATCTGCAGCGACGGAATCCACACAATCGTGCTGGTCGAGTAGTTCTGGAGCGGGCCGACTTCGTAATAGGCCTGGAATGCACCGACGCCTGAGAAGAACAGCAACGATCAACAACAACACGACGGCCGTTGCTCACTGTTAACCCAACCAAACGAGCAGAAAGACGTGCACCAGACTCCCACAACCATCAGCCTGGCCTGGAGCCCTTTCTCGGTCAGTACCCTCGGTGTCAGCTTTGATCTGAGAAACTCGACAGAGCTTCGGAACTTGGCTAGCCGGGAGCTTTGGCCAATTTCTTTCGGGTTTCAACCAAGTCTATTTTCCATGCTCCAATTCAGTTTGAACACAAATATTCACGCAAAATCGCAGTCTACGTGAGAATGGTAACTTGTTGTCGGCATTTCAACGTCATGTCCATGTGTTCAATCAATTCTGGCTGACAATACCAGAAGTCCAACTATCGCTGCCTTTGGCTAGTCGTTTCTTTTCCATTCGGCTCTCAATATGCGACTAATCACACTACAGCTCATATGCTATCTACAAAGCCACCATCAATACCACAGCGTTCGCGTGCATGCACTTAGACAGGTGGTGTCAGTGTCAGCACTGAAACAGTAGCCTTCTGGCTGACCGAATGAGCTACAGACCGGTCAGAGCAAGGACTCTCGCCGGAAAACGTTGTGGGGGCTGCGTTGCACAACATCTTCTCGGTCAACTCACTAGGTGTCACCAGAATGGCGGCTGAGCTAATTTTGGCACCGTTAAGCTCTGGGTGACGGCTGACCGCGAACAGTTGTTTGGATCCAAGTCATAACGTTTGGGTGGCAAGTGTCTTGACCTTGTTTGTCAGTGATCAGTTCAAGGGCATCAAATGTCTAAGAAAGTGGCAAAGGGGCATGTTGACAAACCACTAACATGAAGCAGCAGACAAAATGCACAGGGCTGACAGCTGACAGGATAAAGGCGGCTGCCTGGTCTTGCGTAGACCTGTCGTTTCAGACAACAGGCGCGAAACGACTAAACAGGGAAAACACACGAGCCCGGGCACATAACAAGGCAGAGAGCCTGGCGCGGAAAGTACACCGAGCGAAACGGGCGCCAACAGACGCAGAGCTCCGTCTATGCTGGAACTTGGAATGTCGCACATGTCGGTTGCCCGCATCTCTGCACAACGGCTGCGGTCGTCAGTCATTAGTCGTCAGCTGCAGGCGATGCAAGTGTCTCTGCTTGTGTGTACACATTGCGTCCCTACTTGCAATGGCCTAGCCGTTTACCTTTCTCACTTGTGCTCTTCACCTGCCATGGACTCTCTATTTTTCGACCGTCCTCGCTGTCCGAGCCCTTTCCCTTCCTTTCATTCTTTCCTACAGTAACAGACCTGTTTCTCCATACGACCAAGAATAAAGCAGCTCGAGTACCATTTGATAGCCAAGTCTGATCTTGACCGCTGGTCAGCGTGTGTATTGAAGATCCCCTCGGACTACAGCCGCCGCCTTTACCTAACGCCACAAAGATATATCGTTACATAGGCCTAACCTGCACATAATGAAGGAAGAGGAAGAAGAGTTCTTCGCTCCACATCGCGACATTGCTCTGCTGAGCAGAAGAAATAGTTTGAAGGCTCCGGTGCCCCGAAGGCGCCAGCATCATTGGTGAGCAGGCCTACTCTACCCTCGTATGGACACATGGCATGCAGGCAGATACTGCGTGCAAGCGAGCCTCATCTGATTGGGTCACATTGTAGTCCCGTCTGCCGTAAGATGGCCTCACCAAGATGTAGTGCGCGCGGCCACTACGACGAGTGCGAATTTCACCACAACTTCTACAACCCGCGCGAAGGCTGCGTGCGGTGCAAGGGCGAGGTCAAGCGGGCCGAACAGCAGGAGGGAGCAGCCCAGCGAGAGCTGGCCGAAAGCGAGCGACAGGCCAGGGAGGCGAGCGAGGCAGCAAAAGCGGCGGCGGCGTCAAGCCGAAAGCAGGCGAGCCACGCGGTGCCGACCCAGACTACGAGTACGAGTAGGAGTAGTGGACGAGCAGCAGAGGAAAAGAAAGCCAAGTAGCTTGTCAGGCAGCAAGGTGGTGTTTGCCTTTGCCCAAATGAGCATCACGTGGGCCTTGGCGAACGGGAGGAGCAAGACAGGCCGGCCTGCCATTGCTCCATGCTGCATCCCGTTTCGACAGAGATGGGCCCAGCCGCCTCGGTTGGCGTTTACGAGTACGAACAAAGTCTAGAGATGGCGGTTTGCGGCTTCACAGCCTGACGAACAATGGTGTAATAGGCGTCTGATGTTTCGTTTTGTCTGACTGTTTGTGCAGCTGTTTTTTAAATCATCCGCGAGAGCTCGAATGCACTGAAATTTTCCACCAACACTGTTATGCGTCCCGTGATATCGAAACAGCTCATAGGATGACGATCCCCATTAAAGACGTCGAAGGAGAGCCAATCGGCGACGCAGCCGCAGTGTCCTAGATGCAAAAGCAGGTGACGATTTGTCTTGATCGTGTGTTCTCATTCTGCTGCGTTGCAGCGAGCATGAGCTTCCCCGGCGGAAACCCGCCCCGGCCTTCTTCGCTTGCGGTTGCTAAGATGAGCAACGGCCCAAGGGATCGAGATGCTGAAATTGGCTGACAGACGAAAATGCGGAGAAGCAGCGCTGTGGAGCCGAACGGAGCCCGGGAAGACAACCTTACTGGGCAGGCGCTGACTAAAACCCAATGGCGACCCATTCATTGCAGAGAAAAGTTGGGGGGAGCTAGCCATGTTGCCCCGCCTTGATGGGTCAGGCTGTGCGCTCCAGTGGGCGCAGCTGCTGTAATAAATTGTTTGCCGCCGCGTTCCGGGATTGGCCGAGGCTGTATGTGTGCCCTGTGCCCTTTCTAGATAATATCTTCCACTCGTCCACCAAGAAATCGACTGCCCGGCCGCGGTGACGACACACCCACAGGGCCAACCCGCACCGAGCTCTCTCTCCAGCCGAGCGATACTTTGGTCTGCAGCTTCTGCATTCCCGACGACAAACCACACCTGACCTTCGACACGAAATCCCGACACGAAGAACAGCGACGCGCATCCGAGACAGCGCCTAAGACGCAAAGCGGCGAACCGACGGCCGGCCACATGTCCCCGGTCCACTCCGGTCACACCAGCACGATGCCGTCGCAGCGCCCCTTTTTCCTGTCGGCCTTTTTCGCCGCCTTCCGCCAGCAGCCCAGCTCGTCGCCGCTATCGACCTCCACGGCCGCAGCCCAGCAGGCGAACCGTCACAGCTCCACGGCCACCGGCAGCGCCTCGGTCGATCCGGCATCCGTGTCGTCTGCGGCTGCGGCTGCCGTGGCTGCCTCGCACCGGCTGCACGCGACGCGCTCGCACAGCAGCACCGGCGGCAGTGGTGGCGGCAACGGGAGCAGCTGCAGTGCTGTCAGCAGCGGTGTCGCCAGTGCCAGCGGAGGCATTCCTATCGCGGCCGGTGGAGCACACGCGGCCGGTGGCCAGGCTACGACGTCGAGCACCAGCGGCAGCAATGGCAGCTATGGATACTACGGCAGCGACGAGGCATACTACGGCGTGGCGTCTCCCCATCGCCAGAGTGGACGACGACGCGGCAGCGACAGCAGCAGCGAGGGCTTTCGCGACGTCATGGGCGCCGACAAGTGGTACATTGGCGGCCGGACAGCCGCCGGCGAGGAGCGCTTCTTCAAGCTGGGCGTCGTGCGCCGAGTGCGCAGCGGCGACCGGCTGAGCCTCGACCGGCTGAGCCTATAGCGACGGCACCACTGACTGAACCGACTGACAGATAGATGGGAAGCGAAAGAAAAAAGAAAACGAAACGAAAAAGCAAAAAAAAGCGGGCAACCACCTCAAAAAAAAGAAGACTCATCATGGATCGCGGACTTTCATCATCACGGCGTATCGGGATAGCGACGGAGACACATTGGCGTTTTGGGGGTAGAGAAAGGAGGCAACAAGGCTGGGTGGACCAAGGGGACACATCATTACGGACATGGGTCACCAAACATCTTTCCTTGGCTTTTCTTTTTCTTCTTTTCATGTTCATTATTAGTTTCTTTCATCTTTTTTTGGCCCTGTTCTTGTTCATACCACCAGCGTGGTCAAAAAGGGCCGGCTTCGTGCATCTCGGCATAGAAACCGGTGGACGCGTGGCGACGCATTTTACAGCAATACATAGGAAGGCAGACGTGACCATGAGACCAGACCGATGATAAAACGATCCCTCCATAGAGATACACGAACCAGCCAATGGGGGTTTATAAACACCTGGTCTGACCACCTCCTACCACATGAAGCGCTGCAATCGTCCATGATCGAGTAGGCTGCCATCCTCTGCCCGCCAGACATACGGACGGAACAGGAACATGTACATTGTGGCCACGTTGATGGCCAGGAACCAGAGTGTCTCGAGGGCGAGCCGCCCGTCTACCTTGCGTCCCAGAGAGGCGAGGAAACCGGCTGTCTTGGGCGAGGCTACAATGGGAACAGCCGGAACCAGCAGCCGCCAGAAGACCCACGGCAGGATGAAATACCGCGGCTCGACCAGCGGTGCCGTCACCAGCGATAGAGCTGAAGCCAGGAGCCACAGCAGCGCTGTCGATGTTGCTGGTGGCGTCATTGCTGCACTTGCTGCCGGCTCCTCGTCGAGGAGGCTGACAAATACTGGATGTTGCTCGTCGAGGTCGGTGGCAGAAGTGCTGTCGTCAGCGTCTGCCGTTTCTGCCGCCGCCTTCTTGCTAGCCTGTTGTGCCTTTCGGTCTGCTGCCAGCTTTTGCTTGATCTTTTTTGTTGAACGCGGTGCTGCTTTCTCGTTCCCCTTGTCTTCATCACTGGCCGTCGGCAGAGGAGCCGGCTCAACTGATTGCGGCGCCGGTCTTGAAAACGGTGAGCTGACAGAGCACGCGTTCCCTGATCCACCGAGGCGACCGGACGCACTGCAGCCCCAGAGAACACGCCAGCAGGCCCAGCTAGTCGCTGCATACACGGGCACGAGCGCAAAGCGGAGCCAGCCCGCCCGCCGGATGGTATATCGGAACACGTAGAACATATAGTGGCGATTGTCGGCGAGGGTGAACGGGTGCACGATGGTGTTGTAGCGGACGATGGCGAGCATGGCGACCAGCACGGCCAAGAGGTACGCGGGATAGTAAGCCTTTCGGACAAAGACGACCGACAGCAGACGCATGGCTGGGCTGCCGGTCTGGGTGGCCGAGGCTGCAGCCGCTGCGACGAGACCGTCCCGGCTCTCGTCCTTATCCGTCTGTTGCGTTGTCGCACCAGTGGCGACAGCCCACGCATGATGGGCGTAAGCGACCGCATGGGACACAAAGAGCGGCGCTGAGAAGAAGGCAAATAGCGGCCAGATGTAGAGCAGTTGTGCGAGATGCAGCGTAGCCACGTGGTTGGACTTGTCGCCCAGCACCACGCCTCCGTTCCAGGCGACGAAGCCGGCAAAAAGGCCCAGGACAAGCATCGATGGCCACACGTGCCGCAGTATGCGGAGCGGGTTGCAGAGGACGGCGATGCCGACACTTAGCAGAGTCAGGACCCAGTCTGCTGAGTCAGCAAGAGAGACGGCCAGAAAGGAGAGGAAGAAGACGAAGAAAAAGACGAGGAAAAACCGACCATCAGGCCAGGACTCGCCAATGGGCGGGTCGTGGATGTCGCCGAGGGTATATTGCTGAGCGTAGTGCGAAGCTATGGCTATAGGCGAAGCGAAGACAGCCTCGTCTAGCGGAGGCTGTGGGACCTGGGGTCGGAGCCGCAGGCTCTTGATGGCCTGAACGGCCTCGAGGCCGCCCATGTAGACGACGACCCAGAAGACGTTGGTCTGGCGCATGAGCAGGGTGACGAGGCCGAGCAGGACGGCCAGGAGGCCACTCCAGAGCGGCGGGGAGACGGGCTGGGGGACGGTAGCAAACTGGCGGCGAAACAGGTGGACGCGATAGGCCACGAGCGTGACGAGGGTTGAGTAGACGTCGGTGTAGTAGAGGGCCGAGAAGAAGAAGAGGACGGGAAAGAGGGCGAGGTTGAGGGCGGTGTGGAAGGCGTACAGCGAGAACATGCTGTCGGCGAGCTTGCGCGGTCGATGTGACGACGTGGTGGAAGTGCGGCTGGCTGTCATCACCATCTCGAGCCGCTGCTGCTCCTGGTGCTCTAGCTCGGAGCGACAGGAGCAGGCCGCAATGGCTACGAGCATGATGGCAATGTTGTTGGCGCCGCGGAGGGCCCAGACCGAAGACCCGTCCACGGCCTTCCAAAAGCCCTGGTAGAGCACCGAAAAGAGATAGCTGTTTGCTGTCAGGAGAGGCTGGGAGAGGAGAAAAAGTAAAGGTGCAAGGAGCGAAAGACATACAGTCCAGGAGGCGTGGTGATCTTGTCGTCCCACTCGAGCCACCGGCCGTGGCAGTACTTTTGAGCCTGGGGGATATGAAACACCTCATCCTGCAGAGCCGGGTTGGAATGCTGATTTCAGACAGGACGAACAGGAGCTCTCACCAGGTACGGCTCGGGCACGTAGACCAGCACGCCGCGAAGCCAGGCCTGGGCGGCGATGAAGAGCAGCGAGACGCCCATGACGAAGATGACCGGCCGCCATGGTCGCTGGCGGGGCGATGGAGCTCCAGGAGCGGTCTCTGTGGTGGATGCACCGCCGACCTTGTCGGCCACGAGCTTGCCGCGTCTCTGCCGAAAGGTCACGCCCAGGACCCAGGCCTGCCAGGAGATCCAGGGCACGACGAAGATGGACGAGGCCAGGAACGGCTTCAGCCGGGCGTCTTCGACGGCACGGCCGCCATTACCGGTGCTCATCGTTCATGTAGGAGGCGGAGACGTGTGTTTGTGCAAGTTGCGCGCAGAACTGTGGTTGCGAGACGGAGCTTTCTCTTGTTCGAAATGCTAACGCCTGCCACGTGTTTTCTACAGGGGCCTCTAGGCACGCACGGGCCCCATTTAGCGGTCCTGGCACACACATCGACGCCGCGACCGCGCTACACTCGTATAAACGGCAAGACCGAATAGTTCAATATTTGCAGCTTTGTCTATTCTTGAATTTACGGCTTTATACACAGAGGCGCACATGCACGCCCGTTTCGTCCGACAGAACAGCTGCCACAGGCTGCTAGTTCTCGCCTCCAAAGAAATGAAAACAGGCTCTCCTCGCAGTCCATGCGTACCTTAAAAGGGCTGTTGGATGAAAGTTAGGTCGTCGTTAGAGGAAAGAGCGCAGCTGGAGAGGCTCTACTTACAGAGTCGGCCGGGTTGACTTCCTTGGTGAAGTAGCTGCCCACCACAGGGATCTTCTATTCGGCTGTTAGCATCCCATTGCTTGTCTGTCTCATTCTCGGCCATGTGTCCTTACCTGGAGGATGTCGGTCTGTATCCGCGGGATGCCGGAGGTGTAGAAGAGGGCAGCGACGGCGGCGGCAACGGCAAAGGGGCCGGTCTGGATGCCACTGTCATGCGTGTCAGGAGGAAGCTGGCAATGGCGTGCGCTTCGTAGAGAAAACTCACAAACGGACGACCTGCTTCGAGGTGATGCCCTTGTAGTTCGGCTGGCTGTGGTACCTGGAGAGGAGAGTCGCAAGTCAGTCGACGTCCAGAGGGGAACAAACGGCTGCCCCGATGCGTCCAATCGCGAATCGGCTGTTTGTCCAGCTCGGGGTGGGGCAGCGGATGAGTTGGTCAACGGGGACGTAGGGAATTCGCTTACTTCGGGCCGTAAAGGCTCTTGTACGAAGAGGACCGCATGATGGGAGTCTAGCAGTGACAGTGTCAGCAAGCTGGGCGCAATCCACATTCGGCAGCGCAGGGCTTGCAGGGTCGGGCTCAGGCCCGGATGAGGATACATACGGCGAACGGCATTGTGTCGGAGAAGCGTGTAGATCCGTGACGAAAGTCAATTGAGCAGGATGGGGTCAGACGGTCGAGTTTGCGGTCGTGGGATATGGTGTTTTTTTCAGTCTTGCGAGATTTTGTGCTGCTCGGCGGACAAAGCCGGGGAAGAGGAGATGTGGCGGCCTGAGGCATAAGGCAGCTGTGCACCAATCACCAAGCTCGCTTTCCAAAGCTGTGTGGGCCGCAGAGGTACGAAGCGAGTGTATCATTTTCCAGCAATTGTGGGGCAACGAATAACGAGGCTGGCCAGAATTCCTGAGCTTCTCTTTCTGATAGTCGTAGTTGCGAAACCGGATCTCGCCAGAGCAGTTTCCGGCCCCCCCGAGAACGACGAGGCGTTTGGCGTAGGGAAGACATGGACCGATTCATCGATGCGCGGTTGGACCGCGTGGAAAAGGCGCTGGCCACGGTGATCGACTCGATCTCCAAGTACAACCCGTCGCCAGCGCTGGCGGAGGACCTGCTGGCAGCCGACCGGGAGCTGAGCGGCGGGCTAGAAGAGTGTGAGCGGAGCGGGGAAATGGAAGCCAGAGCGAGAAACGACGGGCTGACGCGCGGGTGCGGAGAACAGTGCAGAGACACCAGCAGAACCACGCGCGGATCCTGGGCCTGCGCGCCGACGTGGCGGCACTGGATGCGCAGATCAAGTCGACACTGCTGACACTAGCGGCCAGCCGACGGGACATGCTGGCGACGCCGGCGACGGTGTTTCCGGGCGATGACCCGACGACGAGCCGCGGCAAGAAGACGCGCACGTACGACTTTACGTACGACCAGCTGATGTCGTATGCGCGCCGCATCAGCCGCAACACGGCGCCAGCGCCAGGTCAGACGGACGGGACCGAGTTCTTTAGCACCTTTGGCGGCTTTGGCGTGGGTGCCGGCGGTGGCGGCGGCGCGGCCACGAATGCAGACACCACCGGAGCGACGACGGCCGCGAACACGCCCGCGACAACGACACCGGGGCTCTTCAACGGTGTTGGGACAGAGGCTGCGGACACGCCGGGTGGAGCGGCCGGGCTGGGCGAAACCGCAACAACAAAGGTAGCCGGGACGCCGGCCGGCATCACAGCGGCCACAGCCACGACAGCAGCTGCGACACCGGTGCCGTTTACGAGCATCGTGCCGCCCACCAACGTGCCTGATGTGCTGCCGGCCGACTTCCAGCAGTACGTGGCGCCGGCAGCCGGCACCATCTTCTTTCCGTGGCCCATGCCTGAGCTGATGATGCACGGCGGCCTGCGCACGCTGCAGTCGCTGACGGACCAGATCAGCAAGGCCGGCGAACCACAGCCCCGGATCCGGTTCGTCAGCCTGCAGGAGCAGGAGGAACAGGAGCGGCAGCAGGCGTCATGGGAGGCCGAGGAGCGCGAGGCCCGCGAACAGCGCGAGGCCCGCGAAGAAGAGCAGCGGCGCATGGCCCACGAGGCGGCCGTGGCTGCAGCAGCCGGCAGCAGTCGTGGTGGCGGTGGCGACGGCAGCGACGGCGGTGCAGCTGGCCAGCCGAGACGTCCGGCACCGGCGGCAGCACCGGCTCAGTTTGCGTCGACGTTGGACATGGAGGATGACGACTGAGCGGACAGCTACGCTGTACGTGCTTGATATGTACGGGTGCTCTATATTTATGATACCAGCTCTGGACGAATCCCAATCTAAGAGGAACGACGTGAAAAAAAAAGGTAAAGGCTCTGATCAAGACTGCAAGAATGTGACGAAAGCGCGGGCGATGAGCTCGCCGTCGTGCTTGTTGTCGACACGAGCGATGCCGGAGCTGTAGAGGTCGTCGGGAAGGATACCGATCTGGTGGCGCTTGTCGAGGATCTCGCGAACGATGGTGGCCGAGAACTCGGGGTGGCCCTGAACGGTGACGGCGCGGCCGGGCAGCAAGAAGCCCTGGACGGGACAGGAGTCGGTAGCGCCGAGGGCGATGGTGCCAGAGGGGTTGGCGAGCACGGCATCGCGGTGCATCTGGAAGATGTTCTGTGGTTTGTGAGTTTGTGTCGTGTCTGTTGCTGTGTCTGTCTTGGGTCTGTTTTTGGGTCTGCTCTGGGTGTCTCTGTTCTGTCTACTCTACTCACCAACGTATCCTTGCCAAAGAATGCGCGTCCCTCGGACGTCAGCGGTACGTCCGTCACACTGACCTCCCAACCGGCCGGACTGACATCGACAGGAGCGTCGAGGGCACGGCCGCAGATCTGGTGACCGAAGCATATGCCGAGCAGGCGAACGGGATGGGCAGCCGTGGATCCCGGGGCGGTGGTGGCGAGAACGCGGCGCACGAAGGCGACGAGCGCATTGATCCAGGGCGTGTGGTCGTAGGCATTATGCTTGGACCCGGTGATCAGGATGGCGTCAATCTGGTTGAGGTCGGGATAGGCGGCTGCAAAGTCGCCGTTGACGATGTCGTGCTTGGAGATGGTTAGGACGGAGTCGAGCGAGGCGGGAGCGAGGGCACGGCGGAAGAGGTCGGTGAAGACGCCACCGTAGTCCTCAAAGGCGGCCTGGGTTTGTGGCATGGGGGTATCGGCCATGAGGATGGCAAGCCGGAGAGGCTTTTCTGGATGGGAGCCCATGGTGAGGGGGGGAGGAGTGGATAAGAGGAGATGAAGAGAAGGAGAAGAGGGGGGAGACGAGAAAAGAAGAGCAGAAGAGCAGAAGAGGAGGAGAGGAGGAGGAAAAGAAAAGGAGGGAAAGAAGAACAGAAGAGAAGAGCAGAAGAGCAATGCGCAATCCAGATGAGGCTATCGAGACCGATATGGAGGAATTGCGATAGCCATTTTGGGGTTGCGGGGCTGTCGCCGCAAATCGGCGCTAGATCGCGCTTGCCATTTTGGCCAGGTCCAAGCGAGACTGACGTCGGCTTAGAAGCCTTAGAAGCCTAGAGTACGCATCGCCAGAGAGCGAGAGCTGCTTCAGACGACACTGACGCGATGTCTCCTCCACGGTCGCTGCAGGCCTTTCTAGCGGCTGCCCGTTCTGCGCTGGTGGCGCCGGCGGGGCGGCGTGCGAGCCCGCTGACCATTGTCGTGGGCAACGAGAGCGCGGGTGCGTGGTCTTTTTTTTCTTTGTTTTCTTTTGTCGTTGCTGGGTGTGATCCCTTGCTGATGTGCCAGACCTCGACTCGCTGTGCTCGGCCGTGCTGCTGGCGTATCTGCGGTCACACGTGCCACCGCACACGCTGCACGTGCCGCTGTCGAACCTAGAGCGGGCCGATCTGCGTCTGCGTCCGGAGCTGTCGGCGGCGATGGACGGCGCCGTCTCGGCGGACGACCTGATCACGCTATCGGAGCTGCCGACCGACCTGAGCCCGGCCGAGACGCGCTGGCTGCTGGTGGACCACAACGCGCTCACGGGCGTGCTGGCCGGCCGGTTTGCCGCCCGCGTCGTCGGCTGCATCGACCACCACGCCGACGAGGGCGTCGTCCCGGATGTGCGGGCAGATGACCTTGCACGCATCATCGAGCCGTGCGGCAGCTGTGTGAGCCTCGTGCTGCGAGCCCATGCTGCTAGCTGGCGCGCCCTCGCGACCCGCCAGCCCGACCCGCCAGCCGACCGGCAGCTCGCCCGGCTGGCCCTGGCCCCCCTGCTCGTCGACACGACCGGTCTGCGCGACGGCAGCAAGACGACCGAGACAGACCGGCAGGCCGTCGCGGTGGCCGAGTCGTTCTTGGCTGCACACGACCTGCAATACGACCGGTCCGCCTACTTGGACCAGCTTGCCCAGCTCAAGGACAACCTCGCCGGGCTCAGCTATCGCGACGTCCTCCGCAAGGACTACAAGCAGTGGCGCGAGGGCGTCTTGACACTCGGCATGGCCACGGCCGTCCAGGGCTTCGAGTATCTGCTGACCTACGTCGGCCCACGTGACGCCCTGCTGGCCGCCATGCCCGCCTTTGCTGCCGAGCGCGGCCTCGACATCCTGGCCGTCATGGCCATCCGCCACGACAACGCTGACGAGCCGATGGCCCGCCAGCTGCTGCTGTGGGCTGCCAACGACACCGCGGCCGCTGTGCTACGAGCCTTTGTGCGCGACAACGCACAACAGCTCGGCCTGGAGCCGTGGGACGGCGGTTCGCTCGACAACACGGGCTCGTCCGGCGAGTGGCGCACGTGCTGGTGGCAGCGCCAGACTCGGTTTAGCCGCAAGCAGGTGGCACCTCTACTGCGGGAAGCGATGCGGATAAGTGGTTGACAATGGATACGTGCATAATCCAATGCTTCACTCTCACTTGCATATACACCATACCTGCATACTTGCCAATCATACACGGTTTCATGCATCATCTACCATACATTATGTAAAACGCCATGCACCTCTATATCCAATGCAACGCCCCAACGCCGTCGTGTTGTACATGCAGGTTCCCGTCCTCACGAGAAGAAGTAGTCGCTGTCGCGCAGCCGCCGCACGTCGAAGTCGCCCTTGGCTGGGATCGGCGGAAAGGTGAGCGGCATCCAGATCTGTACCGGTGCCTTTTTCGGTGCTGCCGTCTTCTTGGCCTTTTTCGGCGCCAGGTTCTTGAGCTGAGTCTCAAACAGGCCGGCACTCTCGCGTGTTGCCGTCTCGGCCTCGGTTTCGGCTTCAGCCTCGTCTTCTTCGTCTGCGTCAAGGTGCGATTCCACATTGTGTGTTTCCGAGTCTGCTTCGACCTCTCCTTCGATTTCCATCTCTCCTTCTTCCTCCACCACCCCGTTCGTCCCCTTTTCCCGCGGCACCGGAATGCTGCCCAGATTGAACTCGGTCACGTCCTCGGCCTCGATCGCCGCCTCGGCACCGACCTCGCCAGCCTCGGCCTCGTAGGCCGCGTAGATGCTCGCCGGCGTCACCATGGCACGACCACGCGCCACAGCCGCCTCGTCGGCCGACTGCAGCAGGTCCAGCCGGCGCTTCTCCAGCACAAGCTCGTCGCGGAGCGTCAGACGGCCCTGGGCCTTGCGCCACGCCACCACGCGGCCGGCTGCGGCGCTCGCACGGCTCAGCTGCGCCAGATACATGCAGCCACGATAGCGGGCGGCCATCTCGGCAGCCAGTCGGCCGACCACATCTTCGCCGTGGATGCGCACAAAGGCATCACGCAGCACCCGGTTCATCGTGTCGACGTCGGCCGCGTGCGTCCAGAACGAGTCGTGCACGGCCGCAAAGTCCAGTCCGCGCTCGTCACACTCCAGCGCCGACAGCAGCATGTGGCTCGCGTCCAGCGAGTGGATAAAGTTGGGCGGAAACGCCTGCAGCTGCTTGCGCTTGTGCACCGGATCTGCCCGCGACGGCACCGACAGGATCAGGTCCTGCAGACACGTCTCGATCGTCCGGCTCGCCGCCTTGCGGTACGGCTGCACCACCGGCATCCGAAGTGGTGTCGTCCACACCAGCGTCGATCGGAACTGGCCCATGATCTCGTCGTTGGCCTGCTTCGTCGACGTCTTGCTGCTGGCTGTCCGCGCTGCTTTGGCTGCCTTGGCTGCTGCCTTGACCTCCTTGGCTTCCTTGGCCGCCTGGGCCTTTTGGGCTTTCAGCGTCTTCCGCACCTCTTCCGCTTCTTTGCTCGCCTTTGTCGGTCGTCCTCTCTTCTTGGGCACTGTCGCTGTCTCCGTGTCCGCTTCGGACCCGACTTCTGCCCCCTTCACCTCCACCTCTTCTTCCACCTCTGGCTCGCCACTCACAATCGTCTCGATCTGCTCGGGCGTCAGTGCTCGACAGACTCGCCCGCCCACCTCGCCCAGCCAGCTCTGGATGTCGTGTGCGCCGCCAAACATGGTCGACAGCGCCTTGAAGATCTTGGTCGCAATGTACGACGCCAGCAACATCGTCGGGATCCCGCTGTCGGCCTGCAGTGTCGGGTACAACGCGTCCAGCTGCTTGAGCACCTGCTTGCGCGCGCCCGCAAATGTCACGCCGTAGACGTTTGTCATCACCGTCTGCTTGACCACCTTGCGCTTGATCAGCCCGGTGAGCGCCTTGGCGTTCGCGTCGCCACGCGCCAGGTCCTCCGCGATGCTCTCCTTCACAATGTCCGCCACGGCCGAATACACGTCTGCCGGCCGGTCGCTCGGCTCCAGATTCACCTGGCGCGCGCCCCACGAGTCGCCGCCCAGAGCTGCGTAGTGCTGCAGTCCGTTGCACGTGCCATCTTGGTGCACAGGCAGATGCGACTCGTATGTCGTCGGGTCCTCCAGGTCCAGCGCCGCCTTGAGCTCAAAGCATGCCGCCAGGCACTGCCATGGGTCCTCGGCCTCCAGCCACCACCGCTGTCCTGTTAGCGGCGCCGTCGCCGAGTCCCGAATCTTGTCTAGGTTCTCCATCGCAAACGCTGCCCGGTCCGACAGGCTCGCTTTGTCGTAGCCGAACACGTTGGCCAGGTGCACCTGGAGCCACCGCAGCCCGCTCTCGCCCAGCTGCTTGCCCTTGGCAAACGTCAGCAGCCCTCGCACGTTGTCGGCTCCCATGTGGTTGAAGTAGGGCGGAATCGGGTATGCCCGCCCCCGGAAGTCCACGTTGTGCGGGAAGTAAAAGGTCTGGTCGCGGAACGCCCGCGCGATCTCCATCTGGAAGTTGGTGAAGCACCGCACCGAGTGCAGTCCTGATCGCTGGTTCTCGGCCGCCTTGACTGCCTTGAGCCACTGCCGCCGCTTCATCGGGTCCTCGGACGAGTCTGGCTCGGCCGGCACCGAAATGTCCGGCGTCAGCGGTGGGATCTCTGCAATCTCCTCGCCCGTATTCCATGCCTCTAGCATCACAGCAAACACCGGCCGATTCACCTTCCAGGCCGTGCGGCCCAGCACGTCCAGCCCACGCAACACCTGGTCCATGTCGCCGCGCTGGATCGCCGCCTCTGCATACATCTTCTGGTCTTTGCGGCTGTCTTTCACCCGCACCAGCGGCGCCGGTGACTCGAGGAAGCCGCCTTTGTAGAATCGCGTCCACGGTGCCGGCTCCACCACCATTGGCAGGTGTCGTGCCAGAAAGTCGGCCCGCGGCTCCCGCTTCATCAGCTCCACCAGCGTCGGGTTCGCGATCAGCATCCCGACCTTCTTGCCGCGCTTCAGCTGGTTGAGTCGGCTGAAAGCCGGCTGCTGTTGCGAGATCAGCGTCTTCGTCTCCGGGTGTTCCTTCACCGCCGTCACCTTGGCCGTCTCCAGCAGCATCGACAGCAGGGCTGCGCCCACCTTGGCCTTGATCGTGATCGGCCATGTCATCTCTTTGCCTGCGGCTGGCTCGCGGTCCGCCACCAGCGTCGGGACCGGTTCATCTTCCTTCGCTTCGGCTGCCGTCGCCAACTTCGTCCCCCGGAGCAGCACCGACGACTTGCGCAGCGCCTGCTTGGCTGCCTGCTTGGCTGCCAAGCGGGCCGACATCTTGCGGCCGTGCGACGCCTGTTGTTTGGCCTCGGCCTGCAGCTTGATGTCCTCCTCGGCCACCTTGGCGATCTGCGTGATCACGTTGCCGATGGAGACGCCCTTGTCGACGCCCTGCATGGCTAGGCTGCTGAGCGTGCTGACAATGGTCACGGCTGCCAACCGGCTCGTGGCTGACTGCTGAAGAAATGGCCCGTACAGACAGCGGTCCAGGTCCTCCTTGTTCTTGTTCTTGGTCGCCTCCGACAGATCGACCTTTTTCAATTCCTGTGCCAGTCGCAGCTCCAGGTCCTTGTGCCACTCGTATAGCCGCGAGTTGAGCGAGGCCGTCGTCAGAGACGTGTTCATGCCGATCTTGAGCAGCTCCTCGTTCTCGTCGCGCCACCGCTCCACCGCCGCCGTCACACAGTCCCGCTCCAGCCGTGACTGGATCTCGCGCCGCTCTGCCAGCCCGAGACCGGCAATGTCGCGGCCCTGCGGGATCTCGGAAAAGAGGCTGAGCGTCTGCTTCAGCGTCCGTAGGCCCATGCCCTTTTGCGGCGTGCCCAGCACCTCGGGCGCGTCCGACAGCAAGGCGTCCTCGGCCGTAGTCGTGTCCGTGGCCGCATTTGGTTCGACGTCGCTGAAGGACCGTAGGGCGTCTTCAAAGAGCGTAGAGTCAGTCATCTCCTGCGGCTCCTCCAGGTTGTACGTAGTGCAGATGTCCGTGATGGCAGCACGGTCCTGGTCGTTGAGGATGTCGGTCATGTACAGCACCTCGAGTCCGGCGTCACCGGGCGCCATGCTCATGTAACGGTCGATCAGGCGGTCCCGTCGGGCGCCGTGTGCCGTCAGCAGCGATGCCTTGAGCATGTAGGCAATGGTCTCGGGCGTCTGCTGGGCCTGCTTGCCGCGAATCTCGATCTCGTACCACTTGTGCAGCTCCTCGGCCGCGGCTGTGTCGGGGCTGGCCGTCAGCCGGTCTAGCAAGGCACGCAGGTAGCGGTTGTGCAGGTCGACAATGTCGACGACAGCGGCAAACTCGGGGCGGCTGAGCCGCTTGAGCACGAGGGCCGCCCGCTCCAACTTACCAACCTGCAGACAGGCATCGACCACGGAAAGCATCTCGTCGACATCGCCGGGAATTCCACGGGCGTTGATCTTCTGCCGCACTGCCGTCGGTCCGTCGTCTTCGGACACGACGAGCGGCGAGGACTCGTTGTGCGGCCGGATTTCCCACAGCGGCCGTGGCTGGGGGCCCGCGAGGGGTAAGGGGTAGAGAGAGGGGTATCGAGCATTCGGCAGGCCATCGAGGGCGTCACGGGCACCTTCGTCGTCTGGGCCGTAGCCAAAGGCCGTGGCCAGGCTGCGTTCTCTGGGCAGGAAGCCGAGGCCACTGCGGAAAACTTTCCGTTTCCATGGCCGCGGCTCCGGCAGCGTGGTCAGCAGTCGGCGCCTGCTGCCGCAGCCGGCTAGCCGGAGCGTCGATGCAGACGAGGCGGCGGCGGACTGCAGGTGCCGCAATGCCATGTTGTGCGGGCAGCTTCGTGGTCGTATGAGCATCGTGAAGAATCCTCACGCGATACAGGCAAAGACGGAGAGAGCACGAAAACAAAAGAGCCGGTCTATGCCCCCATTGGTGTTAAGGAATGCAAATCTAATGGCCCAGGAAGCACAGCAGACACAGAAACAAAAAGAGGGGGCGAGGTGCAAAGTATGCCGACTGGGATGATTGAGACGAAGAGGCATGTAAAAAACGAGAATCGAGGTCTTGAAAATTTGTGTTAGCAAGAGGCATTGATTGGACGTGGGGCAGCGTGTGGGTCAACAATGCTGTATGTAGTAAAGCGGTGCTTGGCTTTTGAATGCATGTAGGCCGTACTCCAAAGGCGGTAACCGATCGACGCCCCGCTTTGAGATTTCACGGTGGGTCTGGGGATGGTAGAAAATGAAGGTGCAGATAACTCGGAGCGAAGCAGCAAGATACAAGACGTCTCGATACACGGCCATGCTGCAACCGACAGCGAGAAGTGCCAGTCGACTGATGGCGAGGGTTCCGGCGCAGCGACTTGTGCGCTGTGCGGGCGAGTATGTTGGGGGTCTTCCGCTGCACGCCAGAAGATTCTGGGCAACATCACGACGAGAGGGTGCAATGGGAGGATCTGGAATGGGAAACCGCATGCCTGCCACGTCCTCTTCTGTGGTGTCTCCGTCTGACTCGGCGCCTTTGCCTGCAACATCCTCAGACGACCTTCCGTGGTATCTCAAGGTCGACGTGCCCCGACACGCGGCGCTGGCAGCAGCGGAGGAGGTGGTGCTGCCGGCGATCCCGACAGGCGCACCAGCAATGATGGAGCCTCTGCTGACGTTTGCGGCGCACGATCTCGGGCTGGACGGGCTGCAGCTGCTGGACCTGCGGCAGCTCGAGCCGGCAGCAGCACTGGGCCCCGATCTGCTGATGGTATTTGGCACGGCGCGCAGCGAGCGCCACCTTCACGTGTCAGCAGATCGTCTGGTGCGCTGGCTACGGCGGTACGGCATCCACGCGACCGCCGACGGGCTGCTGGGCCGCAACGAGCTCAAGATCAAGCTGCGCCGCAAAGCCCGCCGCGCGAAGCTGCTGGGCAACAACACGTTTGCGGCACAGCTGGGCGGCGGTGGCGAGCCGGCCGTGGACGACGGCATCAGCACGCAGTGGGTCTGTCTGAATGCCGGCACGATCGGCCGCGCGGGCGAGGAGGGCGGTGTGGTCGATGCCGCCGGCCGCACGACCGGCTTCGGGTCCGTCCTCCGTTCTGGCACCACCGTGGTCGTCCAGATGTTCACCGAGGCTAAGCGGCGTCAGCTCGACCTCGAGACGCTCTGGACCCGGACGCTGAGCCGGAGCCTGCGGCGGAAGGAGGAGGAGGAGGGAGGGAGCCTGGGGGGGGAAGCGGCTGGAAAGCGACAGGATCACAAGACACATGCCGTCTTTGAGCAGCACTTTCAGCAGCGACGGTTCTTTGCCACGTCGGCTCGCAGACCAGCTGTCAGCAGCGAGCACGACGTGCTGATGCTGATGAGACAGCCCTCGCTGCAGCCGGCCGATCTGGACAGCATAGCGCGGCAGCTAAACAACGACCACGGAAGCAGCAGCAGCGCAAACCGAACGCGGCTGCTGCATGAGCTGGCGCAGCACCTGCAGCGGCTGCCGCGGGCCGAGGTAGCCGAGATGCTGGGCCTACAGTCAGGTGCTGGGCTGCCGACGCAGTTTGCGCGCACGGCGACGTTTTGCATGCGCGGCATGACGGCAGCCGAGACCTGGCCGTTCCGATCGGCGGTGCACGCGACGGCGCTGCGGGCTGGCCACGCGGACTACAGTCTGGACGGCCTGGCCGCGCTGGTTGACGAGATGCAGCGGTCGGGCGTCGCCCTGCCACGGGAGCAGGCGCTGCACCTGGTGCGGGCAGTCCTGTCGGTGTGGCGGGGATCGTCAGTGAAAGGGGAAGCCGAGACGACAGCACGGCAGCAGACCGACGTGGTCATGGCTGTGGTCGACACGCTACACGAGCGCGGTGAGGCCGTGCTGGCGAACGACGTGCTTGTCACGGCCATCGGGGCACTGACAGAGGGAGGAGGCAGACTTGAGATGAGGGACCACGACACGAGAGATCAGGGCTCCCTTCAACACCGCCTCGAACAGCTCCTCCGCGACCTCACCCGCACTGGCCGGCTTCCCTGCCCTGACGAGGCTCAGACGGCCGCACTGCTGAGCAGCTATGCCGCCCAGGACGACTGGCCGCGCTTCTGGACCGCCTGGCGGCTGCGACCGCAACACGGACTCGCGCGCTCGGCCCAGCTGTACGCGCATGCGCTCGGCCGCGTTGCTCGGTCGCAGCAGCGCGCCCGCTGCGAACAGGCCCTGCGCTGGTGCTTCCACGAGATGGCCCACGAACATCCGCCGGTGCAGCCGGCCGGCGCCGTGCTGGCAGCCCTGCGGGCATGCGTGCGCGTGGCCGATCCGCAGGCTGAGGCGCTGGTGCGGAACAGAAATAGCGGCGACTACAACAAGAAGGAGGACCCGCGGTTGCGCCGGCTGGCAAGCCGGGACTTTGTCCGGATGCTCCAGATGGCCGAGGCGATGTAGGGAAGAGAAGGTGTCGGGAGATGAATGTACGATAGCGACATTACTCATGCAAGCGGAAGCCCTACTCGTTGCCGTGCGTACTCAGCACATAGTTTGCCACAGAAAAGTCTTTGCCCTCGTCCTACTCCCTTGCTTTGCTGTCTTCTCTCAGTCTCGCATCTTCCCGTACAGGAAACAATGGCACATCTCACCCGCTCCACGGCTCTTCCAACCATGGCTCTAGCCATTAGCTCCAGCCTGGCACACCAGAACGGCACCGTTGCCGCGCTATTCTATGACGACTGCTACGACTACGACCCGGGGTCCTGCTTCACCATGACGATTGAAGCGCCCCCCATCCACTGTCCACGCTGTCCCTGGCTGCCCGACTGGATATCGTGTCCGGCCGTGACGGACGTGACGACCATGACGATTCCCTGCAGGTGTGTCGATGTCTACCTTGTTTCTTCTCCTCCCACTACTCCCTCCACTAACAAGCCAGCACGAGCTGCTGTCCCGACACCCCCACCGTCACCGTCACCACGCCTTGTTCGCCTTGCTCGACCACGTGTGGGCTCGCATGGCAGGCCACCGTGGTCGAACATGACTGCCCGGCCGCCACCACGACGGCACCAGCAGAGACGTCGCCTTCCTACTGGGATTACCCGCCGCCCAAGGCGACGCGACCTGCCCGGCCGACCGACGAGGACGACTGGGAGGCCAAGCTGTTCCACATCCTCCACACCGAAAGCATCGACATCAGCTACACCTGGGAGCACGACTGGACCACGGCCTATACCTTCGACCTCGGCGGCACCACGGCCACGCATATTTATGACCAATACGGCACCACCGAGACGATCGTCTGGGTCATCCCGCGGCCGACAGACGGCCACCACGGCGGTGGCTGGGCGCGGCAGCCGGCGCCAAGAGCTCGCCGCAAGCGCAGGATTCAGCTGATGGGCTACGGCGCGGCTGAACCGGTGCCCATCTTGACAGCCGACGTGGCTGCAGAAACAAAAAAAGCCTTGACCAAGTAGGTGCAACTCGGCTGCGCTGCCTTGGCAAATATACAAAGTCACGTGCAGGACAAAGGAAGACCCAGACACTCAAATCATCATCGGAACTTGTACTCCGCACGGAGTACTCCGTAGCTGTCCATGTTAGAAGTGGGTCTTGACGACAAAAAGGAACTTTCAAATTGATTTCATCCAGGCTCGAACTGGAGACCTTCAGTGTGTTAGACTGACGTGATAACCAACTACACCATGAAACCTCAATTGTTGGTTCATTGGTCACATCTCGGGCTACGTAAGGTCAGTCGCTACGAGCGGCACTAGGTACTGCTCATTATAGGCCCAGAGAAACGTCGACAGCTGACTGGAGAAGGCTGCGCCCGTCCAGTACGTCGACCGGTATCCCTGCAGCGAGTACTGCTCCTGGATGTAGCCAGCCTTAAGGTCGTCCGCCGTCACTCGCATGTCCATGGCCCCGTGATTAGACCACGATAGCACCTCCATCTTGGTGCCGTTGGTCGCCGGGATCGTGCCTGCAGCTGCCATCTTCTCAATGGCCTCGCTGGCAATCGCCTGCGCCTCGACGTCTGTGATTCCATACCAGCTGCCGACAATCACCTGCCACCGGTTGTCGCCAATGTACTAGACCGTTAGCGAGGAGAGGGGGGGGGAAAGAAAGAGAGAAACCGATCTCACCGAAAAGTAGTCGACAAACGGCACCGTCGGGTACGCATAGTAGTTGCCGTTCTCCGCTGCAGCCGGCAGGTTGTTGATCTGGCCGTCGACCGGCAGCGACGGGTGCGTGATGATGCCCGTGTTGACCGCGCTCCAGTTGCCCTTGGCAAACACAGCCGTCTCCTTGGTGTCCATGTCAAACGGCTCCACGTTGGATGCCGTCGGCTCGATGGCCATCACCAGTCGCTTTGCGTTGACAATCGTGTATGCCATGGTCGTCTGGTCCTCGACCACTAGCGTGACGCCGTCGTTGTCTGCCAGCCGCTGCGCCGACACCACCAGGCTGTTGGTCATCACTGCCGGTGCGCCCAGGATCTCCGCGATCTTGTCGTAGATGTCCTGATTGCGCCTCGATTCCGGCACCCACTCGGGCGCCTCGCCCAGGAATGCCGCCGCTGTCGTCGGGCCAAACGTCTGGAACACGTACAGCGTCGGCGCGTCCAGCATGTTGCCCAAACCCGACACGATCGTCCACCACAGCAGCTGTGCGGCAGGTTAGCTTCTGTAGGCGAGAGAGGTCAACGCGTAGGCGAGTCTTACAAACAGAGCCGCGTCAAGGTCGTACTTCTGGGCAAAGTCGCGGAACGGCAGTAGGAGGTCCTCGGGTATGTCGGTCGGTGCAGGCCAGTTGGCATACGACGGCAGGTAGAGATCCGCGTACTGCGACGAGATGTTGTAATACTTCTCCAGCGCCACCACCTCGTCCGTCAGGGACGGAGCCGTGTAGTTGATCGCCAAGCCCGTGCTCATGTCGACGTACGTTGACTCGACCGCCAGCGACGACGCCGTCGTCACATTGATGCCGAGCCGCGCAAAGAAGTCTAATGTACCGGTGTAGTTGGTGTAGGCCGCCACACCGTCTGTTCGCGTTAGCTGTAGGAAAGGGGAAATCCAATGCTCTGAAACGGAAAGAAAACATACAGTCATAGACAGTGCCGGTGCTAGGATCGGTCCAGCTGTTGACCATACCACCCTAGAGGAGAAAGTGGTGTCAGTTCATAGACGGCCAAAACACCGTCCTAGTACAGCGACATACCAGCTGGGTGTTCTTCTCGACCACTAGCACGTCCAGGCCGGCATCCTTCAGATGCACGGCTGCGTTGGAGCCCGACGAGCCGCCCCCAACAATCACGACATCTACCGATTTGTATGAGGCGTTGGCATACTGCGCACCGAAGCTGCAGTTGGAAAACGCGCCGCAGCACGATGCAAGTGCAGCCACCACGGAAAGGTATGCAGGGGAAATCATGATGGTGGGACGCTGGTGGGACGCCAGGGAAATGCTGAGCAGAATGACTTGTGACCAAATACAGTTGAGATTGCCAATCGGCAGGCTTTTATCTGCCTTTTGCTGCGCTGCACATGGCGGACCGGAGAGCCGATCGACTTTACTATGACGAAAAGGAAGTTACACCATCGTCTGATTTTGCTTCCTCCAGTCGTGGCTAGAACACATTGTTTCTCCACCGAAGGAAATTGTCAGTCTCTGCCTCTGTCGTCCTCGTCGAACGACTCGATGCCACCTCAAAAGGCCCAGTCGGCTGCATGCGGATTGGCCTGGCCGTGGACGGCAAGAATTTAACTGTGAGACTGAGTGAGTTTCTTCTCTGCTCATGCATCTGCACTAACTCTGTCCGGAAGGTCTAATACTAATGCATGATCCTTGAATCCAATTTGCAATACGCACGAGTACCTCTAGAGGACTGCGGAGTACGTCGTAGGTGCTCCTTCGGGCATCCCCCCAGAACGTTGCAATCATGACGAGCAATCTACATGCGATATAGTAATCAACTGCTTTCTCAGATGGCTTACAATATATCCCTCATGCGTCGTGCTCACCCCTGTTTAGCACCTGCCACTGCGAGAAAATGCAATTCATCGCGTGGCGCCAGTCAGAGATAACATGAAATCAACTAGTGGCACAACGCGTAGGGTGTCAAAGACCATTTCGCCACACTCTGTTGACAACTGAGACATGCACATACTCTGCAGCAACGGTTGTCTAAGGATGCGTGTTTCTCAAGACACAAACATGTTGGCTAGCATCATGCCATAAGGCGTCTGGAAAAAGTAATAGGCCTAAGTATGTCGAATTGGGGACCTAGCGAATGGAAAGAGGAGGAAAGTATCGCTTAAGAAAAGAATGACTTTGCGAACCTCTAGTCCCGCTTCGGCGTATCCGTCCGAAGCCCCGTGTCGGACTTGTACCTCGCATAAAGCTGCCCAGGTAAGATACTTGTGTATATCCCACGCGGCTAAGGCGACTAAAACGGACAATCAGCCGTAGCCCGCCACACTAAACTAGTCCTTCCGGGGTCGGATCCGAATGTTACCTTGCCCGAGTAACATGCAAGGCGCAGCACGAAACAGGAGAGGATCCACAGCGCCCCATCCGGAGGGCCGACACGCAAGGGTTCCTGCGGGAAAAGGCGTACGTGCACATCAATAGTGCCAAGCTCGGCCGAGCAGGGATCAATCAAATACTGCGCCACCCGCCGGACGTTAGGAAGCACCATGACAACTACTTTTTGCAGCCGCCTAGATAGAACTGAGGAGCGGGTAAGCTCACCCCTTGCCTCTTCTGTCGCATGCCCTTAGGGAGGCGTGTTAGTTCTTGGGGCGTACCCCCTTAAATGACGACGTTAAAACGCATAATCGTAGTAATAATAGCATGGACCAATCGATTGACTGTGCCTGTGAAGTGTTCCTCACAAACAACACTCTTAAGCTCTGGGCCAACGTAGCAGGATGGGCCGTACTTTAGAGGACTAGGGAAACCAGGCTTACAAGCTCTCGTACGACAAATATATGCACTCACCCATAATGTTTAGCGCTGCGCAGTGTTCCATATCCATAAGCTGTTCACATATAGCTGACAAGGACTTCCGTCAGCTTGAGAAAGTGGAACTGTGTCAGCCGTTCGAAGAGGTACGGAGTACATGCCTGCGAGAACGAAGCAGCGAGCCGCCAGTATACCGTGCGTACGACGTTCTAAAAGCGCAAACTCAGCCTAGCGCAAGAATCTGTGTCTCTTCCTCCTGTTTGCGCCTCTAAAAGCAGCATGCAGCCGGTTCTTACGGTAGACTATGCAGATCGGCAACTCATAAGCATCTACCTTATCGCCCACATGGCAACATGCCCGATTCTGATGCTGCCTTTGCGGCAGAGAGCGGCTTGCCGAGGATTCTGGGACTTCTGACCACGTTTTTCTTCGTTTCCGTCATCGTTGTCGGCCTTCGCATGTACACCCGAATACGCATCCTTCGCACTGCTAGTTCCGACGATGTCCTCATCGGCTTGGCAGCAGTACGTCGATTCTACTCCTTCCTTCCTCTCTTGCTTGTGCTGCGGCACAAATAGCTGATGTCTTTTCGGTTTTTTTCTCCCCACATTTGAGAAGTCAAACTAAATCAAGACTCTCTGCCCTCCCCTTGCTAAGCTTTGCCAGCTGGCAGGATGGATCATGGTTCTCATCCAGTCAAAATACGGCCTTGGCCGCCACCAGTCAACCATCTCGGCCGACGACTTGAAAATATATAATAAGCTATTCTTCTGTCTGAATGTCGTTTCAATCGCCATCGGAACCATGTTCCTCAAGGTTTCCATTGCCCTCAACCTTCACAGACTATGCAAGAACCAGTGGTATAAGTGGTCCTTGCGCGTTCTGATAGGTGAGCCTATATGCTTTGTCTCCAAGATTCAAACAAACAATCTTGCGTGCCTGGCACACTGACGCATTGCGACGCCTATAGTCATCGTCATACTTTACGAATTTGTCGGCTTTCTCTTCTTCTTCCTCGACTGCAAACCATTGGCTGGCTACTGGGACACGACCCTAGATGCCAAATGCGCAGAGACTAGTACGCTTATTGCATTTGGTCTGGTCAACACAAGTTAGTTATTTTTAATACTCTTTTCCCAAGCTTTTTTCCCCATCCGAAAATAAGCAAAAGGCTCAACCAAAAAAATCTGGGAGGCCAAGGGGGCTGCGATTGAATAAGTTAACAATAAGTTTGAAACGCAACAGGCTTTAGTATTGTCACCGATGTTGCGCTCGCAGTTCTTCCAATTCCTATCATCTGGGCTTTGAACATGAAGCTGAAGCTCCGCTTGTACCTCATTGCAGTCCTTAGTCTTGGCTATCTGTAAGAAATGCCGGCTTATTACTTTCCAGTGCAAAATCCGTTGACCAACCTTGTCGCCTAGCGCTGTGGCAATGGATATCGTCAAGACTTATTACCAAGAAACCTTCTCTTTAGACGTGGACGAGACCTAGTATGCTTGTTCGCCCTCACACACTTCTTCTCTGATTCTGACACTTGCTCACAGTACCGATAACCTCATTTTGTTTGGCCTGTATGTTTGATATTTTCCCATTTTAAGCATAGTATCGTACTAACTCTTCCCTACCCAAACAGCCTTGAAGAGTATTTTGGCATGATTGCAGCCTCTGTGCCGATGCTTAGGCCATTGGTCGGCAAGGCCATAGGTCTCTCTTCCGCAGATTACTACACCTACGGCCGCAATACTGGCGATACAAGCTCGATGAGCGCGAGACAAGCAGCGAGGGTGGCTTAGGTGATCTTAATGCGCATGCTACCGTATATCAACACGATGCGGAGAGCGAGGAAAAGATATTGCAGAATCCACAGACCGATTATAGGGCCATGGCAGGGACCAGCTCAGGAGCCCAAAATGATGCAATCGGAAAAGGGATTATGATGACCACAGAAATCACGGTCAGTTAAAGGACACGGTCATATATTGGTATTAGCGAGCAATAGCGACGACTTTTTCTCAAAAGAGTTTGACATTTACGGGATGAAGAGCTGCTTTTTGTAACTAAATAAATATTTCTGCAAACGGCTACTATTATACCAGTAATGTCCTACAATCTATCCGTAAAAGGTGCTTTACAATTGGCTCTCATTGTACAATACTGCGAATCTACCGGAGCTACAAGTCAACCTCGGTAAAGTTGAGGATGGTAGTCAATGTTGTATTGAAGAGTTGAAGCAGTTACCCTCTTTTAGTGGGCGCGGTTAAGCAGAGTGACATGCTAAGAGCGACTTGGCTCCGGTTAGCCCCTGGCTAAGCAAGAAAATCGCGATGGAATCCGGAGCGGCTTCGACTGGACCAATGACGTCTGAGTTGGGCGCAGATGTAACAACAAGTGTTTAATTAACCCAAAAGACCACCAATTTCTAGGGCAGAACTGTCTGCACTACAGACTGACAGCTTCCACCACATTTAGATGTTCACGACTATCTCGGCAAGGATCTTCAGAAGATGATCTCACAGATGCCCTGGTTAGGAGGCAAGGTTCATCTGCAGGCTCCGCCCACGCCTAGATGGTGTCCTGGATAGCGCGAGATTCGCTATCAGGGCTGGAAATCGAAGGTTCTGTTCCCATCAGCTTGCGGTTTAGAACTGGAGACGGATCTGAGCTATGCCGACTGAAAAGAAGGAATTTCGGAACGATACATTTAGTGACAAGGACGTTGCTTTTGGACGACCCGTTGTCCGGGATTGGGGGCAAGGCCGAGGCTCTCAGGTGCTATTTGGGTCTTTAATATCGCATGCTCGATGCTCACATGCTCGATGTCCACTCGTTTTTCCGCAGAAACCGACCAGCGTCAAGATTACTTTGAGCTTATTCGAGGGTGAGATGGAGTGCTTGAATAGCGATGAAGAGTGGACTCTGTATTGCTTGGCTCGTATTTCCACTGTAGTGAAACAAAGAAATTGATCTGGCAATGCCTATGTTTTCTAATTATACTTATTTGCAGTTGGAGAACAAACGAACGTATCGAGGACTTCGTATGGTAGACCAAATCAAGGCATCTGCATACAAATAACCCTCCGGACCCCTCTTAAAAGAAAGAAAGAAAATGCAAGTACACAGAACGTCTAAATGCGTACCTTTACCTGGTATCCACCAAATACTTCACACGTTGTCCAAAATATACATAGTGGTCCATGCCGGTTGTAGAGATTGAGAGTCGGCGTCACAAGCACTCAGGTCTGATTTTGTACATTCTTGCTCATTGCCCTGATTTGATGACCGTATTTGTAAAGCAAAAAAGGCAGAGGGGCCATGAGGGCTGCCAGCACGCCAACCCAGGTGAGTGTAAAGTGTGGACCAAGGTTCTTGTACATGGGCACCGAGGCCGGTAGCAGGGCGCCAGAGATAACGTAGCGACTAAAGGTCATGAAAGAGAGAGCAGAACCGGCATATTGTAGGTAGACGAAGACGATGTAGTTGTAGGTTGTGGTGAATACAGTGACAAGGGAGTAGCCGAAGACGACTACGCCGATAATGGGAACCCATATGCTGACGCTGGGGTAGCAGGTCCAGCCTATCCAGAAGATGGATATGGGCATCAAGATGGACCCGCCGAGCATGGCGAAGTAGAGACACACTTCCGGAGCGAGATTCTGACCTCGGTCCGCCGCTCTTACAGAAGCTTTCTTGGTCCAGCCGTAGACGATTGGTATTAGCAAAATGGCGACAAAATCCCCGACGAGGAGCGCCGTAAAAATGAGGAAGGTGAGCGAATTCGAGATTCCGTAAGTATCACCGAAGATAAACGGAAACCCATTAAGGAAAGTAAATAAGACAATGTAAAGGATGGTTAGGTAGAAGGAGAAGACGAGGATGATCGGCTCCGTATAGGTCAAGCTAAACGGGCGCAGCATGTTGGTAAGAAGGCGCCGTCCCAGCAAGCCAGCCGATGCATGACCTTGGGAACAAAACCGTGGATCGCCGGTAAGCTCACAAAGGTGTGATGCTCGCCATTCCAGAAGCGTAGGCGAATATGTCTCTGGCTGGAAAAGGAAGACGAGAATCAGGATCACGCCAGCAAAAATGGCCGAGATCCAATCAGCCCATCTATAGCCAATGTCGGGGAGGTATGCGCTGATGATGGGTCCCAGGATAGGTCCACCATACGAAGTCAAAGTCACAAACGGCAGACTAAAAGTTATCTCGAGCGGTCCCCAAATGTCGGCGACCGTACCGCTGCCAACTGTCAGAGGTGCCGCACCAAAGAAGCCGGCGAAGAAGCGAAAGACAATCGCTGCCCCATAGTTCGGCGCCAATGCCTTTCCGATAGTAAAAAGGATGAAGATGACCATGGTGGTCAAGTAAACGAGGTTGCGTCCAAACGTCTCAGAAAAGGGGGCTGCGACCATCGAGCCGACTCCAATACCAATCAGGTACATGCCTATGTTACACACATGGTTAGTTCTCAAGCAGCCGAGAGGAGGTCCAATGTTGGGAAATACAATACCTGTGGTCATCGACCCAGCAATGGGCCCCACGCCATAGTGCTTGTTGAACTGATCAGAGACAGGGGCGTCGATGGAGGACGGAATGCTGACAGCCAAGAGGATAAAAGACACGGTTGTGGTAGCCGACCATTTCTGGACGAGACTCCAGTTCTGCGGATTTTCCGGGTCGCCGTCTGCCCACCCGACCTCGTATGTAGTGCTGCCGTCGTACTCCGACGGATCGGATATATTCACGCCGGCTATCGAGTGCTCCTGGGCTCGCTGCAATTTGCCCTCTTCAGCAAAATTGGCCTCGCTGGCAGCTTGGCTTGCGGCAGGTGAGTCGCCATGGGCATGGAGCTTATCGACATCTGTCTTGGCTGCCTCGCGCAAGCGGCGGTGCTGAAAAAAAGACTGCATGTGGGGGGTCAGGACAGGTAGGTGCAGATACTTGTCAGAGCGGCCTTTCTTAGCTAGGTACTGTTAGCTTTGATTAATCTGTGAGAAGGTGTTAGAGAAGCCCGATACAAATATCAGTTGCGTCTTGCACATCTTGAACTCCGGCATATCAGACAGTGAAATCAATTATTAAGCTTGAGGATGTAAAAAACATGCAAACGGCGGAACTTTGGCCGACTAGCTAAGGCTATGGCTTGCGGCTGATCGAAAACTTCGGTCGAATGCGTTCCCGGCAGCGCTAAATGGGGTGATATGGTGATTTGCTTTGAAATGCATGTAGATCCCTTCCCCGTTAAACCTTTCGGCCGGATTCGTAAGGAGGGACTTCACTGCAATATGCATAAGTACTTGTGTGACGGCGAATAAGAAACAGGCTTAGATAGTGAAAACGAATGGTGGCAGCTAGTTCCTCAGCTACACAGATCAATTCTAACTCCTCGGAGTCACGCTACGCGCGTCATTGTGAAGTACGCAATCCGACCAACAGGACCTAATCTCCTACCACGCTGTGATTACTGCAGCCCGATCTCTATCAGGGTCTAGGCTCCAACTGAACGAGGTACTTACAACAGAAGAGCACCAGTAAACTCGAACTCTGCATTTCGCCGCCCAGATAACCGGTATTGTAGGATTCGGCTAATGTCGGATGTTCAAAGAACCAAGATTATTCAATGCGTCGTTTCTTCGGGGAAAGACCGTTGGCATAGAGCTTGAGAGCTCTCATTAGTCAATTGTCTTTGTTACGATGCAGCGTCCTTTGTCGGCCGTCTTCCGTATTTGGCTTGGTTTAGAAATCCGGATAGGTTCGGGTAATCATCTTCCGGACTTGCTGGCAAGATAGCAAGTACGTGGGCGAATGCATCATGCATAAATACTATGGCGTGGCCTTTCGGATATAGATACGATTGAAAAGGCTCGTGATAGAAGCGGTTTCGGCCTTGAGATTTGAGTACCTGGTGGAGAGAATGGCTTGTAGTGTGGATTTTCGGAGGTCACCTGACCTCCGCCGCCCGAAATCGCTAGACTAGACGGAGCCTTGATCTGCGCGCGCAGTCTGGCCTCGGTTAACCTATCTACGAAATATCATCACTAGATATTACTAGACCTTTTAGCTTAATATAAGACGCGCAATGGCCCGGACGCATATCCCACGAAGATTGCCGCACCTGTCTTACTCTAGAGCTACAATATACTCAACGAGCGCCGCTAGTGACACAGATGTACCATGTACGAGATGTTAGCGAGACGGAGTACTTTACGAGTCTCCGGAAAATGACCGCATCATGACCGATAATAGTCTACAAGATAGAAGATGGTGGCGTACGTCTATTAGCGCATCCTCGCAATTGTGAATTTGTATTTTTATAGGTTTTGTGTGGGAGGCAGCAGGTGTACAGCCAAACGGTTAGATTAGATAAATAAGCAACATCACCAACAGAATCTCCAAGAGCAACAAGAAATCTCTGGAAATACAAGTCTCCGAGATGTCAGACAATTTACTCTAGAAAGTCGTAGCATTTCAGGGCAGCTATCCTTCCACTGGTATTATCGAAAAAATCACCAACGCGAGGGATGCTAGAAGAAGAGCATTCGGGCAGATCGAGGCTTTCTCGCTACGCAAGGTACAGCATATACGGAACAGCTTCAGCTCTCTAGCAAGATGTCCTCATCTCTGAGACCCATCAACGCAGGTGCTTGGTTGCCCGCCGAAGACAATCGCTTGCGAGACGCGGTGGTTCAGTACGGCACCCGGTGGGTGGTGGTGGCAGCGAAAGTTGCTACGCGCAACAGCGATCAGTGCGCCAAGCGATGGAAGGAGAATCTTAACCCGGACCTTGATCATAGCCCCTGGACTCCACACACGGTATGCTTGCTTTCTTGCTTGAAATACATGGTACTCCGCACAGGAGTGAAAGAACTACAGAACCTATCTGTTAGTTTGCTTCTATTAGTGCTCAAAGCCCATTACATTAACAAATAAAAACAAAAGGACGGGTTTCTTCTACATCTGGTAGACTTATTTGGCCACAACTGGAAATATATCGCGAACAATTTCCTCGAAGCACGCGCTCCGTTGTCCGTCAAGAACCGCTACGCACTTCTGATGCGCCGGCTAAAGCGCAAACGTGGCCATGGGAAACAGCCGTCCAGTAGTAGCACATCCCCACATGTGCCACTACCACCCGCACTATTTGGCGGGTCGTTCGGCCTGCCAACTGCTTCTGCCAGCCTTACCGCTACGTCTATCTTCCCCGTTGACGATGGCAATTTGGACGCCATCAGCCCTTTTGAGTACTCACAGAGTGGGGCAGAAGGAGACCGGACGAGACCAGCTAGCAAAGACAGTTCAACTCTCGATCTGACAGTTCCGTTCATAACACCTCCGCCAACAACATCGGACAACTCCAGCACCACGATTCCCACCGCCATTGATACGACAGACTACTCAAACATGGAAAATCAGTACCTCTCACTAGCAGATTTCAGAAGATCAACTCCGAGCTCCGCTTTAAACAATTCTTTAGATGGGATAGATCTCCAATTTAAAGAGCGAGGCACGTGGCAACCCATCCTCACAGGCATGGATGAATTCCTATCCGGAAATGACTCTAGAAATAGAAACAGCAACAACAACGACACAGCACTAGACGACGTCGTCTCCAAATATGGTTTTACCAATCCAGCCCACCGGCCGCATGATGAGAGTCGCTCAGACCAAGCACAGGAAAAGTGCTCTGAAATTGGTAACAATAGCAACGAGATTGAGTACTCAGTCACCTGCCCGAGAGGAAAAATAAAGAGGGCAGTGTATCACCTCCTCGATGCGACCATAATGGAGACAGCAGACCGGCTAGCAGATGAGGAGAAAATCACTCTTACGCTACGGCTAAAGACTACGTGAAGACCTCTTAGAGAGCAGAGGGGAAGAAGGAGACAGAAGAGGAGAAAGGAAACATACATGTGCTAGTATAGAGAGACAATGATAGGCACAAGTTGCATACATGTTGCGTATATATTTAAGGAGTTGTCTATTGTAAATTTTGTTTTTCTAACGTGCTATTACAAAATCGCACAGTATGTAATTTAGAAGCTGTGTACGGATAGAAGGTTACAATTTAATTTGTATGCAATTTTTACTACAAATAGGCTAATGTTATTCTTAGTGCAGCTTATAACGCCCACAAATTTGCTTAAAAGAAGTAAAAAGTACTGTTAAAAGTAACGTATATTAAATACTATTAAGTATAAGAAACTGCTATATTAAAGATCTTCCGCTCTATTTAGCCATACAGCCCTATAATTAGTCAAAAGGCATAAAAGCAAGGCCTATCACTAGTGATAACATAAACCCTTAATAATATTCCAATATATCTGTTTCTGTAACGCCTGCCTAGAGAGGGGCGCCGGCGCAGGCCACACGCAAGCTATTAGCGTGATTACTAAGAAACAGCGTAAATGTGGAAAGGTGCATGTATATTCATGCACTAGAAGCTAGTGCAGGCTGTACTGCGGGAGTGAAAACTCTGCACACTGACCCACAGGGTCACGTGCAACAGTAAACGCGGGATGTGCTGGGATACGGCCCTAAAAACTAGTCACCACCGAGCTGAGGCTGAAAAATCAGAACAACTAAACACCGAATACCTATGCCGCATCATCAAATCCGTGTTGCAGCCGGTGTCACTATAGGTGGGAAATTATAAATGACTCCCTAAAAGCAATAAGTAAGCTGAAAGGGGGTGTGCGCCATAAGTAACACTTGGCATGCACCTATCCTTATATGGTCACACCGGCCTTACAAACATGACCGTTGATGGCTTATGGCACTTAGCCCACCTACTTATATAGGAATAGATCGAGACATGGCTAACGGCTTGCAATACGACGTACTCCGTAAAGACATGCATATCGAGTGCTAAAAGTCGGTGTACTCGACACAGACAATAGTGGCTTATTGTGGGCGCCTACGCGCTATAATTAAATAACTTAAAGGCAGTTTTTCCCTGTTTTATTACAGCGCGTGCGAGGGCCCGTCGTATCACAGCTACACTCGCCATGTTTTTGCTTGATCGTATCTTCTTGCGACTGATGGTTCTAGGGTCACTGATTGTGGCTGTCAGTTGCAATGGGACCGATTCTTTCTTTCGCGAGCACTGTTTGTCGTTTAAACCTGAGACACTTATCTGGAACTCTACCTTAACACGTCTTGAATACATCAGCAACGGCACGACACTAGAGCTTGCAGACAATGTCCCTTCGTGCAATCGTCCGTCTCAAGAAGTCACAGAGGACATCTGTCGAATTGCACTTCAGATTCCCACTTCGTTCCGGTCTAGCATCAGCTTCGAGCTTTGGCTCCCACGCAAATGGGACGGCCGACGGTACTTAGCAACGGGTAATGGGGGAATCGACGGCTGTGTGTGAACCTCCATGTTCTTAAACAAGTTGTTTGTTCTAATACAAGCTCACAATTGACTAGGCATTAAGTATGAAGATCTGGCTTACGGCACAGATCATGGCTTTGCGACCATGGGAACAAATAATGGCCACAACGGCACAACCGGGATCACGATGCTCAACAATCCGGATATTGTGAAAGACTACTCTTACAGATCGTACGTAGTTTTGAATAAAAAAAGTGGCATTGGATAAGAGCTGACTGTTGAACACAGGCTTCACACCGGCACCAAAGTAGCCACCAAACTTATCAAACATTTCTACAAGAAAGCGCCTCTACGCAGTTACTATCTTGGGTGCTCTCTCGGAGGCCGCATGGGTATCAAAGCAGCCGAGGCTTTCCCAAACGACTACGACGGTATTGTTGCAGGATGTCCTGCCGTCGACTTCAACCATCTTCAGGGCGAGAGAGCAATGTTTTACCCTATCACGGGAAACTCGAGCTCGAAAAACTATATCAATATTGAAACGTGGACTGGCCTGATTCACAACGAGGTGCTCAATCAATGCGATGGTATCGATGGCGTTATAGATGGCATTATCGAGGTTCCGGACAAGTGTTACTTCAACCCAAGCACCCTGCTTTGCAACAGTACACAGACGGAGAACTGCCTCAATGTCAACCAAGTTCAGCAATTGGAAAAGATATATGCGCCTTACACTTATCCGAATGGCAGCCTCATATTTCCGCGGATGAATCCTGGTAACGAACTACAGGCCGTTGCCAAACTCCTCGCTGGCACACCCTTCAGCTACTCAAAGGACTGGTTTCGCTACGTTGTCTATAGTGACCCGAACTGGGATCCTAGCACCTACAATGCAGATGACGTCCAGATTGCAGATGATCTCAATCCGTCCAATATTCGCACCTACCCGCAAACTCTTCCCGAATTCAGGGGCCGTGGAGGAAAGATGATCAGTTTCCATGGAGGCCAAGACAATCAGATTACACAATTCAACACTAGACGTTTTTGGGACCGCATGGCCGAGGTTGACGATGCGTTGCAAGACTACTACCGATTCTTCCGCATATCCGGGATGTTCCACTGCAATACTGGACCTGGTGCTTGGGCTGTGGGCCAAGGTGGGGGCTCCTCTGCCAAAGGTGTTCCTTATGAGCCCGAGTACAACGTGCTGGCTGCCATTGTAGCTTGGGTTGAGAACGGGACCGCACCGCAGAGTCTGACCGGGACTAAGTTTGTCAACGACAGCTTCGCCGAAGGGATCGACTTCCAGCGTACGCACTGCCTGTATCCCAAGTCGCAAACTTACCTCGGCGGAGACTCTAAGCTGCCTTCGAATTGGCAATGCCAATAGTGGGTAATTCGCTTGTACTTAAGAGATTTATGTCTAGCGACGCAAGCATAATTGGAAAGAAAGCTGAATTATCTGCAAAATAATAAATCACACGTCGAAAATCAATATTCGCCGCATGTACGTTGTTCTTCACCCTCGGCCCCTTGTCTGTCAGAGCCACCTCCAGATACGGAGTATTTCGTCGCCAAGCATAATACATATAAATAAATGCATCACAGACAGATACTGTTTGACTGTGGGGTTGTCGTAGTAACCGGTTCTTGATATTTTTGACTAACATACAAGAGAATGGACCAATCTATCAGAACAGATTGTGCTGGAGCGCAACCTCCTCGGACAGCTTCCAAGGAAACTGGAACGGCTTCGGGTACGCCTTCGTATCCAGGATGCCGATGGACGCAGGGTCATACGGTGTGTTGGTCTTCTCGCCTCTCGCCTTGTTTCCAACTGCCACAAGCTTTCCATTCTTCGCGCTTACGAGCGGCACACTCCCAAGAGATTCCTCTATGAGACCGTCAAAGGCGGCCACGGAACGAATATCGGAGAACTGACCGGCCACCTCCGAGGTTCATCATACAGCACAAAGAACGGCAAGTTGTAGTCTGCGTAGTCCTTACTAATAGTAGCTAGTATAGTTAAAATAATATAAAGGGAGAGTTTGGTTTGCGTAGTGAGTGATGAGAGAAGTGCACCCCCAAGACCACCTATTCTGGCCGCACAGGATGACATGTCAGGACCCCTCGCGGGACGCTAACGCGTCACATGACAAGACCCACTGTTCTTGACCAATCAAATGTGGAACAATTGATGCCTTCTGTCACCACTTACACAACCTATGTATATGAAAACGCTCTCTTCTTCCCTCTCCTTAAGAGCGGGACAGACAGGCACGCACGCACGTAAGAAATCAATCGATCACCAAGACATATACGCAGTGCACTTGTGAAGAAAAGCTACGCCCAAGACCTCGCCGGGCGGGCTCGTCTTGTCATCTCTTTCAGGATCCTAAGACGAGCCCGCATGGCTTTCCTCCCTTCCCCTTCGGACCAACCTCACACTGCCCTACCTTGTGACGAAGGGAGGTGCCTTACGGCACCTATCTACGTGCACAAGTACGTGTGTTTGTAGGTGTGTGTGTGTTGTTGGTTCGAGCTGAGGCCTCACCCTACCTCCGCTCTTAGTAGTACCTTCTCTAGTACGTGCAATATCTTTTACTTATGAATATATAAAGCTTCGAACATCTTCCTTGCTACCTCCTCCTTCTCTCTTTACAATATACCCTCTTAGGCGTTAACCTATTAGACCTCTTTCCTTGCTACTGTATTACTTTCTGATACTGCCTCATCTTCCTCTGCCACCTTTGATTTAATTTTCTTTATAGCCTTTTCTACCGCGGCGGCGATTGCCGCCGCGGCTATCTCCTCAGCCTCTTGTTTCGCCGATGCAAGTTCTGCGTCCTTTTTTTGCTTTGCAAAAGCTTCGATCTTTTCTCTTTCCTTCGTTATTTCCTTCTGCTTCCGCATTTCTAGTTCCAGGTTCATGTTTTTAGCTACTAGCTGCTGCACTCTTGCACGGAGCTTCTTAGACCCTTCTCGCTCTGATTCGGCAGTCGGATCTGCTCGTACTTCGGGTGGTGGCGCGTACTGCGGCGACTGGTCAAAGGGAGCGGGCATGTACGGCTGATTAGAGTAGGGAGAAATGTACGGAGAAAAATAGGGGTACTGGAACGAACTACTCCAGTAAGGTTCGGGGTTCATTTGGTAGGAGGGATACGGGAATGGGGGCTTGTAAAGCGGTTCGTGGCCTTGAAATCCGAGGCGAGCTGGGAATTGGCTTGGGCCAAAAGCATTCGGGGGGTGCGGGGGCTGTCCATTTTCTTTGTTGCTGGTGTCAGCATCGTCATGTGCTTTTTCCTTGCCCTTGTGTGTAGGTTTTCCTTTTTTTGGTATCCTTCGAACTCTTACCCGCCCTCTCGCAGGCGGCGGTGTTACACTGCGGATTATCGCGGGAGGAGTGACGCTGGGATCAGGCAAAGTGAAGAGCAGTTTTCTGTCACCAACAGTCCCCCCCTGAGGCGGCCAGTGATCAGGAATGCCGGCGAGAAGTTGGTCCGCCAGACGTGCTTCGTCCTTTGCTTCTGCTGAGATGTCGCCTTGCATGGTCAGGCTGAGGGCACGCAGGACCTTGAGTCGGCTCCATTCAAGAGCAGCCTGGTCAACGGCGCGGTCCCACTGGGTCGAGACGGGGGCGAACTCGGCCAGATGCATCCTCAGAGCGAGGCGGGAGGTGTCGTCATCGGCCAAGAGGTATGTCGACAGCAAAGACTGCAGCGCGCCCACCTTGTCCCCCATGACTTTGAGCTGCAGCTGGATCAGCGTCGAGAACAGTGCTCGCGGGTCCTGTGAGCTGCATATCATCTCCCGCAGGCACGCGGCCTGCAGAGCATAGTCGCCGAGCTCTCTTGAGGCCTGTAGCACCGTGGCTAGTAGCTCCATGGCGGGCGAGTCTTGCGCGACCGGCCAACCGGGTGATTCCTTTGCCAACGGCAGATACACGGGCAGCACACCCGCCCACACCGTTGATCCGGGATATTTGTCAAAGAAGCGCCGCGACATGGAGTGCTGGTCTTGGTCACCGCTTCTGCGGACTCACGCATATTCTTCCTCGGTCAGAATCCAGTCGAGATAGGCCCGGCAATTTGTGTTCTCTGTTCTTCTGTCCCTGGTCGCGCTTGCAATCTCCCTGGCCTGGTCAAAGATGAATCCTGTCAGGCTCGCGAGGCTGCTGTCGTTTGCGTGCTTTTGCACACAAGGGCGACTAAAACTGACAAGCACCTGCAAGAGACAGAGCTGTGCAGCCTGGTCGGGCGCCGTAGCCTGCCAGTCAGCCACAAGCTTGGACACGCCGGCCATGGCCGTCTTGGTGTCCATCAGGGCGCGGCATGTCTGCTCTATCTCCGATACTTCGAGGAGTGCATGAAAGATATCTCGAAGTTCCCAGTAGCGACTCTCCCGTAGGAGAGTCTTGTAGATGCCAGAAAACATCCGCAGGGCTTGAGACAATTTAAAATCCGTGTAATGAAAGAGGCTCAAGTATATTCATGGACAAGACTGATCAGCGTGAAAGTCTTGCACAGAATTTGTAGCTGACATGTTGGCTTTGTCTGAGGGGGGGAGAAACAGAGTTATCTGCCGTCTTCATCTTGTTCAAATAAGCCAAGGAAACCGTGGCTATTTGACAGGCCAAGCGTAGATCTGGACTTCTATTGCACCGGGATAGCTGCAGGCTCAGGGCAGACATGATGGACGCTTCACTGTCCGGCACAAACTCATCCACGGCAAACGTCTCGAGAACACGCCTGTAGTCGCCCTGTGCGAGCAGCAAGTCGGCATATTCTAGCACCACCAGTGGGGTGTCAAAAAAATCTGCGAGATTTTCCCGAAAGTAGCAGTCTGCTTGCTGGAAGTGGCCGAGGCGTCTGAGATATGCTGCTTTTTGGAGGCTTCCTTTAATGTCGCTTTCAACTTCCAGCTCCATGTGAATCGTCAAGTCTCGCCGCGAAGCGGGGTTCCACAGCGTATCGCACTTCAATGGCTGCTCGTGATACAGCATATCTGACTCGTCCATCTCGTCGCTCTCCCCAGAGTCGTCACTCTCCCTAGAGTCGTCGCTCCCCACAGAGTCGTCACTCTCCCCAGAGTCGCCGCTCTCCCCAGAGTCATGTTCGTTATTGAACGTTACATCCGATGTGTCCATTGAATGTAGCTTGTTGACTGTTTGGGCCAGAGGCGGCGCCCGTGGCTGCGTTGCAGTGTTATCGAAAGGATGAAGTTGGCTGGGATCGACTCTTTCCAAACTTGACCCATACTGCGAGAAACGTGCAGGAAAATGGAAACTCACGTGCTGTTAATATGAGGATCATGGAGCCGTGTAGGCTGCCGCTCGGGTTAGACGGTTCCAGGTAACTGAAAACACCAAGAGTGGGCTTGTAGGCATGGGACTTGGCGATTTTTGTTTTTCCAGCGGGGGGGTTTGGCGGGCCGTCATTAATAAAAACGGTTGGTATCTCCTGAAAACTCATGTCATTGGAGAATTTGACATCAGAGTCTTCCGTTGAAGGGCTGTCGGTTCTCGAAGATCGGCGTAATGGCAATACCCAGGCGGTCTCCTTATATGACGGAGGGTCAGCTTCCGCACGCTGCTGTGGGAGCTGTCGCAAGACGACTTGGCCGCACAGTCGCAACACAGCATCCTCTTTTATACCGGGCTGGCCTTTCAGCACGAGGCCCGGCCGTTCTACATCAAGATCAAGATCCAGGGCCGCTTGCGCAAGGTAACAGACCAGATCAAAAGCATCTTCCCGCCTCGGGCTAAGCCCAAGCAGGGTACAGCGCTCATGCTTATTGGAATTGACTCGAGCTACAACTCCGGCGATCCCCTGGACTCGTTCGCACGTGGCCTAAAGGAGGATATGTTAAGAAAGAACCGGGAAGCAGTATCCCGTCGGGTTCCAACCACAGGCCTTCAAAATCTGCCACCGCCCCCGTACGAGAGAGACGAGATAATGCAAGCTCAGGAGGCGGCCATGACAAAGACAGCAGAAGAGCTTGAGGCCGGTAGGGGCCGTGCCGCCTCCATCGTCGAGAAGCTGGCGCTTGCGCCGGAAGTCTACTCGTCAAAGGATGCGAGCGGGTGTAAAAGCGACGCGAGAAGCAGCGCCTCCCGGACGTCATCAGTATCGGGCACGACATGCAAAAGCACAGCGATAAAAGAACTGCCACTGCAAAGACACAAAAAAGCAAGAGAGCGGGAGACGGAAGAGGAGAGTATACGGCGCGCTGTAGCCCTTGTCTGGTACCAACTCTTAGCCCTTTTCTATACCGTATTTATACAAGCAAAGAGAAGACGGAACTAGGCAAAGCAAAGAAATAGCGAGTTATACTAAGGACCGCGTATAGCGTCTTATAGATTTGCTTGATTCCCTTATAACTAGTAGAAACAGAGAATCCCTATCTGCACCGTAAAATTTCCCTAAAAGCACCTGTTACGGTGGTTGCCTTGGCGCATCATGCACCCAGACCTGTGCCACTAGTTTCCCGTAAGCACTGTTGAGTCTTTGAGTCGTTCCGCATCCAACGGTAGCGTCTTTACTGAGATCGCATCCACACTTCCATCCATCCACCAGGCGTTCATATTACATCTGTACCAGTCTACCGTGGCTGTGAGACCGACTTCGAATGGTATGTTTTGCTTCCATCCTAAGTTTGCAAGCTTGGATCCATCAACGCGGTAATCGTGGTCGTTGAAAGGTCGGTCCGCAACCCACGCCAGTCTAGTAGCAAAATCGGACTCAGAGTCGTAGCCAAAGAGCTGGAGCATGCGAATTGCGACTTCGAGATTTGTCACCCCGACACCGGACTCAATGTTATATGCCTCGCCATCGACTCCCCTGTGGAGGATCGTATCGAACCCGTCTGCCGCATCGCTCCCGTACAGATACCGCCGTCGGTGCAGACCCGAGCCTTGGATGGTGAGTGGCTGGTCCTTTGACAGTAAGGCGAAGAACCTCGGGATAATCTCTGTCCATTCTTAGCATATTAATATTTTCAATCGTATGGAATATTACTGCACTTACTTTCGGGGTATTGACACGGTCCGAACACGTTGTTGCTCCGGACGATCACTACCGGGATGCCGAATGACTTGAAGTAGGCGTACACGTACATTTCTGCTGCCGCCTTTGATGCTGAATACGGGTTCGTTGGCAGAAACTGCTTGGATTCGTCGACACTTTCGTCAGGGGTTTCGCCATACACCTCGTCAGTGCTTACATGAATGAAGCGGGTTATCCGACCACGCTTGCGGACGCATTCGAGCAAATTGTGCGTTCCAATGACATTATTCAAGGTGAAGCTGTGCTGGTCGTTGAAGGAATTCTGCACGTGGGAGCAGGCTGCAAAATGTAGAATGCAGTCGATGTTATGGTCGGACAGTGCTCTGTCAATCGCACTTGCAGAAGTAATGTCTCCTTTGATGAAATGAAAATTCGGAAATGACTTTAAGCAATCGATATTTGCCATCGAGGAGACATAGTCTAGTTTATCCAAGCAGATGACATTGTACTCGGGATACTGGACCACTAGATGTCTAGTTACCCAGCTCCCACTAAAAATATCAGCATTGTTAAAGATGATCTTTTTATCGAATAGAAAACTAACATAAAACCGGCGCCTCCTGTTATGAGAATGTTTTTGATATCGCTTCTCGGTTCGAACTTGGTTGTCCCGATGAGTTTCAGCGTGCTGTCATAACTGCTGGGAAGAACTGAGCTCAGACGAGCCTTCTGGCCGGGGCTATCAGGTGGTGTAAGTTCAGATGCTATTTTAGCCATAATGAGCAGGTTCTCCAGTCAAGTTCGTAGATGAATGATGAGGAATTGTGAATACCGAACTCTTTTGTCAAGCAGCCAAGAGTCGGCGCGCAAGATATATGTATTTGCGATCTGGTGTATGTTTGCAGCTAGGACCGGCATGTTCCCGATGCATTGCAAGCTTGCACGGCATTTCGCATGCCTTGGGCCTTAAGCCTCTCTCGTTATCACATATATTTAGCCACCCAACCAGGCAATATTGTGTGAGTTGCTAGGAGTAAGCCAGAGCGTAGCGTCTGCAAACTGATCGGATTTCCGTGCGATAAGCCAATGATAAATTCCGGAGTCAGCGTAGGAGTCGACTCCGGGCGAGTTCAACTCTGTGTGAGGCTGAGAGAATCCGCCCCACCACTAATTGACATGTACAGACGAATGTACCAGATCCGCCGGTTGCCGGAACGCAGACGTGAGATACAGCAGGATGTGAAACTAAAATCTTGCTCACAGGCTCTCTTCGACGTATAACTAGTATGGATCCATTTCTATAAAGATCTTATGAAAATAAACACGACATATGCAAACCCCAAGTTCTACGCAAAGATTTTCGACATGATCAGCAAGAAAAGCTCAGTCGCATATCTACTCTTCGGTATGTACTCGGGTGTGAAAACGAAAGGACCATGCCAGTTGATGACTAACAGCTCTGGTATAGGCGATGGCTGGATTGCCAAGCAAGTCAAGCAGTTGCTGCAAGAGTCTGGCAAGACTGTCGCTACCTCTTTCGCAAGACTGGAACAGCGAGAGGAAGTAATGAGGCACATACAACCCACAAAAAATGACAATTAAACTATCTCAGCCAGAACAGCTTCTAATTTGAGCACGCACAGGGATCTTCAAATGTATGCCCCAAGCCGTGTCATGAACTTTGCCGGGATACGTGGCCTGCCGAATGCCGACTGGTGCGAGGACCACAAGGTTGAGACTGCGCGATCAAACATCCTGGGTGTGATGAACCTGGTCGATTGTTGCTTTCTTCTTGGCATACACATCACTCAGTTCGGGTCAGCTTGCATCTATGAACACGACCTTGATCACCCAGTCGACACCCAATTTAATGAAAAAGACGAGCCCTTTTACGCTGGCTCCTTCTACTCGTTTACCAGACTGATTAGCGAAAATGTATGTCTTAGCCGGACAGCGATATTTTTTCATGTTTACTCATAACTAATCTCAAAACATTTCAACTGCAGGCCATCAAGCACTATCCAAATCTTCTCCTTCTTCGTGTCCGAGCACCAATCGCTGCAAACCTGGATCCAAATAACCTTCTTACCAAACTTTTGGAGTATAAGAAGATTTTGAACATACAAGCGGTAGGCTTACAACGAGCAATTTCAAACTACTTAGTACATGTCTAATGCATCCTACAACTCGTAGTCTGGTACCATACTGCCCGACTTGTTGCCCGGAGCTATATTGCTTTCCGAAAATCTTGAGACCGGTATATATAATTTAGTATGTCTGTTTTTTAAGAAGTTCTCTCGAAAACTATTATCGGTGTTATTTTCTTAGGAAATGTTGCCGAGAGTTTACTGACAATGGCTGCCTACAGATCAGTCCGCAACCTTTCACCAATAACCAGATCCTGTCCTTGGCCAAAAAATACATTCGCCCTTCGCTTTCATGGGAGAACTTTGAGCTGGAAGACCAGAAGGCAGTACTGAAGGCTCCGCGGTGTAATCCCATCTTTGACACGACAAAGCTTGTCTCAAAACTTGGTGATCTGGGCTACCGAGTGAAGGATACGCACGATGCTTTGGAGGACATGTTCATCAATATGAGAGCGCAAAGATACTCTTGAATACGACCTACACCACCCATTTTTGATGGCAATAACAAGTCTTGGCCGGTAGGAAAGCAACAAGGGTGTGTTCACTAAACAGAAAAGTACAAAAACAGACAAGCTAGCTTTCATTCAATATATTCATAACAGCTAACCTTGAAATCTTCAATATATATACTGAGACAATTTCAGTATTTAGTATTTTTAGTATTTTTTTTCTTATTAAAACAACTTCATTGAGACGATCTTGGATAACTAGCGCATTGTGACAATTTGCTTGTTAAGGGTGTACTTAAGCAGGCTGAGTAAGTCAGGCAGAAGAGGATGTATCCTAGTAACAGGAGGAAGAAGCGGTATATATCGGCCTTTACTGCCAACAATCCGAAACTTGTTCCAACTTTTCTTGACCGCTATCCAGAGGGGCTTTCAGGCGCCAAATACGGAAGACAAGGGAACCCGAGACGTGCCAGTTTGTCGACATCGTTCCACCGGGTTGTGTTTCGGCGCAATCGACAGCAAATCAGGACGACGTCGCGTACGTGCTGCCAGAGAGGATGAGCGCCGCCGCAGCTGCCGAAGCGGCCGTGGAGAGGCCGGCGATGGCGACGAGCCCGCAATTCGTCTTCTTCACCGACTTTGACGGCACGATCACGTTGCAGGACACCAACGACTTCATGACGGACACGCTCGGGTTCGGGCCAGCGCTGCGCAAGCAGGGCAACGAGGACGTGCTGCACGGCCGGCGCAGCTTCCGCGACTCGTTCCAAGAGATGATGGACTCGATCGTGACGACGCCGTACCGCGATTGCATCGCGCTGCTGAAGCGGGAGATCCGCATCGACCCGGACTTCCAGGCCTTTTTTGACTGGGCCGAGGGCGCCAACGTGCCGATCGTCGTGCTGAGCGGCGGCATGCAGCCGGTCATCCACGGACTGTTGGCACACTGGCTCGGCGAAGAAGCCGTCGCGCGGCGGCTGCAGATCGTCAGCAACGGGGTCGAGGCCCGTCCCGGCAAGCGGCTGTACGAGGACGCCGCGGGCTGGCAGCTCGTCTACCACGACGATAGTCCCTTTGGCCACGACAAGTCGCTCGAGATCCGCAAGTACTCTCACCTGCCGCCGGCCGAACGGCCCACCATCTTCTACGCCGGTGACGGCGTGTCCGACCTCTCGGCTGCCCACGAGGCCGACCTCATGTTCGCCAAGGCCGGCCGCGACCTCGTCAGCTACTGCCAGCGCGAGAGTGTGCCGTACACCGAATTCGACAGCTTCGCCGACATCCACAAGACCGTCCAAGCCATCGTTGAGGGCCGGAAGACTGTGGCTGATGCCATCAACAAGTCATAGCGGTTGCAAGGAAGGAGTAGAGGGATGGAGGGGACGGATCACTTTCTGGAGGCCTTATTCCGGTTCTCATCCTTTTTGGTTGCTAAGCTTGGAAGACTAAGATCTCTATGTAAGGCATCCATCTAGAGACACGCTTTCACTATTAATTCATAGACCTCGAATCATCGAGAAAGAAAGAAGATCAACGTGCAAGCTCCTACTCGTAACTATCATCAAGTCTACATTCTTATATTCTCCACTTCATGTCTATAGTTTTAACTCAGTCGGCTTCCGCAATACCGGCACATTGTACCAAAACACAATCATAAAGGCGAACAACGCCAGGGCTATGGGATGCAGCACGAACGTGCCAACCGCTTGGGCCAGCACGCCTGTGATGAAGGGCGCCGCAGCACCGCCAGCACTACCAAACGCAGCTGTGATGCCGATGCCAGTCACGCGCTCGCGGTGGTTCATGCTGCGCATCAGAACCGCGGCCGCACACGGGTAGACGGGTCCCAACAGCAGGCCGACAATGGCAACGGCAACGGCATCCCCGATGACGTTGGGAACGAACCACACCAGAAGCTCGAATATAGCCGAGCCGACAACACAAAGATACACAGCACGACGCTCGCCAATCAGGTGGGCAGGCCCGGCCAACAGGAACCGACCGAGCGTGATGCCACCCCAGAAACCAGACGTGACATAGCCGACGTTGGGCTCGTGACCACCACGATCGGCAATTAGGAACGATGTCACCCAGCCGGCAATCGACACTTCGGCGCCCTGGTAGCACATGATGAACAACGCGCCCAGAAGGACAACTCGGGACATGCGCGCCGAGAACACTGCCAAGAAGGGAGACATATGTGGACGCTGTGGCCGTTGCCGAGCGCGCGTCGATCCATTGGCAGAATTAGCAGCAGCAGAGATGGCGGCTGCAGCGGGAATCGGGGTGCACGCGCGGCCGACAGGTTCTGTCATGAACCGTGTGGTGGATGAGTATGACATGGCCGGCGTCGGGTTGACCGTGGACGCCTGCAGCGGTGTCGGCGCAGGCCGCGAGGATGTCGGTACGAGGGACAGTGACTCAGGCGACGGGGCTCGTGAGGCTGCCTGCGAGGCAGCGCGTGAATGTCCGCGCCAGTTCCGGCCGAGAGTCCGTTGCTGCCGCTGCTGAGACAAAGACGGAGACTCCGTCAGCACACCAGCGTTGGACAGTTCCAAGGCCGCACCAACTTGATTATTGTCGTCCTTCTCGTAGCCCGCGAAGCTCCAGCCAGCGGCAACGGCTGTAAATAACATGATGCCACACGGCACAAAGTAGTAATACGAGTAGGCGGCTGCAGTCTTGTTGTCCGGATTGGCGGCCGCTCCGGAGGCCACGGCCAGGGCAGTGGCAATAAGAGGGCCAGAAATGCCGCCGATGCCGTATGAACCGTGCATCAGGCCAAGGGCGACGGTGGTCTGGCGCAGGTTCGCGCAGAAGGTGTTGCCCATGGCCAGGTTGAGGGCCTCGCCAAAACCGACAGCGAAGTAGCCGATGACGATGGCCGGGAACGGCGCCTTCGTCGTGAGGATGGGGATGCAGCCGGCAGCCATGAGCAGCTGCGAGAAGACAAGCGTGCGGCCACGTCCGAGGCGACGACGGATTAAATCCACAACGGGCGCAGCCATGATAGAGCCAAGGGCGAGGCCAACGAAAATGAGCGACACAATCGCATAGCCAATGCCAAAGTGCCTGAAAGTCGAGTCAGCTTCGACATATCGCGTACAGGAAGGAGACTGGCAGCTACCTCTCAATGTAGGGGAGAACAGCACCGGCGGCACTGTCGTTCAGCCCGTTGGCAAAGTTGATGAGCGAGATGGTCGCCAGACGGAAGCGATTCATGTACGGATCCCAGATGCTCTGCAGGGCCTCCACTCCATCGGCCTCGTCGCCGCTCAAGCCGTTGCCGTTACGGCCGGGGCTGCCTGGGCTGCCGGGATCGTCATCTTCGATATCTCCCAGTCCGGTAGGCGTCACCGGACGACTGCGCTCGAGGTCGCTGGCATCAAAGGCCTCCCGATTGCTGCGCTGCTCATACTCTCTGGCGCTGGACTCCTTCAGCGGCACGGCTGCGTATATGCGGGAGATGGCCTTAGCCGGCCGTGTAGGGACATCGAATTGACGGGTATCTGTCGACGTCGACGTCGTTTCCAGAGCTGGAGCCGACGAGGACTCGATGCTGATAAGCTGGTGCATCATTCTGGAAGAGAATCGACCAAGAACGAGGACAAAAATTTGGTGAAGGTCGAGTGGAAGCGTTTTAAAAAAAGTTAAGCGAAACGGAAGGAGCAGCCGTCAGGGTAAACAAAGAAACAATGGAGCAATGGAGCAATGGCACTCTCGAACAAGGGCAAGAGGCACAGTGGTCCTCATGATGAACCAAACCCGGGGCAACAGCCAAGTTTGTAAGCCCAACCCACTAGCAGTTACAGACATTCGAGAATTTCTAAGCCGTGCGGCCGCATATTATTTGACAGGATGTCATGCGCGACGGACTTTCCGAATTAGGTCAGTCCGATTTACGAGCAAAGTTTATGGTCACAAATGTCCCTCCGGCTTCTTCCCGCTCCAAAGTATGGCAGGAGATTGCGCAGCCATTGGTGGAACGGCACTTCGTGAGCTCACAGGTGGTATGACAGAGATAACAGACACGTCGACTGCAGGGCTCATGCAACCGGCTGATCTCATCGTCCGGTGTCGGCAAGCAAGACTCGGTGAAGGCAAGTATTGAGTACGAGTACGATACCTAGCCGGACCTGAGATAGCGTAGAGTAGAGCGTAACTGCAGATCATGCGAGGTCGCTGGCCTGCAGTCATGTATTTCTGGTACATCCAGCCAAAGAAATGTACCTGGAAAAAAGAGGTTAGTTTGAACGGGGTCCACAGGCACAAGAAGCATGAAAGCCTTTGAAGACACCAAAAGGCCAGGTGAGTAAAAGCTGTGCCTGGCGAACAGAAGTCCTGGATTGGGTGGGCATGTCAAGTGGTCCGAGCGCCCGATTTAGTACATTATTTTTCCTAAATTTCTGCAGTGTGGAATTTCACAGGCAATGCAAACTGCGTTTCAATTGGAACGGACACCGTCATCCAGGCCAAACTTTCAACTTATACCTTGCCTGAATGCAGCCATGGGGCGCTCTCGCCGAATCCTCCACGCGGCTCTCGAGGAGTCTGCCACTCCGCCGGATACCTTGGCGCCAACACAGTCGTTGGCTCGTGTCATTCAGGCCGAGGGCAACAATCTGTACAGCTGCCTGTTGCCAGCCAGCAATGCGACGACTGCTGCTGTTGACACCGACAGCAAGGTGTTGGTGGAGCTCGATGCCCGCTTCCGCAACACCGTCTTCATGCGACGAGGCGGTTATGTGCTCGTGGACCTGGAGAGCGCGGGTGCGCTCAAGGAGGCCGGACGTCGGGTCATGGGCCAGATCGTGAACGTGGTGCGCGACGAGAAGGCGTGGCGGAAGCAGAAATACTGGTTAGTGCTTGCTGGATCTGATAGTTTTTCTGGAATGTCATATCTGACCTCCAGGCCGCGCGAGTTCGCCAAGGCTACGGTGGAGACCTCGGACGATGAGGAAGAGTCCAACATGGGCAAGATGCCACCCAGCGATTCGGAAGACGAGGAGTGAAAAGAAGAACAGAAAAAAGAGGGAAAAAGAGTCAAGCTGGGCTGGCCATAAGAGAACCTAAGGGAACGAGCACTGGGTGGTAGCGTCTATGGCTTTCCCTTTTACTTCTATTCTGCAACTCTGTCTATCGTACACACTCGCCGTTACATCTCCGCAGACTTTTTCCTCTTGACGGCCTCATCCTTTTCGAGCGGCAGCACCTGTCGGTACTCATCAGTGGCGCCCCACCAGGTTAGCGCGACCGTGACAGCCAGGATGCCGACGACGACGGCTGAGCTGAGCGGCGTGCTGGGGAAGACGTTCCAGGCCCATTCCTGCAGGGCCCAGAGGCCGTACTGCACGAGGGGATGGGCGCCGGAGCGCCACAGGAGGTACGGCGTGGCCCAGGCGAGGTAGGCATAGAACTGGTAGTGCAGCGATCGGGCAGCTAGCAAGCCGACGACATTGGCTGTCAGTACGGTGGTGGCGATGTAGCGCGGCGAGGCAGCCGAGCGCGCGAGCAGGCGCTCTTCGCGGTCGGTAAAGGGCAGCCGGCGGGAGGCTAGCACGGTGTGGACGAGCGATGCGGGTGAGCGGCCAGTCGGGCGCAGCCAGCGGGTGGTGGCAAAGACGGCGAGCAGGGCGGCATGCAGGGCGAGCAGACCGAAGGCAAAGGGGCGACTGAGGAAGCGGGCCTCGCCGACGAAGCGCCAGTTGACGGTCCAGCGGAAGAAGAATTGGCGCGACAGCTCAAAAGCACGGCCAAGATAGCCGGCCGGGTTTGCGGCCAGAAACGGCACCGCGAGAGCGATCTGCAGCTGGGCCATGAGGCAGGCAGCGCGCAGAGCGCCGACAAAACCACGGCCAAGGAACAGCACCACACCGACGGCCGGCAGGCCGAGCAGTAGGCTCATCTTGATGCCGAGGCCCCAGGAGTAGGCGAGCGCGCCGAGCGTCCAGCGCTTCTGCTGCAGCAGGAGAATGGCGAGCCAGAGGAAGAGGGCGGCGAAGCCGTCATTAAAGCAGCGGAGTATGTAGATGCTGTGGAGCCGCTTCGATAGCACAAGCAGCGGAAGGACGTATGGGGGAGCCTGCGTGTCGACGAGAAGGTTAGCCATGTGAGCAGAAGAAAGAAGAGAGAGAAAACAAGAAACAAACGCACTCCTGCCTGCCAGTAGCAACGCATGACGACGGCCAGTGTGAACAAGTACAAGCCCGCAAATATCTGCTGGGCCAGCAAGATGTTGCTGCCTTGGTCGGTGAGGTAGTATAGCACCGAATATGTGTACACATGGGCGCCCGGATAGACCAATGGGCCGGTGCCGCCCTTCATCTGAGTGTAGTCGCGCTCGCCGGCGACAAACTGGCCGACCTGCTCCATGTATGCGACCCAATCGATTTCGGTGTCTACTCGTGAGTACAACTGGTCAGCAGGTTCCGGAGCCAGGGGGAGTGCGAGGAATAGTGAATAGGAAGGGAGGGTAGCTGTATGGGCAACCTACACGGGATCTTCCATATGATCAGACAGCAGAGGACGGCGTCCAGCGCCAGCAGAGCCACAGGAACAAGCTTGGACAACGGACTGCGGCGGTTGGCGACATCGAGAACGAAGCGCACAGCCTGCGAGTAAATTGGCGGTCTGATCGGAGCCATGGTGCGGGCTAGGAGAGGGGGGCGTATGAATCGGGCGAGGACTGCTCTCTCGAGCCATAGAGCTTCTTTCCAGAAGACGACAGCTGGAGCGAATTCACGGGATTTTAAGGTGGGGTGTGGAAACGGTAAAGTGGGGACGTGTGGTTTCATTGCTTGGGTCTACTCGTCAACCAATCAGAACGGAATAATTAAAGCCTTCACTACGGAGTACGAAGTACGAAATTACATATTCCGTACTTCGTAGAGCACTCTCTTTTTACTTTTAGAAAAGGAGGGCACCTTCGAAACAATAATCACCTAGCTTTTACACTCCCATCCTTGCCTGGAACAGACCCACGACTGGCTGGCCAATATTGAGTAGTAGTACGGAGTGTTTTATTGAAATCAGACAGCTAGTCCAGACTATAAGGATAAGTACGAGCAAAATAGAGACATCGGGAGAATCTATTTGTACAAGAGAAGATTGCAAGAAAACACATAAGGGTAGTAGGATAGAGGACTAAAAGGGGACCAGGGGGGGTAACGGGTAAGTTATACGTGCATAGCCGCGTGTGTTCATTGAATTTGGGCTTTTATAGCCAAGTTTATCCAAACGTGCGGTCAAGAGTCCGTCTTTTCTGCTGGAAACTAACAGGTCGCTGCTTGACAAAATAAAGCCGCAGATATAACCACAGAGAGTGTGAACAGTATTGAAGATGAAGGACAGTTTACAGACAGCGAGATTGGCGTAATACTTTGTACAACGTCGTGGCACTAGTAAAGAAGGTCTAAAAGGACAGACCATGTTAAGCGGGTTATGCTGCAAGCGGTTTTCTGCCCCAAATAAAGTAGACAGGAAGGTAAAGATGGGCTTCTGGGTTCTTAAGATCCTTCTTCGCCTTGGCAACAAGCACCTGGATTTCATCGTCCTTCCAGTTAAGTACGTTGGACAAAATACCCGGCGTATACGAGTCAACGGCCTGTGTCTGCTGAACAACCTGGTATCTGCCAATGGTCTTCAGAGCTGGATCCTTTGGCCAGGCACCAATGGGCAGCTAACTGGATGTTAGCAAGCATATTTAGTTAACAGACTTAGACAGAAGAAACGAACCTTGCGGATATCCTGCTGGACATCAACAAAGCCAGCCGCGTTTATTTTGTCCTTGTACTCTGGGGCCGTGTCACAAGGCTTTCCAAACCTTGACAGTGCCTCAGTAATAAGTGACGCCCACTTGACAGAATGTGGTGCTTTCTTATCCGAGCCATCATCGGATACAAATCTCGACACGGAGGTTTGAATCTCAAAGTACCCGCCCGGGGCTAAATGCTCGTATGCGCGCTGTATAAGCTTGTCGATATCGGCAACAGAGCCTCCAATCTCGCGGGTGTGGATGTAATCAAACTTTCTGTTGTAGGTCCAATTATCTTCAAAGTCGTCAACCTCGAAGCTGCAGTTAGGGGCGGTCCTATCCAAGAGTAAGTCGTTTATAAAAGATATCTTATAAGAATAAGCGTCGCTGGACCAACATACCACTGTGGCTGAATAGGGCTTAAATCCGAGCCAAGTACTTCAGCCGAGGGATATTCGCTAAATAAAAACAGATTATTAGTTAGTAGCGTAGTTGGAGTTTTACAGAACAGGGTGTCTAACTCGGCAAACTCTAGAGCCCAAATACCAGTTCCTGTGCCTAGATCAAGAACGCGCTGGGGATGTTCGCTGATAGGAGCGAGATGGAGGGCGCCCTTCAGCAGCAGTCGGTAAATATGGTGGACTAGGTCCATCCGCTCTTGCTCTTCGTTGTCGTTAGGCTGTCACGCTGCGTGTTAAGAACGGACGTGGTCATCAGAAGGGCCATGTCGTGATAACGTACGATCAGATAGGAACCCTCTCGAAATGCATGGTAGCGACGCCCGTTCTATCCCGTAGAGCTTGACATTAACACCTTGACGAGTACGAAGTACTCTGCAAGATCCTTTTTTCCCGGAACAAACCTCGTATCTGTAAATCAGTCAGCGTCAAGTCTTATCCTATGCCCCTGCCCCACGACAGAGGAAGAAAAGCTTGCTTGTAGTTTAAGATGCTTGAGTTCAGGGACGAAACAAAGCTGCCGGAGGCGTTCCTAAGGGGCTGGTCAGACCTCTTCATAATGAAACGAGTCTACCGGTTCCGGGACCTACGAAGCACCATCGTCGTAGCCTGGATCATCGTCGCGAATCTAGGTGATTTTAGTGTGTGTGACTAAAGATTGCACTAAGGGTAGAATGAGTGCTCGCAGAAAGGCTGTATCTACTCACGCTGTCCACCTGCACCAGGCCCTGTTCAACAGTATCTTCAGCCATGAGGTCAACCTGTATTGAACGTCTCTACGTCGCTATCGAGAACAAGCAGAGGTGGACATAAGGAGGGATGGAATATTATCGCACCACAATATGGAGTATCGTATATATACGGAGTACTCCGTACGAGTACATATCTGTCGTATATAAGATACAAAAGGTGGAGCATAGAACACTAGCGGAATTAAAAAGAACGATCACAGACCGTTATTCCCGCCTGTCAGTCCTTTCGGCTCCGGTCTTTGACTTCTTAAGTACTCCGAATCTTGCGAAGCTATTGTCGGTCAAGGACCCGTTATACAAACCCTACCACACCACGCCAGTATGTCCCCTTCCACTTTTCTTCTCTCTCTCTGTTTCTCTCTTTCTATTTTGTGGTTTCAATAGCCAGTCGCTCTCATATCCATAGCAGACTGCAACGTAAGTGTTCTGCTTTTTAGAATCGACGAGGCGTCTCAGGGCGTGCACACAAGATACAACAGATAGCCATTTTAGTTTTCAGCAAATTGGCTTTGCCGCCACATAAATACATATTTTAGGTTTAGTTGCTGTTTTTCTCTCCATTCAATTTCTGTCACAACTGATGCTTATGGCAGGGGTAGCGGTGCACTGTATGGGGTCTTCACGATGTGGCTGATGATCTGTGTGTTGTAACTAGCTAGGAGAGGGTACATGGCGCGCCTTCACTGGTGCAGAGATTTCACTAGGGCTGGTCCCCACTTTTATCTGTCTGACCAATGAGAGGCCGCGTTGCTGGCATTAGTCAGAACGATCACAGTGCGCTCCATTCTAGAGCTTCACAATTTCTTCTTACAGCTTTGCAGACCCATCTTTTCGTATGAACGTAAACAGTGTTTCAATACGGATAAATTAATATGTAGTAAGATGCAATAGTCTAAGCCGTTTCCGTTTTTCTCACAGAGACGCCTTGACAGTCCTGGCGGCGCTGGTCTTGGCGATAACCTCGTGGACGAGCTCGACGACGTGCTTGGAGCAGCCGTACGAGCCCTGGTAACCCCAACCGGCGTGACCGTAGTTGTGGACGATCCAGGGGCCGTTGGGGCTGCCAGGCAGCTTTTCGGCCTCGATGCGGACGCCGCCGGCACGGTAGGGGCGTAGGCCGACGCCATGACGGACGATGCTGAGGTCACAGGCGCGCGTTCCTCTGCGGCGCAGCTGTGGGTGCTGCTCGGCGATGCGGGCGAGGATGCGGGCGGCCGTGTTGGGGTCCGGCTGGCCGTCCCAGTTGCCGACCTGGTACGTGCCGCCGACGATGGTGCCACCGCCACAGGGCCGCTGCATGGAGTAGAGCAGCTCGCCGGGAACGCCATCGCCGGCGCTGGACGTCACCAGCATCGGCTCCAGCTCCTCGCGGATGACTACGACCTGGCCGCGTGCCGGCTGCACGGCCGTGTCCTCGATGCCGCCCAGCCGGCAAGCCAGCAGCCCGCTGCAGTTGACCACGATCGTCTCGGCCGGCCGTGTCTGCGGGTTGAGTGCCGTCGTGCCGGCCGGCGTCACCAGCAGCCCGCCGTACGCGGCCGCCTCCTCCACGTGCGCCAGTACGGCCCGCCGGAAGACCACACCCAGCGCCCGGCACTGGCCCACCAGCCAGGGAAGGTACAGCATCGTGTTGATGCACACGGACGTGAAGGTCGCGCCCGACCGGATATCCGGCGGCAGCTCCGACGCCGCCAGCTCGCGGTAGTCGTCAAACAGGTCGCGGTACCACGGGTTCTCGTAGAAGAGCGCGTCCGATAGCCGCGGCTTGTCCAGGTCCACCTGCCGCCGCCACAGCGTCGCCCCTATTGTCGTCGTCCGCGCGTCAGCAGCTGCGTCGTCTTCGGCTTCGTCTCGTCGGCCCGCCCAGCTGCGCACCTACTCTGAAAGTGTATGCCGGCCTCCGGCACCGATTCGGCTAGCCGCTTCAGCTCCGGCCAGGTCTCGCGCTCGTATCGGCTGTCGGCCTCGTGACTCATCCTGTTCAGGCGCAGAGAAGGCAGTCAGTCTCGGGCAAGCCTTCTTTCGAGATAAAGAGGGGCATCGCGTACGGCAGCACGTTAGCACCCGCCCATGGCGATGTGTACTCGGCATCGTAGTCGCCTGGCATGTGGCGTGCGACCACGGTGACCGTGTTGGCCTTGTCGCGGGCTAGCAACAGGGCGGTCGTGAGCCCGGAGACGCCGGCGCTGTGATCCGGGTGGAATCAGCAGATGTGTGTGTGTGTGTGTGGAAGAGAGAGCGAAAGAAAAAGACAAGCGTACCCAATTACCACAATGTTGGGCATTCTGTTTTTTCTATGCGGCCACAATTGCAATCGGAATACTCACAGCTCTAATCATTCAATGCGTCGTGAAAGCAGCTGGCGCAGCAGTACAATAAGTATTGGACGTTTCCCGACGGAGAATCGCGACCGTTTCAACAAGATAAGAGCTACAACCCCAGACAAGATACAGGCGGCTACGGAGCCGACAGATGGCCAGACAACAGCGGGGCGTTTAGATAAGCGACCCCCGAGCCCGGATGGCGTCAGCCAAGCACGATTGCGGGCAGCAATGGCGGTCTGACGGGGTGGACACAGCTAGTACAGTTACATGCGCTGCAATTGCTTTTATTTCGACACTTTCGCACAGTCTATTCCATATATGTATATCATCATGCCTGCGAGGGACAACCTTAAAAAAAACGGGGATGCTACCAAAAAATACAAAGATAAAGACACATTCTGAAGAGGGAACCTGATTCGCGGTCGGAAGCCACGACAGCAATCCCCACAGCCTAGTTGCTCTTCTTCAACGCCTGCAGCAGCTCGGCGGGCGGGTCCTGGCGGTAGCCCTTGGGGTTGTTCTTGACCCACCGCCACAGGTCGTTGCAGGCGTCCTCCATCGTGAGCTCGGTCTTCCAGTCGAGCTCCCTGTTGGCCAGTGAGGCGTCGGCAGTCAGGTCCAACACGTCGCCCTGGCGGCGGGCCACCACAGTGTAGGGCATTTCGCGGCCGACGGCGCTGTTGAAGGCCTTGATGATCTCGAAGACGGTGCTGCCGCGGCCAGAACCGAGGTTCCAGGCCCGCAGACCAGGCTTCTTTTCGCGCAGGTACTTGAGCGCGGACAGATGGCCGCGGGCGAGATCGAGCACGTGAATGTAGTCGCGGATGGCCGTTCCGTCACGCGATGCGTAGTCTGGAGGTCAGCAGGCAGTCCGGGAAGTGAAGAGTGGCAGAAAGACGTACCGTCACCAAAGACGAGCAGCTTCTCGCGGTCGCCCGTGGCGACCTTACCGAGCAGCGGTAGCAGATTGTAGGGCACGCCCTGAGGATCCTCGCCCATGAGGCCGGAGGGGTGGGCGCCGCCAGGGTTGAAATAGCGCAACAGGGCACCGTTCCAGGCGTCAAACGGCTTGCCGGCCTTCTTCAGGTTGTTGCGCTGGGCGTTGATGAAGTCGGTGATGACGCTCTCAATCATCAGCTTGGTGCGGCCATACGTGTTCGTCGGACCGGTCGGACAGGTCTCGGGGATGGGAATCATGTTGGGGAAGCGGGTGGCGTCGCCGTAGACGGTGGCGGAAGACGAGAAGACAATGTTGGGCACGTTGTGCTTGGCCATGATGCGCATCAGCGTGATGCTGCCGGCCACGTTGACACGGTAGTATTCGAGGGGAATCTCGCCCGACTCGCCGACGGCCTTGAGCGCGGCAAAGTGGATCACGCTGTCGATGGCCGGATGCGCCGCAAAGACAGCGTCCAGAGCGGACTCGTCGGTCACGTCGACCTTGTGGAAGACGGGGCGGCGACCACAGATGAGCTCGATGCGGTCCAGCGCCACCTCGGACGAGTTGTAGAGGTTGTCGACAATCACGACATCGTAGTCGTTCTGGAGCAGCGTGAGCGCCGTGAAGGAGCCAATGTAGCCGGTACCACTGGCAGAGACATATATCAGTCAGCAATTGCTGTGGGAGAGAAAAGGGCGGCAGTGGCCGGCATGCGAAATCAGGACAGGATCTCCTGTTCAGCACAGAGCTGGCAGAGACAAGGAGATAACGAGGGGCACTCACCCGGTCACCAGTACTGTTCCGACGACCATGTTTGCGATTCTGCTTGTTGGCGTGCGCGGGAGAGAGAGTCTGTAGAATTCGAAGAGAGAAGGGGCAGTCGACGAGGGCGAGAGGTGCAGGTTATACCATGTAGCAGAAAAAGGATTCCCGGTCGAGAGGGGCAGCTGAACCTTGAACGTTTCAATATTTTGCTCGTATTATACTAAAGAAACGGCCCTTGCGCTAATTGTCAGTACTGTGCTCGTAAAGGCTGACGAACAGCTTCGGGAGCCAGTGGAGACTGCGCTGAGCTGATGGCGTAGGCCTTTCCTAGTTCAGAATATAGCAATTTGCGAGACAGCACTAGGCCGCCTGCCCGAACACCAAGTATTGGATCTCTGCTTCCTTTTGCTCCTGCATGGTCCCAAATGAGGCGCTCCAGCTGTCAGCTCGGTGTCCGGTATGCCATAAATAGCGGCAAGCTGGCTCCTGGAACCCGCACAGTGTGCCGGACGGGTGGAGCAAGCCGCAGACACGAGATGGAGACAATTGTATCCTGACGAGGGCCGGTGCATCTCGATGTCTCGTAAAGCTCGTGTTTTGTCTGGCCATGTAGTCACGGAAGTGCAGGCAAGCAGGCAGGCACAGGCTCAATGTCTTTAGCCTGAAGACGCTGGGGCGATGGCACGTGAGAGCATCTTCAGCGGGGGCGCCAGGCACACTATATAGTAACGTTCTGCGTGGGGCGGGGCTTCCAGGCTAGGCCGCTTACGACATACACGAGTACGACATCAGGTAAGATACGATACCATGTTTATATGCATATACTCACCAGGAGCATAATCCAAAAGGAAACGACCCCAAAAAAGGAACGAGGAAATGAGCCGACCGAGCTTCCCCAGCCTCTCGCAATCCTTGTCCGAGCTCACCCGCCACAGCCAGGCGCCTCTGTTTTCGGCAGCCCGACAAAGACTGCTCGAAGGCTGAAAGGAAAAAAAAAACAAGACATGGCATGCATCTGGCCACCAGCCATCTACTAAGAACAGGCCTATTGTTTGGGCGCCATTTTGCTGTCGTTGGTTGGGTTGAATGGTTGGGCCACCGTTTCCGGGCCTCATCGGCAACAAAGAAAGTTCGTGCTGTCTGCACTCCCCCTCTTCAGATCACCGTCATCCATCTGCGATTTTCTTCTTCTCATCACCCATACGTGCCTCATTTGTGTTTTTGCAGACAGCCAGCTCCAGCAGCGCAACAGCCCAACACACCTGATAGAAGCAGCCATGCCTCCACGACGCTCGAACCGCATGGCGTCCAGCCGGCTCTTTGACGGCAGCTCCGAGGCCGGTGGCCCGGTGGACGGCATGACCTCGCCGATGCGCAGTGCCGTGACTGGCCGGGGCATGTCGCCTGGGCCGGCCAAGTACAGCTCTGCGTACGGCTCACCGCCGACCGTGATGCCAACCCGTCAGAATGCTGCCCGACAGCGGTACAGCCTGACCAGTGCGCTGAGCCGGGTCATCGATACGGTCGACGACGACAACGAGAACGACTCGCGCGAGCGGGCACAGCGCGAGGCCGAAGAACAGCGTCGAAGGCAACCCAGCATGCCGGTGCCGGAGCCAGAACCAGAGCGAGAGCGAGAGCGAGAGCGAGAACGAGAACGAGAACGGGAACCAGACACGGGGCCGGAACCGGTGGCAGTGCCTGAGTGGCACACCGACCCGGACGAGGACGACGGGTACGTGGCGATCGATAACAGCGAACGCCGTGAGGAAACGGACAACTCGGTGGACTTTGTCTCGATGCCTGGCGACAGGGGGCGGCCAAAAGATGGTCACAAGAGCATGACGCCCGAACGGCAAGGCGACACAGCCACACACAACTTTGCCGAAGAGGACAGCATCTTTGCGCAGGCGCGCATCTTCACGCCCGTGCTGCCGTCGCGAACGGGAGTGGTCGCCCGAACATCGCACGCGCTGCAGAGCCTTCTCAACTCGGCCCGGCGGCTCTCGATACGGCGCGACGAGTCGGATGACGAGGCCGTCCGACAGGCATATCCACATCTCAACTTTATCCATCCGCGTTCGGACCAGGAGCCGGAGCCGGAGCCTACACTGTCAGAGAAGCCTGTTGACGCAGCGGTGGCGAGTGATCCGATTAGCACGGACAGCCCTGGAGATCCTGAAGAGAATCAGCAGCAGCCGCAACCGATTTCCCGGACCGACATTGTACGCGACCTCCGACCAAGGACAGGCACTCCGGGGCCGATTGTGCGGACGAGAAAGACAGTTCCGAGGAATATGCGCGGCTCGACCTCGGACGAGCTGGGTGATTACGAGGTTGAGGCCACGGCGGCCGCGCGCAGCAACATGGCGAGAAGACGGCAGGGAAGGAAACAGACGGACCCCCAGGCAGCCAACCAGGACGACGACGATGGGGACAAGTCACGGCAGGCGTGGTGGCAACGGATGGTGGCGGCCATGTGGCACTTCACAATGCATGTCGGGTCGATTAGCAAGGCGATGTCCTTGGCGATCACGCTGCTCGTGCTGGGGGCAGTGGCGGTGCGGGTGCTTGTGATCTCGACAGCGTCGCCGGAGCTGTACGAGGGTTATAGCATGGACAAGCGGCTGCACTGGTACGGGAGTGACTGGCGCAGCAATCTGGGCCAGCTGGTACCATATGCGCTGGTGCACCCGCTAGGCGCGCTCAGCGACGAGGAGTTCGCGCGGATGAACGGGCTGATGCTGGGCCACGCGAGCGAGCTGGCACAGATGCGCCATGCCCAAAGTCTCCAGGGTGACGCGCTGGACCGCATCGGGCGGGTGTTGCCGGCGGTGGTGCACATGGAGCTGGACAAGCGTGGACGGCCGGTGATTGCGCAGGAGTTTTGGCACGCGCTCAAGGACAGCATCCAGGCAGACCAGGACATCTTCACGCTAATCCAGCGAGAGGACGGGGCGCCGGTCATCTCAGACCTGCAATGGACAGCGCTGAAGCACCAGCTAGAAGCGTCGAGCCTGTTGCCAGACCCCAAGGCCGGGTCTATGGCGCTGTCGGTGCACGACGTGGAGGAGATTGCCGAGACAACCATGGCCAAGTCGTGGGAGGCCTGGCTGCGACGCAACCAGAATAAGGTCCGCGATATCCTGACCGGTATGGGCGGGTCGGCCTGGTCGCCCGACGCACAGCAGCAGCAGCAACAGCAGCAACAGCAGCAGCAGACGGACCTGTCGCTGGAGCGGCTGACGGACAAGCAGGTGGCCAAGCTGGCGCAAAAGATGATGGGCTCGAGCGCGGCGCGTGAGGTGATCGTGTCGCGGCAGGAGTTCTTGCAGATCCTGCAGAACAATTTTGTGGAGCACCGGGTAGAGATCAAGGGCGAGCTGGCCGAGCTGGAGGCACGCGTGCTGGAGGTAGCCAAGGCAGCGGCAGCAGCAGTGCCGTCGTCGTCGGGAGCAGACGCGGGCACGGCGCCATCGTCTCGAGAGTCGCTACCGGGAGGCAGCATGAGCCGGAAAGAGGTGACGCAGCTGGTGGACCAGCTGGTGCGCAAGGGTATCAGCGATGCGCAGCTGGAGGCGATGGCACGCGGCAAGATCCGAGCGGACTGGAACGCCAATCTGATCAACCAGGTCAACTTCTTTTCGCGCAGCACGGGTGCGACATTCAACCACCACTTCTCGAGCCCGTCGTACCAGCCGGCGCTGCCGTCGGGCTGGAAGCGGCTCTGGGGGGGCGGACGGAGCGACGGAGGCGGCAGCGGCGGTTCAGGCGGCGGTGGTGGCAGCAGCGGTGGCAGCGACAGCAGCGACGACAGCTCGATGGCCGGACGGCCGATGCCGGGCTCGCAGCGCGGCTCGGTCGTGTTTGAGCCATGGGAGCAGGATGGCGACTGCTGGTGTGCAGCACAGGGAAAGAGCCGGCAAGGCGAGGGCAGCGGATCGCGGCCAGCCAGGACGCAAGCGGCCAGCGTGGCCGTCAAGCTGGGCCTGCGCGTGGTACCGCAACACGTGGTGGTCGAGCATATCAGCGCCGGGGCGACGCTCGATCCTGGGGCCACACCCAAGGCTATCGAGGTGTGGGCGCAGATCACCGACTACGCACAGCAGCGGCCGCTGCAAGACTGGAGCCTGGCCCGATTTCCCGATACGGACGAGCGCAGCCCGCTCTTCGGCTGGGGCTTTGTCAAGATCGGTGCCTTCTCGTACGAGCAGGCGGCCACGGCCGGTGATGGCAGCGTGCAGGTCTTTCGGCTGCCACCAGAACTGGAGACGTTGGATGCTGTGACTGATCACGTGATTGTGCGGGCGCTCTCCAACTATGGCGCCGACCACACGTGCTTCTACCGGCTGCGGCTGTACGGACAGGTGCGGCCAGACATGGTGTAGGCTGGAGTGTGTTTCGTCAGCTCTTTGGTAGCTGTTCTCTCGTTTTTGGGCGTTTTGGGTCAGGAAAATACCCCATGCAAGACTGCTGCAGGCCGGGGCCTATGGACGTCCCGGCCTTCCCTTCCCTTTTGTTGTTTCCTTGTTGTTCCGGTGGATGGCATGATACGGTGTACGTGCATATGTGTATGTGCGTGCGGCTGCATAGATGCATACAACCGGATAGAATACTATTTGACTACTATGTAATTTCTCCAACGCCCATGCAGATGCAAAACAAGAACGGACAACAGGTCTAGCCGTCCAGCAGGCCAGCCGCCAGCGCCTCGAGGTCTTCGAGCTTGTCGGGCATCTCGGCGACATCGATGACGCGCTTGTCCTGGCGGGTCGTCTTCTTGGCCGTGTCGTCGTCGTCGCTGTCGTGGCGCTGGAACCACTTCTTCTGCTTCTTGGGCGGTGGTGCCGGCTCGTCGCTGTCGTAGCCGTCGCGCTCGCCGGCCAGGGGCAGTGACCGCAGCAGCGCGAGACCGTCGCTGCCGTCTTCGCCAAACTGGGGACCATCGATCTCGCCGTCGCTGCCGTCGTTGCCGTCGCTGCCATCGCTGCCACCCTGCTCCTCCTCTCGCTCGCGCAGCTTCCGCTTGAGTCGTTTGGCGCGCAGCCGTGCCTTGGCCGTGGCCTTGTCCTCGACGTCGCCCGAGCGGACCCGGTCGGCCTCCTGGTCGACAAAGCGCTGGCGCTGCTCCTCGGGCGCGCCCTGCTGTCGGAAGGCCGCCTCGTCCTGCAGCTCAAAGAGCGGGTGCGCGTTGCCGTCGTCGTCAAAGACGAGCTTCGAGCCCGTACCCTTGAATCGGAGCAGCTGCTTCTTCGACCGCAGCATCTTCTCTCGCCGCTTCGAGTCGATCACCAGCTCCCGCTCGCCGCCCAGCCGCAGCACCTTGGCCGTCGTAAACGTCGCCGCTCCGACCGCTTCCGCTTGTCCGTCCGGTCCCGTCTTTAGGCCTGCCGCTACCGCTAGCGATGCGTCGTCCATCACCCGCTTCGCCGAGAAAAAGTCGCCGCCCTCATCCGCTGCTGCCGCCGTCGGCTTGGCCTTGGCTGACACCGACTTGGCCTTGCGTGCTGCCTTCTCGCCCTCGTCCTCGCCTTCCTCCGATTCCGACTCCGACTCATTCCCAATCAGGCTTTGGTAGTGCTTCGTCAACACGTCCTGGTTGGTCCGCTCAAACATCCGCTGTGCCTTGGTCCGCACCTCGCCCTTCTTCCGCGTCTTGCCTTCGCCGTCGGATCCGTCCGACTCCGACCCGCTCGACAGCAGCGCCCGCGGCGCGTTCTTCAACCGCTTGATCTCGTCCGCTGCCGTCTCGCCGCCCTTGCCCTTGCGAAATCGGATCTGCGGCGCTCCCGCCAGACCCATGCTCTGGGCAAAGCCGTCCAGGTCCAGCTTGTCTAGATCAAAGACCTCCTTGTCCTTCTGCAGGTGCACCGACCGCGTGTAGCTGATAAACGCCTTCTGTGCCAGGTACTTGATGTCGTTCTGCTGGAAGCACATGTTCTGCAGCTGCTCCCGGATGCTCTTCTTCTTCTTCTCCCGCACATTCACCTTGTGGATCGGCACGTTCTTCTGCTGCAGTCGTCGCACCATGCCGTCCTCCTCGCTCGGGTCCAGGAACAGAATCGCCTTGCCCGCGCTCTCGTACCGCGCCGTCCGTCCGCTGCGGTGAATGTACGTGTCCGCATCCTCCGGGCAGTCCGCCTGCACCACCCAGTCGACCATGGGGATGTCCACGCCGCGCGCCACCACGTCTGTCGCGAACAGACAGGCGTGCTTCGCGGCCGAGAAGCGCGAGATGATCTCCAGCCGTGCCACCTGCTTCTGGCGCCCGTGCAGATGCAGCAGCTGGATGCCCGGCTGCAGGTGGCGGATCGCCTCGTATGCAAACCGCACCTGCTTGCCCGACGAGAAGAAGACGATCATCTTGCACTTGAGGTTCGCCCGGATAAACCCGTACAGCGTGTCGAGCTTCTCGGCCAGCGGCGTCACCACGTAGTGCTGCTGCAGCTGGCTGGGTGTTGCCGCCGCCGCCGCTTCGTGCACCGCAATGTACTCGGGGTCCTTCAGGCTCAGCCGTGCCAGGTCCGACACCCGCTTGCTCTGCGTCGCGCTGAACAGCAGCGTCTGTCGGCCCTGCGGCAGGTGCTCCACCAGCGCGTCCACCGCCGACTGGAACCCCATGTCCATGATCCGATCCGCCTCATCCAGCACCAGCATCTGCAGGTTGTTCACCTCCAGGCTGGCTGTCTGGTCTAGGTGCTGCAGCATCCGCCCCGGCGTGCACACCAAGATGTTCATCCGTCCAACCCGCTCTGCCTCCTCCTTCAGGCTCTTGCCTCCAATAACGAGTCCAGCCGAAAATCGGTGGTGCCGTCCGACCTTGCGCAGCACCTCAAAGATCTGCACCGACAGCTCGCGTGTCGGCGAGATAATCAGTGCACCCAGGCCGTCATACTCCGTCCACCGTGCCCGGTACAGTTTCTCTAGCACCGGCACCAGGAAGGCCAGCGTCTTGCCGCTGCCCGTCTTGGCTGCCCCCAGAATGTCGCATCCCCGCAGCGCTGCCGGGATCGCTTTGGATTGGATGTCCGTCAGCGTTTCGAAGTGTGAGTCGCGGAGGCCCATCTTCGTCGGTTCTGATAGCGGCACGTCGCTGAAATTCGTCGGCGTCGCCTTCAGGTCGAGCTCGTCAACAGCGGCTTGTAGCGATTCTATGCTTTGGATTTCTCGTTTTCGCTTCAGCTTTCGGTCATCCTTCACCACCTTTACCGGGCGGCTCTTTTGTTTTGACGTCTTCCCGGTTGGCGTTGCCATCTTGAGCAATATTCTAGGCTGTGCCTGTATGAGTATGGAATTCGTCTTATCCGACGGCCTGGTAGCTTTTTTTTTTCTCTTTTTTTTTTACCAACTGCTACTTTTTTGCCGCGATCCTCCTACATTTTTTGGCGGTGAAAATTTCTGCCGAGCGGTGACTTGATCCAGGGTATGCATGTACACAAATCTTGTGTCCGCGTATGTGCATACTGAAGCCCAGCTCAGCCAGGAACCAACCAATTCCGTTTAGCCGTAGTGGGCTGTTCTCGTATAACACATTAGCCTGCAGTCCTATCTGCCGTGTTAATGGAAACGGCGCAAGGAAGACTCCGTTAATTGTCGAGCTGAGGACTGGCAAGCGAGCATGCGTCCAGCCTAGCCTGCCTACATCATCCCACGCCGAGACAGAAACAGAAGGAGTTTGCTGTTTCCTACTTCGCGCAGCTGGTAATACCACAATTGATGTTTTTGGTAGCTCAACGGACGCCGTCTTCTGTCAACCCACTGCATGGGAAACTGAAAGGGAAGGCAAAATCCGGCTATGTTGGCACAAGACGTTGTCCTGAATTGAGGGCTGAGTGTCATCAAACGATGTGCAGCCCAGCGTTTGAACTAGCCCCAAACCTTTCAGTCCCCGAAAGCATCTGCGCAACCACCTTAGCTCCCAAAGGTCCGTTTTCAACCACGCTCTGTCCACGTGCGTGCTTTGTCGATACCTGTGTCTTAGTGCAGGCGCTGGCCATGGTCGGGTGTGCCTGTAACGAAGGAGAGCTATGCGTGTTGCAGCTCTTTGCCGCACTTGTAGATCGACAACGGTTAGCTATGGCATAGTCGAACTGTGTGACATCTGTCATACCTCAGAACGGTGCAATGGATGAAAAACGGCTGATTAAGGCACCAACATCCACGACGATGTCAGTGCTGTTCGTTTTCTGCGGGCGTTTGAGTCTGCTCGTTTGGCCGTTTCTTCTCCTTTCTCCTCCTCTTGTCTTGCCCTCGTCCGCCCTCCATGTCGCCACTCCTGCTCGCCTTTCTGTTTGCAGCCGTCGCCAGCCTCGCCCATCTCCAGCTGCCGACCTTCTTCTGCACCCTCGCCGACGGCTGTCACCCTGTGCGGACGAGCGTCGTAGCTGACGTCCTCGACATCCATTATGCGGCTGCTGGCGTGACGACGGCCAATGAATCGCTGACTCTGCGGCTTCTCGGCCGCGACAACCACACGCTCAGCCCGCGCGTGTATCTTCTGGCCGAGGCAGGAAGTCGGTACCAGCTCGTGCAGCTCGCACACCAGGAGTTGACCTTTGACGTCGACGTCTCGCACGTCGGCTGTGGCGTCAACGGCGCGCTCTATCTCGTCGAGATGGATGCCGCCGGTGGCCCGCTGGCCGACGCCTCGCATGGCACCGGCTACTGCGACGCCCAGTGTCCCGACTCGATGTCAGCTAGCCCTGCCGGCTCCAGTGGCTTTGTCGGCACATGCTGCAACGAGCTGGACGTCTGGGAGGCCAATCGTGACGCCACGGCACTCACTTCGCACGCCTGTCGTCAAAGAGGCCCCTTTTCTTGCGTTGATGACCAGTGTGGCAACAACAATAGCAGCAGCAACAGCAGCAACAGCAGCAGTCCCTGCGACAGAAACGGCTGCGGCATCAACCCCTTTCGTGCTGTCGACCCTTTTTTCTACCGGCCTGGAGGCTCCGTCGACACGCGTCGGCCCTTTACCGTCGTCACTCGCTTTGTCTCAGAGGACAACAGCACCACTGGCGATCTCGTCCAGATCCGTCGTCTGTACATCCAGGATGGCCGTCTCATCGCGGCCAGGTCGCCTGGCATCCCCCCCCTCACCGATGATGTCTGCTCCGACAGTGCCGATCGCTACGGCGGTCTCCGTGCCATCGGAAAAGCGCTTGCCCGTGGCATGGTCGTCGTCTTTAGCATCTGGGATGCTCCCGCCGATTCTATGGCCTGGTTGGACAGCGGCAGCGCCGGGCCCTGTGTCTCGTCGGCCGGCAGCCCCAACATCATCACCGCTAGCGACCCTGACGCTGCCGTGTCCTTCTCCAACATCCGCTGGGGCGACATCGGTGCCACTGTTCTGATCTCTCCCAATGGTTCTGTCGTGCAGAACCGAAAGGTCGCATCGTTGTCGTCGTCTTCGTCGTCGTCGTCTTCTTCTTCATCTTCACCCGCTCCATCCTCTCCATCCATTCCATCTTCCACCTCGTCTGCTCCCAAACCCATCGTCCTGTCATCCATAGCCGCCACCTTTGCCCTCATTTTGGGCTACCTATTCACTTTGCCATAACCAGACACACACAGAACACATAGATCTGAATTGATGCGGGTGGATCATGGAATGAAACCATCCCGAGCTCTAGGAAACGCCGTTCCCCCCAAAAGTAGCAGTAAAATCAAAATAGACGCAACACAAAAAGCTCCAAAGGTCCAAATATGGATAAATTCCAGCACTCCCAAAATTCCACACCCTCAGCCCCATGTGCCACCACCTCCGCCACCACGGCCACTCCGCTTCTGCGCACTGAGCCGCCAGTCGTCCTCTGTCTGGAACTTGTTGTACAGCGGCTGGATCCGCTCGGCCTTGCGCCGCCGGCTGAGCCGGTCGCTCGGCGACAGCTTGAAGAACGTCGGCGCCGCCTCCACCAGCCACTTGGGCTCGATCGACGTCGTGCACTGCATGTACTCCTTCGTCGTCAGCACCAGCGTGTCGTAGATCACCCACTCTGCCTGCTTGCCGAACAGCGCGCTCGACGGGTGCAGGTACACCGGCGTGCCCTCGATCAGCGTCTTGTAGCCCTCGTGCGGATCCTTGCGTGCGCCGTTGCGGAAGTAGCCCGCGCAGAGCGCCTGGCGCACCGGGTTCGTGTCCGCACCACACGAAACCACCGAGTGCTTGTACCGCTCCATGATCCGCTCCAGCTGCGTCCGCACGTCCTTGGCCCGCATCAGCACCCGGTACTGCAGAAAGTGCTCTTGGCACCACGGCTTCGAGAACTTGCTCCGCTTCCAGCTGTTGTACACGTTCAGCATCGTCAAGTGGTCTCCGTGAGGGTCGTTGAACTTGGCCCGCTTCGCGTCCGCCTGCGCCTGCTTGTCCTTCGGCCGGTACCACACTCCCTTCGGCTGTGCAATCATCCCCATGATGCTCAGCATCTCGTCGCTGCACCCCAGCTCCACCGATGCAATCAGCGCCTTGGCCGACGTCGGGTCCATCGGGAAGTCCGCCATCTTGCGTCCCAGCTTCGTCAACAGCCCCTCGTCGTCCAGTGCCGACAGCGCATACAGCTCCTCCAGTGCTGACAGCATCGTGTTGATCGGCGGCGGGTCCATGAAATCAAAGTGCAGCAGGTCGTTGATCCCCATCGCCTTGAGAATCAGAATCGTGTTGCTGAGGTTCTTGCGCTGGATCTCCGGAATCGTCGTTGGCAGCATCTCCGTCTGGTATGCCGCCTCCGTGTACAGCCGGAAGCATTTGCCCGGCCCCGTTCGTCCTGCACGGCCTGCTCTCTGGTTCGCCTGCGCCTGCGAAATTGGTGTTACCACCAGCGAATCCATTCCCAGCTTCGGGTCGTACGCGTTCTGCTTGACGAACCCGGGGTCTACCACGTAGAAAATTCCGTCGATAGTCAGGCTGGTCTCCGCAATGTTCGTCGCGATGATTACTTTGCGGCCATTTGGCGGAGCCGGCTCGAAGATTCGCGACTGTACCTCGTTCGGCAGCGCCGAATACACTGGCAAAATTACCAGCTCCGGCATGCCAGGCCCCAAAGCCTTCATCCGCTCAAAGAGAATCTCACAGCCTGAAACGCATTAGTACATCAAGGACATATCCGCTGGCTCGAAGAATGCAACATACTGGTATCGATTTCTTCCTGGCCAGTCAAGAAGACTAGGATATCACCAGCCGGCTCCGTCAGGTGAATCTGCATAACTGTCTCTAATGCGGCATCGAGGTAGTCGGATTCCGGTTCTCGCGAGTAGAGAATCTCCACTGGGAATGTTCGGCCAGGAATTGTCTGCAGCAATGTTAGTATAATCGGCATATGGAGGTCGCTGTCAGCGGACAGGAGGTACATACGAAAATAGGCGCTCCATTGAAAAACGTAGAGAACTTTTCTGCGTCCAGCGTTGCCGACGTCGCAATGACTTTCAGGTCTGGCCGTCTCTTTACCGTCTTCTTGAGCAACCCAAAGAGAACATCGGTTGCTATGGAATGGTCAGTACACCAGGACAGTCACAAACGGGGCACCCGCAACTCACCAATCGTCCGCTCGTGAGCCTCGTCCAGCATAATGACCGAATACCGCTTCAGTTCTGGGTCCAGCAAGATCTCACGCTCCAGCATGCCGTCTGTCATGTACTTGATTCGCGTGGACGGGCTCGTGCAGTCCTCAAACCGGATCGTGTAGCCGACCTCTTGTCCCAGTTGGCATCCCACCTCCTCGGACACGCGCTTCGCCACGCTCATTGCCGCCACCCGTCGTGGCTGTGTGCAGCCAACCATCTTGCCGCGGTTCGTCAACCCAGCCTCAGCCAGGTACTGCGTCAGCTGCGTCGTCTTTCCGGATCCCGTCTCGCCAATCACGATCAGAATCTGATTTTCCTGCACCGCCTTGATGAGCTGGCTGCGGAAGGAGAAAATGGGCAACGTCTCGCGCTGCTCCTTCATGCTGAGTGATGTGCGTTTGCCAAACGACTGTTCCTTGCTCTGGATGACACGTTTCCACTCCGGCACTGGCTCTGGAGCGGCATTCCGTTGGCTGTGGGCGTTTCGCACGTCGTTGGCAAACTTGCGCTGCTCCGGATTCACCAACGGGTCGTGCCACTGCGACGTCAGATCCACCTTCTCCTTCTCCAACGACGCCTTCGCCTCGTCCGCCTCCTGCTGCCGTGTTTCCCTGCGTTCTTTGGCGAGCACCCCGCCAGCCATGGCTGCACGGTTGAGCGAGCCGTCGGGCGCTTTGACAACACGGATCGGCGACAGTTCCAACGAAAGTTTCGTCTGTCCCGCCAAGAATGGTGGCTCCTCGTCTCGGATCTCAATGTCCACGTCCTCCTCCAGCTCCATCTGACCCTCGCCCGTCAGCGTCGACGTGTATTCCTCCTCGAGCCCGGGATAGTCCGACGCCTTGGCCACGCCGCTGGCTATCAGCTGCAGAATCTCCCACCGCTCAGGAGACGTCATGCGCTTCTTGCCACGCCTCCCTGCCGGGCCGCTGCCTCCTGCCCCTGATGCACCCGCCCCGGGTAGCGGTGTGACAATACTGCTGCTGATGCCGCCAGCACCTCGGACGCCAAGCGCCTCCATATTGGCTCCAGACTGAATCCTGTCTTCAGGGGCGTTATCCAGTCCGGTGTCCTGGTCCACATCCTTCATCGATAAGCCGATCCGGCTCCCTTCTATCTTCACAACCTTGACCAGCACCTTTTGGCCCATAGTCAACAAGTCTGAAGGATGGCTGACGCGCTGGCCGTCAACGAGGGCCGAAACGTGCACCAGGCCGTCGACCTTGCCCCGGATGCCGTGAAGATTCACAAAAGCGCCAAAATCTTTGATTCCCGTGACATGACCGTCGTACACCTTGAAAAGCTCTGGAGCGTCATCCACCTCCACCTCTTTCCGCTGAGACCGGCCGTCGTTGCCGTTGCCATCGTCATAGTTGTCATACCCGTTTCTGTTTGCACGTCCTCTTCCACTCTTGCCGTTCTCTCTCCTGCTTCGCTTTCCACTACCACTATAGTTCGCGTAGTCGTCGTCTTGGTCGTCATAATCGTATCGTTTTATATTCTTTCGCCCACGGGAATCTGACCTTGAGCGTGGGGACTCCGACCGCGATCTCGACCGGTAACGAGATCGCCGATCTTGCCCCCGGCCTCCATCTCGCTTCGTCTTGTTGTAGTCGTCTCGGGGACTTTGACTTCTCCGTGATGCTGTCTCCACTGCCACTGGTCGTGATGACTTTTCCTTCCTCACCTTGCTTTCAAGGCCCTCCAGTAGTGCCAGTGTGTCGTCAATGGCATCGGCTTCATGCTCTGGCTCTTTGTCGGGTACGGTCAAGCCTTTGAAAATCTGTTTCGATCGGGCTGCTTTGCTCGCCGCATTTTCTTTCGCTTCTGCTGCTGCTCTCGCCCGCATCTGAGGATGCATCGTACAGACTAGTCGGTCGATACTTTCAACTAAACTTGGCGGGAAGTCGACGTCAAGCTCTGTGAGCTTCTTCTGGAAAGCTTCGAAGCCGTCGCTCTGGAGGCGCTGGAATATGATAAACTCGGCAACATCCTTGTTGTCCATACCCAGATGGTTCTCCAGCTCCGAGGCAACCTTTGCCACGAGCGAGAGGACCTCGAGTGACTCAAGGTCCTCCATGACGGCGATATGAATGATGGATACGTAAGTGGTGCCGGTCGTGCTCTTGTGGCGCGAAAGGGCGTGTCGCGATGAGCATTCGAGCTGGCAAAACCGCAACTATTTTGCCCCGTTGTACTTAGCCGGGAGCAACGTTTTTGCGCTCTCCGGCAATAGCTACTACTACAGGCAATCGAGCATTGTGATCACGTGATAATTAGCGCATAGTTATACCACCTTCTCTACTCCGTTATAAGACCACTTTTATTCTATTGCATGCTCTTTGCGGCACGGAGGACTCCGTAGAGCTGAAGCCATTCCGGCTTAGAGTGATAGTGCCAGTGAAGTGAGATCTGGTGAGGCAGGTTGATGGCATTTTAGTGCAAAAATCAACTGCCAAATAAGAGTCATGTCTTCGTGTTTAGATCCTCATATGCAGCGCTATATCATATCTAAGCTCATGGAGAGGTATATTGAAGGAAAAGTGATAACTTTGAACATTAAAAACAAGCAGATATGAAAGGAAAACGTAATGAGATAGATGGAGACGCGAAATAAGGAAAAAGGCTCATACCTTTTCAGCGTCGACCTGCCATCCAAATCGGTGTATAACGAAGAAAGTAGTTTCATAAGACGGCTCGCCCATACCTGATACTATACATACGAAAACGCCATTGTCATAATCCCACTTTAGTCGTGTAGTTCCGAACTTTTATGTATGCCTGTTGAGTGCCGAGGTTCACTTTGATAGTTCGTCAAATATGCGTATCAAGTTTCGAACCCCTACCAGAACGTTCTCGTCTGGCCTATCCTCCTCCGGACAAAACTGGGCGTGGGCAAAGTCGATCAGGCGAAGGCCACAAATAGCAGGTGGCGTTGGTTCTTCTTCTTCGTCGTCGTCGTCATCAAGGGCAATATTGCTTTCGATATCGATTTCTAGGTCGTCGTACGCGATTACAATACCGCTGTCTGTCCTGCTTGCGGACCTGTCGCCGGGTTTGCCGTCTTCCTTTCGGCGGTCTTCACGCCGGGAGCTTGAGCTCGATGTTCCTGCAGACGCTTCCTCGTTGGCAGCGATAGCCTGACGCAGAGCTGCGCCGTCGCCCTCGAAGACAAACAGGAGGGATGATGAGTATATGCGGGTGCGCTCTTTCTCCATCACCCTACGAACGCGCTCCAAGTCTTGCTTGAAAACGTTCGCCACAGCCCGGCCGAGGTCTTCGTCGATGCCGGCGGCTTTGTTGAAGATGAATTTGCGAAATGCGTCGACGACATTGTCGTCGTTCACATCGTAGCGGCCAAAGTCCTTGCTGTAGATCTTGTAGTCCGAGCCCTCCGGTTCAGAAGCGCCGGCAGAGCCTTGAAAGACGCGCATGCCAGATATCCGAAAGCCCATCTTATCGTGGGTCGTAGTAGCCCGCACTTCGTCCATGCGCACGCGCTTCTGACGTGGTGCATCATCAGCCCAGAGCCTCTGACCCAGCTTTACATCCAGCACGTTGGGCTTCTGGTAGCCGTAGGTCACATTCTCCAGGACAACACCGCGATCGGTAAGGATGCATTGACCACCTCGGGGGGTCCAGCTCTCGCCATCGTTGGAGGCAGAAGTCATCGACGCCGAAGCTGAAGCTTGAATATCAGGGTTGGATGCGCCGAGTGGCTGCTGCAATTCGGCCAAGACCTTCTGAGCCTGCAGATTGCTGGGATCAAGGATGGCTGGAAGCTCGTGGGTGATCTCGGAAGCGACATCAGATGCCTGGTTGAGCATCAAAGAGCCTACGTAAAGTGGCATCAGGTCGGTAAACTCGGGATGGTGGGCGCGAGCCGTCTCGTAAAAGTCGATCTCCGGCTGAGTACATGGCTTGATAAAAAAAAAGCCGTCCGTGTCGCATAAAGCACCGGCACTAAACAGTTAGCCTGGTGACCGAGGCAAGTGATGCGCAAGTGACCGTTTTGCTAGATGAACTTACTGCCCAGCAACTGCCTGTGTAAAGTCGACCAAGTCCTCCCGACTCGGAAATCCCCTAGACGCCATTGTTCCGTGACTGCTGGGACGAGGACAAGATATCTTGGTAGCTAGTGTTGGCCGGCAGGAGACCACAGCGACAGGCCAGTATGTTTCTAGAGTGTCAGGGTGGTATATCGGTATATTCGAAGTATGGTTTGTTGAGAAAGAGGCCGAGCGTGTTCAACCAAGCATCGCAGGGGAATCTAAGGGAGAGAGAAGAATGGCGCCTAACAGAGACATGGATGGGAGCTCGGTGCTGTGCGACTTATAAGGCAGGCGCATGGAAGAAAGGAGTTGCGTTGTTTGACGGAGACGGAAGAAGGCTTGGGTATTATGTGCTTCCTCCTTTTGTGGATGAGAGCCTTCACAAGTTTCGTGTCATGAAGGCGCGAAATGTTGCAGGTCTGCTTTGTGTCCAGAGAACGCACTGTACAGCATATACGCAGTGCCTGCCTTCTCTTCACTAGATACTCCAGCCAATTAAAGTGCCCCACACCGCAAGGCGCCCGCTGGGCTTTTTGCTTCGCCACTTTAGTCCCTCCCAATTTCGGCTGTGGCGGCATAGCCCAACAGCCTCAGCTCCTATGATCTTACCTTATTCCTTTTCTTTTTTTTTCGCTTTTTTCTTCTTCCTCCGCCCTCCTTCCATCGAGCCACCGCCACCATCCGAGATCAGCCGGGCCGCGGCGCCATAGTTTGCAAGTAAGGGTGTGATAGCAGCTCATGGCGGTGACAGCCTTTATCAGAGATTGTGCACGAGAACGGTGCAACCTGCCACATCGCATTGCCTTGCGCCTCCGTATTTACCGTGTGCTGCCTATTGCCACTTTCCGACCGTGTCATTCTATGTGATTTCTTCCGTTCTACGAAGTACAGGCGCCGCATCGCCCTGGATACGACGTAGAATTGGGCAGCCAAGATTTTATCATTGTCGATTCACCCGCTGTCTGACGTTAGATGATGTCATTTGGAAGCCTTTCTGTTCGACAATCTGACCCGGCGCAACGATAGCATCCTGCTGGCGCCCTTTGTGACTTGTGCGTGTGACTGGGTCGCATCCAAAGCTTTCGTGTTCACCGTTATACCGGCATTGATGACGAGGACCAACTGGGTTCGAATATCGTGCCATGTGTCTTACTCCGTAATACCCCGTATACCAAAGGAGATACACAAACGCCGGCACTCAACTTATGCGGTGCGGCAAGCAACCGTCAATGTGACATTTGTATCAGTTCTGTTTCTCACGACTGAGTTGTAACATGTTCTTCGTAGTTTCCTAATCCGGTAACTGATTCACCGCACCTTCCTTTGCACGTTTACCAAGCCACTCTGACCGTCGGCTTCCCAATTTCTAACCCCTGCCGCATAATCAATCCTGGTCATATTATTTGGTTCACCAACCACTTTTCATGCGCCGCCTCAGGCTTCCCTGCGTTGCGCCTATTTCCCCGCGGCCGAACCTCTGATATTGCAATCAACATGTCGGACACTCTCGGAGGCGGAGTTCAGTTGCAGACGGGTTGCCAAGCGCCCAAGAAGAAACAATCCAAAAGCCTTGCAGCCCGCGGTCCTACAGCACTGCCAAAGAACAGGGGGACGGGTTTTGAAGGTTGGCTAAAATTTCCGATGGTCACGATCGTGGCTGTGGACCCCGGCGCAAAGTTCTCGTGTACTGACCCCCTTGGAGAATATTATGCCGAGCCACCACTGGCTCCAGATGAGTTTAAGGAGGAGTCAGAACTGTACCACCCGTACGTGTTGCACCCATTATATTCTATCTGGAAGCAGGTCTTGGTGCTGACCCTGTTCCTAGCTCCGTGTCATTTGATAGGTAAGTCCTGCCGGAAGGTTGCCTGTGTGCTCAACCTGACGGCGGATGCAAAGTAGACGCATCGAGACTTGCACTCAACGATACCGGGCCCGCCGTCGTATGAACAATGAAAGAGCGCTTCTGTTCAACCGATATCTGTCTCTGGGCGGCATCGATTGTCAGCCCCGACAGTTCAATACCACGGCTGGTATCCATGACACCGACGGGTTGACAAGCGAAGATATTCGAACGATGACAGCAACTGATGTCATTCCACAGACGGCGAGCAAAAATTCCAAGTACTATGCTTCTGGGAACGATTATATGTGGACGGTTGATTTTACCAGTGTTGTGTCTGGATTTCTGTGAGATCTCGCCTTTACGGGCTCTAAGTAACTAGAGATGATGCGCACGATTCTGACAGGTAAAACAGGTCTGTAGAGCTTCGCGATTTAGCAAGCTGCAGTGAGGAACGCCTGCTGATGGGTGTTGATGTTGTCGACAACTTTTTGCGGTATATCCAGATTCACGACGTCTGTCCAGAATATGAAACCGATGTCAGACAGGCAAGGGTCGTTTGTGACAGGGCCAAGACCGAGTTGATGAGTTGCCGCTACGCACAGACTGCCATGCCGGGCCAGTTCAACATCGCTTGCGTCAAGCTCTTTTACAACGAGCCGACTCACAAAGCCTTCAACGATGGCCTAGACCCTTTGGACAAGGTTCCCAAGGACTGCGACGCCGAGGCCATTTTTCAGACTACTGTAGCGCTGCAGCCGCGGCTGGCGGGGAATAAGACCATCGAGATGTCCAAGGATGTCAAAAGCATCCATATTCTTACAACACGCGAGATAGATCTTGAAATATCTGGCTTAGTCTTACCATCCGACGAGACGGTTCAGCGCTACTCTGCTGCAGGCTCGCCTCGATGTCCGATCTTGCCTGCCGGTGTTGTTGTGGCCAAACATCACAACATTGATGAAGGCTATGCAAACCAGCCCCGGCCATCTGCGGTGGAGCTTGCTGGTCGTGGGAACGAAGCTTTCTTCCTGGACCGCGAACTAATGGCGCTTCTGTGTCCAGGCACGAAGCTTCGCGTTGTTGTTCACGAGCTCAACTGTGATCTGAACTTCATCTCGACGGTTAAGGATGTGCATCCATCATTTTACACGTTTCTGCCGCAAGAGCTGATGATGGAGTGGAAGGAACCTAGAGAGAATGACCGAGAGGCTCCGTCCGTTGACAACCCTGATGCCGAAGATGAGGCAGTCCAGAAGATGGCTGATGAGGAAAAGGACTGATAGGCTCTCAAGGACTCTAAGGAGGTTATCAGGCGATATTGGAGAAGGCAGTCTTACCACACATGCCTATACAAGGCTTCATGTGCCGCAATGGGTAGGCTTGCTGCGCTTAATCCATGTGCGGTATTCAAAAGCTATCAAAATTAAAAACAACCTGAAAAAATGAACCTGATCATACAATCAAAACAAAATATGCCTGGTCGGTATTGCATCGCGTATGACAGAGCAGAATCGTTCTTGTGGACAACGTAGGATGTCCAAACCCAAGCTAAAAGAAAAAGCATCTACAGTTCCATGCGGATAGTAAACAGCTTGTGGCATTGTCCGAGCCTGCCAAACCCCCCCCCCCCACCCCCGTTTTCTCTTTCTTCCTTTCAATCACAGCTTTAGTCGTGGTTCTGGATCTTGTTGTCGCTCGATACAGCTTGAGCGTAGCTCGGCGGCGGCCCGTTGCTGCCACCCTCGCCGGCATCGTTTCTGGGCTGTTGTGCGGAGGAGGAAGAGGCAGCAGCCGGGGCTGTCGTTCCGTAGTTCATGTTGCTCTGGATCTCGGGCGCAGCCGTCTGTGGTTGTGGCTGCGGGCGGCCGCCGGAAGGCTGGACGACGATGTAGGTGAAGCGACGGTTTTGGATAGAGCCTTCTGCATCTTGAGACAGGCCATCGTATGCGAACTCGGGTTCGGGGTATTTGACGATGATGTACCAAGCATGAACCAGGCCCGGGAGCTATGCCGAGTTAGTAGCCAGAACACGCGGGCCGAACAGGGAGAGAGAGAGAGAGAGAGACTCACGTATCCGAGCAGGCAGAGGAGGATGTTGATGATGGAGTCGGCCGAGCAGATGCCGCGCTTGACCCACACTGAGGGATTGTTAGCATTGCGCAGGCAGATCGCGAGCGGCCTCCGTGATCGTGGGATTCAACTCACCAGGAAGTGGGGGAAACAGCAGTGCTAGCATGCCGAGAAAGAAGTCGCAGGAGCACATTGTGGTTGGATGTTGTCTCGGGTCGAATGACAGATTGGTGACGGGCGTCTCGATAGTTGGGTTGTTCGGGCTGGAGGCCGAAAAGAGGGAAGATCTCGTCTGAATTTAGATATTACGACGACTGGGTTGAACTTCTAAACAGGGGCGGAATGAGGCTGGCTGCGTCATAAAATATGCATGATAAGCCACTGCTGGAAGGCGCTAGAGGGCCGTTAGTGCGGAGGCAGCAGCCAAATAATAGGCAGTCACGCCGTGTAGTAGAAAATGCTGGCAGCGGCCTTTTTGTTCTTTCCTGGCGGAGAAGGCCGCTAACGCTGCGCCGTCATCAGCACAGCCCACTGCTTAATTCTCGCTGCAGAGTAGCGGCGCCGGCCGGGCTGGGCAAGTTCATGCACTATGCACATATTTATGCACGTAACGAGATTCTCGATACCAGTCACATGCATATGCCACTTGGCCCGTTTTGGGATCAAGCCTGGAAGCTTTCCCATAGCCAATAACGAGCTTGCATCCCAAGACCGGCATCTGGCTGCAGCCATTCCACAAATCGAAGCCGTACTCGTACTGTTTGAGCAGGCGAATATACGGGACCAGCACTGCTTAGCACACGTCTGTTCTCTATGCCGAATCCCTGACTGCCATGTCTATTCCCGGCTTGGGACAGATCCCTGTCCAGGTAAGCGGACAGTGTTTCTGTTATGATACTCCATGGCAGGGATGCATTCTGACAGCTCTGCCAGGCCCCGGCGTCATCGAAGCGCATTGTCAAGCTCACGCCACTGTCGGAATGGCGTTTTGCCGTGTCCCAGCCAGCAGTGCGGATCCGGCTCCTCTCCGGCACGGCCGAACGCGACGGAACGGAGTTGGCCTCGAACCAGCCGTACAGCTTTGCCCGCACGCAGTCCAAACTGTTGACCTGGCACGGCTGTGAGCTGGAGGTTGACGGCACGTGTGACCGCGAGTCGGTGGCGACGGTCGGCAGCAGCGGCCAGTCTGCCACGACTCCGCCGCCAGTCGTCTCGTACCTGAACCTGCACATGCTTCTGGCAGCCGAGCGTGCAGCTGTGCCGCCGCCGGGATCGTCTGCTCGGCCAACGGGCGGGCCAGCGGGGCCCCGAGTACTCGTCTGCGGCGGCCCACAGACTGGCCGGACGAGCCTCGTGCGCACGCTGGCGGCATGGGCCACCAAGATGGGAGGTGCCGGCAGCAGCTCGTCGGAACCACAGCACCAGCAGCAGCAGCCTTGTGTGGTGAACGCGGACCCGCGCGACGGCCTGCTAAGCCTGCCAGGAACGCTCAGCGCGGCCGTGTTTGGCACGCTGATGGACCTCGAGACCGAGGGCGGCGGCGGCTGGGGCGGCGCGCCGAGCAGTGGACCCAGCGCCGTGCCGGTCAAGCTGCCACTCGTGTTTGGTTTTGGCTATGCGCGGCCGGCCGACGCGCCAACGCTCTACCGGGATCTGGTTACGCGTCTCGCCGGCGCCGTGACAGCCCGCATGTCCGACGACCCGGCCGTGCACGCCGGTGGCCTCTTGATCGACACGCCGGCCGCTGAAGCCGAAGCCGGCAACGTCAACGCCGACATCGACCTGCTCGCACATATCGTCGACGAGTTCTCGGTCAACCGCGTCGTCGTCCTTGGCGCCGACGCCCAGCTCTACTTTGGCCTCGCTCAACGTCTCGCCCGCGAGACCACCACGTTTGGCGAGCCCGTTCAGGTCATCCAGCTCGACGCATCTGACGGCGTGGTCGCGCGCACAAACAGCCTGCAGCAGCAGCAGCACGAGGCCTGCATCCGCGAGTACTTTTTTGGCGACGCCAAGCGCACGCTGGATCCGTACACGCAGCTGGTCGACTTTGACGCGCTGACCGTCTACCGCCTCCCGGATGGTATGTAACGCCTCCTCCCCCGCTCTTCCATCATCACAGACGCCTGCTAACCAGAACGTGCAGCCGGATCGGCCGACTCGCGGCTTGAAAAGGTCGAAGCCTCCAACGCCCTCATGCACTGGACGCTGTCCGTCATGAACGCGTCAAATCACGACCCGCCCGACGTGGTCCAGCACGCGGCCGTACTGGGCTTTGTCTACGTTGCCGACGTGGAGGCGGACCGGCGAAAGATGCGCATATTGGCCCCTGTGAGCGGCCGACTGGGCGATCGACCTCTCGTGCTTGGCCGCTGGCCTGAGCCATACATCAACCTTGTGGGCTGAAGAGCCCGTTGCAAACTGGAGTCTGGAGTTGACGAAGCAGTCAAATGGGTTATTCATATATGTACAAGTGATTCCTGAAGAGTAAAAAAAAAAGCCCCGGAGAGCTAGATAGAACACGCGAAACCGGAAAGCAGAAGATATAAGCGGACCAAAAGGAGGAAATCGATGCTCCAATACCATCCCAATTGATGCTTCTTTTTTAGGCTACTTAGCGCCCTTAGGCTCCCTTGTCGCTAATTACTTCCTGCTCTGTGGCACATTCGTCTGTGTATTCGTAATGCTACTTTTCCGTCAGCGTAAGCGACCTCCCCCTCCCCCTTCCATTTGATGTAATTCGTGAGAACGTGAGTTGTTGTACATGGCTGTTGTTTGCTGGGCACTACACGTGGATGGCGAGTGGTCAGGAGCATCGTCGTGACTGCACTTCAGTGGACGGCCGCCCGACCAGCATGCTGTCTCTTAATCCACCTTGATGCTCGAGTAAATGCGCCGGGTAAACCACCAGCTGGAGAAGAAGCCGATCGATCCTATTCGAGAGTGTCAGTGGAACGAGCTCGGCAGTGCAAACGTTTGGAGGGAACAGACATACCGGCCAGGACGAAAAATAGAAAGCTGATCAGGAGCGTGTAGCCGACGTAGAGCACACTTCCCGACATATTACTGAGGCTCAGCTTACTAACCCAATAGATGATGGCGTTGGCAAAGATGTACACAGACGTCGTGCCTGCAGCCAAGAATGACCGCCACTGCCAGTGGTAGTTCTCGGCGCAGAGCAAGAAGTACACCATGAGAACGGTGACGGCCGCACATGTGATGATCATCAGGCCGTAGCACAGGAAGAGGAAGCCGAACATGTAGTAAATCTTGCTAAACCAGATGCTGCTCATGATGAAGTAGAGCTCCACAAAGATGGCGCCAAACGGCAGGATGCCGACCAGGAGCATGCTCGGGATAGGCTTCAGGTACGTCGTCGTGGGAGGAATCTGTCGCGGAATCTGGTTCGTGTGCACCGGGGCCTCAATAGCTGCCGAGCGGAAGCCGAGCCACGAGCCAGCAAAGGACAGGGGCACGGAGATGACAAACCAGATGCTGATGATCACCAGCATGGTGGTGAAGGGCACGGCGCCCGAAGACTGCTTCGCCCAGAGAAAGAGGTTCAGCAGGAAGAAGATGCAAAAGACGAAGCCGGGCACGAGCAGCGGCGTGAGCCCGATGTTGAGCTTCCACTGCTCGCCGCCAAAAGACTTGTAGACGCGTGCAGACGAGTAGCCCCCGACAAATCCGAGCACGGTGTACAGCAGGATCATGATCGTGCCCAACGACCCGCGGTTCGACGGCGAGAGGAAGCCCATCAGGGCAAAGAGGATGGTGAAGCCAGTCATGACAAAGAGCTGGGCGCCGTTGCCGAGGAAGACGGAAAGCAGCAGCGGCCGCGCCGGCGTGCGGAACACATCGCCATGCACCAGCTTCCAGCCCGAGTCCTCCTGCACGCCGTCGTCGAATCCGCCGCTGCCCGAAAGATCGTCCAGGTTGATCTGGTCCAGCCGGTTGTAGCGGGCGATATCCTTCCTCAGCGTGCGCACCAGCACGGACGTGACCGTCAGGACGAGGAACACGACGATGACGGCCGAGTTGATGAGCGAGAACCAGTGGATCTTGGGGTCGATGACGTGCAGGTACTTGTCCCAGCGCGTTGCCCACGCCGTCTTGGACGGCGTCCAGTACGTCGAGTACGTGTACTGCACCTTTGTCTGGCTGCCGGCCCCGGTCGCCAGCACGAGCGGCCGGTGCTCCAGCGCGCAGTCCACCGAGTTAGTGTCCGCATAGTCCAGCGAGCTGGGCTGCACAAGCACGCCCACCACCCGCAGCTGGTCCGGGTTGCCGCTGACCTCGTGATACTCCACGATGATGTCGTAGTGGTTGTTGAAGGCGATCGTATTGTCGCCGCCGTCCTGCCCGATGAGGAAGCCGGGGCTGTAAAACTCCGTGTCTGTCACTTCGTCGACGATCTCCTGGCCCGCCGGAAGCCCGTCCACGAGCCAGTTCAGACTGTAGCCCTCCTCGATCAGATTGTTGATGAACTCGGCCGAGTCCTTCTCGTACGTCGTCGCGCACAGCGGCTTGCACTTCTCGTTGACGCCCATCTTGAGCTCGAACGGCGATGTCATGATGCGGTCGCCAAAGATGATGCTGCCCAAGCTCTCGCCCACGTGCTTGGGGCCACCTTCTGGCCGGCAGAATTGGAGCTGCGACAGGTAGTAGTCGTAGGACACGATCGAGTGCAGCCGCGCATCTTGCGGGGCAGCGATCGGCTGTATCGTGTTCACGTAGAGGGGAACCGTATCGCCAGGTCGGTACGACGTCGGCGCCACGCCCGGAAGATAAAATGCCGACACCGTCTGTGGCAGGATGAGGAGGGAGGCTACCAGCGCCGCCGCGCTCGACGGCGACAGATCTCGTGGCAACATCGTGGTGTCTGTCGCCTCTGATGACCCGCCCGTACTCGTCAGAATCGCATTTCATACGGATGAGAAATCTCACTCCCATTTCCTGGCAGCACCGCAAGTCCGGGATACTCACAACTTCTGTGTTTCCTCGCCGTCAAATCGGGATGAGCTCGAAGCTCTACTTGCTGATGGAATTGTCGATAGCTCTGAATGCCAAAATTGTCATGCGCTATAACAGGCACAAGGCCGCAATATGTGTCTGCTTACAAGCACCGGTATCGCAGTGTGTTTGGATGGTTCGCAGGCGTACCGTGTGGCTGGCTATTGAACAAAGGATCGCCAGAATGCTGATGCCAGAGATGCAGTTCGAATGCGGGTTGACAGGGGTATTTCTGCTTAGTCATCGTGTCGGAACCAAGGGGCGCGTCATCGCTACACGAGCACCCACGCCGCTAAGAAAACATCGTCTCCACTGGTTTTTATCTGAAAAAAAAAGTTCTAGATAACCCGGCTTCAAATTTCATCACCATATGCCAACCAGGCGGTGCCCAGAACCTCAAACGCAACTGCCAACATGGCCTCTCCAGCGACCGTCCCGGAGATCTTTGATTCCATAAAGCAGTCCATCGAATCCGTCTCGGAAACAAGCAAAAAACTATCCGGTCTCGCGCCGCCGGCGGAAGGCCTCTCGCTACTCGATGTGAAGAACGAGTTGCTGCTGAGCTACCTGGAGCACATGGTTTTTTTGATACTGCTGCGACTGAAAAGCGCTTCTGCCGGGACGGAGAAAGAGGCCGACCTCAGCCTGGAGAACTCGAATCTCGGCCAATCAGCCGTGAAAAAGCTGGTCGAACTACGGCTCTACCTCGAGAAAGGCGTCCGTCCGCTGGAAGACAAGCTTCGCTACCAGATCGAGAAAGCGCTTCGAGCAGCGGAGGCGTCCGAGCGAGCGACAAAGGCCAAGGAGGCCGCCGCTGCTGCCGCTGGAAGCGATGACAAGTCAGACGAAGACGATGCCTCTGAAGGCAGCGACGAAGAGAAGGAAGCGGCCGATTCTGATGTCGGGGCTTTCAACGAGGAAGAGGTAGCGACAAGCCGTCCGAACCGAGCGGCCTTTGTGCGCCCTACTTCTGGCTTGGCTGCGGCCACGGCAGCGCCAGACTCCAAGGCCACGGCAGACGCGGCCGCTGGCGGTGGAGTGTACCGGCCGCCCAAGATTGCGCCCACGATGATGCCGACGACAGGGAGAAAGGATCGTGCCGAGCGCAGGCCGCTGAAGTCGGCCACGATGGACGAGTTCATTGCCGATGAGTTCTCGACTGCCCCGATTGCCCAGCCCAGCATCGGCACCAACATCGCCGGTCACGGCCGGCACATGAAGACGTCGACCGAGCGCCAGCGCGAGGACGAGCGTCGCGATTACGAGGAGCGCAACTTTGTCCGTCTGCCGGCCGTGGGCAAGAAAGACCGCGCCAAGCGGGCCAAGGCCGAGGGCAGCGGGCCCATGTCGTTTGGCGGCGAGGATTGGCGCGGGCTCGGCGAGGGTGTCGACCGCATCAACCGTCTCACGCAGCGCAAGAGCAGCAGTGGTGCCACCGGCACACGGGCGCTGCTGGAGAAGAGCCGCAAGAGAGGCATTGACACGACTGATGGGCCCCGGGGCAGCGGCGCTGCCAGCAGCGGTGTCATTGGTGAGCGCTTCCAGAAGCGCCTCAGGCTACAGGACATGGGGCGTCGCGACCGGGGCAAGAAGAAATGAGGTTTCTCGAAGGACCTGCTTTGCGGACATCCATGTTGTGCTTGTTACGGGCTCAACGGTATTTGGCCTGTGTTTATTTCATTGTATGATTCTGGGAACGGAGTGATAGAAAAGGGAAATCAAAAATACCAGTTTTTTGCATTATATGTCTGTATCTTTAACGTCTGAAGCATCTAACTATTCACGGCATCCAGTAGGGGAAAACTGGAACTTCAAAGCAGTGCTTTCAGCACCACGTGACCATTAGCTTCGCCCTTGCTATATCGAAACTGACGCCCCGCTATCCTCTGGAAGGACCCCTCTTTAACTGCCCGTTTTTTGCAGGCGCGACTCGATAGCTCGACTTCCAACTGTGCAACCGCATCTTGTCTGCCCGTTTGTCAAACTTCTTCTTCTCCAACGAACCGGCAAAAATGGCGACAGACACTCCGCCAGCGGCGGCCACGGCCGACCAAGAGCAGGACATCAATCCCTGGTCGGTGCAGGGCGGCGTAGGCGCAAACGGCGAGGTTGTCGCAATCAACTACGAGGCCATTAGCAAGTATGTCTGACAGAAAACGGCGTGTTTGGCTTCCAGCCAGGCCTATGCTCGATCGCTGACCCGGCTGTCTCCTTTGTACTGCAGAAAGTGGAGCACAAGCCTGGTCGACGAGGCCCTCCTCGAGCGCTTCGAAAGGGTCACCGGACACAAGCCGCATCGCTGGCTGCGGCGCGGCCTCTTCTTCAGCCATCGTGACTTTGACCGCATCCTGACCCGGTATGAGCGCGGCGAGCCGTTCTTCCTGTACACCGGTCGTGGCCCCAGCTCGGGCAGCCTGCACCTGGGCCACACGATCCCGCTGCAGTTCACCAAGTGGCTGCAGGACGTCTTCGACGTACCACTCGTCTTCATGTTGACGGATGACGAGAAGGCCCTCTTCCGGGACGGCTTGGCCTTTGAAGACACGCTGCAGTTCGGTCTCGACAATGCGCGGGACATTATCGCCCTCGGCTTCGACATCAAGAAGACGTTCATCTTCAGCGACCTGCAGTATGTGGGAGGTCACTTCCTGATGAACGCCTGGGAGTTCTCGCGGCTGGTCACCTTCAACCAAGTCCGCGGCGCGTTCGGATTCAACGAAAGGTGTGTTGCTGCCATTCCGGGCAAATCCCTGTTCCTTTCTGTATGGCGTCCTGCTGACACAACATCAGCACCAATACTGGCAGGATCTTCTTCCCCTCGGTCCAATGCGTTGCAGCATTCGCTACTTCCTATCCAGAGCTCTGGTCAGATGTCCCGGCAGCCGAGCGCTCAAAGGAGGTTGCCAGCTGGCAATGTCTGATTCCCATGGGCATCGACCAGGACCCGTGTAAGTTCAAAGCCTACCCCTGACGATGAGGACGTCAAGTTTCTACATTCTCTGACATGCATCCAGATTTCCGTCTCCTTCGCGATAACACTCACCGCATGCGGTACCCGTCGCCAAAACCGGCACTCATTCACTCCAAGTTCCTCACTGCCCTGCAAGGTGCTGGCGGCAAGATGTCGTCGTCGAACCCCAATTCTGCCATCTTCATGACGGACACTGCCAAGCAGATCAAGGTGCGTAAAGTCCAGAAAGAAGAAATCCGAACCGATGCTAATTAGACAGACAAAAATCAACAAGTATGCATTCAGTGGCGGACAGGCCACTCTCGAGGAGCATCGCGAGAAGGGCGGCAACCCCGATGTGGATGTGGCATATATCTACCTGACCTACTTTGAGGAGGATGATGAGAAGCTCGCCAAAGTCTATGAAGATTACAAGAAGGGTGAGTTGTTGACGGGCGAACTCAAGAAGCTGGCCATCGAAACTCTGCAGAAGTACGTGGAGGAGTTCCAGGAGCAGAGAAAGCTCGTGACGGACGAGGTGTTGAAATCGTATATGACACCACGGAAGCTCGTGTGGGGTGGAAACCCGAACCCGAAACCGGTGCCGAAGCCAGAGCCGGCAGCCAAAGGGAAGGCAAAGGGCAAGGGCGAGACGGTCCTGCCAGACAGGACAAAGGAGCAGTAGGACGAAGTGGATCTCCAGCCTCATCACAAGTCCCATCATAAAAGAATCAAATATTGTGGTACCAAAATTGCTGTCGCTCTGTAGTCAAAGCTCCGCCCATACTTGCAGTCACTCCATCAAGGCCGTTGCTGGACAAGTGCATGACTTATATCATATAGTGGCCAGAACATACACATGCTGCCAAGCTAGCGATCGAACAAGCGTATCAGGAAAAAATAGAATGGCTATTGGACTTCGATGACAAGGTGTCTGTCTATCGATGCTGTACTTTACAGCGAGACCGTGTTAGCTAAAGACTACGGTTTTCATTGTCTACAGCCCGACACTGCTTGGGCACATTTTATTTTTGTAGCCGGTGCCATAGACTGAACTCTGGGCTATAACCCGTTTCATTGATCCAAGGTAATTACTTGTGCAGCATCACTACCCTGCCCGATCACAAAGTGTGTGTGACTGATGTCGCTTAAGCCGAACTGGAAACGTCTTTACAGCTTCTGTATTCTTGTGTCATGGCTCCGAACGGTTATATGAAATAGCCTGGAGGTCTTCATCTGAATTCGTGAAGACAATTACCAGGGATAACATAGAATGTTTGCGCTGTGTGTACCTTACCTTTGAATCTATCTCGTCATTCCCATGCTGGCACACAAGTTCCTACTGCTGTTTTCTTGTCCGAAGACGAAGTACCATCATCCCGGATACATCTGATTGCAGAATTAATGGTAGCCTACGCCAAATGAACTTCCTGACTTGATTGGCCTTGTTCTTCTACTTCATAACCTTTGATGGCCAGGTCGGTATTATTCAAATTTGCTAACCATGTCCATAAAACTCCGCTTTGGAGTCTCTTTAGCAACGTGCTTCGCGCAATATATTTTCTGTACATTCTACCCCTTCTACTAAATCCTTTCCTGGACATCCCAAGAATTTCTTTCACAAGTTTGTGTTGTTACCTAAAACTATACGACGTCCCAAGAAGCCTAAACCATATTTAATGTCGACAAAGGCCTATTGTGTAGTTATTGTAATGTCCATTTTCATAATGCCGACTTCACCAAACGCATCTCGGCGGTATTAGTGGTATGCATTTCCCGTTGGGTGGCCTTACTTCGGCCCTAGCTTTCTACTGTTTTTTATCCCCTTCTCCGCACTGAAATCAATCCTCGGATTTCTACTGATATTTCAAAAAGTTTCTATAAGACTGGGAGGTTATTTTAGTGCTCACATCCTACGCCAGAAACATTATATGGGCGAAAAATAAATGTGATTATTTTGATTAAAGGAGGATGGAGGCGGTAAAGACGAGAGATCCATCCAATACCTTGTCACTGTTTGCTTCCAATTAATCCAATTAGAGAAAACCGTAGTCCGATTAGCAACTCTGATTTATATTCTTCAATTAAGCTTGACTTCCATTCCTAAGTCCTCAGAAATGTCTCTAGCTTCCTACCAAATTCCGTCCCATATTTAATATGAGAGTTGCTATTTGCACCGTAAAATTTGGCTATCTGCACCGTAATCTACTGATAAGATATATGGTACATAGGGTGGGTCCCTGCTTTCACCCCCAAGAACCCATAATATAAATCTACTTTTAGCCAATAATATTCTCGCACCGTTGTCTAGTTAAGTATAGAGTACTCTGTACTCTATACTCTATACTTTGTACTTTATAGGCAAACAAAATACGTAATTAAATTATATTAGCGTTAATATCCACTAAGCTCTAGCGTATCATTGCTAATAGCTTTCTCCGTATAATTTACACTCTGCACTATGTATTGCTATAGTTATAGAAAAGCGGTAAGAACGAACTTTTAGTAGGGACCTCTATACGTTGTAAAAAGTAACTCTGTAATAGTAAGCAACTTTTTTTACGGCAAAAACGTAAGTCTATTCCAATTCCAGTATAGCGCAGAACAAATTAACCAATCAACTAAGTTTTCTTAAACCCACCCTATGTACCAAGTTTCTTATTAGTGGAATACGGTGCAGATAGCCAAATTTTACGGTGCAAATAGCAACTCTCTAAAATATCTCTAACTACGCATTCAGCCGTCTAGTTTCGCGGTTTCTTTGTTGCCCCAGAATACAAGAAGATTGGACGAATCCTGGGACAGAACGAATTTCGCATAATTTTATGGGATAGTACCTCCCCTCTCAGCCCTTCTTCTGATCGTCCGCGCGGTAGGTCATCGCAGAGAGTCCGGCGACAGAGTGACGGTGGGCTGACGATGACTGGCAGACGATTATGGCTAGCCAAAGCAAGGCGCAAGTCCTTGCGGGCTATCCTATGGACGCCTACCCAGCCAAGCGCCCTCCGTGGGCGCATGCCCCATCGCCCGATGGCGTGAGTCCCCCCGGGAGGGTAGGCGCTGGTTAGGCGATGGCTAACCGAAGTCAGGCTCCTTGTCTTAACTGCGTCCTAAAGACGTATCTAGACGTATACCACGAGTTCTCATGTGTTGCCACGCCCGGGAAGCCAGCCCGCTGCGTAGGCTGCAAGACGGACAATGCGTCCTGCCTTCCCGTGCGTACAGACTTGCGTCCTAGTAGGCAATGGCTGACCGACAGATCCCCGACGAGCTTGAGGTCTTGGCCCGCTTCATCTGGCAGTTCTGGCGGATACCAACGACCTGTTCCTGCTAGAAGGTGCGCCATGTACTCTTTTCTACGGAGTAGCTTTATACATAACGCAGGTCACCAGCCACAACAGACCGACCTATACAGTGCATCACTTCCCCTGCTACAGCTAGTTATGACAGTATTTTGACCTGAGAACATCGATAAAGTGCTTGATGACCGCTGAAGCCACGACGTTACAGTGCCAGTCTTGGGAATGACTGGTCTTGGGAATGACTAGAAACTTCTTGCTGTCAAGTACAAATGCTCCGACCTGGGCACATTCGATGAATAGCTCAACAACTTCCATGTCACGTCTGTCACGATGTGATAGTGACAGTTTGTGGAACATGTTGCCAGAATTACAAAACTTGACCCTGTTAATTGATTCCTCGCATCTTGTTTCCAAAGCCCCATCTTCCTTCTCTTTACTTTCCTCTTCATTCTTAAGATTTTCTTTGGTCTCTCGAACCTCCAATGCGAAATTGCTTACATCAAAGAAAACCATTTTGCTCCTTCATAACAACAAAGGTATTCCAATTTCCCTACGAAGAGATTGTGTTCGGGCTTGCACTAAATGACGCCTTGTCCCTGACCAGAACTGAGGCTTGTACTGTCGCACATCCATCTGAAGGCTGTATCGGCATCACGGACACACTGGCACACACTGCTGCATACGACGTACGCTTACAGCTGCCCAGGAAGATCCATGATGACATCGCCCTCGAGCATTTGGAACCGGCTCCCTACGACGTCCACGGACGGCGTTTTCCCGACATGACCCCTGTGGCCGAAGACTCGCCGGTTCAGATGAAATTGTACTCGCTATATTTCGAATTTGAGAAAGTCCCGGCAGCTTCTCCTACCGCCTCTAGGCAAACGCTTAGAGGCCGACAGTTATATTTTTATTGAGCCATACGAGAGTTTTCTCATAGAAAAGCATGAGTTTTAGTTGTGGGCGGAAAGCACCATTAAAGGCCTTGTAGCTATGCCGTGTCTTGTAAGATACATGCTCCGGTTGATCAGTAATGTGATACGATGGGAGGATTGTATTAATACAGAGTACTCCGTACGGAGTACGCAGTGGGAACTTCTGACATGGACCACGTGATGCGACACGGATCTATATAGTCACGTGCTCAAATCCTAACAGCTCGGTGTGAATTTCACCGCCCCATACTCCGTACACTCGATGTTCTGCCGGCCTAAAAAGTTTAGGCCAAGAAAAAAGTTTTGGAGAAATAGAGAAGTCAACAGAGACAGGTCACAGAAAGCATTCACCAATCCAATATACAAAATGGACGTCTCAAAGAAGAAATCGGCGCTAAAAAAGAAAAATGCTGGCAGCAGGGCAGCTTCATCGAGCAAGATCAACGATGCTCGGTTCGCAAAATTCGAGACCGATCCCCGCTTCCGCCTGCCGTCAAGGCGCAAGGCCAAAACAGTTCTGGACGAGCGGTTTGCGCACATGCTGGAAGATGATGAGTTTACCGGAACCACGAAGATAGATCGGTATGGTCGGAAGATCAAGTCGGATAAGAAAAAAATAGCACTGGAACGGCTCTATGAAGTAGTCGATAAGGACGAGAATGAAGACGAGGATGAAGATGGGGGTGAAGCTGAAGAGGAGGAGGAGGATGACGACGACGACGATATGGACGACGACAAGAAGATACAGCGCGAGCTGCAGCGCATCGAGAAAACATACGACCCTGCACGTGGTGGTGGCTTTTCTGAATCTGAATCGGATTCTGACTCGGACTCGGACTCGGACAACAGTGACGGGTCAGACGTCGGGGAGGGGGGCAGCAAGTCAGCAGACACGCAGCAGTTTCGCGAAGAGGAGGCTGAGGTTCCGCTGGGTGAGGTTACCAACCGCATTGCGGTGGTGAATCTGGACTGGGACCATATCAAATCGCGCGATCTGATGGCGATGTTTTCTAGTTTCCTGCCCAAGGACAGCGGGGGGCACATTGAGCGAATCTCCATCTATCCGTCCGAGTTTGGCAAAGAGCGGATGCAGCGTGAGGAGCTCGAGGGCCCCCCGAGAGAGATCTTCAAGAAGAAGCGGGGCGGTGATGACAGCAGCAGCGACGACGGATCAGACGACAGTGAGGACGACAGCGAAGACGACGAAAAGGTCAAGAATGATCTGCTCCGTGAGGAGGATGACGAGGAGGTCGACGGCAACGCTCTGCGCTCCTACCAACTGGACCGACTGCGCTACTACTACGCAGTCATGGTGTGCTCGGACAAGATCGCGGCCGAAGCCATCTACCGGGCCACCGACGGACACGAATACCAGGCATCGTCCAACTTTATCGATCTGCGGTTCATCCCCGACGATGTGACGTTTGACGACGACGAGCCGCGTGACGAGTGCACGGAGGTGCCCACAAACTACAAGCCGGTCGACTTCGTCACAGAGGCACTGCAGCACTCCAAGGTCAAGCTCACGTGGGATTTGCATCCGGAGGATGCGTCACGAAAAGACCTGGTGAAGAAGGCTTTCTCGGGAACGCCATCTGAGCTGATTGAGAATGATTTGCGGGCATACCTCGCCAGTGGCAGCGAGGATGAGGACGAGGAAGAGGGAGAGGACGGACTTGGTGGTGAGGATGACGGGGTAGAGGTGGTGGACAGCACCGTCAATGAGGCTGCGGGTGAGGATGAGAAGAAGGAGGACACGGGCAAAGCGCCGAAATTGAGCAAGAAGGAGCTGGCGCGACAGAAGATGCGGGCGGCACTGGGGCTGGCGGCCGAGCCGACCAAGGGCTCATCATCATCGAGCAAGCGCGAAAAGGCAGTGGGCGACATGCAGATCACCTTCACGCCGGCACTGTCGGAAAGCAGCAAGAAGAAGAAGGCACAGGAGGCAGAACCAGAGACGACAATCGAGAAGTACAAGCGCAAGGAGAAGGAGCGCAAGGAGAAGAAGCGGCAGATGGCGATTGCCAGACGCGAGGGCCGGAATCTCAGCGATGCAGATGAGGATGCGGAAGAGCAAGAAGCTGGAGAAGCAGAGGGTGGGGAGGGAGAGGATCTCGGCTTTGACGACCCGTTCTTCACGACGGAGGATGCGGCGCCAGCAGCCGAGGCGGCCGCACCGGCTGGGAAGTCCAAGACGGCGCTGCGCAAGGAGGAGCGGCTCAAGAAGCGGGCAGAACGCGAGGCCGAGGCACAAGAGAAGGCGACAGAGCGGACGAAACTGGAGGAGCTGATGGCCGAGGACGGGGAGCCCGTGGAGCACTACGACCTGCGGGAGGTGATGCGGGCCGAGAAAGCCAAGAAGAAGATGGGCAAGAAGGGCAAGAAGGGGAAGAAGGAGGCCGAGGAGCAGGCAGCGAAGCCGCAGAAGGACTTTGTGGTGGACATGACGGATCCGCGATTCCAGGCCGTCTTTGACGACCCCGAGTTTGCCATCGATCCGTCGAACCCGCGCTTCAAAAACACGCCCGGTATACAGCAGGTGCTGACGGAGATGCGGCGGAAGCGGAGGGGCGATGACGACGGTGAGGATGTCGATGGTGACAAGGAGGCAAATGGGGGCAGCAAGAGAGCCAAGAAGCCCAGGACGGCCAAGATGGCCAAGACAACATCCGAAGACGCTGCCGGCTCGAACGACAACGATGAGCTGGCGAGCCTGGTCAAGTCGGTCAAGCGGAAGGCCAAGAAGCCATAGACTGGCGGCCATGCAGTATAATTTCCATGTCTGTAAGAGGATTCGCAGACTGATCGTTTGTTTGTTGAATGGCCGTGCGCACGTGATTGCCGATATTAGTGAAGACCGAGGCAGAATTGCGCAATGGGAAGCCTTGCCCACCCTTACGCCGTTTGCATCCTTTATTAGTACGCGGCTTTGTTTCCTCTAACTCCCAGTAAAGCTCTCCTTCCTCTCATCAAAGCCCACCGTCCAAATCCATTCATCAACAAAAGCAACGTTACAAATCTACCACCAAAAAAAAACATCATAGCCTTGCAAGATGCCAGCCGAAGCTTGGTATAAAAGGGCCTATGGGTTTGCCAGAGAAAATCCCGGCACGACCGCTCTGTACGCCACTTCCGGTGTTGCCACTGCGTTCATGGTCGCTCCGATGGCCGTCGCCGGTGCCGGCCTAGGGCTCATAGGATTTACGGCCAACGGCGTAGCCGCAAGTAAGTTTCTCTGCGTACCTACTCGGTGATCGTGTCGGCTGACCCACAATCAGCCTCTATGGCTGCCGGCTGGCAAGCATCCATCGGCAGCGTTGTGGCACCGAGCCTGTTTGCCACGCTTCAAAGTGCCGCTGCCGGTGGCTATGGGGTGGCTGCTGTAGGTTCGGCAGTCAGCTCGGTGTCCGGCCTCCTCGGAGTCTCGACGGGCGTGGCGGCCGCGCTGCGCACGAAGAAAAAGCGCGAGGAGGGCGACGACGATGACGATGATGATGCGGATAAAGATGAAGAGGCAGAGGATACGGCAGAGACAGTCGTGGGCGAGGAAGATACTTTCATAGAGAGAGGAAGAGAGTCAAAGTCTTGAAGAGTCAAAGCAAAAGGGCTTTCAAAGGAAGACTCAGCAGACAGAGTGAGACAGATGAGACAGATGGAGTACGGCTTACACAGACCAGCCGATCACAATCAAAAGAGTTTGATCACGACAGCCCGCTCAGAACGGAGACGGCATTGAGGCCGACTTGTTTCTCCTCAATAGCAGATGCATTACGGCTCCATGTTAGCAGACAAGCTTTCAAACGCCTGAGCGCAGCCGCATAACGCTAGGGGCGGGAGAAAAGCTTCATATGCTTCTATGCTATAGCCGAGCAAACCATCCGCGCGTTTCGTTTGAAGCCACTGAAACGCCGTCGTAATGCGGCATACGACTGCGCTAAGCCCAGCGTCTTCAGGACCGTCACAGCACATCCTGTCCTAGTCCAGTCTAGGGGTGGCGTTATTGTTCAAGGCGACGAAAAGATACAGTTGGTCGTGACTGCCGGTCTTGGCAGAGCACGGCGGATGCAGCCGGGGAAAGAGCGTGTTGCTTTCTTTTGAGCCTCATGTTGCAGCGTGTCAATTGTCTAGATCTCGTATGGGTTCCCCATGTCTTCAATCTTCCTGGACGTCCTCTTCTAGCATCGACAGGTATACCTTGCTAAGCTCGCTTGAACATAGCCCCCATGCGCCACCTTTCCGTGCAAACGACGCCATTGGCGGAAATGGAAATGATCTAGATTCGTCACCTGAACTCGTACTGGTTACGCGTCACAAGTCTGCTGTGCCCTGGTCGATCCTTCGGAACCCCTGCGACTATCTGGCGCAGCATCTTACTTCTCTGGCTCAGCTCATTACTTAGGTAAGATACCAGCCCCGGCTATGCACCGCCGCTTATCTTTTCTCTTCTGCATTTCCCCCTCCCTTCAGCGTTTCTCAACAAGAACAGCATGGCTTTGCGCAATTGAACATTTGCATCTCTCTCGTTGAACCAAATCTGGCCCTAAGAAGACCCACCACTCCGGCACACCCGCAACCCGAGAACGGTACAACTAAGAGGCCGGCATGGCAGGACGGCAAGATTACCGCCTCCCGAGTCGGTACTGCGACGGCGAGGACGACAAGGTCCTGGCAGCGGCCGCAAGGTTGAGCCTTAGTCCGCACAGAGAGGAGCGTAAAAGTACTCTCGCACAGATTTCGTCGGTAGTCTTATGGCTGGCGACGTTTTCCTGGCTGCCCAGCAGCCCACGACAACGCCGCCATCTCTGCGTCTTATTGCTGCTGATGTCCACTATTTTGGGCTTCTGGGTCCTCATCTCAGACGACTCTCGGCGACACCTAGTCACCGTCGACGGCGCCAGTGAAAGCTTATCGCGGCTATGGTCGCATCCTGACTCGTCTTCATCCTGCTCCTCTCCCGCATCTCCCGCTGCCCCCGTCTCCGCTGGCTCTCTTGAAACCTCTATCTCCCCGGACATCCCCGATTACGACCCGTTCTCCACTGGCCGGATTGCCGACACTAGCGTCTCAACGCGGCTGCCACAGATCCCGCCCAAGATTTGGCAAGTTTACCTCTCATGGGCTTCCTCCGCAGTAACGCCCGGGTACTTGGCCAGCTGGATGTCACGCTCGCCCTCGTTCATGTACACCATCCTAGACGCGGATGGCGCCCGGGACGTCGTCGGACGGCTGTCGCGTCTTGCTCTGGACAAGACACTGAGGTTGCCGATATGGGTGCCAGCGAGCGCTCCGAGCCAGGAGAAGGACGCTAAGAGCGAAGACAGCGAGAGCAAGAGCGAGAGTGAAAGACGCGGCACTGATGATATCGACAGCGTGTCGGCAGCTGATATCGGCAGCGATGCTCTTCAGCTGTATGAAGCCATGCCTCGGCGGGTGCTGCGCGCCGACTTTCTGCGGTACCTCTTACTGGCTCTCGAGGGTGGAATCTACACGGACTCGGACACATCGCTCGTGCGCCCCATTAGGGACTGGGTGCCGGAGTCGATGCGCAACGCCACGCGCCTCATCGTCGGCCTCGAGGCCGACTCGTCACCGCCCGTGTCCGGCACCAAGTACGAGGTTCAGTTCTGCCAATGGACGCTGGCCAGCGGGCCGAACCACCCAACTATGTGGACCATGGTGCATCGCATCCTGGCCCACATGCGCGACAGCTCATCAGGCTTTTTTACGCCCTCCTTCACCGACGATGACGTCCTAGCTGTCACCGGCCCTGCGGCTTGGACCGAGGTTATCTACGCCCACCTCAACCGCGTCGCTGGTGACGGCGCCGGTCAGGAGCGCATCACCTGGGAGACCCTGCACGGCATGACGGAGCCACGCCTCTTTGGCGATACCGTGGTTCTGCCTATCGACAGCTTTGCCACGGGCGTGCCGCACTCCAAGGCGAGCAAGCAAACGGTTGAAGCTACACTCGTGAAGCACCAGTTCCTCGGCAAGTGGCGTGGGAACAATGGTAAATAAAGGCACAAGTGTACTTCTGCTTCCTCGGTCTGTTTGGCTTTTTGAAGATCAGATGGCTGGTTGAAGATAGGGGTGTTTGGCGTTGACAAAATCCACAGGCATTTGGGGTGGGTTTTGGACTTTGTTACATAGTATGGATGCAGCTGCAGCTGCAGCTTTTTGTTTATCCACACCAGCTGGGAGGAGTTATATTATGGGCCAATTGTATGAGCGCAAGATGGCAGCGGCACATGTTCGACGTAGAACATTGATTCCTTGACAAAGACACATTCTGTAGTACCGAACCACGGTAGTGGAACACGGTAGTGGGATGAATATGCCGAATTACGTAGTATATGAAACGGTGCTGCCTCGGCTTGACCCAGGCAACAAAGTAGCCAAGCCCGAGTACGGGCTTTCGCGACTGGATCTAGCTTCACCGCATAGCCAACATCCAACGACACAGGGGTAGCCAGGAACAAGACCTAATACAACCACCGCCTTTGCACGGACGCAGGACAGCAGACCCATCCCCAGCCCTCGTATTTGGAGATGGAACAAAAAAAAGGAGGGCATTATCACAAATCAAGGATAAAGGAGATGGGGGCAAAAGAATCACCAGATGGTCCCGGAGGGGCTCGAACCCTCGACTTTCGCATGTAATTCGCCGTGATGACAAAGTATTAGTACGATGCGCTAACCAACTGCACCACGGAACCAGTACCTGTTGTTGGAGGGCAAGTCCGCGCTGTCAGGGCCTATGGTGTTGGCAACTTTGGCAGGTGCCGCCGTTCACACTGCGCCGAGGGAGGCAAACGAGGAGACAACCTGACCATCTTGGCCGGTGCCTAAGGAGATTTGCGCTTTCAGAGGTACTCCGACAACGCGGAGTTGGGTGACAAGACCAGGTGGTACTCGGAAGCTATCCGCTTTGAAACAAGGGTGCTTAAATGGCGGTCACAACCTCCGCCAACCAGAAAAGTCGGTGGGTTATCTTCGCGGGATATTCGGCCAGAGCCAACCAAGAGCATCGGTCGCCACGTCTGCCGGCCACCTCCACAGCAGCAGCGTCGGTATCTTGGAAGAAGGCATTTGTAAAACAAGCTAATCTCGGCCCATATGTATCTCCGCATTCCGGGTCCTACTCCGTACTGTCTCCGATTTAGGACTCGTTCTTGTTGGGCATGGGTGCATTAAGGCGCCGAGGGTTTTGTACCTACGAGCAGGTCATCTGGCAGTTTACGCCCCTTTGACCACGTACGCGCTCCGTACTCGTATTAGCACCATGCGCAGCTCACTCATCGGGGCGGCCTGCCACTCGTACGAGCTCCTGTGGAGGACCCCGACCAGCGACTCGCCTACGCATCCTGACTATGGGTCTCATGGATTGGTCCGATTGTGAACGGTCCATGCTCATCAGTGGGTACTGGTGTGGGCTCAATGATCGGCACGAACACACGATCGGCCTCTCAAATTTGTGCACGTTGTGCACATACGACGATGTGCTCGGGCCAGAGTATATATATCCAAGATGCGCCGGAGGGAGTCAGAACCCCCTCGCTTGGGACGTGGACGGCAATATCTTAACGTTCAACAACAATCCCAAGACGCACAATGACATCAACGGCACCATCCAAGCGGTCGATTGACAAGGAGGTCTCGTCCGTCTTCAAGAACCTTCGGTACGAGAAGAAAGCCACCAAGACGGCCTTGATAGCGGTGGTGCGCTCAAAGAGCTATGCAGAACTCGACAACCTCTGCAAGAAAGCCAGCTGGACTGGACTAAAGTTCTGGCGCAGTAAGTCTATGAAGCAAGACAAGACGCGTTTGCGCTTTGGGATTTGTGCTTACGTAATCCAATGATGACAGAGAAGACGCTCGTCTTTGTCGCGACCCCGGAGGATCTGGCGGATGCTATCCGTCAGGTCGAGCACAATGGTCTGTCCAAGGACCTGACCATTGTTGTCAGCGGTGCCATTCCGGACCTGTCGCTGCACGTCGGCAGCGACGTTCGCGCGCTCAAGGTGATCCGCTGCGAGTTTGAGCACACCGACTGCCACGAGCGCCTATTTATGGACGGCGCTTCGACGCTGGCTGAAACGCGTCTGGACGAGTGGGGCATGGGAGACCGCGCGACCTTTGAGCAGCACGCCGTCCTCCTCGGCCGCAACATCCTCATCAAGACGAACATGAACAACATGAGCGCCGTGAGCAAGCGCAACCAGAGTCAGACCCAAGCGGCCGCAGCTGGCGGAGAAGCATCCACCAAGGCTACCAGCAAAGGCCTCAACAAAGCGCCTAGCAGATCGTCTAGCAAGGCGCCAAGTCGATCGCCGAGCAAACCGCCCAGTCGATCGCCCAGCAAATCACCGGGCCACACATCCAGCCATTCGTCCAGCCATGGGTCCGGCCATGCATCCGGCCATGCACTCGGTCGTACACCCAGCCATGGACCCAGCAGTGGACCTAGCAATGCACTCGTCAAGGCATCCAGCAAGGACTCCACCCAGACGGTCAGCGAGGAGCAGATGAGGAGGTACATCCAGGTGGCGGAGCAGTATGCACAGAACCTCACAACCTGGGAGGAGTGCAGAGACGTGGTGTCGACGCTGGTGGATCGCGTCGTGGGCCAGGACAAGGTCCTCGTCGGCCTGAAGGGCATCGCAGGTGGCGTGGCCTTTCAGCTGCAGACTCCCCTCTGGAGCGCCAAGATGGCCGCCCTCGGGCTCAAGACGTCGTCGCTCGTCTCGCTCGGCGGCTCTGTCGTCATTCTTGGCACTGCTGCTGCTGTGGCAGTCTACTTCTTCCCATGGAGCGACTTCTGGGACAGCCTGAGGACGCTCATGTCGATATTTTGGAAGTGGGCGGGCGACATGTGGGACAAGTTCTGCAGCAACGTGCGCGCTGCCTTGGAGAACGAGCTGCGGAATGGCCCGTCGCTCCTTTCCAAACGAGTGGCCTGATTGTCGGATCAATGAATGCATTTTACTTGGGGCATCGTAGCCGCTCAGTACAGGCTTTACGACGATGCCCTTCAAGTTGGCGGAACTAGTGCTATCGTTTCTGGAGTTACATCATTTTTGCTTTTCTCTCTGGTTCCCAGTTTTGGCAGTCAACAAATTGTACATAGAACGCGTTCCTGTGACTCTCGCCTGCAATGATGCAGCAGACGTCCAGGAAAGGTATCGGCGTTTTTCATCAGGCTGGTAGTAGTGGACGAGTCATTTTCTTAGAAAATACGAAAAACAGACTGGACAACAGGAAAAGGAGACGATGGAGATCTTGCACAATAGCGGTTTTGCTCGACAGTCCCTGCAAAGACTACGTCGTAGAACTACTGCCAGGCGATGCAGGATGACGCATTTGTGGAAGCACAGGAGCAGCCGATATTACCTTACGGTGAGACGCTGATACCGAAGGTATGGCATCTCTGGAAGATGCCCACTTACGGTCTTAAGGATGCGGCCTTTTCCATCTTGCAGATGACCAGTGTTTTCATCGATATGATACGGTGGTTGTCTGTAACCTTGATTGCCGAGACGACGCTTACTGACGAGTAGTAACGACTGAATCGCACTGTAGACGTGTATTCACACTATATGTATCCTACATGACTGTATACAACTACTGGTAATGTACGGAGTACCGAAATGCTCTTTCCTACGCATTACTGCGCTTACATTACGTGATCGAAGGCACTCCTATAAAACCCTGTACGGAGTAATGTTCTTGTTAACAGGGGTAGGGGGCTGCAGTGCGATTAGCAATGCTCTTACAATGAGTCAACTCCGGTAAGGTTGTTGCATAGTGACAGGCGTCAGGTGGGTTAAGTCAGCGCCTGCAGGTGAGATTCGGCGTTCGGCATGTCGCCTGGCATCGCTCTTTGCGCTAGACCCGAAACTTTGCCCCGTAATATCCCGCCCAGTATTTCAATCAATGGCAGCGCATTTTACGAGGATTTTGTCACCAAGTGAAGTCTTTTTGCAGATTCAGACGTACGACGTATTCGCAGCCATTGGATGCGCTTTTTCCTGGATAGTCGAACTACCAAGTAGGCTTGGTCTTTCGTGAATGTTACAACAGTAGAGAGCCAGCAGCAGGAGAGAGAACCCGAGAAAGACAGACTTGCCAACTTCCGAAAGTGCAAAGATGATAGCTCGAGCCAGAACCTCCCCGTCTGTCGTCAGCGCGGTGATTGGCCGCAGCCTCAGCCCTCGTGCCAGCACCGTGGGACGACCACACCGGAGACAGCCACGGCGGCCACTGCTGCCATCACAGAATTTCCCGTCGATATGCGCGCGTTGTTTGCAGACACGCGCCGCTATGCCGGTTCGGCCGGCCGCGGCCAAGAGCAACACTGCCCTTCCGGCGTCGGCGTCAGTGCGGCGACAGGCCTCGACAGTGGCGGCTACGGCGGACATGACCACAACTAACAGCGACGACATCGGCCCCATCCAGGAGTATGACCGGCGCGTGGCGGCCGGAAGGCTGCGCAACGATGAGCACCAGCGGGGTAAGTGAAGTCTGAGACGGCAGTAGGTAGCCGAAACGACTGTTGCTGACGAGCCCCGAAAACAGGAATCATACAGAGCCTTCAGGACATGCACGATGAGCTCCGTAACTACGAGGCGCCACTGGTCGTCCACCCGAGCATCGACAGCCTCGCGGCCAAGCCGTCCCAATCGCTACTGGGCTCCTGGTTCGGCGGCGGGAACAAGACCGCGAAGTCGGCCGTCGGCAATATCCCTGAGAACCTGCCGATGGGCCTATACCTTTATGGAGACGTGGGCAGCGGCAAGACGATGCTGATGGACCTGTTCTACGACACGCTGCCGCACAAGGTACGCAGCAAGCTGCGCATTCACTTCCACAATTTCATGCAGGACGTGCACAAGCGGCTACACAAGCTCAAGATGCAGTACGGCAACCATGTAGACGGGATTCCGTTCATCGCGGCCGACATCGCCGAGCAGGGCAACGTGCTGTGTTTTGACGAGTTCCAGTGCACCGACGTGGCAGATGCGATGATTCTGCGCAGGTGAGTTGTGTGTGTGTGTGTTTGTGTGCGTTTCTGGTGCTCTTCTCACATGTCAGACTCATCGAAGCCCTCATGGCCAATGGTGTGGTGCTCATCACGACGTCCAACCGCCACCCCGACGAGCTCTACAAGAACGGGGTGCAGCGCGAGTCCTTTATTCCGGCCATTGAGCTGCTGAAGCGGCGGCTGCACGTGATCAACCTCGACTCGCCGACAGACTACCGCAAGATCCCGCGACCGCCATCGGGCGTCTACCACACGCCGCTCGACAGCCACGCGCAGTCGCACGCGGAGAAGTGGTTCCGCTTCCTCGGCGACCCGCGGCAGCCAGAGTCGCACGCCGAGGTGCAGACGGTTTGGGGCCGCGAGATCCTTGTGCCAAGGGTCAGCGGCCGCTGTGCCTGGTTCACGTTCGACCAGCTGATCGGCCAGCCGACGTCGGCAGCCGACTACCTCGAGCTGGTGCGCGCCTACGATGCCTTTGTGGTCACCGATGTGCCCGGGATGACCCACCGCCAGCGTGACCTGGCCCGCCGGTTCATCACGTTCATCGACGCTGTCTATGAGTCACACGGGAAGCTGGTGCTCACGACCGAGGTGCCGCTGAACCAGCTATTCGTGTCCAAGGCCGAGATCCGCGAGTCGCTCGCGAACAAGAAGGCCGGCAGCGGCAACAGCAGTAGCAGCAGCAGCCGCGCCGCACAGAGCGCCGCGGCCGCGGACATGGCCGAGTTCGAGGTCAACGAGACGCTCGAGGAGCTCGTCGAGGGCATGGAGGGCCACAACATGATGCAGCAGCTCAAGAGTTCGAACCTGTTTACCGGCGAGGAGGAGGCCTTTGCCTTTGGCCGCGCCCTCTCTCGCCTGACCCAGATGGGCAGCAAGGAGTGGGTTGAGCGGGGTATGGGACTCGAGGAAAAGGGCGGCAAACAGGAGCATGACGGCTACAAGAAGATGCGCAGCCGGCAAATGGAGGATAGCATGTGAGGCTGTGCTGCCGGTGGAAGCGGAGCCTTGATGTTACTGACCGCAACTCTGATGTCCATGCACAATGTCTTCATAAAGAGCGTCATACAATGCAAATGCACATTAATCTGCTTCCGAGGGGGTGGAAATGCAACGAGATACGGAGTACTGACATGTGACTCATTACATACGGATAGACTTGGCGGAAGGTACAAGAACGGAGTACTGTACGGAGTACCCGCTGACGTATTGCAACAAGCACCCCAGTTTCCTTATTGGTACTAGCGCACAAGGCGTTGCTTATCGCCTAAGCTCTCATCTCCTGCTTCCTCTTGTAACTCCAACCAAACAAAGGATCGCTGGTCCGTTCAATCACCCCCAACAAACACTGTTTCCATCAGCAACCGTACCCTTTCATTCTAAACGATCGATTTGCAACTATGAAGGTCTCTTCTGCCATCGCGCTGCTGCTGCCGGTGGTCGCTGCACGCTTCGTCGACTCTGCTTTCGAACAGGATCACGTACAGCTTCATCCAGAGCAGGCTGCCGCCGAGCAGTTCTTGATTGAGCTCAGCCCGGGCGAGACTCGCTGGGTGACGGAGGATGAGAAGTGGGAGCTGCGTCGCGTGAGTTACCCGATGCATTTGTTTCGTTTTTCTTGGCTGTCTGGGATCCCGCCCAGTAATGTGTCGCCTTACGTGCAGCCACTGACGCCATCGCCACGCAGAATGGTCAGCGGTTCATGGACATCACGGACAACCGCGATCTCGGCCTCGCCAGCGCACAGTCTGCCACGACCGGTCCTGCCCGCGTCTTTCCCCCCAACGTGACGCTCGACGAGGAGGTGTTCCCGCTGCTGGCGAACCTGTCCAAGGGCGAGCTGCAGACGCACCTGGAGAAGCTGACGAGCTTCCACACGCGCTACTACAGGTCCGAGCACGGCCGCGCGTCTTCCAACTGGCTGCTGGGCCAGGTGAAGAAGACGGTGGGCGAGGCGGGCGGCTTCAAGCACGGCATTACGGTCAAGCCGTTCAAGCACCCGTGGGGCCAGAACTCGGTCATTGCGCGCATCCCGGGTCAGACGAACCGCACCATCGTCGTGGGCGCGCACCAAGACTCGATCAACCTGTTCCTGCCGTCGGTACTGTCGGCGCCAGGCGCGGATGACGACGGCAGCGGCACGGTGACCATCCTCGAGGCGCTGCGCGTGCTGCTGCAGTCCGAGGCCGTGCTGGCCGGCAAGGCCGCCAACACGATCGAGTTCCACTGGTACAGCGCCGAGGAAGGCGGCCTGCTGGGCTCGCAGGCCATCTTCAACACGTACGAGAAGGCCAGCAGGGACGTACGCGCAATGCTGCAGCAGGACATGACCGGCTTCGTGCAGCGCACGCTGGACGCCGGCGAGGTCGAGAGCGTCGGCGTTATTGTCGACTACGTTGACCCCGGCCTGACCGCCTTCATCAAGAAGGTCATCACGGCCTACTGCGACATCCCCTTTATCGAGACCAAGTGCGGCTACGCCTGCTCCGACCATGCGTCCGCTTCCAAGGCCGGCTACCCGTCCGCCTTTGTCATCGAGTCGGCCTTTGAGCGCAGCGACGACCACATCCACACCAGCGACGACCTCATCAAGTATCTCTCCTTTGACCACATGCTGCAGCATGCCCGCCTCACCCTCGCCTTTGTCTACGAGCTGGCCTTTGCCGACTTTGACAAGCTGGACAAGGCCGCCGCTGTCAGCGTCGCCCCGGAGATGGGCGACCTGTAGGGTGGCCAGACCGCGATCCACCACGAGCATCCGCAGGTACGGAGCACACTGATCATAATTAGTCTCCATAGCACGGGAAGTATGTAGAACATGCATTTGATAGCCCCATCCACCTCTTGCTTGTAACCTGGCTCCGCATTGATGGGTGCCTGCATATGGCATCACGTGCAGGCCTTGGCCTCGTTTATGTGCTATGTAATGGCAGTTACGTCGTACCTCGTACGGAGCAGTGTCTGCGCATTATGCGCAAGAACCTTGATTCTGTTTCTTACTTCCGGCTGCTTTGCCCTGCCTTTTGAGCATATTCTACTGCGTACTCCGTGCTCCATACTTCACCCTAATTGGTCACTCTGATTTATATGACGTCACTACCTAAGTATTGGAGTCGTACCTCTGGCTTAAGTCGTCCTTTCCCAACACGACGAAGGTTAGATCAAGATGCTTGTTTGAGTGCAGTATGAAGCGTAGCACCGCATATCAACAAGGAGCCGTATGCGCGGACAATTCGCAGACAGATAAGACAAACAAGTCTCTGCCACACCCAATTTGCCTGTAATACAAGCGCTTTCTTTCCCTGGACCCCCTTCCCCCCTAGAAGCGACTGAGTTACTGTATCGAGATTGTGGTTAAAGTAGCCACTGGCGCAGTTTCGCATCGCGCCTGTAACAATCAATAAAATTGCTAGCAAAACTCTTGTGGTCTGGGCCGGTCTGCGACTCGCGACTACCAAAATCTTGGCAAAGCTTAGCCAAAAGCTTGTCGCTCTTTCTCTTTCAGTTTAGACAAGCCCCACCTTCTTCCTGCCGATCTAGGATGACGGCGTACACCCTCATTCACGTTGCGTCGTAGTCTTTCCTGTCAGACATTCTTCTAGGCTGTCTTGCAATTGGTAGCTCGTTCCTGGCGCGTTGGTGACGTACCCCAATATCATGGATGGCACTTTCCTGCTCTGCCTTCTTCGTAGTCGAACCAAGTGATACTCCGCGTCCTTCTTTTGGGTTGCTTTGCTTCTCCTTTCCCATGTAATCCCTTGAACGTTCTGTCTGTTCTACCGTCAGATTTTTGCTCGACTTCGCAAGGCTCAGTTCAATACCATTCTGCATTGACCATCGGCTCGCTTGCCCATACATAAACACCGAAATGTCCTGCAACCAGGAAATCCTGGCTGACAAGGCTCTGGGCGATGATATCGTCCGTCTCTGCACGTCAGCCGACAGCGTCTCATCTCTGCTAGCCACCACGCCATCGCTATCACCTGGTGAAGCCTGGAAACAGCTTTATGGTGACTACAAGCCTACCGCGGCAACCAACCGCAAGAAGGCAGATGATGCAGACCTGGATCGGGCTGCCCAGTGCGGCAAATGGGGCCCTACCCAGCCAAGCGATACATTTTTGCGTGTAAGAATCTTTGAGTGGACTGTCCATAAAATGTCTAACAATTACGCTGACACGGCCCAGATATACCGCGATGTTTTGGCCGTTGTGGAAGAAAGTCCAGATCGAGCCATGGTCAGCCCGCCATTACTTGGCAGCTGCGGAGTGACACCTCTGACAATCATATCGACGTAGGAATCTTGACTCCCCCGCTGAGTCCAAAACATATCTGACCTTCTCCCAGAATTCCCGATATTGTCAGACACATGGCCAATGTCATTGCACGCGCAGAGAAGGAGGTTTTCCTCGCAACAAACTACTGGCAGGACAGCGTTGCGTCGACATATCTCACAAACGCCATCAGAGAGCTCGACCGTCGTGCGGGTCAGAGAGGTGCCCGGATTGTCATGAAAATCATTTACGACCGCGGCAGCCCCAAACAATTTATCGACCCACACCATCTTGTCGGCGAAGACGAGTACACAGGAAAGAACGTAGCCCTTCCTGCATCGAAGGACATCCCCAACATTTCGATGGAGGTCATGAACTACCATCAGCCCATTATGGGCACATTCCATTCCAAGTATATGGTTGTCGATCGCAAAATTGCTATATTGCAGAGCAATAATATCCAGGACAACGACAACGTGGAGATGATGGTTCACTTTGAAGGCCCGATTGTGGATTCGTTCTATGATATGGCTTTGCTTTCCTGGAACAGGAAGCTTGAGCCGCCTCTTCCTAGCCGCAACTCGCCGGCCTCTGTTGTGGGCTCTGGTAGCTATACCGAGCAGAGCGGAGAGGTGATTGCTGGAAACCATCCTGCTGGTAGTTTGGCCTCAACTGAAGGAACAATTGAAGGACAAACTGTAGGAACTGATGGACCAATAGGGGTCACAAGTGGAGTCACAGCTAAAGGAACAACACATGACAACCCATCTGACGAGGCTGTTTTAAGCAAACAGATGCAGGAGGCTTCGATCCAGAATACTGCCACAGAACTACTAGGCAGTGATCCTCGTCAATCTGAGGGATCGAGACCTGCTGGCAGTGCGAGCAGCACCAAAGCAGAAGGACTTCCACCCAAAGAATCAACCAGCACAACACAAGATACAGTGCAACAAAAGCGTTCAGAACTCCGACCTAACAAAGCCAACGGTCCAGATCCGGGGATACAAGCGTTTCTTGACAGCGGGAAACAGCAGATTCCGAGATGGTGTCTTAAGCAACCATCATCCAGCATCGATCTCCCTCAGAACACGTCAGAACATCCCCAGTATGATGAAGACATTGCCCGGGAAATAGTCCGCGTGCAAGCTTCTCTGCTTCCTCGGCCTGGTAAGACAGAGATGGAGGCTATCACACGGTTGTTGAACCACACTACCAATCACTTGGCCGGTGACGCTCCCGACTTTTCCGAGGGCGACGAGATGACCCCCTATATTCCACACGACACGCAGACAAGGATTCCTATGGCCATGGTTAATCGTCCTCCTTATGGCACACCAACGCACTACTCCGTTGTGCAGCCTCAAAATGTTGCCTGGCTGTCAGCGTTACGCCATGCTCGCAAGAACATCTTCATCCAGACACCAACTCTGAATGCGGAACCGCTAATTCCAGCTATCCGAGAAGCCTGCGAGAGAGGTCTCGATGTCGTTTGCTATATCTGCATGGGGTATAATGATACGGTAAGATATTCTTTTGATTATCGGTGATGATAAAATTCTGACTGCTTGATAGGGGGAGCTCTTGCCCAAGCAGGGTGGGACTAACGAGATGATTGCTCACAAGCTGTATGGGTCGCTGTCGGACGAAGGCCGCAAGCACCTCCACTACTTTTGGTATGTGGGCAAGGACCAGACGCGGCCGATTCCGCAGATCAAGAAGAACCGGGACTGCCACATCAAGCTTATGATTGTGGACGAGAGCATTGGCATCATGGGTAACGGAAACCAGGACACGCAGAGCTGGTATCACAGCCAGGAGATCAACATCATGCTGGAGAGCTCTGACGTGTGCCGTGCCTGGATTGAAGGCCTGCGGCGCAACCAGAACACGCACATCTATGGCATGGTGGGCAAGGCAGACGGGATATGGCGTGACAACGAAGGCATTGAGGCTGAGGGTGCCATGGGTATCGACCCTGGCCATTTCAGCTGGTTCAAGGGAGTTGTGGGTGCTATCAAGAGGGCCCAGGGTAAGGGCGGGTTCTAACGATATGGCTACACACTTTTATAATGAGAAGGCGGTTATTATTACGGTGGTATCGGCTTTGCTGGTGATGAATCCTATTATGGGGGAGGCAAAGGGCTCTAGGGAAGGCAGAATGTTTTGCATGGTTTGAGTGTTTTCGGTGAATGCATGCTTTTACTGTATTGTTCGAAATTTATCATTACTAACCATAAGCTCACTCGAGATTCTCTGTTCCCCTTTAGCCACAGTCTTTGTCAAAATCCAACATCCAAGGTTACTATTGCCACTGGCTTTTGTTTTTCTCGTCGGTCATGACTACCTCCCACCGTCCATTTGATTTCCTTTTCCTCGTTCATTGTCACATTTTCACTTTGTGCGCCTTCTGACAATCGACATCACTATCTAGGTTCCTCTGTAACGACGCCACAGTGACAGTTTAAAGAAGGACTTACGATTCTGTTTGTAAATCTATCACTTTTTTTTTTTTACTATTCCATCCTCCAAAACAAGACGCTGACATGCATATCATTAGTTACCCTACAGCCATGGAGCTCAGGAATGCTGTTATCTCTCCTCCCTACCTTTCAACCCAATCAGGGTCAACCAACCGATCCACCAAATGAGGGACAACTGGCCCGGCGGTTACGAGGCCGGCCAACAATTCAAGCTCAAAGCATGGCGGGATACGCTTGCGGCATATACCTATAAGAACGCCCAACCGGACAGAACGCTTGACTACTTAATCCTAATCGAAAATGTCAAGTTCCTGATCGAGCACTACGAAAAGGGCGGCGACTTGCCGATGGTTTGCTCCCTTCGCCATGTGCAGAACGGCTAGTGGCGAATTCCCTGATCTGGGTACAGAAGATATGCTCGCCCGACATCACATTCCTACGTGTTGATGTGTCGAGCCGCCAAGCCTCATCAAGATCGACATTTGTGCCACTGTTAGCGCAAGAAGAGACCAAATGAAATATCTGTAAAACAGATGACTTGAATTTGAGCACGCTACAGAGACTACTGGCTTAGTAGCTGCGGCCGAACATGACCCATTTCTCGGCGTTGCGAGTGCACTCGGGGTTCAGGCACTGGGTCTCGCCCTGGACGAGGCCCTCCTTCGGCTGGTCGAAGGGGATGCACAGGCTCTTCATGCCCATGGTGGGGGCCTTTTGGCCGTCGGGGCCCTCGATGATCTCGTCGCTCTTGGTGAGATCCTTGAGGCGGTCCTCGCACTTGCCGTCGAGGCAGTGGGGAATGAGAACGACGTTCTTGGCGTCAAGGGCAGGGAGAACCTTGGCCCAGTCGTTGATGATGAGGCGATGGGAGGTGAAGGCGGCGTCAGCCTTGTCGTACATGGCCTTCTGGATGGTCTCGAGCAGGACAGGGATGTCGGTGGCGAGGGCACCGAGGGGGATGGTGCCCTTCTCAGCAGTGTCGCGACGGGCGAAGCTGATCACGTTCTTTTCGCGATCCTTGGGGCCGAACTCAAGGCGCAGGGGGACGCCCTTGAGCTCCCAGTCGTTAAACTTCCAGGCGGGAGTGTAGCCCTCGCGAACGTCGACCTCGACGCGGACGCCGGCGGCCTTGATCTGGGCGGCGAGCTCGTCGCAGCGGGCGACATGGGCGGCCTTCTCGTCGGCAGTCATTTTAGCGTTGAGGCCGACGGGGATAAGGATGGCCTGGATCTTGGCGATACGCGGCGGCAGGACGAGGCCCTTATCGTCGCCATGGATCATGACCATGACACCGATGACGCGAGTCGAGAGACCCCACGAGTTCTGCCAGACGTGGCGATGCTGGCCCTTGACCTGGGGGTCCTCGACGGTGATGTCGAACATCTTGCTAAAGTTCTGGCCGAGACAGTGCGACGTGGCGCCCTGGATGCCACGGCCGTTGGTTGGAATGTAGCCCTCGACGGTGGTGGTGTAGTAGCCACCGGCAAACTTCTCGTTCTCTGTCTTGCGGCCTCGCACGACCGGCACCGCCAACAGTTGCTCGTAGACACCAGCGTACAGCTCGAGGATCTCGAGCACCTCCTCACCGGCCAACTCCTCGGTCAGATGAGCCGTGTGGCCTTCTTGCCAGAGGAACTCGCGCGCCCGCAGGAACGGCGTCGTCTGCTTGGCCTCCCAGCGCACAACCGAGTTCCACTGGTTCAGCCGCAGGGGCAGATCGCGGTGGCTGCGGATCCACTTGGAGTAGTAGGGGTACATGACCGCCTCAGACGTCGGCCGCACGGCCACGGGCACCTCGAGGTCCTTGTCGCCGCTGGCTGGTCAGCGGGAAGAAAGAGGAGCTGGCGAGAACAGAAGAAAAAAGGAATAGAAGAAAAACTCACGCCTTGGTCACCCAGGCCAGCTCCGGGGCAAAGCCCTCGACGTGGTCCTTTTCCTTCTCGAGTGACTTAGCCGAGAGGAACATTGGGAAGCTGGTCTCCTCCACGCCCATGTGCTCGATCCGCTGTTGGAACCACTTCCGGATCACGTTCCAGATATACATGGACGCCGGCCGCAAAATGTAGAAGCCGGCAATCTCGTTGTAGTACTCAATCATCTCGGCCTTGAGCACTACTTCCTGGTACCACTGGGCAAAGTTGTCCGTCTTCGACACCGTGATGCCGATAATGTCGTCCGTCTTCTTGCCACCCACAACGGCCACCGTCGTCGCCTTGGCTGCCTTGTCGGCCTTGGCCTGTGCCATCTTGGCCGCCTTCTCCGCCTTCTTCAGCGCACTCTTCGACGGCTCCTTTACGTCTTCCATGGTCGTGGTCGTGGTCGTGGAAGAGACAGCTGCTCGCGTCGACAGGCCGGAGGGCAACGATCGGTTATAGGTGTCCCGGACGTGCCAGAGGAAAGTTGTAAGTCGTTTGCGCGTTTGATCTCACTAGAACGAAAGTATAGCTAAAATGCCCTTTTTTTTTTACTCCTATGTACACCTCTATAGATCGTATGGCTAACGACTTTTGTGCCCCGCACTTTTCAGGTGTACTCTCCCCCCCCGTTGTACAAACCGATAAGAAGAGGGGTGGACGGTCTCGCTGCCTTATCTCAGCGGTAGGGCATGGATCAACAGATTTTCCGGGCAAAAAAATGCATGCCAGCAACGGTTTGTCAGGAGCTTCTCTAGCTTGCTGGCGGCGTAGGAAATATTTCTGCCTGCGAAGGTTGTAGAAGGCGGGACCAAAACAACGATACAGGACGCTGACCATCGGGACCATTCATCCCTCACCAACGCACCTTTCTCTTCGTTCTATCTGTCGCCATGGCGTCAATGTTCGAGCAGTCCCGGACGGGGACTCTCTTCCTGGGCGGCCAGAAGATCTCAGGGGCTGACATCCGCGACCAAAATGGTGGGCATCCACTCTGGCAATGCCATGTTGTTCTGTTGGGTGCTGTTTATGCTAACAACGGAATGCGCAGTGATTGCAACCCAGGCCATTGCTAACGTCGTCAAGAGCTCGTTCGGGCCGAGCGGGCTAGACAAGATGATGGTGGACGACATCGGCGTAGGTTCTCCGTGTGTTGGCCGTATGTGGCCGTATGGAAAGCCGGTTCTGACCAATGCAGGACGTTACTGTGACGAATGATGGTGCGACGATCCTCACGCTGCTAGACGTCGAGCACCCTGCCGGCAAGATCCTGGTGGACCTGGCACAGCAGCAGGACAAGGAGGTGGGCGACGGGACGACGTCGGTGGTGCTGATTGCGGCAGAGCTGCTGCGTCGCGGCAACGAGCTGATGAAGAACCGCATACACCCAACGACAATCATGACGGGGTACCGGCTGGCACTGCGCGAGGCGATCAAGTACATGAACGACAACATCAGCATCAAGGTGGAGCAGCTTGGCCGCGAATCGCTGATCAACATTGCCAAGACGTCGATGTCGAGCAAGATCATCGGGTCGGACTCGGACTTCTTCTCGAACATGGTGGTGGACAGCCTGCTGGCGGTCAAGACGACGAACAACCGGAATGAGACCAAGTACCCGGTCAAGGCAGTCAACATCCTGAAGGCGCACGGCAAGAGCTCGCTGGAGTCGGTTCTGGTCAAGGGCTACGCGCTCAACTGCACGGTGGCGTCGCAGGCGATGAAGACGCGGATAACGGACGCCAAGATTGCGGTGCTGGACATGAACCTGCAGAAGGAGCGGATGAAGCTGGGGGTGCAGATCACGGTGGACGACCCACAGCAGCTGGAGCAGATCCGGGCGCGCGAGGCGGGCATGGTGCTGGACCGGGTGGACATGATCCTGAAGGCGGGAGCGAACGTGGTGCTGACGACGAAGGGGATCGACGACCTGGTGCTCAAGACGTTTATCGAGCGTGGAGCGATGGCGGTGCGGCGGTGCAAGAAGGAGGACCTGCGGCGGATCGCACGGGCGACAGGAGCGACGCTGCTGAGCACGCTGTCGGATCTCAACGGCGACGAGCGATTTGAGGCGTCGTACCTGGGCCACGCCGAAGAGGTGTCGCAGGAGCGGATCTCGGACGACGAGTGCATCCTGGTGCGCGGACCCAAGGTGTTCTCGGCAGCGTCGATTATCCTGCGCGGGCCCAACGATTTTTCGCTCGACGAGATGGAGCGGTCGGTGCACGACTCGCTCTCGGCCGTGAAGCGGACGTTGGAGAGCGGCGCGATTGTGCCGGGCGGTGGTGCCGTGGAGACGGCCCTGCACATCTACCTGGAGGAGTTTGCCGGCACGGTGGGATCGCGTGAGCAGCTGGCGATTGGCGAGTTTGCGCAAGCGCTGCTAGTGATCCCCAAGACGCTGGCAGTGAACGCGGCCAAGGACGCGTCCGAGCTGGTGGCCCAGTTGCGGTCGCGCCACGCCCTCTCGCAGCGGACGCAGGAGGGTGCGGACGAGGATGAGAAGACGCTCGCGCGCAAGAAGGGCTACAAGAACTACGGCCTGGATCTGGCTCGCGGCCGTGTCGTCGACGAGGTCAAGCTGGGCGTGCTGGAGCCGACGATCAGCAAGGTGCGCCAGCTCAAGAGTGCGGTCGAGGCCTGCATCAGCATCATGCGCATCGACACGCTGATCAAGCTGGACCCGGAGCAGCGGGAGGACGACGGACACGGCCATTAGCGGGGGAGATACTCTGTAGCTATATGCCAGAAATAGAGCCACAGCCGTGATGTTTGTCTCTTTATTACATAACCATAACCGTGATCCGCTAGCTCGGCCACTATCGGCTTAGGTTTGCACAACAAACCAACAAATGCATCCAGGCTCTGACTCAAAAGGCAAGTCCACCTGCCCGGGCGGTTGCTCCTGCTGGTTCCGGGCAAGTGTTGCTTCGTATGCTTGCAGCCCCGCTTTCGTTCGTCGATCGGACTTGAAGGACACCTTCCCAAGTGGCTTATTGTACCGATCCTGCAGACAGATCGTTTCATCCTTTCATACATAATGGCCTTGGGCACTGGCTTTTCCTGTTCCCGGACGGCCACGTTTCCCTGCACGGCTCTCCGAGCATAAGCATACGACTCTGTGCACGCCCAGCCACCCAGCCATCCTCGCTTCTTCTCTATAGCTCAGGATGAGCTCCAACGAGAAGCTCAAGGCGTCGTCCGATCCTACGCTCGTGCTAACGCACCCGACGGCGGCTGAGCGTGAGCGCATCTGGACGCAGACTCATGGCATGTGGGGCAGTGCGCTCTCGCTGGAGCAGTACGTGGCGCGCGAGGCCTTTCTGACGACGGCACCGCTGGCCAGCGACGGCGGCATCACGCACTGGATCCTGACCGACAGCACGGAGCTGCCAGACCGACGGCCGATCCTGTCGAGCTGCGAGTCGCTGCGCAAGCCGGCGGCCGTGAGCAGCACGAGCACGGGCACGGCCGTGGTGACAGACGGCATGGCCCACGGCGTCGGCTCCGTCTTTACGGACCCGCAGTTCCGCGGTCAGGGTTATGCTGGTCGGATGCTGACGGAGTTGGGACCACGGCTAAAGGACTGGCAAGCCGGCGGAGACAATACCCACCGGCCGCTCTTCTCGATCCTCTACTCCGACATTGGCAAGACGTTTTATGCCAGCAAGGGCTGGGCCGTCTTTCCGAGCACACACTTTGCCTTTGCCGTCGACAGCAAGGATGGAATTGAGGACGGGACTTTGTTGTCCGCCAGCGACACTCAGCCAGCTGCTCCCCTCCTCGCCGACGACCTCGCAGCCCTGGCCGCGGCCGACGAGGCGCTGCTGCGGGCCCGCCTCGTGCGCGTGGCTGATTTGACACCCTCGGCTGCCCTGCTGCCCGGCGTCGACGCGCTGCACTGGCACCTCGTGCGTGAAAAGTACATGACCCAGCACATTCTGCAGCGCTCGCCGACGGTTCATGGTGCCATTGCCAGCACGGCCAGCACGAACAACACGCAGCCCGGCCACCGGCTGTGGGTCGTCTGGACGCGGACGTATCACGGTGGTCCCGAGGCCACGGCCGGCAACACGCTGCACATCTTGCGGGTGGTGCTCGAGGACGTCGACGACGATGACGCGGCGCCCGCGAACCTCTCTGCCCGCCACGCTGACGGATTTCGCGCCATCATCGCGCTCGCCCGGGCCGAGGCCGCCCGCTGGCACTGCGGCGACGTGCAGCTCTGGAACCCGACGCCGGCCGTCAAGACACTCACCCAGAAGGCCGGCCTCACGCCCACGCTCGTGGACCGTGAGACAGACAGCATCGCGAGCCTGATGTGGTATGGTGAGGGTCCGACCGAAGAGGTCGCCTGGGTGGCTAACGAAAAGTACGCGTGGTGCTGAGGCAACACGGACAAAAAGGTGCAAGACAAAGTGCCTCTGCCCTTTCTAGACGGCAAGGCATACAAGGCAATATAGACGGAATACAACACAGATCGTGGGTATCAATTTGTGCTATCGACAAAAACGTGACTGTGTTTCTTTGGCTTGCTTTCTATTTCTTTCCCTTTTCCTTTTTCCCCTCACTTGAGCGCAGCCACGACGGCCTCGCCGACCGCAGTGCCGCTCATCGGGTTCTGGCCAGTGATGAGCTTACCCGAGGTGACGACACCGACGTGCCAGTCGTCGACGGGGACGAACTCGGCGCCATCGACGGCGCGAATGGCCGACTCGAGCGCAAAGGGCACAACTTGGGTGAGGCCAACAGCTGCCTCCTCCGAGTCCTTGAAGCCGCTGACCTTGTGGCCCGACAGCAGATGTGGCGAGGCCGCATCTGCCGGGCTCTCCACGTTGAGCCGCACGTTAACAAAGGCACCGGGGCCGTGGCAGACGGCCGAGACGATCTTGCCGGCCAGCGCAAAGGCTGCAATCAGTCGCCGGCTCTCCACATCTGTTGCCAGGTCGTAGAGCGGGCCGTGGCCGCCGGGGTAGTAGACCGCGTCAAAAGCTGCCGCTGTCTTCTTGGCTGTGGCCGCGTCGCCGGCAAACGTCGACAGCTTCGTCGTCTGCTCAAAGAGCGCCTTGTGGTCTTCGAGGAAGGCCAGAGCGACGGCGTCGCCCTTGGCTGCGTCGATCGACGCCGGGTCCAGCGGTGCCACGCCGCCCTTGGGCGAGGCCACCGTGATCTCGTAGCCGGCCGCGGCAAAAACCTCGTACGGGTGGGCAAACTCGCTCTGAAAGACCGTCAGCAGGTGAAGCAGTGGCAAACAGTGGTCTCAACGCACCAGGTACCAGCCTGTCGGCTTGCCGGTCTCGCCCAGCTTGTTGTGCGAGGTCAGGACGACGAGGATCTTCTTGGATGCCATGGCTGGATATGTGTGGATGGAGAATGTGATGGTAAGATAGCAGTGCTGTTACTTCTTGGACCCGACGACCTGCAGCAGAGACGGCAGCGAGATGGCCCCTCTTATACCCAAGAACATCGCAGCCATGCGTCGTCCTGTCCCGTCCCAGGCATCCCAGATGTTCTTTGTTCTTCCACTTTTGCTGTGCTGTTCACAAATCAGCACCCTTCCAAGCAGGTGCTAACACTGAGCACGGCTCTCGACAGCGCTGAAGAGTGGGGCCTACGGTGCCTGCAAACCCCACCGCAAGATTTGTCAACTGCTGTTGAAGTACGGAGTATGTCATAGTGTCATAGCGTGGCTGCCAGGTGGAAGAGCTGGTTTTGCCACCAATGTACGGAGTACTCCGTATCTTACAACGTAATCTTCCCGCGTGCAGTCGTAGAACGTGCTAGAAAGTGGTGAAAATTGCGACTGCCGCATCGCCTGCTCTCCACCATTGTCGTATGCAAAACAGAGCAGGGGACATCCCCCACCGTGTTCTTGATAAGCAGTACTCGTATTGTGCTCGTATGGCTTGGCGTTCATGCAACTTCTTCTAAATACAAGCGATGCCCAGCTTCCAGATCGACAGTGTCCCCGGACAATTAAATTGTTGCTGAAATTCCATGTGCTGACTGACCAAATCCCGCTAAATATGCAATGCTACGCTGACGGTTTTGCTGCTGAATAAGGACAACGGAATTCTAGATCTCGTCTTCTCTCCCTCGTCATAACCACTGCAGGTTCCGCTTTCGCTGTCGATTCTGTTGCCACAACGGACCATCCGCCCGTATTATCGGCGTGCCGGGCATCTCTGCGAGCCCGCTGTCTCCTTTCGTGAGGCCGCCGTCCAGGTCCACCGTCGGGTTTCCTGCCGTCGAGATTGCACCTACGCCGCTTCCTGTACTGTTCGTGCCGGATTCGCCTCCACCACGTATTCTACTCTTCACCTGCAGCTCCTCAGGGTCGTCGTCGAAGCTCAGCTTCCTTGCTCTGTTTGTGCGGCTGCCTCCGCTCCTGGTGTTGATATCTCCGTTTATGTCACCGTTACCGTCACCACCACCACCACTACCGTTGATACTATCGTCGCTCTCTTCACCGATCCGGCTCAGCGTTGCCTGTTGTCCGCTCCGCGTAGTAAAGTCCGTGCGGTCGTACGTCAGCGGCAGCTGTTCTTCTGATTCATGCACAACACCGCCGTACGGTGACATCTGAAAGTACGCCGCTGCTGGCGGCGGTGTCGGCATGCCGGTCATGGGTGGCGAGGTCGCCGGTGCCTTAGGTCTAGGAGTGCTGGCTGCGGATGTTTTTACGCCGCGATAACTGCTCTCAGGACGCTGCCTCGGTTCCGATGCTCCGGCTCCTCTGCCGTGCTTTGCTGCCGCCGCCGCGATTGCTGCCGCCGCTGCTGGTCCGATGGCAGGCGTCACCCAGGCTTCGTCTTCATCTACATCTTCGGAAAATGGCCATCGACCGTAACTTGTCCGCCGCTTCGGCGTCAGCGGTTCTGCCTGGGCCATCTCGGGCCGCAAGCCCGTCTCAAAATCCTCGGCAGTGCCATGCAGAGCCTGGAAATTGCCCGATGCGGGACTGTGTCTGTGTAAGCAGAGCGAGGCAGAATGAAGAGAAGTTATCATGCTTTACCTCAAATTTTGACCTTTGCGGCGGCTACCCCCCCGACGCTTCCAGAAACAGAAGACCAGGAGAGCAAGGATAGCTATCAGACCAGCCACACTGCTGATGGTAGCGCCAATGATGATACCTGCTCGATCACGGTCGCTACTGTTTGGCAGTTTGGAGGAAGTAGTTGGGGTGGAAAGGGACGTTGGGGAAGTCGAAGAGGAGGAGTATGATGAAGATGCTGAAGAAGCCGAAGAAGCTGAAGAATGGGCTGTTGCTTTTGTCGATGCTGACGGCGCCGACGTCGACGACTGTATTGTTTCTGTGAAGCTGACCTGCAGGCTGCTCAAGTCGAGCAACGACGACATGCCGGTAGCAGACATGGCCACGGTTGTCCCCATGTCGCTGGCCGAGCCGCAGCCATACTGATAGTAGCCGCCGCTGAACTCGTTCTTGTAGCAGACACTGCTAGCCGAGCATGTGTAGACGTATGGATTCACCTCGTTCTGTGTGCTGCTGTCGCCATCCAAACACCCCGTGTACACGCCCGACGTGCAGGACGCGGCATTATCTGGACAGCAACCTACGGCACTGTGCTCCGTGTCGAGGACACAATGACTGCCAACCGAGCACGTGGCAGGAAGGTCGGGATTGCCGCCAATGTAACCGCATATGGTGTTTAAGTCGCGACGCAGAAGCTCATTTAGAGCCGTGCCAGCGAAATCAGCAGCAGTAGCAGCCGGGCCATCGGTCGGCCGAGGCCATGGAACCACGCTGAGCAGACGATGCGGCACGGTGGTACTGGCTGGAGGCGGTACCGCCGCCGGTGCTGGCAGTGGTGAAGAATGTGCAGAAGGCGACGACATCACGGTTGCGTCCACGTGTATTTGTGTCGGCCAGGGCGTGCCTGCTTTCCGCACTCGTCGTACCTTCTGTGGAGTGAGCACGCCGGCAGCAGCGCAGTCGGTGAGAAGGCAGAGGATGAGAAGTGCTGCAGGCCCTGACAGGCGGACAAGGACCCTAGGCGCCATGGCTTCTTCTCGCAGTGCTGTTATTGTTCGATCTGTACAGGGGTTCCTCTTCTTTTTCGTATTTTGTTGGCAGACGATGACATGAAGAGTGTGAGGTAGCTATCGTCGAGGGCCAACAGCTGTCGAGAGACCACACGCTTAAATAAGACAGTAGCCGTAGTCGTTGTGAGTCCCTGCAGTTTGAATGATGCTGAGCAGTCTTACGACCTGAAATGGTAACTGGACCAACGAGATATGTTATTAATTAGCCCTCGGATTGCACCCGGCAACGCAGCTCCAGATCAAAATCTGGGCACACTGCCGTTTTGAGCTGTTAGTCCAAGCCGGCTGCTGCAGGCAAGGTCCAGGGTTGTGCCAGCATGCGTTTTGTGGGGTGCGGCTCGTTTGGTAGTTGGCTATCTCTCCTGGTATAATAAGATACACTGTCTGAAAACCCACTCCGGTATGTTCGACCCAGCTGGACGCGGGATGCTTGCTTTTTAAGGCGACGAACGGCCATGGGGAGGCCCGAGAAGAGGGTGCAATGGAGCGAGGTAGAGGGGGTAACCGCCGAGAGGGGAGGGGCGACTGAAGGCACCATCACACTCGTCCGTGTCGTGTGCGTATGGCCAGTAAAGCAGGAGGAATGTAGAGCGGACGTAGCTGACATAGCTTGAAAGGTCGGGAAAGTACTCTGTAAAAGAAGGCGAGACAAAGCGAAACGGGCGGACAAAGTCGAGGAATGCAAGCCAGAGAGCAGCCGGGCAACGACAATGCGCAGGTCCCTTGTCATCGCCTGTCAGCTCCATGCCGTGGTTTGTGTGCCCATAAAAGCATCGCTGTCGGCCTGGGCTGAATTGCTGTTCCGAGCAAGAGTCTCACTCGTGCCATCAGACCGCGGCCATCCATGAGTGTCCCGAAGGTCTGCTTCTTGCATGTGGTGACGGCCTGGCCCATCCGGTGTACGAAGTACCTACTCCGTACATGGTACATTCGACGTGTTGGTGCATTTGGGTGAAGTCGCAATGCGGACAGCACACCAACCAGATTGCGTGCCTTGTTTGCATGATCCATGCCGCAGCTCTGCTAGCCCATCAGTAACGCTGGCAACCGGGAAAGAACGATCTACGTTCCTGCCCAGCATGCCAGCAGCCTTGACAGATCCGACTGCGTCTCGAAAAGCGCATCATGGGCCCTCCTTCTCGTCCCCATATCTTTCCTTCTTTCTCTTCGTCCCCCCGTTCGACCCACATTGCTTCTTTATCCGCCGCCGCGAATCCGATGGGGTGTGTCCGTGTTCTACGAGTGCAGCAGCCGAAAGGCCAGCCGAAATACATGGCACAGAACTTCTGAAACGAAATGCTGCAGGGACAAGAGGACCATGATTACTGCCACAAATCTTATTTTCCAGCCAATAGATCGTCGGGCCTGTCTTCCAGAGTTTATGGCAGGTCGTGTTACGCTGCACAAGCACGTATAACTTCAAGCACAAAAAAGGACCGTTTCAACATGGCTTGAACATGGCTTGGTTCGGTCGCCGGTTCCAACAACCAGCTGCAACACAACATGAATGCAACGCTGCAGCGAGAAAATGGTCTCTGAAGGGATGTCAAAGCTTATTTGCAGTGTCATTCGTCGCATCCTGCTGAAATACCTTGTATCTTCTATTTTCGGTGCTCTTACAACTGCTCTTACTGCTCCTGACTGCTCCTCTCTTACGTCTCACCCGGTCTTGCTTCCTGTGTGACTGCCAGAGGCAACCAGCTACAGGGTCACAGACTCGGCCGCCTCCTGCATTAGATACCAAGCTATTCAATAGATTCACCCAAGCCACACGGCGATCGTTTTTGGACTATATTACCACCGTGCATATGGATAACTCGATGTCCTCGTTACAAAAGTGGTGTCGTCCACAGATGGAATGGAGAATATGCTCCCGTTGGTTCATTGCTTGCTTTTGCCGGTGCTGCCGCCAGGTGTTGAAACTGTAGCTTCACCTAAAGACAAACAAGAGGCAGCCGGATATCAGTGCATGCATCCCTTTCACCGCAGCTTGGGCTGAGGGCGATACTATCCACGATACACCGAATCAATAAATCAGCACGGACACGACTTCGGCACCGATTTTCAAGCCGAGACGCTGACAAGAAGAAAGAATACCGCTCTATTGTTCAGAAGGTTGGCCCAGCTGCAGTGTATCGGAGCACAGCTGGCTTCCTTTACATCCTCGTTCCTTCCCTAGACATTCATCTCACCTCGACAGACTCATTCTCAATCAGCGTCTGACTTGGCGTCGCTTCTTATATCTTCGGTAGAGTGCGCCTACAGAGATAGTCAACTCAGTACGAGTACTGATCTGCCTCCACCGGCACGCTATTGTATGCAAACTCTTGGGCTTCAGTTGCATACACACGTGGGTATTAAAACAACTGCCCAGGTTCTCAGATGAAATCGCAAAAAGTAGCCATAGTACTAGAAACGCTTGCACCTCTACTTGTCGCCAGTATCAGACATCCCCTCATTCCTGTCTCATACCACGTCTATCCTACTCATGCTTGCCGAATTGCTTCCTTGCACACGTACTATTCGCACATTTTTCGGTCGAATGGGGGAAGGGTCATTTTATGAAATTTTTTTCTCTTCGGTCTGGCCTGTGGTTTATTTGGACTTTGCCCTCACACATGTTATATGGCCTTTCCATCATTATATGAACAACAACGAGAACAGGACGCCGCCGACAACACCGACACGCACAGCCGTCCGGCCGGTTAACCGATCACCAGCCGTTCGTCCTCGGGGAAGTCGTACTGCGGGATCTCGAGGTTCAGCGGAGCCGGGCCCTTTCGTATGCGGCCAGAGATGTCGTAGTGCGAGCCGTGGCAGGGGCAGAACCAGCCGCCATAGTCACCGGCCTCGCCGATGGGCACGCAGCCCAGATGGGTGCAGACGCCCAGCATGACGAGCCACTCGGGGCGCTTGACCCGGTCGGCGTCGGCCTGGGGGTCGCGCAGGCTCTGGATGTTGACCGTGTTGGCCTCGGCGATCTCGGCCTCGGTGCGGTGGCGGATGAAGACGGGCTTGCCGCGCCACTTGATGATCACGTTCTTGCCCTCGGGGATCGTGTTGAGGTCGACCTCGACCTTGGCCATGGCCAGCACGTCGGCCGATGCGGACATGTTGACGAGGAATTCTGGACTGTTAGAAGGACAAGGAAGAAAAGCAAAAAGCAAAAAGCATAAAGCAAAACGCTAGAACACACCCTGCACGGTCGACTTGGCGCCGGCGGCCGAGATGGCGCCGAGCGTGCCGACCATAAAGTAGCCAAACAGCTGGTTCGTGCTGCCGCTGTTCTTGCTCAGGTAGTCGCCAAAGCTCGGCACGCTATCGGCCTTGGACGAGCCGCGGAACGGGCTCTTGAACGTGTAGCTGCTGCCGGCAGCCTCGGCGCGGGCCACGGACGTGCTGAAGGACGAGGACGAAGACGGCGACGGGCCCGTAGCGGTCGTGCCGGCGGCGGCGACAAGCGCCCGCGGCGTCGACGGTGCCTGGCAGCTCCGGGCGGAAACGGCCGACCGCGCAAGCAGGCGCGATGCCGTCGTGAGAGGAGCCATTGCTACACGAAAAAGGGGTGCAAAAGGACGGAGCGGAGAAGGGCAGCGGGCGAGATGCGGATCGAGTCGAGCGAGGGCACCGTGGTTGCGCAATGGATGTCCAATTGAACCGCTTTCAGTCGTGTCGTACCATTGAAAAAGCTGAGGTTTTTTTTCCCCTACTCGGGCTCCCGGGCGGACCAACCAGTTGCGCGCCTGAGGCAGCTAGAATGCAAATTGACGGCCGTCCATTGGCTGCTGTCCGGTGGGTCCGCGCACGCAGCCACAGCTTTCCCGGTGCTGCCCGAGCCCAAGATCTACACAGTCATCACACAAATCCGTAAGCCCGATTACATAGTAGGATTTCTGTTGCATATGTACTTTGTATGTACGGCTTCAATACTTAGTGTAGCCGCTTCAGCTCCTCGATAATGTTCCGCAGGTCCTCCACGCTGGGGCCTAAGCCCTGGGCAACTTCCTTCTGCACGTCTTCGCCGACGTCGAGGAAGCGCTCTAGCAGCTCGCCATCGACGAACCGGAACGGCTCTGTGCTTTCGCGCTCTGCGTTACGGAAGCTGCGATACGCCGAGAAGCTGGTATTTCCGGGGCCCTTGACAATGGCCGCCAGTTTCGTCTGCAGGTTCATCAGCAGGTCCTGGGCTTCCGGCGCAATCGTGCCGACCATGTAGATAGATCCCTCGACCTGGAAAGTTAGAAAGGACACGTAGCCAAGCCCGAAGAAGGACGAAAGGCCAAACAAAACGTACCGTTGCTAAAAACGCCCGGGGATGCACCATAGCACCCGGGCTGGTCTCCACGGCAATCGGCCGGATCCGGTTGACCATCTCGCCGAGATACATCTCGCCGACCGTCCGCAGCCGCCGCTTGTCGTCAGCCGTCACGCCTTGAACGTCGCGCTCCAACATCGTCAAGTTGCCAAACCCGTCGGCCTCGAGCCACAGGTCACCCTCCACGTGACACACCGCCGTCGCCCAGCTGGCCTGGTAGCCTCTAGCCCTCTCTACCAGCTTCGGGCCTTCTGCGATGGTCTTGCTTCGGTCTGCCGTCTTTCCTTTGCCTTTTTTGTTGTCTCCCGCGCCATCATCCTCCTCGTCCTCCCCATCGCCTGACGTTGCCGGAATGTACTCCACCAGCGCGGTCGACTTCATCATATCGCCCACCGCGATCATGTGGCCGTCCACGGCCAGATCCACGACGTATGTGGCCGTCCGGTACGAGGCCACCTTCTTCAGCTCGCCCGACATGCTCGACGTCTCCGTGTATCGGCTCAACACCACCGTCTTGCTGAGGCCGGCCACGATCAGGTCGTCCACCATGGCCAGACAGCGACACGGGCCGCGCACCCGGTGTGAAGACACAATGTAGGGGCTGTGGTCGCTGTCGACGCCGACAACGAGGATCCGGCCGAGCGTGTGCTCGTTCTCGCTCGACCCGGCCGCCATAAAGCTCGTACCCACTAGAAAGCGCTCGGCCGGGTTGCCCAGGGCGTCGCGCAGCTCTGCGCGAACCACACACTCGACCAGCTCGGTGCCCTCCACCTCCAGCGCCAGCGGCTTTCCCAGTGGCTGGAATGCCACCTCGTCCACCAGCTTGAGCGAGCTCGTCACCACCTCCCGGCCCTGTGTCAGCTCCCGCTTGATGCAGCCGAGTGCAAACACCCGCTCGGTCGCCGAGTATGCAATCCGCCGGATCGTCTCGCCCATGTCGATCGCCCGCACGTGCGTCTGCTTCGTGGTGTCGGTGCGCGACAGCTTGATTTGTGAGTCCGTCGCTACTGCGATGGCGCCCGGGAATGCCGCTGCGTCAAAATGGCACACAAAGTTGGCGTCCTCGGCTGTCACGGCGGCGTACGCGATCCTGCCCTCGGAACCGTAGATCAGGCTGGGGTGCTCTGTCGTTGCAAATATGCTGTACGTGGCCTCGTCACTTTGCGGGAGGGGGTGCAACCGGGCGTGTCGCGTTCCCAGCACCACGCTCTTCCGGCCAGAGAGCGACAGGTCAGACGGCGACACCGCAAAAGTGATCACGTTGCCGTCGTCCATGGCCACGAACAGCGTCGGGCCCGCCATTCCGGGTGGCAGCACTTGGGCTAGCACGATGCTCCTCGGCACCGACGCGTTGTCGTCCCTCCGGCGCAGCGACTTGCCGCCGTGCTTCGGCTCCAGCGTGGCCAGGTCCACTACTGAGACCATCCCCGACGCCCACTGCCCGACCACACCGACGTCTAGGAGCTGTGGGGCCGCGTGGAGGCAGGCAATCTGATCCGTCGTCCCAACCTCCTTCTGTGCTGCCACAGCCAAACTGTTGTCGAGGCTGAGCGACACGAGCGTCGTACCTTCTACAGACAGCAGCACCCAGCGGCTATTAGCAGACGCACTGACAATCGTCCTGTCGTCCGGTGGCGTCCAGGACGCGACGATGGTGCCACTGGCAGTTTCTGCGAGCGTCACGGACCCTGGCGTGATCTGTAGAAGACGGCTGCTACTGCTACTGCCACTAGACAGGTTTGTGGCCAGCAGTGTCTGTGTGCCCAGGTTCAGGCCAGGGAATGCCTCGACTTCCTCGATCTCTCCGTCGCCGTCAAACAAAAAGACGCGTGTCTCGGTCAGGAAGGAAGCCACCAGGGTGTCGACCTGCTGCTGCTGCTGGGTTTGCGGCGAGCGCAGTGAAAAGAGGCCACGGACGCCACCGAGGTCGCCGAGAATGCCAATGTCCTCGAGGCCGACACCGCTGCGGACGCTGCGCAGGCTGCCGTCCTTGTGGACGCCGCTGCCGGTGACGATGCGGGCTTGACCGGACGCGTACTCGTTGGCCAGCTGCTGGTCATCCTCGCGGTTGCCCATATCCATGACGGTAAAGTCGAGCACGGGGGCGATGTTCTGCAGCACCTGCAGCTCGTGCAGACCGACGGGGCTGGCGGCGAGGTCGAGACGGAACAGCTGCGAGTCGCCATTGTGCGAGCCGACAAAGAGCAGACGCCGGTCTGGCAGGTAGACGAGGCAGCTGGCGCGTGACGTCTTGCCAATCGGGCTGACATCGAGATTATCGACAACGGCGCCGCTGACAAGGATGGTGAGCAAGTGGAGGGTGCCGTACTCGTCGGCCAGGAGGTAGTGGGTGGCGTCGTAGCGCGCCCAGGCCACAAAGATGGAGGCAGCCCGCAGCGGCACCTCGACCGTGCACTTGGTCGTGCTGTCAATGTAGAGCAGCCGGGTCTCACCGACGACGAGCAGGCCGCCGAGGTTAGCCGTAGCCGTAGCCGTGTTGCGTACGTTGTGCCGCTTTGCCGGTTCGACCTTCTCGACCGGGATCAGCAGGGCCGCGCCAGGGTCGTCAATGTCCATGCTGATCTCGCGGTCCCTGTTGGCATCGAAGCGACCGGTGTCGACGTTGCGGTCGCCAGCCGTCAGCCGGTACGCCGACAGCTTGGCCTCGGCGCGGTCGCCCTGTGACTGGTACAGAAACGCAATCTGTGGCTGGCCCGTCTCCGAGTGCAGAAAGGTGCTGGCCTTGATGAACAGCTCCGACAGACGGACCTGGTCCATCGGCACCAGATGCCGCATGTGGTCTGGTCGTGCTCGGTCTCGTCGCGTCTGCAGCCGCAGCACCGTCAGCACGCCCTCCCACAGCAACAGCGCCATAAACCGCCCCGACGGATCAACCAGGCAGCGGTCCTGGCTCTGCGAGTCGCGCAGGTGCTTCTCGCCTACGTCCTGGAACGTGTCCACCGTCCGCAGGCTGTGGGACTCCATGTCCCATGTGAGCGTGAAGTATTCGAATCGGTCTGTGCCGACAAACAGCAGCTCCGTCTTTGAGTCGATCGGCCGCAGCGACTGCAGCATCGAGATCGTGCCGAAGATCATCTGCGAGTGGAAGAGCACGAGGTGGTCGTCCTCTGTGATCCGCCATATCTCAACACGGTTGGCCTTTCTGCAGCAGCAGCATCTGGTCAGCGCTGGTTCGATCAGACACCGATCAAACGGATAGCAGGGGAGGGAAATGTCGCACGCCACCACAATGCTCTCTTCTGTCGGCGATAACAGCTTCATGTGCAGCGCGTGCCGGACGCTGCTTGGCCGGTGAATGGGGGCAATATATGCCATCGTCGACGGCCGGACGAGGAAGATCGGACAAGGGGGCGATTGGCGTCGGCTGCACAGAGAGCCCCGTGGCTGCCAACAGACAGGCGGCGGGGGCAGACAGGTGTCGTGACGAACGTGCAGGTGCGGGGAGCGCGAGACAGGTCGACGGAGAGACAGACGAACGGATAACGCAGAAAGTGAAGCCAATTTGCATGGCAATTGCTGTATTGCGGGAGCATAATCAATGCCGGACTTCAAGCACCAGAGCACCTTAGCGGCTGGCTGGTGCTCAGTGGGATGCGCCTTCCCGCTTACAGGTACCCCGCAATGACTAGGAAGCAGCGAACAGGACAGACAGTGCTGACTAACGTTGCACAGCAGCAGCCTCGGGGCGAATCGCCTGTATTATTCGTTACGAGCGTCTGTCAAGATGCATACGACACCACGCCGATCCGACCCTTGTTTCTAGGATACCCAGATGCTCTACGTACCCACCGCGTCTACGCTGCCCCTGTTTCCCGTCAAAGCGGCACGCCTCCGCTCAGAACAGCTCCCACATTGGCCGCGGCACCTGGAACTGAGGGCCGGTCGACGCACGCATCTCTTCGTGCAGCGTCACGTAGACAACCCGGCGCGGCGGCGAGTCGACCGAGACGGAGTGCGAGGCCAGGCCGTAGTAGTCCGAGATGGAGTGTGTGAGCCAGCGTCTGCGAAAGGTTAGCGGGGGGGAAAGACGGCAAAAGAAGGACAACAAGAAGGCCACGAGATCCGACATACTTGAAAGAGCCGTCTCGATCATCACCGAGCTCGTCAAACACGATGCCGCCGTCGATCTGCTTCTGCCGCGGCGGCTTTTTCTGCTGCTGCGCCTGACGCCACATGCCAGCACTGCCACTGGCGTTGTGGCGGCCGACAAAGACGATCTCGTCCTCCTCCTCGTCCGAGTAGAACGGAGCCGTGCTGTCTTCCTCGTCGCCCGAGGACCAGCCCTCGTCGCGGTCGCTGCCGTCCAGGCTGTGTCCGGCTGCCTTGGCCGCTGCGGCTGCCTGCAGAAACGCCCGCACCGGCTCCTCCAGCACGCGCACCCAGGTCTTAACCGCCGGCGTCTTCTTGGCCGTCGCTCGCAGCTCGCGCGTAATCGTGCCGACACGCATGTTCTCCGTCTTCCCCGACTTCTCCATGCTAGTGCCCGCCTGCTGGGCCACGACCTGGCGGCGACGCAGCACGGCCGCGGCCGCACGCGTCTCGTTGACGTGCTGGCGCAGACCTTTGTCCCAGTACTGAGCCAGGTGGTAGGGCAGGCCGTAATGCACCGGATGGGTCGGTCGTACCTCCCAGTCGCTGGGTAGCGGTGGCTGCGCGTTGGGCACGTGCAGGAGGCGGTCTAGCAAATAGGGGCAACCAGAGGCGTTAGCAGCAGTCCAAACTATTGTCCACGACAGCCATCCGGGTTCTCTTACCGTTTTCCCACCGGCGACGGTGCCGGCTGCCCTCCTTGCCCTTCAGCACGGCCTCCCGTCGTCGCTGGCTGTCCCTGCGAGCCAGCAGGTTCTGAAGCGGCGCGCCTTGGTCGGGTACAAAGACTGTCTTCTTTGCCGGTCGGTGGGCGAGCCCGTCGATATGGATGCCCAGGGGAACGCCACCTGTACCGCGGGCATCGGACGACATGCCAAGCGACTTGAGCACGCCCAGGGCCCAGGCATCGACGTCGGGGCCACCAGCCGCCGCGACGGCGGCCGTGGTCGGCGGCATCGTGTAGTCGCTGACTTCCTGCGATAGGTGGCCGTCCAGGTGCAGCCCGCTCGCGAGAGGTGCGTGAGCCATGGTGATGGTGATGGTGATGCTGGTGGTGCTGGTGTTGCTAGTGGGGGCGGACAGATAGATGCAATCGCGCGTGATGGGCGAATCGATGCTGGCCGGACCTTCTAGTTGCAGAGAGATGACACGGATGATGATTGTGCGAGATTTAAGCAGATGAGGAGCTTATCTTCACCGGCCTTCGCAGCGTGGACGAGTACATAGTCAACTTCCGTGTTAGTAACCCCTGCCGTAGCCGGAGCCCAGTTGATTTTCCCCATTTGGCGAACCAATCACGTTCCAAATTGGCGCGTATGTCAAAGTGGTAAGCTGACACGCCATTTATTCCAGGTCACACCCCCGTTTCACACCGCATCAGACCGTCATGATTTTGTTTCCCCATTCTTCTGAGAGTAAAGACTCATCAAAGCGGCAGTCTGTACGGAGTAGAGCGAGCCAGTCTATCGCTGATTCTTTCTGTAATCTGAGCGCTTGTGAGCGGGTATTGGGACCTCTCGGCGCAGAAGCTTTGTTAGCTGGGTTGGCAGGGCAAGTCTTGTCCGAAACATCTTTGACTCTTTTCGCAACCTTCAAATTTTTAAACAATAGCTATCAAGGACTCAACAATGATATTTTCTCTGGCAGCCTAAGCTCCCTCTGCCTTGTGCTACTGCATCAAACAGCAGCAGCAGCCCCGCCGCTACCCTCCATCGATTGTCAAACCACAGCCATAATAATAGAGAGTAGCTGATCGGACGAAGGCACGTTGAAAAGAGATATCCTAAGAAGGTAGAGACAAATTGGGCGAGGCAGAAAACAGAGTTGCAATTGGTCGCCACGGCAAGTTAAGCCTCTACAATATAACGCAGTAATATCTTTGGTTTGACCCACCCAATATAACGCACCTTGTCTACTCCGTACCTCGTCACTTTTTGCTCAAGATACTCATGTTACCAACTCTCATGGTTTTATTTAATTCCTCGATCTGGCCTAGACAAAGAACAAAGCACCATACTTAGATTTCTAGACTTAGGACGATACGTCCTAGATAAGTCTCCGTAGTATTGTTGTTTGCAAGGAAACCAAGATTAGTCCACTTGTTCATTAATGTACTAACGCCAAAAAGACAGGCACCATGCACATATCCACTGGTAGATCGTGTTCTGTTTCCCGGACTCCAACTCAGACACCAATGACTCGGCGTACTCAGGACGACAAGATCGATACAGTCCCGGAGATGGTTGTAAGCGAATGTACATATTTGGCAAGTAGACTAGTACTGCATTGACTGGAAACTGTGCCCGATGAAGCTAATAGCAACGTCAAGGGCTAGCTGTACCTCATCTCGGCGTATGAGGTCCGCTGTCTGGTCGGGACAGGAGAGCGAGTGTTTTGCAAGTTGTATGACCTGAAACTGGCATTTAAGGACAAAAGCCCTCGTTAGACAAATTCTCTCTGTTGCATTTGCATCCGGATCTTCTCTTTTGTCGTTAATGGTAGACAGCTTTGATGTCGCCTCGGCCACAAGCTCGAGCAGGAAGCCGACCGTCTCGACATGGTTCTGGTTAAGGATGACGACCACCGCAGCTCTATAGCATTTTAATGCAGTGATAAGATCACGGGCGACAAGAAGCCCGTGACTGTGTGCGAATTTATCATCAAAATCTTTTGACACTTGCACCTTTGTGCTGTCGTACATGATTGTTATGCTGTCTCGAATGGCCTGCATCGCGTCGGCAATCTCATCGGCTGCTTGACCCACGACCGTGTAGCTGCTCCCCTACATCGAGTCCTGTGGTGTTGGTGAGCAGAATTCGTCTATCGTGTAGTCGCTAGCGAGGTAAAAATAACGTGATCGAAATTAGGGTAGACGAGATGAAAGTGCTAAAAGGGAACTCGAGGAAAAAAATCACCCTCTTTACGAGGAAACATCGCGGCTTTTGATGCCTCAAATACTACGTGACGACATGTAATCGCTAGACGGTGTTATTCAGCAAGGTTGGCTGCACTGTCACTGACAAGGAGTGGATTGGGGATGACCTGCATAAAGGTTAGATACAGAGTATTCTTTCGTTCTTACTGGCACATGTCCTACGACTGTCACCGAGTGTTGACATGCGTTTAATGTAAGTTCCGTTACGAAAATTTGATTAATGTCAAGCATTGGAATCCGCCACACTGTGGCCCTTCCGCCCCACTTGGCCGTACGGGCCTGTAATTGGTCAGAAGGCACAAAAGCGGGGCATGACACTAGTATTAATACGGATCCCCAGAAGGGTCGCGATGTATCTATTTCTTCCTTAGTACATAACAGTCCTTCGCCCACACTAGACCCTATTCAGCCTCCTGCTCCTCACAGTGCATCACGTTATATGACCGCCACGTATAGCCTCCTTTAACCTTCACAATTAACTCAGCCTTGATGTGTAACTTACGACGTACAGCAAAGATAACTCCGGAGTAGTCTCGTTGGTTTGACAGAGCGGGAGCCTTTTTATGCTAAATTGTTTTTCTCCGCATTTTCGTTAACCCCTGCAAAGCTCTCGCCGAGACCTGGGGTCTGGAACTTCCAAACCCCTAAAAAATCGCACTAGGTCGTAAGATCCTTCACTGTAAGGGGATAAACGCCAGGGAAGGACCTCCAAAATGGAAAAGGAAAACACGATGTTCCAATTACTTGACTTGTCACCTGTTTCAAGTGGATTGAAGCATCACAGAGCCTCACGCTTCCAGAAATCCTATCTGCAGGACGGCAGAGCGACAAGACGCGATCGGATAAGGCCTACGTTTTCTATTCCCGATGCCGCCTGTACGCATCAAGTCGCGTCCCTTGCCGGGGACCGACGCCGACCTGCGTTCTCCACCCCTGTTTGAGATCCGGGAGAAAATCACGTCTTTGCCAGATATTGGGGTAGGAGACAGCTTCCGCGATGTCATCAAGAAGCTTTCAGTGTGCGTTATGTCGCCTTTTGAGGGCGAATAGGGGCGATTGGTGCTCTGCGCAAGCTCTGTTTCACATATGCTAAACCGGTTTACACAGCTTCTTTGCCAATGCCGTCACGCTACCTTGCTCTTTCGAACAGCTCCGAACAACGTCGGCCGGAGACAGACTTCGTTTGCTGGTGACACATCTCAGCAATACCTGTGAAAATCCATGTATTGTGAATGCTCTCTTGTGAGTTTCAGGTCGAATCGCTTGCTCCAAGACCAGTCGACTAACCTTGTACTTGTAGGGCTCTAAAATGGCATTATGGCGCGTCTGGTGACGATCGTGGCCTTAATGAGGCCAGGGCCAATGCTTGCGAAATTGTCGCCTGGCGCTTCTTGACGCACCTCAGCGAACGCGAGGCCGTCGACTTCTGTCTTTACGAAATACCCGGAACGAAGAAGGCATCTGGCGTCGTCGCGGCCATCACGGAAACCGACGGTAGGGATGAGGAGAGCCGTGGTGCCGACAATGACGGTCTTGGCCGTGATCCCAACGAAACCTCGCCACTGCTGTCACAGCTCTGGTCGTCGGCTCCTGCGGACCAAAGCCGAAACAGCACGCGTCGCTCTGCCGGCAAGCGCTACCAGCTGCTGCAGTCCATCTCCCGACTGACGATGAGTATGACCTACGGCCACGACAACGACGGCGATGACGACGGGGACGATGAGGACGACCCTACGGCGCCTTTTGTGCAGCTCAATGCTCTCGAGATTGCTGCCATTGCGGACGCGAAGCGATTCCTCAGCCAAAAAGTCGTGCAAAAAATCGTCACCGGTATCTGGAACGGCGACATCGTGTTCTGGGGCCGGCTCGAGGTTGATGCTGTCAAGAAGCCCCAGTTCTACAACCCGCACACATCTGACCCGTGAGTTCTCCTGAGGTCAAATCCCTCCACGCTCGTGATTGTCATGTCCAACTACTGACCGTACAGATACTCTCGTTTGCGGGTGCCCAAGTACCTCAAGTCTTTTGAGATTGTGTACTTTATGCTTTTCCTTGCTATCTTTTACATGACTTTGCTTGATCGAAACCCTGAACAAATATCCTTCTCCGAGGGCCTCTTCTACGTCTTTCTGGCTGCGTTTGCCTACGATGAGATGAGCGAGTGGATTGATGCCGGCTCCATCTTCTATGTATACGATCTCTGGAATGTGTTCGACCTGATCATGATCTGCCTCGGCGTTGTCTTCGCCGCTGTCCGTAAGTTTCCATCAGTATACTTTCTCTTTACTATGATAATCAGCCTTCTAACAATGTTCGACACAGGCATGGTTGGACTGTACAAAGGGGACTCCTATCTCACAAATTTGGCATTTGATATTTTGGCCCTGGAGGCCATGTTCATGGTTCCACGCATCAGCTCGGTCTTGAGCCTGAGCCCGTACTGGGGAACGCTCATTCCATGCTTCAAAGAGATGACTAAAGATTTCATCAAGTTCATGGTTCTGGTCGTCATCATTTACCTGGGCTTTCTTACTACCTTCTCGCTTATTGGCCGGGACGCCTTCTCGCTTCCACACATGACCATGATCCTCACCAAGATCTTTTACGGCTCAAGCTACATCGGCTTTGATATCATGCACGAAATCGATCCTGTTTTTGGACCCCCGCTGATGCTCATATTCATCACCCTGAGTTCCATCCTGCTCATGGGCTCGCTGACAGGTATGCTGAGCAACAGTTTCAGCCGTGTGATAAGCCACTCGCGGGAGGAGTACTTGTATGTCTACTCGATCTACGTGCTCGAGGCATCGACTAGCAATCGGCTTACACACTTCTACCCGCCCTTCAACCTCATCGCGCTGGTCATCTTCCGGCCGCTGCGACTGTTTTTGCCTTCCGACACGAGATTTCGTGCCGCACGCATTGCCCTGCTCAAGGCCACACACATGCCGATAGTTGTTGTCATCCAGTTCTACGAGTTCTTTCGCGGTAAGGTCCAGCACACCAGCGACCGGTATTCTGTCATCCAGGGTCCACATCAACAGACGATATCTGGCACCGCCGCTGCCAGCAGAAGAGGCGAGTCAAACTATGCTATTGGCTCTGTCAGGGGAGACGCATCGGAAACGTCCAAGAGACTTGCGTCTCGCCCTTCTACAGGATACGGGCCGTCGTCATCCGTGTTGCGATATGACCCACGGCCATTGAGCTCGACAGGCTCTATACAACCGCTCTCTACGAACACTGTTGCGCCCGGGGCCTCTGTTTCTACGCCAACAGTCAGCATGTCCGCAGAAGAGGACACGGAGATGGAGGCACCCAGTGACACTGAGATTCGCATCGCAGAGCTGTCAGCCAAGATTGATAGATTGACCGAGATGGTCTCGCAAATTATTGCCTCCGAAAGCAAAACAAAGTAGGTGAATTTTGGATAGGTCTCTTTAGTCGAAATCTGGATTGGTGCATGGTTGGCTATCTATAGAAGAAGCGGCAATAATTGAATTGACACTTGCATTGCAAAGTCCAATAAATATCTGATTTCAAACTACTCGGCTGCTCCTTCCTTAGCTAGGAAATGAATCGTAGTCTGTTTTACAAGACCACTCGTGACTTCCCTCTTCGTTGTAAATGTAAAATCGATCATTCTACTTTGCCTCTGCACTCTAAGTATGAGTTGGAGGCTTCTACGAGGAACAAACGATTCGCAAGAATGACAATTTAAACGGCCTATCCGGTGCATGCTACATTATGGAATCCAAGAACATATCCCTGGAAAGCGACAGCAACGACAAAAAGATACGGGCTTCCGCATATGAGAATTGGCAGTACGCACGCGAAAATGACCTCTTCCTCAGCCTCGAGACGGCAGATTATTTAAATTACCACCAGAAAATAGCAGAGGCCGAGTACGAGAGCCTTTCGGCGCCAGATAAATCGCTTTCCCACGAGCATTTGGAACTGCTTCGTATTCCACCGGTCAATATCAAAGAGCAATGGACCGTGCCATTGCGAATAGCCGGAATCCTCGAAGATGTGTGTGGCAACTTCTCTGACGATAACATGGAGATGATGGAGGACGAGCTGCGTTCAATGCCAAAGCACAAGAGTCTATTGATGGAGGAGCCATTTCTCTATCCGAGTCACGACGAGGATTGTGCAGAGCTGCAATACACAGTTTCTGATATAATTTCTAGCGATATCAGAAATGTGCGCAACCACGGCCTGCCAGTCGCCAAAGACGGCGGAAGTTCTATCCCAGAAGACGCAGGCAGTCTTGCTAAAAAAATAGAAGATAATTTGAAGACAGAAACATTGACCGTTTCGGAGCAGACAATCCGCATCATGTCTCAGCTAATGGAGAGTATGAAGAGGACGGACAAGGACCATGCAAATTTGATACAGGAGGAACTGGAATACAAACCAGTGAGCAACCGCGTTATTGAAAACAGCGTGAAGTTGGCTAAGTGTTTATCTTCAGGTTCGCATACAGATCACGCCTCCTTTGACGCCAGTTTCTCTACCTGCAGACTATCGTGTGGCAGAGGGGGACGTATGTATCACATCGGATATATCCGATGTCAGCTCCCATATGAGTGAGGCACTGGAAGAAGCAGAGAGTATTGTGAACAAGAAGGCTGGTGATATTTGGCTTGCAGATGATAAATCACGCAGTCTGGGCGTCTCCGAGGAAGCCCCGGCCTTTGTAGACGATCTGTCATGGCCAACGTCACCCAATGCAAATTTACTAATCGATCTCGATGATGAGCCAATGTTGGAACCATACTCAAATTCCGGCCCCTTGCAACCAGAACAGAATTGTGAAAGCTACAGGGTGACGAATAACACATCAGAATTACAGCTTGCCGAGCTTCTTGCTGACGACTCCATTGCGGAAGGAAGTATGGCGCCGCCATTTATTGATAGTCTTCCAGTTGCTCACTACGAGGAATTCTTGACAGAAGGCTTGGCCGACAATGATCACAACGCCTTTGTGGCTTCCCAGGCTCAAATACCTCTTCCGGATACAGAGATAGAGCCTGAGGTTTCTGGGCGGGAGACAGTGGCTTTGGATGCTACTGGCTTGTTCCAATGGTACATGGAAAAGTACAAAGAGGCATTCGACTTTGAAACTTGGCAAGCTCCTGAAGGGCATCATGATAAACTCGCACGCACAATTTCTCCAGCAATCTCCGACCTGAAAAGTCCAGAAGAAATATTTGAAGGAGACACGTACTTAGAAGAAAAGCTGGAAAGACTCTTACCTGACATGACACCACCTGATCATACATGGCTGATGAGCAGCATACAGCACCCAGAGGATTACGATATAATGGAACAGTTTCCGGATGAACCTATGGATGAGCCGGTCGATGTTATCAGCGCGACAGATGATTCGACGTGGGCCACGTTGATTCACAGAAGGAAGAGAAGGAAGGTGGACGGAAGAGAACCGCAAAACATTGGTACCGGACAAGAGGCAGTGGACGTTCCTGACAAAACATTATTCAAAGCTCCGGAACTGTTTCTTGGCGTCAGTGCATTCTCCCACCTGCAGAGACAACAGGCAAAGAAACCGATAGAGAAATCGTCTGCGGTATACAGTGAAATGGCCGACCTTATTGTTTCCGAATCTACCACAGACATTTCAATGCCGGGCCCGCTAGTCAACACGGCCAACACACCGTCCAATGTGGTTCTTTCAACAGCCATCCCTCTGCCTATTCGGACACACATTTTACGTTTGTTGCCTAATCTGAAATACGTTGAGCGAGACTACCAAAGTCAGAGTGGCCACAGCGTGGCTGACGACGAAGCTGACATCGTATCTTTGTCGACTGGATTAATCATGACTACAATGGTCGGGCTTCGCCAATCGGGGGCCGGTCAGAAGATGTCCACGTTTCAGCAGCGCATCCCCACTATGAGCGGAAAATACGGGAAACTCTGCATTCTCGTATACAGGAGTCAGAGGCTTGAAGTTAAGGGTGACAGCATATCTGAATTCTCCCCCTCGGATGCACTGGCGTTTGCTCAGCTACAAGGGCTCGCCCACAATCTCTCAACGGATGTGTCCATTCTGTACATCAGCAGAGGTGAAAGGATGGTGGCACAATGGGCAGCATCTCTGCTATGCATGAACCCGGTACCAAATGGGAGTGGGACCGAGGCCTTGCTGATGGAGGCGGAGATACCCCAGGAGCTGTTTCTTCGGCGTATGGGCTTGAATGTTTATGACGCCCAAGTTGTCTTGCGACTGCTTGGCGTGACTGGAAAAAGCACAGCCACACAAATTCAGAGCAGCATCTCCGAGTTTGTGGCAATGCCTCCAGACGAAAAAAGCAGACGTTTTGGGCCGCATGTCGGCTGTCCGAGGGCATTGGAGAAAGCCACCAATGGCATTCAGGCACAACGATGACGCTAATCTCAAGCTGCAGTTACGTATTAGTAGTATGCACACGTCTAATTTCAGGCTAAAGTCCATAATTTCAAAGTGGTATCGGGGCTGGTTCGCACTGCTGTATAGCCAGATGCATCGTCGGTCTCATTGGCATCGTCATCGCCAGGAAGAGCCCAGGAGCCCGAACATGTGGCAATGACAGAACCACTCGCATGCATAGCCGTGCTACTAACGGCCGAACTGTGGGCCATCCAGCTCCATGACGGCTCGATATTCCCTCCGCAGCGGCCAATGCCTTCCCACACGACCGTGGTGCCATTCTGGGTACCAGCCCAGACTTCAAAACCGCTACTGCCGTTGTTGTTGCTACCGTCAGTCACCTTTCCCTCCACCGAAGAGTTATTTGGAGCCGACGCGCTCATATATACGTCACAGCTGAGTCGCTGGTTGGTCTCGGCCGGACGTCCGGTCAGGCAGCAAAGCAGCTCACCGGAGCCACGGACATCATAGACCAGCAGGCCGCGGGACCGACGCTCGTTCACGACCAGGTAGCGGCCACAGGGGCTCCAGAGGGTCTGCAAGATGCCGCCACCGCCGATGGAGTCAACACCTGGCTGAGAATCTGCACGGGAGCTTGCACGGGAGCTTGCACGGGCAACACTCCAGGTGGCCACGCACTCGCCGCCAGCGCGGGCTAGGTCGTAGAGGCCGATCCAACGGGTCCATGTGCCAGCAGCCACAAGGCCGGGACCGGGACCGGGGCCAATGCTGCCGCTCAGCGCAGCCACGGTGCCGCGCATTCCAACGCCGTTGCCCTTGCGCAGGTGGCGTGTCGACGCGATGGTGGGCACACGCAACAGGGGCGGGTCGTTGGCTGTGCGGCTAATGTCGAACAGGACGAGCAGGTTGGTGGTGCCGGCAACGAAGTGGGTGCCCGGGGAAGGCCATAGCAGGGCATTGGGAGCGAGGTAAGCCTCGGTCTCGGTCTTGATGAGGGGGTATGAAGCGAGCGGACGAGGCCGAGCATGAGCAACACTACTGCTGCTGCTGCTGCTGCTGCTGTCTCCCTCCTCCGGAAAGAGAGAGTACAGGTGGATGGGCAGATCGCGACAGGAGACGAGGACAGATTGGGACCACGGCAGGGCGAGCGAGTAGTAAGGTGCAGAGGCAAGGGCGTTTGCAGGTTCAGGCAGGCAAAGACGGCCCTGGGGAACAAGTCTGCGGTGGCGGCAGTTTATGGACGAAGTGGACGAGGATCCGGAGTTGCTGCCGTCCGAATCGGATTCGGAGTCAGAGTCAGAGTCAGAGTCAGAGTCAGATTCGGATGCAGCTAGCGAGTTCGATTCGAGCTGGCCATCTTGCTGCGGATCCAGCAGGTCGTCTGGGAGGACATAGCTGACGATGCGGTTATCGGAAGTAGACGTGATGACAGTGGTGCCGTCGGCAGACCTGGCAGTGTGAGCGGGACGACAACGACGCAATCATCACAACGGACCTCCTCGGACTCACCACTGGGCGCTCTTGTAGAACGGCCGGGGCCCTCGACCGTGGCCGAGATCGGCAGCAGCTACGAGTGTCACCTGTGGCTGCATTTTTGGCTCGGCATCGCAGCCGGACAGTTCCATCCTGGTCAAGACAGAAAGAAGAGGTTGTGCGAAGGCATGTTCTGCCAGCAAAGTGTGCGCAGGCCGTGCTGATGTTCGTGGCCGGTTGTCGCTGAAGAACGAGCAAAAGCTAGGAAAAGCTGAAAAAGCTAAGTAGGACCCCATACAAACACGCTCTGCACTATTATGGCGTCACAGCTTCCGCCTCGCGGTTGGGCTTTAGTGGGTCCCGCTGGCCTTGGCACGGCTCCATCGCGAAAGCGCTGACTGGCGCGGTCGCGGCTGCCCAGTGACATTCGATTGTGACGGCCTCCTTTGTCGGTGCCTACCTCTGCCGCTCTGCAGAGACCCGACCTGTTCTCCACAACCACCACGCCATGGCCTCTTCCAGATAGTCGAGTCTGTCCCCCAGTTCTCCTTGCAGACTTTCTTGCTGTTCTCCCTCCCCTTCTGCTGCTGCCTCCAGTCGGTCGTCGCAGCGCGTCAAAACATTCGCCCGGTCGATTTGCAGCCCGATCTGTCAGTCTCTCCATCTCACATCTTCGGCTCGCCCATCATGGACACGCTCCTGGCATCGTCTGCTGGGCCGCTGTCCCGGTGCGACGACCTCAGGGCCCCCGGCGTGGTGAACCTCATCGTTTCAATGTACGTGGCGGCGGGAAATGGCGGCGTGGATTACGAGCAGGACGACCGGAAAGGAGACAAAGGTCACCGTGCTGGTGTTCCTCTGTTGTGTTTCCGGGAGTCTCATTCTCATCCATTGACTCGTAGGACCACGGATAGCTAACTTGTGCGCGTCGTCAGATTCATACTCGTCGGCATGCTTGTCTCGTACCTCCCGCAACACATCCGCATCATCGCTCGTGGCACATCCGAAGGCATCTCGCCCTACTTCGTCCTGCTCGGCGTCACATCTGCCACATCCGGATTCGCCAACATTCTGACCCTGCCCCAGTCGCTCGAGGACGTGGCCTGCTGCAAAGAGCTCGACACCTTCCACTGCATGGCCGGACTGCTTGGCATTGCCCAGCTCGGCGTCCAGTGGATCTGCTTTGCTTTCATGTAGGTGTACCCTAGGCCTCTTGCGCGCGAATGTCCGATGATCTTGTCTGACTTCGAGCTGTTGCTCGCTCTCTGCAGTCTCGCCCTCTTCCTCGTCTTCTTTCGCTTCGACGATGCCAACGTGCCCATTCCCGAGGAGGAGATCCGTGACGAACAGCCCCGCTGGCAGACCGCCGTACTGGTTGCCTACATCTGTCTGCTGCACGGCTTGCTCGTCATTGCCCTAACGGCCGTCTTCGCGACCGTCTTCCCCCAGGCTCTTTCGGGCTGGGCCAACGCCCTGGGCTTGATGGCCGCCCTTCTCGCCGCCGTCCAGTACTTTCCGCAGATCCACACCACGTATCGGCTCAAGCACGTCGGCAGCCTCAGCATCCCCATGATGTGCATGCAGACCCCGGGCGGCTTTGTGTTCGCTGCCAGTCTCTTTGTACGCCTCGGCTGGGGCGGCTGGAGTTCTTGGGGCATCTTCCTCCTCACCGCCACCATGCAGGGAATCCTGTTGAGCATGGCCATCTACTATGAGCTGCAGCGCGCCTTCCCGGATGACGAGGACAGCGACGAAGATAGCGACGATGCAGCCAATGTCAGTGGAAATGGCAACGGGAACGGCAGGATCGGTGGGAATGCTCATCCCAAGGTGCACAGACCGCTCTATCGCCGCGTCCTGTCGTACCGGTCGGCCCGTCTGGACGAAAACACGCCCAGCCGGTACAGTGCCCACCCCGAGCACTACGGCACTACGCCCGACGAGATCTCAGACATTATCGATCGTCAAGACAGCGACGCGGCGACGGAAACACAGCCGCTTCTGCGGCCGGGCGGCATCGGCAATCCGCGTCGAGAAAACGACGCTCGCCGCCGCTCTGGACATTAGTTAGTATGCGCAGCTCTAGTTTTCTTTCGTGCAGGAAATTTGTTACTTCACCGGTGTCATGTACTGTTTTTGCACTCGTCCGGCGTTTAAAGATATACTCTGGGGAGATCCAAGACTACATAGGGTGCATCTAAGCCAGTGCTGGCTCTATTCTGTTCCATGCGCTTCTGAATACAAACTTTGGTTGACAGCTGAGTTTGTGAGTATGCCTTGACTACAACGCAAGTTGGCATCGGCCGGCGTATCGAGGTTCCTTCATTTTGTCACGTCTGTAGACTCGGCGATGGCCTGCTCGATCGCCACTGGGACTTTAAGCACTGATGGTCTTGGACGGCCGAGGCAGCCGGTATTTAACTAAAGTAGGCAGCAAAGGCGTACTGCTGCTGTGGCAGTATATCGTACGGGTAGTCGGTCACAGTGTCACATTGTCTCGGACAACGTCCAGTATGATCCCTAGCTCGGAATATGGACGCAGCCACCTCTACGGAGAGTATAGTAGGAAGGAGGTGGTAGATATGAAAGTTTTATCTAATCTTATAATTGTTACTTTTTGCTCATAATTAGTCCGATTAGCGATTTATAACTACATATGCCAAGTATATCTGATCGACCCAAAACTCCAGGAAATCTCATCCTATTTTTCATGTAAGGCCTCCGATGGTGTATAGGCCGTTCCCGCTTCGAGATTATCAGAGCGCTGAGCTTCTGCGGTGGCGTTCTTCTTTTCGGCCTTCGTGTGCACAATCGGCGCGTCGTTCTCCTGGGCAGCAGCTCTTCTCTTCTTACGGCCCATCGCCATCTGGGGGAAAAGGAATCCGGGCGGGAATGCTGCCAATAAGCAAACAGCGATTAGGATCATGCTGAAAGAGGAACGTTAGTATCAGTATTGAGACCGGAAGACCGCTGATCTGGCAACTCACAATCCTTCTAGCACAATGAATGACGGCTGGTCCTGCATGATCTTATTGCCCCAGCCACCGGCCATCTCAGCGATACTGTGCTTAATGTCAGCAGCCTCATTCAGCCGGGTCGACTGAACCAAGTGGGAGGGGGGCAGAGACACGCACCGATAGATGCACCGAATCAGGATACAGACATATGCTGCCGCCGCGGCACGGCTGAACATGCGAAAGTCCCGGTTGGTCCATAGCTCGAGAGCGGCGGGCGTAGGCTGGAGGCCATGGCGGTCGCGGCCGTTGATCAGGCGGTGCACGTGCACGTAGTAGTCGAGGGAGGCGATGCCAAAGAAGGCGAGCACGACGACCTGCAGGGCGATGCCGGCAATGATGGCGTGATTTCCGGTGCTGAGAAGCGTGGTACTGGTGTAGCCGGCCGAGGCGGCGAGAGCACCGCCGATGGCCTGGACGAGCAGACAGCTGACGTCGGCGGGCACAAAGATCCACGGATAGAGGGTCGGGCGGACGCGTGAGAGCTGCGGACACAATGCCAGGCACGCGTGCTTGAGCGTGAGGTAGAGTCCGATGCAGATGAGCGTCGGCGCCAGGATGATGGCGCAGATCTGCGTCTCGAACGCCTGCTGGTCCCACGGGTTGGCGTGCAGGGGGATGCGGGCGGCGTAGCCGGCGAGCTCAAGTGCCGCACCGGCCGCGAGGAAGCCCGAGTAGCCCCAGGTGCGCTTCCAGATGCCCGTCACGACGAGACTGACGGCTGCGATGCCGAAGCCGATGGCGAAGAAGTAGTTGATGCCCAGGTTGGGATAGTAGCCCTGCGTCGTGGCTGTTACGGGACACGTGTCCGTCACAGCTGTGCACTTCTTGTATGGATGGGCCGTGACGGTCCCGTTTGAAGACATGGCGGCAAGGAGATGGGATCGAGGTCGAGGACGAGAACCGGGAGAGCCAGAAGAGTTATGGGAGCCAGAAACAAAGAGCGTGCCAGACACGGATCAGCAGCGGCAGAGACGGTCATCCGGACGCTTCTCTCACGATGGTCGTGAAAATACGGGTAAGAGATGATAGGAGAAGAACAGCACCCGTAGGTAGGGATACGGATGAAAGAAAGAAGACGTTGTTCACTTGAGAAGACGCGCTCTTTCCCTACCAGGAAGATCTCCGCTCCTCCCAGGGCTGGCGTGCTCCGTTTCAACTAGCGTGGCTACCACGCTTCTTGGCGAACGGTAGTACTATGTAGATCTGTTACTTGCTCTTCGACCTCCATTCTTCGCATCACTTCTACGAATGATACTGCATCCCCGCAATTGTCAGCTCGGCCGTGAGCCGCCTGTTACATGCTAGAGTCATGCTTGACGGTACGACGACCTCACCAAGAACCTTGTTATTAAGAAGATATTCTAGATCTACACACGCCGCGACTAGATGCGTTGGTCTGCCCTATCTCTGATGTTTCTTACACTGCTGCTTCGTCCCGTTTGCCAGCCGAATGCCACTCTGCCCAAAAGTGGGTCCATCTCCCGGAAGCGATGTGGGTCGAGTAAGGACGACGATCTGGTCACCCGTTTGGGAAATCGCAACGTTGTGGGGAAGCCAGCGCGGACTGTCTATTGCGCCGCGTCAGACTTATTATGCTCCTAGCCGGGACTTTTGCTCTTTTCATCTAACCTTTCTCTGCTGACTCCTCCTCCAGCTCCCCCGAGAAGCGGATATTCTCAATCGAGACGATGTCTCTCAACGTGGACGGCAACTGACTGCAGTAGCAGATGATGATTGTTTGTTTTGAGCACGTGACGTCAATGTTGGGATCTGTTGCTTTCAAAAAGATGAATAGAGCACAAACAGACAGACTATCTGGTGACAGAACCCTTTTTATTAAAGGGACGACTCTGTTGAATCAGGGGTACGGAACAATTGAAGGGGCTGTTGCCGGTCGACATGGCTCTGATTTTTACTCTTAGGATACAATAAAGATGAATCTCATCAGAATGTTTCTAGATCGTAACGTGTAGCAAACAAAGACGGAATGCGACATCCGAGTGTCTCCTAGTCAATATTGTCCAGTCCACGCAGCGCGAAGACGTAATCCCAATAAGCCGGGTACCATCCAGCGAATTTCTAGTCTAGCAAGGCGACGATGCAGCCGTCGCGCACTATAATGTTCATCGCGACGATATCACCGTGTGTGAACACGATAGGATATAATGCACCTACTTTGGTCGTGATCTGGTGCCAATACCTCGACACCGCCCGTAACCATCTCGGCTGTACGAGCCATTGATGCAACTTGGCCACGGTGTTTAACGGCCTGCTTGAGCGGGTGATCATGCACGGGAGCACAACTCCTTGCCATCTAAGCGGCTAAGTGAGTGCCGGATAATGCCTGCAGCTGCGCGATATAGCCGCGAAGCTGGATTATAATGTTAGCGCGCTGGTCGGTCGTCAACACCGGCCAAGCTTGTCGTAGCATCTGGCCCTCGACATATTCCAAGGTGATGTGGTCACAGTAACTACTAATAACGGCGGGAACAAATATTATCGTATAGATCTTGATGAACCGGATTGCCGAGGCCTCGTTGGGGTGGTCCAGAGCGCCCATACCGTTGAGGCTGGTCGTGTACTTAGTGACGAAGTCGCCGTGCCTCACATAATGTCGAGGTGGCGGAGAGTCGCCGTATAGTGCTCGCTGGGCATCCTGACGCTGCATTTCTTTCTAATGGGCGATCCCTCGTGAGATTGGGTTATTGTCTGCTGCTTCTGGCCTCAGGGGCAAAGGAACAGGAAACGTATTTGCTACGTCTGGGTGGTGGTCAAGGAAGCCTTAAGCAAGACCGGGGGCGAGTGCATCGTCTCCGAAGCCGTCACGTTGGATTAGCCGTTCTGCGAACCAGTGGATCCACTGTCTATGGACAACAGTCATATGTCACGTGATAGTAGCGCCACGTATATGCAAACCTGGCTGTCTTTATGCACCATACAGAACTTAGAGCACTCTGTGCTTACACATGCAGCGTGGTGGGAAAGGATATCGCGAAGATGCGGCTCATGGAACTGGATGCTGCACTCGAAGTCCAACGTCGTAGGCTAGAAATGCAACATGGACAAGCTCTCGGGGCCGACGTGACCCAGCTTGAGCGTCAGATGCCCGTTGCCGACAACATAGATGAGAGCGAGGCAGTTTTACGGCCACTTTTTCTTTCACGGTTCAAGTGATATTATCTAAGGTATGCATCTATGTTGTTTCGTAGGAGTATATACTGAAGTAAGTCCTCATTTGGCTTCGTTGGAGTAGCAAACACCTTGCTAGTTTTTTATTTTTCTCTTGTGCACCATTGTATAGGAAGAGATGTATTTCGGCGACAATATCACATACGAGAGGTAACGTATATATGATTTATAACCCTGCAGGACTCAAGCCATCTATTCTACTTGTATTATTCCGTCATTCTATTCCGTGCCTTTTTCTCGAGGTCAACTCTCAGCAGAGGGCTTTACAATCGCCAAGGTTGAACTGGACTTTGCCCTGCTCCTGAATTTGACAAATGGGACACGAGCGGTATACAGGGTGGAAGTGGCACGATGAAACTTGGGTTGAAATAGAAAAGACTATCTAAGAGATGACTCATCTCCTATTTTTAGGTATAGCTGCTTCGGCTCACGTTCACGTTTAATACGTTGCATATCGCATTGCATAGAATAGGAGTTTCTTGCTCAGCTCAGGCGCTTGGATGCTGGCTTTGTCATGCAAGCAACGGACGACAGCGCCACTCAGCTCGGACCAAAGGCAGCAAAGGGATCTCAGGTCTCCGTTTCGGTCCCCGTCGGGTCTACTGATATCCACCTTTTCTATCTTTCCGAAAACAAGTCCTTGGCTTCCCTCACATTGAATGGAAGTGCATGGTCGGCAGGTATGTTATGGTCCTATGATCCTACCGACTTTGTCTGACCACCACCATTGCAATTACAGTGCTTCCTCCTATACCAAAGTTTGCCTCGGATTCAAAGACCAGTTTTGCGGCTGCAGCCTGGGCGGAATCCTCCCTGATCGTCCGAATATTCTACATCAACAGCGATAAAGTCACGAGCAAATGGACATTGTTGGATGGTGCTGAAGGATTCTGGGTTAACACAGCTGATACCATTGGCACAAGACCGGCAGCCAAGGCCAGTGAACCTGTCGCGGCATCACGAAGCGAAAATGGAACAGGGCGGTACTTGGAATACTTTTACACCGCACCAGGAGGCCACATTAATTACTTGGCGAAGAACTATGTCGACGAACCCACGTTCCTGATTGAATACGCAAACTTTGAAATTCCCACTTCCGGTCTCACAAAAGACCAGAAGATCTCCCTTGGGACTGGTATTGTTGGTGGTGTTATTGGTATCGTATCTATAATTGTCGCCATAATCCTGGCAAAAGACAAATGGAAATGGCTGAGATGGTTTCGATTCTCCACGTCCTCACAGAAGCAGGGCTATACACATGTGGCACCTGTTACCAGCGCCACAGCCATCAACAGAAACTCCCAAGGACCACCCGTGCCGCATGCAACACTCCCTTGGTAGATACAGTTGCAAGACGGCGAAACTTTGAGGGCGATCCTATTCCGTGTACTGAATATAGTCATGTACGCTTAAAATATTGTACACTTAGTGCACCTGGCACCTTATGTATAGTCTCGTTCGTGTTATGGGCCCTTCCAAATTTCCCGAGTCTGGCAACAGCATGTACAGTCTCCACAGCGCATGTTCGGCTATATGCCGTCACCAACAGGGCATCCTCGCCCAGAATGAGCAAATTGGCGCAGCAGGATTGTGCTGAGTGACGTTTATAGATGGGTCAAAGCGAGAAGATGCCACTAAATGCTGGCTGGTCCACTATCCGCTCACCCCTGCTGCTCCTGTAGCTCGCTTGAGTTCCGACACATATATATATCAGTCCTGCAGATTGTTCGTGTGAAATCGACACTTCTCTCCATGGGCGCTGTTGTCTGTCTGTAGGATGTTTTGGTAGTCGGCCATGCACTCCCAGCAAAAGTCATACAGACACACAGAACCTGTTATACGCAGGAGAAAAGGGAAGAATCAGCATCATTGTGTCCTTTCTGCCGCATCTTTCTTGTTGCTCCCGCCCTCTTGCACGCTACTTGGCGTGGTAGGTATGGCCCACGCAGGTATGGGGCCAGTCCCGGCCGCAGAGCCAGCAAAATTCGTGTTTGCAGGAACCTATACGGGGTGCAGGCCTATGAGATAGCGCGTACAAATACGATGGCTTGAAAAGAGGCTGAGGGAGTAGAGAGTGGTGGATCGTCCAACTTACACTTCATATGTTGGCTTTTGCCGTTTGTTAGTACGGAGCAAATAGACACGGTAGTTCATGTACAACTCACCAGCCGCCATCTTTTTCGATTTTACTGCCGCACTTGGGACAGGGCTTTGTTGTCTTTTCAACCGTTTCTTCGGATGCCCGGTTGTCCACCACATGGCGCAGCAGGGCATGCTTATCCTTGACGTCATCTCCTAGTATGGGTTGGATCTTGTCGTACTCGTCGCAGGTGACATCCTTGTGCCAGGGACAGCGGTGGATGAAGCAGGTCGACCGGCCACAGTTGTTGCACTTGACGATCGGCTGGTCCGTCCCACCCACATGGATCTGGCCTCCGTCGCAGCCTGGCCAGGAACACTGTTTTTAGTCAGCAGGATGGAAGACGGCACTAATCGGGTGCGGATGAGGTTTGAGACGTACCCAGATGAAAGCATTGTCTTCTTGCAGAGAGTGGCGTAAGAGGGCAGATTCGTATCGCTCTTTGAGGCGCGTATCGCCATGTCGGAGAACGTTCTCATAAGGTATGGGCTCATCGCAGGTAGGGCAGGCAATATTGCGGGGGCCTTTATTGTCCAGGTCGGCAGTGATGGATGATGACAGGCAGTCACGACAAGTTGTGCAGTCGCGAGAGCAGGCAGGCGTTAAGAGGTAATCGGAGAAGTCTTTCACCTCTTTCTCATTCCAGCACAGGTTGCAGGTGATGCGGCGGCTGGTGGCAGTGCCTGGTGTCCGGACTGTACGAGGACTCTTCATGATAACGGATTTAGCAGATGTGTGTACTCAAAGAGGGACCAGAGTTGTCTGCTGGGAAAGAAATAGATACACCAGGTCTCTGCGAGAGTCTGTCTCATAGACCCCTCGTTGACCCCCCGTCTCTCCAGCCAATCATAGAGCCGTACGGCCCGTTTGCGAGAAGGTTGCCCAACAACGTCACTGCACAGGTCTTTATAGTAGTCCATTTGACAAAAACGTCCGAGTAGATAAGACTAAGCACTGATGTGCGCCCAAACCGCAGACATAAGCCCAAGAGTCCTACGAGATACGGATGCTACTATACGTGTGATTGGTCCAGGCGAAAGTCCCAAATTCCAGAGGCATCAGACTACGCATCGTTCGACTTGTCCTTGAGCACAAACACGCCGCCGTGCCAGCCGTATGCCCGGCTCAGCCGGCGGCCGTGGCGCCGCGCGGTGACAAAGGGGATCTTTCCGCGCGGATGCGGCTCGTGGAACTGGATGCTGCGTTCGACGTCGAGCGTCGTGGGTTGGAAGTGCCACACGGATCCGTACAGCTTCTCGGCCACGAAGCCGACGGCCTGCAGGGCGTGCAGAAATTCGAGCCAGCCGACCTCGCCGGGGGTCGTGTTGGCGGCCGGGTCGAAGAAGACGATGCGGAAGACCTTGAGCGCCCGCGCGTCGACGACGAAACAAGGCTGGGGATCCAAATCTGAGGCTGAGGCTGTGGCCTGTTTTTTAGCCTCTGCAGACTGGACTGCAGATGCTTCGCCGCGCGTCTTGGCCTTTGTCTTGGCCCCGACCGCCGCGGCCGCATCCCGAAGCTCTTTCCTGGCCGACGGCGTCTCTGTGTTTAGATGCAGCGTCGCGAGTGGTTGCGCGAGGGCTTCTGCGGCTGTCGTGGTGCTTTGTGGTCGTGCCGGCCGCTCAACCCAAGCAGGTGTGCGCTGTAGGAGCCGCTTCTGTGCCAGGAGCCGCTTGTAGGCGATGCCGTCGGAGCCCTTGGCATGAACACGCAACAGCTCGTCGGCCTTGGCCCAGAAGACGTCGAGGTAGCGCTCAGCAGCGCGCAGGCTGTCGACGTTGGCCTGAGAGCGGCGCCGGGCCACGGGATAGTCGAACTTGTTGTCGGACGGGTCGCCGTACGGCCGCAGCGTGGCGACGTTCTTTTCCTGAACGGCCGTGAGGACGCGGGCTTCGGTCTCCGTCCGGGCGGCGAACTCGCGCTGGATGGCGTCCTGACGGTCGACCAGTGCATTCTCCCAACCGTTGGCCCAGGGCTGGTACATGTCGAGCTGGCGCAGGCACTCGCCCAAGATCGACAGGTCGCCGATGACGCGGGCGATGCAGGGCGACACGAACTCGCGGACCCGCGGCTCGGCTGTCAACAGCCGGTCCAGCTCGTCGACCACGTTGGGCAGCCGGCAGAGAAACAAATCCCGGTCGTCCTCCCACAGCGTGCGCAGCAGCCAGAGCAGCTTGTCGGCCATGGGGTCCATCCGGACGCCCGGTCGCGAGACGGTCAGGATCTTGGACGACTCGGCCGACTCGGGCACATGGCGGACAAAAAACGGCCGCATCGGCGGTGACGCGATAAAAGACATCTTGAGCTGGTCCATCGGGCCTTTAGCTACCTGCTGCAGGTAGTGGCGGAAGCGCAGCAGCGCCGCCAGATACGGCTCGGGCAGGTCGTCGAGCGGCGTGATCTGGGCGGCATGTTGGCGCTGCAGCTCACGCAGCTGTTGGGCCTGGGCGAGCAGCTCCGCGTACAGCTCAACGTGGAAGTGTGCCTCCACGAGCACCTGGCCGATCACGCGGCTCCACAGGATGCCAGCACGAGCCGGCTTCAGCGTTGGGTGCACGTTGCCGACCAAGTCCTTGAGCATCTCCAGGCGGTGTTCGCGCGCCTCGGCCAGATAGCCGGCGAAGTAGCCCGGGTCCTCGCGGAGAGCCCAGGCGTGGTCCTCGGCTGCGGCCGTGCGCGCTGCCAGCAACGCCTCGATCCGGCCCAGGTCCAGGTCGGCCGGCACCCGGTACGGGGCTTCTTCGGCCATGATGGCCAGCGAGGCAAGGCCGCTCGTATCCGTGGACTCCTTCAGCCTTGGCTCCGGCTGCACGGCGTAGAGATCGTCTTGGAGCAGGTTGTCGGCTGGGATCCCGTGCAGGATCTGTCGGCAGCAGCGCACGAGGAATGCCATCAGCCGCTCTTGGGCCTCGACAATCAGCAGCCCCTCGCCCGGAAGAAACTGCTTGCGCGTGTGCATCCAGTCGAACGCGTCCTCGTGATCGTCCCAGGCGACTAGCCGGCCGTACTCTCGGTCGCGCGTCATGCCGTTCAACATAAATACATGATGGTTCAGAAAACCCGGCTGGAGCGCCATCGTCACCTTGCCGAGGTGCATCGCCTCGCCGTCAGCCGCTGCAAACACGCTCGGATGGTTCCGCCCGCGCGAATTGAGCAGCAGCAGCAGCGTCTTGCTCTTCACCAGATCCTCCTGGTTGATATAAGGACACATGTATGCACCGCGCAGCTTCACGTCCCGGCTGCCGGCTTTCTTGCTGGACGCCGTAAAGTCGGGTCGGTGTGTCGTCGGCATCTCTGGCCAGGCCGCCAGCAAGATCGCCAACTTCTGCGCCCGGTTTTTCTTGGTCCATCGCCGCTGCACTGTCGCCTCATGCCGCTCCAGGATGTCTTGCAGCAAGTGGTAGTCGGCAAAAAGCCGTGTCGTTCTCTCTCTCGCCTCGCGCCGCACCTCGTCAGGTGTCATCACTGACGGTAGAGCCATGCCGTTGGGTGTCATCATTTTGAGGAAATTGGTCGGATTGCTCCAATCCTCACCTTGCAGGCTACTAAGGTCGACATTGTCGAGTTCTGGGTGAGGCTCAAACGGGTCGAATTGATGGTTCGTCCGGGGCTGTAGGGGATTCATCGTCGCCGTTGTTGCTCAAGTTGTTACTGCCGGGAGGTAAACGACAAGATCTTCTTACGGGTTTGAGGGGTAAGCGAGCAGTGCTTAAAACGTCCTTATCATGGCCGTCTTTTTTCGATCACATGACTATAGTGCCATGCTAAGCATGAAAAAAAAAGTCGATGTGCCATGGATTCCTTAGTAAAGCACACAACCAGATCGCCTACCTGTTCAGGGAACTGCAAATGCACATGCTAAGAGCTCTTTCCTCAAGTTTTTGTCTCATCAGCCGGCATCATATTCGTGTCCCAACTGTTTATCTTTGCTACAAATCAAACCTTTGTCCCGGCTTCTTTACGACGACGGCAATCTGTGCGGCGTGCCAGAAAATCACCGGCACGCTTACGGCACGATGGGGCTATTTCTGTATACGGTCAACTGGCGACAGCGGGAGAGCCGTGATGGACTCGCTGCCAATGCCAATGCTGCCCAAGGAACCACCAGAGTCGGTTCGCTGGTTTCGGGGGGAGCGAGTCGCGCGCCCCACTAGCGCCCAATGCGCCCCATCAACGTCCTACATCGTCCCTCTACCAGAAAGCAATAATCTAACCTCTGTCCTCTCTCTTCACCAAGCAACTATTCACATATTGACGTTTCAAGGCACATCTATTCCATACACCACTACATCCAAGCGCTCTACCGGCTTTTTACAACCCACAATGTCGTCCATTTTTGACGACTATTTTCAGAAGTTCCTTTCCGAGAGCCCAAATGATTTCGGTTACGACATCTACAACAATGATGGCGATGGCCCTAACGACCAAGGCCTTGATGACCTCTCTCTCATCGTCGTTGGGGAACAAACTGCCGTTGTGCCCGTGAATGAGGCTAATATGCCCAATTTGGGCACGTTTGATTTTAATCTCGATATCTACGACAACGATGGCAATAGTCTTGAGGTCCGCCCCGATGACAGTTCTCTCAACACAGTTGGAACACAAACTTCTGAAGTTACTGTGAATGGGGGCGGAGTGCACGATTCGGGCACGTCCACTGAGGCAGCCCAATCTGACCGGGCGCTTGACAGCGCTGACGAGTTCAACAGAACAACACTGCATGAGGAGCAGTTGGCCACGCCAATCCCATCTGGCCAATCGAAGTGAGCGCTATTTTTTTTTAGCGCGGCGCTAAAGGGGCAAACGCCGTGCGGTAGCAGTCGTTATTATTTTAACAAGCCGAATCGCCATCTATGTTCCCTCCCGGGCTGCAACCGCATATCTTTCGGACGACAGGCCGATCTCAATCGCCACATGCAAAGTAAACATGAGGCAACGCGCGATCACATTTGCCCAGATGAGTCCTGTCCTGCGCACGCGAATGGCTTCAAAAGGAAGGACAAGTTGAAAAAGCATCTAAAGGAAAAACATCAAAGCGTCAAATGCCAACAGTCGCACTGCTACGCCATCATCGCCGATGTTGAGCAAGAGTCGCATATAGCGCAAAATCATGGTCCTTTCGATTGTGCTTTTGGGCGGTGCCAGTTTGCTCCAGACTCTCACTTCAGTAGGGATAAACTCGACTACCATTTGCGATGCCACCACAGGATGAGCTATTTTACGCGCAGTAATGTTTTATACCAAATGGGACACTCCACAACCTTCCGATCTGAGCACTGGCCTAATAGCTGGGATATCTATCGTGCTTGCACGGAGTGTGATGCGCAGCAGGTGGATCAGAAGCAGGGACAAACTGGAGAGGGTGCTCAAGCTGAGTGACTGCATATGGCAAGGTTTCATTGCCTGGTGCTGCTTTGACTATTTTGTACCTTCGTTATGTTCGGGTGCTAAACTTTGAAAAAACGTCTATCTGTACGCCAAATTGCCCCTTGTTTGTATGTTAGGCACATTACAGAGCACAAATAGCAACTCTCGTCAGTACTTGTCGGGAATTCTTAAACTTTCCCAGAACTCTGATAAACAAAACTACATTCGTCTTTATCACCGGCCTCCTTAATATTATTTCAACATCTTTGGCTCAGGTTTCTCTTACCTCTGCTTATTTCTCCCCCACTCCCATACAGCGCTTGGACGTTTCCGGCTTTGTGGTATACCGTTGGCCCGGACATGACGTTGTTTTGCTCTCCTGTACCAATGGCACAAAGGCGGGCTAGATGGACTTGCCATGCAGATCGATTGGTGCCCTCTGTGTCATAATCCTGATATACATACATTCTGTCTCTGACATAGTCTGTGGGACAAATCCCTAGTATACGTAACTTAGCCAAGCTAACGGTGCATGTCTTCTTTTTTCCTTTCGTCTATATTTCGTTCTTTTCTCCATTCTAGTGACCCTCTCAGCTACTCTCAGCTACCATCCATCCAATTATTCCCTTCCCTCTTTCCCCTCCTCGCCGCCGAGATACCGGTACACAACGCTAAAGTCTCGCCCGCGGCAGCGCTCGTCCTCGCCGGCGGCCTCGTACAGGCTGCGTGCGGCCTCACCCAGCACCAGCCGTGCACCTGCCTCCTCGGCCGCCGTCATCGCCAGCGTCAGGTCCTTCTTCATCAGCGCGAGCCCGAAGCCGCCGGCATAGTCGCGGCCAGCTGGCGCCGTCGCCACCACGCCGGCCACCGGGTTGTTCACCTCGCTCGGCCAGCACCGGCCCGTGCTCGCGTTGATCACGCCCGCCAGCACGGACGCGTCTAGACCCCAGCGCACGCCCAGGTTCATCGCCTCGGCCGTGCCAATGTTGTTGATCGCCAGCAGATAGTTGTTGGCCAGCTTGGCCGCCAGCCCGGCGCCCTGCCCACCGCAGCCCAGCACTCGCGCCCCCATGTACAGCAGAACCGGCTGCACCCGCTCAGTCACCGCCGCGTCCGGGCTGCCCAGCATAAATGTCAGCGTCCCCGCCGTCGCCCCGACCACGCCGCCCGACATGGGCGCGTCCACAAAGGCACCCCGGCCTGCCGCCACTACGTCCGCAGCTACCGCTCGCGATGTCGTCGGGTCGATCGTTGAGCAGTCCACAAACACCGTCGTGCCCGGCCCCGACGTTGACTCCAGCACCGACTTGTACACAGCCCGGACGTGGGCCGGCTCTGGAAGAACGGTGATTACGTAATCCTATCCTGAGTCAGCCTCGGCATATGCTCAGAGTCCACGGATCAGTCCACAAGTTGACATGCTCACTGCATCGTTCGCAGCAGCAGCGACGTCTGCAACCACTTCCACGGCGGCACCTGTGCCGGACGCTTCGCCCGCCAGCTTGGCAACGGCCTCCTTGTTGATGTCAAACAGCCGCACGCTATCTGACGGCCCCAGCTTTGACTGCAGGTTCTTTGCCATTTGATAGCCCTGGGCGTGTCAGTGTAAGCTGCCCTGTTTCTGATACAAGGACGGCAGAAATGGCTGCTCACCATTTGACCGAGCCCGATGAAACCGTATTTGTCGAGCCGCGCAGGAGACGACGAGAAGCATCGCCGTGACGCTGCCTGCAATTGCGGCCATACCCTCACAGTCGACCGCATAGTGTCGGTCTGCAAAAGCGGTAGAATAGAGACGAGAGAGGTCGAGATTTGCTTTGCAATGGCACAGGCGTGATGTGATTGTTTCGTTTCCGTCAGCTATAGCGTTGAGCTTAGAAGAATGGCCTTTGGTATTTGCCGTGGGTTTTGCTATTAGACCTCGACTTTCCACTGGCCTTGCTGTTGGCTTATTGAGGGGAAGCTCGGTTTGTGATCCCCGTGGGGAAACGAAGCTAAGCCCACCCTACCGAATGCCGCGTCTTGCCGATAATTGCCAGACTGCCTCGGGAAACTAGGCTTCGATCTAGCGCCGACAGCCTCCACGCCTCTAACTCGTCGGCTCGACGGCAGCCCTAGATCGACTAGTTTACTCCGTGATGTGATGTCCTATAACAATGCCATCGTGCTTTTTACACGCGCACGTTTGTAGCTAGCAAATTCAGACAAAACCCACTTGATTATACTCCTTATTCTGCCTTCTTTCTGAAAAGCGTCTTCCTCGGCTTGAAGAGGTGCCGCCCCCCCTCCAAAAATCAAGTGTTGTGTCTTTCCTTCAGTTACGTTGCACATATGGCAGCTATTCATGCCCTTTGACTTTCGCAATAGCTACAACGACTACGGTTTGTTCAGCAGGCGTCTACGGAGTACTGGCGAAGTATATATGCACTGTACGAAGTTTATGACTAGAGGGTTTGATCTTAATGTAAGATGCGTTATATTCCTTACCTGCTTACACCTAGAGAGATGCACATTGAAGCCGGCCAGTATTCCTTTCTTAAGTGCTTCGCCTATATGTGACGGAATCTAAATTACTAAAGGACTGCTATTCAAGTCCATCTACCACGTTAACCCTACGTTTCCTCGCCCATGATATATCCCGCCATATTGCGGCTCCCTATCGCCCCATTAGCGCCTGGTATCTCTCGAATGGCATCCGCCAGCCGTCTTCCCTCTTCCAACCGTGCCCTCTCCCGTCGGTTCTGCACCTCGTTCAGCTGGTCCAGCGCCCGTCGTTCTTCCAATGTGATGTCGCTGATCTGCTTTGCCGCGCTCACTCGCTCCATGTTGAGCTCTTTTTCGTGGATCAGCAGCTGATTCTTTCGATCGGTCTCCAGCTGCAACTGCTGCTCGTGTGCCGTTCGGCTCTGCTCTAGGAGTGCCACCTGCTCGGCCTCCTGTTGCAGCAACTTCAACTGCAGCGCCTCTGCCTTAACCTCCGTCTCCGCCCGAATTCGCATTCGCACAGCTTCGGCATGCGCTGCCGCCTCGCCCAGTTCCCGCACCCGTGCTGCCTCGGCATATGCCTGTGCTCGTTCCAGGATCGCTGCCCGCTCTCTGGCCATGCTCTCCCTATGTGTCCGCTCAGCCAGTTCAGCCAGCTCTTGTGCTTGTCGTCGCGCCCGTTCGTGATCGCGATCTTCGGCCGCCACGCGCTCCTCTCGTGCCTGCCGCTCGCGTTCTGCTCGTAGCAATTCCTCCGGCACGCCTACTGCCCCTTTTGGCTGGGCCTTTCCACCAGGACTGTGTGCATAATATACATCCTCGGTTCGGCTCCTTCTCAGCAGTCCGAGCAGCTTCTCGCGAACTGTTTCTGCCGCCGGCGTCGAAGGCTGTAAGTAGCGAACATGGCTCACGTACATCGTCGGCGAGTATATGTGCGTGCCGTCGTCGTACTGGTTGAACGCTTTGTTGACATATTTGTGCATACCGGCCTTGAGCAGCACCTGTGTCGTGCCTACCGGGTCCTCGGCTTCTAGGGCCAGAAGCAGCGGTGTCTTGCCGTCCGACCGGAGTGTCACATCGCTGCCCTCCTTGATCAGATAGCTGATTGCGTACTCCATTTCCCTCAGCGCGCTGGCCGTCAGCACCCGACCGTCGGAGCCATGCAGACAGATCTCAGCTAACGCGCTACGCCCATCATGGAGATCGCTCGGGAAGTCCACCTCGTGCCCGTGCTGCACCAGCAACTTCATCACCTTGACGTTGAGGTTACGCGCCGCCATGTGCAATGACCCATCGTTTCTGGACGGTTCAGCCCCGAGAATAGACTCTACCATCGACAGGCCAGCATCACCCCCCGAGCACACGGCCATGAAGAGGGGCGTATTGCCAGCATAGTCCGCAATGTCAATGTTTGCGCCAGCCGTTATCAGTGTCTCGACGAGGTCCTGCCGCTTGTTCTGAATAGCGAGCATCAGCGGTGTCATCCTCGACCGGCTCGTCTCGAAGTTGACCTTTGATCCCCGTTGGATGAGAAGCTCGACCACGGCACTGCTGATCTTCTTTTGAGGCTGCAATAACGCCCAGAACAACAGCGACACGGGCTCATTTTCTTCTATCTCCGGCACTACACGCGCTGTTGTCATCTGATCGTGGTAATACCCAGAATTCAGTAGGGCATCCAGAACTCCGACTGATCGAGGGTACTGTGACATCGCCCGGAAGACCACCGGCTCAAAGTCTGAATGGTTGAATATGATTTCTGGCCCGCACGCATCGCCCGATATCCTATAATCGTTGAAAAGTGTGATTAAGCCAATGACATCCTCTTCAGCCGGCCCTGATTCAAGAATGAGTTGAAAGGCTGCGATTGCAGAGTATGGATCTGGGTTGAGCGAGAGCAGAAGTCGGACGATTTCCTGGCTTCCGTGCTTCGCCGCGTCCTGAAGTGGCTGTCCATGCTCGAAGTTCACGTCGACGCCATGCTTGACGAGGAGCTGAATGAGTTGTCGGGAATTGTGATCCTTGTCAGTTCCACAGTTACGTATGGCGGCAATAAGAGCCCTCGGCAACCCATCGCCTCTAGATCCCTTTTCCAAGAGGAGCCTCGCAACGGATACCCCATCGTCTGATAGCCACCTTGACGTGTCGCTCGGCGCAAAGGCTTCCGCGAAAATGTAGTTGAGATCTTCACTGGGGATCTCCCGTGCTAAGCACAGTTCCAAAATTGGCACCAGACATCGCCATGTTGCATCGACCAGAGTCTGGCAACCGCCTTCCAGTGGAGATGCCCCGTTCGAGAGCAGCAGACTAACGAGGTCAAGGTTTGGTTTAGAATCTCTCACAGCCTTTTTGAGGGCGACATGGACTGCCTCGCCAGCTTTCAAGCCGGCCGCAAACAGAGACTTTATGACCTGATATCGATCCTCCCCCTTCAGCATCCAGCTTGCCTTTAACGCCCTGACCATGGTTTCCTGTGACGGTTTTGGGCCGTTTTCTCCAGCTGTCGTTTCTACAACCACCGTACTGGCATCCTCTTCCTTCATGAAAGCATGGTCTTCGAGACCAAGAAGAAGCTCCAGCGTAGGTAGGAAGCTGTTGCGTGTGCTGGTCCAGACAGCTTCGCCGCTACTGTAGTTTGGGCTCGCACCATATTCCAGCAGTAACCGAATGAGCGGAATTCCATCGTCGCCATGGCTCACTGCTGAAACAAGCTGTTTGTCAAGCTCGTCACCACGGAGGCCGTGTTCTAGAAGCAACCGAAACAGTGTCTCTCTCATGGCTAGATCGTCCAACAATCCGGCCTCATGGAAAGCGCGCACGAGTACCACGTCCTTGTCCGGTGTCGGGGGGAGGCTTTGCAGAAGCATTTCAACCGTGCCCACGGCGCCAGATCGGCACGCCAATACAATAGCCTGTCCGTCTTGGTGGCCAATTTTAGCACCGTTGGCCAGCAGGATATGGCAAAGGTCAAGGTCCGCATCTTGTGCGGCAGATAGCAGCGAATCAGACACGGCCGTTCCGGTAGCACCAGCCTTCACCAGCATGTTGCAAATGACCTGGCGATTTCCTTTATCCGCCACACGCATTGTCTCAACCAGAGCACTGTTGAGGACAGGCACGGCAAATTTCTGCGATGAGAGCAACATGCTCACAGTTTCCATTTTTTGTTGCTGCACCGCTACCAGCAGAGCGCCGGAATGCTCAGGGTCTGAGAACTCTGCTAACATTCTGAGAAGGGGAATATCGTCGGGGGTATTAACCACGGCATGCTTCAGCTCACAGCTTGCCTGGTGGGCAGGCACACCGGCTTCCAAGAGCACTTTCGCCAGCGAAAGCCGGTCCATGGCGTCAGGGATGGAGAATATGCGTGAGATGGCAGTGGCCAGAGAATCCGGGCTCGGCCGCCGAACGAGAAACATTTCGACGATACGTACATTTGACGCCGTCACGGCATGGCAGAGAGCTGCGGCATTGCGCGCATTTATGTCGGCACCGGCAGCCAAGAGTGTTTTGATCACAGAGAGAATGCGCGGATCAGGCGGATTTTTGACGGCAGCCTCAACTTCAGCTACCAGCAAATAGCTCAGGGCAGCCTCATCTTGTGTGTGCTGTAGCAGCATGTTCAGTTTGACAGCCTTAGCGTCAGTGAACGGCAGATTCGAGATCGCATACAAAGCATGGACGAGATTGTCCCGGTTTGATCGTTGTGTCTTGAGCAGGGCATCCAAAACTCTCGGGTCTGGGTTGATGGCAGCTGGGATAATTTGTCAGGTCATTATCGAAGACTGGGGCCCAGAAACGTTCTTACCAAGAGTCACCGGCGATCCTGCTTGGGCGTTGTAATTAACATCGGCCAGTCCGACATCCAGCAGCAAGTGGAGAAGCTCGCCGTCGACGGGGTTTGCGCTCAATGTTGTAACCAGTGCCTCGGCAACCGATTTTCCATCCTGTCCCGCACCGGCAATCAGGAGTGAGCGCACCATCAGGCGCCTTGTCGGAAGATCGTCAATGGCCATGGCTTGCGGCATGGCGGCAGCAACAGTCTGCACCGTCGGCTGGCTATTTTGAAGAATGGTATTGAGAAGGCTTATGTCGTGGTTGGTGACGGCGGCAAGGACACCGGCACCGCCAGCCTGACTGGTATCGCCAATGTGCCTGAGGAGAAGGGCAATGAGGCGCGAGTCCCTGTTCGATGGCCGTTCCTCAAGCGCGCGCTGCAGAACAGCACTGACACACGGTCCAGAAAATCCAGTGGCCAAGAAGAGCTCGTACATTTGGTACTGCGGCTCCGGAGACAGAAGTGAGATGCTGGGGAAAACATTGGCCAAGATCTCGGGCGCTGGCCGTACGGCCAAGATCTGGTCGACAATGGAGAAGTTCATGGTCTGTACAGCCAGCTGTAGCGCCATGCCCTCCTTATGTTCGGCAGAGGCCGTGTGATGGCGCTGAAGACTCTTCCTGCCCACAAACGGATTTGGGGACGGGCTCGAAACTACCTGGCGTTCTGGTCCAGAAAAGTGTGGCGTCAGAAGCAGCTGTGTCGAGCTGATATCGCCAGCCTCGACAGCGTCGATGAGACAGTCATGCAGCGGGATCCCGCTAGCACCTTTGCGCAGAAGCAACTCCAGAACTTCTCGGCGCTCTTCGTTAGAAACATGTTTAGGGATAAGCGCCACACATTCGGAGGCGTATTGCGGGCGCAGTGTCGTGTTGCTAGCAAGCAAGATGCGGGCAAGGTCGATTTGCTTTTGCGAGATGGCTCGGCGAACCGTGATGGCGTTCTCGTGCTCAATGGGAGCGCCGTACGATATGAGCAGAGACACCATCTTAGAAAAGTTGCTGAGACAAGCTTGGTCCACGGCGGAAGCAACAGCGTCGCCAGAGGCTCCTGCGCACAGAAGTGATTCAGCCATGGCCATCTTCTCGTTAGGATGCATGGTTTCCTGTCTGAACAGCTCGTAAAAGGCTTCGTTGAGAAGCGGTACCGAGGGAGGCTTCGAGCCGGTCAAGATGGCCAGCGCAAGATCGACGCGAGAGGCAGCAATGGCCTTCAATAGGGCCGAAGCATTTTCGAAGCTGCCGTCAGCAGAAGCGCGGCTGAGGTGCCGAACAGTTTCAGTACAGCCGCACTCGACAGCGTCAACCAGGGCAGGCGACAAAATGTCGGGCAGAGGGCAGCCACCAGAAGCGAGCAGGACGCTGATGATGTCCTCTTGGCCGCCGGCAGAGCAGACTTTACGAAAGGCGTCTCGGCCGGCAGAGGTAGCCGAGGCGCTGGCCCCATAGCGCACCAGGTGCTCCACAACGGCAACATGGCAGGACAGAATGGCACCCGGCAGGCTGCCGTCCAGGGTGACCGAATCTGCGTAGGGCACGAGGATGGCCACCAGTCGAGAGTCGCCGTGCTCAATGGCCCGCTGCAGAAGACGGCCGCGCTCAAACGACTCGACGCTCCGGCGACGGGTCAACAAGCTTGTCTTGGTCTTCGTGCTGGCAACGTTGATATCGCCGCCGGCCGTCACGAGCTTGGCGATGAGAGCCTCAGCCACTCCAGGCGATCCTTGCTTGTCGATGTGGGCATCGAGGGCGACGAAGATCTCCCGCGGCTCCCACGCCTTGTCTCGTTTCTTCAAGGTGGTAAAGGTTCGGGAGAGACTGGTAGAGCGCTGCTGCTGGCCGTCCGCAGTGGCTGCGAGCCTCTGCTCTTTTAGAAGCTCCTCGGCAGTCTGGTCATCAGCGGGGATGCGCACGCTCAGCGGTTGCAGTGGCCGCACTATGGGAGCCGGTGGCGGCAGAAGCCCGACCTGCCACTCGTCCGCGAGAGCAGCAAGCCGCCTCCTGCGGTTGCCAGCGGCCTGAGCCTTTGAAGCCATGTGCAGGTGAGGGCAGAAGCCAAAAAATGAAGCTTCATGCGAAAGAAGTGAGGAAGTGGATTAAAGGGGAAGTAGCCGTGTCATGGAACGACTTATCCCAATGTTATGAGGGCGCCAACAGGCTGCCAACTGCAGGCTGAGGCAACATGAACTGGCTGCGCGGTGGTGGATAGAAAGTCAGAGCTGCTAGCCTTGAGGGCAGACTTTTGGTTGTCAGTCGCAGCCGCACTTGAGAAGTGGGTAGGTATGAAATCTTGGCGAAAATTGCGGTCGGTGAGAGAAGCGACCTGAGTAACAAAGGTGAAATGGGGAAGAGGAGTCGGGGGCGGGGGAAAGAGCTTTTGGCAATGAGAGTGGCTTTCTGAATCGCGTTTCAGAGTTAGGAAAGTAGGGAAAGGATCACCAGGAAGGTGCGAGGCATCTTGGATTGGAGGGTCCCAGCCAGCTCACAGCGATATCTTGCTGGACGTGCAGGAGGATGCGCCTGTCAAATCATGCCAACACGTTACCATGATGTGCCCCTGGCCTGTTAGAGCTTTATTCCTTGCTCAGCCTCAATGGGTCACACGGTTGTTCTCAAGCTGTTGTTACATATGGTTTCGACGCTGCAGCACGAACAACAGTCACGCTAGTAGCAAACTAAGACAATACGAGAACTCGTACGGATACTTGTACAGATCCGTCTTCGCTTTGTGTCCGGCAGGCACTGCCAGCAAGGCAGTGCTTCGTCGAATGAAAGGCGAGGCTAAGCCATGCCACGAATCGAGAAAGCGTCCAAAAAACGGCTGCCTTGAGCTTCGACAAGTGCCCCACTTATTACGACGTCTGTGGCTCCCGTCCCTGCCGTACCTTTTCTCGGATTTCGGCACTAGTAATCTATGCAGATAGCCGTGCTTTGCGGATTTGTCCTGAAGTGCTACTTTTATGACAAGTGTCCGTCTAACAAACAGTGCTTTCGCATACATGTAACGCAAAAATAGTTTGGATAAAGGCCCGGTGAAGATTTGTACTTGGCACTCTGACGCAAATAAGGGATTGACTTTGGAGTGCGTTGTGGGCGCAGATCAGGGTTACTTGTGCCTGCGATTAGTCACGCTTACTGTGGTGTTTCCTCTCTTACTTGCATTATTGGCGATGCCACGCGATGCCATATACAGGATAGATAAACCCCAATGCAAGTGCTCCTCCCTTAATCTTCCTTCGAAAGACGGTCGAGCACCACCTTCAGAGCCTGCGGGTTTGCCCCGACCACCTGCTCCAACCGTTTCCCGTCCTGGAAGATGGAGAAAGTCGGCATCGCCCGGATCTCCAGTGCTGCGCTGAGATCCTGCACATGGTCGACATCGAACTTGTAGAACCGGATTGAGGGGTACGCGTCAGAGAGCCTGCCATTGGCACATCTGGTTAGAGCTGCGCCGCACGCTTGAAGAGATTGCGGCCAGGCGCTCTGTTGAATAACTCACTTTGCATAGATGGGCGAGATCATATGGCAGGGACCGCACCACTCAGCGAAGGCGTCGATGATGATTGTCTTGTGCTGCTTGACGGCCGCATCAAAGTCGGATTTGCTGGGAGCTGTCAGTCGAAGGGGGATGGGAACGTCAACCGGGGCACGGCGCGCACCTCTTCAGCTCGTGGATCGCCTGGGCAGAGGCTGTCGCATGAAATAGGCGGGGCCGATTCGTCATCATGATAGGTGCCGACATGGCCGGGCGTGACCGGGGCAGTGCGCGCTGGAGGGTACGTATGGCGGACATGGTGAGAGGATGGGGGTGGCAATGGTGGGTGACTGCGTGTTAGAGTGGCGAGAGTAGAGCTACAGACGTTGGGTGATGCTGCTACACAAAGATATCTTACATATCTTGCGGAAAAATGGGCCGGAAGACCAGCTGCATTTTTGTGGGGCTACAGCCGGTCACTTGTCCATTATTACCGGCGATCGGTCATCTTGCAAATGGCTCCCCATGTCAATTCCTGCTGTTCTACTCCAGTTTCTGTTTCAAAAGCGGCCGTCGAGGGAATGACAAAAGAGATGTAAACACCCGGCGATAGCAGCGCCAACCACGGCTTCTGCCCAAAAGAAAGTCTGTTCTGCACAAATCGGCAGATGTACGAGAACATCCTTACAGGAGTCCCTGCTCCAATATTTTCCCCCTCCCTCACAAAGATTCTCCCATTTTAAAGCTGTACAAAAGAATAAACAAGGACCAGGGGTATCTATCAAGTAACTGCAAACAGACTGACTGGGAATAGACAAAAGAAAATATGATATTGCACCGCAATTCCCTGGCTATACCTTGTGCTAGCAGTCCAGACAAGTCCCGAGACAAATATAAGAGGGAACTACCTAGAACAGACAAAGACGTATGCCGAGAGAGAGCACACTGTGTTTTTTTTTGTATATTTGAAAGGGTTTGTTCGACTGCGTAGGAAAGGGTTTAAAATGAGCGAATTTGGTCGGTAGCGTATCATAAATAAATAAAGGAAATGGTATAAATGAATGTGATTCGTGTGCTCTCTCAAATGGCGTTGGTCTTCGTTCTTCATGGTCGTCTTATCCCCCTAACTTTACATCGATGCATCTGTCTGGCCCTTAGCGTCCGTCAAATTGTGCGGCGTAAGTTCCAATAGCTTGGCACTGCCAGCACTGATGTGCCGTGCATGGCCCTTGCCAAGGTTCACGCTTGTTGCACGCTGAACACCTGCGTCTTCGTCCTTCAAGAAATCGCTGCCGGTCAGACTGACCGGGCTGACAAGACTCACGGGACTGTCTATGCTGTCGGATCCGGAACCATTGTCGCCATTTAGGAAGTCGGTCAGCACCTCTCTGCTCTTCATAGCACTGACAGCGGGCAAAGTCACGACTGTCGCAGACTGTCCCTGGTTGACAGATCCCCAACGGGCAGTGTCCTCTTCGTCGCTTGATTGCCTCACGTCGCCCGAGTTGCGCCGAAATGCAGACGTCGAGACAGAAGCGGTGTCAGAGTATCGAGTGACTCCGTGCATGTAGGCGCCATCGACGACACCAGTCATATCGTCGTCCGTCATCTCCAGATCCGACGTCGTGCTGGCAGCAACTGCGGGTATCATCGAAAACGAGACTGGTGAAACCGGCGGCTCGCCCGTTTCGCCCGTTTCGTTCGACGCCCAAGACCCCCTATAGCGATGGCTGCGTTGCGGCTGTGGTGGCTTGGGAAACGAACGGGTCAAGCTATCGAGCGAGTTTAGCACCTGTGCAGAGTTTTGTCCCGAGACTCGCCGTTTAGCGATGCGCCCTGACAGCCAAGATGCTTCCGAATCGATGAATGCGAGAGATATATCCTGTTGTGGTTCTGGTTCTGGAGACGGCTTATCGTCCAATCTCAGCCAGGATGTTGGCGTATCACGCATGCTAGCCTTTGCGCCATTGCTGTCGCGAGAAAACTGAGCCCGCAACTGGTCCGACTCGTGTTGTGGCACGCAAACAGCAGTCGGGACGGTGGGTTCATCATCCTCGTCGCCGAGGTAGAGAGTTCGGTTTGGTTCGTCGGCAGAGATATGTTCGGGGACGGGAGGGACGGGGGGGACAGGCTCTACCTCAGGGGATGCCTCTCGTGATGTCGGGGGGGACATGAGGAAGTCGGGTAGGTCTTCTCGGAATCGTGATAGCGTCCGCTGCGGGATGCCACCGCCGACCTTCATGGGATGAGGAGCTGCACTCCGCTCTGTAGCGACTGCTGCAGCGGGTGGGTGAGACTGTATTGGCAGCTGAGATAGCGAATGCTGCTGCCAATGCGACCGTGCGTGGGCTTGCATCCGTGGCGGAGCTTTTGCCGTCATAGAGTCGCGCGACAGGTTGGAAAAGGACGATGGCCCCGAGCTTTGCTTTGCTTTCAGACGCCATCTGAAAAGCATGGCGAAAGTTCCCCATGATAAAGAGCCCGGAGCCGTACTGGCTACCGAGGTTTTGTGTGAAAACGACTCGGCCGGCTGTCCACCCTTTTCAGATTGTTCCAAGGACGAGCCGAGAGACTGCCGCTTCCTCGACGTGATCAGCCGCCTGAGTTTCGAGTTTCTCCGTTCGGGAGTCGGCGCGGGATATTTCCTCTCCCCGACGGCCATAGTGGGCGGAGAAGGCTCGAACTCATTGAGGCCCTCTGGAATGCTTTCTGGCCGGTAGAACTGTTGGATTGGTGAGCGGCGCCGCTGTGGCCTTGAGCTACTGGCCGAGTCCTCTTGGCCGACCGTGTCGATAATCATGTCTTCTTCGAGTACCGAAGTGCCCGTTGCACTGCTTACAAATGACTGGTGTTTTTGCGCCTGGGCCGGTGGCTGGTACTCAAAGTCTTGCGGAGAGGCAGACGGGGACGCAGGTGGAGAAATTAGCGTCTGAGCAGAGTGTCTTCTGGTCGAAGAAGTGACAACTGCCGAGGTCGTGTCGCGTCCTAAGCCAGCGCTTTCACGGCCCAGCACACCACGGTCGAGATTAGTCGACGTGCTCGGTCCTGGCGCCTGTTGGGCTTGCCGAAGTCGTTGCTCAATCCGTTCCTGATCGCGCTGACGTTTCCGGTCTCGCCTTCGTTGGTCTCTCTCCAATAGCTCGCGGAGACCTTTGGCATCGAGATCGTCGGCGAGATCGTCAACGCGCTTGTGCGCTTTCAGCACGGCGTCAGAAATTGGCTGTGCCAGTTTGCGTCTTTGTGATGGAAGCCTTTGCAGCAAAGTCCCACTATCAGTTGGTGCATAGCGCAGTGTTGGTTTGGGTGCCAGGGCGGCAAACGGCGAAACAGTGTAAGCAATCTGCTCAGAATCAGAAGACATGGCGGAATCGATGGATTCTGCAAGCGGCAGTGACACGTCGCTGGGGTGCTGCTCGTTGTCACGGCCCTGTCTCCTTCTGAAGCTGCCGTGAGCCTTGATCGTCTCTTTCCTCAGAACGCGGCCAGAACTCCACGGCTCGGCAGCTGGTCTAAACGGTGTGAAATTCCTGCCGTTATGGTGGACGTTCTCGCGACTCATAGCCTTGAGCTCGGCCTCGCGCTCAAAGTCGTTTGTGTTCTTCCGCCTCTTGCTACCCTTGCGCTTACTAGGCGGTCGAAGTGTGGGTTTGTGGCGAAGGGCAGCGTCAGCGTGTTCGTTGCCAGTTCCTGCAGCATAAAAGTGGCCTATGATAACGGTGTCACTGCGGGCAGTACCGCCACCAATTTCGATGTTGTCAGCACGGCCCAAATCGAAGCTGTAGGCACGCCGTCGCTGCAGTTTGTGAGGCTTCTTGTGGACACTCCGTTGGCGAGCAGACAAAGACAGCCCCGAGACGGCAGCCGCTGGAGCGTCGAAGACGTGTGATGGCAAAGGGCGCTGGAGGTCATCGTCGATATCAGAGCGCGTCCGTTTCCGGCGGCTCATTCGCTGGAAGGGCCACATGGTCATGTCGCTGTGGAGGACCTGACAGCTGTGAGACTGTTGTATGGTGCCTAGGCAGCACCAGAAGCCAGGCAGCCGGTATACTAGACGGCCAGCTAGGTGTGGGGAGAGAGGCGGGTTGGCTTTATGTCGCGGGAGCCGTTATCGAGAAGAGAGGCTGTAGTCATCGGTCGAGAACAGAAAGCGAGGTCTCCTGTGCCCATCGTGGGTGTTGGATCAAGAGCAGGAGACAAAGGGGCAGATGATGCCTCGGCTGCAAGTCAAGTCGGTGTGGCGGCGTGGCAGCAACAGTAATGGAGAAGGCGAAGTAGTATGGGGTGAGAGAAGAAGAACAGGGCGGAAGCGACCGTGCGGAGGAAGCAGCGGCTTTTTCTCCTGCTTTTTGTTGGCGGGGAAGGGGTTCGTTTATTGGTAGAAAATCGGGAGCACTGTCGTCGTTACAGGCGAATGAGCGGAGGAAAGAAAGTGGGAGGAGCTTCGCTTCGGAGTCTGATGTACTGGATGGATCTGGCGGCACAGTCAAATGCGCGCGCTCTCCTTTCGTCCTTGCTGGCAACGCACTGGCTGTCTTGTCCCGGCTGCACGAATATTGCGGTGCACCAAAAGTGGGCCTCTGGCGAGAGGGCCGTTCTTGAGAGGTTGCAACAATTCGCGCCCTGTACCCCGATGTACATATATACGGAGTACGGAGGATATATGGAGCATATGTAGGGCAGCTGTTGTGACGCAAGGAAGGATTGCAGATGCGCAGGGGAGAAGGAAGAGAATTCAAATACGGATGAAAAAGACAGTTGAAAAAAAAAGTTCAGACCGAACGGACCAGTGGACGTTAGCAGCCGAGACTTACTCGTGCGGTGAAGGGTCGACAAACCGTTGGGCGGGACCCGAGACAGGGTTATATGCGAGAGAAAAATGTCTGTTCGATCGGGGGGGGAGGGGGAGGATCCAGGGCTTAGACCAGGTTTGGGCTGAGGGGTTTGGCCACGGGTTTTTACACATTTTTGCTAGCTGCAACGTCTGGCACCCAGTAGCAGCTGGTGCGAGCCACAGCCGGCAAAAGGAATCATGACCTAAAGTAGAAGTCTGGTCCCCCCCCAAAGCAAAAAAAAACCGAGATGTCGGAGAGGGTACGGAGTACATACGAGTGAAACTGTTTGCTCAAACAGAGATAAGTCCCGGGGTGCCCCTGTCCCAAGGTTTTGATCAAGTGGATATCGAGAAAAGGGTCCGGAGAGGTGTTGGCAGGGGTGCAGAAAGACCAGGGAAGATACGAGTACTTGGTAATAGCACAAGTGAGATACTAGCACGCTGTGGTGTGATACACCATGTTCTCTTGCAGCCTGGCGGAAGGGAGCGCTTCTGCAAGAGGGTGGGAAAAAGAGCAGGGGGAGCACCAATTCTTACGAGCACACGTACATAGTACACGTACATACATACATGGTACGGATTACGAACCAAGGGTGGAGGAAGAAGTAAAGGCCTAAGATTAAGGTGCCATGTCAGAGCAGAGCTTCCGTCCTACTGGTTGGCTGCAGTTGATGCAGGGTGGCGTCGTATTCTGTCTGGGTCGAATCGAAGCTGACGATAGGCTGAGATTTTGCGAAACAAAAAAGAAAAGAAAAAGTCTAATCTGCAGTTCCCCCTCTCCCTATTAGCACAGAGACAAATTACAAGTCACCGAAAAAGCAAGTCCTCGTGTGGCATTTTTCTTTTCTTTTTGCCGACAATAGCCACCGGGCAGTGGCTACCTTTCCCAGTCAGGTGGCGGAAAGAGCCATTCTTCCAATAATGCTCCGTGTATACGAGTACGAGGTTGTTATGCACCTTCCACCAAGCGCTAACAGGCCGGGCCGGAACCTCCATGTCTATGTCGGCCACTACGGAGTAAAGAGACGCGACCGGGGCCCAATTCTGCACGGCTGAGTTTTGTTTTGCGTTTGCATGCCGTCGCTCTATGCCTGATCTGTCTGGCAAGGGCCAGCATTCCGGCCTTTTTATTTTCACCGCAGGGAGAAGCTGCACCGCACACTGGCCGTTTTGCCCAGCTCATTTCAGGGACAAGCTGCGGCTGCGGCAGCGCACACGTGCTCTGTACGGCGCAGTGCGGCGCTGCAGGCTCGCTAGACGGTAGCGCTATACGGAGTACTTCGCCACAGCGTCGCTGCGCCCGGCGTACCTTTTGTCCGTGTCACCATGTCGTACGCTGTCGTCGTCCGTCCTCTTCTTCGTGCATATGGACAGCGTTGGGCATTCGCTGCGGGATTATTCGGACGTGTCGCTTCCTGTCCGGTGCAGGAGAAGGTTGCATCATTTGCCGTGTACCTGCGCGTGCCCTGCGTCGCGTCGGTTCGTGTTCCAATATGTGTGGCAGCCCGACAGCTTCGTGCTAATATGATGTAGCTGCAGTGTGATGATCCCCCGCCGGCATTAGTGCTGGACGAGGCAGATAAGCAGGTTTAACCGGTCGTGGCGACTGGTGAAGGCAGAGTGGCCACGCCGGGCCTTGGCTGCGGACGAAGTACTCGTATACGGCATGCAAGCTGTTTGGCCGCAGGAACGTGTGCGAGCTAAGATACTTTGGCCACCTCGGGGGCCAAGGTCATACAAAGTACGAGTACAGAGTACGCAATGCCCGCGAGATACGAGAACTCTTAGTCATTGTGAGGCTAGATCGGGCGTGTATACTTTGCGGCTAGGCCCAGATTGGCTGTGCCCTTGCCATTACGAAGTATCCGTGCTGTACGTCGTACGGAGTAGACAGAACGTCACTGCTAGTGCATCCGGTTTCGGTAGGGGAGATGGCGTACGGCGGAGCACGATGGAAGGGTTCGAAAAGCCCTGGACCCCTTGGACCCTGGGCAGCGGTTCGCTGTCCGGAATGCATGGCAGCCGGGGTCCTTTTGTCGTCCCGGCGGCCATGCCAAAAGGGGCAGGGATGGGCAAGCATCAGAGCCCGGCCGTGTGCATAAAATTGCCCATCAACATGATGGTACAAGTACGACGCGTGTCGTCGTCTCGCGGCCATTCCATCTCTGCCCCCATCGTTCGCGGCACGATAAGCACGGACGGACATGAGCTGCAGAAATGAGGTGCGGCAGCGGATTCGCGTGACAATGCGGTGAGAGAAATGAGATACCTTCCGTCCAATATGCCTTGTGCCCCATTGCACAGCTGTCTTTCTGGCCGTGTCTGTCGTCATATCTGCATGGCGTTCCTGCAGCTAATACATGGGAATTGTTTCAAGGCCAGAGACCGTCGAGAGGCAGCTCGTTTCCTAGCCTGAAGCGGTCACGGGGATGATATTCACGCAGCTGAATCCTGGCCACGAAAAGATACTATATACCGCACGGGAAGCGTGGGGCGTAGGATCTGAGGCCAAGGAGCTCCTCAGCGGACCGGTACATCGTCAGAGCCCGGGTATTGCATGTGTCAAGTTAAATGAAAGGAAAGTGAGGAATACAAATCGAGAACAGAGACCGGAAAATCCAGCTTTTTGTTTCAGGCCGGCAAATTGCTGTCTCAATCCTGGAAGCACCGGCAGGCAGCGTTTCGCGTCCGGATGAGCAGAACGCGTTTGATGCCGACCGGCCACGAGTTACCAGTGGTTGTGATGGACAAAGGAACGATGCTGAGTACAGAGTGCTTGTGAAGACAGCGGGTATGTACAAAGTACAGAGTACCTTATGTATATATTATGTAATCGCCGTACGGCTTACTCTGTACGTACGTCTTAGTAAAGCTTTTGGTTGGTATGTTGCTGGGCAACAGCCCCACAATAGTTGTTTGGCCGTTGGCGATAATTTCCCCTCGTCTTTTTCACACACGAACAAGACGACGCAACCAGAGATATTGTCCGACAACGACGGCTGGCGAATGAGGCGATAAGCGAGCGGACGATTGCGAATTGACGAGACGGACGAATCACGCATACCCGTACGATTGACAACAGCGAGCGTGCAGCGATAACGCCGGGCCTCGAGAAGTGACGCAGACGGTCAACATGTCGTTCAACCCGCGCATGTCCATCATCCCGCCCAACCAGCACCGGGCGGGGCGGCAGAAAGAGGCACCAGAGCTGCTGGTACGACTGACGGACAAGGAGATCGTAGCGTGTGTGGCCGACATGGGGATCCCGTTCACGGTGGCAGACCTGCAGAAGCCGAATCCGCTGCTGGTGCAGAAGATCTTTGAGTGGTTTGCGGAGGAGCTGCTGAACGTGACGCGCGAGACGGTGGAGCCGGCGATGCGGGCGGCAGCCGAGGAGGTGTGCGGCACGGACTATGGCGATGCGCTGATGCCGCCGGATACCCGCTGTCTGATGGGCTTCTGCGCGTCGCTGCGCGTGCTGCTAGACGAGTGCTGCGTGCGCGACTTTGGCTTTGCAGACCTGTACCGGCCGACATACGAGCGGCTAGTCAAGATTCTGAGCTACCTGATCAACTTTGTGCGCTTCCGCGAGGGCCAGGGACACATTGTCGAGCAGCACGCCGGCCGCGGCAGCGTGGCGCGGGCGCGGGCCGAGCAGCTCTACAGCGACAACCAGGGCCTGGAGGAGAAGCTGGCGGCGATGCAGCGACGGCGGCAGGCGGCGGAGGCGCAGGTGCGCGACAAGATGCAGCGCAACGACGAGCTGAAGCGGCGGCTGGTCGAGCTGCAGCGCAGCCAAAAGCAGGTGGGCGCACGTTTGGACGAAGCACGTGACCGAAAAAAGCAGCTGGTCGACCAGCTCGAGACGCGCACGCAAACGCGGCTGGTCCTGCGCCAGGACAGCGCCAAGCTGCAGCCGTACGTGTTGCAGAGCCCGTCGACGCTGCAGACGGTGCTGGCAGACCTCTCGGCCACGCTGGCCGCCAACCGCGCCCATTTGGAGGCGCTCGAGCGGCGGGCCCGCGCGCTGCAGACGTCGGCCGACTCGTTTGGCGTCGTTACGGCCGACGTAGCCGCCTGTATTCGACTGTTGGAAGAGATCGGCACCGAGCTCGCGCGCGAGGACGACGACAACGCCAAAAAGTCCCGCCAGCGCGACGCCCTCACCGAACGTGGCGCCGACGTCAAGGAGGTCGAGCGCGCCGAGACTATGCTGCAGAAGCAGCTCGCCAAGTGGAACGAGCGCACCGACCGGTTGCGTGAGCTCAGCGCCGCCAAGGCCGCTGAGGCCCGCGACAAGATGGAAGATCTCAAGGCCGTCCACCGCACCCTCAACGAAGAGCGCGCCGAAAAGGGCCGTGACATGGAGAAGCGCCGCGTCCGCATCGAGCAGACCGAGAAGAAGATGCTCGACCTCAAGGAGAACATTGAGAACGAGGTCCACAACGCCTACGACGAGTATCTCAAGATGGAGTCGCATATCAAGCTGTACATCACCGAGATGGAGCAGGCCATCTGATGGCCTGCGCTGTGTCATGTCCTTTGTCATTGCGGCCGGCTTCGTACAGGTCGAGAGGCGTTTGGGTGCACGGAATTAGATACCACGACGGATGAATTTGGGTATTCATGATGCCATGAATAATACGACACTTGGATTATGAAATCATAACGCTGAAACCGCATCGTCTGCTGTAAATTCCTCTGACGCGTCGCCGAGGCTGCTCTCATCGTCCTCGCTGTCCCGGACGTAGTCTCTTGGTGCTATCTGCTGCCTTTCCGGTGGTCTCCCGCCGCTGTCCGACACCTGCTTCGCCTCTGCCGATGGTCCGTCACCGTCTCTGCTGTCGTCGCCGTCCCAGGCCCCTGGGGCGAATCGGAACCAACGGCCCAGCACGGCTCGCAGCCGCTCGGTGCGCAGGGGATAGCCGGCCTTCTGCAGCTGTCGCCGGGGCACCGTGCTGAGGATGGGCACCCGCTCGTCGAGGTCGTGGCTCGACCGTATGTCGACGAGGAGGGCGTCAAAACCAGCACGACCGGCCGTCTCGACGAGCACGGCTGCTGAGGTCGCGAGACCCTGCGCGCTCCACTCGCTGGAGTCGCGGTGCAGCTGGACGAAGCCGTAGGCAAACAGGGACGGCCTGACGACTGGTGGTGCCGCGTCCTTTTTGCTGCTGCTGCTGCTGCTGCTGCTGCTCTCCAGCTCGGGGGGAGGCCCGATGCGGCTGGCGCGCGGATCAAACGCGGCAAGAAAGGCCCGCAGGTGCACGACCGTCGGAACAAAGGCGACGCGGATGTGGCGCGAGACGGCGACCTGGAGCAGCGACGAGGGCGCCTGCACGAGCCGGCTTCGTTGCTCACGCGCTCTCTGCTGCTGGTCCAGAGGCCCTTCGCCGAGAAAGGCTGCGACAAAGTCGTCCTGCGAGGAGCAGACGATCAGCGTCGTCGGGTGGGCGCAGCAGCTGATAATGTAATGCAGCAACTCGGATGGAAGGGCGGGCGACAAGACGACGTTCCCCATGGCGACAATGCCGTGTTGCCACGGCCTGTCGTCGTTGTTGCAGTTTGTAGAGAGTAATATGCTTAATACACGTATCGTTGTAAACGAGCTATCGCCCCGTTAGAGCTTCTCATTGGCCAGCAAAGCTCCCCCAAGCTTGTGTCCACGTGCCCTGCCATGACCAGAAACCCCGCCGAAACATCGAATTCGAGAAAGTCCATGACCACCTCATCTCTGTCGTGCCATTACCCACCGGCACATCCGATCTGATAGCCGGTCCATCTCCGCAGCGGTGGAGGATCTGCGTTGACTCGAAACATTGAAGAGTACTGCTACGGCCAGCATGGAGTCCATCTCCCGCATAACCAGTCTGCTCGAGAGCGGTATGTAAATTCCGTCGAAGAAGGCGAAATATGGCACCCATGCTGACGAACGGCGATGACAGCGAGAGAACTCACGCTCGATGCGTCCTCGGCGGCCCGCGGGCTTCGCAGCAGCCCCCGACCGCTCGACAGCCGACAGATCAAGAAGCTGCTCGACAGCCGCACCGAGCGGGAGGTCCTCGACGGACTGCGGCGGGTGACATCTGTATGTGGTTCTGGAGAGCTTCTGGGGGCTTCTGGTGTCTTTTGGTGGGCTCCTTGTGCTGATACGATTTTCAACAGATGATGTACGGCGGCCAGAAGACGCTGCCCTTCTTCTCGTCCGTGGTCAAGAACGTGGCGTCGCCGAACCTCGAGATCAAGAAGCTCGTCTACATCTATGTGGTGCATCATGCCGAACAAGAACCCGACATGGCCCTTCTCTCCATCAACACGATCCAGAAGTCGCTGTCAGACGCGAATCCGCAAGTTCGCGCTCTCGCCCTGCGAACGATGTCGGGCATCCGCGTACCGGTCATTAGCCAGATCGTCTCGCTAGCCATCAAGAAGGGCACCGGCGACATGAGCCCATACGTGCGCCGTGCCGCGGCCATGGCCATCCCCAAGTGCTACCGTCTCGACCCCGGTCAGCTGCCGCAGCTGCTCGAGTATTTGGCCGTGCTGCTGGGAGACAAGCAGTACTACGTGGCCGGGGCGGCCGTCACGGCCTTTATGGAAGTGTGTCCTGATCGGGTGGACCTGATCCATAAGAACTACCGCTCGCTGGTCAAGAAGATTGTCGACATGGACGAATGGAGCCAGCTGGCCACGCTGCGACTGATGACCATCTACGTGCGAAAGTGCTTTCCGCGGCGGACGAAGCTCGTGGCTGGAAAGAGCAATGGAAACGGCACGTCGACAGCAGCGACAGCAGCAACAAGGCCCAGCCTGGGCGATTTTTACGGAGAGACGCAAGACACGAATACGAAGACGGAGAACAGCAGCAGCAGCGACGGTGATGGCGAGAAACAGACGGTTGTGGTGCTGGATCCGGATCTCTCGTTGCTGCTGGACGCGATCAAGCCGCTGCTGCAGAGTCGCAACTCGGCCGTGGTGGTGGCAGTGGCACGGTGCTACGTCAGCGTGGGCACGACCGAGTACGTGCGGACGGCCGTTGGACCGCTGGTGGCCCTGCTGCGAGGACCGCAAGACATCCAGCAGGTAGCTCTGTACAACATCGCGTCGGTGTGCCTGGACTACGCGAACGACTTTGTGCGGTACGCATCGCACTTTCTAGTGCGGGCGAGCGACCCGCCAGCGGTATATGAGCTCAAGATCGAGGTGCTGGCGCTCATCTTCCCCCACGGCTCACGGGCGGTCAAGTCGCTGATCCTGCACGAGCTGGAGCACTTTGCACGCGGGACGGACAAGACGCTGGTGCGCGAAGCTGTACGAGCGATTGGACGGTGCGCACAGGCGGACCCGGACCCATCGACATCGGGGCGCTGTCTGCGTCTGCTGCTGGGGCAGATCACGAGTCTGGACGGCACTCTGGCGGCAGAGAGCCTGACGGTGATCCGACATCTGATCCAGCAAGACCCTCCCGGACACGCGGCGACGGTGGTGCGACTGGCACGGAATCTGGACGTGGCCACAGACCCGCAGGCGCGCGCGACGATCATCTGGCTGGTCGGCGAATTTTCGGGGCTGAATGGCGAGGACAACATCGCGGCGGACGTGCTGCGGATCCTGCTCAAGGACTTTGCCGGCGAGTCGGAGGCGGCCAAGCGGCAGATCGTGCTGCTGGGAGCCAAGGTGTACCTGCACCACGTCAACCGGACGGCCAAGACAGAGCCGGAAGACAATCAGCAGCAGCAGCAGCAGCAGCAGCAGCACCCGGTTGTGCGGCTGTGGGACTATGTGCAGCTGCTGGCGCGTTACGACACGTCGTATGACCTGCGCGACCGTACACGACTGTACCGGGCGCTGCTGGCGGTACCACAGCTGGCGACGTTGATGCTGCTGGCGCCGAAGCCGGTGCCACACGCGCCCAGTCCGGCGGAGCTGCGCAGGGGCTTCACGCTGGGATCGGCAGCGCTGGTGCTGGGCGGTGGCGATGCGGGTGCAGGTGTCGGTGTGTACGGGCTCGCAGGCTACGAGTCGCTGCCGGTCTGGGTGCAGGAGGGTGAGCAGCCGGATGGGCGGCTGCGTGACAGCGACGACGACATGCAGGGCCGCGAGTACGAGAGCAGACGGGGAGCGACGAGGCCAGCAGCAGACAGCCTGGACAAGGCAGCAGCGCAAGGCCACCGAGTAGGAGGAGCAGCAGGAGCGGCAGGAGCAGCAGGAGCAGCATCCAACGGATCACGTGGACAGGTTGGAGGAAAGACACTGGACGACTGGCTCGCAGAGGAAGAGACGAGCGATGAGGAGACAGGCGACGAGGATGAAGAGGAGGAGACGAGCGAAGAAGGAGATGACGAAGGAAACGACGACGAAGGAGACGACGACGGAGACAGCGACGAAGAGGAAGAAAGCGGCGGAGAGGGGAAAGAGAGTGAAGAGGGAGAAGGAGGCGACAACAGCGAAGACGGAGCCGGTTCTGACGACAGCGAAAACGGAGAGGAAAACGCGCCGCTTGTCAAGACCAGCTAACAGTCTGGCCGGGCGATGTCGTGTTGCCGGAATCGGCTTGGCGCCATCGGACAGACAACTCTTAGCACGGACAAGTCATACGAGAACCCACTGATCCCAAGGGGCAGCGAGAGAAGACAAGAGGCAAGGAAAAAGTGAGAAAAGCAAGGAAAGCGAGGAAAGCGAGAAAGAGTGGGCGAGAGGGAGCCGAAGCCCCTTGCGGCTCAGAGACACATGCTAGCACACGGTGATGCCCGAGTGCCGTGCAGGAACTCCGTACTTAATTTTATGCTTTATTTTCGTCGTGCAATCCGTCTTCACCCGCAAGTCTGACAGGTCGACTGGGCCAGAGAGAGGGGGTGCGCATCCGGGATCGGTCAGGGCGCATCGGCGAAAATGCGCCGGGGACGCGAATGTGATGCTAAGACAAGACAAGCAACGACCGGGGGGAGGAGAGGAGTTGTGTCGACGGGGACTACGGGGACCGACGAGGTCGACAGGGTCGATGAGAGCGGGCAGGACGATCGAAAGGAGCCAAGGGAGCCAAGGCGAGACGCCATGCAATTAGTTCGGATATTATTGGGCAGCAATTCGGCGCAACTAGGCCCGACCGGTGCGGCAGTGCGACCGGGCCTCGTTGCCAGAAAACGGGGCTGCCTCGTCTTTCTACCGTCGTCTTACACCAAAGAGGGCAATTTTCTGCCACTTTCCTCGTTTTGTGAGGTTTTTTATATGGGCTCTGCCAGAGGAGTCTTGACTTTAGCGGTCCCCCCCTGAAAAAAAGGGGGTCTCGAGCGGCATGGCATGGTGGGCCTACCGAAGTGGATAGGGCTTACCAGCGGGCAGTGTCCACTGTGAATTTAGCGATCAGGGCTGGCCGCCCCGATGACGAGGGCGTTCTGTCGAGGTGCGCATTTGGAGAATACGAGTACGAGCAGAATAGAGACGTCGGGAAATGGAAAATGGAAAATGTAGATGAACGAGTAACGAGTAACGCGTACGAATACAGAATACGAAGTACATGGAAACAAAAATAGCATCCTACAATCACCAACAACTCGGGACTTTTCCAAACACACGCGCGACAGCGGCCAGTAGTTTCAAATACTGCGATCCCCATTATTACGGAGCAGACCGTGTGCTCTAGAGCGGTGACGCATAGTCTGTGCGCCAGTTTTTTTTTGTGGTTTTTTTTTTCTCTTCCCATACAATGTAGACTACGACCAATACGGCACCTGTGGTTGGGCTGCCAGCTATTATTACGACGTTCCTAGCTTCCTAGCTTCCTAGCTAGGCCCCCCTCCACTAGCCCCTCCAACATGCACTCCGGACGGCGCCAGCGCTCATCGAAGAGCCCCACCCGCCCGTTCCAGAAGAGTGCCACCTCTCATTTCCGAAAGGGGAAAGTCGGATACCGCGAAGATGGGAAGGAAAAAAGTGCTTAATAGGCGATGCGCCCAGCACTCGGCCAAGCTGCGTCCTGTTTCTGTTTCTCCCTCCTTTCCTTGCATCTAAACCCGTACGCTTGATTTTCAGATGGGCTACTCGTTGGGCACTCGTTTCCTGCATTCCCTGCACTTGTACTTCTTGGCGGCCGACTGAGCCATCGGACTATAGAGCGTTTTTGACGGCAGCCTCATCCGAGAACTACTGTTTCTGTTTCCCTGTTCTTCCTATTGCTGTTGTTGCCCTTGCGCGCACCACTGCTATCTGCCACCGTCATCCCGTCATCTTACCGCTCTCCGCCACCCCTTTTACCTTTCTATATTTCTTGATATCCACACCTATCTGCTCCAGGCCACCGCAACAATGCACGCCGAGCACCATCACGATCACCACGACAGCCCGGCGGCCGCGGCTGCTGCTGCTGCTGCTGCTGCCGTGAGCACGAGCACGTGGAACACGCGCAACCTGGCGCCCCGTGTGGCGTCGGACGCGGCGAGCGCCGGCACGGCCGCGCTGATGGTGGCGCCGGTGATCGCGACGATCGACCGGGCCATCATGGAGAACGCGTCGGGCGCGCTGACGCTGGCGGGCTCGCTGCGGGCCTCGCTGGGGCTGCTGCTGCGGCATCCGGGGCAGATGCTGCTGGCGCGGCCGTGTCGCCTGATCGCCCTGCTGTACGGCGGCACCTACCTGACCGTCAATCTGCTCGACACGGCTACGGCTACGGCGACAGGTCGTCCGGCAAGTCACGTGACTGCCGGCGTGGCCAAGTTTGCCGCCTCTTCCTCGGCCAACGTCTCGCTCACGATGTACAAGGACGCCGTGTTTGTGCGTCTGTTTGGGCCGCCCGGTGCTGCGCCGCGCGCCATCCCGATGGCCTCGTACGCCCTCTTCGCCGCCCGCGACAGCCTCACCACGTTCGCCTCCTTCATCCTGCCCGCTCGTCTCGGCCCCGTCTTCAGCCGCCACCTGCTGCCCGACCCCGAGACCGCCGGCGTGCTCGGCCGCGCTTTCTCCTCCCACGTGTCCGGCCAGACGCTCGCCCAGTTCGCTGCGCCCGCTGCCATGCAGGTCCTCTCGGCCCCCCTCCACCTCCTCGGCCTCGACCTCTACAACCGGCCGTCTGGCGCGGCTGGCGGTCTCATCTCCGGCCGCAACCGTTGGGCTGCCATCTGCAAGAACTGGTCCGTCACCGCGGCTGCTCGCATCTCGCGCATCATCCCCGCCTACGGTGTCGGTGGCGTCGTCAACCTCAAGATGCGCACCAACCTGATGAAGCGCCTCGAGTAGGCCTCGTCTTTCCTTGGACTTTTCTCTTCACTTTTGCCCTTTCTCTGTCTGCCGACTCGCTTTCCGTTCTTTCCTCTCGCGGCTGCTGCTTCCCTTTGTCTTCGTGTGTGCTGGCTTACACTTCTGTACATTGTTTCTGTTCGTTCTCCCACCTGCATCTGCGGCGGTTTCCGCATCGGTTCATAGAAGGTCGCAGTGAGGATACCCACATAGATAACGTTACACGGGATAGAATAATACGCTATATGCTATATGCTCTTTATATCAGGCCTGCATCGCGCAGTGCTCTCTGCACCGCCTCGTCATGTGACCTTGCCTTGGCCTTCCGCTTGCTGCGGTACTCGCCCGTGTCGATAAAGTTTTCCCAGAAGCGCAGCCCGCTGATGCCCTCTTCGCGACACAGGACGCCGCGCTCTTCAGCCATGGCGAGCTCTTCTTCGGCCACGCCGATGCTCCAGCCGAACTGCCGGGCCGTCTCCTGTGCGTTGACGCCGCGTCCAAACTCCTGCCAGTACCATGATGTTGTCGTCTGGTCCGTCTGGTCCTCCTGCTCCCTCTGGTCCCGCAGATCGCGCAGCCAGCCGACCAAGGCCTTCACTGTCGCCTCGTCTGTCCGATCGCGGCTCTGCACCACCATCACGCCGCTCCGGAATGTGCGCAAACGCACTGGCAACCGCAGCTTCTCCCATTGCTGTGCCGCCTTCAGCAGGTCCATCGGGCTGACCAGCTCCACGCCGCCGCGCGCCCGGTTGAACACGGCCCACAGGTCCACCAGCGTGAGGATCCCACCTGCTCGTCGCAGGACCGCTCGCGCGTCGTCCGTCAAGAACTCAGCCAGGTTGCGCGACAGCTCTGACAGGTACAGCGACTCCCGCGCACTGCCGCCACCGCCCACAATGTCCTTGGTCGTCACCAGGCCGAGCTGGCTCGCTGACTCGGCCAGCACGCTGTTGGCATCCGCCATGGCTGCCGTTCCCGTCCCCGATGACGATCCCGATGATGACTGTCGCGCCAGCGTTTCCGCCAGCGCCACCACCTGCTTCGCCGACGCCATCAGCGCCTCCAAGTCCTCAAACGCGCTGCCGATCACCAGCTCCGTGTTCTTGCGCATGTCTAGCCCCCGCTTCTCTAGCCCGGCGATGCCGGCCGCCTTGGCTCGCGCTCGCTGCTCGCTGCCTGTCTGCAGCAACGTCAACCCGTCACCACCCACGATGCCCTGGCTTCGGCTCGGCACCGGTGGCGCGTTGTGCAGCAGCCACTTGCGCTGGGCCATCGCCCCCTTGAGCCGCTCGTAGAACAGCTTCTCGCCACCGCCCCGGAACGACAGCTTGACGCTCTGCGCGCTGTCGGCTCCCGGCTGCGTCGAGAAGCTGGCCGCCACAGACGGGCCCGGCGACTCCTCGCGGAACAGCTGCAGCTGCGTCAGCTCGGCCGGCAGCCCCTCCGACACCAGTGCCGCCCCGCACATCTCGCACGACAGCAGCGATGGATAGTTGAGAAAGGTGCACCGCGGACACGGAAAGGCTGGGTCGCCGCTGTCAGCCTTGGTCGGCTCCGGTGCCAGCACGTCATCCCAAGATTCACTGTCGTCGGCTGCTGAACGCACTGGCAGCTGCGGCCGGTTTGACGCGCTGGCAATCACCGCTTTGAGTACGTGTGTCAGCGTCGGCTGGATCCCGCACGCGAGACACGGTGGCAGTGGCGTCTGTGCGTTCAGCGCCTCCGGGTCGAAGTTGGACGGCAGCGGGTTCGAGAAGCTGCAGATCGTGCACACCCACGTTGCCACCGCCATCGGCGTCGGATCCCGTTCGACTCGCTGCTGCTGCGGCCCATTGCTGCCGCGAGACGGACTGCTGCTGCCGCCGTTGAGCCGCGTATGCAGCGCTGACCGTCTGCTCGGCTTCGGCACCAGCGTGATCTTAGCCGACGACTTGAGAAATCCGGCCTGTGTCCCGTCAGCGTCCTACCAACGAATCGGATCGCGACACTGCTCGGCCTACAAACACACATAAAACTCATAGCGCTCCACCTCCTTCAGGTCCACCGACACCGAATATTTTCGCGGGTCTGCCTTGTCGACATAGCACACGCGGTGTGAGGTCAGATACACCTGTCCCTTCTGCTGGTTGAGTAGCTTGTATTTCCTGGCCGCACCGCGCCGTCAGCTCTGCCTCTCTCCCGCGCGCAATCGAACAGAAGGCGGGCAGACAAGTCCGCAGCTCACCCTTCGTACAGGCCCACATTGTCCTGGACAAAAAGCAGGTCCTCATCTGGCAGATAGGAGGGCCGGAGCGCCGTCGTGAGATCCAACTGCTTTAGGAACATCCGTCATATCGCACGGGGGGGCGTGTCCCGTCTGCTTCGTTCGTGCAGAGTTGGTTCTGGTGGCGGGGCGACTGCCTGCCTTCTTGCGAGATCGGCTACTGACGTATCTGACGTTTGTACGTAACCGATAAGAGACTCGCATTGCTGCATACCTGCCACCCTACTCATGCTCTCTGCCATATTTGCCCACATTTTCCACATTTTCTGCCCAAATTAATTCACCTCTTCTTAATCTTGTCACCACCCATCAATTCGGGCGACGATTCTAAGCTCCCTTCCCATCAGAAGTGGTAACAACCCATCATTTTCTTCTGATCACTCTACTAACTACAACCGTAAACTCTCTTTGCTTTCTTCTGTTCCTTTTTTTTTCTGCTCACTCGTATCACATTCACCATGGCCTCGTGGAATTCACCATCTGTGGCCGGTGCCCAACCTCATAGGTATGCGCAATATTCTGCCGGTAAGCATCAAATTCCACCGTCATCCGACAAAACGATCAGCGACAAGACTTGCGTGCTAACCTGCCCTCTCTCGCCAGCACCCGCATACACACCAGTGCAGGTTCGACAGACATTTGCTGCACCCTCGTCCTACACCCAGCCATCCTCGTACTCAAACTCTACCGTGACATATTCCTCTCAAGCATCGCCATACGGCCTTGCACACCTAGCAGCTAATCCATCTCCGCCACCCCCGGCCCCATCGGACGAGGCAGCAAAAAAGAAGATTGACTGGCCCGTGTCTGTCCGTAACTATGTCCAGCGATCCTTTCTCCCCTCCAACATGGACCCGACAGTCTCCCGCACAGATATGGAGAGCAAGCTGAAGGAAACCATATCGCAAGCCAATGAAACCGGTGTGATGTACACCATCAACTGGGAGAACATGCCGCTGCCACAACAGTTGGTCCGGGAAGAACGCGATCGCACCCTTACAGCACAGCTACAGTTAGCCGCCGCCGCCGCCGCCTCCTCGCACGCATCCTACCGGGACCCTCGCCAACAGCCGGGCGTCTGGTCCAGCAGCAGCATCGCGCCCGTCGTAGCGTCTAAGAAGCGCAAGTCGATCGACCCACAGGATGATGGCAGCAGCGGCAGCAGCTCTTCCACCTCACTTCCCTGGAGAAAAGCGGCCGGTCCGCTGGCCGACCGCATCGGCCGTCACGACAAAGCCGACGACAGCCACGCCCACGTCCACAGCAGCCAACTGGACGAGTCGTCCAAGAGTAAGTTTCAGAAGCAGCTCGAGAAGCGCCAACGCCGCTTTGACGGGGGCTACAAGGCGAAGGCCAGGTCGGTCACCCCGGAGCCCGACGCGGCTGCCGGCCCCGTCGTCGGCACGTCCCAGACCCTGGAGAAGCGCTATCTGCGACTGACGGCTGCCCCCAAGCCGGAGTTTGTGCGGCCCGAGCACATCCTGCGCCAGTCGCTGGAGCTGCTGAAGAAGAAATGGCGGATGGAGGGAAACTACTCTTACATTTGCGACCAGTTCAAGTCTATGCGGCAGGATCTCACGGTGCAGCACATCCGCAACGATTTCACCGTCGCTGTCTACGAGATCCACGCCCGCATCGCACTGGAAAAGGGGGATTTGGGTGAGTATAACCAGTGCCAGACGCAGCTGAAAGCCCTCTATCAGCTCGGTCTCAAAGGCAATCCGGTGGAGTTCAAGGCGTATCGCATCTTGTACTTTATCCATACTGCCAACCGTTCGGCACTGAACGACGCCATTAAGGATCTAACCACAGCAGAGAAGGGAGAGCTCCCCATCCAGCATGCTCTTAACGTGCGCTCATCGCTCGCCCTGGGCAACTTTCACCGTTTCTTCCAGCTTTACCTCAACACCCCAAATATGGGCGCCTATCTGATGGACATGTTTGTTGGTCGCGAGCGCCTAGCAGCATTGTGCAACATCTGCCGAGCGTAAGATACCCTCTCGCTCCCTCTCTATTCTTCTGCCCCCCTCCATTTCTCTGCCCCCCTCCATTTCTCTGCCCCCCTCCAAGCTATCCGTCACTAATTCTCCCCTCAGATACAAACCCGATGTCCATCTCCGTTTCATCACCGAAGAGCTAGGCTTCGAGTCCGACGCCGATGCTGCCCAGTTCATCATCGACTATGGCGGCCAAGACCTCCTGGAAGAGCACGAAGATCACATCGTGTTTCTCTCAGGGGCGGCAGGCCAGAGATTTGAGGCTGCCCGAAAAGCAGCTTTCAGCAAAGTCGATATCAAAGGTCAACTTTGATGCGCACCTCGCTTCGCTCGACTTTCTTCATCTCTCTGTTTTTCCTTTGCCATTACTATATTGCCGTCGTCCCCCGGCTGCCCTTGAAGCCTATCAAGTGGATGTACCTCAGTTGGCACAGGTCACGTTTGTTTTGCTCCGTCTTTCCTATTCTCGTCTGACACATCTCTCAACGGCCAATCTTCCTACTCCCCGAATGATAAGGCACAATCGACGGCTCGGAATTACAAAGGGTAGCCTACGGCGAGGACCCTATACTCACTCCATCAGCTTTGGTTGCAACCTGGGCCGCATCCTTCACCTCTACCGCCTCTCGTACTCTAACATCTATATCCAGCGAAAGCGTCACTTGTGTGACGCCTGTCCCTGGTTTTCGTCTGCTGGTTTTCTTGCTTTCTTCGGCGTATTGGTTCGTTTAGATCAAACGGAATCTGCGGCATGTCTACAGTATATGCTAAACCGGCTTTCCTCGCAAATGGATCCCATCACAGCCAGCCATCAGAGATGGTGTTGGTTTCAGCTTCCCGTTAGCCGCTGTGGCCCTGGCAGTACGCCAACTCAGGCCGGGATGGGCTTTGATTGGAGGGCCGTTCGAGCCCGTCTCGGAGCCAGATTTTCGCGACGACTGTGAACGCGACTACGTCCCAGCTGACTTAACATGTGTGATTATGTTTTCACACCGCCAAGTATGTTTGCTATCTGGGGGTATATGGGGCAGAGAGGGTTAAGGGAGGGAATAGCGAGAACGGCCATCTTCATTGTGTTCTTGTTGTATTTTCGGTGCTGTTCAGCCGCGTGTTGCTTACAAGTGATATGTGGAGGAACGGCATGGTGTTGTGGGCGTTTTGGTTTGGAAATGCTGTTTCGTTTCTTCTCTCTTTCCCCCTCTGCCTGCTATCATTACTACGGGGTGTTATAGCCATCATGTTCCTAAATTAGCAGTGAAGTGATAGAATATACTGTTTAAATCGATTAAGAGCGGGTTTGCAATGGTGCGTTTGCTACGTTTAGTTAAAGTGCCTTTAGCTCGAACACAACGGCTGGATATCTTAGCTCTGCATAAGGAGATATGCGTAAATCATGGTGCAGGGGCACACAGTATTTGGAAGGCATTGGGTGCCCTTTCATGTACTGTTTCAGATCTCCCGTTACATGCATTTTGTGACTGGCAGAGTATTTTCACCTGTCAGAAATGTTTGGAGCTGGTGACGAGAAAGGCAGGTGTTATTCCGGGAGGGGAAGCGCCCGAGAAGCAGGATAGTCTACTTTCGGCCTTGTACTGAGGAAATTTGGAATATGTTTCTGATGTCTCTCGTAAACATGTGCCTCTCTGAAGGGCGGCGCAATTTGGGGACCAAGGCCGCATTAGGCTTGAATTCTTCCGTTGGCAGACCGAAACGCTGTTGTCTGCTGTTCTCGTGCTGAGCTCTCCCAACACACCTTAATTATGGGCGGCTGATTGCATCTGCTGCGAGGGACACTACATACAAGAAGTATCTTATCAGCATTCACCGACGGCCTTTGTACATCGAGTAGGTGGTGACAAAATCAACTTTGAGCGATCTCTGCAATGCGCTTTACCAACCTATCGCATGACAGTTGCAAATAGGGGTCCCTCCGCCTTCGGCCGCTCAAAAATTGCATAATTTGTGCCATGGGTCAACGTTTCTGCTTGCGAGCTCGAGCAGACCGGGTCACCTTCCAGTATCTGTCATCCTCCTCACCGGTCGCCGGTCTGTGTCTGGCGAGTTGACGAGTACGGGGTCCCCTTCTCCCCCTGGGGAGGGGTCGGCATGTCTTCCTCTAATGATCTGCATTCCAGAATGGCTCGAGGCAGCTTCATTCGTATGCAGAATGGCTTGTGTCTCCGTTGGGGTGTGAGCAGGGAGGGGCCAGCTAATGGTCCTTGGGACACATGTGGCTTTTTGTCCAGAGACCCGACCCGACACAGAGAGCAAGGGTCGGGAGTTGGAGCAGAGTGGTATGGAAAGAGGGACTGTCGAGGGCATGCAGAATACGAGTCGCATACAACGGCGTGGTGCGGCTAATACAGAGGATCCCGTCCAGGCGATCCAAAGTTGTCAGAGCAAGAGCGTATGAGCACTAACAGGGGGCGATCACCTCCCGCTGCCACTAGGACGCGCCAATCCTGACTGCGCTAGCAGTGGTGAGACGGGAGGAGACTGGCAGACGAGAGGCGGCCGTCGGGCGAACAGACCGGTGGGCGAAAAGCGAGCAGGAGAAAAAAGCGCTCGTAAGGCGGGTATGCGCCCGAGTCCTGACCGACTGGCCGGCCAGAGGGCAGCCCGACAGCCAGTCGTTGACGGCTGTAAGCGCTGTGAGGCTACGAGCCAGAGCTCACTGGCGGGCAACATTCTCCAACCGCGTTCATTTGTCTGAGACGGGCCAATCAGCATCTTGTGTTTTTCTCGCGTTTTTTCGATCCTTTTCCTGTTTTCCTTTTTCCCGTTTCCCCCCTGTTACCCTTCTTTCTCTCACTTTCAACTCGCGCCAACAAGCGTTGAGGATGGCAGTCAGACTCGATCTGGCCAGCGGCAACGGAGTACTCCGTACTTCGTATGCTGGCCTGCCTCGTGTCCCTGGCGTCCTTCCGTTCCTTGGTCCTGGCCCTGGCCTTGGTTATGGACCCCTCTGGCCCTGGCTTGGCCCTGGCTTCGGTTCTCACCCACGCGACTTGATCGGAAGAGCACGGGCGGGACGTGCTGCTCCAGGCCTCCCGGTCGGCCACACAGACTTGCAAGATGTTGGTAAGAATACGTGGAAATGCATTGTACATCTAGTACTATGTACGCCCGCACAGGCAAGCCACACTTGTTCCCAGAAGCTGAAGAAACCCACCGCACAAGGCATTAACCATGCAACTAGAGCGTCCGTCGGGACTAGCTCTCTACGTCGGAAGAGGTACGAGACCGTCTTGCAGCTGCCTGCCACCTGCTGCCTCCTGTCTGCATGGCACAGCCCATCTCCCACCCCCACTTCCACAGGTCCTCCATGCCTTTGGGTCCCTTTGGTTCGCGATCCAGGAATCAGTGCGGAACTAGAATGCGTGTTCTATGATGCATCATCGGACGTGTCTGGAGGGGTCCGTGCTAGCGGATAGAGAGGGATGGAAGGGAGGGAGTATTCGTAGAACACAACGGCGAAACCCTTGTGCAGCGGGCCCTTTTTCCTGTTTGCTCGGCTTCTGGCCCTTTCTGGGCCGTTACGTTTCCCTGTACTCTGTAGCTCCTAGGGCGGGTGGGGTCTGTTGCAGCGGAACCTGTCCCTCGGATGGCTACCAGGTGGGAGCCGATAGGGCAGAGGAAGAATCAGTGGCAGTGCAGGCAGCAGGTGCAGTGGGCATAGTGGGTGTGGTGCAGGGCAGGAGGCACCTGCAGATTTTTCTACTGCATGTACGGAGTATTTGCTAGCCCTTGCAGCGAGACCTGTCTGGCTGGCTGGGTGCATAAGTGCCAAACACCAAACATGCCGAAGAGAGGCGAGGAGATATGGGGCGAGATCGCAGACACGGCCGCAGGTGCGCGAAATCGACGGCCACCTTCTCGCTTTCCTGGCGAGACGGCGTAGAAGAAAACGGCGAGATACAGAATAGCGGGCAATACTACGGGATAGGCGCTGTCGGGGCGGCGTTGTGGGGCAGAAGAGCCCATAGAAGCCCGTGGAGCGAGCAGGTCGCGATGCAAGTCCCTCTCGGTGGCATACATTGTCGCCATGTTCCGCGCTTGGTCCCAAAGCGTCGGTCGGGGCAGCAAATTGTGTCTGCTCTATTATTGTCTGCTCCGTCTTGATTCAATTCCCGTTTTGCAGCGAGCGAGACACAACAAAGAGCGACCAACTGCTATAGTATCTTACCTTACTTGCTCATCCACTAAAAAATTCCGGCCACCCCACCAAAGTCGCTCTGCGCAAGATCCCTGTATCCACACTACACGCACCATCAGCACACCACCTTTGAGCTCGCACACACCTTCTAACCCCTTTCCCTACATATGCTCCTTTGCTCCCTCCTCGCACATCCCCTCCTTCCCCAATCTCTCTAATCCCACCCTCTTCCGTGCCTGCCATACTTGTCTCCCGAACCCATTGCAGCCCGGCGCCAGCGGCCTTTGCTTCCCCTCTTCCTTCTCCTCTCCTCATTTTTTTCTCATATTCCCTCCTCCTCCTATTATCCCGACCCTCTTCCTCCTGGTCTTTTCCCAATTCTCCGTCTCCATTCATCATTCAATTCTCGTGTCGCCACCCCGTTCCTCTCTTTCGCTCCACGACCGACGACTGCAGTATTAAGCGACGCCCACGCAGCCCACAATTTATTCTGTCGCGTACGGAGTACGACTTTTGACCCACGTCTTCGCTGGCTCTTCCCCCCGTCGAGCCACCTTCCAGCACAAGGCCGTACGTCGACGCGCTGCTGTGAGCAGATCGCTGTGCAAAGATCAGAGACGCGGTCGACGCGCATGCGGACGCGCCTGCACAAACACCGAAGCACGCACACCCGAGACCATAGAACCCCCCTCTCTTTCACGTCGGCGACACCACCCGATTGTACGCAACAAAAAGGCGAGAGATTACAGGCTCGACCCCTGCAACGCTGCGAAGAAGACGAACAGCCAGCCGGCACGGCTAGCCACTCACACATTCGGGGAACCGGTTTTCCCAACGGCTTTTGTGAGCCTCTGAGATCATCTCGTCCCGCAGTTTGCAGTCCACACGCATTGGTGAGTTGTCCAACTGGGGGAAATTGCGCCGCGATCACTGGTCCGTTTCGTGCCCTCAGCAGCATTCCTGCTGTCCTGCTGTCCTCACAACTCCGCCCCTTTTGCTTCCTCCGTGCCGCGCCGCCAATCCTTCTGCCAGCTAGCGTTGGCCGCCCATTATTACTGTCCGACCCACTCTGTACACATCACTGAGCCTCTGCGACTGCTGCTTGTGTGGGTGTGACCTGGCCTGTCCTTTTCACTACACAGCTCGGGCTTGCGACCGACCTCACTGCACCTCGCAGCCTTTCGCTTCCTGCCGTTCACTTCTCGCGTGGCAACTACCAGCACTGTTATTTCCGTTTCTAATCTGTTATCGCAAAGCATATCTACCCAACCACAGAAGTCAACCGCGCATCCACTGTGAGGCAATTTCGCTATTAGCAATCGCACCACCAGATTTCCTACACATCACATCCACTTAGCTCAACACGATGAAGGTGTGTGGCTCTTCCCCTCCATCAACCCCTACCATCGTTTGGGGTAAAATTAACCTCCACACAGGCTCTCCGAAGGTCAATAAAGGGAGAGAAAGAGGTCAAATCCCACGCTTCCATAACCCCCAAGTCCGCCGTCGCTATTGTTCCCCCTAAGAAGGTTTGTCTCTCTCTCGGCACCTGCTACTCGTCCCGGCCCACCTTACTAACTGGAGCCCAAGGTCATCCGTGCGCTTTACGATTACGAGGCCCAATCATCCCAAGAATTGAGCTTTTCTCGTGGTGACTTTTTTCATGTTATTGGCCGCGAAAACGACCAGGACTGGTACGAAGCTTGCAATCCTGCTCTGCCCGACGCTCGTGGCCTAGTCCCTGTGGATTTTTTCCAGGCTCTTGGCCGTACCGAGCGAGACAGCGCCCAGTCCGACCGTTCCGGCGCTTCATCGGTGAAAAATCCCGACCACGACTCGGGCTACGCCGAAGCATCCTCACCCAGCGCCATGACGAACGCAATTGCCCCTACGTCGGCTGGGGCCCAGCGCGATTCTAGGTTGGGTGGCAAGGGAAACGGCGTCATGGTTTATGGCGTCGTCATGTACGATTTCCAGGCAGAACGAGCAGACGAACTCGAAGCCAAAGCTGGCGAAGCCATCATTGTCATCGCCCAGTCGAATCCCGAATGGTTCGTCGCAAAGCCCATCGGCCGTCTGGGCGGTCCTGGTCTCATCCCTGTGTCGTTTGTCGAAATCCGGGATATGACTTCGAACACACCAGTTCCCGACCCTCAAGAGGCCGTTCGCCAAGCTGGCATCCCCAAGGTTGAGGAGTGGAAGAAGACTGCGGCCAACTATAAGAACAGCAGTATCACGCTCGGAAAGTTCGAGGTAAGCGGCGGCAACGGTGGCAGTGGCCAGATGCCGCTCGAGCAAGGCATGGAGAGGATGAGCTTGCAGCAGGGTGCCGCCGGTGGTCGGGCCAGCCAAAATAGCTATGTGAGTTGCAATTTCCAGATCAGGCAGAGCCATGCTCGAGAGGTACCGTTGGACTAATAGATGTTCTCTTGTATCAGCCGCAAAGCCCTACTGGCTACAATTCGCAGAGGAACACCCAGCAAAGCATGCAGGCGCAGCAACAGCTGCAGCAACAGCAGCAGCAGCAACAACAGCAGCAACAACAACAACAAGGACCGTACGGCACCGATTCCAGATCTTCACAGCTGTTTGCGCCTATTTCGGCACACATTCCCCGTTACTGTTTTGCCGAAGACAAGTATTGGTTTGTTATCGAGGCTATACTGGAAGATGGTCGTCAATGGGAGCTGTCACGATACTACGAGGATTTCTACGACTTCCAGATTGCACTTCTGACCGAGTTCCCGACCGAGGCTGGCAACACTGGGAACAAGAAGCGCACTCTTCCATACATGCCTGGTCCCGTCAATTACGTCACGGACGCCATCACGGAGGGCCGCCTTCACAACCTCGATGCCTACGTCAAGAATCTGTTGGCACAGCCGCCATACATTGCACGATGCGATCTCGTGAAGCAATTTTTCAGTCCTCGCCAAGGAGACTACGAGATTGAGATGGAGCTGGACGAAGAGCAGGTTTCTCCCAGGTCTCAGCCACACCCGGGCGACATCAGTTTTGATCGCCCCCCCAGCCAGCTCGACAGCGGGTACTCCACAGGGGCGTCGGCCGGCCGGGCTCAGCAGCCGTCTATGGCACGACAGCCGTCATCATTGTCGCAGCCGTCGCAGAGCTCATTGTCGCCGGGCGTCAACCAGCAGCCGGTGCAGGCCATGAAGGTCAAGCTTAGCTACGACAACGATCTGGTGGCTATCCGCGTGCCATTGGATATCCCGTTCCGCGACCTGTACGACAAAATCCGTGACCGGTTGAAGATCTCGGCTGCCGACCAGATGCAGCTATTTTATAAGGACGATGCCACTGGAGACAGGCCGAGCATGCTGAGCGATAACGACCTCGACACGGCTTTGCAACGAAACGAGAAGCTGACGATCTACATTGAGACCTCATAGGGGCAGTTCGGCCCTGTGATGCATCCTGTTTGCTCTTTGCCCTTTGCCCTTTGTCATTTTCAATTATCTTTCTATATACAGCGATGAAACGATATTCATGTGAGGACGACGGCATTCAACATTATGCTTGCTTCCCGTCTCATTATGTTTCTTCAGCAATTCGAAGCTGAGCGAGACCTAGGCCTCTTTTTTATGATTGATTTTTGAGAGAAGGAGAGTTCTGACGACTAGCTCGTCGTTTTTCCCTATTCGTCTGTATTACAGGAAAAGGAAGATGTAGTGCCGTAAGGCAAGGAATGGACGTTGAGCGGAGATTCGTCTCGTTTCCAAGACAGCCGGTTTTTGAGCTGTGGCGTCTAACGGTGTTTACGGTGCTGGGCTTTCTTTGCTGAACTCGTTTTTTTATGTATCTCTGATTATACGACGAACTCACGGATTGCTTGTTACCCCGGCGTGCCGATTTTATTTTATTTTATTTTTATGGACATTTCGAAATAAGAGTGGAACTTGAAGCAGGATCACCACGATTGCTTTGCTTGTATGGGATGATGGGAGATACAGCCGACTTTCGCGAGCTTCTTTTGGCATGATGTGATGGGTGAATATTGCATGAGCTGAAGACAATCCTATTTCCTATGGATTCCCATTACCCTTGCAGATAGCTGTCTGAGCAAGGAATGAAAAGCGCCGGTGTTAAGGTGCATGATGACTAATTTGTGCCGTAGAGAGACGCGAGCCCGAAATATGTACAGAGTAGAAGCCCGTCTCGTTTGCAGATGCATGGCCGGCACGATGGCCCGAGATGGTGTCATTTGATTCAGGAGGTACATGAGAGGACGTAGAAGGGATACACGCCGGTACAAGCACCGGGCGAGACGACGCATAAATCTGGGGTTGCAGGAAATGGGCTTACAGGTAACGGCCGGGAAAGGAAGATGCCTCCAAGAAGATATGGCAAAGGGCAAACACGCTATGCAAGACAAGAGGGGAAAGGCATGGTTGGGATATCGATGTTGCGACGAGGAGGGAAAAGGACAGGCAGACAATCAGAAGAAGCCAAGGGTGCAAAGCGGAAACAAGCCAGGTCCCCCGTCGGTCAGCGAGAGAGCCGGAACGATCTAAGAGCAAAAAAGAGGCAACCCCATGAACCCCAGAGCGCCAATGCCAAACGGATATGTTGAGGGAGGGGAGGAGGGGTATTTCGGACTAATTCGTTGTCTTTCCGTGAGGAGCAAAGGTGCCATTCCTGGGCCGATTCTTGCATGCGAGAGAGAGAGAGAGAGAGAAGCAAGGAGAAAAGCGAGGAAACACGAGCGGGCGAAAGAAGAGGAAAACGCAAGAGAAGAGGACGGAAGGCTAGCAGGACAGAGTCAGTTACAAGGAAAAGAACAGGAAACGGCAGTCGTTACAAAGCAATAATTCCTCCCAACAGCCCCATGCCCAGGCCCGGTCGATGTTCCTTTTCCAAGTGCGTCTCGGCGCCTTCTCCCTCGAGGAGCCGTGCGCGTGGTTTGTTCTGTTTCTTTTGGCGGACTGACCGTCGGCCACCATCAACACGATCAGAAGTTGTCTGCTACATAGAAAGATATGGAAAGAAGAGCTGGTCGAGAAAGAGGATTAAAAAGAAAGAAAAAAAGAGGACGGGGAGAAGGAAAAAACCGTAGGGCGTGTTTCTACTCCATGACCACATGTGTTGTCATGTGCTCTACGGCTTCCTTGATCGTCCGCAGCATCCGCTGGTTGACGCAAAAGGGACACCGCAACGGCTGGTCTGCGACTGGGGCCGAGGATGCCGACGTGTTGAGGTGTGCGTTTGCATCCCCGCCTCCCTTTGACGGCGTGGCCGGCACGCTCAGCTCGGCGCGGTGGCGGGCATCATCTGCTGCATCTGCGACTGAGCCAGCGGCAGCAGCAACTGTTGCGACAGCAGCAGCAGCTGCTGCAGCAGCCTCAGCAGCCTCGACCTCGTCCTGTTGCTGTAGCTGTCGCAGCGCGTTCTGCAGCACCATTTCTGGGTCGTCGTCCGGGTTTGGATAGACTGACGTCGAGTCAGGGCCGTTGGAATGATGGCTAGCACCACTGCTGCCGGCACTACCGCCTTGCTGCTGCTGCTGCTGCTGCTGCTGCTGCTGCTGCTGTGGGTCATGTCTATCGCACCGCGAAGCCCCGTAATCTGCGGACGCGGCGGCAGCTGCAGCCGCAGCTGCGGCCACAGCGGCTGCGGCGGCCGTGGCTGCCGAGGCTTCAGAGGTTGTGGTGGCCGATGCCAGCCCAGGCGGCCCAGTAGGAGCTCCAGGCACAGCGGCTGGCGATGCTGAGATGGCATAGTGCACCAGCTCGTTGCGCACACGGGTGCACACCGCAATGGACGGCTCGATGCCCAGAGTGCGCTGCAAGGTGTCCCGGATGTCCACCGGGTTCGTGTCGGCGACGACATCCATCAGGCCCGGGAGGGTGTCGATCAGGTAGCCAATGTCGGCAGCCTGGTCGCTGTTGCCGGACGGATCGACGCCGAGACCCGACTGGCGACGCTGGCGGCGAATCAGCAGACCGTAGCGCTTCTTGAAGCGATGGATCCAGCCGGGCGAGAATTCGGGCGGCTCCTCGCCACGGTGGCGCGGCAGCTGGGTGAAGATGCTCTTGGCCTTGTCGGCCAGCTCTTCGTTAGTCGGATGCCGGCCGGCATTGGTCATCTGCTGGTACCACAGCAGGACGAGCTTCTCGACCTCGGGCCAGTTGCCAAAGCGCAGACGGCTGCCCGACAGCTGAGGCTCGCCGTCGAGACGGGCATACTTGGGCGAGAGACTGTGCGAGACGGTAGACTGCGAGATGGTCTGGTGGTATTCGCGGTGGAACCACTCGATGCACTGCTTGTGTGATGGCCGGTTGGGCTGCGTGTTGGCCCAGCGCCTGAGCGCCCGTCGCTGGTCCAGCGTGAGCGAGTGGCGTTCCTTCTGCGGCGTGGACGATGGCGTGGTTGGCGTTCCTGTGATGGCCACGAGGCTGCTGTCCTTCATGTCGACGTCGGGTGTGTTGCTACCTTCACCGCCATCGCCACCGTCACCACCGTCAGGACCGGCCGCAAGGCCGTCTGGGTCGGTAGTGCTGTTGGTGGGAGTGGAGACTGTAGCCATGGCCATGGCCGTGGGCGCAATTGGAGTTGCCGGTGCCGTTGGCACGTCTGCCACCCCTTCAGACATGAGGGGGACACGGAGATGTGTGTGTTGAGCTGAGTCAAGGGTTGTGCGAAGCTGCAGTGCAGAGCGGCGGTGTAGGTGCCGCCGAGAGGCCACGGGCAATCAGCTGGGCCAAAGGGCCGGAAGAGAGACAGATGCGCGTGTCGATATAAGATGATGGCAGAGGTGATGACAATGCAGACAATGCAGCTTTGCAGAGCACTATGTCAACCGTACACGAAGACGGTACGGGAAGAGGGGAGAAGCAAGGAAGAAGGAAAAAGGAAAAAGGCAGGCTGTGCAGATGCAGCAGGAAAGGAAGCAGACGAAAAGGCAGCCGGTGGGAAGGGGAAAGAGGACCGGCCGTCTGCTCGGCAGCGGTAGATGCCGATAGACAGACCGAGACGCAGAGGAAGGAGGCAGAATACGGCAGCGAAGGCAGACAGACGGCACGGCACTGCGGCGAGGTGGTGGCGCAGGCGCGAGCGCGAGCGTCGTCGATGTGAGCGTATGCGTCTGTGTTTTCTTTCGCTTTGGGCGATACGTGAGGTTATTCGCAAAAGAGAACACCGCTCTGCGACAGGCCGGATGCAGCAAGGGGAAAGGGTGCAGGAGTGGTGTGCTTGTGCGGCTTGGGTGCATGTGTCTTTTGAGCGTGCAGCGGTCTAGTTGCAAGCGGTCATGTGTTTGCTGGCGCAGCGTTTCTCATCCTTGTACTGAGGCTATATTCGCTTGCTGGGATCGCGCGCGCAGACGCGATTTGGAACAGAAAAGATCGGATAGGAAGTTAACAGAGTTTTTTTGGGCTGCAGAGGCGCGAAAAAAAACGGAAGGAGGGATGAAGGAGAAAGGCGGTAAGGGGGAGAAAAAGGGAAGGCTGGGCAGAGAAGAAGGAAGATTGGCGGGCAGGAACCGTGCACCAGCCAGCTGGTGGGGGGGGGGGGGGGTGTGTGGGGACCCTGGAGATTCTTGTAGGAGGGGTCGATCTCCAGACTGAGATGATCCAGAAGGAGGGTGGCCAGAGCCAGCAGAGACGGAAAGAGCGGCGAGCAGACGGCTGCACCGAGGGAAAGAAGCATCGTCTCCGCCGGGCCCCGCCAGCCCAGTTTTCGCTCTGTTCTCTGACCTTTCTTGGCTCTTCCGTCACTGCTGTTCGTTCGTGTCCCGCGATGATGGCCCGATTTATGCACGTAGAGGGTGTGCTTTGGCCGTGTGGATGATCTCCGACCGGCGACTTTCATCACGCGCAGCCTCTCCCGTACGAGTACGACAGCGTCGTCTCCAGTCTCTCGCTTCGACCTTGCCGTTCGCATTATCACTTGGGGGCTGCCCACCACGAGAATCTCGTATTGCTGTCTGTTGTCCACGTAACAGCCAGACACCTGTTGGTTTGACTCGCCGGAAAAGGTAAACAAAGGAGGCATGCCAATCACGTTCAAACGCACACGCCACGGCCGTATCTTCCCTCAATGAATGCCCTGAAAAGTCCGGGGGCGATGTAGATCGCCGTTTGTGGGTGATGTACTCCGTACTGAACTTTCAGACCGCCACGTCTCGTTCGCGAATGCTACATGTCATTTTATGAAATGAGACCCTTCCCATCTCGCTTGTATTGATTTTCTAATTTACCCGCGAGCATGCATGTGACTGGTGTCTTTCAGCTTGTTGTGCTACGCATCAGGCCATGATGATGACGAGTGAATCGGAGCGCGTCGTCTGATATATGCAATATGCTATTATGCGCTAAGCGGAAGTTTTGCAAAGCGTATGCCAAAGTGGAACGAAGAACCAGCCATGTTCTCCCGTTCCCTGAGAAGCTGAAGCCGATCACTTTGCGCGGCCCTGCTCTTGCCACTGTCCCCTTCCTCTTGCGGCTGGCTGCTGAATGAACGAGCACTGGATTGTAACCTTGGCTTGACAGAACCTCCAGAGCACCAAAGTGACCATTGAATTTACGTCATCAAATCGAGAGCTTCTCCGCGGGATCTTTCTGGCCTCTTCTTCACATGCAGCCACCATAGCTGCTGTTCTGAGCAAAGAAACATCTCGCCTTCCGTGGAAATGCAGAAGCTGCTGACACCGCCTGAACCAACGTTCAAGTTAGCATGCGCATCCCAGACACTTTAGCATCTGGTCTTCGCCACAGCTTACCTGGAACCTCGATCACGCCCAGAAGCGACCCGCCGGCATTCCACACCTCCACCCCGTCTGCACATCCGGCATACACGTTGCCAGCCGGGTCGCATCTGACGCCAATCGGCACCCCATGCAGAGCATACGCAAAGACACGTCTATTGGCCAGAAAGTCCGACGACCCCCGGCGTATCACGTCAAAGGCATAGATTGTCGCAGCACTATCAGAGCGGTCAGCAGAGAGAAGAGTCGCCAGTGCTCGTGAAGGATACGTACCGAGTTGGGTTCTGCTTGCCGTCGGCGTGCAGGGAGTCCGTGTCCGTGACGTAGACCGTACTAGCGTCAGGACTGATGCAGATGCCCGTCGGCCGCTGCAGGCTGTCGGCAACGACGCGCAGCTCGCCTGACGCCGGGTCGAACCGATACACGTGGCACGGCAGCTGTGGCGTCTTACGGAACTCCCTCTCGAAGCCGTGGCACGGGTCCGTGAACCAGAGGGAGCCGTCGGGCGCGCAGGCCACATCGTGCACCGAGTTGAAGTCGTGACCGTAGTAGCTCGTGACCAGCGCCTGAGGCGGCCGGCCTCGCGGCATGAAGAAGAGCCCACTTGTGCCGGGATTGGGACTGCCCTGAGCGCAGTAGAGGATGCCGTCCGCCTGGCTCGCCGAGTATGGAATGGCGCCTGCCGGCATCGGCATCGTCGATGGCGGTCGGAGCTTGGTCCACTCGACAGCCGTGATGTCACCATCGTCGCTGCGCCGGATGGCCACGCGGGATATCAGGATGACCGGCAGCTGCGAGCTGCTCGTGGTCTGCAGCATGTTGGACGTGACGTACAGCACCTCGTCCGGCGATGCTGCCACCGATGGCGCCGTTAGTGCCGCTGTGGCCGCCTCGAAAACGTGTGCGCATCCTCCGTGGAAAAAGGGGTTGTGCGATGACTCGGCCGACGAGAGAAGAAGCGCGTAGTCCGGATCGTTACCCACTACGCTGCCAAAGTCGGCGTGGTACTGGACTAGCGAAATGCCCGCAGAGGGCGGAGCTTGCCGCGCTTCGGACAGACGTCTTCGCTCAACACAGCACCAGAGGCATCTTCGTTAGCCAGCCTGCTCAGCGGTATAAAAAGGCCATGTTGTCCTCAGGCTGAGTTTGTCAAACACACAATGGGGGTTGCCAGGCCCCCGGCCGACGGTCCACAATCTGTATCTGGTGTAAGCTTGAGTTCCTGGACGTATCGTCAGATATAGGGCGAACTGTTGGCAGTATAAAGCGCACCTGGATCGGTGTTTTTTCGACCTTTATGGCGTTGATCGTTGACGACGCCATCGCTGCATGCGATGGTATCTGACGTAGGAAAAGAGACGCGTAATGCAAAGATCCGCTAGGCAACTCTAGAGCGTGAAAGAGATGAGCCTGTGCTGCGCCTTGAAATGTGTCGCACCGTTGCGAAAAAGGCAGAAGCTAATGCGAGAAAGCACAATATTGGAGGTAAGATCCGATAGGCTTCATGCTACGGCGTCTTTGCCCACCGTTAATTGTAGCGGTACGTCGTAAGTGGGTCCTTGAGCAGTATTACCGCCTAAAAGTAACTAGCCGTTCTTGGGTGTTTCCTTGTAAAGTGGAGGGCTAAAACGCCCAATGTTTGCGATCCGGACATCAATAGGTGGTTGGCTCATGTGCTGTCTTCCAGTCTTCCTATGCAGACAAAGTTCTATGGAAGCCTTATGGAGGCGTACATCAGATCCTGGGATGTAAGCTGGATTTTTTTAAAGCATACAAGAGGACCGGTCTTATTTGGTGGCTTTGCACAATCTTCAGAACGAACACTGCTAACCGACAGAGGCACTGGTGTGTAGCTAAAGGTAGAGTGCGTAGTTTAAGCTTGTAGAGATCTTGATCATAAGCGCCAACCTATAACCAAGTTCGAGAGATCACCGGGGGGAGCAAATGATATATTGTACGCGTCATCGCCATAAACGGTAAGGTCAAGAAGATGTTTATCATCATCTTTCATATCGGAGACCAAGATTTTTGATCCTTTTTTTTGCAGAGCACTCTCAGAGCTCCGGTCCATATCTAGACGGTGCTCACGTGAAAGTGTTTTGGAAGAAACTCTCCAAAGCTTTTACAAAGTGTTAACACAAGACCTCCGAGCACGAAGTCGGTGATGGTCCCGTTTATACCAGTGAACTTGGAGCATTTTGTAAGAAGGTGGTCAAAATATAGAGCAAGTCCTACGAGGCGCGCCAGAGGCTGGCCTATCAATCGCAGATGAGGTGTGACGATGACCATATGCATAACCTGCGGAGCGCCTTCGGTCTTCCGGACTGGTATGCCGTCATCGACCTATTCCTTGACTGGAAGGGTGACCACAAAAATGTCCTGGCAGCACAATCTATACTTCTTGTGCTAAAGTACAAAACCGTTTGTTCCAGAACGCCGCAGACACTTTCCAAACATGCCGGGTTCAGTTCCACGGAGACAAGGATTTCGATGAAGCGTTGAATAGAGATCGTGTCAAATTTATGTATCTCAATAGCAATCGAATGACATACAAGCCAGATTCTCACAACATGAATGAATCTGCTGCAACTATCATATCTAGCGTCTGCCTAGATCAAGGGAGGATCTTACCTCCTGCTTCTATCTCGCATTTGCTTAGGCGCATATGTCGTTTATAAGGCATGTATATGTAAGCTTTACGCCTACTAATATTTCATCCTCAGAAATGCTTGTGTCGACGGATTGGTCGGCGTTCTCGTCAACTGTCGAGATCTTCGGTGATGTGGTGATCAAGCTCGTTTTCTTGTAAGCCGTCAGTAGATGTTGCTTCTTGCATTCCTTTAGTAAAGTGACATACCATTTTCTTGTCGCTAGATAGCAACTTTCAAACAGGATTTACATCAATAGATGAAAGTGTCAGTCATTCCTTGTCTTTGAGCACAGCTATGTAGATTTGCAATCGAATTCTGTATAATACCATCTTACATGTCTTTAAACTTACACAACTCTACGACCGACGACATAAGTTTGCCTTACCTTCTCGCTCTTCTATTGCACAGCACTGACCTCCGGCATAGCAGACACGCAACCCCACCATAGAGTCTAACCAAACCATATAATGTAGCAATCCATAATGAAGAATCGCGCCAATCCGATCGGCGAAGCCATGTGGTAGCATCTATAAAACCGCACAATTCGCATACGGCATCCTAAGACCTTAGACTAGTGGCAATGGTGCTTCACGAGGGTGAGCGTGCGAGGTTATAGACATTTGGACTTGGGAATATATACTTGGGCTTTATCGCTTGTACACAGCAATGTGCTCCAAGCTGCGATCATTCTATGCCACTAGATACATAATACATATTTTCCACAGTTGGCTCGTCCCTATAAAAGAACCAGGTAATCTAGTTGCTGGAGTGCCCCTGACGGCCCTGCTTTATGATATCAGCTGCCTTTTCGGCCACGGCATAGACGGTCGTCTGGATGTTGCCAAGTGGCTCGATGGGGAAGATGCTGGCGTCGACAATACGGAGGTTTGACACCCCATAGACGCGCAGTTTGCCGTCGACAACACCGCCTTTGTCCTTTGGCTTCATAACACAGCTGCCACAGACGTGGAATATGGATATTTGCGCCTGGCGAACAATTTCGCGTGCCTGGTCCAGATCATCTGCACATATATCTGGCATCCGCTTTCCCTCTCCGGGGGGCATCAGAAGGCCAGCAAAGGGCTTAGTGTAGGCAAAGGTCTCGACAAAGCGCACAGCTCGTGCAAGGATCTCCATGTCAATGCTCTCGGAATTGTAGTGAGGGTCCCACACCGGAAGGTCGTCGATATTTCCAGATGTTATGTGGACTTGGCCACGCGAGAACGGATGGTTGAGCACACTCATGATAGTGAGGTAGTTCTCAGGCTGGGACGGAACGATAATCTCTGCCATCGACGACGGGTTCTTTCGGATGGAGACTTGCGTTGGGAAGAGCAGAAACTGCACCGACGGCTCGCCGGGACCAGACAGAAGCTTCCGCACCAAGCCATGTTCCTCCTCACCACTGTCACTGTGGGCGTCAAAAAACGCCTGGCGTGCCTCGGCCGAGAGCGGGCCGTCAGCGTCGAGGAGAGGTGCGTAGGCACAGCTGATGGCGCTCTGTCCCATTGGGCCCTGGCCGTCGGTCTGGTACTGCTGGACTAAGGCGTTAAGAAGGTCTGGATCGCGCAAGATGTCACCAGACAGAGTTCCAGGAGCAACCTCAAAGCTCTGGCAGACGACCGCGTGGTCCTGCAGATGCTCGCCGACGTTAGGGTTGTCGACAACGACGGGGATGGCATGCTTTTCGAGAATGTCGCGGCCGCCGATGCCCGAAAGCTCGAGCAGCTGTGGGGTTTGTAGAGTGCCCGCAGCCAGGATCACCTCGGCACGCGCAAAGACGTCTCGCTCCTTGCCGGTCTCGCCACCGTTGCCCGAGCGAACACGAACACCCTTGGCCACCGCGACGACATCTGGGTCTGCCGTGTGGGCGGATGGTGACTCCAGCAAGATCTTTGTCACCACGGCCTCGGTCCAGATCGTAAGGTTCGTGCGTGCAAGCACCTTCTCGGTCAGGTATGCAGTGACAGCAAAGCTGCGCGTCTTGGTCTTGGGATCGATGGTGGCAGTGTTCTGGAAGGCACCGACAGCACTTCCGCCTCGAGGGTCGGACGTCATGCGCAAGCCCAGGTTGGCAAAGGTGTCGAACCAGGCCGAATTGTTGGGACTGTGTCCCTCGCCGTACGAGATCTGCAGCGGGCCAGTCTCGGTCTGTGTGATGGCATCATCGTAGTGGCCGGCGACACGGCAGGTCGAGGTCGTCAAGGCCGATGGCGGCTCCGTGGTGGCAAATTTGCGGAAGTAAGGCTCCAGCTCGTCAAAGGACCATCCTTTGTTGCCCAGGGCACCCCATGCGTCGAGGATGGCGCGACTAGGATACACGGCCATCATAAAGTTGATCCCAGAACAGCCACCTAGCATGCGGCCACGTGCCTGGTTGATAGCCCGGCCATGGAGGGTGGGCTACAGCAGTCATTGCATCAGTATTCGCAGAGAAATCATTTTCATCCCTCTCTCCCGCTATCGACAACATACCTGGGGCACAGAAGAAAAGTTCCAGTCGTACTCCTTCTTGCCGTATACCCCGGCAACTAGACCCGGTGTGAGGACCAGGGGATCTTTGCTGTGGTCTGCTCCGGCTTCGATGAGCAGGACTTTTATGCTAGGGTCTTCACTCAGGCGAGCGGCCACCACAACACCAGCAGTTCCTCCACCGGCGATGATGTAATCGAAGGTGGCCGCCTGGTCTTCGCCGGTAGATCCCATAATTGCGGAGAAAATGATTTGCAGATGCGTCCTGTGACGATGTAGTTGTAGGATGCAAACACGTGGATATTGAAAGAGTAATAGGATATATTGGAAGACTGCAACTTCTGAAGGGGGAACGGCGGAAACACGATCTGACCAGGGCTTTTAAATGTTGCCATGTATCTTATCTTATTCCGTAGGTGGTGGTCATGCCAGTCGGTGGATCTTTATTAATGTGATGCATACATACGGAGTACAACATAGCACGAAAACACTCAACAGACCTGCCGCCAGACTGTCACTTTTTTCTCCTCGTATGATGTGACAGTATATATGGGACATGCAATGCTAGATCCAGGTACTCGTGGTTTGTACGGAGTACGTCGCAAAGCGGCATGTTAAGATATACAGCGTGGGATCGCGTAGTTTCACATACGACGTATGCCTGGCACGACTGCTAGGACTTCTTGTCTTTCCAGCAGAACGACCTCGTTTCGTGCCTACCAAAAATATACCAACATTGCTACTATGTAGTCGACCGTCTTTGTGCCATGACCGGCACGAGAACAGCTCTGAAGAAATATTCTGCCAGGTAGAGCCAGCGTGCAGCATATACAGAGTACTCCGTACCGCAAGAAGCTTGTGCAACTCTGGGAAACCCAACGGGACTTCGTCGTGGATGACAAGGGTCTGTGGCAAACCTGGCCCGTGTTCTCCTATATAGTAAGATGCGATCATCCTGCCGTCTTTCCCAACCAGGCATTCATTCCCGCGCATGCAGTATCTTATGTCGTATACAAACTCCGTACGCTATAGACATGCAGGGGTATTTGGAGGGTCTCCGCCCGTTTTCTCCACCAACCCCCTGTCACGGACACCGGATTTTGCTGCTCCGCGCGTCGGGTCCGCTACCCGTAGGCCCGTAAAATTCAACTTTAGTTAGAAGCCATTGCTGCCTCTTCATTGACAGAGTAGCAAAGAAATTGGGGTCTGCATTGCACCCATGTTCGCTGGCCGAGAAAAGGAGGCAATGCTCATGTCAGACTGATAAATGATTGGCTCTGGGTACGCAGTACAGAGATGTATGAAACTTACGGAGGACGGATAGACTGCTCCCGTATGCTGGTATCGATGATTTTGCCGTCTGGAGGAATGACATATAATAACATAAACGCATCCGCTCCGTCCGGACTCGTGTTAGTAAGTATACTTGCTTCTGGGAGACTCGCTAGCAGCTATGGTGGAATACAAAGTAATGGAGACTTTGCCAGTAGTCAAAGCACATCTCATCGTCAATTGCATCCTGGCTTTTGTGTCCTATATCGTCGTGGCTTTGAGAATATTCTCCCGTGTATACATTGAGGGCAATATGATAGGGTGGGACGATATTGCTATATTATTCGCAGTGGTATGTTCTTTCATGATCTCGGCTATGCTCGATGCACTCTGACGGCCACTTTTACCCATAGCCCCAAGCCTTTGGCATGCTCATCATCTCCGGAATGTGTAAGTTCTCGTCCGACCTTTTGTCCCATCACCGTGTTTTTTGAACTGTTGACTGACCGCATTTGATTGATCCTACAGACAGCCAGCTTGGTGTGGGCTGCCCACTTTCAGAGGCCCTAATAAACATCCCCTTGATTCTCAGAGTGTGTGACCATTTCGACTGCATTCCCTACAGGTCCCTTCTGACGTCTGGTCCAGCTCCTCGTTGCTTACGAACTGATATTTGCCACGTCGACCTTTACGATAAAAGTCTCGGTTCTGCTGTTCTATCTTCGAGTTTTTGTCACTCCCGCCATGAAGCTGGCCGCAAAGCTCACCCTCGCCTTTGTGGTGCTGTGGACGGTAGGCAATATCATGCAAGTGTTTCTGATCTGCCGGCCTTTTGCCGCGACGTACGACACAGATGTGCCGGGCACTTGCGGCAATCAGGTGGCAAGCTTCATTGCTATTGGGTGCTTCAACATTGTCACCGATGTGATCATCATTATTCTTCCAATCCCTACAGTCTGGTCTCTGAAGACGTCTGTCAAGGTTCGGATCATGCTGACGATTGTCTTTCTGATCGGCTTTCTGCAAGTATTCCCTCAAACTCCTTGCACAAGTGTGTGTACTAATATGGTCCCCGACACAGTGTCAGTGTAGTGGCCATTGCACGCATTGTCGCCTTGACAAGACTTGATATGAAGGCAAACTTGACCGGTACCATGATATACGCCGACTTCCTCTCGGCCGTCGAGCCCAACCTGGCCATTCTTTGTGTCAGCCTGCCCATGCTACGGACACTAAAGTCCCGCATGAGAACAAAGGGGCGCTATGACCCATCGACCAGCAGATCTGAAGGCCAGCTAGATAGCAAGAAGTTCGGCGACTCTAGGCATGTGCGACTCACGGGCGACATGCCCGCAGAGAGCTTTGCCATGAAAACTGTTTACGCGGTCAACCCAGGCGGCGATTACAATGCCACAATCGTAAAGGGAGGAGCGTCGCAAGAGCACAGTGATGACATGGAGAGCCCGACTGGGTCTCAGACCGAGCTGGCCCCGTCCGTTCTTAGCGATGGCCATCCGAAGCAGGGCATCATTGTCAAGACGCGAGTGGAAACGCGCTGGAGCACGCCATACGAGTAAAGCGACTGAAGACATTGGGGCCATGGTCATCTATCGAAGGATACGACAGAGTTAATATACTCTGTGCTTGATTTGTCCTATAGGTCATAGAAGAACTATAAGTAGACGGAGCGGTGCTTCCTATCATAAGCTTACTCATCCAGGCCAATCCTGTCTTTCCTACATTCATGTCTAGTCCATCTACCCAGACCCTAGTACGGCTTGACACCGGCCAGGCGGAGCAGCTGGTCGGTCATCTCGGGCAGCTCGAGGGGCCGGTCTCTGTCGCGAGGGTCTCGCGTGCCGTCCTCGAGGTAAGTCTCTGGGCTGCGCAGGCAAATGTTGTCGTGCGGCCAGTGAGTGGTGCCGGCGAACCGGTGGAAGGCCTCGGCCTTGAGCGCGAGAGTCTCGGGCGTGGCCAGACGGGCGGGCGAGTAGGAGGCATAGATGACGGTGCGAATGGTGGTGCTGCTGGGGCCAGGCTCGGCGCCGTAGTGAATCGTGCGGCTGTCCCAGACGATGAGGTCGCCGACGTCGGCGCAGACCTTGAGAGGCTGGATGCCCTTTGCACGGAACCAGGCGAGCTGGTGTGGCTCGATGTAGAGAAAGTCCTTGGCCAGCCAGGTGGCCGGATCGGTCTGGCTGTCGAGGAAGTCGTCGAGGAGACGGTGCGAGCCCGGATAGACGACGAGGCCGCCGTCGTCGGGACCGGCCGTCGAGAGGTTGATGATGCCCTGGACGCAGTGCATGCCGCGACGCAGCGGACTCTGGTCGACGTGCTCCCAGGCGCCGCGCGGCGTCACGTCGGTGCGGTTCGGAAAGGTGACGTTGAGGCTGTCGAAGCTGACCAGCAGCTCGTCGGTGCCCCAGACCTGCTCAAACGCCGCGAGCACGCCCGGCTCCAGGCGCGCGTCCCACATGAATCGCTCGTGTGGGCCGCCGTATGTGCTGAACGTGTTGATGCGCGAGTGCACCGGCAGGTTCGCCTTCACCCACGTCTTCGCGTCGGCATAGTCGAGCCCGTCGTTGCCGAAGCTCTTGATCCACGCGCGTGCCCGCTGCTGGTACGCGAGCGCGCGCGCCCGCGGGATCGCACCCTTGATCACCGCATAGCCGTTGTTGCGCAGATCCGCGCGCCAGTCGTCGGCGTCGGCTGCGAGCGACTTGCTGTTCCGGCGAAGCTTCCCGTCAGAAACGGCTAGGGAATGAGGGGAGGAGACGTACATACAGCGTGTTGGCAGGGGCAGAGGCGTGCAGCGAGGGCGTGGGCCTCAGACTGGACGTCGCGATCGGAGCCATGGGACCGGGTGGGCGATAAGAAGTCTCGGGCTTTGCCGCTGATGCTTTTCGGCTTCTCTAGTCGAGGTCGTGATAGTTGTTCGGCTTCTGTTTTCTCTGTTTTCTCTTCTTTACTTTCGTCTCTTGTTGTTTGTGAAAGGATGTCCTCAAAAACAACATCCCATCTAAATATACATCTTATCCAACAAAAGCGGCCGTCGTTGATCGTAAGATCCACGCCAAATGACGACAAAAACTAGATTTTGGCTTCACGGTGCTGTGTCCTATTGGCTGCGACTTATCTCATCCACTTGACTTATTCCACAACCGGCCGGATTTAAGTTGCCCGCCACTTGTCTGGCTTCCTAGGCTATCAGCATGGCCGATCTCCGATGTCGTTGGTCGCACGTGGACATCTCTTTCTCCAGCTTTATGTAGAGGCTATTCCGATCCCTGGTAGAATTATAGGGTTTGTCTGGCTCTTGACATACAGCCGATGATAGCCGTCCGCTTATCTATATCGTTCGCTTCTGGTAGACGCAGAAAAGTGGCAGGCAACGCACTATAAGAATGCGTAGGTTCTAACTGGACCATCATTGCTTGTAATCCCTACCTTGTGGCTTAGACCAAGTCCGGTAGTGCTTGCTCGCCTCCTACGACAAGGTCGCCATTGAAGCCGGCCCACTCGATCTGAGCTTAGGTAGCAGCAGACTCAACCCCAAAGGTAGCACTTGTCCGCGCCAAAGGAGCATCAGCGCCCAATTGGCGAGAACTGGCCACAAGGATCTGCAATAGACAAGGCGCTGCCCGCAACAAATATGTGGAAATGCTGGTTCAATCAAAGATAAGCTTGCCGGGCTCCAAAGCAAACTGACAATGCGTCTTTTATTTCATCATAAGAGGAATATACACGGCAGATGCGGGATGCCACATTGGCAACCTTCAAACTGTCCCAGTCCGGATTCACTTTTGCACCCCCGTCATCGTCGTCTCTCCTAGTGTGCCTCCTTCTTCTTGCCGTCGGCCTCCTCGATGAACTTCCTGCGATCAACTGTCAGCTGAATGCTCCACACCAAGGGCTGCAAGATGGGGGGGAAGATCCAGACGGCATGCGCCGCATTGGGCATGTATGGACGCACTTGACAAAATCCGCCTCGTCCGGAGAACCGGCGTTGATGGGCGGCAGCTGAGCAACCTTCTTGCTGGGGCCGGACGATGCGATGTAGACACCACCGAAGAGGGTCGAGAGGGTGGCAATGGCCAGCTGCAGCGACGGCACGTTAGCACTCTGCATACAATTGGCGACGGCGCAGGGCCGACAATATGTCCCGGCCGTCTGGCCGATCGCGGGACACAACGGAATGGCTGCCGGACGAAATGCTACTGACATAGTGGGAGCCGACCTGGCGACCGAGGATGGAGTAGTAGGCGACCATTGTGGCGGATGGGGGGCTTGCAAGAGAGCTGGCTGACCGACGAATGGGCTGGGGAGTCGAGGCGAGGAGGCGTGGTGTGGGTAGAGCAAAGGTGGGAGGGAGCGAAAGGAGAAGAAAGAAAAAAACAGCGCTTGTTTCGCGGGCGGATTAAAGAGTATGCCGGCCCGGAAATTCACGCTGTGAGCATCGCTGTATACGAGTATGCAGTAATGCGGCCTAAAGGCCGTCATGCAGAAATCGGGACATCGGGGCAGGCTGAGCTGCAACCTGACCTATCAGGTCACAGTCTTTACAGCTAAAAGCGTCGCCAAGACCAAGCTCCCCGCACTCAAGTTAGTACTCCAGCGGATTAGCCGGGCTGACGCCCTGCCGGTTGGACTGCTTCCATCAGTGCCGAAAACAACCACATCCTGCATTGGGATCTGTAGTTTGCACGCACTGCTCTTGAGCTCTTTACCACCGCTTCACACCAATTTCGCACCAGTTCGGACGTCATGTTCTGGAGCAAAGGGCCGAGTAAGTCTCCGGACGACAAGCCGGGCGACGGGAAGACGACGACCGAGACCGAGCTCTTCAGCAGGAGCAAAGACAGGCCAGTCAAGGGCGAGGCTGGCTTTAGCGAGGAGAAGCTGCCGGACTCAAAGAAGCTGCCGCGATCGCTGCAGAAGATTGTGGACAAGGAGGAACACGACGACAACTTTTACGACGAGGTTATGTCTGGATAGTACGATTTTTTTTTTTTTTGTATTCTTTTTCGCCTGCATCTATGCTGACGTGCTCCTGCCCGACAGTGCTTCGCAGTCGACGGACTCGAACGTGCGCTATGCGGCCTACGCTGCGCGGCTGCGCACGATCCTACTGTCGGCGCACCGCTACGTGGCCTACACGTCAGACGTGGGCGAGTCGTTTCGGCCGGTGGCCCATCCGGGACTCGTGCGCGGCGCCTACGCCGTCTCGTGGGCATACATCCTCGGCGACGTCGGCTACGAGGGCTACAAGGCCTACTGGCAGAATCAGCGCCAGCTGCACCCGGAGCTGCGGCTGACCGAGCGCCAGAGCAAGCTGGCGCGCGTCGAGGCGGAGCCCAAGACGGCCGTCGAGGCCGATGCGACCGCCATCGTTCCCCAGGCCGTGCCGGCGCTGCAGGACTACCGCACCGTCATGGCGCAGCGCGCGCTGTTCCAGAGCATCGCCAGCATGGGCCTGCCAGCCTTTACGATTCACAGCGTGGTCCGCTACGCGGGGCGGGCGCTCAAGGGCGTCAAGAACGTGACCGTCCGGACGTGGGCGCCCATCGGGCTCGGCTTGGCCGTTGTGCCGCTGCTGCCGTCCATGTTTGACGAACCGGTCGAGAACGCGGTCGAGTGGGTGTTCCACAAGAGCTTCGCCACGTTGGGCGGCCACGACGCCGTCGGCAACGCGCCATCAACAGGACGCGAGAAGTCTCTGAGTGACAAGCCAAAGGAGAAGGAGCTGTGAGGGGTAAGAGTGAATGTACAAAGTACGATGTGGCGAAAGAGGGACCGGAATACGAGAAACATACATCTTTCGTCCCTTGGGCTTGGTTTCAACTCTTTTCAGTACCATTTCTGTCGCTACGAACACCATCTATGTATTGTATGGACCAGTTGCAACTGCAATACGTCGCTATAGCTCAAAATGTAGGATAATTATACCAAGACGAAGTGCTTGGCTCGACAAACGCATAAATTCAGAACCTGCCACCGACCCGTCACAGATCCATCAGGTCAGGCGGCGGGCCGATGCCGCGCAGCAGCACGATGGTGTTGCCGTTGGCGAGGACAGTGCCGACCTTTTCGTTAAAGTCGAGCAGACGGCCACCTTCAACGTGGAAGACGCGCAGCTTGTCGTCCTCTTTGGTTGACTGGTTGTTGACGTTGTCGATCTGCAGGCTGCGGGCAGCGGCATCGAGCACGCGACCGACGGCCCAATCGCGCGAGTAGAAGAAACGGCCCTTGGGCAGCTTAGCCTGGGTCGAAGTCGCCTCGGCCTCGACGTAGAGGTGCACCCGTTTTTCCGGCGCGATTTTGGCATCACCCTTGGCCGTCTTCCGGAGATCAGCCAGGGCGGCCGTGCGCTGGGCTGCCGACTGTGCTGCTGGCGACGCTCGCACGGGCATGGCCTTGCCGGCCTGTTCCTTCTTGGCTGCGCCCCAGGCTCGCAGCTTGTCGAGGGCCGACTTGGCCCTGGCGCCGCTCGCTGTGATGGCACCGTTGGCAGCACTGCCACCGGGACGAGCGCCCAGAGGCGTCAGGTGCGCGCAGTTGTGGTCTTCGCGCAGCCGGTGCTTCAGGCAGTAGTCGCGGTTGCAGCTAGAACAGTGCACGCCCGGCACCAGTCCCGTGCCGACGACTGTCTTGCAGGCCGGCGACGCGCACGGCTTCTCGGCCACCAGTTCGCGCATCGTGCGTCCGGCGCCCGCCGACGGCCGGGCCAGCTGCGCCTCTCGCCGTCGCTGCGCCCAGGCGCCCTCGTTCTCGCAGCGGTGCGCCGACTCGGTCCGGTGGTCCAGGCAGAACGTCTTGCGGCATGACTGGCAGTAAAAGGGCAGAAAGTCCAGCTGGTTGCAGTAGTCGAACTGGCAGTGCTTGCCGGTCAGCGTCGCGTCCGGCCGCGTGTCCACCTCGGCCATCTTGATGTAGGATGTGCTATCGTCCCCGCCGTCTGCGCTCGCCGCCGCCCCTGGGCTCTTCGCCGTGGAGGATGATGCTGCTGCTGTTGATGCTGCTTGCTGTGATGCGCTGTGCTGCTGCGATGAGCCTGCCATGGCACCAGCTGTCGTGGGGAGGGCGACCTGACCGGCGCCCTCCTCCTCTCCTTTATACAGGCGCTCTCTCAATGGAAAAATACGCGCGTCCGCTTGCTTGCTGATCCGTCATCGAGGAGAGAAGAAATCGAAGCACGACGATGACAAAGGCGGTTTCTGGAAGGTACGGCCACTATTGCGCGTAGTGGCGTCTTACGTAGTACTACAACAGCCTGGGCACGTGACTTGGCGCACTTGTCGCGGATCTTCGCCACGGCTGACTGACGCTGCAACTACGTAAGACATCCCTAAACCGGCTCTGTCACTCCGACTCGGCCATGCCCGACATGAGGTCCAACCCGCCACACGGTGCTCGAAGCTTTGACAATGCCGCCCTCCCGTGCGCTTCGCAAGCGGGCAACCACAGGAGAGTCTTCGGTGCCCCTCAAGCGAGGCAAGGTTGCTGCAAAGTCGGCGCCACCAAGAGCCTCCGCTTCGAAGAAAAAAGGGCCAGCACCTAGGAGGCCGACCCTGTTTGACGATCTGGATGGCGTGGACGCATCCCCTTCGCCGTCGAAAGGCCACCCGGAACGGAAGCTTCTGCTGGAACTCGATGTTGACGACGACAGCTCGTTGACCTCTCTGACCGACCAGGAGTTTGAAAATGTTCTTGTCGAAGCGAAGGGAGAAGAGCCAAAGGACGTAGAGGGCGAAGATTCCTCTTCGGATGAGGATGTGGAGTTCGAGGACGTGGTCGCCCCGACACCGATTCCGCTGCTGTCATTGGCAGAGGATGCAGGACAGGAGCCATCTGGAGATCTGGAGCTGACTCTCCACAAGGACACGCGCGTCTCCCTGACCAACCCGTTTGGGGAGAAGAAGGGCCCGTCCAAGGTCGAGCGGCTTGTCCGCAACGCCACGCACCGTGTGCACGTGCAGGCGCTGCTCTGGCACAACTCCCGACGGAACGGCTGGATCGGTGACCCGGAGGTGCAGGGCATCCTCCTGTCGCACCTCTCTGCGCAGATGTGGGACGAGGTGGACCGCTGGCGGCGTGCATCCGGGCTCGAGAAGGTGAGCAGTGCGAAGAAGGGCAGGCGACCAGCCGCTGCCAAGGCGACAAAAGCGGCCAAGGCAGCCAAGACGACCGCCGCAGCGAAGCTCCTGGAAAAGAGTGCCGTGGACATGAGCCACGGTGATCCTCTCATTCGCCTGATGAAGGTCCTCTCGGCCTGGTGGCGACAGCGGTTTCGCGTCACGGCGCCCGGGCTGCGCAAGACGGGGTACGTGTCCCTGGAGCGGCTCGACCGCCAGATGAAGGCGTACCAGGAGGCGGCTGGCCTCGATCCGACGCGGTTCGGCGAGCTGATCCCTAGTCTGGCTGTCTTTCGCATACGAGCGCAGAAGCTCTGCGGCAGCCGCGATGTGGGCGCTCAGCTGTTTACAGCCCTGGTCCGCGGGCTCGGGCTGGAAGCGAGGATGGTCGCCAGCCTGCAGCCGCTCGGCTATGGCTGGAACAAGATGGAAGACGCCGATCCAGAGGTGGACACCTCGGGTCTCGCCGATGAGACGGCACCATCATCGTCTAATGCGGCCACACCGAAGCGGAAGGACCCGAGGAAGAAAGAGAAAGAGCCTGTGCCAAGGGCGGGGTCCAAGGCGAACCCTGCCAGGATAGACGACGACGAAGAGATGGAGCTGGCAGAGGTGAACAGCGACAACGATTCTGTCGTGGTGGTGCCCGAGCTGAACGAGGGAGGTGCCCAGTCACGGCGTCCTGTCTACGACAAGGAGCTGGAGTATCCCCACTACTGGACGGAAGTGCTCAGTCCGATCACGCACAAGTATCTGCCGGTCGACGCTCTGGTCAAGCGCATTGTTGCAGAGAAGCGCGAGCTGGTGGAAACGCTGGAACCGCGCGGCGCCAAGGCAGACAAGGCACGCCAGGTGATGGCATATGTCATAGGATTCTCGCCGGACGGCACGGCCAAGGACGTGACGGTGCGCTATCTCAAGCGACAGGTGCTGCCCGGACGGACCAAAGGCGTGCGCTTCCCGGTGGAAAAGGTGCCGGTCTACGACAAGCACGGAAAGGTGAGGCGTCACGACATGGTGGACTGGTTCCGGCTAGTGATGCGCAACTACGTCCGGGGACAGCGACGGGAAAACCCCCTGACAGAGGCAGACGAAGAGGAGAACGCGACAGATCTGCAGGCAGCCCAGGCAGAGAAGAAGGAGGTCAAGGAGGGCGAGGAGACGCTGCAGTACTACAAGCAGTCAACCGAGTTTGTGCTGGAGCGGCACTTGAAGCGAGAAGAGGCGCTGGTGGAAGGTGCGAAGCCGGTCCGGGTGTTCCGCAACAGCAAGGGCAAGAGTGGCGAAGAAGACGTGTATCTGCGCCGAGATGTGGTGGGCGTCAAGAGCGCGGAGACGTGGCACAAGCAAGGCCGTGCGCCGCGACCAGGGACACAGCCGCTAAAGCGGGTGCCGTATCGAGCGGCGACGACCAACCGGCGACGCGAGATTGCCGAGGCGGAGGCAGCGACGGGCGAGCGGGTGCTGCAGGGGCTGTACAGCCGCGAGCAGACAGACTGGATCATTCCGGCGCCGATCCGCGACGGTGTGATCCCGAAGAACGAGTACGGCAACATCGACCTGTTTGTCGAGCACATGTGTCCACGCGGCGCAGTGCACGTGCCGTATCGAGGAGCCGCGCGGGTCTGTCGCCGGCTGGAGGTCGACTATGCCGAAGCCGTGGTGGACTTTGAGTTCGGCCACCGCATGGCCGTGCCGGTGATCCAGGGCGTCGTCGTGGCCGAGGAGCAGCACGAGCGGGTGATGGCCGAACTGGCGCGCGATGAGGCCGAGCGGACGCGGCGCGAGGACGAGAAACGCCGGGCGGCCGCGCTCAGCAGGTGGCGCAAGATGCTGATGGGCCTGCGCATCATCGAGCGGATCCGACAGGACTACGGGGAGGTGCAGGAGGACGAGCGGGTGTTTGGGAGGGGACAGAAAACAAAAACGAGGGACGACGTGGAGGTGGGGGGCAGTGAGCTGGGCGACGAAAGCGACAGTGGCCTTGTTACTAACCAGGACCTCGCCGGCGGTTTCCTGCCCGAGGGCTTCGACTACGAGGAACCAGTCGACAGGCCTAGCTTCTTTCCGGTACACGACGAAGAAGACGACAGGCTGGAGGTCGAGGATGGGCAGGGAGACGAGGATGAGAAAGGAGACGAGGATGAGAAGGGAGACGAGGATGAGAAGGGAGACGAGGATGAGAAGGGAGACGAGGATGAAAGAAGCGAGGACGAGAAAGGAGACGAGGACGAGCAGACTGCCCGTTCGAGAGACGAAGACGAAGGCGAGGCGGACTTTGACGTGGCATAAGCTGGACATGAGAAGAATGGCAGAACCAGACTGCAGAAGGCATACTTGCATCCTGTGGCTGTGATTATACTTCTCTCAACAGGTGTGCAGATGTGCAGACTCCCGACAACTTCACCCTGTACATCCCCTTTCCCATCGTTGGACCGACAGCAACTGTAAGACGGAGCGGAGTTTTGGTGGGGGAGCAGACGGGTTTAATTCGAAACCACCCCAAATTGACGCGCTAGTCCCTAGCGGAGAGCCGCCTGGAACACAGAGCATTACGTAACCCTTAGACGCAGCCATTAGTCTCTGTCTCCCCGTCTCGCTTCTACATGTCACACTTTAATAATGACTGTACCTCCATCAGCAAGTAGGACACTCTCGCTGATTGGATCCCACGCCTAGATCAATCGTCTATCGTCTATCAGCATGACGCCCGGTGGGATGACTCGTCCAAGTGGCTTGTCCGCCCAGACCTGTCGGGTGCTCTAGTCATGCCACCATTCCACATGTATCTTAGGACTTGCTATCGCCAGGACCAAGGCTGTCGCAGAAGAGATATAGCTTCCGCGCCAGCTCGTCCCGGCACGACCTTCCCTGCCTCTTATCGTCTGCTCGGTTTCACCTGCTGTCCTCGTCGTCTTCTACCCCGCCCATCTTTGTCTTGTACGGGCGGCTCCCCTGTCTGAAGACTCCGCCCTCGTGGTCCAACCGATAAGCCTTACGGCTGCATCCTTCGTCACTGGGCCCCCAGCATCGCGCGCTCGCGCTGCGTTCAAGAATAGTCGAGCATCTGCATAGCTGCTGCTGCTTCCTGTTGCCATCCCGACCTTTTGTGTCTGCTGTGCAGTCCGGCTTTGTTGTGCGCCGCTCGGCCTCTCATGACGACGACTCTTTGTCGCCTCGCCTCTTCGTGTCTGCATCCGCCTGCTCTCTGCATTGCCAGCTGGCATCGCCTGCAGCGCCGGCGGCGCCTGGTATCGCCCGGCCGCACCAGCACCTGTCTGCTCGTTGTATTTCCCATCGCCAGCTGCCCTCGATCTGGATCTCGTCGTGTTGGTCGTCTTGCCTCTCCTTGTTGTCTACCGTATGTTGATGACCGGACACTGTAAGCTAGCCTCGCTCCTTCTTTGACGCTTACCTTCCTCCTTCGTTCTTCTCTTCCCTGTTGCTCCTTCCCTGCTGTCCATTTACTCTCCCGCATCCCCGCCTTACCATCTGGAGATTCTTCACTTTCCCATCAATCTCGGCTGCTACCTACCGGCCCCTTAATTTCTTCTCGCTTCCCCTGACGTTTTGAAGCATGAACAGCGCAACTCATGGTTCTGCAGAGGACCCGGCTTTTGCCCCCAACGAAACCCGATTTCACTTTCTCTCGCGGTTTGTCCTACATCGGAAACAAGATTGCCCCGCCACGCCGCTGTGCACAAAAAGGCATCTCCGATTGCCATCCAAACTTCTCAGCCTTGTCACCGGGTGGGCCACACCAGCCGTCTCAGTTCATCTGGCCAACCCAGTCGTCCCAGCTGTCGCATCGCCTCCGCTGCCAGCAGCAGCAGCAGCAGTACCCCCACCCCCGGATCCAGTCGCTGGGCGGGCAGCTGAGCCCGGCATGGCTGCGCGCCCTTATTTAGAACAAAGGCGGGCTCCAGCTCCAGCTCCAATTCCAGTTCCAGTTTCAATTCCAGTTCCAGTTCCAGTTCCAGTTCCAGTTCCAGTTCCAGTTCCAGTTCCAGTTCCAGTTCCAGTTCCAGTTCCAGTTCCAGTTCCAGTTCCAGTTCCAGTTCCAGTTCCAGTGCCAGCTCCAGCTCCGGAAAAGGCCGTCGACAAAATAGTCATGCGGACTCTCGAAGACGAGATCAGGTCTGCGTCTACGTCGACCGTCCTCACTCTCTTCCCAGACATCTGTCCAGACTATCTGAAAGAGAAGAGCGAGGAGCTGGCCTACGACCACGAGTCAATCGTCGGGCACATCCTGGACCAGGTGGAAAAAGGCTTCCCGTACCCGAAGCGTGCTGGTTTGAAGCGAAAACGACAGTCCAGCAGCAGCGGCCACAGCCTAGATGAGGAGCATCAGAAGAAGATCCAGGAGGACGAAGCCGTCCTCAAATTCAACAGCGATGACCGCCGCCAGCTGAAGAAGCCTGCGGAGTATGTGCAGATATCCAAGACGCTTATCCAGCAGATGTTCGTCTTTGTCCCACAAAAAGACATCGCAACCATTCTCGGCACTCACGGCAATTGTCTCTTCCCTGCGATTTTGGAGCTGGAAGCGACAATGGCAGAGACCTCGCCCGAGGCCTTGCCGTTCAAGCTGAAAAAGACCAAGACCAAGAAGCTGCCAGAGTATTCCCCAGAAAGCCTAGACGGGACCATTCTCGTCACCAGGTCGGCCCCGAAGAAAGATGCATTGGAGGAGTATCGCGCTGCTGTGGCCATCTGCCAGCAGCGGGAGGAGAAGCGGAAACAGCGAAAGCAGCTCGATTTGGAAGAGGAACGGAACTTTCAGAACGCCCAGACCGAAGGCACCATAAAAGATTGCGAGTGTTGTTATGGCGAGTTCGCCTTGAATCGCATGATTCACTGCGATGGAACCTTGTTTCATGTATGGCCACATCCCCTTCCTGTTTTTCAGAGCCCCCTAACAAGCAAAGTGGTTCTGTAGAGGCTGCTCTCGGCGCATGGCCGAGAACCAGATCGGACTCTCCAAGTACTCCCTCGCCTGCATGTCCACCGACGGCTGCAAGTCCGGCTTTTCCCGCGACCAGCAGAAGCTGTTCCTGGACGAGAAAACGCGGATTGCCCTGGAGCGCATTGAGCAGGAGCACATTCTGCGAATTGCCGGCATCGAGAACCTGGAAACATGTCCGTTCTGTCCTTTTGCTGCCGAATACCCCCCTGCCGAGATCAACAAGGAGTTCCAGTGTCAGAATCCTACGTGCGAAGAAGTCAGCTGCCGCCTGTGCCGCAAGGCAACGCACATTCCCAAAACCTGCGCCGAGGCAGAACGGGAAAGCGGGCCGTCCGCGCGCCTTACTATAGAAGAAGCCATGTCGGCAGCCCTGATTCGATCTTGCAATATGTGTATGTATCTATATCCCCGTACCACTTGCTCTCTCGGCGGCCATACTGACGCGCCCAGGCCGTACGCCATTTATCAAGGAGCTTGGCTGCAACAAGATGTCCTGCTCACGACCCGGCTGCAGCAATGTGCAATGCTACGTTTGTCACAAGTCGTGCGACTACGCCCATTTTGACGACACGACCCGTGGAGGAAAGAAGGGCAACTGTCCGCTCTTCGAGAGCGCCGAGCAGCGCCACGCGGACGAGGTGCAGGCGGCTGAAGAGGCCGCTCGGAAAGAGGTGGCCTCCAAGAACCCAGATATTGATGTTAATCTGCTCAAGATCAGGCTGTCGGACAGGGTACTCGCCGACGAGAAGAGGCGTAGGGAGGCGGACGGAGGACGACGACATTGAGAGATGGCAAGTGCAGCCGTATGTCTCTGCTTTCTGTTCTCCGTCTCCTTCCACTTGATACTACGTGTCTTGCATCTTTTTGCCGATTGTATAGCGTTTTGCATCATTTTCGAGCTCGCGCTTATGATAGTCACAACAACAGGATATACGTTCATTGGCACGCTCTTCTGTGACGCAGCCTCCTCGATGGATACATATCTTACAGATCCACCCATTGGATCGAACGAGAACATGGACCAGACGCAGCACGCTACCGAGTCTTGCCGAACTTTTCGTGCCATTTTCCGCGGGAAGGGACCACTTTTGGCGCCGGCGCTGGCACTGTCGTCTCAGCCGCCACCTCGAGCAGCTCAACGGTCTCGTGCACCGTGGCAGCGATGGCGACACCGGGCCTGGGCAGGGCCGTCTCGTCGGTAGCATCGACGGCGTTTGCCCGGACCGACAGCAGCATCAACGCGTTAGACGTGTTCTTCTGGCGCAGCGCATACGTCTTGCCCTGGGCCGTGCGCAGACGTGCCATGCCGGAGCTGTCTGTGTGCAGGTACCATCTGTGATGGTTAGGCTGGAGCAGGAGAGCAGACGAGCAGGCTGGACTTACGGGCTAGACCCCTCGGCGACCAGGTCGGCCGGCAGCTCCAGCAGGCGGTAGCCACTGCCATCTGGAGCGCTAATAAAGGGGATGCTTGTGGCGCTGTCCTGGGAGGCCATGTTGACTGGTGGCGGAAGAGGTTGTCGAAGCATCGATACCCCGCTAAGCAGATTGCTTATATGGGGCAGCTGTTTTTTTTTTAGAAGTCTCATAAACGCGTTGGCGGCCTTCTCCATATTTTGCCTCCGTACAGTAGTGGTACCGGCCATACTCCGTCTCCCAACCTCTTCGCCCACATCTTCGTCTTGTCTCTGGCGTACGGACACCCGGATGCAATATATCTCGATATAATCAGCATATCGGTCTCCCGGCCAGCTCGAGCCAAACCGTATGCATGTAGCCGTCAGGCGCCGAAAGGGAGACCCACTTGCGGAAAAGGCACTCAGCTTTAAATGAACGACTCTCCACAATGCGCCGGCCCCGTTTCACCTACTATGTAAGATACTACTATGTAGCTCGACGAGACGAGCTGACGCACAAGTACTCCGTAGTCGTTCTCTTCCGCGTCAGTTTCGGATAGAATGGTAGACAGAGAGCCATCACTATAGCGGCATATGCAATAAGCTGTCCAATTGGGCCTAGCGCGTGTTTGTTTACTTTGCGTCAAGCTCTGGAGTACAGCTGGCCGACGCGGGGTCTCGCCGTGTTGGGCGTAAGACGCGTTCCTTCCATTTACGGACAAGAGAGACAATAAAAATATTACAAAATAAAAATTGAAAAAGCCAGAAGGCGGGAAGGCGGCAGCACGAAAACAGAGCCAGAAAAAGAGTGATTGTCCAGACAGTCGCATGTGGGATAGGTGTCCCTTCTCTTGCGGTGAAGGCCTCGAAAACCCCGGCCCAGTGACAAGAGCACAAATTTAGGACGAAAGAGGCGGTAAAAAAAGCAACAAAACCAGCACCCCTGCGCTAGCCTGGGGCTCCTAACTCTGCCAACAGTTTGTTGCGAACCATCGCCGGGGGTTGGTATTGTTGTTGTTAGCAAATCCACGATTATAACGCACAGCCTTTGTCAATTGCTCCTTCTCTTCTTTCCCATCCTGCTCCTTCCTGTGCCTGCGCCGACCGTTGTTGCCTTGGCGTTCAGAGGGAAAGGGTCGACCCGGTTTTGTTCTTTTTCCCTTTCGCTTCTTGTACACTATTTTCTGTCCGGCCATTTCGTTTTCCTGTACTGCTTCGCCGTGCTCTCTCCCATCCGATTCCAATCGCAGCGCTGGGCACGGCCCCTAATCGGTTTGCGACGCGACGTCTGCTCATCCCGACCTTGGGGATTTCTACGGTCGGAACCCTGCCAGAAGAGCATTCCAGAAACGGACGATAAGCGACGCAATCACACGAGATAGCCTGCTGCGACTTCGCCTCGTCTTCCTGCCCGACCAGCACGACAGATACAGGCTAGAACGACCGAGGTCCACCTTGTCCTCGACGGTCAGCTCTCACGCTTTCTTCTCTCTGGCCACAAGTCCTTCTCCTGCGCCCTCGCCTGGTCCGACAAGCCTGACCGATTTTCGCCGGCCTTCACCGACCTCTCTCATCTCCCTCGTCTCCCTCGTCTCTCTCTCGTCTCCCCACCTGCTGCCCGACCCACACTGGGCGCCCATGCCATCCGCCTAGCCATGGTGCGAGTCACCGAGGAGCTGGCCGTCTCCCCCGAGGCGGTCACACTCTACTACGCCACGGATCCTCTGCTCGGCCATCTGCCCATCCTCGCCTTTCACGGGCCCTCGACGACAGCCAACTTCACGCACAACAGCTCCCGCATCCAGGTCCACATCTACTCACCAGCTGGCTTCCAGTCCTTCCCGCGCCTGACCATCTCTCCCAACTCCCCCTTCTATGGCGCCGTCTCCTTTTTGCCGCGCGAGTTCAAGGGCGACGAGGTCTGCCGTGGCCTCGCCTTTGCGCTCTTCAAGTACTTTAGCGAACTGTCCGACTCGGTCAAGACCTACCTTCGCAACCAATATCCCACCACACGTGGCCGCCGTCCGGGCTCTGCCCCGGCGCTCTTTGGCGAGCAACATGCCGCCGACTTGGCCAAGGCCATGGCCCTCGTCGACAGCAACACGCCCGACCTGCTGCACACGCTGCAATGCGCCTTGCAGGCCCAACATGTCACCAACCTCGATCTTGATCTCGTCCTCCCCCCCGGTGCCGTGACGCCCCTGAAGGCGGAGGACCTGGAGACCTCGCCCGAAGATGAGGACGATATCATCCTCGACCCCACCCTGCGGCAGTACGACCCCGCCTACATGCCGCTGGTCAAGCTGTTTGGCGACCCGGTCTTCCTGCCGACATCGAAGCTTCGGCGTGCCCCTTCGCGGCCCAGCTCGCTCAACCACCGCAGCAAGGTCTTCACCAAGGACCAGAAGGTCGAGCTGCGCATGAAGATGGGCGAGCTCGTCGACACCGAGGAGCGCTATGTGCTCAAGCTTAACGAGCTTGTCAAGCACGTCGCCGACGATTTTCGTCAAAAGGCCGGCGACAGCACGGCCACCCGCGACAGCCCTACGGTCGACGAGCTCGATCGCCTGTTCCCCCGCTCGGCCGACCGCATCCTGCAGATGAACACAGCTTTCATGCAGGAGCTGCGCCGCGTCATGGACGACACGGAAGAAGACGCCGTGCGCGATCTGGAACTGCCGTACAACTTCGGATCGTCCTCTTCGCGCCACCGTATGGCTGGTGGCAACGGCATCAACGGCGGTGCCGGTGCTGGTTCAGTCCGTGTCAAGGATCCTAGTGGCGCCCTTAACATGGCCAAGACCTTTCTGGAGTGGTTTCCAAAGTTCACCGACTGCTACCAGGAATACATCCGGGCGAGCCAGAATTTCCCGCAACTGCTCAACGGCTTTCTGGATCACCAGTCGGGCTTTCGCGACCACGTTTTGCAGACGATCGGCGAGCAGTCGCTGCGTTCAATTCTGATCGAACCCGTGCAGCGCCTGCCACGCTACAGTCTCTTCATCGACCAGATCGTCGGCTGTCTGCCCATCAACCATCCAGCTCTACAGCTGATGCTCAAGGCACGCGACATCATTACCAATATCTGCTCCATGGACGACCCCCTCGATGAGAAGCCGCAGGTCACCAATCGGTTGCGCAATATGGTCGAATCCTGGCCGGCCGACCTGGAGCCCAGAGGACGTCTAGTGCTAGCTGCCGACTTTGTTGAGCTTGTGGCACCTTACGATGCCGACGCCTATAGCGTTGGAGCCCAGGACCGTGCCGGTCTCTTTCTCCTCTTCAGTGACTGTCTCATCCTCGTCAAGAAGAAGCCTGGCTCCGCGGCGACGGGCCGCGATCTTCTTCGCGAGATCGATAAGCCCTCGCCAGCCGGCTTGCTGGCGTCCATGACCAATGCTGCCGGCGGCCCCGGCACGTACGATGTGATCTTTAACGGCTGGCACCAGCTGGCCGACGTGCGCTTCACCGAATCGGCCGACGGCCGGCTGGTGTGGATGACGTCAACACAGGAGATGAAGGGCGGCCAGGCTGGTGGATTCACCTCCAGCAAGACGATCACGTCGCGCTGTTTTGCCCTGCAGGAATCCTTTGAGGGAAAGGCCGCGCGATGGAGCGAGGACGTGGTGAAGGCGCGTATCGAAGGCCGTTTTTCCGAGGCCGAGCGGGAGAACCCGACCTGGACCTTGCGGTCTGCACGCCTGATTGAGAGCAACAACATGGGCTTCCATGCGGCCGTCTTCCAGGAAGGGGCCGATCAGCTCATCGAGGGCAGGCGAGAGCCGGCTCCTGTGCGTGTTGTATTTGACAACCACAGGGGCACTAAGGGTGCCCCCATCGGGCACTATGGCGTCGAGATCGTCGTGGAGGTGCGCATTGATAGCGGCAGAGGCAGCATCGGCAGCATTGGCCGGGGTAACTATAATGACTCTCGGCGCCTGGTCATGAACGCACTGGGGCTCAACGGCAAGCGGTACACAGATGACATTGCCATTGAGGACTTCCTGCCGACCCTCTCGAGGAGGAGTAGGTGTATTTGCCCCCCCTTCCTCTTAGACTCGTCCTCTGACATGGCCTTTTAGTTATCCAACTCACGAGTGCCCAATTCAACACGGCCAACCCCAAGTTGGTGCCAGCGCTAGTGTCTTATAATACCAAGACGCTGCGTTCTTTGAATTTTAGTGTGCGTATCGAAAAGACAAAGTCGTTCCTTGCCTCAGGACCCGGAAAGCTGTTGTCGAGCTTCTTGGGTGGAGGCACCAACAACTCTCCGATTGGAAACAACAGTTCTGCGCATTCCAGCTCGTCGGATGTGGGACATGGTTCCATCAGAGGGACACGATCACAGCCTGGGAGTCTGTCACATTCGGCCAGCAACAGCCGCCATCAACAACAGGATAGCACCTCGCTGAATAGCTCCCTACGAGATCGTGACGGGGGGCGACCTACGCCAGACATAACTCGGCCGGAGAACCCCCTTGTTCGGCTCGAACAGACATTTACCGGCTACGTGGCAGCGATCCAGGCACGGAAAGGCCAGTTTGTTGGCCGCTTGTTGCTGAGCCGGGCATCCAGCACGGCGGACGAGCTGTCGGTCAACCTCTTGTACAACAAGCTGAATGAGAGTCCATTTGATTGGGAGTCATCGTTCGACCTGCCGCCCGACGTTGTGTTTGCAGCGTTTGAAAAATTCTCTCGCATCGCGTGGCGCGATCAGATGGGTACCATTATGACTATCCAGTTGCTGGACGCGCTGCAGGAGCGTGCGGCTCGGAAAGTGCCCGGCGACTTTGCCGACTTTGTCAAGTACCTGTTTTCCGACATGGCACCGCAAAACCGACGGGCGTTCACGGCTCTGATCAAGCTCCTAGCCGATCTGCTCGACGGTTGCGACGATGACGGAGACCGAGGCGCGCTGACCCTGGCCTTTGCCGAGTTGCTGGTTGCGGACAATGGGGAGCCACACAACTACATCAACCTGCTGGACCTGTTGGTAGAGGACTGTGACCGGATCTTTGAGGACAACTCCTTCGGGACGAGCCTGCAGATGCGGACTGCATATGAGTCGTTCAACTCGACAGCTCGGAGCCAGAGGTCAGCAACCGGTTCGGTCACGTCCAACACATCATCACTCCGCCGTAAGTTTGGGCTCGAGTCACTCCTCTATCGTCAGAATAGCAACAACAACAGAGGTGGCAGCGCTGCCCTGGAGGCCATAGTGAGCGGCGTCGGCAGCAGCAACGCGGAACCGGAGCGGCCTTCGATGTGGCGCAACCTGAGCAAACACAGGAACCCGGCTACGGGCGACAATCTTCCGGGGACCAGGACACTCGTGTCATCGCGAGTTAACCGATCCCAGTCCATCGACATGGGCAACCAGTCGCCGATGGGCAGCAGATCGATGAGACGGCCGGCGTCGCGAGATCGGCCTCCCATAGCCGGCGCCTTTGACGAGATGCGGCCGTCGAGCTCACACCGGCCGACTAGCTCACAGCAGCTCGAGACGATTGGCGAGCCGGACGTCGAGCCGGTGACGCCGGTGACGCCGGTGATGATAATACCCGAGAGATCGTTGAGACGGAAGCGGCGCAGCTCGCTGTCCGATCTCAAAAGTCTGATGGCAGCGGCCAGCCTGGAGGAAGACGCGATGGCGTCGGCGCCGCTCATGGCCACGAACGGCCTCGAAGACAGTCCTCTGGCACCAGCGCCGCTGATGACTCCGGGTGGCCTCGAAGAGAGTCTCTTGCCTCCGGCACCGCTGCGGACGAGCAAGACGACATCGGAAAAGTCCAACTCGGGCCCACCGCCCCAGACACCTTCTCCGCATAAGATCACGACCAGCCCAGAGTCGCAGAATTGTAAGCCATTGCAGCCGTCGCCAGAGCAGCAGCAGCAGCAGCAGCAGCAGCAACAGCAACGACCGGCCCTTCAACGGCACCAGCGACAACAGAGCCAGCCCTCCGTTGCGTATCAGCCGTCTCCACGGCAGAAAGAGAACGGAGTGGAAACGCCGACATACAGAACGGCGCGTGTTCGCTCTCCGTCTTCCTTTGTTGCGCTCTCCGACCTGAACATGCAGGGCCACGGCCACAGCAAGACACTTTCTGGGTCCAGCTCGTACATCCCGACATTGAGGGCTCCCCGTGGAGCAGGCGTGCTGTCTCCAGGCGGCGATTCACCAGCGTCTTCGCTGCGGTCACCATATCTGCCGCCTCCGAGTCCGAGCAAGTTTTCGTCGGGATCGACTTCGCCAACGCGAACGAATTCGGCCCCAGGCCAGAAGCTGCGACTGCAGTCACCACAGAAGCTTCGGGAGCGGCTGCAAACAGAGAAGGAGGCAGTAGGTGAGGCAGATGCGTCGCTCAAGACAGAGCTGTCACGGATCGCAGCGGATATGGCCCGTGTGAACAGTGGCGGTGCAGTGAGCCCACTGGGACTTGCGTCGGAAGGTACACCGTCTCGAACAGGTGTTGGCACGGATCTGCGGCGGCTGGAGAGCAGCCTCAAGGCACTGGAGGAGCATGTGTCGCAGGTGACGCAGTCGCTGGCCGACAAGCAGGAGGCGCTACAGCTGGACATGGACAACTCGGTCAGGGTAGCGGAGGCCAAGGTCCGGGCCATCGACCAGCTGTACAAGGAGGCGACGGCGGAGAACGAGCTGCTGTACGAGAAGTTCAACACGGAGCTGGGCAAGATTGTCAAGGCGCTCAAGGGCAAGGGCCGCGACGACAAGGAAGAGCTGGTGACGCGGCTGAAGGAGCAGAGCGAAGAGACGGCGCGGCTGAAGAAGGAGAATGCACGGATGCGGCGGGAAGCGGTCAGTCTGCGGACGTTGCTCAAGGCAGGAAACAGCTGAGGGCAGGGCCCAGGGAGAAGTAGCGAGCATCTGGGAGTGGATAGTATAGCATGTCCGGAAGGGATTTTCAGGGATGGGAAGGACATGAGCGGATGTCGGCGTTTGCCAGCAGATTTTTGCATGTTTCTGGATTGGGTGGGAGGCGCTTTTCAGCACGAAACATTGCGTGGAATTCGTTCCGTTGCAAGCAGGGATAGGACGTGAATGAAAGGATGCATTAATCGTGTTTGCCATACATGTTCAGGTGTCAAAGGCGACCGTTTTGCCGATCGGACCTTTTATATGAGGCGGCGGGATGACGGGAAGATGAAGGCCAGGGGATGTTTTTTCTGAACCGTTGTTGTTCGTGAGCACGCTCTGCTCGACCCAGCACTCCATGAAGAGCGGAGCAGCATCGACGGTGCGGATGGTGGTGGTGGTGGTATTAGTGGTGGTGGAAGAGCTGGCAGCCGCCCATTTTCGCTTAGTGCCGGCAGTCTCTTCCGGGATCCAGGCGGTGCTTCTTTTTGTGGCAGGCCGGCCGGGCTGGCGCAATTCTGCGGCATCACCAATCTCGAGGACCACGGTGAAGGTGCATCGTGGTGGCAGCGGTTCCTTGGAGGCGGCAGTCTGGGTGAGCCGCAGAATGGCAGCCCGCAGCTGTTGGTGCAGGTCAGCCGAGGTGGCCGAGGCAGAAGGCCGTGATTGCGGAGTATTGCGGGTGTCGAGATCGGCCTCGGACTCTGCATCGTCGTCATCATTGTTGTCATTGTTGTTGTTGTCGTCGCTATAGCCGTCCTCGTCGTCGGTCCTGTCCCACGGGGTGGTGTCTTCGTCCGGCAGCAGCGTGGAGTCGCGAGGCGGCCGAAATTTGCGGGCGGACAGGGGTCGCTTCTGGGGGCTGCGGCCTTTTTTGGAGCTCTTGATACTCTTGGTGGCGTTGGGATGCAGAGCCTGCTGCAAGGCGTCAGCGCCACCCGGCCAGGCCGGCACGTGGCTGACGTCAAAGACCCAGCGCTCGAGGACAGCACCAGGAGGAAGGTTAGGATGGGAATGGGCACCCCCAAAAGGTGCATGCACAACCACGGCCACGGTCTCGACGGCGCCACCAGCCAGCTGCCCGATGGCATGGTCCACCGCGTCGGTAACCCAGGCGCACACCTGTGGGTGGCGGCTCTGGTGGACGGGCACGCCAAAGGCAGTGGCCGACAGAAAGGAGCGCTCGGGATAGAGTTGGCGGTAGTAGAGGACGGAGTGGACGGCGACGTGGAAGAAGTCACCGAGTGCGGCGAACAGCGCGGCAGCATCGCCGAGCGGCACCGAGGCCATGATGTCTGTCGTGCTGTCGTGGTTGTGCGTTGTGGTGGCTCTGCTGCTGCTGCTTCGACCGAACGCGTCTCTTGTTCACTTCTGCTTCAGTGACGTCGTTGCAACGCCAAAACACGTGACTTCCACACGAGGGGTCGAAGCCCAAAACAGAAACGGCAGGCCCCCACCCCACCTCTTGCCATCTCGCTCGTTCGTTCAACGCGTCCCCACTTTCCATTGTCGGCCGTTATTTTTTTGTTTTCCTGGTCTTCGTCTCGACCAGTTTCTGCCATGGTTCGAAAGTTCCAATGAGACCAACCGGCACACCAATTCGTACCGCACTCTTTTTTTCCTTTCCTTGTCTTCTCGTTCCCATCTGTCCTGTTGGTGCATCGTTGCAGACGGCGCCCCGTAGCCACGTTTGACGAGTCGGTCAGGTCTCGTCTCTTTCGTCTCTCGTCTTTCGAACAGCACTTTGCTCCCTCTCTCTCTCAACATGGACGATCTCGTTCGCCTGCTCAGCGACACGCAACGGCCGGAGGAGGAGCCACGCAAGCGAGCCGAGCTCGACCTTCGACACGCCGAGTCCAACCCCAGCTTTCCGGGCCTGCTGGCAGCCATCGCGGCGACGTCGAGCTATCCGGTCGAAATCCGACAATCGGCCCTCTCGGTGCTCCGGCGGTTCATCGAGCGCAATTGGACCCACGACGCGGAGGACGAAGAGGATGACGAGGACAGCGACGACGACGACGCAGGCACGAGCCCGGCCGGCCGGCCACGCTACACCGTGACGGATGCCACGAAGCAGGAGCTGCGGGTACAGCTGCTGGAGCTGGCGACACGTGACGAGGACGACCGCCGGATCAAGCCGGCCGTGAGGTGTGTATTCTCCTGCTGTCTTTGCCTTGGGTCCTCGCTGACGGCGACAGCTACGTGGTTGGTAAGATCGCCGCGGTCGACTACCCAGACCGGTGGCCCGACCTGGTGGACCACCTGCTGAGCGTGATCCGCAGCGGGACAGACGTGCAGCTGCACGGGGCACTGCGGGTGCTCGGCGACCTGGTCGAGGACGGCCTGAGCGAGACGCAGTTCTTCGCGGCGGCACGCGGCATCATCGAGGTGCTCTACCTGGTGGCGGTCAACGGCAGCCGGCGGCCGATGCTGCGGGCGCTGGCCGTGTCGGTGTTCCGCAACAGCTTCGACCTGATGGACATGGTCAAGGAAGAGCACCTGCTGGAGGTCAAGGGCTTCGCCCAGGAGGCCCTGCAGGGCTGGCTGCCCTTTTTCCACGAGATCATGAAGACGCCGCTGCCGCTGGACCAGCCGGTGGCCACGGACAGCGGCCAGCAGTCGGAGAGCTGGAACGGACTGGTGGCGCTCAAGCTGCAGTGCGTCAAGACGCTGCTCAAGATCAAGGCCGTCTTTGCATCGCTGCTGCTGCCACAGAGCCCGGCCTTCTTTGAGGAGACGTGGCAGGAGCTGTCGCTGCTGCAGGGCGCCTACGCCCAGTTGTACCTGGACCAGGACAGCCAGAGTCGGCTGGAGGACGCGGACGGGCTACCGTACACGCTCGACTTTCTCGTGCTGGAGGAGCTCGACCTGCTGAACCAGTGCATCCGCGCGCCGCCGGTGCAGAAGGAGCTGGGTGGCCAGCTGAGCGCCAGCGCGGCCGCTCACGAGACCCCGTGGATGGTGCAGCTGATGCGGCTGCTGGTCGGCTACGCCCGCATCACGCGCGAGGAGGAAGACCTGTGGGACATTGACGTGTCGCTGTACCTGGCCGAGGAGGCGTCTATCACGGCCAACTACACGGCCCGGACGGCCTGCGGCGACCTGCTGATCAAGCTGGGCGAGTGGATCGGCCAGCACGCCCTGGAGGGGCTCTTTGCCCACACGCGTGCCGTCTTTGCGGACACGCCGGCAGCCTGGCGCTCGCAGGAGGCCGCGCTGTACCTGTTCACGATGCTGGCGGGCGACCTGATCGACTGTGACAAGACGATCCCGGCCGAGATTTGCGCGGCTTACCTGCCGCTGGTCGACGTGGCCGTGGCGGCAGCGGCCGACGAGCCGCTGCTGCAGGCCCGCGGCTACCTCGCGGCCGGGCTGCTGGCCCAGAACTTTGCACCGGCCGGCCGGCTGATGGACCCGGCCATCGTGGCGGTCACGCAGGCAGCCTCGGAGCTGGTGCAGGTGGCCTGCGTCAAGGCGCTCGACAGCTTCATGCAGGCGACGCCGGCCGGGACGAACATCAACAACATTACGACCTCAGGCTCGGCCACGACGTCCATCGCGGCCGGTCGCCAGACGGCCATCCTGCTGGCCCTGCGCGAGTTTCTTAACAGCCGCGACGTCGACGACCTCCAGGACGCCGACGACCTGCTGGCAACGCTGTGCGATTCGCTGCGCCGCGCCATCAGCATCAACCCGGCCGTGGTGCTGGCCGACGACGTGCCCTCGGTCGACCTGCTCTTTGCCATTGGCCGCTGCGGCGCCCGCAACTTCCACGTCACCCTGATCGTCAACGAGGCGTTTGAGGAGATTTTGCAGCGGCTGTCGGACCCGACGTCGTACGTGACGCTGTGCGCCAAGGTGCTGCCGACGCTGAACGGATTCTTTTCGTACTCGGACCTGACCAAGGACGAGCCACTGATAACGGTGAGTGGGGGAGGAGGTAGAGAGAGACAGACAGAAAACGAAAGAAAGCGAAAAAACAACTAACAGAATAGATGGCCACTGAGCTCATCGCTCTCCTCACACAAAACGGCACGGAGCCACTACCGAACGGATTCGTCGCACAGGTAGCGCCCAAGCTGAAGCGCATCCTGATGGAGTCGAGCGAGGGCGAGATCCTGCGGCCGGGCGCGGAGGCGCTCAAGAACATGCTCAGCCACGACCACCACCAGGTCTTTGAGTGGCACGACGAGCAGGGCAACAGCGGGCTGGTGGTGTGTCTGCAGATCATCGACCGGCTGCTCGGCCCGGCGATCGAGGACAACTCGGCGTCCGAGGTGGGCGGACTGGCGGCTGAGCTGGTCGAGAAGGCCGGCCATCAGCGGCTCGGCGACGGAATGCTGCAGCGACTGCTTCAGGCTGTGGCCGTGCGGTTGAGCTCAGCCACGACGGCTCAGCTGATCCAGTCGCTGATCCTCGTGTTTGCCCGCCTCTGCCTCACGGCCGCCGGCGAGGTGGTCGAGTTCCTCAGCCAGATCACCGTCGGCCAGCAGAACGGCCTGGCCGTCGTTCTGAGCCAGTGGCTCGAGAACTCGATGAGCTTTGCGGGCTACGATGAGATCCGGCAGAAGTGAGTGTGGGCGTGTAAATTGTGTGTCTGTGATTGTCAGGTTATGCTTACTAATCGAACTCGCTAGCGTCATTGCCCTTTCCAAGCTCTACGAGCTCAACGACCCGCGCGTCAGCGAGACCCAGGTCAAGGGCGACCTGATCATCACGCAGAGCGACTGGATCATGACGCGGTCACGGGCCAAGCAAAGTATGCACCACCACCATCCGCTCGCGCCTCCGGCCAGCGTGAACCCGGTCACTGACTTCTTTACCCTGCCCCCCAAAGATCCGGACCAATACACCATCATTCCGGCGCCGCTCAAGATCCTCAAGCTGCTGATCGAGGAGCTGACGTCTGCCCAGGGTCAGCTGGGCAGTGCCGGACTGGGCGCGGGCGGCACCGTGGCCGCCGAGATGGGTGTCGATGGCAGTGTGGGAGGCGGTGCAGGAGCTGCCAGCGCAGGAGGCGCAGCCGGCGCCGTGGCCACATCACCGACCCATAGCAGCGGCGGTGACGATGACGGCGCGGTCAACGATGATGGCGGTGCCGACGACGGCTGGGAGGACGAGCCCGACGACTTGCTGGACCTCAGCCTCGGCGCCTCCAAGGCCGACCTGCTCTCGTATCTAGACGGTGGTCGCAGCCGCGTGCGTGACGATGAGACTCAGGCCTACCTGACCGACTTTTTCCTGCACGCCGCCCAGGAGAACAAGGCCAACTTCCAGGACTGGTACGCGCGCCTGACGGCCGACGAGCAGGCCAAGCTGAACGAGCTGGCGGCACACTGAGGGAAACGCGGTTGGCTGAGAGATTGCAGTAATGCCAGGAGGAGAGAAGCAGTGACACGAGAATACAAGACATCAATCAAGAGCAGCACTGCTGTCGTAGCGTACGGTGGCTTTGGTGACCTTTAGCAGGATTTAGTGTGGTATACAGCGTCTACAACGTCTACAGCGAATATCAGCCAATTGCAGCGTGTACGCAGTGTAATACAGTAAATTACAGCGTGCTCTAGTAAACTACAGCTAACTTTATTAGATATTCCGTTGCTCATAACATATTTTCATTCTTTATCAACTAGATGATATCCCCAAATCCACCGCCAAATCCACCGCCGCCATACGGATTGTATCCCCGGCCGCCTGACCGTCGCCCACCGCCAAATCGCGGCCCCAGTCCGCCGACGCCGCCGGTGGGATCGTCGTAGCGTGCGCCAGGCGGAATCTGGAGGTCGAACCCGTCGCCGTCGCCATCGCCGCCTCTCTGGCCGCCAAACAGGGGATCATCAAAGGTGGGATGCATGCCTCCGAAGCCGCCGACGCCGGGCTGCCGCAGACCTCCTCCTCCACGGCCGAGGCCGCCCAGAAACGGCCGCAGCGGATCGTGGGGTCCGAGTCCGGGTGGGTGCAGGTCGTCCTGTCCGATGCTGGGCGGCTGGATGCCGCCGGCCGTTAAGCCGCCACTTCCACGCGGCGGTCGCTGGATCTCGTACTCGTCCTCGAAGCCGGGCGGCGCAAAGTCGCCGGCAGGGACGGCGGGCCGTCGGGGAGCTGCCAGCGGGTCCAGCAGCGGGTTGGGCTGGTACGGGTTGATCGGAGGCTGCCGTGGCTGGCCGAGAGCTGGTACTGGCCCGCCTGCTCGATGGCCGGTCTGCTCGGCGTCCTCGCGGGCTTCCCGGTCGTCGGCCGTCTCCTCGTAGCCGTCTTTGTGCAGGCCGGGCACCAGCTTCTGCACGATGTCGGTCTGGAATCGGGCGGCCAGCTGGGCCATGCGGTCGCGGCTAAAAAAGAGCCGAGCCAGCCTCTCTGTGTCGGTATCGTTGCTGCTGTTGCTGCTTTCTCGCGTCCAGGGCAGCTCGCTGGTGGCGATGTGGTCCTGCACGACCAGCTCGATGCGCTGGATGCGCTCGGCGCCCGTGGCGAGGCCGCGGATCTCGACCTTGGCGCCCATGCGGTCGACGCGCACGACAAAGGTCAGCGCCGACTGCGCGTGGGCGTAGACAAACGAGAGCGACGTCGGCTGGCGGTTCCAGCGCGCCAGCAGCCGCGGCGCGTCGGGAAACGTCTCGACCCGGTCCTCCTCAAAGCCGACCAGGCGGAAGCCCAGCTGGGTCATGCAGGCGTGAGCGAAGAGCGCGAGGGCCTCGTACGGGCTCGATAGATCCGGACCGTTGCTCGTCGTGGTTGTAGCTGCGTCTGTGCTGTCAGGATCGCTGGTATGGGAAGCCGAACGGCTGCTAGGCAGAGCGGCCACCATGGCCTGCAGCAAGGCATCGGGACTGAGTGGACCGCCGGGTGCCATTTTGGAAGTAAGGCGTGATGCAGGGTCTTTGTCCGTGTTGATTTCGGCAAAGAAAAGCCAGGATGGAACAGAAGATCGAGAAGAGACAAAAGGCAGCTGCCATCTACAGCAGTCGGACTTTACAAGCTGCCTGATGACGTTCTCGTTTGCCTGGTGTGTGGGGAGGAATAGTGGGGCGAATCGGCAAGCCCAGAACGGGTTTGTCAGCTTCAGCCTTACAGGCGGGAAGGCGCCATCACGACAACTTTATCACATTGTGTAGAAGTAAAGGTAGGCGAACTAGCGGCCTGCATGTTCTGGTGGATGCTTGTTATCGTCTTCTATATTGGTTGCTGTTTTGGCAACGCTTTGAGTTTGTAATACCATCTTACGAAATATCACAATATACGGATTTCTGCCGCCTGCGGGTTAGGAGACTAGCCCACTGAATCAGGGCCTTGTATAGTGTAGATATAGTCTTAGAGCATAACAGTCACCTTAGATGATTCAAGTCGACCAGAACAGCTAGTCTAAATAGTATTTTAAGGTTGTGTTTGTAATAGACCTATTGCTCAGAGGCGATAAACCTAGCGCCGCGCTTAATGGCGTAAGAGGTGGGAAAAGTCATAATTCAAGGAACTAACAGCTTCCGAAAAGCTCTATCTTACTAAACATTAGAGCTTTTCCTTGTGTGTCTTTCTGGCTAACTAAAGTGTGACTTCGTTTACCAAGAGGGCTACAGTGTGCCTCATTCTATGATGTAACACATGCCCCCGTGATAGTCCTGGTATCCTGGTAAGACTTACCCCCTTACAAATTATTTACTAGAAGGAAGAATTTCGTCAAAAAACGTTAACAGTACACGGCCGAATTTGTCCTCTTGCCCTGGTAGGGCATGTAAAAGGGGCCCTGGAAGGTGGCCAAAATTGCGAAAAATTTCGATCTTCGCATTAGGGATGCGTTTGGCAATCTCCTTGTTGCCAGCAAGTGGTGTGAATAAATCATGGTCCCCGGCAACAACTAGAGTTGATGTCTAGTATTACCTGTATTAGAAAGGTCAAGTACAAAAGATTCGATGCGTACCTGAACCTCACACAGCCTGTCGAGCACTTGGAATCGCGGCATATTATCGTGAAAGGCTGTGTTCTGTGTAGCAGCGAAGGTTTGCGGGTGAATAAGCCCCAAAAGCTTCCAACTATCATCGTATATCCGTACATTTGCCCCAGTCTCTGTCTCTGAGACGACTTCCGTGTTGCCCTGGCCGCGAGAAAATTTGTCAAGCGCTTCTGCTGCTAGAGAGTCATTTTCCTGAAGCTGCACGCCTTCGCAATAGTTGGTGTCCATAGACGTTCTGGGGTTTGCGGCTGCAGTGACAAGTAGCAGCTCTACGACAGCGTCTAAAAAGTCGCCATCATCCAGTAACGTGCCCGACCACACTCGCTTCTGGCGATCGACGTCTACCCTGATGGTCTCGATTTGCTTGATGGCTATAGGCCTGTGACACCCTTGTAATAAGTTGACAGAGGTTGCCGTTACTTCCCATCTTATCACATTAGCTAGCGCGCCCATGGCACCAGCAACACCGTCGGCCCAAGCGCTGTTGAGGATTAGTCCTATAAGGCGGTCTCCATGGGCCAGTGCATAGTCGATCGCGATGAAGGAGCCATAAGAGCCGCCGACAAGACAAAACTTGTCGGCATGTGCCCAAAACCCAAAATAGAAGGTGTAAGACAGCTGCTGGTCACACGGTCCGTATAGGTATGCTCGCTTGTTTTATTCTTAAGGATCCTGCCGCAAGATACCTTAGAAATTCAATGTCCTCGATCCAGCGGTCATGTGTGTAGGGACCTTTTTAAGAGGATTCACCGCTTCCACGGGCATCGTAGATGAGAACGCGGAGGCGGGTTTCAAACATGGAATAGATAGATGTCTCTTGCCGATTCGACATGCCGGGGCCACCGTGTAGACAGATGAGCAGCGGCTTTGTGGACTCTTCATTCGTGCCACCGTACATCGTGACTTTCAACTCGGCGCCATCGACTACAGTGACAGTGGAGTTAATTGCCACTTTGGCTAGAAGTTATGTCTTGAGAATTTGGTGTTTTGGTGTATTAGTATCTTGACGTATATGGGATCTTTCAACGCTGTCAGTTTTTCAAATCAAGTAGTGCTTGTGGCCATTTATATGCATACGGTATGCGTTAAGGCTACTGGGTCATAAAAGCGAATATCTGGTAATATCCCACGTCATACATCTGCTCTACTTGGCTGGAGGGTCATCTGCAATGGCGGGTACGTCGTCTGCAACGGAAAATGAGATCAAAGGTCTTGTCGTCAATATATGAATATGGTGATTGAATGGGTGTAAGTTGTTGACTATCACAATACTACGGAATTCAACACGATTATGCTGTTTTTCTGCCTTGACATTGACACCTAGCAATTTCCTGCTGGACCTCCCTGCAACCTGCGTACCTAGGGCAACCGCTTAAGATAAGGAGGAGCAAGTAAGATTTAGTTGTATGTGTATATTCATTGCTTCCATTTACGATATTTTACTATGTGCTTCTATTTCTTGTGAACTGACGGATCTTGTTCAGACCTCGGCGTTCGACCAAGAAAGAGCAGAAAGAGGAGAAAGAAAATAGAGAACCAATGCGCCGTGTGCTACAACAAAGCAGACAAAAGCGTGCCATCTCTAGGAGGCACTGCTCTTTGTCTGCCGATCGACCTCTCCGACTAGAGCATGCGCCCTATATAATGCCCGTCTACGCTCCCCTCTTCGTTTTTACATCTAGAATTCCTCACGGAAGCGACTGACACGCCCACCTTGGTTTTTGGATGGGTCTACCATGCATCTGGGGCCCGACGAGGCAGGCTGTTGGGATGAGGGTGGCACTGGCCGCGTTGTCCCATACTGGCCAGATGCCCAAACAGACGGAGACGGCGACCCCCCCGAATACGCCGCCGACGGGACATTCTGCACCCGCGAGGCCTGCTCGGCGAGCTGTTGTTCCCGCCGAGAGCCTTCCGCTGCCCTAGGCGCTGTCTTGTATTTGACGTTGGACGTCCGTGAGAGGCCGTCGGAGCGGCTGAGGCCGCTGTTTTTATTGTTTCTGCTGCTGCTGCTGCTGCTACGCGCCTGTTGGCGGTGACCACCGTCTGCTGCACTGCAGCCTCCTGCCATGAACTCACGAACCCCCTCGTCACGTAGCGCTCGCTGCAGCCGCTCTTCTCCCTGTTGGCGCTCCCACTGCTTCGTCGCACTACGCGACCCGTGCCGTGAGCCCTGCTTCTTGGATGACTGGGTGGAGTGGTTAGAACCCATTGTGAAAGCGAGAATGTTAGTGATCTTGAAGGGGAGATGTGTGGAAAAAAAGGGGTGTAGGTACTGCGTTGTCTTGGACGGTCTGCTGAGGCAGAGAAGTGGAATAGCAACAGAGATTGAATTGCTACTTGGTGTGCTGATTGGCGTTTAGGGAGGAGCGAGAAAGATGATGTGCTTTGTTGCTGTTGTGCGTTGTTTGTTGTTCTTGTTGGATCTGGGATTTCAAAAAGCTGCTCGGATCAGCAAAGAAAGCTGTCTTTAAGTATCCGTCCAGTCCGAACGGACTCTGGCTGTAAACAAAAGGATAGAGCTAGCCTGAACAGCAGATATGTTCGGCGTGTTCCTATGTATCAAGGCGTATGGATGGATGTATCACCATCTCGATCTCTAGCGTCGCTCCTTTTTGGAGCTAGCAAAGCGTCTTGCTGAACGTTGAACTGCGTCGTTGTTCACCTTGCAGTTGAACATTGCGAACAAGATATCAGAGCTTGACTAGGAGAAGAACAGACCATAATGGGAAGGGGCAAAAAGAGAGAAAAAAACGTACAGCAGCGGGTATTCGCTGGTCGTCACCGACCCAACTACTAATCCGCCGATTACTGGTTTAACTAGGGGAGAGCGGACGGGATCCCGTGCTTTCCAGTATCTATGGCCGTACGTGCTGGGAAGAGTGCCTGCCTGCCTTATATTGCATAAAACATATTTGCATAAGAGAGCCATATGCTTAGTGGCTCTCCTTGTATCTAATAAAAATAACCGCCTAGACAATTGCAATGCCTGTAAAATCAAGAGCGGCCGCCGACAACCTCGAGAGGTTTTATGGCCTTATGCAAGCAATGCTCATTATCCGGTACATCTGATAATACCTGCCGACTTACCCCTGCGTAACGGCAGAGACTACAAAATTGAAGCAAAAGACAGCAAGCAGTAGCTTGTATATGCGTCCGAGATCAACGAGCTAGAGGGTGAAAAATGCAGTTCCAAAATCAGAAACGCCAATAGTATGAGAGGTGGAAATTACAAGCGATTCGGTTCGCCGGCCCGATAGCCCTACCAACGGCGGCTGGCCGAGGCGCACTCTTGTTAGCCAGCCAGACAAACGCAAGAAGAAGAGACGGGGCAGACAAACCTGTATGCAGTGGCCACCCTTGGCTGCTGTCGCTTCCTGATCTTCTGGTTTCCGCCAGACTTGTCAGACGGCTTCTGGAGACCCTCGTTCTCCTCGTCGCTCTCCGGCCGAACCATGCCGAGCATGGCCAGCTCCAGGTCGTCCAGGGGTGAGCTGCTGCGGCTCCTGGAGAAGCCGCTGCGGCCTCGATGTGAGCGTGATTTTGCTCGTGGGCTGTGAGGCATGTGGCGCGCAGGACTGCGACCCCGGCTGTGACTGTCACTCTGGCTGCGACTGCGACTGTGACTGTGACTTTGGTTGTGACTACGTGTGTTGCTCTGGCTGTGGCTGTGACTTTGACTTGGGCTGCAACTGTGGCTCCGGCTCTGGCTATGGCTCCGGCTCCGGCTGTTGTTCTCCCGTCTGGAGGCAGGCGGTAAAGAAGGCAGACTGCTCGGAACCAGAAGGCCCGAGACAGCTGCGCTGCCCTTGGTGGCCGCCAGCACAGGCTGAGCTCCGTCGTTGCTGTGGTAGCCAGAGTCGTGGCGGGTGCTAGTCCCGCTCGATTCGTGGTCCGATGTGCCATAGCTCAAAACACGGTTGGGAGGACGGCTGCTCCAGGGTGAACCATTGGGCGGATTGGGGAGGCTATTCTTGGATGGCGAAGAGTCGTGTGTCTGCGCGCCGTCCTCGTCCTGCTTTCTGTCGGCGTGTGACGATGTCGGCGTGTCTGACACCGGTGCAATTGGTTTTCCGGACAACACGGGCGTAACACTCTGTCGGCCTGGTGCTGACCAGTCGGTTGGCGATAGCCGGTTCCGCTTGATCCCTCTGTCATCGTCAACCGTGAGATGGCTGTCGTTGGTCCGCTTCTGGGAAGAGAGATGGGGATCTAGGCTTTCTGACTCGGCGATCGTGTTGGGCGAGCTTTGGCTCGATGTATGATCCAGCTCCGCCTTCTTCACGGCTTCGTGTGGCCTGCCGCCCTTTTTCAAGCCCGATCGGGACATCGATATCGGTGTTGGCGGTTTGGCAGGGATGCCATTAGGCACAGCGGGTGATGCGAGCTGACTTGGAGCTGCTCCAGACGCTGCATCGTTGCTCGGAGCTCGCCGTTCCGAATCGGGAGCAGTTGCCGCAAATCGCCGGCTTAGAGCTGCAGGCCCAGTTGGAATAGAGGAGCCGCCAATAGAATGCTCCAAAGAGCTGTGGCGGAACCCGTTGGCGTTGGCTGGGTAATGTCTGCGGCCGCCTCTGTCTTTGCCAAAAGAGGCCCGTCCGCCGCGGTGGAATGGGCCGGTGAAGTCGCCACGCTTCCCAGGACGCCATCCGTTGCCACTGCCACTCCCTTGTGGGTATCTGGGAGTATTGGGCAGGTTGGACGGAGGAGAGCCGTACAAGGGATACGACTGTGGTAGCGGCCGTCCGAACTCGTGATGTGCGTATGGCTCCGAAGTACCGGGCTGGCTCAGACCTGAAGGTGGTTGGTGATGAGGCGCTTGGGGAAGAGGATGGGACAGGTGTGGAGGCTGAGGGTAATAGGGGGCCGAGGCAAAGGACGGGGGCGGTGGGATAACAGAGGGGCCTTTTACACCGGATGGAGGAGACGCGAAGTACCCTGGCTGGGGAGGATACGACTGGCTGTAGTAGGAAGAATCTGGAGCAGACCTCGAGCGTGGAGCGTGTGGCGACGGACCTGGCATCGACTGGCCAAATGTGTCGTAATGAGGATAGTGTGGAGGCGCCGGTACCGACGAATGAGGCCCAGGATATGCCGGCTGTTGGGGAGGATATTTCCATGGTTCCGGCCCTGGCTGGTGACGAGGTGGAGGATGAGGAGGAAGGGCGTGATGCTGGGGGTGGTAGCCGTGGTAGGAGCCTCCATTGGCCGAGGGCGGAGGAGGAGGGAGCAGAGACATGGGCGGTGGAGGCGGCAGATGTGACAGCTGGTGATGGGGTGGATAGCGGGTGATCTGGGGCTCGCCCACAGAGGGGGGGGGCGGATATCGTGTGACGACCATGCCGTTGGGATGTCGACTGAGGGATGACGCGGACGAAGACGCGTAGTGTTTTCCTCGGCTCTTGTGGCGGAGGCCCTTTGACGTGGCCTGTCGCTTCCGGTGTTCCTCGAGGCCGCTAAGCGTGGTCAGCACGCTGGGCTGAGTGAAGATGTAAGGTGCAAAGGTGCAAAGATGCAGGAGATACTCACGCTGGTACTACACGCGTGGGTTCTGGACAAGCAACGGTCTGGTGGCCGGACATGCCGCAATTGTAGCACCGGGGCTCGTCCATGAGAGCCGGGTGCCAGCTGGTCTGGTGCTCGACGGGCGCAGAGACCGCAGGAGTTGCTACCGATGACCTGGTCCGAGAAGCGTCGGCCAACCGGCAGATGGAACCTCGAGTTCTTGGTGGAGCGGAGGCGGTCTGGTCTTCTCCGCGCGTTGACAGGGTCGAAAGAGAACCGCCGCCGGCGTCTCCTGCCAATGCATGCAGCCGGACCGTCTTCGGGCGCCTCGCTCGCAGACGGCTTCCTGTGTGGCAGACGTATGCCAGAGAGAGGCCGTTTTTCGCACTTTCGCCGACAAGAGAACAGCACACGCGTGACGAAGATGGGCCGACGGAATCGCGTCTGGGCGCGCAATCCAGCGACACTGCTCAGAAGCAGATTGAATGGTGGCCAAGGACGACGGAATCCGGCAAAAGGTGCAGCGAGTGCGGCCGGGCGCAGAGGTCAGAGCGGCGACGCCTTTGCTGTCCGGTCGGGCGCGCGTGAGAATGCGCGGGTGAGAAATGCCCAGGAATGGAAACGGCAGTTTTTCCGCTGCCGCGCTCCGTAAAAGCCAGCGCAGAAGCAGCTTTGCGCAAAACGACTGCCCGCTTTCAGCTAGTTTCACTCACGTGATTCACGTCACGTGCTATGTGTCCGTCCGGGTACATGTGCTCAAGTTGGCTCTGCCATGTCAGCTTCATAGTAATCACCAAGTGTTGTTCTTCGATTCAGGCGAACCGAAAATTCTCACTGAGCTTCTTACGCCACCGTTAGAACTCAACGTCGTTACATAATGTCTTTCAACATGGCCTTGTCGCCTTCTATAAAGCCTTTGGCACTCAGTCTCCCGAGACAAGCCAAGACACGCCAAGCATGCGCACTTGAGTATCATTCCGTAATACTGCATCCCGAAACATTTCAAAAAAAATGGCATGTCCTCTCGTACCGGAGCTCCGAGACTCCTTCACTTTGTGGGTAGATACCTGACAATGGCCGACCCCGATTTGGCTTCAAAATGGACTAACTCCTTATTCAAAGCCTTTTCGAGACTGGCTCGTATTCTGACCTCGTTGTCAAGAGCTCCGTAAAGACTTACAATGTACACAAGGCTATTATTTGTCCAAGATCAGCTTTCTTCAAAGCCGTTTGCAGAGGGTCGTTCAGGGTAAGCCGAGCCTGCTCGTCGCACTACAGCCGGCTGGGTTACTGACATCTTTATAGGAGAGCTTGACTGGGGTCGTTGAACTGATCGACGACGACCCAGAGGCCGTCGACTTGATGATGACCTACTTTTACCATCTTAGCTACGATTTGCTTCTTCCGCCGGGAGTTCCAATGCCAACGTCCCCGTTCAATAGCGCCGGAGTCCGTCGATCGAGCTACAATGAAACAAGCCAGGTGCTCATGCCGCCTTCGTCCCACCTCATGATCCATGCCAAGGCTTTTGCAATTGCCGACAAATACGATGTACCCAGGCTTTGCACTTTTGCGACAGATCATTTTAAGCGAGCTGCGGCTCATCACTGGAACACGGATGCCTTCTTAGACGCCGCTGAGTTCGTATTTTCGAGCACTCCAGCTGCAGCGAAGCAGTTTCGCCTTGCCATCGTCGAGATTGTCATGAAACACTCCTTGGTTCTTGTGGAGAAGGAGCGGCTTCTAGATATGATCGACGACACAGACGCTTTGGGGGCTTACCAGGAGGTGCGTAAACACAGACGCCTGATCGAACGAAACGATCAACTGATTAGGTCGATAATTGCTTCTTCTCGCTGTACGAAAGAGATAGGCTACATTCCGAAGAAGATTTATTACAAAACTTTCGCAGATCTGGACAGCGGTCATCCATAGGTGGGTATGATTTATTGGTACTTCAACATACAATACAGGTACCGTCTCAGACGAGTACAGCTACGATAGTAACCGCAAAGGAATTTGATGACAGAATCACTAGATTCTGGACAAACACGCCAGGTCTGGAATCTAAAAGGTTGTAAGATGTTGACGTTCATCGATAACTAAAAAGGTAGTTTCATTTGTAAGGCTTCATCCGAGAGTACAAAAAATAAAACCAGACACAAGTCCAGCTAGCTGAACTGGCAATTTGGATGTTCGTACTACAATAGTTTCCAGGATAGAAATACTTACTCAATAGGTAAGAAACAGAGTATACTATAACTTAGGTTTTTAACGACAGGCACATAAGGCACATTAACGTTATCGAAATCAGCTAATGCAGACACCGTTGGGGAAATCGGCTAGATTGAAACTCGTTCCTATCACGTTCTATGCTTGAAGCCACTGTTAAACTTACCTCTCCTAGTATCTTACCATGCATATAACTTTGAAACCCACCCGAAGTCTGTTCGACTTGCTACCTAGTGCAAAATGTTTTATGCTCAGGGTCAATGGGACCAGATCTTGCCCGCTCTTTGATAACCTCGAGTAAAGAAATGTACAAGAGAAACACGTTTGTTAGTATAATGTATTCGGCTAGAATTGGCTACCCTGTCTCTTATATAGTAAGCTTTAGCTAGATATTTTATCAAGCTACCCTCTTTTTTGGTAGTTGGGGTGTCCACAAATCAATTATGGCCATTTCATAGCAATTCTAGTTCTTCCTGACTCGGCAATGTCTCGACGCGTTGCCCGGGATTGAGTAAAAATGGAGAATGTGGGATTGCCAACTCATTTCTACTATGTACTCCGTACGTAGTACGTAGTAGCAATGAAGGCACCTCCACTGATTCTCTAGACCAATAAACGCTCAAGAGCCTTGTTCAGAACACACATATTCTTACCACACTATATATAACTATGTAGTTATATACAAGATATCAGAAGGGACGTTGGATAGATCTCGAAATTCGTTGTCGAGAATTTTCGATTTGTTATTTGTCTGTGAATGGCCCAGAATCCATAGAGATCAATCACGTGTGCTTTCAGGTGACCGTTTGCTGCACATCTGTTTAATACCCCTCATCCCGCTTACGTTTCCGGTGAATGATGCCTATCACACGTCCCCGCTCTGGCAAACCTTCAACTTCTAAGCGAATTGATTTGGACATTATATTTGCGCCTGCTATGGGGTCGAACGAGTCACAGGACTTCACAGACGTCTCATCGACAGTATATAACGGCGGCAAGAACGGGTTGACTCCTAGTCATTCCTCGGAAACGGAGACGGAATACAACAACATGGAGGAAGAAGTCGCTCCTTGGCCCGGAAACTCTTATATCATCAAAGTCCACGGCGACAACAATCTGGTTATCTCAGTCAGCAATGGCGACCTGAAGCTTCAGAAGATATCTTCAACCCGAGGTGGACACCACTGGGACTGCGTTGAAAAAGACGGGTGGTTGGGTTTCCGAAATTGCGTGTCGGGAAACTGCATTGGTCATGATTGCAAGGGGAAGTTCATAGCCGACGTCAAGCATCACCGGGAGCACGAGTACTTTTGCGTTCGAAGACACCCGGAAGGTGGGTACATATTTTTAATGCGACACGCGAACATAATGAAGAAAATGGTCATGGGGGAAGATGGGACTTTGGAAGAAACAAAGGATGAAGGAACTCGTTGGGAATTTTTGAAGTGTTGTTAAGAGCGAATTACAAGAAATAGTTATATCACTGGCACTATACAGGACACATAACATGCAAGATATTTTTCTATCAGTACAAAATGTATCCGATTGTGGAATAAACATCATAGAAAGAAGAGCACATGGTTAATGAAGGAGAACGTAGATTAAGGACTAGGCTGAAATAACTTCGAACTACCTGCTTATACGAAATCCAAGAACTCATGTATCCCAGTCTACTAGTCTAAAGGTCGTAAGAAGGTATTAGTCGGTCTTGATCTACGCACCGTCTGAAGGCAGCACTTATATAGTGCATCATGGCAAGCTGATGCCGCCATCGATGATTAGATCAGCTCCTACAAGTACTTGTCAGCATAGCAACTAGAACACAGAAACGCATGAGTGAAGAGGCTCACCAGTCATGTAGCTGCTGGCATCGCTGGCCAGGAAAAGGTAGATACCCTTGAGCTCAGCAGTCTGGCACATCCGGCGCCCAGGAATCTGGCGGATCCACTCCTTGCGCCAGTCCTCCCGAACCGTAGCGATCACTGTTTTGTTAGTTGAAAGATCAGGTGCCTTTATAGACGGGTGAGTAGCGTACTGTCTGTTTCAATATATCCCTGTGGTTGTTAGTCGGACTATATAGGATGGACACGGGAAGGAAAACTCACCGGCGACACGCAGTTTACGCGAGCAAAGTCTACCCATTCAACGGCAACACCCTTAGCCAGATGAACGAGAGCGGCTTTGGTGGCGTTGTAAGCGGCCTGAGGCTGGGGGGTGTTGGTAATCGAGGCGCTGACGGAGGCAGTGAAGATGATGGTGCCGGGACGGCCACCGGCGGCAACCTGGCGCTGGAAGACGCGAGCAGAGGCCTGGGCGGCCCAGAAGGCACCATTGACGTTGACATCGAATATGCGGCGCATGGCATCTACGGGATAGGAGATGGCGGTTGTGTGGTCGCTGATGCCGGCATTGGCAACGAGGATGTCAAGGCGACCGGTGCCGAGTTCCCGAGCGGCTGCCTCGACGGCGGCCTCGATAGCAGCCTGCTCGGTGACGTCGCACTTGTAGGCGCGAGGCGTGACGGACGCCGAAGATGAGGATGCGGCAGCTGCAGCCGTCTGGATTGCGGCGATGGCCGCTTGCGGCTCACTGGTCGAGTAGGTGATGGCGACAATGGCACCAGCCTCGGCCAGGCCCTTGGCCACCTCGAGGCCAATGCCGCGACTTCCACCGGTGACAAGAGCGGTCTTGCCAGCGAGGGAGAACTGGGTGAGGACAGGAGCGTCCGGGTTTGGATGAGCTGCGAGAACCATTGTGAAGGAGGGGCTGTGAACTAGCAGATAGCAGATAGAGGGGAAGGGCAATAGAGCAGAAACGAAGCGTAGCGATACGGGAGAAGACGCAAAGAGGGATCTGGAGAGACGAAAACAGAGGAAGAAAAAATCAGTGGTGCAGATACAAATTTTCCGGCTCAATTGCTGTTATCGTGAGGTTGATCTTTGGTTGCAAGACATACTACCTAAACAGCCTAAACAGCCTCAGAGAAGGAGCCCATATGCCGAACGCATATACCCGGGTCAAAAAGCGCGCCATTGTTTTTCCCCCTCCCGACAGCCGACAAACGGGTCAGTGGGACTGCTTCTTCGGCCTTTCCTCATTAGTCATCTTAGCCACCAGATCGGTTGTCTGCATTGCTGCTGCGATGCGCATCTTTGGACTGGTCAAGCAGCCGACCAACGCATCAGCGTAGACGGGTACCGGATTTTGGCATTTCTGGAGGTAAGAAAATGATCCGTTCTGGCAAATGCTTCCGGCAATCAGACGAGCCAACAAGCGACTGCCACCGTCGTGCAACCGAAAGCCCACAGGTGGGCAGCTATGATCGTATACAATGCAGGCGGGCCCGAGGTGCATGAAGCGCGAGCTTCTTTCACTTTCATACCCTTACTGTCTTAGATAACCTCACAATTTGTCCTCGCACAGGGTCCTGGGTTGTGAGGCCACGGCACTACTAGAGCCACCTGTCTTTGCATAGGAAGACTGGAAAACTAGAAGACTGGGAGGGAAAACATGGCAACCCCAAAACAGTGGCGGAACTTACACGACCGTCGGGAGGCATGAAATCCGGAAGACATTGTAGACGTCGGGCTTGTCGGCGCACAAGGCAACGTCAAAGGACGCCACCTAGCGACGGTAAAACCAGGTGGAACGGCTGGCTGACTAGCTGAGAGAGCACTGGTTAGCCTGGTCAGATGAGATGGCAACGCAAAGACGCGTAATCTAATTACCGACATACAAGGCTGGAACGGAAAAAGAAATCAAGGATAAATTGCATGCACTGGACCTGTAGGGTACAGTTTTCCAGAGATTTCACATCTAATGGAATATCTGCAGCGAAAGCGTCCAGACGCCGTGCTCGACGAGTACCGGCTCAACCGAATGTTTTTGCATCAGGGTTAGAAGAAACTAATTTCGATAGAGAATAACCACGAGGGTTGGCAAGCCATACCCATGTGAATGCGAGAACGTTTCCTAGAGAAATATATTGCCCCATTTCCTCTTACTGTTCAGCCAGCCAACACGCGGAAGACAGCACACCACGTCCCTGGAAGGATCAATGGCTGTGATGACAACGATGAAGAGGATGAGGGAATTGATCACCAGGGCATCGCCATCATCATCGACCAAGACTATATGAAGTCGCGGTCAGTGATGCTCGTGATAATGGGATTCATCATGCCCGCATGTCTTGAACCAGGAGCGGGACATCAAGACAATCAAACGCCTTCAGCTTCATTTCGGTAATGTGCTAGACCAAATCACCGGCAAACTTCGACCGACCCAGTCGATAGCCATATTGCTGTAAGACGTCTTCTCATGTAACATTAAGTGCTACTCGTGTGACAAGCCGTTTTTTGCAGATCAACTTAGACGTTGATCTTGTATAGCTTATGAAAAACTCAAGCTAAAATAAGAAAGGGCAATCGCAAACCACAAATCCACCCATAATATAGATGTGTAGATATTATGTCAAATAAACTCTGCAGTGAGAAATGCCTACTCTCCAGTTATTACGCTGGGTCAATACAGCAGAAACGAGGCAAGCAAATTCTAAAAAAAATTGCTACAAAGTATGTGCCTCGGCAGGTCAGCTGGAAGGATGAGCTTCCCAGTCTGTACGAGGGTGTGCCATTATATATATTTACATAGCAATACCACCCAGTAAGTACCATAATACACCTCAGCAGACAGGACCAGTTCATGATGCATTGGATTCAACTTTCTTGGCTTTTGTATCGTCACGTATCCTTCAATAAAGTGATGTTGGTTCCCAACAGACGATTTTGCCAGCTCCGTACTTCGTACTGCTGAAAGAAAAGTGGGAGGGTGAAACGCGAATAACAAATATACTTGTGGGGTTTGCCACAAGCACGTGCTGCCATCTGGGTCCACATTCTATGCGTTGGGGAAAGGCTAAAAAAATATTAATAACACTGCCCAAGTCAATTGAGAACAGCGGCGAATCCCCAAGGAGGGGAAGTAGAACATCCAGGCACGACGTGAAGAGCGGCCGCAGTCGAGAATATCTTGTTGTCCCAAACTTTGATAGACCCTTTTCTCGATAATCGCGTGTTCAAACAATCATCGCTGTCCCATGTGAACGACGTCTCCGACCAAACCTACAGCCTGCATATCGTTGAATATGTGGGTTCTTTTACGAGCCCCGACAACAGACACGCCGTCCTTTGCCGGGAGAAGCAGCGCCCGCCAGAGCACCCGGAATATTCGCGACGACAGATACATAGGAGAACGCGCTACCAGCCCTAGTCTGTAGCCGTCAAAGCCGTTATTGTTGTGATCCTCCACCTGAGAGGACAGACGAGGTTAAGAAGAGATACAGGAGAAGGACGATATCAGAACGAAGGGAGAACAGTACAGCTTCTACACGATGCCGAGCCTACCATGTAAGAAGGACACAGAGAGAGAGTGTGGATTTGAAAGAAAGAGGGAGTTGAAAGAAAAGAGGTTCTGACCTGAGCCCAACACAGCCTCTGTCGATCTGGACGAGTGCATTGCGCGCCTCTACAAGCGCGAGCTGCTGGCCGAGTCGGTGATCGAGGCGATCTGCGCCAAGGCCAAGGAGCTGCTGATGCGCGAGAGCAATGTGGTGCACGTGCAGGCACCGGTGACGGTGGTGGGCGACATCCACGGGCAGTTCTACGACCTGATTGAGATCTTCCGGATCGGCGGCTACTGTCCGGACACCAACTACCTCTTCCTGGGCGACTACGTCGACCGCGGCATGTTCAGCGTCGAGACCATCTCGCTGCTGGTGTGTCTCAAGCTGCGCTACCCGCACCGCGTGCATCTGATTCGCGGCAACCACGAGTCCCGCGGCGTGACGCAGTCGTACGGCTTCTACACCGAGTGCGCGCGCAAGTACGGCAACGCGAGCGTGTGGCACCACTTTACCGACATGTTTGACTTTCTGACGCTCAGCGTGGTCATCAACGACCAGATCTTCTGCGTGCACGGCGGCCTGTCGCCGTCGATCCACTCCATCGACCAGATCAAGATCATCGACCGCTTCCGCGAGATTCCCCACGAGGGCCCCATGGCCGATCTCGTCTGGTCCGACCCCGATGCCGACCGCGACGAGTTCTCGCTCTCGCCGCGCGGTGCCGGCTACCAGTTCGGCGCTCAGGTCGTCAAGAAGTTCCTCGCCGTCAACGGTATGTCCCACATCCTGCGCGCCCACCAGCTCTGTCAGGAGGGCTACCAGGTCCTCTACGACGACCGCCTCAGCACCGTCTGGAGCGCCCCCAACTACTGCTACCGCTGCGGCAACATGGCCAGCGTCCTCGAGGTCAGCGATACCGGCGAGCGCTTCTTCAACGTCTTTGCCGCCGCCCCCGAAAACGACATGCACAAGGATTTGCAGCCCGGCGCCGGCGCCGATAAGACTGGCGACGGTAATGCCTTGCCAGACTATTTTCTCTGAGCTGGCCGAGGAGAAGAGGGCGAGGACTAGAGAAATGGCAGGACGAATGTTAGGTCGTTTGCTGCTATCTGAATTTCCCACGAGAGAACATAGAGAAAGGGCTGTTTGTTCGTCCGTGTGTGTATACCTTATTTTGCTGCTGGCGCATTGCTGGCATCACTTTTATATCACTCCTTAGCGACCATGGTGCACGATGGTAGGCTGACATTTAGGCGAGGATATGTATTATTGTTCTCCTTCACGAAATGAACGAATGCTTTGCTTCCGTGATGCGTCAAGCACTTTTGTGTTTCTGTTTATTTATAGCTCAGCATACCACGCCATTATCCCACTCGTCTCGCCTGTTCCATCCGTCTCGGACAACCGATTCGTCCCCTCCAGTGTGGCCAGCACCAACCGGTAGCCAATAATGAATCGTTATTCGTGTTATTGCCCTCGTTTGACCCAGCCCTGTCATGCCTCGTGTCGGACTCGTTTACCAATCCTTGGTGATGTCGAAGCTCCACTCAAACTCCAGATGTGACTTCTTGTCGTCGTCCACGAAGCTGGAAAAGGCGCTGTAGTGGCCGCGGGCGAGCATACCGGTGGGTGCCTCGTCCTCTTGGACTAGAAAGCAGTGGTCGTCAGCTACGAAGCGACGTGGTTTGTGTGTGGAAAAGGGGGGCAGACAACTTACATCTCTTTGTGTAGAGGGGCTGCTTGTCAGTGTTGGGAGCATAGCTTCCCTGTGTGGAGTGTCAGTCACGACCGCGTCAACGTATTACCAGGAAGGAGATCTGCCATACAATCATCTCGCTGTCCTTGCTGACTTTGATGCCCTTCCGCTTGACGATCTGGACATAGCGCAGGCCACTCAGCACCTCGTGCTGCACCTTGAATGTAGCCACCATGGTGAAGAGAGCACCCTCCTTGATCGTGAACGGGTGGTCCTTCAGCGTGGTCTCGGTGCCGGGGACGCTGAGGTCGATCGTGACTGGGTCGCGGCCGGGAGACTCCATCGTCAGGCTCTTGATGATGGCGACGCGGGGATCATTGGGGTCGCTGAGGTCTGTGCCGCCGCCGAGACCGAGCGAAAGCTTGTACCGCTGGAGAGATTCATCGCCAGCATCTGTATTGGTGCCCAGGCGGTGGCCAGGGTTGGGGCTGGGGTCCGAGCTGGGCAGGGCTGCCTCAGCTCGGCCTAGGCCGTCCCCGCCATTGCCCTCCAAAGTCAGCAAATCTGATCCAATGAGATGCAGGACCAAGTGGTCACTGGCTGTGTGTGTGGGTGTGGTGATTGTGAGAGGAGTAGTGCTTCGAGGAGAGACAGCAGCAGCAGAAGCAGTGTCGGCTTTGCAGCGAAGGAGACGGAAAAGCTCGTCCAGATCAAAGGCCGTGACAGGGACATTTGACTGCGAGTAAAACTCGCGTCTTGGTGAGGGTGGGGGCGGTGCAGGAACAGAGACCGAGACGGAGCTGTCACAGACGCCAGAGACACTCATCGTGGGCAAGCAGAAAGCAGCGGATCGGGAGAATGAGAAGCTCAGCTGAAAAAAGCAGAGAAAGGCAGGACAGAGGATGGGAAGTGTGTGGCGGATCGGAGGAAGGACGTGGTCAAAAGACAAGCAACTGTGCTCAGGCGACAGCACGAACAGTTGGGTGGGTTGTGGGTGGCAGGGTGAGGCAAATGTAAGGCAAACGTGAAGGAGAACTGAGAAGAGGCTCGGACGGAAAGTGAATGGATGGCCAAGGAAGGTGTCACAGCCGTCGGCCAGCCGGTTCTGGCTCCTGCCGTCATTGTAGCTGCTATTGCTGCCACCACTGCTGCTGCTGCTGCTGCTGCCATTTCCGTCTCTCGTCTATCTTTCACCGACACATTTATGCAACGATCGCGGGCAAGCAACAAGCCAGACACGACGATGCCGCCCAGTCACACTGACGTACCCATCTGCTGGTATTCGGCGATGCTCTGCTTGGGCTGCGACAGCTTGTAGCCCGGCGTCTGCTCGTGGATTTCATCGTCGTGTTCTTGGGAAGCCATGTTGTCGGAACGGAGGGTCTCGGTCGAGCAAGAAGAAATAGAGACAAGTGAGGCAAACGGTCACGCAATATTGGTATATTCACTGTTATTATTTCCAGGTTCTTTCAGCAAAGGAAGTTCCCGTATTTATCTACTCCGCCGGTGAGGGGCTGTCTCCTTGTTTCGGTGCCTTCCTGATTTTCCTCCACGCATTGGTGGGGCAAGCACGTCTGCCGTTGCAGGATTGGGCGGTGAGCACAGGGCATCCTTCTGTTGGTTGTCGTCCAGTCGCGTCTCCTAGCCGTCGAGCCAGGACGGCCGTGCGGCCCCGAATCCCACGAGTGGCATCGAGTGTGCGCGTCCTGGTGGTCCGGTCCTGGTGGACACCTCTCGGACGTCAACATCTGTGTCGCTGTCCTCGGAAGCCAAGTGGGAATGTCTTCTTTGATATCTTCAGCCACGATGAGGCTAGTCGCCAGATGTGGGGGGGCTTTTGCAGGAACCATCCGTTGCTCAGTAACAGCTGGCCCCCTGTTTTCCTTCTGGTCACGTTGACCCCCAAACGTGCCTTTCTCGCGCTGTTTGAGCCTCAGGGCACGGCGCTGCGGTGCCGATGCTTGATTTCGGGTCGTTGCAGAGTAATAAGGCAGATCCCGTAAGCCGCCAAGCACGTGTGTCGACGGGAATGCATGGACAAAATGAAATTGCGCCTCAACGGTACTTCGTGCAGGTAGACCTACCATGTACTTTCTGCTACTGTGCAAGTACCAGCACTCGCTATCTGGGTGAGAGAATACATGCTCCGCAAACACGTGGGACTAACCAGCCCCCCTGAACAGCTCCCTCTAACCGAACCCATAAAAAGGTCCTCTGCATATTCATTCCGTAATGGCTTGCATGCATCGCAGTAATGCCAGTTGTGACCGTTGATGCTTGCTTGTGCCGTCCTGCGAGCTCTTAGTCCCGCCTGCTAGCAATAGTACAGCAAGCCAAGTTGGGGGCCCGCTCTGGTCGCAGGTCGCGCGTTCTGCGACAGGTGCCACCCGCCCCAAACCATTCCCTCCTCACTGCTCGTATCTAACGTGATCTTATTACATATCCTCGTACTCCGTACTAGTTGTTCTCATTTCTTCTTCTGCCTCGCTCCACCGGCTACCCGGCTCAGTTTCCCTCTTGCAATCCCTGCCATTTTTCCCACGGTCGCGACGACGCGCATTTTCCCCCTTCCTTTCCAGCTACATCCGCCTTTTCGACAGCAAAAAGTAAGTTTTTGCCTGCACATTGTACGCCCTGATCGCGCCTTGATGCCCGTCTCGCGCTGACAAGCTTTCGCGACCACAGCGTCCAGCCTGCGATAGCGACAGCCATCCAGCGGCCCAGACAGCGACACGACATCTTCTTGCTCAGTGTCGCACGCGCTCTAGCTCTTCCTGCACGCGAAATCGCATCCGCGTTGCCCCCGTATCGTACGGTCTCCAAATGTCTCCCATCAACAGAGTGCTTCCCGCACGGAAGAACAGCCTCCTTGTCGAGGACGTTCCCGATCGTTAGTTATCCCCCTCTTTCTTCCCGCTCTCCCACTCTGAAAGGACAGCACCCCCACTGGGCTGTTCTGTCATGCGATTTTCCCCTTCTTCGGCGGACCTCGTGAACAGGACGTTGAGCTGTGCAGAGAGCGGAAGACACCGTTGAGACGTTCACACCGCTTACCAATTCGGCTCCTCTCTGCAGACGAGGATCTCGTTGCGCGTCGCCGTCTTGGTCAGACACCGCTTTCGTCGCGTCTGGTTGCTGCCGCGCCGACCGGCAATGATCGCAGCACTGTCACTGACTTCGACTATGCACATCTCCGCGCACCTCTGCCCAAGGGCATCGTGTCCGGCATCTTCAAGCCGAGCCCGAACAGCTACTTCTTGATGCGTCGCAGCAGTGACGGCTATGTGTCTGCCACGGGCATGTTCCGCGCCACCTTCCCCTATGCCGAGATTGAAGACGAGGAGGAAGAGCGCCGGTACATCAAGTCTCGCCCAACCACGAGCTTGGAAGAGACTGCCGGCAACCTTTGGGTTCCGCCCGAAGCCGCTCTCGTGTTGGCAGAGGACTATGGCATCGTCCCTTGGATCCGCGCCCTGCTCGATGCCACCGAAATTCCCTACACTCCGCCTCCTGGCAGCCCGAACAAGAAGGCTCCCAAGGCGCCTCCCAAGCTCGCCCTAAACCACCCGTCTCTCGTTCCACCCACACCAACCTCTGTCGCGCGCAACACTCGGTCCCGTCGCTCTGCTAGTCCCACTAAATCGGTTGCAACGAAGCCGCGTGCTATTGCCAGCCCTCGCAAGAGGACTACCAAGTCTGCCGCCGCCGCCGCCGCCGCCGCTGCTGCTGCTGCTGCTGCCTCTGCCTCTGTTTCACAGGCTTCTGAGGCATCTGTTGCTAGCACCGAAAGCACTCCAGTGCCGTTGTCTGCTGGCCTCACAAACGGCGACTCGTCAGCAGCAAAGGAGCCGCACGTTATCCTGCCGTCCGTAGAGGAGGAAGACGTCGTCAAGCCGACCAGGTCGACCAAGTCGGCCAAGGCAAAGGCTGCGGTCGAGAAGGATGTCAAGGTTGAAGCCAAGCCCGAGGTCAAGCTTGAGACCAGGCCCGACTATGCCTTTGCCGCCCTGAACCCGCTTCTCCTCGGCGTGCCGCCGTCACCTGGCGAGTCAGCACGTGCCTTGGCCGAAGCAAAGGAAATGGTCCGGGCCGCCGCAGACGAGGCCGGGGCTTCCAGCTCGAGCCAGAAGGGCAAGCGCAAGGCAGAGGAAGTCGCAGAAGAGGCGACGAGCGCAAATGACAATGCGGCAGATGGTAGCGAGGCGCACCCGTCAGAGCAGCCAAGAGCAAAGAAGGTCAAGACGGAGGTGCAGCTGCGCAAGGAACGTGTGCGGAAACGAGCACTTTTGGGCGTGGGCGCCACCATTGCCGTTGGGTAGGTTTCTTCGCCACCCAAGCCCAGTCTGACTGATGACTAACCATTTGCAGTGCTCTTGTTCCCTTTGTAATGGGCATGTTATAATTGCGAGCAAACGGAGAGGATACAGGACCAGGGTTATTTTATTAATGAAAAGGGGGGGGGGGCGTGGTGACGGTGGAAGAGGTCGCTTTTGAATTCGGAGTTTCTGTGTTGCTTTCCATTTTCCCGTCTTTTAATTCTGCCCGACTTTTCTCCAGCACTCGCCAGTCTTGGGTGTTTTGGCTTCCCTCCACAGTGCCTACATTTTCTCCTGTTTCGATCTGTTGTTTCTCCATAACGCTGTCGATACTTTGTTCTCTTGTTTATCTTTGCCTCGTGCTGTTTTATTTTGGACATACCCCTCAGGCCGCCGAAGACTTCCGCTCGTCACGCAGGAGTTCTTTGGCTGTCTTTTCCCTTTGCATGATCTGGAGGCTGAGAGGATACGAACCTTGCTGTTCAAGTTTTCTTGGCCTACTTACTCCCTCACCTCAAACTACATATCTAGAGCAACTCTAGAAGCAAAGATCCACATTTCCCACTGAAGATGCAAGTGTGCGCAGTCGTGTGGGCAGACTGTACGAGTAGATGGAGTCGCCTCCACCAGTTCGGCAGGCAGTTTACTGAGTACAGGGTGTCGAGCTGAGATGTGTTTTTATTTGGTGTTTCACGTGATCGATCACATGATCTGGCCCTTACGGATTGGTTCGTGTAAGTGGGACGCGTCTAGGATTCTATTCTACGCGTCTGAACGGAAGTGCCGTCCCGCTCTAACCCAAACCCTAAGGAGCAAGACAACAAAACGCTGACAGCACATGAACGGCGGGATACCACGACGCTGTCACGATGCCCCAAGACGGACTTGCTTGATCCTTGTATAACTGATTTTGGTCTTTCTTTGTGTGGGCAAACGAATTGCGAAAATATCCCCCCCTACGCACAATGCTTGCGACAGCTCCACAGCCTGCCGGCGGATTCTCGCTTGGAGCATCTTCGGTGCCAGCAATGGACACAGCGACGGGACAGCGAAAGCGGGCGGTGGGCGGTTTCGTGGACGATGACTCGGACTCGGAAGAAGAGGGCAGCGGCCAGGAGAAGGGAGTGGAAGGCATTCTACCACCGCCAGCCAAGAAGCGGATGCTGGAGCATGAAAGCAGCAGTGAACTGCACCAGGAGCCAGGCGAATCTGGCATAGCCTCACTCTTGGGCGGACCGGCAGCCGAAAGCGAGCTGGCGCCGACGACGACAGACATACTTGACACAGCCAACATACTAGACGACAGGTCCATTCCGGACGCCCAGGTGGTCTTGGAAGAGTCCCACGAGCAGCTTGGCGAGGAAGACCGGTACGATCTGCTGTTCAGGTCCGGACCAGGCGACATGCTGCTCGAGCCAGAGGCGCCACGGCGGTTTCGTGTGCAGACGTGCTCCGGGAAGTCGATACCGATGCGCGAGCGGAGAGTCCAGAAAGTGGTGCCATACGAGGCGATGGTGGCAGCACGGTCGCGCACGAAAGAAGGGCGAGCCAAGCGGAGCTTCTATGGCATCGACATCCACGAGCTGATTGATGGAGCGCAGAAGGAGATTGGGGAGAAGAAGGACAGGGAGCGGCGAGAGCAAGAGCAGGCGCGAGCGCAGTCGCCCGACGCGATGTCGACGAGACCGTCTACCGCTCTGCCAATACACTCGGTTGGGCGGCAGATGGACGGAGACGGGTCGAAGAAGAGCAAGAAGAAGCGATCGACGATGCTGTGGACGGAGAAATACCGGGCGCGCAGCTTCATGGATCTTGTGGGTGATGACCTGACCAACCGGTTGGTGCTGAAGTGGCTCAAGCGGTGGGACGCGGTGGTGTTTCCGCACGCAGCCAAGGGACGGCGGCGGCCAGGCAACAGCGTCCATAGCAGCAGTGGCAGCGGGGCGCTGGACGGGCAGCAGCAGCAGGCGGGTAACGAGGAGAGAGCACACCGCAAGATCCTGATCCTAACGGGGCCGCCAGGGCTGGGCAAGACGACGCTGGCACACGTGTGTGCGCGGCAGGCGGGCTACGATGTTCTGGAGATCAATGCGAGCGACGATCGCAGCCGGGACGTGGTCAACGGACGGATCCGGACGAGTTTGGGGACGGAAAGCGTCAAGACCATTGAACACGTGACATCGCGACCAGTGACCAAGGCCAAAGCAGCGGGAGCCGGGACGGGAGGATTTTCGCTGCTGGCAGCGTCGACTGCAGCGGTAGAGAGGACAGGTCCGGCCAAGGTAGCGCGACCAGTGTGTGTGATCGTGGACGAGGTGGACGGAGCGGTGGGCGGCAGCGGAGCGACGGGCGAGGGCGGATTCGTCAAGGCGCTGATGGACCTGGTGCTGGTGGACCAGCGAAATAGCGGGTCGGCGACAGCAGCGACGACAGGGAACAAGCGGAAGAAGGACGACTTCCGGCAGAAGCGGCCGCTGATCCTGATCTGCAATGACGTGTACCACCCAGCTTTGCGGCCGTTGCGACAGTCGGGACTGGCAGAAGTGGTGCACGTGGGCAAGCCGTCAGCAGAGACGGTAGTAGTGCGACTGAAGAGCATCTTTGAGAAGGAGGGCATCACATGCGAGAAGGAGGCGGCGCGCAAGCTGTGCGAGGCAGCATGGGGGATGGGAGCAGACGGACAGGAGTCGCGACGCGGAACAGAGAGCACGGCCGAAGGCGATCTGCGAGGAGTGATGGTTGTGGGGGAGTGGGTGGCTCGACGACTGCGAGCGATGACAGACTCGGCCAGACCACAGCTGACACGGCAGTGGGTGAACCAGAACGTGATGGCAGACATGGCACACGGCAGTGGCGGCGGTGGCGGTGTGGGAGCGCGAGGATTAGGACGAGGAGGTGTGCGGGAGATTGTCAGTCGGGTCTTCCAGGAAGGCGGCGGGTTTCCAAAGACGGGTGGCGGCAGCGGATGGACGTGTCAGCAGCGGCTGCGCGAGATGGTGGAAACGAGCGGCGACGTGGACCGGATCATGACGGAGGTGTTTGCGGAGTATCCAAACCGGGAATTCAACGACGACTTGTACCTCAGCAAGCCGGACTCAGCATACGAATGGCTGCACTTCCACGATCTGTGCTCGCGGCGGGTGTTTGGCAGCCAGGAGTGGGAGCTGATGGCGTACACGAGCCAGCCGGTGCTGGCATGTCACGAGCTGTTTGCGACGTCACGGCGCCACATGCCAGCGGGTGAGGGAGCAGATGGGGGCAGCTCGACAGCATCGGTGTTCAGCGGGCCACGAGCCGACTTTGCGGCACGCGAGGCCGAGAAGCAGAGCCGGGCAGCACTGCAGGCGATCCAGGCACAGCTGCCACCGTCGCTGCTGCGGGCACTGCGAAGTGCTGAGGACGTGGCGGTCGACTTTCTGCCGTATCTGGTGCGACTGGTGTCGCCCGACGTGAAGCCGGTGCTGGTGAACGTGAGCAGTGGCAGCGGCAGTGGCAGTGGCAACGGAGGCGGAGGCGGTGTCAAGAATGGGATGACGTCGGTGGCGAGCGTGCGACGGGAGGGCGAACGGGTGCTGGTGCGCCGGGCGGCCGAGGTGTTGGCCGAGCTGGGCATCTCGCTGCGACGAGGGATGTTGGAGGAGGAGACCGTGATGACTAATCCATCAGTGGCAGCACGGCCGCAATGGGTGTACCGGATGGAGCCCGACATCGACTCGCTGGCCGCGTTCGAGACGGCCGGGACGCTACTGCTGCCGAGCGGCAGCATGCCGACACGCTATGCCGTGCGCCAGGTGCTGGACCAGGAGCTGCGCCGGACGTTAGCCCAGCGGGAGATGCAGGCGAGGCAGGCCCGCTTCCAGGCGGGAAGGCCGGCGGGAGAGAGCCAGACGATGGCGGCGGTGGCGACCGTGAAGAAGAGTCTGCCCGATACAGCCGCAGCAGACGGCGTCGCGGTCAAGCGTGACTTCTTCGGCCGCATCGTCGTCATGGCTGCATCCAACGCGAGCAGAAGCAGCGAGACGAATGGAAGGGACAACGATGGGGGTCACGTGACTAAGGCGGGTGGACGGGTTTGGGTGACGTTTCACGAAGGGCTGAACAACGCGGTACGGAAGCCGATCACGGTGGAGGAGTTTGTGCGGGGCTTGTGAGGGAGGGAGACGAATGGACGCATGGAACGTATGAATGGATTCTATGAGAGTAGTGGCTGCGAGAACAGGATGTTTGGATGGTAGCAACCCTTGGATCACGTGCCGTACGCAGCCGCTGTGATGGAATCACCAACCAATCAGCAGCGCGGAACTAGACGCCGGCGACGTCTTGGCAGAGGAGCAAGAATCACGCAGATAGGCGGTCGTGGTCCTGCTGTGTTGACGGACCAGTCTATTTCTGGCTGTGGCTGGGACTGGTGGACGAGCAGCCAGGAGGAGCCGCCTGTGGAATGATGGCCCACGAATGGCCGAATTGCCAGGAGCAGTCTGAGACCGGCTGTGTTGTGGGATGGGTCTGGCAGCCGGCCGTCGCAGGCTGGCTGGCGTGTATATAGGGAGCAGGCGATCCGTCTGTTGTGGCAGTCTTGTTTGGGTTGTGGTCTGGCTTAGTTGTGTATGAGTTTGTTCGAGCGGACTTGTCGCCCAAGTTCTCCATCTTTGACCCCTTTTTGGCTTCTTTTCCCTTTCCCTTTTCTTTTCTCCGCCCTCCCCATGGCAGGACTCCTCTCGGCTGACCGGCTGGCCGGCCATCCCGCCGTCCTGCTCGTCCTACGAGCTGCCATCGCCGTCCTGTCGCTGGCCGTGCTCAGTCTGGCCGCCCTGGCCATGGCCGTGTCGCACGCCATAGCCGCAGCTCTGGACCGTGACGGCTACACCGAGACCGGCTACATCAGCTATGATGGTACGGCCGTGCTGCTTGTTCTGGTTGCCACCAAGACGCTGCTGCTCGGCGGCCTGCTGACGTGGTTGGAGCGGCGTCACCCCGGCGGCCTGCGCCTGGCCCATCCGCTCGCCGTCCTGGCCTGCGTCGTCTCGGCCGGCTTCTGGCTGGCCGCCTGGACCTGGGCGGCATCGGTCGCGTCGGCCTGGCTGCACGCCGTCTGCGAAGACGGCGATGGCGACGGGGTCGAGGCGAACACATGCGCCGTGCTCAGCCGCAACGCCAGGAAAAAGGGCGCCGCTCTGGGAACGTGTGCCGGCCTCGGGGCGCTCGTCTGGTGAGTCCGTCGGTTGTGTCTATACTTCTTTTTTTTCTTCTCTCTTTTCTTCTTTCTTTATTCTTCTTTCTTGTTTTTTTTCTCTTTTCTTCTTTCTTTTCTTCTTTTTTGTTTCTTTAATTTTCTTTCCTTTCCTCTTCTCTGTTCCCTCCCGCTAACCCTCCAGGATCCTCTGCATCATTCACCTCGTCATCTTCTTTCGTGCCTGTGTCCGAGAATCCAAGGCTCCCTCACAAACGGAGCTCGACCAACTGCCCGGTCACGATAAAGAACCCCCGGTTGCGTTTGTCCCCGCTCCACCATATCAGCCGTCCTATCAGTCATACCAGCACCCGTCGCAGCCGATCCAGCAGCCGCCGGCCTACAGTCGATAGGCCTCGGGGGATTCCTCGCATCAGATACCGATCTCATCGCTGCACGTTTCTTTGGGCTTTTCGCTTCGACGTAGGAATATAGCGGGCTTTATGACTGTTGTGTGGGAATGATGTTTGCCGCAATTCGGTGTTGGTATGTAAAAAGAAAACACGGTTTGAATTACAAGCTCGCAGAAAGGAGGAGCCTGTGCCATATGACCGTCTGGGACTGTTCCTCGACTTCTGGCTAAAAGCCCTTGCTTGCGTCACTCTTGGCCTGCCGCTGTCACAATCTTGTCACGCCGTTCTGTCTCCATGGTGCTGGCTGCCTCAGCCGCTTCCCATGTGCTTTCCGCGGCCTCTTGTCCTCCCTCCACCGCATCATGGCTTTCTCTGCTTTCTCGCTTCTTCGTGTCGCTCATCGCCTCATTCGATATTCGCTGATGGCCTGCGATACTGAAATGACAGAGATTCGCACTCCTCTGGCCCCTCCTCTTTGTTTTTCTCACCCAAAAATCACAGTCTGTCTGTGTTCTGGCCCTTCTCAGATACTCTTCACTTCTGCATCCTGTTCGCCCTCGTTGTTTCCACTACGTCACCCATCGCTCTCCGGCTATCGCACCTCTCCCGCTAAAGCGCCACAATAGCAAGCTCGGCCCTTCCTGTGCCGTTCCGTGCCATTGTATACCTGGTCACATGAAACAGCAACGGCCGTATTCAGTCAGTCATGTTTATTGAGTCAGGCCGAAATAGGGGCGCCTACCGCCCTTTGTTGTGTTCCCTAAATGCCATGAAAGCTCTGCTCAATAGGAAACAACAATGGCTTCGCGAGGAAACAGAGAAGGCGGGAACAAACCAAAGAAACCAAGACAGAAATCCGAGGAAAACCATTGAAGCCTGTATTGAGAGTCCGTGACAACGCATTTTGCCTGCAGTTTCGGGCTCGCCACAGAGAGCTTGATCCCGACTTCCTCTCCATTTTGCATTTTCTTCCCTGGCCTTTGCTCGACCTCCTGTCCCTTCCTCTCTCGCCCTTACTCCAGCTCACGAGTATTTATACCGCTCCCGTTGCCAACTCCCTTTTTCTTCTCCCTTGACACCGTATCCAGCCCCCTTGCTTCCGTCGGACGCCCTTTCACTATTCTTATCAAACAAGCATCGTTACCCGACGGCCCGCGAGCAGGGCTTGCCACAAGTGCCGGCATGGTTATTTATAATCACGCCGAGGCTGAGGAGTCCGATGTCGATCCCCGCGACCTTGTCTCATCTTCCTCTGGCCACCATATGGCCTTGCCCGAATTCGACAATAGCGGCTACTTTATGCGCCAGGCCTCTCCTGCTGACAGAGATGAGGCCATCTTTTCCAGCCCGCCGTCGGCTCGAGGTGGTCTCGGCCGCGGAGCCGACGTCTTTGCCGGCTCGCCAAGTTCTCGTGGCCACTTTGTGGGCGACGACAATCACGAACGGAAGAAGCTGCTGTCGCCGCAGCGCACGCCGTCCTACGGCTCGCAGCAAGTCTATCCGGGCCCATTTCATCGCCAGCCGCCGACTTTTGCGTCAGCAGTAGCCGGTCGGTACCATGGCGGCTTTCACCGCACGATGCTGCCGTCGATCGAAGGTGCCGAGCTGGAAGTCGAACACGCGTACGAGCACGACGACGAGAACGAGAACGGCAAGCCGCCGACAGACCTGTCCGACTGGCGAGCGCGGCTGCGCTACTGCGAGCAGGCGCGCAACAAGTCGGCCCTGGAGGCCTGCATGGTGCGGCTGCTCGAGTTCCCCGAAGGCATCACGGAACAAGAGATGGCGGCGCGGCGGGCGGCCAACCTGCGTTTTGACCGTATTCGCGAGCAGCGCCTCAAGGACCGCAACAACGAGGCTGCCAAGCGCAGCCGCCAACGCAAGGTGCAGCGGATCGAGGCTGCCGAGCGTCGCATCGCTGAGCTGGTTGCCGAGCGTGACGACTACAGCGAGCAGGCCGTTGCGCTGAAGCAGGAGGCAGCCGAGCTGAGAGAGCGGCTGAACCACACGCAGAAGCAGCTGACTGATTTGCGCAAGAAAGCTGTCCGTGCAAATGCTGCAGACGGGGTTATACTCAAGGAAGAGCACGACGAGGACGACGAGGATGACGAGAGCGATGAGTACCAGAAGCGGCATGAGACGAACGATCGTGGACAGGGCCGCAGACAGATGCAACGCGGCCAGCAAGACTGTTTCGGACTAGGACGTTTAAGGAAGAGGAGCCCGCCATGGATGACCAGCAAGATGGAGACATATTTATGGATGACGATCAGCGCGACACTATGTGGGGTTGAACGAGCGAGCACTCCTTCTTGATGGCCCGAGAACAGGTGTATGCTGGGTTTCCAATCTGGTTCTTTGGCTGTTTCCGCGAGGATGGATTTTGCTGGGGACTTTGTCTGGGTTGCTCGATATCTTAGTCTCCTGATTCTCGTCTTTCTGCTGTGCTTTTAGTATCCGGGACCATGGCCAATAGGCAGAAACAAGCATGATTTTTTGTGCGGCGCGTGTCTGTGCGATGTGATGGTATGTGGTGGTAGATGTCTCAAATTCTGACGGCTCTGAAGCTCCTATTTGTGTCTCTGTGCCTGTGCTCGTGTCCCGTGCAGCCCATCCGGCATACAACGCCATACAAGAAGGGAGGTTAGAAGATGAGAAAGAGAAATGATGACATGTAAGGCGAAATCCAAGAGATAGATTATAAGCAGCCAGAATTGCAATGTCCCAAGCTGCCCAAGCTGCAGCGTAGATGCTCCCAAAAGACAGAATGCCTTCCATTCCCATCCGACCCTCTCCCTCTACTCCGGCACACCGCCCTTGGCGGCACGGTCGTGCACCAGCCGGCCGCTGACCCACACCTTCTTCGTGTTCCGGTCGTCGCCGTTGAAGAGCCACTTGGCCACGCGATCTTCCCATGACTCCCAGCCAAAGTAGTCGACGTTGGTGTCCTCATCGTCGTCGTTGTCGTCGCCAACACGCTCGATGCGGCCGTCAGCGTCGACGTGGCCGAGCCCGATCAGCTGGGCGTCCCAGGCAAAGCCGGGTGCGAAGCGGCCGACACGATCGCCTAGGCCGACGACACGGGCACCGCCAGCCGTGGCCAGAAAGAGCACCTCCTCGACGGACAGCTTGGCGTCCTCGTCGCCGCCCATGGCAACGTGGCGGCTAACCAGGGCGGCCAGACGCGCGGCCTCGAGCACGCTGGGCGAGTAGCCACCGCTCATGTCGGTGCCGAGGCCAACGTCGATGCCGCGCTGCAGCAGCCAGCGGACACGGGCGGCACCCGACGTGATCGCGCTGTTGCTGCACGGGCAATGGCTGACCTTGCTGCCGCGTTGCCGGATCAGCGCTGCTTCGGCCTCGGACAGGTGCACGGCGTGGGCCAGAATCGTCTGGTCCGTCAGCAGTCCAAAGTGGTCGTAGACGCCGGCATACGTCACCGTCTTGCTCGGCCGACCGTGCTCGTCCGTCTCGCCGTCGTCGACTGGCGGCACCGTGCCCGTGAACAGCTCGCGCACCAGCGCGATCTCGCTCACGTTCTCGCTGATATGCGTCTGCACCGGCAGCTTCGTCTCGGCGTGCAGCCGCCCAAGTCGGTCCATCAGATCGGCCGTGCAGCTGGGCGCAAACCGCGGCGTGATCACCGGCCGCACCAGCCGGAACTCCGGGTCCACGTTCTCGATGTGGGCAATGCACGCCCGCGTTGCTGCTTCGGCTGCTGCTGGCGACTCGTCCCGGTAGAACGCCGGGCTGAGCTGGTCCATGCACACCCGTCCCACCAGCGCCCGCTGGCCCGCCTCCAGACACAGGTCCGCCAGCAGGTTCGTCGCCGCCACATCCACCGTCGCGTAGTAGGCCGCCGTCGTCGTGCCGTGGGCCAGAGTCTTGCGGATGCATCGCCCGTATACCTGTCGTGCCTTGCCCAGGTCGGCCAGCGATGCTTCTAGCGGGAACGTGTACTTGTTCAGCCAGTCCAGCAGCGTCGACTTGCCAAAGATGCCGACGTTGGGATATTGTGACGCATGCAGATGTGTGTCTGGTCTGTCAGACTGATGAATGACGTCGAAAACGGCTGAAGGACTGCATAGCTGCACATACCTATGAACCCCGGAAAGAAGAACTGTCCGGGCCGGCCGACCGTGATGTGCACGTCGTCCGTCCAGCCCAGCCGCGGCAGCAGCACCGACTGCACCCAGGCCGTGCCATTGTCGTCTGCCGTTGTCGATGCTGTCTCCACGGCTACGATCGTGCCGGCCTCATCCACTGCTGCCGCCGTGTCATGCAGGTACTCGAGCTTGTCGAGCGCCGTGGCATGGATGAATGTGCCGAGGAAGACCTGCTTGGGGGCCATCGCTCTGATTCTACGCAAGAATTGCGTACAAGTCCGTTGAGCTTGTGTTTATCTGTTTCTGCAGAGCTTGAAAGCACAACAAAGTAAAAGAGGCCGTGATGTAAGATACAGCTCCTGCTTTCCTTCCCGTTTGCTCCTTCCACCAATGTCTTAGGCGTCGTCGGAGATTAGGCTGGAAAGTGACGAAAAAGGAAGCGTCTTTTGGGCTGTGGCTTCCTACAATACCAAAACTGCGGCGTTCTTTTTCGCTTAGTAGAGCTGAAAACGTTGGGTGGGGAAGAAACCGCCTTTTAAGTACAGAGTACTCCGTACTCTGTACGAAACGGCCTTGTTGCCGGGCCATGCTCTACTCTTTTTAGCCTCCCCTTCACGATCTCAGCGGAACCCTTCCTCTATCCCAATGGCGGCAGCCATTGGCTGTCGCTGTGAGCCGCCCTTTCAGCGCCGGCCACCGCCGCTGCCCGACTTCACTCCACCGAATAGCGGACTTAGGGCAGTACTCCGTACCTGCAATTGGGCGCAGCTTACGGAATACTCGCAATTATTGGTCACTCCGTGATAGGTGATATAATTAATATTCAGTAAAACAATCGCTGTATAGAATCTCACTGCCAGATCCCAGATCCCACGCTAACTATGCCTCCGACAACTCCTCTGACTGCGTCCCGCTCACCCCGTTGGCCACCCCGTCGTCCTGGTACTTATCCCAGTTCGCCAGCACGTGTCCAATCCGCGGCGAGTTTGTCAGCCGGTACACGTCCTCAAAGTACTCCTTTGTCAGCTCAAACGGCCGCGCCGTCACGTTCGGAATGTACTTTCCGATCAGCTTGGCCGGGTCAATCGTAGTCTTGTTGATCTTCTTCAACAGGAACGACCGGAACGGCTTCACGCCGCTGCGCAAGAAGGTCGAGTGGAAGGGCACGTCGATGCCGCGCAGAGGAATTGTCGCAAAGCCGCGCTCCAGCTCCAGCGGCTTCGGCTTCTTCTCCGTCTCCTGCGCACAACCCCGGATGATCTCGTTGAGATGCTCGCGCACCTCCTCCAGCTTGAGCTGCGCCTTCATCTGGTCGATGTCGATCTTCTGCACCTTGAGGAAGTTCGTCACGCCCGCCAGCGTGTCCAGAGCCCGCAGATCTCCGGCACACACGTACTGCATGTTGGCAATGTTGAAGTTGACAATCTCGAGCAGCCACTTGGTCTCTTCCGCGATGCTGTTGACCACAAACCGCAGCGCCTCCTCGTTGAACGTCTTCGAGATCCGGCTCGGGTTGACCGCGCACATGGAGTAGTTCGACCGTCCGCTGGCATCACGCTCCACGGCCACCTGCATCGTCAGGCCGCGGTAGAACACCACTGACACCAGCGACTCGATCGGCATCACGTCCGCCAGCGCCGCCAGCGCCGAGTACTCGCCCAACGAGTGACCGGCAAACGTGCTGTCGCGTGGAACCAGGCCCTTAGCCTTCATGTCCTCGAAGCTGGCCTTCTCCATCAGTGTCAGTGCCGGCTGCGTGAACTGCGTGGCCGAGAGCAGGCCCGTCGGCGACCGGTACGTGTACGACAGCGTCGTCTCGTTGATGTCCTTGAAGATCCGCTCCGACTTGATCGACCCGTCCGCCATGACCGTCTCAAACGTCATGGTCATGTAGTTCTGCCGGATCTGCTTGCCGCGCGGCCCACCAAAGTGGATCGTGAGCTCCTTCGGGTTGTTCTTGACAATGTTTGTGATTGCGAAGCCTGGATGTGTTAGAAGAGGGTGAAGTGAAAAGGTAAAAATGCAAGGATAAGCGCAAAACACGCCAACTCACCATATGTCTCCATCAAATACTTGTCCGCACGGTCCCAGACATCCTTGGCCACAGGGCTGCTGTCATAGAGATCCATGCCCATGCCCTGCTCCTGTGAGCCCTGACCGGTAAAGACGTACGCCGTCACCGGCTGCTCGATCTCGGCCTCGCCCAGAAGCACCTTCTCCTCCGTCTCCTTGTTGACCGCCTCCACCTTGACGATCTTGCGGCCGCTGATCATGCCGACGTGCTGCAGCTTCACATTGATGTCGTCGTTGGGCAGCACCATGCCCACCAGCGACGCGTGGAAGCTGCGGACACGGCCAATGTCGTTCTCCGCCGCCCACGTCTCGACCAGGCTGCGCACCGCCGCGCTCGAGTACATCCCGTGTGTGATCGTGCCCGGAAGGTTGGCATAGTTGGCAAACACCCGCGACACGTGGATCGGGTTGTAGTCGCCCGACACCCGCGCATACGTCTCGTTCGACGCCGGCGCCCGCAGCACCAGAGGTGACTTGCCGCTCAGCGGGATCGGGTTCTCAAAGTTGATCGGCTGCTCGATCGCCGACCCGTTGCGCTCGAGGTAGTCGATCACCGGGTTGCCGTTTGAGACGCCAGCCTCGTATTCCACGCTGGCCACCTGCACCACCTCCTTTGTCGGCAGCTCCAGCAGCACCTGGCCCCGCGTCTCCACGCTGCTGAAGACCGTCTTGTTCTTGAACTTCATCAGCGACTCCAGCCGGAACGTGAGCGTCTGTCCCAGCAGCGGGATGTCATGCTGGTCGTTCAGCACGAACCACTGTTTCGACCGCAGCACCGCCACCTCCTTGCTCGTCGCGAGGTGGATCTGCACCGGCTTCTCAATCTTGCGCTGGAACGTGTTCTCAAAGTCCGTGTACTCACCCCGGTACAGGAACTGCGACGTTACCTCCATCACCGCCTTGCCCTCGCGCTCGATTGTCCCGCAAACCTCCACCATCTTGCCCGACTCCTGGTTGATGACCGCATTGACCCGTGCCGTCGTCGACACCTCGTCACCCTTCTTCAGCGGATCGGCGCCAGGCAGCATTCTGAATTCGTTCGACAGATGCACAAGCTTGAGCAGGTCGCCGTCAATCGTCTGCGGGAAGATGGGCTTCGTGATGGCCTTCCATCCAACGACAATGGCAAAGTCCATCGGCGCGAACATCTCCTTGCCCTCACGGTCCACGAACGCCTCGCCCGTGTTGCCCACGGCGTGCACAAAGTCGTTGATGTCCTCTCCTGCAATCATCGCCTTGCCGCCGTCAAACTTGCCTCGCACGTCTGCGTTCAGATCGATCGGCTCGTCACCGAACCACACGCGCCAGTAGAACTTCTTGATCCGCTCGTTGCGATCCTCCATGACCTCGTGGATCGGGGCATACCCAGCCTCGGGCCGGTACCTGAACTTGAGCGGCAGGTTGACCGGCTTGCCAAGAGCAGACGTCTGCTTGATCACGTTCACCACAATCTCGTTCTCGGCTGACAGCTTCACGTGGACCACATCGACATAGTGGTTCTGTCTCGGCTGCTCCTTCACAATGATCTCGGTCTTGTCCGGTTCGTTGGGGTACCGAATCTCCACAAACAGGCCGCGAACCGGTGCGAACACACGCTTTATCGGGTTCGTCTGGTACTTCTTGCCCTGGACCAGCACGTCCGAGAGCAGGAGCGCGTGTCGCCAAGAGTGGCTCTTACCAGCGATGAGAGACAACCACTCGTCCACAGGCGGGAGTGACACATTGGCTGCGTAGGCAATCCGGTAGATGTTCTTGTGCTCGTCGTACGATTCGGAAACACTCTCCAAATCCACAGGCACATCCGACTCCGTCCACTTGCCGCCAAAGTATTCAATGGTCGGGATTGCAGAGACGTCGCCGTTGTACACATCTTTGGTCAGCCCAGCAATGTGGCCTTCATGGATGCCATCAAGAATATCCTGAATCGGCTCATCCACAACCTTGGAGTACCTGACGGCCGCAGGGCCCTGCAGAATGCAGGTCCGTCCAACGTCCTGGCCAATGACGGCCTCCAGGTCTTCGGACTGCCAGAGCGAATCCTTTTTGAAAAAGAACTCAAAGTTCTCATCGAGCGCCGGTACAAACGTGACCGGCTTCTGGCCGCGTCGCTGGCACAGAAGCAGGAAGTGCTGCACATCCTGGGCGTTGATGATCTGGTTCTCTGCCTCGGGGTAGTGAGAGAGAATGTCCTCGATGGCAGAGTACGGCTCGTCAAGATCGGAGTAACTCTGCAGACGAGACAGCTGGTTTGACGTCGCCGTGAAGCGTTCCTCCACGCGGTGGATGAAGTCGCCCGTGAGCGTCTCGAACGACGGGTCGATCCAGCGCTTCTCGTGCTTGACGTAGAGCAGCTCGACCATGCGCCGCACTACCTCGCCGTAAGTCATGTCCTCGAGGTCGACCGTCTCGCCCGCCTTGTTGCGGCCGAACCACACCTTCTGGAAGTCGTCGTTTAGCTTCTTGATGATATAATCGCGGTTTTTCTTCAGCTCCACGATGCGCTTCTCTTTCGGCAGGGTGAAGATCTTCTGGTCCATCTCTGCCCAGAAGCGGACACCACGCGTCGCCAGCTTGTGGATGGGCTCGCCCATCTCGGAACGAACAGTGATGACACCACCAGCTGCGCCCTTGTACGTCTTCTCCCACTCGCTGTCGTCGAGACCCTCAGCATCAACAATGGCCTTCTTCGCGTTCTTGCTAGTGTGAGCTTCCTTCGACACCATCATGCGGCTGCCAAACAAGCAGCCGTCAAAAGGCATAGGCGGGTAGCCGTACTTCTTTGACCATGCACCGGTGATGTAAGGGTACGTGTCCTCAGTACCGCCGAAGCCGCTGCCGGCAACGAGGATGATGTTGTCCGACCGACGAATGCGGCTGTACATCTGGAGGATCGGCTGGTGGAAGTCCTCAAACGAGTGGTGGCCACCGCCACGACCACCAGTCCACTGCAGGATGACAGGGAACTTCGGGTTCGCCTTGGCAATGTTGATGACAGACTGGATCGCGTCCATGGAACCAGGCTTGAAGGCAATGTGCTTCAGGCCGAGGGTCTCGATGTACTCCTGCGCAACCTCGATAGAAGGAACACCAGCACCAATGGTGAGACCCTCAATAGGTACACCCTCAGCACGAAGACGGCCAATAAGAGGAATTTGCCATGCCATGGCATGTGGATTGACGTAGATCAGGTTGATGGAAATACCGCGTCCCGCTTTGATAGCACCTTCGATTTTCAGGAGATTCTCGGTCATGGTCTTGGCGCTGTAGTATCCGCCGCCGCCCAGCTCGATGTGGTAGCCAGCGTTCATCGCTGCCGCCACAAAATCCCACGCGACTGTCGTGGGGGTCATGCCGGCAACCATGACGGGCGGGAGGCCGAGAAGTCGGCTCATCTTCGTGTCGACATAGGTCTTGCCGCTCTTTGTCTTGACCAGCTTCGGGCCATATTCCCGCACCCAGTCAATGGCGTATTTCACCGCATTTTCCTCATCACGGTCGAATAGCTCGGGCTTGTAGCCAACCTCAGACACAGTTCCGGTCACAGAACCAGCCAAGATTACGCGAACGCCAGTACCCTCTTTGTTGCGGCTAGTGAGTATACCCAAGCCAGAAATGCCGCCAGGGCCGAAGTCTAGAACGTGGGTAGCCTCGGGAAATGCGGTAGCCAGCTCCCAGTAGACAGGATCGCGGGTGATCAGACGCACCAACGTCGGCACGATGTTCCCGCGAACAGACCGCCGCATGTCCTTGCCCGTGTTCGTGTCGAAAACGGCCGTTCCAAGAGTCTTAGAATCAATCTGAATGCCAGCAAGATCCTCGTTGATCAAGGTCGTGGCCTTCTCCAGGTACTGGCTGTGGAAAGGGGCCGTGATTGGCAAGAAGCGGTTCACAAAGCGCACTTTGCGCTCCGTGTACGGGATGCGGGTCTGCTCCAGTCCAGTCGGTGCCTTGACTTTACGGAGCTGCAGGTTGAGACCGTAGAGAGAAATAGGGGGACCGGTCACAACAAGGTTCCGCGGGCTGTTCACAAGCGAGACGGCAATGTGACGGTCGGCCGGCAGGTACTGGTTCGTGGCGTCAATGTGCTTCTGAACCTCGCCCTGCGAGAGATCCCGGATGCTCAGCATGGGAGTGGGAATGCCCTCGCCATTGTCAATGGAGTCCTGGAGCATAGAGGGCGTGATAGATGTCCGAGGGAACGTCTGCTGGCTGCGGGCGCCGATCCAGAAGAGAATAGAGAGAGCCGACTTGGCGAGCTCGGCATACGACTCCCAAGAATCGGCTGCAGCGGTGATAGCAGCAAGAACGATGCCCTGCGAGTGGCCGGTAGTGCCCTGTATCCGCTCGCGCAATAGACCAGGGTGTGTACCGAGCACTTTGCAAGTCACCTCGTAGTGGGCCAACTGGACGAGGCCGATCAGAGGGAAGCTAACAGGAGCAGACACAAGATAGTCAACATCCGGGGTCGTCTCCGGGTGGCGGAGCCATGTCATGACATCCAAGCCCTTGGAGTAGAGCTTCTCAGCGTTCGGGTGCTTCGACAGGTTCTGAAGCAGCTCGGCCGAATTGGAGATCAAGTCGCCGACAAATGCAGGATATGTCTCAAACAGCTCGCGCAGCTCCTCAAAGTACTCCTCAATGTTGCCCTGGCCGCCGAAAATGCTGTACAGGTTCGCGGAGCCATCATCTGCGGCGCGGAACAGTGCAGATACATGAGGCCGGATCGTGCGGTTGGAGACGAGGCGGGCAGCGTAGTAGCTACGGAGAAGCACCAGTTTCTTGGCGTCAATGCCAGGAAGGCCCGCAGCAATGACGTGCACCTCGTTTCCCCGCAGGAACACGCGCTCGAAATCGTTCAGGATGAGCTTAAGAACTTCCTCGTACGATCCTTGGGCATCGTCCTCGCCCTGTTCGACCTCGTGTGCGATAAAGCCCATGTACCGAGCAACAAGCTCTGGGATGGAGGACGGCTCGTCATCCTGGGCAAGCTCGTCGGTGGGCGCTGGTAAAGTGACAGCGAATGCCTCCTTGAGTCGGGAAGCATGGAAATGTAGGCTGGTCGGGATCAGGAACGATGTCTCGAGCGAGCCATGGGAGATTGTGAGAGGGCGGAGTGAAGAAGATGTTCGTGGGGTCGAAACGCCCGTATGCGGGCCGGTGCCAGTGCCGTACATGGCGAGAGGGGTATCAGATGGGAGGGCAGGGAGCAGAGGTTCTCGGTCAGAGCCGAAGAAGCTATGAGGGGCAGGTTAGATGCTGCGTGGAAAAGACGGGAAAACGTGCCGGAACGAGGCGTACATAAGGCAATTCTACCCCAACCCAATGAAGAGGGAGTTCCAGAATAAATGGCCTTGCAAAAATGCCGATTGAAGCACAGGAGGGGAAAGACGGCGGCGGGGTTTTAAATGCCGGGACAATTCTTACTTTTGAAAAGCTGAGCTTTATAACGGGTTCTTATGAGGCCCAAGATGCAACGCAATATGGCACTCGAATCCGCCAAGATGCAGTAAGGGAGAGAAGGAGAAAGCAAGTGCAAGAATACAAGTTGGGACCAACTGAGGCAATGGGAGGGTTTCTCGGTAAGTGTACGACTGCGTTGTCCAATTGTCTCGGATGGATGGCAGAAAAGAGCTTCACCGTTTTCCCAACAGCATTGGAAAATTAGTCCAAGACGGACACAAAAAATTGAATGCTTTACTAAAAGAGAAGCACCTATAGAGCCAACGGGAGAAGGCGCGAGTCGCCCACCAAAAAAATAAGAGGGCCTGGTTTGTTGGGGGAAACGGTGCGCATACTAATATGTAGCAATGGAGGCCGGCACGGCAGCCCCCCCCTGGACTTTGTTCTGCAGCTTAGATCATCCGCGCTGGTTCAACCGGCCCCTTGATGGGGGGGTAAATGACAACTTGGGCTGGGGCCCACACCGGTTGCGCCCAACCAACGTCACGAATAGGATTCGTACGAGGGTTTCGTCATCACGAAAGTACAGGTACCAGCCTCGGGATCGATAAAGGTGGCGTCTCCAGCGTCCTAATCGTCCAATTGATGCCAGTCTCCAGCGGTCGGGGTGCTTTATGAGTCCCAATGATCAATATATATTTCCATCGAGCTAGGTGGAGCTGCTGGGGGCTTCTGCCCTACTAATATCGGCATGCGATCGCCAGGCTGGGTCTTGCGAATCTGCTCCAAGGGAACAGATGTGTTTGCCTCCCTGTTCGTCTCCGTATCCTACATTGTATTCGGAATTTAATGGGTCGAGCTAAGAGATGCCGTGCCAGCCTGCACAGCATCAGTACGCGTACTCCGTACGTCGTATGTTGTATGTGCACGTTGCCGCGTCTGAGCCTTTTCGAAACGCAGGCACACGGGACTTTTTGGGTCTGTCCAGTGTTGCAGCTCCAGCCGCAGGCTCTAGCACCTCTGCAACTCGAAACGACGAAGCTGAGATATGCGACGCGTGCGGCCGAGTACATATGCAGTACGAAAAGATAAGGATAGCAGAGTATACAAGTACCGGTACTTGCGAGGACGAGTTGGAGGGCTACTGCCTGTTCCTGAATTCTTAGCGCCTTCGTATTCTAGGGAAGCCTGACATGTAGTACGGAGAGAAAGATGTTCTACAGCTTCCAAAAACTGCGAGCATGGAACGGGTAGCTATGTATAATTGCTGCACGTATATGAGGGCGTCCCCTATTGCCAAGTCTGTACGCGATGATGCCTAATTCGGAGCCTGCATGCTATACTTGAGGCCTGGAACATTCTGTTCAGCGGGTCAACGTCTACTCCGTATCTTATCCTGAGAGCCGAGCTCTTCGTACGAGTGTTCTGAAACCGCTGTGGCTGCTTCGCTGTGGCTTCTGATTTGATAAGGTTGCAACTCAACGTCCTGGTGGGGAACACACACCCACCATCCGCACTCTAGCCCGTTGAGGGCAAGGTTGCCAATTTTGGTTGGGAAGCATTGACCCAGCTTCAGCACACTGTCAAGCTCAATTACATCCTTTTGTGCCGACCCAGTTTTTCCCCATCTTCTTTTTCTTGCACGGCGAGCCCTCTTCCCAACTTGTTCTGCATCCCATCGCCAGCCGGTCCGTTATTTGTCTTTAGTCAACAATCCCGTCTTACGTCGAGGGACCCGGAGCACACATCCACCGTATTGCATTCCCAACACGCAGCCTGCTTGCTTCCGTCTGTCCGTCATACAGCAACGGTTGCCTTACGATTACTCTCATTTTCGCCCTCTTTTCACCCCTCCATTCTCAATCCACATTCCTCCTCCCACGTCTTCAGGCCCTGCTGCTGGTTTCGTATCAGCATCACCACACAACTCTCTCACCGGTCACCTTCCAATATCGAATCCAAAGGGGATTTCTCTAGATACGGATTCACCCTCTCCGTCGATTGACGCCCCATAATCGGCACCATGCGGCCCGAGGTTGAGCAGGAGCTCGCGCACACCCTTCTGGTCGAGCTGCTGGCATACCAGTTTGCATCGCCCGTGAGATGGATTGAAACACAGGATGTCTTTCTCGCAGAGAAGACAGCCGAGCGTATTGTTGAGATTGGCCCTGCCGACACGCTTGGTGTTATGGCAAAGCGAACCCTGGCGTCCAAATATGAAGCATACGATGCTGCAAAATCTGTGCAACGACAGATCCTTTGCTACAACAAAGACGCCAAGGAGATCTACTATGACGTCGATCCTGTAGAGGACGAACCCGAGCCGACACCAGAGGCATCAAGCAGTGCCGCCGCGCCTGCCTCTGCTGCTTCTACTGCTGCTGCTGCTGTTGCCGTAGCTGCACCGCCCGCCGGCGCCGGCCCAGCCGCCCAAGTCCCGGATGCCCCAGTCCAGGCGCTGGACATTGTCCGGTCTCTCATTGCACAGAAGCTGAAGAAGCCTCTGTCTGAGATCCCGCTGAGCAAGGCGATAAAGGACCTAGTCGGAGGTGAGAACCTACAAATGCATGGCCATAGGCATCTCAATGCTAATCTGGAATTGCACAGGAAAATCCACGCTACAAAATGAAATTCTTGGTGATCTCGGAAAGGAGTTTGGCTCGACGCCCGAGAAACCGGAAGACACCCCGCTCGACGAGCTTGGTGCTGCTATGCAAGCCACGTTTAACGGAAGTCTTGGCAAGCACTCGCAGTCATTGATTGCTCGCCTCATCTCCTCCAAGATGCCTGGCGGTTTCAACATCACAGCCGCTCGGAAATATCTCGAAACACGGTGGGGCTTGGCATCCGGCCGTCAAGACGGCGTGCTGCTTCTTGCTATCACCATGGAGCCGCCTGCACGTTTGGGCTCCGAGGCCGACGGCAAGGCTTACCTGGACGACGTTTCTCAGAAGTACGCGTCCAACGCAGGTATCAGCCTGTCCACAGCAGCTTCCGCTGGCCCGGCGGCCGGCGGTGGTGGTGGCATGATGATGGACCCTGCGGCCATCGATGCCCTAACCAAGGACCAGCGTGCGCTCTTCAAGCAGCAGCTGGAGCTCCTGGCACGCTATCTCAAGATGGATCTCCGTGCCGGCGACAAGGCCTTCCAGACCTCGCAGGAATCCTCAAAGGTCCTCCAAAGCCAGATCGATCTGTGGGCTGCCGAACACGGCGACTTCTACGCAGCCGGTATCGAGCCGGTGTTCAGTCCGCTCAAAGCGAGAGTGTACGACTCGTCTTGGAACTGGGCGAGACAGGATGCCCTAAGCATGTTCTACGATATCATCTTCGGCCGCCTGCAGACCGTTGACAGAGAGATTGTCAGCCAGTGCATCCGCATTATGAACCGCTCGAACCCGACGCTGCTCGAGTTCATGCAGTATCACATCGACAACTGTCCGACTGAGCGCGGCGAGACTTACAAGCTTGCCAAGGAGCTCGGTGCCATGCTCATCGACAACTGCAAGGATGTGCTGAACGTTGCCCCGGTGTACAAGGATGTAGCCATCCCGACTGGGCCGCGTACCATCATCGACGCCCGCGGCAACCTAAAGTACGAGGAGGTCCCCCGTGCCAGCTGCCGGAAGCTCGAGCATTACGTGCAGCAGATGGCTGCCGGAGGCAAGATCACCGAGTACGGCACCCGCGCCAAGGTCCAGACCGGGCTCTCTCGGCTGTACAAACTCATGAAGCAGCAGCACAAGATATCCAAGACGTCACAGCTTGAATTCAAGAACCTCTATGGCGAGCTGCTGCGGTCTCTGGAGATGAACGAAAGCCAGATCATTTCGGCCAACGGGGCGGCCAAGAAGCCCTTGACCTCCAAGGGCACGCCGAAAGCCAAGGTTGAGACGATCCCGTTCCTGCACATCCGCAGCCAGGCCAGCAGTGGTTGGGAGTACAACAAGAAGTTCACCGGGCTCTATCTCGACTGCCTGCGCGAGGCGGCGGCATCCGGTGTCAGTTTCCAGGGCCGGTATGCGCTGATGACCGGCGCTGGTGCTGGCTCCATCGGTGCTGATGTGCTGCAGGGCCTCATCAGCGGTGGTGCGCACGTAGTCGTGACGACCAGCCGCTACTCGCGTGAGGTGACCGAGTACTACCAGGCCATGTACGCGCGGTACGGCTCGCGCGAGTCGCAGCTGGTGGTTGTGCCCTTCAACCAGGGCAGCAAGCAGGACGTCGAGGCTCTGGTGCAGTACATCTACGATCCCAAGAACGGTCTCGGCTGGGACCTGGACTTCATTGTGCCATTTGCGGCTATCTCGGAGAACGGGCGGCAAATTGACAGCATTGACTCCAAGTCTGAGCTTGCTCACCGGATCATGCTGACGAACCTCATCCGGCTGCTGGGTGCGGTGAAGACGGAGAAGGCCAACCGGGGCTTCATCACACGGCCGGCCCAAGTGATTCTGCCGCTGTCGCCCAACCACGGGACATTTGGCAGCGATGGTCTGTACTCAGAGTCAAAGCTCGGTCTGGAGACGCTCTTCAACCGGTGGCACGCCGAGGACTGGGCGGACTACCTCTCCGTCTGCGGTGCTGTCATCGGCTGGACGCGCGGTACCGGTCTGATGTCGGCGAACAACATCGTGGCCGAGGGTGTGGAGCGTTTCGGCGTGCACACGTTCTCGCAGCAGGAGATGGCGTTCAACTTGCTGAGCCTGTTGTCGCCTACGATTGTGGATCTGTGCCAAAACGAGCCGGTGATGGCGGATCTCAACGGCGGACTGCAGTTCATCCCCAACCTGAACAACGTGATGACCAGACTGCGCAAGGAGATCACGGAGACGAGCGAGATCCGCAAGGAGGTGACAAAGGAGACGGCCATTGAGAGCAAGGTTGTCAACGGCGAGAACTACGAGACGCTCTACAAGAAGAAGACGATTGAACCACGAGCAAACATGCAGTTTGAGTTCCCGAACCTGCCCGACTGGAAGGAGGAGATAGCGCCGCTCAACGAGAACCTCAAGGGCATGGTGGACCTGGACAAGGTGGTAGTGGTGACGGGCTTTGCGGAAGTCGGGCCATGGGGCAACTCGCGGACGCGGTGGGAGATGGAGGCGCACGGTGAGTTCTCGCTGGAGGGCTGCATCGAGATGGCGTGGATCATGGGCCTGATCCACAACCACAACGGCCCGATCAAGGGTAAGCCGTACTCGGGCTGGGTGGACGCCAAGAGCGGCGACCCGGTGGACGACAAGGACGTCAAGGCCAAGTACGAGAAGCACATTCTGGAGCACTCTGGCATCCGGCTGATCGAGCCGGAGCTGTTCGACGGCTACGACCCGAACCAGAAGCAGCTGCTGCACGAGGTGGTGATCGACGAGGACTTGGAGCCGTTTGAGTCGTCCAAGGAGACGGCAGAGGAGTTCAAGCGCGAGCACGGCGACAAGGTGGAAATCTTTGAGATCCCAGAGAGCGGACAGTACACTGTGCGGATGAAGAAGGGTGCCGCACTGTGGATCCCGAAGGCGCTGCGATTCGACCGGCTCGTGGCCGGACAGATTCCGACGGGCTGGGATGCCAAGCGGTACGGTGTTCCGGAGGACATCATCTCGCAGGTGGACCCGGTGGCGCTGTTTGTGCTGGTGTCGGTGGCAGAGGCGCTGCTGTCGTCGGGCGTGACGGACCCGTACGAGTTTTACAAGTACGTGCACGTGTCAGAGGTGGGCAACTGCATGGGGTCGGGCATGGGCGGTGCGACAGCGCTGCGCGGCATGCACAAGGCACGGTTCCTGGACAAGCCGCTGCAGAACGACATTCTGCAGGAGTCGTTTATCAACACGATGAGCGCGTGGGTGAACATGCTGCTGCTGTCGTCGTCGGGCCCGATCAAGACGCCGGTGGGTGCGTGCGCGACAGCGGTGGAGTCGGTGGATATCGGCTACGAGACGATCATGGAGGGCAAGGCACGGATCTGCCTGGTGGGCGGGTTCGACGACTTCGGCGAGGAGGGCTCGTACGAGTTTGCCAACATGAAGGCGACGAGCAACGCGGTAGACGAGTTCGCACACGGACGCACGCCCAAGGAGATGTCGCGGCCGGCAACGACAACGCGGAACGGCTTCATGGAGTCGCAGGGCAGCGGGGTGCAGGTCATCATGACAGCACGGCTGGCGCTGGAGATGGGAGTGCCGATCTACGGTGTCCTAGCGCTGACGACGACGGCATCGGACAAGATCGGGCGATCAGTGCCGGCACCAGGAATGGGCGTGTTGACGACGGCACGCGAAAACGCCGGCCGATTCACGTCGCCGCTGCTGGACATCAAGTACCGGCGACGACAGATGGAGCTGCGCAAGCGGCAGGTCCGGCAATGGCACGAAGCGGAGCTGGAGTACCTGGCAGACGAGGTGGCAGCGATCAAGGCGCAGGGCGAGCCGTTCAACGAGAAGGAGTACGTGGCAGACCGGGCGTCGCACATCGAGAAGGAGGCAGTGCGACAGGAGAAGGAGGTGCTGCGCAGCCTGGGCAACAACTTCTGGAAGAGCGACCCGAGCATTGCACCGCTCCGAGGCGCGCTGGCGACATGGGGCCTGACGATCGACGATCTGGATGTGGCCTCGTTCCACGGCACGTCGACCAAGGCCAACGACAAGAACGAGTCGTCAGTGATCTGCAAGCAGCTGGCACATCTGGGCCGCACCAAGGGCAACGCGGTGCTGGGCATCTTCCAGAAGTACCTGACGGGCCACCCGAAGGGCGCTGCTGGTGCGTGGATGATGAACGGCTGTCTCCAGGTGCTCAACACGGGTCTTGTGCCGGGCAACCGAAATGCCGACAACGTGGACCAGGTGATGGAGCAGTTCGACTACATTGTGTACCCGAGCCGCAGCCTGCAGACGGACGGGATCAAGGCCTTCTCCGTCACCTCCTTCGGCTTCGGCCAGAAGGGCGCACAGGCCATCGGCATCCACCCGCGTTATCTATACGCAACGCTGGACGAGGCCACCTTTGACGGCTACCGGGCCAAGGTGGCGGCACGCCAGAAGAAGGCGTACCGGTTCTTCCACAACGGCATGATCAACAACTCGCTCTTTGTGGCCAAGACGCACGCGCCGTACTCGGACGAGCAGCTGCCGTCGGTGCTGCTGAACCCGGATGCGCGTGTCACCGTCGACAAGAAAACGGCCGAGCTGACATTTGCGGCCAACTTCATGCAGCAGGCGGCCAAGGCAACGCTGCCGACGGCCGGTGGCGCCGCGGCCAAGACCACGCTGGAGGCTCTCGAGGCTCTGGCCGCACAGGTGCAGACGCGCAAGAACAAGGTCGGCGTCGACCTGGAGGATGTGGCCGCCATCCACATCAACAACGACACCTTTGTCGAGCGCAACTTTACGGCCGCTGAGATTGCCTACTGCAACAGCACGCCCAATGTGCAGGCCGCCTTTGCCGGCCGCTGGTCTGCCAAGGAAGCCGTCTTCAAGTCGCTGGGCGTGGCCAGCCGCGGTGGCGGCGCCCCGCTCAAGGAGATTGAGATTCTGCGCGACGACAAGGGCGCGCCCACAGTTCATGTGAGTTATGTCTGCGATTTCTCTCCAAATGCGATTTGTCACGTGATCTAACAAAACAGCTCCATGGGCAAGCCGCAACGGCAGCCAAGGCGGCCAACCTCAAGGAGGTCAACGTGTCCATCTCGCACTCGGACAGCCAGGCGGTCGCGATCGCCGTGTCGACGTTTGAGTAGGGACAGGGGGAAAAATAGAGCATCGGGGGAGCGGAGCGCTGTAAATCACCCGTTTTAATCACTTTCGTCCTTTTCGTTTTCAAAGGCCGCAAACAAAAGAGAGCATTATTATGAAAGAACGTGTCATGCAACTTGTGCTATCCAATCCGTGTATGCACCTTACAATTACAAAGGACCAACCGACAGCCTTCCCGTTCATCCTCCTATCTCAGCAGGCTGCCGACGTCCTGAAGCCGGATCTCGTCCAGCGTAGTGGCATGTCCACCTCGGTCAATACGCCCCCAGCCTGCGCCCCAGCCAGGAAAGACGGCCGCTGTGGCTGCCGGTACCGACAGTGGTTGCAGCGTTGGAGAGGACGGTAGCCCACCACTGCCGCTTCCCATGTGGCAGCTCTGCACCGTGGACGAGGTTCGGGTGCTGAGTGCTCGCCAGCGGCTGCCACGACGGGCAGCGGCATCCCGGGCAACGATCTCGGGGCTGGTCATGATCCCGATGCGCGGCACATCTTCCCGGTCCTCATCGTAGGCGCTGCCATTGTTGCGACGGTAGCGATGGCGGAGGTGGAAACGACTGCGCTGGCGGCCAATGCCATTTCTGAGATCATCCATTCGTGGATAGTGGAAGCCGGCAGGCTGGCCGCCGGCGAAAGGATTCCACTTGAGACAGCTGAAGCGGCCGGTAGTGGAAGAGGGAACGCCGACGACACTGCCGTTGCTGCCGGCATTGTATGAGGTAGGGGGTTCGCCGGCCAGTTCCTCGAGAGTGACGCCCTTAGTCTCGGGCACGAAGAGCAGCGAGACGACGGTGCCACACAGCATGAAGAGGGCAAAGAGCTGCATCAGGCGGTTGAGCCAGGGCGAGCAGGCGATGGAGCCGGTGCTGCAATGGGGCGGCGAGTCCCTGCTGAGAATGGGGATGCTGATGAGCTGGGCCAGGATGGCGCCCAGCTTGCCCATGGCGGCCGAGATGCCGTGGCCGGTAGAGCGATAACGCGTAGGGAAGCACTCGCCGGGGACGACAAAGGTGGTCGTGTTGGGCCCCCAGTTGAAGAAGAACTGGGCGACGATGTAGAGGGTCAGCATGGACGCCTCGCTCAGCCGGTGGAAGGCAAAACCGAGCACGCAGAAGAGGATGGTCAGGATGAAGAAGCCCAGCACCTGCAGCGGCTTGCGTCCGACGGTGTCGATCGTGAGCACGGCCGCCCAGTAGCCCGGCAAGCTGCCAGCACAGGCGAGGATGATGGTCCCGATGGCATTGCTGGGCGTGTGAGTAGCAGGCCTGGTGCCGTCTCGAGGACGAAGACAAAGACAAATCCCGAGGACGTAAAGACTCACTTTCGCAGCACGTGGTAGAGGGTCTGCCCGCTCGAGTACCCGATCGCTTCGAGGATGACCGCGTTGTTGAGGGCCAGGCCGTAGTAGGCCAGGTCGAGGAAGAACCACGACAGCGTGGTGCCCAGCAGCGTCTGGAGATTCTTCCAACGGCCAAAATAGCACGTGGCATCGGTCCAGGAAGCCGTCGGGACTGACATGGACGGTCCAGCCACGCTTTTGAGCCGCGCCTGCACGACCGGATCGACCACGCCCTCCGGCCTGCTGGCCATGTAGGCGCGGATGTCGGCATCGGCCTTTTCAATGTCGTGCGCGACGTCAAACGTGTATCGGGGCGTCTCCGGGATCGTGATGCGGTAGTAGAGGGCGAAGCAGGCCGGTAGCGCGCCGAAGCCAATGATGATGCGCCACGACCGGTCTGCTGCGACGCGGCAGCTTCCTTCGCAGCTGCCGGCACTGGCGGCGACGATAAACTCGGAACGGAAGGCCTCGGTAACGATGAGGGCGACGATGGCGCTGAGCAAATTGCCGAACCCTTGCATTGAGAAGCTGAAGAGTTAGGGAGAAGAGGACAGGCGGAAAACGGAAGGAGCGCCCCGACGTACGTACACAGCTGCCACCATAGCGCCTCTCCAGCGCGTGGGCGCAAATTCGGCCGTGATCACGGACGACAGCGGATAGTCGCCGCCGATGCCGATGCCCATCAGGACGCGCCAGAACACCAGCAGGCCGGTCGAGCTGATGGACGGGCTCGGGCTGGCCAGCGCGCAGTTGAGCGTCGACAGCACGATGATGGCCAGCTCGATGCCGTACATCCGTCGCCGTCCCGACACGTCGGCCAGCCAGCCGAAGACGAGCTGACCGAGGATGATGCCGGCGCTGGTCGACGCCTTGAGCGCCTGGTTGACGCTGTCCGGCAGCTGGCCGCCGCCGCCGCGGTAGCCGTACGCCGCCGCCACCTCGGCTGCTGCTGCCGGCTCGGCCGCTGCGCCCCAGAAGACGATGCCCAGCAGACTGGTCACCATGCTGATGGCAAAGATGTCGTACGAGTCGAGGAAGAAGCCGACGCCGGCGACGGCGACGGCGCGCACGTCTGGGGCTGTCAGCGGAGTAGGTGACGCCTGGGAGACAGAAAACAAGAGCAAGAACATCAAGGCAAAGACCGAGAACGTACGGTATAGCCCAAACGGCACCTTGTCGATCTCGGACAGCGCCAGGCGCCGCCGCAGGTTGGGGTCCGAAATGTGCGAGTAGTCGTTCGCTGGCCGGGCTGGTTAGCACTTCGCGGCGCGTCCGCTCCCCTTCACCCGTCACCCACCAAAGTTGTGGAAGGCCCGGTTGCCGCCGTATGTCGTCCGGCTGACATGGCCGGCGCTCAACGCCGGCTCCGGAAGCATCTCCATTGTGTGCGCCATATCGGGATGTCTGCAGCCCGATGGCTACCGTCCCCTCAAAGCTTGAATAACGGACGTTTATGGCAGCTTCTGTGTTGATCGTTTCCCCACAAGGCCTCACAGAAGGAACATTGAAAATGGGCTTTGGCGTACTTTGTCGCTGTATGAAAGCAGAGATGGCTGTTGGCTTGAGCGGATGCCCCGGACATCCACGCATTACTGGAACATTATGCGATGCGAACTGTCTGGCCGAACAGACCACTCTGGTGGAAGAAGGGGCAAAGAAGTACTGGCCTCTCAGAGCCCAACCAGAAGCCGACAATGCGCCTTCTTGTACGTAAGGAGACGGGGAAAAGTGAGCAAAGATGGGATGGGAAAGGAGGGTTTCGAAAGCGGCTGGACAGAGAACGGAGTACGGAGTGCTTGGGGCCTAATGCGTCCAACGTGCCCCTATGGCCTGCCGGAAACTGGCACTCTGCCTGTGATGTGTGGAGACATTTTTGAATGTGCACACCAGCTCATATCTTACCCCCCTCTCGGAACTGTGAGCGAAATGTGGTGTAAGTAAGGGCCAATCATAGTACAGGATTGAGACACGTGCGGCCAGAGCCTTGTCCTGTTAAGAGTGGGTCTGGGTATTTCCGTTTTTGTCAGTAAGACGCTCGAAGTATCTTACGAGTAAGAATTATATTGACGTAAAATAGCATGAAATAACACAAATTGAGTATTGCTATTACGTAGTCGTTCTTCTTTTGAATGGGGCATACTGCCACCGCCGCATGGCCGTCAAGAGAGGAGCCCGTGCCGATCTTACACAAGCTGCTGCGCCCTTGCATCAACACGCATGTCTTCATCGCCTTTAGGTGTTAGCACCATGTCGATCCTTTGTGTGCACTTCAAATAGCCATCTGCTGTTTCACGCCAACACATGGTCTGTCCATTGCGCCAAGACGGTTAGGAGCTGCTTTTTACAGGTCATTTCCTTTCGCTTCCACCTTTCCCATAGTTCAGACAGTCATTACAATGACAGCATCCAATTACAGCCTTTGTGTATTGAACAGTTGATGTCTCTATGTCTGTATTTCTACGACAGCACTCTCTGCCTCTCTGCCTACCATGCCGTGATGTCTTCCACTTCTGCCTCACCAAACACGCTCGACTTTGTCAGCTGTCCGACCGAGCCGCCGTCGACCTCGGCGCCAGCCCCAGCGATGCTGCTGCCCTCGCGGCTCATAATGTCCGGTAGCACCTCGCGCAGAAATGCGAGAATGTATCGGTTGACCTGCTCGAACTGCAGCAGAAAGGCGTCGTGGCCCTCAGGGCTGTCGATGCGCTCGAGTCGCGCGTCCCCAATGTGTTCTGCCAGCTCCTCCTGCTCGGCGAAGGTGAAGAGCCCGTCACTCTCGATGCCCAGCACCAGCGTCGGCTGCTCGATCATCGCCAGCGCATCTGCTACCGTGTTGGCCCGGCTGCGCGACACGTCATGCGTATCCAGCTTGCGCGTCATGGCAATGTAGCAGTTGCTGTCGAACCGTCGCACGAACTTGGCTGCCTGGTACCGGAGGTACGACTGTGCCGAGAAGTACGTCGACGTCGGCACCACCTGCACGCCGCCCGTGAGACTCTCCTTGGGCGGAGACGGGACGATGGCGTTTGTTGTCGTCGCCGTCGACGCTGCCGTCGATGTGTGGGTGCTGTCGTTTCCGCTGCCGTTGCTGGCGATCGCATCCTGGCCGGGCCCGTGGAACTGCGGGTCCAGCGTCACATCGCCACCCGAAGAGGATCTCCGCAGGAACCGGTCCTCCCGGATCCGGTGGCCGTCGTTGTGGATGCGGAAGTGGCCCTCGGACGGAGAGCTCGGCGCGTCTGAGCCGGCTGGAGACGACTTCCGCTCGCCCTCCAGGATCGTCTGCTTGCGCTTGGGGTCGGGGATGTTGCGTCCGAAGCGCGCCTCAAACGAGTTGCGGCTGCGATACGTCAGCAGCGCCGACATGCGCGCCGCTCCCAGTCCTGCTGCCGGCGGATCGTCAAACGGATAGTAGCCGTCTTCGTACTTGGGGTCCGCGTAGATGCTCTGTCGCTGCGCCTCGCCCCAGCTGATGCCCCATGCGCTGTGCCGGCTGCTCGTCGCGATCGGCACAATGCTGCGCACGTAATCTCGTCCCAGATACGCCCACTCGAGCACAAACATGCCGCCGAGCGAGCCGCCGATGACGGCAGCCACCTGGCGCACGCCCAAGTCGTCCAGCACCATCTTGTGTAGCCTAGACGCAGGAGACGGTCAGAACCTGGCAAGCACATGGGACAGCACGCCTCCAATAGACCTACCGGACGTCATCGCGGATGGTTGTCAACGGGAATTCGGGTCCGTAGCGGCCTCTGCTCGGGTCGCCGTCCTTGGCCGTCACCGGGCTGGCCGATCCGTACGGACTGCCAAGACTGTTGAGGCAGATGATGAAGAAGCGAGAGACATCAAAGGCTCGCCCTGGACCGCCCAGAAGAGGGCCCCACCAGTCGCCCACGTCAGCACTGCCGGTGAGCGCATGGCAGATGACCATGGCATTTGAGCCGTCCGGCGAGAGCGTGCCTCGTGTTGTATATGCCACGGGCACATTCTGAAGAGCTACGCCCGACTCAAGCTGGAAGGATGGCACGATGGCAAACTGCTGGTCCGGGATCAGGGCCGCAAACGGGTTTTCGGGTTGCCCCTGTGTTCTTTCTTACCCGGTATTCAGCAACCATTCTTCCAAAGCAAAGGAGGGAGGATGAGCAGCAGCGAACAAGACACCGTTTGAGATGGGAGAGCTACTAACCATAGCGTGGCCGGGGTACTCCATTGGCGGAGACGGCGTCCGAAATCATCGATCGTATTGCTGTGAGGGTCTGCTTCCTCTGAAGGATGTGTATGTAGGCAGGAAGATAACTGTCGGTTCAGTATATTGAACCTCAACAGGATCAAACAGAGACAAGGTCGACTGATGCCTAGTGGCAGTCAGGAAAAGCTAACAGAGCCCAATATATTTCGTATTCGTCGCTGGATGGGGTAGGTGTCTGAGTCAGTACACTGGAAAAAATATCCATGAAAGAGATCCGGTTTTCGGATGCAACCGATAAGATCCCCGATAAGACAACAGTTTGTACTAGTACATCTCTGCCTCGCTTGTTCCCACCCAAAAATCAAGTCTGGTGAGATGCGTGCTTCATTTGTACATGGGTCCCCACTGATTGCTTTGCCCTCGAAAGATTCGGATGCAAGTTCTCTCATTTTCATGCATGCATGTCGTCTAATGCATTTCCTGGCATCTTGCCCCACATCTAGACGCAACGATCGAAATGTGGCTGTGCATGTGTGGCTGGTGAACACGCCGTGCGAAACAAAGCTTGACGCGAAGTGAATAGCTTCGTTTTTCCTGCCTGCTCGACAACCACCTCACTACCATCGACACACAGGGCTGCCTCGCCACCCCGGTGTTTGCGACATCAAAGGTTATCACCACACTGCTCTCCAAGACTACGAGGCGCTGTTGATTGCCTTTCTTCGCTGTCTTTCCTCATCGTCTTCTGCTTTTCCTCTGGCTATCGTTTCATATTCTTTAATTTTTCAAACCTCATATTCTTTCCTTCCTCGCCACTCCCTCGATTCTGTTACATTCCGAGATCTGCAAAATACCCGTTTGTCTAGACCTAAGCGTCAAACCCCGATCGAGCGTCATCTCAGTCCCGCCTTGTTGTATCGGCGACTACGGCCCATCTAAAGACTAACTCATATATCTGGAGCCCCGGAGCACCTGCAGCTGTGATACTCTCCCGGCTCGTGGCAAATAGCCCACCCCCAACTTCACAACGGCCCCAGGTCGCTTTCACGCCGTGCGTACTTGCCATCGGCCGCCTTCGAGTTTTCCCTTCATGTTTCCACGAACGCTCAAGTTAACAGCTCTCTGAAAAGGGAGAGGGGATGCCTATGAAGCGGAAAAGAGGCGGAGCTGATATGGGCGGCGTCCGCCCCTCGCCTCACCGTCCGGAGCAGACCACCCTTGGACAAGTCCATCAAGACAGCAACAGTCCTGGACGAGGTGGCATGCGCGGCAGCCGCGGAGGCTTCAGACGGTCCGACCACAGAGACTCTACTCTGTCAGCAGGCGAAGACGCCACGTCAGGCACTGCGTCGCCGGTCCGGCCGTCTTCGACATCTACCTCCCATTCGCTTGCGCCCGCGATCATCATGCCACACCGATCGGCAGCAGCACCGGCATCAGCGCCGCCAGAAAAACGGCCGCGCGCCACCCTGGCCTACGTGTACGCCATCCTCACGGACGACCGTATTGCCAACTGGGTCCAGAGCGGCTGCCAAGCAGTCGTTGAGAGCGGAGTTCAGTCCCGCAACGACGAGGACGAAATCGAGCTCTCCACGCTCTTCCAGGAAATACTGCGCGCCGCTATTGATAAGCGCCTCGATGCGGCGGATGCCGGAGCTGTCGTGAAGGCAGTTGTCGGCAACCAGGTCGAGGAAGTTCCCGAGAGCGATGCCGATGCACGAAGCAAGGCCGTGTCAAAGGTAATCCACGGCGGCTTCGACCCCAGGATCGTCTTTCTCGACACGGTCTCTGTGTTTATGGAGACGGAGGACACGGCCAAGGGGAATCTGCAGCTGTTGCGCAGCTTCATGGTCAACACAGGCGTCTCGGCCACTCTGATGCGACAGGTGCTCGACCACGAGTTTTTGATGCGCCTCGGCCTCCTCCGCGAGACGTTTCAGCGCATGGCCATTCGCTACTCGACCAATCTGCTCTACCGGCAGCAAAGCTATAATCTCTTGCGGGAAGAGACAGAGGGATTCTCCAAGCTGGTCACGGAGCTGTACACAAGCAGCTCCGTGGCGGTCCAGGATCCCGGCTTTGACGCGGCTCGCGCCACGTTCGAAAAGGTCAAGGGTCTTATCGGTACCTTTGATCTCGACGTCGGCCGTGTGCTCGACACGACGCTGGACGTCTTTGCCGCAACGATCATCAAGCAGTTCAAGTTTTTCGTCAAGTTCCTGCGCATCAGCTCATGGTGGCCGCGCGACCACTCCAAGCACCGACGCAACTCGTTCTTTTGCGGCCTTCCTCGCTGGGCACAGCCCGAACTGGCTGGCACGAGCCTGACGGAGGAGGAGGAAGATGCTCTGGCGGCATCGGAACGGCTGATGCGCGATGCCGCCTTCTGGGACGCGGCACGACAGATGCACCTGCACGCATTCTTCCAACTGGGCGCACGCGAGCTTGCCGATCCAAAACTGCAGCGGCTTGCCAACCTTGCTACCGGTGTCGACGCGAATGGCAATGCGCACAACGTTGACGGCGACGACATGGGGAAGATTGCAGGCGCCGGCCTCGACGACCATGAACTGCACTGGATCCGGATAACAAAGACGTTGCCGCCACAGGGCAACCGGGTTGCGGCGCAAATCCTGGGCTTCAAGCTGCGGTTCTACAGCTCAGAAGCACGGGGCCCGGACGACATACTGCCGGCCAACCTTCTCTACCTGGCTGCTCTGCTCATCAAGATTGGCTTCATCTCGTTCTGTGACCTGTACCCGCATCTCTGGCCACCCGACGAAGGCATGGAGAACGTGCGGATCAAGAAGCAGGAAGAGCTCGACGAGAAGGAGCGTCGCAACCGGCCGGGCATGTCTTCCAACGCCTTGGCCATGGCCGGTGCGCTGCCCGACGACATGCCTGCTCCTCCTGTGGTGGGTGGCGGCAGCGCGTCTGCTGGTTCTGCCGGCCGCCACGACGGTACTGGTGCTGGTGCTGGTGCACCGGGCTCTTCAACTGCTGCCAGCGGAGCGCCCGCGACAGGAACAGCTAGCGACACAGCACAGCAGCCGGAGCCGCTGCCTATGAAGGTACAGATTGTGGACCATCTGCTGCTGATTGGCGCGATCCCGGAATCGCTCTTCATCCTTGGACGGTTTCCATGGATCATGGAGCTGTATGCCGAGAACTTGCTGCCCCTCATCCACCGCATCCTGCTCCGGTCTCTGCACAGGGTAGCGGATGAGGCGCGACCGGTGCCTTGTTCGGAGAGCCTGGCAGAATGCCCGCCTAAGAAGGTGGCCGACGCCGACCAGAGCGGCATGCCCAAGGGCAGCGTCAAGCGGAGCGAGCTTCCGACGCGACGACCTTTCCGATGGCCCTTTGCCGATAAGCTCGACGTGTCAGACGGCCAGGCATACCGGTTCTACTTTGACGAGTGGACGGACAACGTGCCGGTGTGCCAGTCGGTGGACGACGTGTTCACGCTCTGCAACACGTTCCTGGGGGTGTCGGGCGTGTGCATTGGCCAGGACCCGGAGCTGCTCAGCACGATATCGGCGATTGGGGTGAAGAGCCTGCACGACGACGCGTCGGCGGCCAACCGGCAGCGCTGGCACGACCTGCTGAAACGGCTGCTGGTGCCGGCGCTGAGCCTGATTCCGGAGAACCCGTCGTGCGTGGACGCGGTCTGGCAGGTGCTTCGAAACTACCCGCTGCGGGTGCGCTACGAGCTGTACACGGAGTGGTACGAAGGGCCGACGTCGCGGCTGCCGGCAATCAAGAAGGCATTTGACCGGATCCGGCGCGAAACGATGGGGATTATGCGGCGGATAGCCAAGGACAACAAGTCGGTCATGGGGCGGGCGCTGGCCAAGACGGCGCTGGCATCACCGGGCATCGTGTTCAAGGTGGCACTCGGACAGCTGGAGGCGTACGACAACATTATCGACGTGTTCGTGTCGTGCGCGCGATACTTTACGGATCTGGGCTACGACGTGCTGGTGTGGTCGCTGATGAGCTCGCTCGGCGGCAAGCAGCGCAGCCGGACACAGGAGACGTCGGTGCTGCTGACGTCCAAGTGGCTGCAGGCGCTCTCGCGCTTCTCGGGCCAGGTGTTTTCATCGTACGCCAACATGGACGTGGGACCGGTGGTGCAGTACGTGAACGCCCAGCTGTTCCGCGGCAACTCGACAGACCTGATCATCCTCAAGGAGCTGATCCTGTCAATGGGCGGGCTCGTGTCGGACAGCGACTTTACGGACGCGCAGATCCAGGCGATGACGGGCGGCCCGGCGCTGCGACGGCTCACGCTGATCGGCCTCGGCGACCGGCGGTACAAATCGCAGGTGAGCGCGCAGCGGCTGATGAAGGCGCTGGTGGACACCAGGCTGGCCGGACGGCTGCTCATCAACCTAGCGCAGTACCGGCAGTCGGCCATCTATGCGGAGGAGGAGAAGGGGGCGCACATCAAGTTTCTAGCCACGATGGTGGACGACACGCATCAGGTGTTGGTGCAGTACCTGGATCTGCTTCGCAGCAACCTGGGGCGAGAGCAGTTTGACGCTCTGGTGCCGAGCATACCGCAGCTGATGCAGGACTTTGGGCTCGAAGCCGGCCTGGCCTTTATGATCGGGCGGGCCGGACTGGACTTTCACGGAGCGATTGCGGCGGCGGAGACGGGTGGCGGTAGCGGTGACGGCGATGTGGCGATGAAGACGGACGACGACAGCGAGGATGGCGAGGAGAAGACGGACAGCGACAAGGCGGACGAACAGCCGTCTTCCGAGTCGACGCGCGGGCGACCGCTCTCTTCGCTGCAGCCTCTGGCAGACGCTGTCGGGGAGACGCTATCGGAACAGGCGCGAAAGCACATCAGCGCGGAGTTCTATTTTACGTTCTGGGCGCTGGAGGTGGGCGACCTGGCAGTGCCGGTGAGTCGGTACGATGCGGAGGACGAGCGGCTGCGCAAGGAGAGCACGGCACTCAAGACGACACGGCATGCGGACAACTCGCGGGCGGGCCAGATGCGGCGCAACGACGAGGCGGAGGCGCTGCTGAAGAACCGGCAGGGGTTTGTGGCGGAGCGGCTGACGCTGTCGACGCGGAACCGTGACACGAAGAAGCGGCTGCAGGCACAGGCGCAGTCGTGGCTGCACCAGCAGGGTGGCATGGCGACAGAGGCGACAGCAATGTCGGATGTGTTGCTGGAGACGTGTCTGGTGCCACGGCTGCTGCTCTCGGCCGCGGACACGGAATACTGCTTCCGGTTCGTCAAGTTTCTGCACGAGAGCCGGACGGCCAACTTCCAGCTGTCGGCGCTGTACGGCCGGCTCTTCTCGGCGAACCGGCTGCGAGACCTCATCTTCACGTGCACGGTGCGTGAGGCCGAGCAGCTGGGCCGGTTCCTACGGCTGGTGCTGGGCGAGCTGGCGCGGTGGCACGGCGACAAGGGCACGTACGAGCGCGAGGGGCTCGGGCAGGCTGAGGGGGGCCGACGGCGGCTGCTGGGGTTCGCCAAGGAGGTGGAGGCAGAAGCGGACCAGGCAGACCAGGCGGACAAGACGGACAAGACGGACAAGACGGAGGCGTTTGTGGAGCACGCCGAGTTCCGGGACCTTCTCTATGGATGGCATAAGAACCTAAATATGGCGCTGAAGGACTGTCTGGAGGACCTGGAGTGGATGCACATCCGCAATGCGATCACGGTGCTCAAGGCGGTCATGGACATCTTTCCGGCGGTGGACTTTATGGGGCGGCAGTTCTCGGAGCAGCTCAAGCGGATTGCGGCACGCGAGGCAGCGTCGAAGACGGCGTCGGAGTCGTCGAGCGGACACCGGGTGGACCTATCGGTGGCGGCGCAGACGATCTACTCGGAGCTGATGCGGCGCAAGACGAAGTGGGTGCTGGTGCAGGCGTTTCGGTCGAACGCGTCGTCCAAGCTGTCAGCCGAAGAAGCCAAGGCAGCAGCGGAAGCGGAAGCGCAGCCTTCAGCAGCTCTTCGAGCAGATGCGCCCGAGTTCAAGCCGCAGCAGCGAGCCGGAAAGACGGAAGGGACGACGGCCGACGTGGAGGACGGCGAGCTCAAGGACGGGCCGAGTGGCCGGGCGAGCGGCGGCAGCAGCAGCAGTACGAGCAAGGCGAACGGAACAGGCCCATCGGCAGCAGCGAGAAACAGCAGCAACACGACGGTGCCATTGACAACGCCATTGGGGCCGCGATCGACCATCAGCCGACTACAGGCGAGCAACGCACAGCAACAACAACAACAACAACAACACCAGCAGCAGCAGCAGTCAAAGCAGCAGTCGATGTTGACGTCGCTACCGCACTCGCACAGCCTTCCGAACCGGCCAGACGTGCCGGTGCCGGGACGATACGCGACAGACCGGTTTGGGCAGCTGCGCAACCAGGCAGATGGCAGCAGCGGTGGAGGCGATGGCAGCAGCGCGAGCACGACAGCAGCGGCTAGCGGCAACAACAACAGCAGCAGCAGCAGCAGCGGCGGTGGACGGGAGCCGCGAGGACCACGAGAGTCGCGAGACGCTCGAGATCTGCGCGATCCCCGAGACGGACGAGACTTCCGGACGCCAGAGCATGTGCGCACGGCTCGAGGCAGTGATGCGGGGAGTCGACACGGCGACCGCGAGTGGAATGGACGGGTGGACAATACGCCGACACGTTTTGGCGGCGGCCAGCAGCACGGAAGTCTACGCGAGCGGTCGACGGCGACGAACCGATCAACACAAGCAGCGGGATCGACGGCCGAGGTGACAGCAGCGACAGCAACAGCAGCAGCGACAGCTGATGGGCCAGCGAAAAAGGCAGGCGATGCGGCCGAGGTGGCGATCAACCCGGAGCGAGCCCTACGAATTACAGTAGGAGGAGGAGGAGGAGGAGGAGCAGAGTCTGACCGGACGTCGGTGCATAGCGACACGCGCAACTCGCAAGATCGGGGGCCGAGCAGCCGGACGGAATCGCCACGGCCAAATGGACCGATACGGGAGCGAGAGAGCCGAGAGAACCGAGAGCGAGAACGAGATGAGCGGCACTCGTCGTCGCGAACGTCTCACTACGGACAGAGCGGACGAGAGGCTGTTGCAACCGGGCATTTGCCACCGCCCCAGATCCGGGACCGGGACATGGAGCGGGGCGGCCGGAGCGGCGGACGAGGCGATCGGGGCGATCGAATGGGACTGGGAATGGGAATGGGGATGGGAATGGGCGACCGGATCGATCGGAGTGACCGTGGCCGCAACGGCGGTCATGCACACCAGCAGGACCTCAGCTACGGTCGACTCAATGCGATCCCATCGGTCGTGGACGGGTCGTCGTCGTTTCCATCGGGACCTCGGGGTGGCCGAGGACGCGATGGTGGACGTGACAGCAGCAGCCGCAGTTCGCTCGGAGGCGGAGCGCCGACATTGCCGACGACGACGACGACGACGACACTCAACCTCCACAGCAGTTTTGGTAGTGACCGGCCTCCGTCACCCGATACGCGGCACCAGGGAGGAGGAGTTCCGATGGGACCGGCACGACCATCAAGACGAGGTGGCAGCATGGGTGGTGGTGGTGGTGGCAACAATATGGGCAGCATGGGAAGCATGGGCGCGCCAGGACCGTCTACTTCAGTCAACGCGACACCAGTCAGCGGTGACCGGATGCGTCATCTGGCCTCATCGCGAGGCCCGTCGCCAGCACCATCGCCATCGCCAGCAGGTGCGCCAACGGGTCCGAGTGGCGGTGGAGGTGGAGGCGGAGGCGAGATGAATCCGTCCACACCGACGGGCGACCGACAACAGCGGATGCGCGGCAGCGAACGAGGCAGCGAGCGCGGCAGCAGTGGAAGCGGTGGAGGAGGAGGTGGTGGTGGTGGAGGTGAGCGAGACCACCGGCTGATGAAGGGCATCCAAGAGACGATTTCGAGCGGCAGTGGAAATGCAAACAGCGGAAATGCGAGCACAGACCACAACAGCAACAGCAACAGCAACAGCCGTCGCGGTCACCACCATCTAGCCAACTCGGACGCCCAGGTGCTGACGGGTGGTGGCAGCAGCAGCGGTCGAGCCGACAAGGGCAGCGACCGAGGTGATCGAGGTGATCGAGGTGATCGAGGCGAAAGGGGCAGCAGTGACCGTCTTGGGCGGTCGTCACGTCGCAGCAGCCGCAGTCCGGGTCGGTGGAACAATAACGCGAGCAACAGCAGCAACAGCAATCTCGGCAGTGCTGACATAAGCAAACCGGGTGGCAGCCACCGCGACTATCGCGACTACCGCGAGCGAGACCACAACCCATCCCGACCGCAGCTGCCCCTCCCACCACCGCCACCCGGACCGGTCGGAGCAGGGTCGAGTGCTGGTGTCTCTTCGGGCCCGTCCGGACTACCGACACAGCCGGCGGCCCTGAACCGACGCATGGGCAGCCGAGAGTCGTTTGGCTACGGAGGAGGACCAGGCGGGCCAGGCGGGCCAGGCGGTCCAGGCGGAGGATCAGGAGGGCTGGGAGGACCGGGAGGACCGGGAGGCGGCGGATACGGATCGTCGATGCGCGGTGACCCCAACCGCGAACCCATGGGCCCCGGAAGAGACGTCCGTCGGAGCGGCGGCCCCAACATGAACAGCACCAACGGCAGCAGCAGCGGCTCCGATTTCCGGCGCGACCGTGATGATCGCGCACGCAACAAACGCCGCAGCGCTGACAGCGGCGGGCTGGGGCCGCTGGCTAGCGATCGGGACAAGAAGATGAGGCGATAAGGCGATGAGGCGGCGAGGTGCTCAGAGCTAGAGAAAAGTCACGTGCTAATACCTATGTATCTCCTATTTCCATTGAGTTTGTACAACAGAATCTGAATCTGACAATCGACCCGCTGCATCGACCCGTGAATACATACAACTATCTCGCTGCTGGCACAGCCTCTACAATACAATACAGTACATACGTCCCTCCACACAGCTGGTATATCAGTCTCCCAAAATGCCGGCCCATGGCGAGTAGATCAAACGCCATCACGCCCTTCTAGATCCCAGTAACCAATACACGCAGCCACGACACAAATCATGTCATCACGTCATTACAACCAACCCGGCACCCGTCCGCCACCTCACCTGGCCTCTCCCCATCGCATTCCGGGCGGCGGCGAGTCGTCGGCCTGTCCTCCTCTTGCCTGACTCCCTCTCCGCCCAGAAGACCCTTGACTGTAGCCTCCCCGGCTGTAGCCCCCGGCTACCTGGCCGCCCTGGTTGTGGCCTCCCCGCCCAAAGCCACCCTGGTTGTAGCCTCCCCGCCCATAGCCTCCCCGGTTGTAGCCGCTCGGTGCATATCCGTCCTGGTAGTAGCCCCCCTGCTCAAGCTCTTCCTCGTACACCACATCCCGATACACCGCCTCTCTCATCCCCCCTTGCCGTGCTTCTCCGTACCGCTCGGGGCTGCCCTCGGGCCCATGCGTTGACATCGGCTGTGCGTATGCGATCAGTCCTGCTGCCTCGTCGCTGAGCTGTCGCCGATTGCCTGGCGCCGTACCGTTCGGTCCGCTCCCTTCGCCCTCTCGGAGCACGCCTGAACTGCCGCTGCTGCTGCTGCTGCTGCCGCCTCTGTGCAGAGTGTTGAATCGGCTGTGCCGCAAAGACGTCGCGATCGGTAGTGGTTCTGTGCCCTTCATCGCAGCCAGGCCCGGGTGGTGGCCCGGGTGGTACGCCGTGTCGATTCCGCCTGCCATCACGCCGCCAGCTGCCACACGGACAGATCCCTGCTTGGCCCCGTTAAAGTGATCCGCCGACAGCTCGTCCATGTCCATCTCCGGCGTCTTGTACGGCGCCTGGTAGCTGACGTCGTCGCGCCGGTGTCGCACGCCCACAAACAGCCACCGGATCCCACGTCCAAACGCCTTGGCCACATCCCAGATGTTGAGGGCCTCGCCGATCGCCCGGAGGCCCATAAATCCACCACTGCGGGGCTGATGCAGATTCTGCTTCGGAATGGCGTACGACGCATCCGGGTCCGGCACCGGGTAAAACGTCGCAGGCGCCGAGTCCATGTACGGCCGGTACGGGAACGCCCACAGATGCAGAATCGAAAAGGCTGCCATCTCCACGCACAGAAGCATCGATGTGATGCCCACCTTGATGTCGGGGTACGCTATAATGTCCGACGCTTTCACAATGTTGTACGACGTCGCGAGCGAGATGATGGTCGACTGCCAGAACGAGAGGAAGATGACGAGCTTGATCGCAAGCACCTTGAGAAAGGGCGAGTGATCCGACAAGGCCGTGCGCAACTGCACGTAGAACTGAATCACGCAGTACATGGCGATGGTGACGGCAACCGAGTTGATCACGAGAATCTGTCACGGTTAGTCGGACCAGAAGAACACCTGGGACGGGGACGGAGGCCTACCCAGACATGGGCAAACACCGGATTGTTGGAGCTCTCGCAGTAGCGCCCATAGTATTGCGTCACGACCGCCGTCACCGTCATCGCTACCCGGATAAAACAGTAGTGGTAGATGCCGATCCAGATGATGTTGAACCAAGTCAGGCCGCTGATCGGAGTGCGCCACGGCCCGCGCTCGCCACCGCAGAACTTCTTGAAGTAGGTCACCGGCATGACCCACTCCTTGATCGGTCGCATCTGGCGAAAAAAGTTCTTTTGCTCGTGGAGGTCGACATCGATGTAGGCGCAGAGCAGCGCGAAGAAGGACGAGATCGCAAACGCCTCGTAGCAGTCGCTGATCACCTGGAAGTATATGGCGTTCCAGTAGTAGTGGAGAGACAGCAACGAAGACGCCGCGTATACAGGGACCATGAAGAGGATCCGGATGATGCTAGAAACAACCGAGGAACGTCAGTGAAAGAGCACGCCGACACGGGACAACAAGGACGAGGGCGGGCTCACTGCTTCTGCTCAGCCGGCTTGGTGTAGTGCCGGGCATGCTGGAAGATCAGGAGCGTGCTCATAGCAATCGCGATCGCCGTGCATGCCGCAGAGATAACCTCGGCAAGGGTGTGGAAGGTGAACGGGCCAGCGATCTTGATCTCGGACGTCGGCAGGACTGTTGGTCAGCAAACAAAACCACTGCGCCCAGGGAGAGGAAAGGAGGGAGGGAGCCTACTCCGAAGGTCGTCCAACGTCGAATTGCACGTTAAATTCATGGTGACGGCAGCTCCAGTCCCCAGGCGAACACGGCGTGTCCTGGTTGCCGCAGACTGCTCGGGCGAAGCTGGAGAGAGTGAGTTTCGGGTATGCTGTCGTTGTCGTCGTGCTCTTTCGTTCTCGGGTTTCCCTTTTCTTGGAGGGTGAAGTTGAGATCGGAGTCAAATCGACGCGTGAAGGGAGGTCAGGTTCGCGAGAAGTCAGGTGGGATTCGCGCAAGGGAGTTTGCAGCTGAATGTCGTCGAAACAGTCAGTCGGCCCCTTTTTGGACTTGTCAAAGGTCCTGGTCTGAAACGAGATCTCGCTGGGCGCGACAGAGAGGATTTTTAGGCGGATGGGCCGGGTGACAAAAAGAAGGGGCTCGGATGTTAGGTGTTACGGCCGGCTGCCGGGAAAGAACGACCAGCGAATGTCGCACCGGAGAATGGGAATGTTACAAAGAAAATGCTAGAGGAAGGAACGGTAGAAAGAGAGAAACGGGGGGGGGGAAAGAGAATGCGATCCAAACAGGGAGGGCGCGCGGGGCGAGAGGACAAAAGAGCGACGTGCAAGCACAAAGTACGACTCGTACACGCAAGCGGCAATGTGGCTTCGTTCAAGGAGAGATTGGAGAGGCCGCTCTGCCAGAGAGACAACCGCCAACGGCCACACACTTCAACCTACTCGTACGGAATACTGTGTACGGAGTACTGCGACTCGTATACGAGATCGGCCGACTCGCTCGTTGCTTCCTTCCTGGGCTACAACACGTTTTCGCTGCTTACGTGCCCGCAATCCGCCCGAATTTGCAAGGGCGTTCGGACAGCACCTTTGCTTTTCTCCTCCGCCAAGGCCGGTAGCGTGAGGCTGGGCCCGCAAGCCAATTTCTTCCTTGCTTTGTCAGCAAGGGGAAAGGGGCTTGTCATCGCAAGAGGCTTACGGAGTACGATACACCAACCGGCTGCGCCTCTCTAGCCAGATGCCCCACGTTTCAGGATCGGAGATGCCTTGCTCGATGCCAAATCATCCTCGCCAGGTCTCCCGGGCGGTTAGCAGAATGCGAGCCTACGTGCCAACTCCGAAGGCCCAGCTCATTACCGCTGCAGACGGCCGTATTGGAGATACGAGGTCACACTGTCCCGTTCCCGTCCACATCCTTCAACACGGCATAAATGCGCATGCATTCTGTACGGGGGAAATCCAACAGCCCGAATAACACCCAGGACACTCCACCAATCTCGCAGTCTTGGACGCGCGTAGGTACCCACCTCTCTACGAACACGGCACTATATAATTACGTGACAACCCTGGGACCTACTGCACAATGCTCGTACGAACCTGCCGCAAGTACTCCGTACGCGTAACATTGTGCCGCTGAAATGAGAAGGAAGAAAGACCGGCGCGCAGATAGAAAGCAATCTGATGGTGTGCTCCATACGCGTTGCAGTGCCGGTGTATTTCCACTTGTAGATTAATCACCTTTTGTTTTTTCTGCATATCTTTTCTCCCTGCCAAGCACCTACTATGTATGCACATAGCAAGACAATGCAGTAAAACCATACTAGCTTGTCCGAAGAGCGCGTCCTTTCCTACATGGCACATGTAACATCGGCCTGTCTAATTTTAAAGTGGCCAAAGCAAGAGCCCATTAAACTGGACCTATGACATCAATATACGGAGTACTCCCTACGACAGCCCGAAACCCTTCCAACACCGAGTTCGGCACATGGCAAGTCGTCTTAGATACTGATCGATACCACGGAAGCATCCATGACAAGCCTTGGCAAAATAAATTATACAGTGCTTTTATTCCAACGCTCAAATATCCACTTGTAAAATGCACCGTAAGTTCGATCCAATTAGTTCCCGAAGAGGTTTTATCGGCTGCGCCCGTCAACACGGACAACGTTTGTTGTAGCCAAGTCATCCGCATTAATTATCCCACGTCGCGTGCTCCTTCACGCCGCCTTTTGCTGTCACCCTGTCCCAGTCTATCAGGGCAAAGTAAAAGCGAGCACGCATGGCCTCCGGCTCAGTCTGAGAAAGGCGATGAGATTGTGCAACCCTTCACAGTGAACCGATGTCGTTCTTTCCATCATATTCGAAAAATTTGTCCCGAACAGGGTAAAGACCGTATTATTCGCATGGTAGCGATAAAAAGCGTGCCAAAATCATGGCCTGGGCCCATCCCTTGGGCCCGTCCCTATTCCAGAGGACGAAGCATCCTGGAATTGGTCGTCGTCCTCTTCTAATGTCGCCGACTCTCCGGCTGTTGTTTCTGCATGGTGTCCTCGCAATGATTCCCGCCCAAAACTCCGATTTCCTGGTATCTCGGAAAAATGCATAATGAAAATTTCCCACAAATGAATAACCCTCATTGTTGAACAGGTAGTGTATAGTGATAGAACCGAATATGGCGAGGATTTTCGTGTGCGTCATCAAACCCATGATCCATATCTGTAGGACCAAAAGTGCTCCAAGACGTGTTACGTCGAGCGTACTTTATTCGTCGTCTGGGTCTGGGTTCGTTGCACGCAGCACTTTGTTCGGCTGGTGAACCCGCCTCGAGTAATCGTGGTCATCGCGCAAAGAGTTGACGCTATCTCGGCTCTTGTTGTCGGTGCGGGAGTATATATCCGTGAAACCAGGGTCGATACGCGGGTCAATCGGCATTAACGTGCTGCGGCGCCGGCCAGACTGGTCGCTCTCCCAGCTTCCGTCGGCGCCATGGCGTGCGAACGATGCCGCACCGACTGCCTCTGCTACATTGAGGCCGTTCATGGTGCCAGGCGACGTGCCGCGAGTCGAAGGAGAATTGGTGGCAGCGAATAGGGCCTCATCCTTCTCGCTCTGCTGTCGCTTGCGGCGCCACAGCAAGAATGCTATTGCGGCAACCAAGACCACACCGACAACCACACCAATGGCAATCCCAACAGCGGCTCCCGTGCTGACGCTCTTGTGCTTCTTGGTGGTCACTGCAGCAGAAACCTGACTCGATGCCGAACTAGGCGTCACGGTGACAGTCAGGACAACACCACCAGTGGTCACGGTCTGCACTGTCGGAGTCTGGGTTTTCGTAGGAGTTTCCGTCGTTTTTTGCTGTTGAAGAGGTTAGCAAACAGCAAGACCAAAACAAAGCTTCGCACGCAAATGACCATCGCCATTTCGACTGGAACGCAGCAGAAACTGCCGTCACATGGTCACATATGTCACATATCACGTTTCAATGTGCCAAAGCCCCTATCCTTGTGCCAAGCCGACAAATAGACATGTCAAGTCACGATGATCATCAATAATAAAGCCAAGCAACAACAAAAAGCATAAATCAAGGCGAGATAAATGCAGAACAGAAGGGAAAGTTGCGAGCCGTACACTACTAGTGGACGTTGAAAATGTTGAAGATGTGGACGATGACGACGTTGTTGGTGTTATCGGTTCGGCGCTTATAATAACAGTCGTCGTGACAGGTGCGATCTGGTTGTATTCCAACGTTGTTCAGCAACTGCGCTATACCCTCAAAATATCTCACCGGAAGAGGAATAAAGCACAGGCTTAGTGGCGGCTAGCAACATATGCAAAATGGCGGCATGCAGGCATGGGAGGCTGGCACGAGGGCAGATAGGATAGGAGCTGCTACTGGCACGAAGACAACGGAGATGCGACGTTCTCGTCGATAGATCACCGGTACTGCTCGCTGATTAACACATTAGAACTTACCGAGGTTGTAGAGGATGTAGTAGCGGTAGTGGTCGGAGTGGTAGACGTCGACGTAGATGTGGACGTGGTGGATGCTTTGGTAGAAGCTGCCGCTGATGATGATGCGCCTTTCGTACCGGACGGGCTCTGGTCACCAGACATGTAGCCGTACAGGCCAGTGCCGCCACAGGTGTCGGACGGATAGCCTGGACAAGCAATGTCGCATTCGTCCGTGTCCACCTGGTCACTGGAGGCGGGTGTATAGTCAGAGCACCAGCAGTTCTCCCCATGCACGATGGCATATGCATAACTGCTCTCGCAGAGATTCAAACATAGCCCGTCAGATTGGTATATGCTGCTGTCTATGAGAGGGCGACGAGTCAGAATAGCTACACAACAGTTAGGCCTCCGAGAATCGCAGTGACGTACTGGCACTTGTTGATGCGGTATTGATGCTCGCACAATACACTATTGGCACCGAGCTGCCAAGGGCTCTTGGGATCAATGCTGACGCGAGCAGCAGCCCGCAGACGCCGGCACGCCTGTTGAACAAGGACATTGCGGTGATACGTCTGCTGTCGAGAATTACGAGCAGGCGGTTTCGATAGATAGAGCGAACTGGGCGAAGAGGAGACTAGACTCGAAAGCCGGAAGCAGCCAATGCCATTGCAGACTGTTTGATCCTGTTCTCTGTCGGTCTGTTTGTCGGGGGGGTCGTCGTGTCCGCTGGGTAGTCCGAGGGCGGTGTGATCGTCTTATCGTCGGGTGTGTCGAGGAATGAGAGATTTCGAGATAGATAAACAAAGGCAAGTAAATGCTTTGAATATTTGGGAGAAAGTACAAGGGAAAGGTAAATCGCAAGGAAGGCTAGTGCTGTGTTCTGGGCCAAACGAATGGGGAAGGAGCCACAAATGACGAACAAATGATATGGCTGAATGCTGAGGCGATCGCGAAAACCTAGGCAAGAAGAAGAAGAGGAGGTGAAAGCGAGAGACAGGGAAGCAAAAGTGTTTATAACAGATGCGAGCAAGGGGTGGGATTAGCGGAAAGGGAGAGAGGTATTGTGGGCTGCCGAAGCAGGAAGCGAAAGAGGGCTAAGGACAAGACCGATGATTATCCACACTGGTGGAATGTAAAAACGACAGGGGTGCAGCGACACGGGAAGTTTGTTTTTTTGCATCCTACGCGTGTATCTTTCTTTTTTCTGCCTGCTTCCCCTGACCGTTCTGCCAAATTGTTTTGTTTTGATTCATTTGTCTGTTCTCGCGAGCCCCTGACAGGCGAGGATGGAGTAGAAAGAGGAGGTGAAAGCATAGGCAAGCAGCAGAAAGACGTCGTAAACCCAGTGTCTTGGGTTGTGTCTCGAGCCCAGGTGGTGAAAACGGAAGCGCCGTAAGATACTCCGTAATAGCACTCAGACACAACGGAGACGGTGACCCAATCAGCGGCACCAGGTTCCGTCCACTCCCACCCCTGCTGCTGTCGACAGAGGGAAAGTGCACTGACCAGCTCGAGCCCATCGACACCGAAAGCAAGCCCGCACCAGACGCTACTATGCTCGTAGGCGAGCAAAACAGGGCGACAAGCCATTACCCCTCCCTTCCCCCTTCCGGGTCATTTCCTGCGCTGAGCCCGATTGGCAGTGCTCTGAAGATATCTTACGTGTGCTGTGTACTCGTAATGGGACAGGGAAAGAGCGACACGACGTGGACATGCGCGCGAGTGGCCGAGAAAGTGCGTGACCTCGACGGATGGCCTCATACGTCTCCCCAGTTGCAGCTGTTCTCCAATGCTATCGTTTCTTTGGCCATCTGCTTCGTGTACTATGTACGACGCCTCTGGCCCGGCCGTTCTGGCAGTAGGTCGGCACCGCCGTACCGCTGTGTTCCCTGGATCGCCGACCAGCTATGTATCTTACATATCCAGACCACGGAGCAATTGCGCGAACGGGCTAGCTCTTGGCGATGTGGGTTCTCTAGTTTTTAGATACACAAAAGCTCAACTCTTTCTCCAGGTGGCTACCTGCTCAGCTGAAAAGTCCCACCCCAGTTGCTCCGTGCGATCAGCCCGTCAGGACGGGGTTTGACCGAATTTTTCTTTATTCCGTATTAAAGCCCGCCAGCTGTTCGGCAAAAATAAAGGGGGAGTTGTTTCAAGAGAACTCCGTACGAGACAGTACGGAGCTGGAGACGGTACATAGTACGAGTATTTAAGATGCAAAGGGGCACGCAAACCAGTTTCGGTGAGTGCTGCAGAGGGTGCCAATTGACTTGTGCCATTGGTTTCATGCTGATAGCTGACGAGCCATATCGCCAACGCGCCTTCTGTAGCGCTTGCAGCACAAATAGTTGTGCCATGCAGCAGCATCTCGTTCTGATCAGTCCGTTTTTCGTGCCGGGCGGAGCTATTCGCCTACGGACCCATGCAATCTCCAGCCAAGGGTGGGTGGGGCAGGCTGTGTCCTACCTATCTTACGCCGACAAAAGGAGGCCAGAGGGGTAAAAAATGGAAAGAAGGAAAGAATCCGGATTTCTTGATAATGCGAACGAAAGGACAAGGACGGGAGAGTTTGGTTCGGATGACAGCCCTAGGATACATTCTAGGAACTTCTTTGTCCACGCCAGACACATAGGCTGGGCCCGTTTTCGTATGGCCACGTATCGTATAGGATCTTACGTACAAGCTGGCAACGTGCTCGTCATACGACACCGTTGGCGCGGCTGTGGATTTAGTGCTGGATGTGGCCTAAGGAGGATGAGGGCTTTCTTGCCGCCAGATTCGCTCACCGTTTGCCCCAGCCAACGGCACCCAGCCTCTCTGTTTTCATCTCTCTGCTTCGATTGGTGATCTTCCTGTTTGTGATTCTGCCCAACTACTGCCGCGCGGGAACATTGGCAGTGGGCCCAAGGGGCCTAAGACCCATGCCAAGGCAAGTATGGGGGGGTCATGCACAGGTGCATGCTCCGTCGCAAGATACGAGAGCGTCCTGCTCGTAGAAGCGTTGGTGTCGCTTCCTCTCGCTCTGCATGTGGAGCAGATCTGTTCCATATGCGGCCACAGCGTTCTCGCGTCGTATTGGATGTCAGATACAAGTACGATGTAGGTCAGCCACACTCAATGCACTCTGCTATCTGGCTCCGTAGTCCTGCCGCAATGCGCCTCCGTCATTTCCGTCACTCGTCGCGGTCTCGTGTCTGTGGCACCGGACATAGAGCCGATCCTCACAAATGCGCCAGCATCCTTCCCGGGTGAGGCTGTCGTCTCATAAAAGTCCGTTCCATGCAGTTCCAGATGCTCTGATCAAAACATGGCAGTGGTCCGGCTTCTTTCTCCACTCCATGAACCAACGCGCAGCTGTTTTTCACGCTGGCTGTGGGGTGGAATGCTTTGGTGGGACGCCCAGGACCTACGCAGTACTGTACGGGGTCCTCGTAATTATACGGGATGGGGACGCAGTACTTTTTATTAGCCTGGTGCCTCGAGAGGCGAACCGGCAATCTGGCCCAGACGTGAGCTATGTATGCAGAGGGAAAAGATGGTGCGCACCAGGAGATAAGGGGAGAGACAAGAAAGAAAAACAAAGAAAATGAGAATAATGAAGAAGTACAACAGGGAGGCGAAAAGATAGGAAAGGATAAAAAAAGAAACGCAATGTGCCTTTGGCGGGGTAGCAATGCAGCTTCAAAAAAGTATGCATACGTTGCGCCGTCACAGCCATCAGAACGATCCCTCCCTTAGAATTCGTATCCGCGATGCTGTGACCTGCTAGTACCGGTAGCTTCGTATATACGGCATCGCAACACATGATGCGCCAGCGTTAGCACCAATGCAGGCCAACAACCGGCATTGGAGACAAGACATGTAACGTATGTTTTTGGGTCGTCGACCCTTCCGGAATCGACGATGCCGGAAGCCATGAGCCCAGCTGTGCGTCTGGTGTCCGTTACGAACGGCGAGCGGGTTGGATAGGACCTGGCAGGGACGATTCAAGCCGGGACTGGGCCCAAACTTCAGACGGAAACGGAAGAGAAAAAGAAAAAAATGGCCTCCAGATCAAGGATGGGCCGCCAACATGAGTCAAGCTGGAGGCTTACTTTCATTGAGACATCCGCCCAGAAGAAGCATTTGTCTACGAGTAATAGTACTATATACGGAGTACGATACGAGCTTGCTGTCTGGCCCGGTGCGCCAACCTTTGTTCCCTCGATGACGCTGACTGTAGCACGAGAGCGGTCAAGGACGGGTGTCCACAACAGATGCTGCCGCAGCGTCGGCTTTCGTGAACTGAGCCCCAGATCACGCATTTGCCGCATGACTGGCAGGCGACCAGATGAGTCGGGCTGTGCGGTAGCCCCCTGTCGCCTTCTGCATCACGGCCTTGTGCCCTCTGCCCTCGCCCTCGCTCTCGCTCTTTGAAGACGAAAAGCCAGCCGGCCACTTTTGTCTTGCCAATCATCCCTTGCATCGCGTGGGTAATGGCACTGTGCCGCATTTTATCGCCAAGGCTTGGGATCAACTGCCGTGCGCCCGGATAGCCAGCGCAAAGTGATGCAATTCAATTTCCAAAAATCATGGAAAATCCGGGGGTCTTTCCAACTGCTCCGCCAACTACCCGACACCATCGTCGTCTACGGAGCAAGTACGACGTATCTTACGTCAAGTCTGCTCCTCTTTTTGGCCCCCCTTCCACCCCGAAAGTGCAGGTCTACAGATTTAAGGTGATTTCGCCAACAATGTGAAAATCCCGCTTGCACGTACAACCTTGGGTCCCTTCACCAGAAGTTTTTGCGTGCCATCCCGCAAAAGGCCAGAAGATACGGAAAAGGACCCGCGCCGCTATCACGTCCTGTCCCCGTGACTTGTCAGCTGCCGCTGGTCAGCTCATACAATTACTAATACCAGGGCAGGGCAGCCAATGAGGTTACCCGTGCTCCACACGTTCCTGCATAACCAACCGTGAAAGTCACTTGACTTGCACGTCTCTGTATCCATAGTCTCCTGAATCGAACCGGACCTCACGGCTAATATGGTGCTCCTGCCACGCAAAATGTCCTCCTTCCTGCCTCGGTGAAAGCGTGTCATCTTCCTTGTTCACTCTCTTTTCCCTCTTAATCACAGCAATGGCCTCCTCGTCATGCCAACACCGCTATGTCGCCCACCGATCCTGTGGTCGGTGTCTACTGATCTCCATACCGCCGCTTTTCGTCATATTTGCCTTCTCCCTTCTCTTCCTCGGTAGCAGACTGTGGGGTGAATGGCCGGCGTACGCGAACTTTCACCTATTATCGCTACCGCCCTTTAATTCCTCTTCGTCATACCTGTCTGAGACTACCTCCAAGACCCACTCTTCGCCCTACTCCTTTGACATTGAGGCTTCTTCGCACCCAGACTGGATGTCCGGTGCCCCGGACGACTGGTCACTCGCCCTGCTTTCCCTCCCGGGGACGCATGACACGCTCACACATCGTGTCCACAGCGAGTGGTATCAGTGCCAGAACAGCGCCCTGGCTACCCAGCTGCGCGCCGGTGTCCGCTATCTGGACGTGCGGGCGCGTGTGCAGATCCCCCCGTCGCCATCGAAAAGGGGAGAGGGCGAGCCGTGGCCGCTAGGCATCTACCATGGCGACGCGTACACGGGATATGGGTTTGCAGAGGTGGTGTCGACAGTGTTTGCGTTCCTCGACGCCAATCCGTCCGAGATCGTAGTGCTGCGGCTCAAGGAAGAGGCTAAGCCGATCGTTGGCAGCGTGGGTGATCCACCGGGAGTGCGGCCGACGACGTCGTCAACTTCCGGAAACAGCAGCACCAGCTCCCCGGATTGGTGGCAGCAATTCAACAACAGTGCGCAGACACAGCCATCCCTGTTTGAGGCGTCCTTCAACCGGTATCGGCTGAACGATTCCCGCACGGCTTCGGGATTCTCGGATCATCTGTATCGTTTCCCGTCTGATGACGGCACGGGCTCCTTGCCGCCTACTCGTATCCCTACGGTGGGCGAGCTGCGCGGCAAGGTCCTGCTGCTGCAAGAGTTTCCGAACTTCAAGGCGGCGTCGCATGTGCCGACATACTTTGGCATCCCGTGGCAGCTGTCATCGGCACTGCTGCAGGTGGAGGACCTGTGGCAGATTGCCGACATGGCACATCTAGAGAAGAAGTGGTCGGCAATCCGAGAGAACCTGCAAGCGGCTGGGAAGGCAGCCGACGATGACAGCAAGTCCATGCCGCTGTTCCTGTCGCATCTCAGTGCCAGCGTCGGGGTCACACCGATCAATGCCGCGGCCGGACATGGGTCAGTGGTCGGCATGAATGACCGCACAGGTCAGTGGGTGGCTGCAAGTCACGACAAGGTTGATGAGGCCTCCAAAGATGATAAACAGCATCAGCCACCGGTGGGTATCGTGATTGCAGACTTTCCGGGTCACCGGCTGGTCGAAGCGGTGCTACAGCGCAACAATTTCACGCGCGAGCTGTTTTGAGCAGTCTGGTATGACCTGGTAACTCCTCCTTGTGATAAGTTCCCTGCATTGACCTGTATTATATATTAAGTGCATCATAAACCGCAATTGGTTGAGGGCGAGGGTAGACTAGAATTAGACAAGGGTATTTATTGTATTGAATTGTATTGGACATACTTTCGTCTGGTGTGATGTGAGAACTGGCTTGGCGTTCTAATGCCAGACGGTGAATGTGTAGATGTGAAGTGTGTCAAGGTAGGATACATGATTCTACTATTTCGGTCTAGGTCTGTGTGTCATAGCATCCATTTAGCTCACCATTACTTTTACAATCCCTAGACTTGTAATGAGAATTTGAGCCAGTTGTGCCTTCTTGATTTGTGAGCTTTGATGGACACACGTTCAGAAATTTAAGCTTCCACAGGTAGAAAGTCGCACTTGCCTTCAGCATATCTATTTTGGCCATATCGATACGGCAAGTTAAATATTATGCCTGTTTGAAAACGGAAGGAAACTGTTCCAGATCGACCAAAAAAACAATCCAGACGCTCGAGTATATACTCCTATACTTCGAAGCTGCCAAATTCAAAACCCCTAGGAGCAAAACTACTTAGACATACCCAGAATCGCTCAGCATGGCATTCATACAAAGGAAAAAATCCTAGACGCCAAAACCCCAGATCCCATTTCTCTTGTTGTTTCCTCTCTCGATTCCTCTTCCACTCAGAACCCCCCATTCAACCCATCAGTCCCGTATACTCTTGGAAGGTGACCCCGGCCTTGACCCCCCACACGAGCTCGAGCTCTCGATTTGATCAACCATGCCCATGACGAATCCAGCCGGCTTCAGCTTGAGGTCGACGGGGATGGCAGGATCAACGAGACTGGCAGCACTGCGTCGAGCCAGCCGATGTGCTGACGCGCGCGACTTGGGCCGCTCCAAGGGTGAAAGCGAGCCAGACGAGGCCTTCGCTGTGGGCGTGTGCAACGAAGAGGATGACTTCTTGGCCGAGAGTGCTGAAGCACTGGGCAATACCGTTGGATTTGACCGCAGAGGCTGCAACGGCTTCGGCACAGCAGATGAGTCAAGTGTTGGAGGCGGGATATCAGCAGCATCGATCCAGTCGACGTCGATGTCGTTGTTGATGCGGTCGATCGTGTTCCGCTTGAGGTCGCCGGCCTGAACACTGTCGGCTGGCTGCTTGCCCTTGGATTGACTACTTTCGCCAGCCTCTTGTTCGACAGTTTCCTTGTCCACTAACATCCAAGGCTCGAGCGTGCTCTCCGCCAGAAGCTGCCGCGATCTAGCCAGTGCTCCGTGCATCTGCTGCAGCTGCACATCCTGTGCACGGAGAATATCCTCTGCTGTCCTTGGCTGCTGCTGAGGTGGTGATGGCATGGGTGGCGGTGGAGTTGTCATGCCGCCAGGCTCGGCGACAGAATCATCCTTATCGTCGTCATCCTCGACCTCGGCGTTGACCACTCTCAGCTGCTCGTTTCGAGGCACCGTGAACATGACCTGCACCGACCGCATGCGTACGGCATTTTCCACGTCCCAGTCATCTGACTGGCCGCTGCCATCGCGTCGTCCTGCACCAACGCTCCCACTTGCCGGTACAACAGGCCCGGCAGCACGGACCGATCCACCTTTCGATACTGCAGGAGTCCTTGAAGACGCTTCTCCTGCGCTGTTTCCGGCACCTATCCCTGGCATGCTCACCACCCGTCGGCTCTGAGCTCGCCCGGTCAGACCGCCCACAGCCGTGGTTTCTTCATCTCGCATCTCGTCCGCCTCCCAGTCGAAGCGGCCCTGCTTACGTCGCAACAGCGTCGCATGGGCCCGATCGCGGACGTTGGCCAGTTGAGGTTGTGCGCTGCTGCTTTCCGAGAAGGCGTTTTGCTCATCGGCAAGTGCTGCTGCTGCCGCTGCTGCCGTGGCCGCACCACTGCCGCTGAGCATACGGAAGAAGCTGCCAAACATGCTCCGTCGGCCCTTGGACTTGCTTGGTGACCCTGTGAGCGCGCTGTTCTCGTCCTCATGCTCCTGGTATCCAGAGGTGAGCATGCCCGGTAGCAGCACGGCCGCGGCACCTCCATATTCGCCTGGACCGGGCGAAGGGACTGGGGCATAAGCCGTCTGAGGCGCTGCCAAATTGCCTGCTCCTCCACCTCCACCATGTGCCGTGCCGAAGAGCAGTCCAGGACCTTCCGTTCGCAGCGTCTGGAAGCCAGAGATGGCCGTGTTGTACGACTGTCCCGTGGTGTCACTAGTCCCCGAGCTGCTGCCACCTCGTTCATGGTCGTGTCGTCGCGAGTCAAGGGGACATACGAGGCGGCTGTTGCGGCTGTTGCAGCCGTTGCTGCTGCGGCAGCTTTGCCAATCCGAGACTGTGAGCTTCCCGTTCGTGACAGAAAACTGAACGCGCTGCGATCAGACAGGTTGCTGACTGTGCGAGCCTCATCATCGACCCCGACGGCCGGCCCAAGGAAACTGCCACGTGTTGGGCTGCTATTGTTACTGCGCGACTGGTGGCTCTGCCGGCGAACGGGTGACCAGCGGCCACGCTGTTGCGGAGGAGGACCGCTGCTTCCTGCCCCCCCAGCCGCTTGGCTCGGGGCTTGCAAGGTAGACGCGGCCAAGACACCGGCTCCCGGCACCGGCGGTGAAAACAACAGATCCTCGATTTCCAGCCCTGACACCCACTCCTGGACATCGCGATCCTGGCCGGCGACAGCGCCCCCGGTGTTCGCGCTGGTCCCCGTGGTCCCTCCTTGCCGCAACCGGCCTTCCGAACTTGGCGCGTTGTACGCAAATGGGTACAGCTGCACTGTGGTTCCAGTGCCACCAGTGCCCGTGGTACCGCCTGAGCCAGGCGTCGCAAACAGTCCTCGTGGGGCGGCCACCGGCGTCAGGAACGGATCCGACTGACTGGCCTCCTCCTCCGCCGTTTCCGGGCTGATGGAACGCCCCGATGGCGTTGTCGGGCGGCCTGCACCCACACTGAACAATGCAGCCGCAACAGCATTTCTGTGGTCTATGGCTGCCCCGTCATCCTCCTCCTCATCTGCCTCGTAGATGGGGTGAATGCTTCCCGGTCCGACAGCCACAACGGTAGAGGCACCAACACCACCATCACCACCATCACCACCATCACCACCACTACTGCTCCCAGCACTGCGTCCGCCGATGATGATGCTGTTCACCTGCTCATAGTCTGCAATGGTCGTCGGCTGGTAGAGGCCACGGGCTATCTGGCGGGTGGGCTTGCGGACGATGACCGCAGTGGCAATGGCCTCCTCCGCATACATGCCCTTCTCAGAAAAATCGGATTCGCTGCCGACCGATGCGCCAAGACGCGATGAACCGCGCATCGATTCGTACCCGAGCGATCGTCGAAAGTTGATATCACCACCTCCGCTACTACTACCACCACCACCACCACCACCACCACCACCGGGTACTGCATGGTACGGATCGTGCCCCCCCGTATAGCTCGCAGCCCAATGGGTGGGCAACGCGGCCTGCTCGCCGACCTCAAGCATTTCGTCGTGGCCTGCGAGAAACTGGTTGTGATCCTGCGCCAGCGTGTTGACGGCGTCTATGCGACGTCGTCGCTGCAGGTGCCTCCGCCAGAGGCTACGACAGCAACAGAAGAGCACTAGAAAGACCAGTGGCAGGCCCAGGCCGAGGCCAATGCCGAGGCCTATTTTCGCTGAAGTGGACGAAGTCGGGGAAGAGGACGAGGAGGAGGACGAAGTTGAGGATGAGGACGAAGATGAGGATGAGGACGTCGACGACGCTGCACTGGAATATGTTGGGTTGGTGTACTCCTCGGTCCACGCGAGGCTGGTCAGGTTGAAGAAGGACAGACTGCTACTGCCATCTCTTCGGACGAGCCTCGAAGAACTTCCCTCATTGCTGCTGCTGATGTTGTATCCGCCGTACACCATCATAACATTTCCAGGCAACAGCACGGCTCCGTGACCATACCTGCCACCCCCCGACGGCTGTGTCGACGGAACGGACCACTGCCAATTCTCATACGTGGCTCCCATATTCAGCACCGCCAGCTGGGGATCAGCCGCCTGGCCGACATCACCAACCCAGCCTCCCAGGATGACCAGTTTGCTGCCGTCCTCGCTCAGCACGGTAGTGTGTCCCGATCGACTGTCCGGCACTGTCGGCGACGACTGGCTGTCGGCTGCAATCGACACAAACGACCATGCCTCCTCAGGCATACTCCACAGCGCGGCTGTGCTCATGTTGACAAAAGCTGTTCGCGTGTGGCCGCCCAAGATGACAGCGCTAATCTCCTGCGTCATGATACCGGTCGAATGGTTTGCCAGCGAAGGGTCCAGTGCCGTCATTGTGAATCCAGCCTCTGCGATTGGCGGACCCTTGCTGGAGACGGGAGAAGCTGAGTAGGTATCGCTGCTGGCGCTGAGCTTCAACATCTGGTTCGAGTATGTCGCGTTGCCTTGCCAGTCCGTCGACGACGACGCATCCCGTGCCTCCACCTTTGGACACATGCCACCATACACATAAATGGACGGGTCCGACACTGTTGGCGCGACTTGCGATGAAAATGCCAGTCCGCCACCGAGGAACCACGGCGCCGAAAAGCTGGACACGCTGCTGAGACTGACGTTGGTACTCGCCCAGGTAGGCGAGTCGACGCTGGGGTCGATGGTCCAGGCAGATGAGCTACTGTTACCATCAGATGCACAGTCGCCGGTGAGGACCAAGATGGATCCGTCCGACAGCAGCCATGGCGTAAATGCCGTTGTGATGCTGGCCTGTCCACTGTCGGGCAGAAAGGGCACACCCTGTGTCACAGTCTTCAAGCCACTGCCGACCGAGGGTGCCTGCACTGTGGACGAGACGTTCAGCGCGAGCAGGTCGACCCTCCCAGTGCCGTCGGCGGAAAATATGTAGACGACACTGATATCCCGGACAGCCGACGAGGTGGTATCGCTTGCGCTGGGCATGAGCAGTGAGGTTGGCACATAGGGGAAGATGGACGGCGACGAGAATGTGGATGCGCCGACGAGAGCGGCGAGAGGCAGGGAGAAGAGGGCGAGAACGGCGGGCTGAGCTGCTGGTGGCCGTGTCCGTCGCCGTGCTCTCGTCTGTCCTCGGGTGGCTGCAGGGCTGTTGTCAAGCTGCCGCGGGCGCACAAGGACAGCCATGTGTTCGTCCGACAGCGAGGTGTCACGTCCTGACGGACGGGACCGTCTTTAAAGGCAGTGTGCAGAGAGCCGCGGGGAAGATCTGTCGAGGCTGTCGAGGTTCTCGAGGCTGTCGAAGCTGTCAGGATCGTCGGCTTTGTGAGAGAGGCAGCGATGCCAGCCCTTGCATGCTCTGTTGGCCACGTCAATGGAAGCTTGCCATGCCCATTTCATACAGACGAGGTTAGGGTCGAAGTGCTCGAGGCTTATCCTGTCTTTCTATCGTCTCTCCCACCTGATAAGACGCAAGCTCAGCAACACAGCACCGTTGCCGTGCGGGCAGACTCGAATCGATCGGCCGGACTAGTGGGCTTTTGCCTGCAGGGATGAATCAAAGCTCGAAAACAGCATAAATGGCAGTTGGAAGACTCGGGAGAGGCAATCACAAGAGCAACGAGCAAGCAGGCTGTTCGCTTCCTTGCTTTGACCGGAGGGAAGTAAATAACAGAGGCACTACGGTCGGGAATTGCCTCAGGGAAAACGTCAAGAAGAGGGACAAGTTCATGAGCATGCCACGGTCCGCTCAGCGTCTTACAAGCCCGAGTCAACAAGAGGGGGGGTGTGAGTGCAGGGATTGCAGTCCTGTGCCCCTCCCGTCCCATCGTTCACGCCCGGCGTCGAGATCGGTCATCTAGCTTGCATTCGGCGAGCCACTCATGGGAACTCCTCCACAGTACCAACAGAACATCAGGGTGGGGCACGGACTTCTGACGACGGATTGCGTGGTCTGGATGCATCGCTGCTTGTTTTCAATAAACGTCGCCGGGGCAACGCATATTAAAGTGGATCGATACCCATAACAGTGCCATGGGAAGAAAGCTGCAACTGGTTCACGTACGACCTGACTGCCATACCAACGAGGGAAAAACAAAGTTTTCATTGGAATGGCTGCAGATAGTCTCGGCATAAATCACGTTAGGCTGCGCCTCTCGGGGATTGGACGCGACACAGAGATAATAATGACGGACCCCAAAACAGCAAAGGTAAAAAGAACGGAGTGAATATGGAAGAGCAAAGAAGAGGGAATCGAAAGATAAAGCACCAAAACACCGAAATGGCCGCTCCTGCTAAACGCGATGCCAAGCTAGGATCTTGGCTGCCGAGCGGCATTGGAGGCTTTAAAGGTTGATTCGTGTTCTCTTGTGACGGGCTCCATTGCTCTCGCCGCGTCCATCAGTGCCGCCCGTCGCCACCCTCAGCTGCCCCACCTCTTCCGTCGTCCTCGCCAGCCTGCCCTCCAGGTTGTCCATCTGTTCGTCCCGCCTTGCCATCTGCGCCAGAAGTCGCTCGTTTGTCCTCCGCAGCTGGAGGACCTGCTGGGCCATTCGCTCGTGGCTACGCGCCAGCTTGCCTGCAGCTCGCAGCTGGCCGTCATATCGGTGCTCGAGGCTGCTGACCCGGGCCACGGAAGGGAGAAGGGGAGGAGGGTTGGTGCCGGGAGCAGCAGCCGTGGCAGCAGTGGCAGCCGTTGCAGCCGTGGCAGCACTGCTGGTCGTGCACGGTACCATGACCACCGTCGGACGGGTCTCACGATCGGCTGCCCCCGGCTGCAATCCCGGGTGCTTTTCCCAAGCGGGACACACGAACAGTGGTCCCCGGGAAGGAGCAGAGTTAGCTGCGGAACCTGCAGCACTGCTGGCTGTGACGCGGTAGAATCGCGTGTTCACGTCCACATACAACAGGCGGTCGCTGGCGGTTGAGCGCCGGCTGATGGCGCCCTGCTTCGCCCAAGTGGCGGTGGTCGTGTCTTCGACGCGGCCTTGCTGATCCAGCATTCCGTGCAGGAAGGACCAGACGTCGTCGCCAGCGTTGGCCAGGATCCAGCGATCCTGGGAGGCGAAGTCGGCGATGCCAGCGAGGGTGGGTGGAGGAGGCGATGGTGCTGGTGCAGAATCAGCATTGGCTGTTGCTACGGCTGCAGCGACAGCATCTGCCAGCTGTAGCGGCACGCAGGCCTCGCCGCTCAGGGCGTCCAGAGCGTTGCCGTAGGCGATCTCCATCTCGTGCATGCGACCGACGAGCTGCTGTGTGAAGAGGAGCAGCTGGCCGATGAGACTATTGCGGGCGGCGGCGTCTTCCTGGTCGTCGAAGTTGGCGTCGAGTGTCGTCGCAATCACCTCCTTGCTTTCGGGATACAACGTCGCCGGCAGCAGCGACAGCAGGCCGCCAATGTCGCCGAACTCATGGTCCAGGCGCTCGAGGCACATGTTGGCGTGCATCAGCAGATTGTGATGGCTGGCATAGGGGCGGACAAGGATGGCATCATCATCGTCTACGTCGTCATCGGCGCCTTCCTCTCCGTCGGCAACGACAACATCATCCCTGTCGTTCGTCTGCTGATATGGGGCCCTTCCCCGTGCCTGGTGCGTCTCCAGCGGACAGTGGAAGGTGGTTCCGAGCACTTCGTGACGGGTGCGGACCTCGTTGACCAGGTCGTGCAGCGGCCGATGGTGGTCGGGGTCCTTGTTGACATAGGGCGTGTTCAGGTCAGCGAGCCAGTCAAAGGGATGGTACGTGACCATATCGTCTCTCGCGGGCGGATGAGCGGCAGCATGGAGGACGGCCTCGTCTGTGGTGTCCGGGGTCTGGGCCCTGCCCGAGTACCCGGCCGGCTCAGACAGTTTGGCCAGCCAGACCGGTTGTTTGGGCACGGCTTCGACGACAGCCTTGTCGTGGGCATGCGGCTCCAGCATGGAGATGAGGCAGCAGAGCGACTGGGCATGCTGCTTGAGGGCCAGCAGCGTCGGCGGCACGCCCGGCGTCGAGAGGTAGCCACAGTTGGCATGTCGCAACACGGCCGCATCGGATGCGTTGGCTCGCGAGAAGCTCGACTGGTACGGCAGCGCATAGTCGGTGCCGGCGAGGTAGCCGCGACGGTGAGCCTGCGGATCGGAGTCGTGCGCAACGGTATGAGACATGGCAGCAGCAGCAGCAGGAACAGAGCTGATGATGCCTCTTTTTTCAAAAACCCTCCATGTCTTCTATCACTATTTAAACCAGCTGCTTCACCTATGCTCTTTCACTTCTACTGATTTTGCATTGCCATTCACCTCTGATTCTGCCTTTGTTTGCTCGACCAGATGCTGTACGTTTTCGGCCATCTGCCCTCTGTTTGCTGTTGGCTGTGAGAAGGTGCTAACAACAGGCGGAGGACAGATGTCCGACCCAAAGCAGCGAAGCTCATCCGTTCGCCTCTTTGTCTGCGGCCTCGGTTCGTTTATAGCTGACCGGTGACGACACCGACACGTGACCTGGTTCGTATTCTTATCTGCTGCCGATCTTGTAGCGGAAGTGGCAAATAGCCGGGTGTGGAACAAAGCAGATATTCTCGTAGCGTACGCTTCGTAGCTGAGCTTGCGGCGTGGCGGTTTCCAGCCCAGCTGGGACCTATTGCGCGGGACGGCAGGACAAAGAACGGAGTATTACTGTGTACATGGAAAAAAGAAGAGAGAGGGCAACGCCAGCCGCTATTACTGCTAGCTCTGCTTCCGGAATGATGACGAGGCGATCGGAAAGATGTTGATTGAAAGCCGGGCAGGATTTGTGGGTGTTTGCAACGGCGAGTCCGCCGGCAATACACACGGAGCGACAGTGTACGCGTAAGTCGTAGGAGCTGTGCATTGCCGGTCTGCAGTCTGGCGATTGCGCTTGAGGTCATTGGGAGCTGCAGAAGCAGACTAGACGGCAGATCAGATTGGTGTAGTTCGGTGCCTTCTGGGACCTCCGTTTTCTTCTTTGATACGGAGTAGGGATTACCTCTTTGGGAGTCTGAGACCCCTCGCCTTTGCTCCGTCTCTCTTCTCTGCGTCAATCACCCCTCTGCTGTCTCACGTCTCCCCGAAAACTCTGAAATTGCACTCGAGCAGCGACCCACCGTAATTTGCTCGCAGTCAGGCCCCACCTGTTACGCCAGATTCGCAATACCCCACTACGCGTCCTCCGTCTCTGCACGTCGTACGGAGTACTCATCCCGTTGGCTGCTGCGCTGCTGCGCTGGCGCACGGCTGCCGCGTGCTCCATCCGCTCAGCTGGTCTGGACCGAGGTGAGCTGTGCCTATGGCATTTATGCCATCTTGTTGGCCTCTGCTTTCAAGCCATGTCTTTTTGAAAACAAAGTAGTGCGCCGTGCTCCGTGCTCCGTGCTCTTTCATTTTTCCCTCCATCCATTTCGTCATAGGCCTGCACCTCTATCAAGGAAAGAGCATGTCGCTCCTTGTGCGAAAACATGGTACGAAGCCACACCGCATACTCCGTACGCGACTCCGCGTCACATAGCCGACGAGTCATGTTTGTCGTAATCGGTGTCGCCGTATCGCTCGCCTCTGCGCCTCTGCATCTGCATCTCCGTCGCCCTTCAGCAATGGTCTCTCACATACGCCGTAGTAGTGTGCTCTGCTCATTTCTCCCACTCGCTACTACTCGTATGTATGCTTCTGCCGTGCCTGCCCGATCGGTAGAACGCTAGCTTGCGCGCAGGGGGGACCCGACGAGCTGAAATGGGAGGAACTGCCGATCGTGCCTGCCACACACCCCTTACTATGTATTATCGCCTGGTTCCACCAGATGCCAGATCTGCGAGTGTACGAAGCACACCGTACTCGTACGTAGGAAATACTACATTCTCCCTTCATTCCCCAGAATAAGTGTGGCTGGTAGATAGGATCTCCACCGCCCAGACGCGACGGTGAGCAAAAGTTGGCCCCGTATCTTTCGACCAGGTCTGAATACATCATAGCTTTTGGCACTGGCGCGCACTACGACCTATTTATTCTAATTCCTGCCCTCCCATTACCCCCCTCCCCCCCTTGACCATTCTTTTTTGGGTAGTTTGACTTTGGATATCAATTTTTGCATCTCAGCAGAGACGCCAAAGTAGGCGCGGGATTTGCATGTTTTGTCTGCAAAAGCATCATCACTCCAAACACCCAACGTCTTTGTTGCACACCGACTTCTGCTCCTCCAGGCACTAGCCGGAGACCGCAGCCATGTCTTCGTCCACCACGACATCGTCGTCGCTGCAGGGTGAGACGCCTTTCACGATCGGCCTCGTTCAGCCACCGTCCGACATCTTACTGACATTGTTACAGGTCTTTACCTGACCTTGGCTCCTGTGGCCATTCAGGCGGGCATCTACCTCCTAATCTTCCTCGTCCTCCGTCGCAGCCATCGTCGTTGGTATGCGCCTCGGACTTACTTGGGCAGCTTGAAGCAGAGGTATGCCTTTTATCTCAACCTCCTCTCTCTCTCAACATCGTGATACAACATCGTAATGCTAAGACGCATTTTTCTTTCTGCAGCGAACGGTCTCCCAGCCTGCCCAATGGCTTGCTCAACTGGGTCAAGGGCTTCTGGGACATTCCCGACACTTACGTCCTCCAGCACCAGTCCATGGACGCCTACCTCTTCCTTCGCTACCTGCGTGTGCTTGTGATCATAACGTTTGTCGGCTGCGTCATCACATGGCCAGTTCTCTTTCCCGTCAATGCCACCGGTGGCGCCGGCCAGAAGCAGCTGGATATTCTCTCGTATTCCAACGTCGACAGCTCTACCTTCAAGAAGCGCTGCCGCTACTTTGCCCACCTCTTCATGGCCTGGATCTATTTCATCTTTCTCATGTACATGATTTTCCGCGAATGCGTCTTCTACGTCAATCTGCGCCAGGCTTTCCTGCTCAGCCCCGTCTATTCGCAGCGCCTGTCGTCGCGCACCGTTCTGCTCGTCAGCGTCCCCGAGGTTCTGCGCGACGAGCACCGCCTGCGCAAGATCTACGGCGAGTCTGTCCGCAATGTCTGGATCATCCGCGACACCGACGAACTCGAGGAACACGTCGAGGAGCGCGACAAGGCCGCCTTCACACTCGAGAAGGCCGAGGTCAAGCTGATCAAGACCGCCAACAAGGAACGCCTCAAGGCTCTGAAAAAGGGGTCCGCTTCGGCCGACAAGCCTAACGAAGACGCCCCGATTGACGGCGATTCTGGAAGCATTGCCGCTCGCTGGCTCCCGCGCAAGAAACGGCCTACTCACCGCACCGGCCTGCTCGGTCTGATCGGCAAGAAGGTCGACTCCATCGATTGGTGCCGTGAGGAGATCCGCCGCCTCACCCCTCAGATCAAGCAGGAACAGGACGAGTACCGCATGGGCAAGCCCAAGACGATTCCGGCCGTTTTTATCGAGTTTGACACCCAGGCTGCTGCCGAGAACGCCTACCAGTCCATTGCGTACCACGAGGGCTTGCAGATGCGCCGCTACATTGGCATCGCCCCGCCGGACGTCGTCTGGTCGACGTTGAGCATCCCCTGGTGGCAGCTGCTGCTGCGCAAGTATGCCGTCATTGCCTTCATCTGCGTCCTGATCATCTTCTGGGCCATTCCTGTCGCCGTGGTCGGCGCCATCAGCAACATCAACTATCTTGAGACCATCTCGTTCTTAACCTGGCTGAAGAAGATCCCGGATATTGTTATGGGCCTCGTCACCGGTCTCCTGCCTTCGGTGTTGCTGTCCTTGCTTATGTCCCTCGTGCCGGTGGTTATGCGACGTGAGTTCCCTCCTAGTCCTGGCTGAGAAAGAATGATGAGGAGATGCTAATTTTGTAGTCTGTGCCAAGCTTGCGGGCGAGCCGTCCAACTCCCGTGTCGAGTTGTTTACTCAGAACGCCTACTTCTGTTTCCAGGTCATCCAGGTCTTCCTCGTCTCCACGCTGTCGTCTTCAGCCACTGCGGTTGGCAAGCAGATTGCCGACGACCCGTCGAGCGTGACAGACATTCTGTCGAACAACCTGCCCAAAGCATCCAACTACTACATGTCCTACTTCATCGTGCAGGGCTTCTCGGTCGCCTCCGGCGTCCTCGCCCAGATCACCGGTCTCATCATCTTCAAGCTGCTCTACAAGTACTTGACTGGTACACCTCGCGCCATGTACACCAAGTGGACCAGCCTCAGCGCCATCTCCTGGGGCAGCACTCTCCCGGTGTACACGAACATTGCTGTGATCGGTGAGTTTCGCTGTCTTCTGGCTTAAATGGGCATAACTAATCATATACAGCGATCACGTATTCGGGCATTGCACCTCTGGTTCTCGGCTGGGCGTGTGTCGGCCTGGCCTGCTTCTACCTTGCGTACCGGTACAACGTCATGTTTGTGACAGAGACGCAGATAGACACACGTGGCCTCATTTACCCGCGCGCTATCAAGCAGCTGATGACGGGCGTGTACTTGTCGGAGCTTTGCATGATTGGCCTCTTCGGTGCCAGTGTGGCCATCATTCAGTGCGTCATGATGGTTGTCTTCCTGGTCTTCACCGTCCTCTTCCACATGAGCCTCAACACGGCGCTCGACCCATTGATGTACAACATGCCCCAGAGCCTTCTGGCGGAGGAGGCACTGCGCCACGACCTGGAGGGTGGCGGCCAGGCGGCTCGTGGATATGCGGGCGCAGAAGGCGGCATCACCAAGAACAGCACGGCCGAGAGCAGCGGGTCTCGTAGTGTGCCGGAGAAGTACGAAGAGGTTCCTCTGACAGGATCGACATCGCCGGCGCCGCATGGCAACTTCTTGCAGCGCTTCCTCAAGCCGTGGGTCTACTGCAACTACGAGGCCATGCGGCAGCTGGTCCCTCCACATGAGGGCCCGGCAGACTTCAACGACATCTATACGCCTGACGTGATACAGCACGCCTACTTGCCACCATGTGTGGGCAGCCAGGCACCGACGCTGTGGATTCCGGAGGACCAGGCGGGCATTTCCAAGCAGGAGATTGCCCACTCGAGCGAGGTGATTGACATCACGGATGAAGGCTGTGTGCTGGACGAGAAGAACGATCTCATCTGGGACGAGGAGGGATCGCGGCCACCTGTGTGGGAAGAAAAGATCCCTTATTAGACGGTTGAGAGAGATGAGGGAGTTTTGTGTTTTCGACCCTGTACTGGATCATACGTCCTTGGAACAGGCCTTTATATCAACCTTTTTGTCTTCGTAATTTGGTCTTTCTGTCTGTTTTTTGGTCTTAATACTGGCTTTTTTGTTACTACGGGCGATCAAGACTTGGCTCCCCTTGTCTGACGATTTGGGCGTTACCAGGAGGGCTTCACAACGTGAAGGACGGGCGGCCTTTGGAGTCAAGCAGACGGAGAGATATCCCAGGAAGAATTGCTTCGTTCTTCAACAATAGTATCTTTTTTTGGACAGGAAATGCCTAGGGGTCTTTAATCGAAAAGGTCGGATAGGCTATGTGACGAGATCTATAATGAATGCTGTTGGTCTACTAATGAGTCTTGAAAGCCGATGCAGACTGCAGTGGCGTAGGTGCCATCGTGGCTGATGCTGAGCCGCGCCTCCTGCTCGACGGGAGCCGTGCCAGTATGTGCGCAGGGTGGGAGTTGGATGAGGGCAACGGGCGGTCCGCTGCCGTTATTTTCCGTGTCCTTTGCGCGAACGATGCGGATCTGGTGAAAGGTCAGGCTGAGATGAGGATGTGCCTTGATGGCAGCCTCTTTGGCGGCGAATCTGGCAGTGGGTCAGGAGGGATGTGAGAGAGCCGAGAGGGACTGGAGAGTCTAGCCGAGGAGTGTATACCTTCCTGCTAGGAACTGAGCGGCCTTCCAGAGGGTGGGATCGCGTGGACGTTTTGTGTCGGTCGATTTCGATGTCGATGTCGATGTCACGTGTCCGGCCAACAGCCAGGCCAGCAGTCCGGCAGACGACGACGACGACGGCAGCGTCGGCAGCAGGCCGCCAGTCCTCGGCTGCGGTGGTGGCAGCTCCTGTGCCGTCAGAAGGCGGCGCACAAGCCGAGCCGCCCTCGTCTGAGAGGGCAGGCCGCGGGAGAGCGGAGCAGCACGACCAGCACAAGACCCGTCGTCGAGAAGGGCATAAATGCGGGTGACATCACAGATGTCTGTGCCGACATGCAGGCTCGGAAAGGGAAAGCGACGAATCGGCGGTGCCGTCGATGCTGTCCATTCTGTCGATGGTGTGGGTGAGCTGGAAAAAGCCGCTCTGGCTGTTCGAGAAGCTACTGCTGACGCTGGCTTGATCGCTACCGAAACCCTCACCACTGTGATCAGGATCATAGCGCGGGCTGGTGACGAATGGCGGATATGCCATTCTCATGGACGAACAAAGCAGGTCTTTAGGTCTTTCAAGTCTTTCAGGCCCAAGAGCTCAAATCCACTAAAGCTTAAGCTGGTGATAAGATAAGACTTCGATATGTATGTACATACGTCACTCAACAAATATCAGCTACAACTTCAGGTAGATTCTCAACTCTTGTAGATACAGTAGCGAGCCAATTTGTGCTCTGCTTCCGTCCATTATCCCAGTGCTTCCAAACTCTGTTTTCATCCAATTCAATCTCCGGCACTAGTTTCCTAAACCGTTCAATTTTATTCTCATTCTCATTCCAACTCCCATTGTCTGCCCTTTTTTTTTTCATTAGGCTACCATTTCCACTGGTAGCGTCCTCCCGGAAGCTCACTCGTTGAGCAGAGGTGCCCGTTCAGTGTCCTCATTCACGACAACGGCCAGAATGTTGTCGCCACTGCCGGTCCACTGGGGCACAGCAATGGCAAAGGTGGCGACAAAGAGCGTGGCCATGATGGAGAAGGCAAAGATCCACTGTAGGGCGATAAACTGGATGAAGAACTGGCCGACGCCGAGGGCGGCAGCAAGGACAGAGAGTAGGAATCCCATGGAGATGTCCTGGGCGTGTTAGTGAAGGAGAGGACGAAAGAGAGAACAGGAGAACGTACACCGAGGAGGATGAACAGCAAGCCGTAGCCGAGGATGGACCAGACAAAGATATTAGCGGTGACGCGGGCGAAGAGGCTGTGGGCATGGGGCACGGCGATGGCGCCGTTCCAGAAGAGGGCAACAAAGGTCCAGGCGAGCGGACCGGCGACGGTGGGCAGGTGGACGAGGGCGAGCGGGTGAGAGGCGAGGGGGTGGCGCATGCTGAGGGTAGACAGGTTGATAAAGTTGGCGGCCAGGACGATCTCGGCGAGGACAAAGTGGCCGGTGACAAAGAGCATGACAAAGGCCGAGTGCAGCAGGTTGTTCAGAATAAAGTGCGAGCCGACGGCAGCGGCGACGGCGGAGGTGCTGGCAGTAGACGAGAAGAGCCGGTTGATGTAGCCGGCCTGCGAGGTGAAGAGGCCGGCCCAGTAGACGTAGACGATGACCATGTTGAGGGTGAAGCCGGTCAGGTGGCGGTGGTTCTGGTCGGCGATGCGGTGACTGCCGTGGCCGTGGGGGCTGCGCACCGAGTAGTAGATGGACAAGGCGACAGCCAGGGCCCAGCTGGCGAGCGTGAGGACGCGGTACGAGACGAGCTCGCGGTGAGAGCGGACATCGCGATAGGCGAACGGGTTATCTGGGGAGTTAGCGGGGATTTAAGGGAGGGGAGGATAAAGATTGAGTGAGAGAGAGAGAGGGAGAGAAGGAGAGGAGGAGAGAAGGAGAGGAGAGAAGGAGAGGAGAGAAGGAGAGGAGAGAAGGAGAAGAGAGAAGGAGAGGAGAGGAGAGAAAGAGATGATAGATAGTAAGAGGAGAGAAGAGAGGGAGTGAGGTTGAAGAGAGCAAAGATGGAAGACGAAGACAGGAAGCAGAGACGGACGAGGAATGAAAGAGCAAAGGAGCAGAAGACGCCTTGACAAAAGACCAATGCGGATTAATCACACGTACAGCTGCTGAACGGCATGGTTGGCTTAGCCTGGACGAGAGAGGTCAATTGACAAAGATGGATGTGAGGATGGATGGGACGATGCGAGATGGAAAGAGAAGAGAGAGAGGATGAGGAAGGGCGACGGAAAAGAGGAGAGGCGAGCTGCTGAACAGCGGGAAGGCGCCAAGATATGCGCGGCTGCCTCCTTCGGAAGGAGAAAGGGGCGGCCGTGCTACGCAATCGATCCGGTGGTCTGGTGCCACGGCCTCTGGGCCTCACACAACACACGGCTGCCCGCAGCCTCGACGTCATAGGTGCGAGGCCCCGCCTGTGGCCTTGTGTTGCCCGCAGCCCTGACTAAGCGAGCTGGAATAGGAATGCACCGAGTACGGAGGCTTGTTCAAGAGCCAACAAAGACATGGCAAGCGAATCATCGTAAACGACAAGGATGAACTTTACGATTAACGATTAACGATTAGCGATTAACGATTGATGAATCCACGATCAACGATCAACGCAAAACGATCAACGATCCACCAACCCACTCTTCCCCTGCAGGGATCCCACCTTCTGCCGCTCACTTTCGCGCAAACGGGATCGTCGACGTGGCCGTAAACCGGGGCAGATCGGCACGTCGCATTGCTGACGGCGACCGTGAGCTTGTGGCCGTCGTCGTGCTGTCCGCCTCGGTGCTGGGCGTCAGCAGGGGCGACTCGTCCGTGGTGGTCGAGGAGGTAGCTGCACCATCTCCACCTTGTTTGGTCTTTTCTCGAGCCTCTCGAGCCTCTCGCTGTGCCGTCGTGACCACGTTGATCTTGATCCGCCGCGTGCCGCTCGTCGGCTGGCTTGAAGACATGGACGTCGTCCGGCCACTGGGCACCGACGTGCTGCTTCTTCTGGTGGCGGTAGTAGCACTCGTGGCACTCGTTGCTGTCGTCCTCGGACCTACCGACGTCTCCCGTCTTCCACCTGTCGTCGTTGTCACGCCCATTGCCGTCGCCGGTCGCGTCTTGCGGACATGCAACCCTGCTGTAGCGCCACTGCTGTTGCTGCTGCTGCCCATCTCTGACGCCACGCTGAGCCGTCGCACCGGCTGTTTGGGTCGACCTCGTGTCGTCGTTCCCTCCTCGCTGCCGGTGCCAAACGGCTTCACCGGCCGTCGTTCCCGCTGTGACGTCCTCGTCGGTGCTCCTGTCGACTGTGCCACCCCTCCTCCGCCGCCTCGCCGCCGCGGCGTCTCGACTGTCAGCTCCTCGGCCGTACAGCTCGTCGTCGACCGGTCCCACGGAATCAACAGCTTGCTGAGCTCGTGCATGGCCACCGTCCACGACACCTCGGGTGGCGGTGGTGTTGGTGGTCGCGACATCGGCGACGTCGCCCGGCCGTACGTGGCTGCCAGCCCGGATGCGCTGCGCCGGACGCGCGGCATTGCTACCTTGGCCTTGGACGCCGTCGTCGGCGATGAGTACGTCGTCGTCGGCTGGCTCACGGCCACGTGTCCTTCTGTCGGTGGTGCCGGCGGCGCGATCATGGCCTCGATGCGATCTAGTTCAGACGGTGTCCACCAGGCGGTATTGTATGAGGGAATTTTGTCGTTGTTGCAGTCTCTCCTTCTCTCCTCGTCCTCCTCGTCACCTCGCATCCTTCTCTCTTCGTCCTCGTCGCTTCGCATCCTCTCCTCTCTTCTTCCCTCCGCTTCTCCCCCTCCCACCAACCCACTCAGATGGCTAAGCACCCCCGAAATGAGCGCCCGGTTGCTGTAGCCACCCTCCAGGACGCTAATCACCCGTCCGTCTGCCGAGGTGCCCTCCTCGTCGGCCAGCCGTACAATGTCGCGCGTGAATCGTGCGTAAAACTCCGTCGGCACGTTCACCTCGTGTCGCTGCATCCCGGGCGTCTCCCACTCGCTCGCGTCAAAGCCCGCCGAGATGAAGATGGCCGCCTTGGGCTCGCCACCGGCCCTGTCATCCGTTCGCTGTGCCGTCTGCCCCCGCAGAAAGGCCCGCACCCGGTCCAGCAGCACGACGTACTTGGTCTCGTACAGCCGCCAGAACTCGGCCTCCGTCTTCCACCGCTCCAGGTGTACGTTCCACACGTTCTGCCCGTGCGCGTTCTCGAGGCAGATGCTCGCGTTCTTCACCTTGTCGCCGTCGCCTGACTCGCACGGAAACGAGTTGATGTCGTGCAGGCTGAAGTACCCAATCGACGCCTTCTTCCACGTCGCTGCCGCGCTGCTGCTGCCACTGCCGCTGCTGCTGCCACCGCGCTGCCCCGACTCGACGCCTCGCGCGTTGTGCTGCCACGCCACCGCCTGCGATCCGTCGCCGTGGTGCAGATCAAAGTCCACAATCGCCGCGTGTGTCAGCCCGTGCGTCAGCATCGCATGCATGATCCCCACGTGTACGTTGTTGATCCAGCAGAACCCCGACGGCCACGTCGCCGAGCAGTGGTGTCCGGGCGGCCGGATGCCCACAAACGCCCGCTTCGGTCCCGTATTGTGGTTCTCGGTCGGCAGGGCCAGCCCCAACCCCAGTCCTCCTAGCTCGTCTTGTGTCAGCGGGGGCGATCCGCCAAAGACGGCGTCCACGGCCTCGCATACGCCCCCCAGCGCTCCCTGCAGCGCGTCCAGCGACTCGGCACACAGATACAGGTCGCCTTCGTGCAGCTTCTCGGGCGTGTCGCTGCTGCTGCTGCCCTCCCGCTGCAGCTCCTTGCCGTTGAGCGCCAGCTTGGCTTCGGCCGACTCGCACAGCAGCCTGAGCTCGTCCATCCACTTGGCCCCGTGCACGTTGGTGACGGCGGCTGACTGCAGCGGCAGCTGGCGCGTGGTCTTGCGGATGTGGAAGGGCACGGACGCGATGGCGCCGCCGTTGCGCCGCGGATGCGGCATGTGAGCGCCGCCGGCGTGCCGTCCGCCCAGACGCACGTACGCCGCCGACACGCCGACCACGCAGGCCTGCAGCCGTTCTGGGCGCTCGACGATCGTGTTGAGGCCGGCCCGCGATGTACGCGGCCGAGCGAACCGGTGGCCGTAGCAGCTGTCCTGCAGCACGACGACCGTGTCGGTGTGGCCGGGCGCCGCGAGCGGCTGTCGTAGATCGGCGGCGTGGCGTGTCAGCTCGGCCTCAAAGTGCTGCTGCGCGATGAACTCGGCCGTCGGCTCTTCGGGTAGCGGCTCAAAGAAGCTGCTGCTGCTTCCGTTGGCGCTTAGTCCGCCTGGCGAACGTCCGCCCGCCGACCGTCCGCTCGGCGACCGTCTCTGCGTCGGTGCCGGCGAGCACGACGATGCCCGCAGGTTCGCCGAGCTCGTCTTGCCGTTGGCCCCGTGCAGCGAGTTTAGTGATGCTTTGCGCAATAGCGTCGGCGTGGCCGCGCCTGCTCGCGACTCCCGTCCGCTCCCCAGCAGCGGACTGCGCTGCGCCATCGCTGAGGCTGCTCCTCCTCCGCGGCTGCTCGCCACGCTTGGCGACCGGTACGCACGGCCGCCCACCGACGCCATCGATGCTGCTGAAGGGCTTCGTGTTGTCGGCGGCTTGGCCGGCGGCTTTGCTGCGAGCGAGAGGTGGCGCATCGACTGGGCGAGATCGTCGTTGGTCGAGGGCCGGCGCCGCAAGGGCGTCGACTGGGAAGACATGCCTATGGGGGATTTCGGATTTCGATTTTCGATTTGATTTCTTTTTGATTTGATTTGACTTTCGTGTTCGACTTTCGAGCTGTTCTTCTGGTTGGTTAGAGCTGGTCGATCAGATGGACTGTTTCGCTGCAAGACAAGACTAGATGCACGGGTGCCATGCACGACCGGTCCAACGGTCGTCTGCAAACAAAACGTGGATGCGGAGCAGACCCTGATCGCTGTCTCTGATCACGATTCGTTGTTTGCCTGTGGCGGAACACGGGAAAAGCAAATGAAAAAGGGGATGGCAATCTATCTGTCGCGTTCCTTCCTCCGCCAGACGCGTCGCTCTCGGTCACGTGTCTTTGTGAATGTCCATCGTGCAGGGGCACGTCGTCTGCGAAGCGAACAGGACCCCTTGCACTTTAAGTAAACTGCAATACATAGCAGCGCATAGCACACAGCACACAGCGCGCAACGCCCTTCCAAAACAGCTTTTATCGCGCTCCTGGCTTGGTCGCATTCTAGACCGCTTGCTGCAAGCCGTCCGTCACAACAAACAGCGCCAGTAGTCACATGTGGCCCACAGAACGACCAAAACGGTGCTTAGCTCCCCGCACATCCACTATTATTGGAAGCACTAGCGCTGGGGAAAGGCAGATTCCCGGGAATTCAGAAAGGCCTGTCTACTCCGTACATCGCAGACATACTCGTACTTCAGAGACATGGGGACAGCTAAAGATAAGATACATCTGCCTGATCATGGATACTTACGACACCAAAGTCTACAGGTTAGGCGTGTCTGTCTCGGGGCCACTCTTTGTAAGCCCCCTCCGGCTTAGAACGGCTTCTCGGGCGCCTGCAGGGATCTGCTTCAGCCCCGCCTGCTTATGTCTGTATCAGTGTTCTCGTACTGCCCGTATTCGAACGGCATCGCGTTCCCACCAATGAGACGACATTGCCTCAGAAACGAGTCTGGGTTGTGCCTTGCCAAGCCGGCTAGCCAGCTGGCCAAGATCAGCTGAACACAAGCTTCATTGCCGTCGTGCTTTTCATACTCTGCCCTTGTCCTTGCAGTTCTGGCTATTAAATGACGCCTAGCTGCTCGAGTCTTGCCAAAGTCTAGGTGCCATCCCATTTCTCATCGCACCGTCACCATGGCTCGACCTGTCGCTATTCTTCTGGCCCTGACTGCTACACGGGTCTCAGCTTCCTTCAGCTTTCCTAGCTTCCGCGTGGGTGCCCTAGCCAAGGCCACCGACGACCCGGGCTACGATGCCTGTGTCACGGCTGATGCCCAGATCAGCGCGTGCGTGACTGCGATTCCCTCGGGAGCGGCCCTCTCCGTCTATGCACAGTGTTTATGCTGCGAGGAGGCTCTCGATGTTGCCACGGTCTACGGCGAGTGCGAGACCTACGTTGCTCTGTCGGCACCTACTGCTACGGAACTGTATACGGGTGTGTTTTGATTCTTTTTCTCGTTTTCTTTTTCTTTTTCTCATTTTGTCTCTTTCACTTCCCTCTCCCCGGTCTCCCACCCTTCTAACAAGTCAGTGATGGCCGGCTTCGACAACTCCTGCCAGAGTGCCAGTGAGGAAGGCTTCTCTTGTAGCGGTGGTGCCACCACCGTGCTAGCCACGGCGACGTCGTCTTTCGTCGTCACGTCAGCCTCCGCCACGGCTGGCCAAACGTTTGGCAACACCGGCTCTCCGCCGGCCTGCACATCTGTGGCATCGGTCTACAACTCCTGTTCCAGCAGCTACCGCGGTTTCACCACGATGGTCGATCATGATGCGGCCAGCTGTGTCTGGTGAGTTTCCGTCTGGTCCATCCCGTCTTGCCCATCTTTCTGACCATCCGCAGCTACGAGGGAGGCGAGTACACGACTGCCTTTGACGACTACGTTGCCGGTTGCGTGCCCTACGTCAAGACGGCCGACCCGACAGACTACTTTGACTACTACGCTCTCGAAGGCTTCTGCGCAAGCTACCCGCCAGACAGCGGCACTGCCCACTTTGGTTCTTTCGCAGCCTCGACTACCGCCCCAGTCGCCAAGACCACAGCGGCCGGGACTAGGAGCACGACTACGACCACTCCCTCGACCACGGCCCCCGGCGGAACTGTCACGGTGACTCCGACCGTGGCGACCAAGAACCCCGGCGCACACGTCGTCGCCAACGAATTATTTGCCTGGGCAGCCGCCATCCTTTCGCTGGCCATGTTGTAGTGTGTAAGGGTTTATGTAGATTGTGCTGTTAGATTTAGCACCTAATGCTGTAACGCTAAAATGCGCTAAAATAGAGATCTCCTACATAAACCAACCTCATCCTCACGAACGCAGGTCCACGTTCACGCCGGCCAAGGCATCGACGGCCCACTCGGGATAGCTGGCCTTGTCAGGGTAGAGGGCGGCGAAGAAGTCCTTGATGTAGGCAGGGAAGCGGTCAGCCAGGATGGCGTCGCGGACCTCGCGCATGAGGTTGAGCTGGTACCAGACATTGTGCATGGTGAGCAGATGGGCAGCGACAGTCTCCTTGGCGACATTGTGGTGGACAAAGGCGCGGGTGATGCGGAGGGTGTGGGAGGGCGTGGGCGCCTGGGCCGTTGGAGCAGGATCGAGGGCCCAGCGACAAGCCTCGCAGCCGCAGCCGGGTTCAATCGGGCCAAAGTCAGCAGCATAGCGGTGATTCTTGAGGTTGAGGACGCCGTGCCGGGTAACAGCGTTGCCGAAGCGGGCCGTGCGTGTAGGCCAGACGCAGTCGAACATGTCGGCGCCGAGGGCGACGCTGACGACGAGGTCCTCGGGGTAGCCGATGCCCATGACATAGCGCGGCTTGAGGGGGGGCAAAACGGCAGCGACAGCAGCGACGACGCGACAGTAGTCGGACTTGGCCTCGCCGCCGGAGAGGCCACCGATGGCGATGCCGGGGGTGTCGCGGGCGACCATGGCGGCGGCACAGGTGCGGCGCAGATCGAGGTCGAGGCCGCCCTGGACGATGCAGAAGAGGTTCTGGTCGGCCGGCCGCTGGTGTGCGGCCAGACAGCGATCGAGCCAGCGGACGCTGCGCTCGGCGGCTTCGCGCATGCGGGCGGCGTCTGGCGAGGTCGTGACGATGACGTCGTCGAGCTGCATGGCAATGTCGGAGCCGATGCTGTTCTGCAGGCGGATCGAGTGCTCGGGCGTGAGCAGCATGGGACTGCCGTCGTGTGGCGACCGGAACTGGACGCCCTGTTCCGTCACCGTGGCCAGCTGCAGCAGCGAGACCATCTGGAAGCCGCCGCTGTCGGTCAGCAGGTTGTGCGGCCAGCTCTGCAGCGCGTGGGCGCCGCCGACGGCATCCAGCACCGCCTGTCCCGGCTTCAGGCCGAGATGGTACGTGTTGTTGAGGCAGAGCCGGCACGACGTGTCGGCCAGCTGGCCCGGCGTCAGACCCTTGAGCGATGCCTGCGTCGCCACCGGCATGAAGACCGGCAGCGCCACTGGACCGTGCGGCAGCGTCAGCAGCGAGGCGCGTGCCCGCGTCGTCTGTCGTCTGTCAACATCGCTGGACATCGTCACGACATTGTCGCCTCGCATCGCCCACTCACCGAACACTCGGCCAAGAGCTCAAACGTCAGCGCGCCGTGTGTCGCCTTGGTCGGTGCCATCCTGCGCGCAGCCAGCATCCTAGCTGGTCGCTGCAGTGGTGGACCTCTTTGGTTTTCTTTACGGGGGGTTTTTTTTTTTTTTTCCCTCCCCATTCCTCACCCATACATCTTATCGCCCCTCGCCAACCCGCCGTCTCCACCGCCTCCGCGCCACTTTCACAGCACCTGATTTTCCACTTTTCTTCCCCTCTTCCCTAAAATTTAGCATTGCTGTCGCTACCACCCCCAACAACCTGGCCGGGGACATGCTGACGGGACCAGTGAAAACTCTGCCGGAGCCCCATGACGGGAAGAGTTGGAGGAAATAAAATAAAAATAAAAATAGGAAAAGCACAGAGCCTGAAAAGAGGAAAAACAAGCACAGGCCTAGACGTCGGGCCTGGCTGTACGAGTTCTCACTATGTACTGGATCCATATGCAGATTGTACTGCCGTGTCTTTTCTCGTCGCCCGTACTTTTGTCACCGACTGGCTCGCAAGCCTGCAGTAACAAGGAGCAAGCAGACTCTGCTACAACTCCAGCACCAACTTCCCCGAACCACACTCCGCCCTCGTGTAAAGCCGCGGCCCTCCGCGATCGTTTCCGTCGATTTGCGCACTTGTCACTTTTTTACGCCATGACTTGTCAAATACACCGCGTCTAGGCCCCCCTTTCCCTCCCTCCCCCTTGTCGATCCCTTCTCGGATGCCTGACCGGGCATCATCGGAGGACTCCCGATATCGTCGGGCGCTGCCAAGGCTCTTGTCCGAATTGTGGCCCAGAAAGAAGAGGGACGGAAGCGAGAAAAGGTCGTGCCCGTGTTCGTCCACATTGTTGTTTCGAATAATAAATAATCAATACTCAATAATACTGGGCCGCTGCCATTGCATTCTCTCTCGCACTTACAGCTTTGTCACGTTCTTTGTTCGCCCATTATATGCCCAATCCCTTTGTTCCCTTCTATTTTTCTTATTCGGCCTCTCTCCGATCTCATGCTTTCAGCGCCCTTCCGTGTCTCTGACTCAAACTTGCGTCATGCGTCTTTCATTGTAAAGCCTGTGAAGCAATCATCGACGGGATCGCCCTCGTCCTCCAATCTGTCCAATCCGTCTTGATTGTCCATCCTTTCATTCCGACCTGCCCCAACATCGTGACGATGAGTCCCCGTAAGCCGTCGTCGTTTGGCCTCTTCTCGGCCCTGCCTGCCGAGCTCCGTCTGGCCATCTGGCAGTTCAGCTGCCACCCTCGCGTCGTCGAGGTCTGGTACGATGCCGATGCTGACCGCTGCCGCACCACCGCGCGTCCGCCGCCGGTTCTGCACGTCAGCCGCGAGGCGCGCCACGAGGCCATGGCCCTCTACCGCCGTGCCTTTGTCACCCAGAGCTGTCCCGACCACTTCATCTACTTCTCGTCCGCCCGCGACGTCCTCTATCTGCCGCGTCACGGCCTCATGGGTTACGACGACACGGCTCGCGACTTCACCGTCCATGTCCGCGACACGGCGCCGCACGTCTGGTCGCTGGCTATCGACCACGTCCGCACAGACACCATCCGTCCGTGGGAGCCCTACAACAAGCTGATGCTCATCTTCAGCTTCCCCAACGTCCAGGAGACCATCCTGGTCGTTGGCGCTGGCAGCAACGAGCGCCGCGTCGACCGGCGTCGCAGCCTCGACTCCGTCGAGAGTGCCGAATCCACCACTTCGGCTGTCTCGACCGCTTCGCTCGTCGAGTCGGCCCCCGTCCCCAAGATTGGCGACGTCGAGCTGGTCGACCCCAAAGGCGACACCGTCGCCGTCATGGGCGTCATCGACAACGTCATCGAGTCTTTCTCGCGCGAGATCCAGGCTGCCGCTGGCGGCCCCAGCCTCAGCGACGACTGCCCGGTCCACGAATATCCTCACATCCCCTCTCTGATCCCCAAGGCCAAAGAGTACCACCAGTACCAGAACAAACAGCGGCGCCGCCGCCGCCAGAGACACCAATGCGCCATCGGCTGCGCCTAAACGAACGAGACTGGAACGTCTGACGAGTGCATTTTGCACCTGGGAAGGGGGGGGTCTATGCTTAATTACGGTACGGTACGGCATTGCATTGTATTGGATATGGGATTCACCAAGGAGTTGGCATGTCATCCCATTTGCGGCGTGCATTTATACCTTATTTTCATCCGTTGTGCCATCGTGCAGTGGACTTGTAATGTACACTAGAGTTCTTTGATGGCCTAGGCGTCCTGATAGAAATGGGGAACGGAGTATTTGCTCTTAGCATGAATTGACTTGCATCGGAATGCACACTGCTGAAGAAGTTGGTGAGGAATTGGAAAGATGCCGGGTCTTAAAGACACCGCACGATCACGTGATGTAATTCTCACACCAATCCAGTCGCTTAGCTCAGCGTAAAATTTACTGCCCTCGTCCGAGACGATTTCCATGTCTCTCACGACGTCGAAGCAACCTGTCCGAAGCCACGGCTGCGCCTTTCTCGCCCCCCTCCAAATTGCACACTGTAGCCGCAATTGCAGCCAAAGCAGCATGTCGGCCAAGGCTGTGTCGCCGGGCGCTGCGCTCCTGCGCACGTCGCGGCTGTTCTCGCTGCCGAGCCAGCTGCCACCGGCGCCGGGCGATGTGACGGGTGCCGGCAAGCGTCTGTCGGAGAGCGCGACGAAGCCGTTTCCGACGCTGCAGGCGATTGCATCGCCCAAGGCTTCGCGGAGCCGCGGCGACTGGGGCTTCAAGCGACCGCTGCCGTCCAAGGTGACGACCAAGTCGACGGCGCCGCTGGTGCGCGTGAAGCAGGTCGACTCGATCGAGCAGATCACAGACTTTGCCACGGCCACGGACCACGCGGTGACGCTGCGCAAGTGGCAGGAGATGGGCGTGCCCATCACGCTGCAGACCGACGCCCAGCAGCACAAGCACCTGCCGGGCAAGTCCGTGTTCGAGGAGGCGGCCGACATGATCGCCATCGAGCCGAGCAAGAAGCACACGACCGACGACAAGCGGTGGAAGTTCCAGGGGCCCTGGCTGGCCGGCATCACCGAGGGCGCCTTCCAGACGTACCTCAAGAAGCAGGTGCGCACGCGGCGGCCCGAGTTTCGCGACTTTCTGCGCGTCCAGCTGGCCACCGACATCAACCGCGACGCCTCGGCCAAGGCCATGGATGCCGGCACCGCTGCCGTGCCGCCTGTCGCTGCGGCCGACATCACCGACGCCCAGCTGACTGAGTACCTGCGCAAGCTGCGCCAGGACCGTCCGCTGCTGTACCGCCTTGTCGGCAAGTTCCTCGACCTCGCCCCGCTCGAGCCGTCCGACAAGATCTTCCAGAGCCTGGCTCGGTCCTCGTTCTCGCTGGCCGGCTCGCCCTCGCTGCTGTCATCGTCCTCGGCCGCCACTTCCTCGTCCCTCTCGCCGCTCTCGCCGCTCTCACACCTCGGCAGTTCTCGCGGCGCCGCCAATCCCTGGGCCCAAGATGGCCCCCCCATCACGCACCCGTCCGCCGGGCTGTCGTACCTCCGCACTGCCGCCTACCTCGACAACCATCCGCTCTATGGCCCGCAAAAGTCACATCCACCCGTTCAGGCCCGCGTTGTCTCGCCGCGCAACGCCAGCGGCTCGTTCCCTGCCAAGCTCGGCGTCGGTGGCTTCGTTACCGACAACCCGTTTGGCGAGACCGCCTACCACATCCGCAACTCGAACTCGCGCACCATTCCCGGGCTCAGCATCATCGACCCCAAGATCGCCGGCGGCTCCAAGATCCCCATGCGCGTCTCCGCTGCCAAGGTCAACTCTCAGGGCCGCGTCGTCGTCTCCGTCACCGAGGCCGACCCCGAAGCTGTCCTGGTGCAGCGCGAGCTCGAGGGCAAGGAGACCATTTTTGGCCAGCCTGCACGCCTCCTCTCTACGCGCACGGACAGCTACCCGCGCAGCACTGTGCGCTATGCTCAGAATCTGCGCCAGAGCGCGTTGGTCAGCAGTCCCCAGAACTATGGGCTGGGACCTTGAACGGACATTGGCCTGCTGTCTGGGAAGCCCTACATCGGCCGCCTGATGGTCTGTATATACACACTACGAGCCTAGACGACGTATATAGCATTTCCCCACGTGTACTACTAAATGACAAAAAACTACAAGCGATTGTATTGATCAAGGCTTACAAGAGGAAATAGGCGTGATCACGTGACTGGGGATTTTGACGCTTTCTCACACCAAACCGTCATGTGATGCAGCCCACACATACCCTAAGCCAAACCCCACCAGAAATTCACGGGAAAAAAATTGTGCTTGATACTTTTTCCCATTTACGACCAATCCGTCTTCCACATCGACACTCTTCATCCATCTCCATCCTCGCACCACGCAACACCCGCTCCCCTTCCACCACCACAAAATCAGTCAAGATGGGTCGCGTCCGGACGAAAACCGTCAAGAAGTCCGCCAAGGTCATCATTGAGCGGTACTACCCCAAGCTCACTCTCGACTTCGAGACCAACAAGCGGGTGTGCGATGAGATCGCCATCATTGCTTCCAAGCGCCTGCGCAACAAGATTGCCGGCTACACCACGCATCTGATGAAGCGTATCCAGCGGGGACCGGTCCGCGGTATCTCCTTCAAGCTGCAGGAGGAGGAGCGCGAGCGGAAGGATCAGTACGTGCCCGAGGTCTCTGCGCTCGACTTTGCGCAGAACACCGAGAGCGGCCAGCTGGATGTCGACACCGAGACCAAGGACCTGCTGAAGCACCTGGGCGTAAGTATCTATGCTTTTCCTGCCTCCAGAGGGGGCACATCGAGACTAACACGCGGCTCGCAGTTCGACACCATCCCCGTCAACGTTGTCCCTGTCACCCAGCAGCAGGTGACGGAGCGTGGTGGCCGCCGCTTCGGCGACCGGCCCCCTCGTCGCGACTAATTTGTCGGATGACGAGCGTTGGCGACACATACACCAATGAGCAAAATACCGACTCCCCACCTCCGACACAGCATGGCCGTGGGGCTGTTTATCACATCTGGCGTCTTGATTTTGCGGATCGGGTCTTCTTGCTTACCCAAACGGAAGGGACGCAATGGCTAGGATTTGATTTAACAAAAGAGAAGGACGGAAGCCAAAAAGGGGAACAAAAAAACAATAAAACCCGCATTCTGCACAACCAAGGTGTCGCGGACACTCATCTGACCACCAGAGAGTCTGTCTTGCTTGATTGCCAATATCCTTCCCGTTGCCGTTATGCTGTTACTCTGTCGGCAGTTATGCTGTTAGCTGTGCTGTGCGTGCATGTGCTTGTCTTTGTCGTTGCTTGTAAATCTTGTAAATACGGCGTGTGCTCCGTAGTTACTGTGCCTGGTGCTTCACCAAGTAAAGAGCGAGGAAGCTGCACTTTGTAGACAACAACAGTAACTTGCCACGGGGTTTCGTCTGATGTATATTTGTTGTATGTCCTCTGCCTAAACGCCCACGTAAATGCGCATATGCCAATGCAACCATGTAGCCCCGGTCGTGTAAATGTACACACCACTATTTCGTTGCAAACCTGATCTTGTGGCCCTCGAGTAGCATGTGAGCATCGTCGGATGTGTTGCTGTTAGCCAGCGTCGGCTCGACGGGAGCGGAAGTGATTGGTTTCTCGATAATGTTGACGTCCACGGATGCCACCGTAGGCTGGATCCGGGCCTGGGCGGCCGCGACTTCGGGATCGGTGGAGGGCAGCGAGGACGTGTCGCCGCGCTCGAGGGCCAGGGCCGCCTGGCTCTGGGCGAGGCGCCGCTCCTCGTGCAGCTTCAGACGGGCGAGGTCCTGGGCGAGCTGGGCCTCAGGGTCTGGCCCCGACAGGGTCGTGCTGCTGTCGTCCTGGTCGTCCTCGTACAGATCGACCTCAATGTCGGGGATGCCGACGCGCTCCCAGGCGGCCGTCTCGTTGAGCTGGACCTTGATGTAGAGGGCGCGGCGGGCACAGGCAGCCGAGCACCAGCGCTCCAGCTCGCCCTTGGGCATGATGCCGCCGTGGGCGAGTTTCCAGGAGCCGCGGCCGGCAAAGGTCTTGCGTGGGTTGGCGCACAGGGCATATCCGCAAAGGCCGCAGGTGTTACGCTCTTCGATCAGGTCGTCGTAGTCGCCGGGCTGGAACGTGCGCACGAGCTGCCGGAAGGCGGCGGCGTCCGAAGGTGCCGGCCGTGCTGAGGAGTACGACGGCGTGCGCACGAGCGGAAACGCCGTCAGCCGGTCAATATCCAGGAAGATGGCCGCCTCGAGGTCGCGGCGCTGCTGCAGAATGGCCGCGTGCTTGCCCGCAATCTCGGCATTGTCCTCCTCGGTGCGCTGGCGGCGGCTGTGCGTGGCCACGGTGCCGCTGGCGTCGTCGGCTCTGCTGGCGCCCGTCTTCAGGATGCCCTTCAGGGGCCGTTCAGCTTCAGAGGCCATCACGCAGCTGGTGGGCGGAGGGGCGAGCAGAACAAAAGGCGAAAACGCAACAGAAAGTAAAGAAAAAGAGGTCGTCCAAATGAAGAAAGTGTGGGGCACTTACCACCATGACGGTATGGCACAGTGCTAATTACAGTGCCGCCCAAAATGTCACAGCGCGCAGGAAGCTGCCAGGTGTTGCATCATCCCTCTCAGCCACCCGCGCCTTCCCTCTGCCGGCCTGCTGCCTGGACCAGAGCGTCCCCCTCTGCCTTTTTCGTTTGATTTCTACGCGTCCTTCCGGCTTCTGCGGAATTACAAGCAGTCTCTCTCACACTGCTCACCATCAGCAGACCGACTGCCTCACGGCAGCCCCAACGCTCCCTCACTTCTCCGTCCCCCTTCTCTCTGCATATCCTGGCCAACCGACATATCCTCGACGCTGTTACAGCCACACTGCCCTACGACGCATTTGTTCAGACATATTCGTGCCCCTCTTTTCTGTCTTTTGCCCCCCGTTGTTACAGGCCACACCACTGTTTCATCTGCTGACGTCGACTCGACCAAACAGCGCTCTCTTCGTACGTCGTATAGCTATAGCGATTACGGCCGGCTGGGGAGCAGGGGCAGAGAGAAACAAAGACACAAACGACGGTACGGCACCGTGGCGAAGCTACCCTCACTATCCACTCAGGAGGAGCTAAGGAATCAAAGCACCTGGAGGAAATACGCCGCATCTTCAACCAGCCTCCCTGCTTTCCCCACTGCCGCCTAATAACGCTCCTCCAAGCAATTGTTGTTACTGGAAAGGCCAGCAAACGGGTGTGGCAGCACATCGTTCTGATTCCTCGGCACCACCGCCCCCCCCTTTCCAACCACTTTCTCGCCCCGTCTTGTTCTTGAGCCATCTCATCCATCCCCGGGTTGTCTGCCTCTGCTTTTCTTTTGTCTACGTTTGGTGTCGTTCGGCCGGCCCCTTCATCTCGTCCGAGTGCGAGAATAATTCCCCGCGGGTCCCGGAAAAGTAAGGAGGGGTCGAAGCTTCAAGCCGAATCCACCTCTGGCCAGCCAACCTGCCACTGCAGAAAAACCTGCCAGCAACAACCATTTCGCAATTCGCAACACACCCCTATAGCCTGTCCTGCGCGCATCCCCAACGACGCGCCTGCAGGTTGCCGCCAGCCACAATGTTCAAAGTCAAGGCCATCTACGAGTACTCGTCGGCCCACGATGACGATCTGAAGTTTCCTGTCGGCCAGATAATAACTGTCACGGAAGAGGAGGACGACGAATGGTTCTCGGGCGAGTACACCGATGACTCGGGCGTGCATCACGAGGGTATCTTTCCGCGGAACTTTGTCGAAAAGTACGAGCCGGTCGCTCCGCCCCGGCCGACGCGGACCCGTCCCAAATCTTCGGCTGTTTCGTCTTCTACTGCTGCCGCTCTCGCTGCTGCTATTCAGGAGCCTTCCTCCCCTCCGCCTCCGCCGTCTCCGAGAGCTCTTGCCCCGCCGGCAGAGGAGGATGAAGAAGAAGAGCCTGTGCCCGAAAAGGCCTCTCCGCCCGCACCTGCGCGAGCTGCCACACCCACCTCGTCTCCTCGGAAACCGGCCGCCTCCGTGGCACCGTCGTCTCCCATTGTCATTTCCAAGGCAGCGCCGGTATATTCTCCGGGTCCCAAGGCCGCACATTCCCCGATTGTGCCAAAACAGGGCGGCTCGCCGCCGGCTGTGGCGGAGAAGCCGATTGGCAACTCGTTTCGCGACCGAATAGCCGCATTCAACAAGGCGGCTGCTCCCCCTATCACACCTTTCAAGCCTAGCGGTCTGGCCGGTGGTGGGGGCGCTAGCAACTTTATCAAGAAGCCGTTTGTGGCGCCCCCTCCGAGCCGCAACGCATTCGTTCCTCCGCCCCGAGAGCCTTCGACGACGAAGCTGTACCGGCGGGATGAAGACCCCGAGATCCGAGAACGAGAGGCGGAAAATCTCGAAAGCGCCGAGAGGGCCGGCTTGCTTCCGACAGCGTCAGCTGCTGGTGGCCAAGCAGAAGAAGAAGAAGCCAAGCCGATGATGAGTCTGAAGGAGCGTATGGCCCGTCTTCAGCGGGAGCAGCAGGAGCAGGCACACCGACATGCCGAGGCTGCTGCCAAGAAGGAGAAGCCGAAGCGGCCGCCAAAGAAGCGGCTGGACAGCCATGACTCGGCCGCGACGGCGACTGCAGTTGCAGTAACCCCGACGACGGACGAGACCGGTGGCGTGGCACAGCAACCGCCGGCTCTCGAGCGGAGGGACACGGGCGACACGGGCGGGCGGCGCTCGGTGGACGAGAGCCACCCGCCGCGTGTTCCCCACGCACCCCGTCGAAAGGCGTCTAAGGACCCCGAGGCGCAAGACGGAAACGACGCGGACATGTCGGGGGCTGGCGACACGACGGAAGGGCAGGACGACGAGCAGGCCGAGCGGGACGACAGCGATGAGAAACCGAGACAACTGTCTAAGTCGGCGATTCCCAGCAGCGAGCGACCGGTCGAGGAAGCAGCCAAGGATGAGGAAGAGGAGGGTGCGGGCGAGGAGACGACGGCGAAAGAGGAAGAAGGAGAGACCGAGCCGACGGAAGCGGCAACAGCAACGGGGGAAGAAGAAGAAGAGGAAGATGTTGACCCCGAAGTGCGCCGACGAGAAGAGCTGCGGGCAAGAATGGCCAAGATGAGTGGTGGGATGGGAATGATGGGGATGCGAGGCATGCAAGGCATGTTTGGAGGGCCGCCGCCGCCGCCGATGATGAAGAAGAAGATGCCGGTAGTAACGCCGGAGAGACGATCGAGCGAGGCGACGGAGGAAACAGTGGCGGCTGCACGTGCCCCTCCGGTTCCGGCGATGATGGCACTGCCCGGACTGGCGATGCGGCGATCTGAGGACAAGCCGGCAGCTGCATCGCCAGTCGAGGCGCCAAGAGCGGCGAGTCCAGCTCAGGACACCGAAGAGAGTGGAAGCCAGCCGGCGAGCACGTCTCCTCGCAGTCCTCCAGGTAAGATTTCGGAATGTTGGTGCAGCCAGGTGACTGCTACTCTTTCTAATGGTAATATAGTGCCGGCCCGAGCGGCAGCCCCTCCTCCACCGCCCCTGAGCACGCGGCCAGTGCCACCGATGCCGCCACTTATGTCGACTCAGGGTCCGACAGCAACGGACGGGTCCGAGTCGGATAACGAGCTTTCGAAGCAGACGTCGATTGTGTCGGCGGAGACGCCGCGAGCAGAGGCACCGCCACCACCACCACTGCCGGCGGCAGCCGCAGGCCCGACATCACCGATATCGCCAGTATCTTCCGGACCAGCGCTGCCCAACAGACGCAACAGCCGGATACCGCCGCCGATTCCTGGCTCGGCACCGGCACCTCCACCGATGCAGGCGCGTCCACCGCCGCCACCGCCACCGCCGGGGAGCCTCAGCCGCCAGTCGACGATGGAGGCACGGACACCGCTTTCGCCGACGATGCCGACGGCCGGCACAGAGGCAGCGGCCAGCTCGGATGACGACAACGAGGAGGAGGTTACAGAGTACGAGGGAGACTACGACACAGATATTGGCAATCCAATTCCACACAAGAACTCGCTCAAGGCACACGCACGCGATTCCAGTCTGGAGGACAGCGCATCTCTCAAGTCGCCCATCTCGGAGAGGACGCCATCGTTTCCGCCGGTTCCACCACCGGCTCCGCCACCGGTTCCCAGCGCATCGCGAGTACCACCGCCTATTCCTAGCCAGCCGCCGCCGCCGCCGAGTCTGCCGCCCCAGGCTCCTCCGCTGACGATAGCCGAGAAGCGGCGCTCGATCGACGTGCCCCGAGGCCCGCCGCCACCGCCACCGCCACCGCCACCGCCAATGGAAGCTGATGGGCTTGAAGAGGATGAAGGCGAAGACGAGGGTGACAAGTACGACCTGTACAGCCACGTGGCCGGCTCAGCCGGTCCAGCCAGCGCGCCGGCGTTGGTTCCGGGGCAGCAGTCACTTCTGAGCAGCGAGCTGTACACGCCGCCAGACCTGTCGCTGGCGTTTGCACCTGGGCCGGCGTCATCATCGGCAACGCCACGGGCACACCCACCCGGTCCTCCACCACCGCCGCCGGCTAGCCAGGCGCCTGCGGCATCGCTGCACAGCAGCCGAGGTGCGCGGCAGTCGCTGGACGTGTCGCGGCCGAGCGTGGCTGGGGGCAGCCGGCGGTCGGTCGACATGGTGCGGCCGTCGATGGAACTGGGCCACGTGGCCAATGACATTGACCTCGCACCGCTGTCCGGCTGGTGGCTGCAGGCCAAGAACCTGCCGCCACAGCTGCAGGGCCGGCGTGACATCTTCTTCGAGTCGGAGGACTCGCAGTCGGCGAAGCGCGACGGCTCGATCGAGATGACGCGCGACATTTACGTGCTGTACCTGGACTACTCGCAGACGGTGATCACGGTACGGTTCAACCCGAAGGACTCGGCGGACGTGCAGCTGGAGCAGCGCCATGAACCGCCGCCGCGCAGCCTGCGACAGGACCAGCTAGAGCAGTCATACGAGCGGTTTGGACGGCACATGGCAGACTCGGTGGTGGCGAAGAAGGATACGGTGGTGGGAGACGGCACGCCGCAGGGGCTGGTGACGGAGCTGATCCGGCCGTTCCGGGATGCGCTGCTGCCGGTGGGCACGCGGGCGTACGGGGCGCTGGTATACTCGAATCTGGCGAACGCAAGCACTATGCAAAATGACGAGATCCGGGCAGGCGACATCATCACGCTGCGCAACGCACGCTTCCAGGGCAAGCACGGGCCGATGCACGCCAAGTACAGCATGGAGGTGGGCAAGCCGGACCACGTGGCAGTGGTGAGCGAGTGGGATGGGACGAAGAAGAAGGTGCGGGCGTGGGAGCAGGGCCGCGAGAGCCGCAAGGTGAAGCTGGAGAGTTTCAAGCTGGACGACCTGCGATCGGGCGAGGTCAAGATCTGGCGCGTCATGCCGCGCAGCTGGGTCGGCTGGGAGGGCCAGAACTAGGAGGACAGCCTGGCCGTGCCTGTGGCGACGTCGTGGACGCAGCGGCGCAGACAGGCGCAGACGTACGTGTGGCCGTGTGCCGAGACCTGTCTGTCGTGGCCGCGTTCGCAGCCGGGCCCGAAATTGTTGGTGGCAGACCGCTGTCGACCGCGAGAGCTGGGCGAGCGTGGAAGAAGCTGGGGGCGATGGTAGGCGAGTTGGGGGGATGTGCAAACAAGTACGGAGTACCGTCTTCCCGTCTCACTCACTTGCTCTCACTTTCTCACTCTCACTCATATCTTTGTTTTTTTGCTTACTGTTTTTGTTTGGCTTTTGTCTTGTCCTTCCTGTTCAAGAGCACGACGCGTTCAGCACCTCATCTCTACATCTCCCCATCTCTGTTTTTGTTAGTATAGTAGCAGTAAAATTATGGGACATTCATCAGCGAGGAGCAGACGTGTGTGCGATTGCTGTCTACCAAGTCTCTGATTGCTAATACTAGATCCTGGCAGTCTCAGGAATACAAAGGAGATCTCATACAACGAGGTATAGTCGTACCGGACAAAGGAAAGGTAAGAGATCGTGAGGCCAAGGCCCGAAGAAAGACGCCGCCATCCATGAAGCCCGCGGATATCCGAGATGCAGAACAAAGGAAAAAACCAGGCTGTGTGCCATCCGTATTATAAGTGCCGCATCGAGCACGTGATTTGTGTTTTTCTACTCCCATTTCCCAATCCGAAAGAAACGCCCGCTCGTAAACATCGACATCAACATCAATATGCGCTGATCGGCTGTGCGTTCCGCAGCGGGCTGGACGCATGAGGACTGCTGCCGCTACTGCCTCGGCGATGAAAGAGGTGCATGAGGGCGCGCGGGCCGCTGTTGTTGTTCTTGCTGCCGCTGTTCTTGCTCCTGCTGCTCCTGCTGCTGCTGCCACCACTGCTGCTACAGCTGCTGCTCCGGGCGCTGCGCATGGCCGAGGCCTGTTCGCGGGCCCGTCGCACGTCGGCCGTCGGCCAGCGGTCACGGATGGTGTCGTCGACCAGGGCGACCAGGCCGGTGGCCATGATGACGTCAGCCACGTCGGTTATGGCTTCCAGCACCGACCGCTCGCTGATCCACATGTGACAAGGCGGCACCCAGCCGCCGGCTGCCTCGTCGGCCGCCTCCTGGTTCGGCGACCGCGGCTCTGGCACGATGTGTGCGATTACCGGCACGTCGGCCTCGTCGTCGCCGGCGTCGTAGTCCCGCAGCAGATGGAACTGCACCATGCCGGGCAGATGACGTTCCGACACCCGCTTCCACGTGTACCGATGGCCCCACCACTCAAAGTCGTAGTAGGCTGTGGTGGTCGGCCCTGTGTGGCTGTTGTGGCTGTGGCTGTTGTGGCTGCTGTGGCTGTGGTGGCTGCTGTGGCTGTGGTGGCTGCTGCTGCTGCTGCTACTGCTGCTGCTGTAGTCGACGCCGGCACGATACGTCACGTCGACGCGTGCATAGTTGCTAAACTCGAGCTTGACCGTGTTTGTCGGCCGGGGTCGTGCTGCCGGCCGGACGTCGGCACTGCCGTCTCTGCTGCGCCGGTCAAAGAGCGAGGAGAAGGACGAGGTTGACCGAGCCAGCGATGGCTTTGAGCTGCCGCCCAGCGACCGCAACGCCGTCGTCATGGATCGCTGCAAGGCTGTTGGTCCTCCGCTGCCGCCATAGCTGCTTCGCCGGCTCCGGTTCTGGTCCTGGTTCGGCCGGCAGGTCGTGCTGGGCTCGTCGTACACCAGCTTGGCATTGCAGACCTCGCGGCCCGAGTCGCGGCAGTATCGCCGCAGCGAGAACTCGCGCCGCGCGAGATCATACATGCGCAGGTGGAAGAGCTGGTAGGATGTCGGCCGTCGGCGGCCACCGCTCGCGGTCGTGCCGCCTGACACGGTCATGTCGACGCGCAGATTCATGTTGCCGTCCGTCGTGAACTCGTCGTGGCGGATCGACATGCGATCGACGCTGGGAAACAACTGCGCGAACCCGTGCGGCGTTGTCGGCCTCACCGTGCCATCGACTACCTCGTGTCGGTATTCGGGCAGCGGTGGGATCACCGGCTCGTCGCCGTCGTCGCCGTCGTCGCCGTAGCTGTCGCCGTAGCGCTGCGATGCGTAGCCGCTCGCATACGGTGACAGGTCCGCCGGGTCGTAGCCGTACGCCAGGTCTGCATCTGCGCGCTGCTCGGCCTCGCGCTCGTCTGCCTCGTTCTCGGACTCGTCCTCGTTGCTGGACGCGTACGTATCGGTCGAGGCGCGCGGACAGCATCGTGTCGACGGCGAGAGGTCGTCGTAGCAGGGCAGCTGGAACCGAGGGACGTCTTGACCGCCACGAACCCCTTGGGCATACGTGACGGACCGTGGAGAAACCGTGGACATGGGTGTTGATGCTTGTGCTTGTGCTTGTGCTGCTGCTGATGCTGTCGTCTTCTCCAGCGTCCGCGGCGAGTAGCCGATCAGGACGGACGTGAGAGCCGTGCTCTGCGATGAGGCATACGACTCACTGCTGCGTCGGCTGCTCCCAGATCCGCAGCTGGACGTCGTGCTGTGGCCAGAGCTGTGCTTTTGTATCGACAGCATCGTCTGTCTGTCGGGTGTCTGTGTGTGCTGTGCAGAAGGAAGGGAGAGATGCGAAGAGAGGCCGTGGCCCGGTCTTGTTATAGATGGAGTCGACAGGTGTCTGCTGGAAGCCGGCAGCTCCTCTCCGTGTAGATGAGCATAAGATGCAGGGCGACACGTTTGTATGGCTGTGGGCCGCTCAACGTGCTGTATGCAAGATAAGTGCGAAAAGGCAAAAGGCAAGTATGAATCGGCCAAGGATCGGCTGGACGTGTGGCAGTATATGTATTTTGTGCACTCCGTAGAGATGCCAAAATGCACAAGATGGTGTCGGGACGAGGCATATATGGCCGTTCTGACGGGAGAAGGAGGGGCGTGGTGCAATCGAGAGACGGAACGAGGGAAAGGACCAAGTCAGACAAACCGAGCCCGCGGGATGGCATGGATCCACGAGAAGGCAGAAGGGGGGGGGGGTCGGTACAGTGGCTGAGACAGACCTCCTACGAGTACGAGTACGCAAAACGGGAGGATGGGGGTCAGGGCGGCCGACAGGAAGACGATCGGGTCCAGTGCCAGTGTAAGTCGATAGCGGGGAATGGCCCCAAAACGGAGTGCTGACGGCTTGGTGGCAACGAGTGGGCCCACTGTGGGCTGCTGGACCGTCCTGGGTCTCCCCACTGCGATGCGCTAGCAGCACGCCAGAAGCTGCTCGGCAGCGCTATTTGCGGTTGCAGCTTCAGGGGAGATGGGAAAGTGGGCGGAGAAGGGGAAGGATGAGAAAAAAAGAGTCAGGAAAAAGAAAAAAGAGCAAAAAAGAAAAGAGCAAAAAAGACAAAAAAGAAAAAAGAACACGAGGAAGTGACGACTCGTCGGAATTGGGCGACGGCACTGTCCGACAGCCTGCCTCACTGCTTCCTCAACAAGCCGCATCTTATCTTACTATGCTTAAGTCAGCAAGTCAGCATGGCCTTCAGAGTTTTCCATCCCTCGTCCTTCGCCCGTTCTTTCCCCTTCTGGTTCCTGCGCCTGCCTCCACGTGTCAATTGCCAGATTTCTCAATCGAGCTCTTGGGCATCTGTTGTTCTTTTGGTTTGTTGTTCATTTTTTCTTCTTTCACTCGCTGTCTCTCTGCATCGAGTCCGTCGACACCAGCACATCGCGGCCGCTTGTTATGCGCTCCTAAAGTGCCGCCAGTGGCTGCAGACCCATATTCGCCCACGCGGCAGCCAATACCACCGTTTTTTGCCGTCGCCAGCACCAATCACAGCTTCCCGGCCGTTTCGACTGCTACCCAACGCCACTGCTCGCGTCTGTACGAGTGCCTCTGCGACGATCCTGGGCACGACGTCTCGGGCTGTGCTGAGCAGCAGCTGCGTCCACTCGGGCCTCTCGGCAGATGCCTGCTGACGACTCCTCCTGCTGTGCCAACACTGTCGTGCGAGCGTCATCTGGCGTCTATTTTTGCCTTTCTGATTTTTGATTTCCGATATTCGATACTCGATACTCGATATTCGATACATCGGATCTGCCTCGGCCCTTGGCTCGATCGACACCGGCCTGCTCCACCGCGCGCCGATGAACGAATGTCTCCGCCTCGCTGCTCCTGATCGGCTCGATGACGACCGCATGCGTCCCGGCTGCTCGCTCGTCGATGCCCAAGCGCAACGGTGCACACCGCGTCCTCAGTGGCCGCTCTCGGCTCGTCCAAAAACTCCGTCTCCGAGACTAGGAAACGTGACCGGCACCGTATGCATCCTGGCAGGCGATAGGTAACAGCCTCTTATCGCGAGAAAGGACAGGTAAGACGCATTGCTACCGTCCATCGGTAGCAGTCCGTCTCCGACCTCGCAGCCAAGAGAAATGACACATTTGCCCAGATGGGGCAGAGACATGGCGACATGGCCGCAGGAATGGAAACCAGCCATTGGACCAGAACAAAACACGACTCGGCCGTCTGAAGCGAACGTGTGCTGGCGCCTGTCAATTGGCTCCCTCGGCATCCTATGTGGGTAGCCCCCCGCCTGTCTGGGAGCTGCTCGTATCTTAGGACTAGTTTGGGGCGAACACCGTCTCGGCAACCGGTTCAGGGCTGCTGTTAGGCATTTCTGCATCTTTGCCCATGCAACAGCTTCCAAAGCCCCGACAGGGCGCAGAGAGGCCGCAGCTGGCCGCAGGAGCCCAACCACGTCGGTCAGCAGTTCCCAAACAGGTGCACTTTGCCAAAATCGCATTGGCCATGAAAAAGAGACGTTCCTGACTCACAGGAAGCATCTCGCCTGGTCCGCCTGCTGGGGGGCGCTCAATTCGGCTCCCCGTATGGCTGTCGTGTCTACACCCTAGGAGTAACTTGCGGGCCTCTCAGTCTTGTCGCGTACTCCGTACACCGCTGGCTCTGCGCAGAGGTTCAGCTCTCCGGTCAGTCCGGTCTGTCCGGTCAGTCCAGATGGCTGCATGACCAGGCTGACGTTCTTTCGCTTGTTTATAATGTCTTGGAAATTGATTGAGCCTGTCTCGGGACAGGTCTGGCACGCAATCGTACCACAACGCTCGCCGGCCTACGAGTACGAGCCTATCACGCCACAGGATGTCCAGGACGTCGTGGCCGTCCTGTATGGACGCACAGAGCTTTGTTTCTCGTGGCCGATCTTGCTGCTGCTGCAACCTCGCGCCAGCCGTCGCCGGCTATTATGGAGCAGACAGGGCCGATCGTGACAACGCGTCGTTGCTGCTGCTGCTGCTGCTGTTGCTGCTGCTGCCTCACGACGACATCGTGGGCGCTCTCGTTGGCATCCCAGTGCTGCCGATCCATCCACCCTGTGGAACGAGCGTTTTTCGGCCTCCTGGGGCCCAATGTGCGTGGGAGGCCCAGAACCTATCTAGCCTGTGTTGTCGTGTCCGTGTGGAATTACGTTGCTGCTCGACACACTGGCGGAGACACAGAAGGGGCCTCGTTTCGTCTCGGCCCCTCGGCCGTCAGTTGGATTCTCCGCATCGTCGGCGGGTCAGAACGAGGCTAGCCTCTTGAGATGAGCAGCGAGAGAGCCTAATGGTAAGATACGTCTGCCACCACCACTCTGCTCGTAAGATTTGCCCACAACCCTTGCTCCTTCTTTCCGATTGGCCCGACGGAGGCAGGAGCGCGCCAAATCCGGGGTACATCGCTCTTTCTTCCTGCAAAGGCTAAGACGGCCATGGCAACCCGAATTTGTGTGCTGTGCTGCTGTTGCTGCTGCTGTTGCTCTTCGACGTGGGACGGATGTCGGTGACATGGCCTGGAAAGCCACGTAGCGCGGCGTCGGCATCGTGGCTGACATCGTGGACAGGAGGATCACGCGAGGTGGGGCTGCACGAGACAGTCGGCAGTACTCGCAAGGCGACAGGAGGAAGACAACGGATATAATAATACCGGATAATGCTGATCTTGCAACTGGTGGTAATCATACAAGAGTTGGGCGCCAAATGAGCCGTGCGAACGAGAGAACGGCCGGATGAGAACAGTAGGAGAGACAGATACAAAGGAAAGAGAGTACAGTAGAGGCAAAGTAAATGCAACAGTAGACGCAACAGGAAAGAAACCGCTGGTAATGAATGACAAAGCCCTCAAGCACTGCCGCCGGCCTGCCGCTCGACCACGGACCGGAGAACCCGGAGCTTCTCCTCCGTCACGCGGATAGCCTCCTGAATGTCCCGGCTGTCCATCGGATCGTCGTGCAGCTTGTCCTGGACCACTCGGGCGTCCATCCCCCTCTTCGAACCGGCGCTGGCACCGTCCATCCGTCGGTCGAGTCCGACCCGCTCCTCCAACCAGCTCCAGAGCTCGCTCTCCTCGCGCTGCCAGATCTCGTCGTACGCGGCCACACGCTCCGGATAGGCTGCCCGGTAGCCGAGATCGCTGCTGCTGCCGCCGTATCCCAGCTGTCCCGGCTGTCCCATCGGCGGCTGTCGGCGTGACGTTAAGCCAAAGCCGAACCATGCTGCCACCAGCAGCCCGACCAGCAGCCCGTACATCACGTTGCCCGTCAGCAGCGGCTGCACAACGTCCATCAGCGGCTCGACCAACCCGCGTACCGGCTCCAATGGCCCCCAGTCTGCCTTAACTTCCGGCTTCTTGGCCACGCTCTCGACTTCGCGTGTCGGTCCCGACAATGGAGCCGGCTTGCCTTTTCGTCCCTTTTTCCGGCCCTTGGCTCCCGGCCCATCTTCGCCTGCCACGGCACGCGACCGTGACGACGACAAGAGCGCCTCCTTCAGGCTCGCAAACAGGTCTTTGGAGTACTGCGTCTGGCCGTCGTTGGCCCCCTTTTCGATCGGTGCTGCACCTGTTAGCAAAGTCTGCAGAACACAGAACACAGAACACAAAACGCAAGCTCACCTTTCAACCAGCTCTTCCCCGTCCACTCAATCGTGCAGTTGATCTGCACCCGCGTCGCGTTGTTCTCTGCCCACGAGAAGCAGTACTTGGTCTTGACCGTAAACACATTGCCGCTCGGCACATCTGGCGTCTGCGTCGCGCACGTCACGTTGATCGCCTTGTCAAAATCAATCGCCTCCACCGTCTCTGTCACGATGCACTTGGTCTGCTTCGGCCCGATCGGCGCGTTCAGCGGCTTGACGTACGATATCGTCCGCGTCTTATTATCCGGGCCCAGGCCCTTCTTGTCCGACACCTGCACGTCCAGGCACTTCTGGTCGTTCGACAGCCACTTGATCATCCACGTCGCCGACGTCGCTCCAAACACGTAGCCGAACACCTTCCCCAGCGGCGCCCCAATCACATCGTCTGCGAGGATCCTGTCGTAGTGCGACCCTGTGTCGCCGCAGTCGGTCGCCGCATGCGTCAGAGGGCCGGGGAAGTCGCCGCCTGCTGCCGGTGCCGTCGCGTCCTTGGGCTTGTCGGCCGCCGCTCCGTTCGACGCTGTGCCAGACGTCTTGCGCGTCACCGCCTTCTCGGCGCCTGTGTCGGCCGCTGCGCCGCCTGCATCCGACACGTATGCCGTCTCGTGCATATCCTCGTCTTCCGCATCCTCGTCGTACACCTCGTCCGAGTCGTCTTCGCTCTCGTCCTCCGATGCTGAAAGACTGCGGCTCTCGACAGACACATCGCCCCGGTCCTCGATCTTCTCCGTCTTGTCACCGCCCGTCTCGTCAATGTGCACTCCGTTCAGCGAGCTCTGCAGGCTGGGGTGGCCGAGCTTCCAGATCTTGACAATCAGGTCGTATGTCGAGTCTCGGCTCGCGAAACTGGCAAAGATGTGCTTCGCGTGCAGCGTCGAGATCATCAGCCCGTTCTTGAACACGAGAGCCGTGCTCCGCTTCTCCACCGACACCACCTCGTCGAAGCTCATCACCAGCGTCGTCACCCAGCCGAGAATGTTGCTGCTGAAGCAGATGTAGCCCTCCGATACGTAAAGGCGCCCGTGCGCCAGAATCTCGCGCTGCAGAGCACAGCTGTAGTCCTCGATGAGATAGTCGTCGTCGGGCACGCTCTTGAACAGGTTGTGAAACTCGCGGTTCCGCTTCTTGCTGGCCACCGCGAAGCCCGTCAGCTTGGGCGCGTTCCCCGGCACCGTTGGGTTGACGCCCGAGAGGTTGGCCGCCGCAACTGCAGCCGCGATCGTATTCGACGCACCGCCCTTCGCAGCCGAGCTGTTGCGGCCTCTCCGCCGCCCGTGCGCGCTCTTTGCACTGCCGGAGCGATGGAGCGCAAAGGCCTTTTCCTTGTCGCCATTTATGCTGGTCGTCGGCGGCGTGCCATCTTCGTGGCCGGTCCCATCCGACACAGACAACGGCCGAACGGCCAGCAACGCCGCATCGTCGGCGCCATGTTCCTCCTGTTCGGACGGGTTGTTTAGGATGGACGGGTCAGCAGGAGCCGACTCCGACCGCCGTCTCGACTCAAACCCGCCTTCCGACATCCTGGATTGCACGTGTGCGGCGGGCGGTATGGCCACTGCTGCCTTTGTTTCTTCTTCTTCTTCTGGCTGGTCGATAATGCCCAGCTGGCTCAGGCTGAGGTCTCCAAGACCAAGCGTCTTCACCGCAGGCTCTTTCGGCTGCGATGAGGTGAGAGAAGGTGCTAGACCGAGATCGAGAGAAGACTCTACCTCGACACCCTCGGCTTCCTGTCCGTCGTCGGCGTCGTATTCTCTGCCCGACGTGGTCGTCCCCGGCTTCTTGTTGTTGCTGTTCCACGGACTGGAGATGTTGGTGTTGGTGACGGCGTTGCTCAGACTGTTTGTAGCATTCTGTGCAACCGAGAACATAGACGAGAAGAAGCCGCTCGAGGGGGTCGTCTGGCCGGCCTGTCCGTAGTCGGGGTTCGGTGAGATAGGGGCAAGCGTATAGTTGGACAGCTTGCTTGGTCCGAGAGATCCTGCACGTGCTCGTCTCTGCGAAATCATGCTGCTGCTGCTTATGGAAGCAGCAGGGGATGCATTGGGGGCGTCGATCGATGGAAGGGTGGCCGTGCCTGGGGATGCTCTGTGCCGAGTGCCAGAGAGAGCCACTGGGTGGATCGACTCGGTTGGTGTGGGAGGAGTGTTGACGATGACAGGGGCAGACGTCTCGCTTGAGGGTGGGGTCTCTGGCCGCACCGCAATCAGGCCGGTCTCGATCTTCTGGCCCTTGGAGAGACGGCGAAATCGGTCTGCCGCCTTTACTCTGGACGCATCAGATGGCTCGCCGTTGTGATTTGCGCCCTCGGCCGAAGACGCGTCGGGGATGGGTGTCTGTACGGGAGGAGGGGCGACTGGAGATGGGGCCGCCGAGATGTTCGGGTTTCGGGTTTCTGGGCTCTTGATGCTCCGATCGAGCTGGTTGTGGTCGGGATGCTGTCGCTCCCGCTCCGGACTGGAGTTGGCCGTGCTAGAGCTCTTCCGAGACTTGAAGACGTCGCGGAAACGGCCAGCGGGCGACGGGGATCTTCGTACTTTGGACGGGGGAGGCGCAAGGCCGGTCTGGATGGTGACGGTGGAGGTCGGGACAAAAGCACCAGAGTTGGTGGGCTTGGCGGACAGGGTGGAGGTTCGCCCGAGCCTCTCGTAATCTGACTGAGTCGGCGTCCGGACTCCGTGGACGTATTCCGCCTGGACTAGCGGCGATGACGTCGTGAGGTATCCGATCTGGGACGGGTGGCTGGAAAGGGGCGCTGGCAGTGGACTGTGACAAAACAAGTCAGAGCTAGGAAGAAGCTTTGTGGGGACAGAAGCAAGAAAAAAAGCAATCAGTGCCAGAATGGTCGGCGAGGCGGTGGGAGCAGAAAGCGGCAGCTAGAAAGAGCGGTCTCAAAGAGCAGGAGAGGCTCCTTCAAAAGCGGAGCTCTTGTGCAGAGCGGCCACCAGACTTGACCGGATCCCCTTTTCATCATCTCCGCGCCGCTCTCGTATTTCTCGTCTTTCCCGGCGTTTCTTGGCTGCACCAAGTGCGTTCGTGTAATGGCGGATCCACAGGGTAATAAAAACGAGAATAGGGTAAATTGGTTAGTTGCTTGCTTACAGGTCTGTGGCAGACGCCCCTGCTGCGGCTCCTCTCTCGTCCGCCTGGCTGAGGGATTCGTCGCCGTCGCTCCCGTCTGGCGCATCGCGGCTTCGAACATCACGACCGCGTGACTGCGGAGACATTGTGGTGTCGTTGAGGCTGCCGTTGCCGCTGCTGTGGCCGCTGCTAAGCGACTTCCGCCGCCGCCTGACGGAGATGGACCGCGGGATCAGATGTTTCTTGTGGCTGCCGTTCGTCGACGGGCTGCTGGCTGCGCTTATGTTCGTTTCTATCATGGCTGCAGGCGTTTTGTATTAGAGCCAGATTCGGGTCGGGTTCGGGTCGTGGGAGCCGTGAGGCTGACAGGCAGCCAACCGCAATCGATCTCACACCCTCGAGGGCTGATGCCTGCTTCCGTCTAGCTGCAGAGCGTACCCAGAGATCCGTCTAGACTATTCAGATGCCTTAACTGGCTATCAGATCATTTGCCCTCTTTTGTCCAGGACTGAACATTCGAATACGACAGAGGGATAATACGGAGAGAAGAAGCGCTTTAGAACACTTGGCGAAGCGACCGAGAGAGACGAATGGGCCAGAGAGAGCTAGGAGAGGGGAGGAAAAAACAAAAACAGAGAACAGATCGTGAAACAAATCCGCGATGCTGTCATTCTCGTACTGCCCGGCCTAGAAACGGAAAGAGCCAACGACCCCCTCTCGAACTGTACTGCGCCTTCTTGCTACTGGAGCTTCTTTCCCCTGTCGTCTTAGCGCTATTCCGGATAAGCTGTGCCAAAGTATCTGCACTGTGTGGCTGTAGCGTATTACGACGTCTCTGAACGAGACGGGGACTCTGGCTGACATGAGTAAAAGCAAAGTATTTGTGAGTAGACTCGCATACAGTGCGTATACGGCCTGATTATATACGCCGTAACACGATCTCCACACCCTTTCGAGTCTTCCCGACATTCGACAATCGACATTCACCACCACAATCGCAAGGCTGCGAGCAAACCGCTGTCAGCCGCTCTTTCCAGCCACGAATCCCGCTTCCGGGCCATTGCGTCGAATTCCCATCTCTCGACACAGAGTCTTCTTTTTGCAGCTCGTCCGTCGTAGTCGCGGGCAACCATGGAGGCATCCCCGCTGATCAAGGTATCTTACGATTGGTCAAGCAGCGGTCTGTTCTCATTTGTCTGCTGACCAGCTGAACCAGGCGCACGACCACGCACGAGAGGCGTCCATAGCCACCCATTCACTGGACACGACCGTTGCGGTCACAGAGCATGCACTTGCGGCGGGCGAGTTTGCCACGGCAGCTCAGACCACCGCCAGCACAGAGGCTCTACGAACGCTGAAGCTGCTCGAGCAGCACCACGAACGGTTGTCCCGGCTGCTGCGATACTCGATCGAACACCCGACACAACAGCAGAAGAAACAGCAGCAGGAGCAGAAGCAGCAGCAGCAGCAGCAGGAAGTGGGGGGTGACACAGCGAACGAGAAGGATGGAACAGCAAGCACGGCAGCAGGAGGAGCCAGCAGAACGACGACGGCATCTGTGTCGGGCGTAGTATCGCGGGGCGAGTTCTCGAATGCGAGCCGATCGCGGGCAGAGGGCCAGACGGGCTTCGACCAGACGGAAGCGGGCAGAACAGGCTCGGCGGCGGCAGTGTCCATGTCGGCGACAGCAGCAGCACATCAAGCGGGCGCAGCAGCGATGGCCAGTGCGCTGGGATCGTCCCCGTCTTCTCAGCCGCAGCGGCGATACCCGGCGACGCGCGAGCTGTCGTCGTCGATTGCCAACAATTTGGCATCGGCGCGAGGCATCCGGGGACGACACCGCGGGCAGCCAGCAGCGCCCAGCATGTCCAATGAGCAGGCGCCCGGCAATCTGGACGGCCAGCTGGGCGGCAGCCCGGACGGGTCGCGGACGCACATGCAGAGCGTGCTGCAACAGCTGCCGGACGGGAAGCCGAGCTGGGTGCCGCCGGGTCACGCGTCGGTGGCAGCGGTGCCGTCGCGGCTGAGCGCCGAGAAGAGCGAGGGCCATCTGAGCCAAAAGAGCTGGGACGAGGACCAGGCGACAACGAACACGGCCACGGCCGTCTCGGCTCCGGATGACGGATTCTCCCGGTTCTACAGCCGGTTTGGCAGCTTCATCAACCGGCTGTCGGCGCCGCTTGCCTTTGCAGGACTGCCGCTCATCGCCGAGGAGCCGGGCAGTGTGGCAGGCGGAGGCGACGCCACAGAGCAACCGCCGGTCGAGCAGCAGACGGCACCACATCCCATCCCACCGCAGCGACGGCGAAGCAGGCCGCCGTCTGTGATGCTGCCGACGTCGCCGCCGTCGTTTGGGGCCGAGCCGGAACTGTCCAAGATCTATTCCAAGGCGGCGCTGCGGGCGATCGGCCGCGACGGACACAGTGCGATGGACTCGTTCTACGTGGTGCCGCGGACGGGCCACACGGCGTCGTACGCCAACATCCTCAGCTTCGACCAGAAGGAGAGGCGGCGGATGGCGGCGTCGGTGCATGGCGAAGAGGAGCTGCTGGACCATGGCGACGAAGACGCGTTTATTGACGCGAAGGATTCGCAGCAGAACGGGCGGCGGGCAGTCCGGGGCGGTGGACGCGAGGCGCAGCACGTGGTCGAGGAGCTATACATTGAGAACCAGAGCCTCAAGGACATGCTGGACAAGCTGAGCAAGCGGCTGCACGCGTTCGAGGCGAGCGCACAGCACTCGCACATGGCGCTGCAGGAAAGCATGCGGCTGATGCGGCCGGGATCGCCACTATCAGCGAGCGCTATGGGTGGGCGGCCGGTGATGGAGTATGGAGGAGGAGGTGGTGTTGGTGCTCCTTCCGACGAGATCCCAAAGCGGATGACGGAACTGGAAATAGAGCTGACACGGGCGCTGCGGCAGCTTGAAGCGTCGGAGAAGGAACGGGCACACCAGGAGAAGACGCTGCAGCGGTACCGCGACAAGTGGGAGAAGCTCAAGGCGGACGCCAAGGCACGCAAGGGTGCCCAGATCCAGGGGCAGGGACCGTCGGCTTCCGATGGGACAACGACGCCTCGGTGAGGAGTTGCGTGGAGGTGCAGACCAGATACGAGATACCAAGATACCACGCGGGTTAGAGAACGAGCAGCGAGACGAGTATTGAAGCGAAAAGCGATTATTGATTTATTTTTCCATGCTATTCTCATTGGTAATATGTACAGTATAAGTCGTTCAGTCATGTGTGTTTGAGTTTGATAGTGTGTGGTGTCGAGTTTGCTCGAATCTTGCTGACTAAGCTGCCAAAAATACCATCACGACGGGATCGTCTCCCAGGCAGCGGCGGCCTCGGCGACACGCCGCCGGGTAACGATGCCACCGGTCAGCAGCGACGACGGCGACCGTTGCAGGGTATCGGCCCAGGAGGCGACGCTGCGCAGAGCGACAGCGAGGAAGCCGAGGGTCTCGCGGTCGACGTCGAAGACGAGCCACCAGGGCGTGCCGGGCGGCAAGTGGCAGGCGCCGTCACGAGCGGCACTGTAGACGGCCGCGACGGCGAGCTCGTGCGGCTGATGTGTGAGGTAGAGCAGCTGGGGGCTGAGCAGCGCAGTATTGAGGTAAGCGACGGCGCGACGGGCGAGCGTGTGGGCGGGCGAGCCGGCGTCGGCTGGGGCTTTGCTGTTGTTGTTGTTGCTGCTGTCGACAGCGAGAAAGTCCATTGCCTGAAGGTAGGTGATGGCCAGCGGATGCGGCAGGGCCACGTGGGTGTCGAAGCCGAGGGCGCAGAGCAGACGGGCCTCGAGGGCGAGCACGCGATCGTGAAAGGCCACATACGCGGCGTCGGCGAGGTAGCTCCGGCTGCGGTCTCGCGCATCGTCATCTCTGTCGGTCTGGCAGCCCCAGAAGTCCACGGTCGCGCCGAGATAGGCGTACACGTTGGCCAGGTCGCGAGCCGATCGCGGCGCGGCGCCCGTCTTGGCCACCACGTACAGCGCGGCCGCCGAGACGTGCAGGTAGTCGATGCCGTCGTCGCCATCACCGTCTGCGGTCGCCAGAAAACCCGGCACCACCAGCCAGTATCGTGCCAGCACCACGCAGGCCCGCGCCGTCGTCGACTGCGGCAGCTCCAGCAGCAGGCCGGCCGCCTGCGTCAGGCACTGCACCGCAAAGAACACGACGTCCAGCAGCTCCGCCGGCTGCCCCAGCGCTGCCATGCGCGTCTGGCAGCGCACCAGCTGGGCCGACGATGCCAGCGGGTTCGTGATGTGCGACATCGGTCGTGGGCGTGAGCAGAGACAGAAAAAGGGTACAGAGTTGAGTGCAGAGTGCGTTAGTTCATTTTTTATTTCGAGCCTCCAAGCTGCCAATTACAGTGGATCCCCAACGGGAAGGCGCGTTTCTACGGAGTCGTACTCCGTACTCTGTACTTCTTATGATCAAATGCTGACGTCATCGAATACTACACGTTCTTCTCGCGCGAACCCATCACCCTTTCAAAGCTGTCCAGCACCATCGTCAGCGAGTGCCACCCGCCCGTCATACTGCGCAGCCGGCTGTCGTACGAGAGCATCTCCTTGAGCGGCACACGCGCCACAATTTCCAGCATGCGCGTCACGCCGCGCTTGGTCGCCCGCAGCGACTGTACAGATTCGTATGGGTCGGCCGGCGCGTACACCTGCCCGAGATTGATGGTCTTTTCGGCACTTTCGGTACTTTCGCCTTTTTCGGCTTCGGCACTTGGTCGACCACTCCCTCCCTCTCGCACCTCGTGCACGAACCCGCCGCGCGACCCCGTGATGTCGCGCTGGATCGCGCCTGCGCTGTCATCCGGACACCCAATGTGCACCAGCATCACCGGCTCTAGCACCGCCACCGTGCCGTGGCTGTGCGCCTCACGCAGTGCCCCGCGCACCGCTTGCAGCGCCGCATTGACCACGTGACCCTCCGTGCCCGCGCCGCCATAGTCTGCCTCGACGTCAAACTCGAGCACCACCCGGCAACCATGCAGCGGAGATCCACGTCGGGGCCCTCGTGCCATCGCCCCGTATGCGCCGCTGAACAGCTGCCGGCTGAGCTCGTCTGCGTCAAACGGGAGCCTGCCGCTGGCCGTCGTGAACCGGATCTCGTACACGTTGCCGTCACGATCGATTGTGCGCCTGTATTCCATCTCTCCCGCTTCTTCCCTCTCCCCCCCCCCCTTCAACGGCGCAATCGTCGCCGTGCAGCCCGCTCGTCCCGCCTTGTTCGCAATCACCCGGTCGTACACGCTGTGATGCCGCGCCGTCGCCGCCGTCAGACACTCCTTGTAGTCGACCTGCACGTCGCTGAACGCTGCGTTGACCTTGTACGTCGTCTTGAGCCGGTCAATGGCAATGTCCAGGTGCAGCGTCCCCATGCCCGACAGCACAAATGTGTCGAGCTTCTCGTCCTTACTCCACCGCAGGCTCGGGTCCTCGCGCGACAGCTTGCCCAGCGCCTCCTCCAGCCGCTTCGTCTCGCTCGTGCCGTATGCCTCGGCCGACACAAATGCCACCGCCGGCCGCATCTCTGCCGGTCGGATCGTCATCGTCCGCAACCGCGCCACCGGCATTCCCCGGCTATGGCTCGGCAGAATGTGCAGCGTGTCGCCCGTCCGTGCCGCCTTGAGGCCCGTCACCGCTCCGATCTGTCCCGGCGACAAATACGGGATCTCGCCTACCTGCGCCGCCGCCACCTGCACAATCTGAAACGGCTTCTCAAACAGGCCCAGGTTGGCGTTCCACACCTGCGCGTTTTTGTGCAGCGCCCCGTGGTACACCCGCACAAACGTCAGCATCCCGTGCGTCCCCGGAAAGAGCGCCGGGTCGTTGACCACCTTAAACACCGACGCCACCGCGCCCACCGACGGATGGTGTTGCTGTGTCGTCTTCGTCGTCTTCGCCGTCTTCGCCCGCCCGTCGTCGTGTGCTCGCAGCGCCTCGCCCAGCGTCATCGTCTCCGAGCCCCCCACCTGCACCTTCACGTCCGGCGCCTGTTGCGGGCTTGGCAGATAGTCCACGATCGCGTCCAGCAGCGGCTCCACGCCAATGTTGCGCAGGCTCGAGCCCGCAAACACCGGCACCACGAGCCCGCCGCTGTTGCGCACCACTCGTCGAATGCTGTCCACGATCATGTCTGCCGGCAGGTCTGCTCCCACCTCGGCAAACGCTTCCACCAGCTCATCGTCGTCCTCGCATAGCCGCTCCACCAGCCGCGTCCGCGCCGTCTCCAGTTCCTCCCACAACCGCTCGTTGCTGCGCACCGCCGCCTCCGGCACCAGCGTGCACGTCCCGCTCGCCGTCCACTTCATCGCCCGCCGTCGGATCACGTCCACTACCCCCACGAAGCTGTCTTCCTTCTCCCATAGCGGCAGCTGGCACACCAGCGGATATGCATTTAGTCGTGACGCCACGTCCAGCACCGCTCGCTTGAATGATGCCCCATCGCGGTCTAGCTTGTTGACGTATACGATCCGCGGCACTCCGTACCGCTGTGCCGACGACCACACTCGCTCCGTGTGCGCCTCCACCCCCTTGACCGCGTCGATGATGCATACCGCTCCGTCCAGCACCGGAAGGCACCGGTCCACCTCAAACCGAAAGTCCTGGTGTCCCGGCGTGTCGATCAGGTTAATCGTCTTGGCATTTACCCCCTCCGCCAGGTGCTGTCGCGGAGGCCAGTTGAAGCTGATGGCCGCCGACTGGATCGTGATACCCCTCTGTCGCTCCAGGGGCAGAAAGTCCGTAATTGTGTCGCCATGGTCCACGTCTGCAGCAGCTGCGTTAGTAACAGGCTAGGCCATAACCAACACGTATACACATACTCCCCAGATGCCGAGTCACTCCGCTATAGTAGAGCATGCGCTCTGTGGTTGTCGTCTTGCCCTGCAACAGCATAGGTCAGCATCGGACACGTCTTATTCAAGTGTCATTCTCAGCGCGATTCACCTACCGCATCCACATGGGCAATAATCCCGACATTTCGTATGTCCTCGATTTTCGCATCGTAGTACGCCGGCCCGCTAGAATGTGCTGCTCGGACGAAACGCAGGCTGATGCTTGTCTTCTGGACGCCAGCCAGAGAAAGCAACAGCATACGCCCTCGGCAACATCGCGCAGCTGTCTTCTGGATAATCATACCAGCTCGGTGACCTTTAGAGCTTCATGCCTGATGCCTACACCTTCCCGCCCAGTTCTTCAGCCACTGCTTAACGTTCACTGCATAATCGCAGTCACCTGATAAGGACCCACTGCGAGCTCTTTGTCCGCCTCCACCCTTTTGACGCCACGTCTCAGCCACTTTCTCTCCTGTAGCGCAGACCTTTGCTCACCAAAAGCCAAGGCAGCCGGCAACGAAGCTACCGCCAGCATCAACGGCCACTCAGCGCACCGAAAAGTCCACCTCCCCCCGCGAGCCTCCTGTTTCCTGCTCCCACCGTCGTCGGGCTGGAGTCAAGCGGTCGGAACTTTTCAGAGCAGGCTTCAAAGGCAGCCAATCGGTCTACTTGCAGCTGTGCGACCTCGCAATAGACACTGCTCCATTATCAGGCATTTAATTGACTCTCACCAGCTTTCTCACCTCACCTTGCGACCAGACTGGATCAGCAGTCCACGACACCACGACACCTGCCCCTACATTGGCACCACACGGACGTACTCCTGCCACCACAGCAATTCCATACTCTCCTCCAACATGGACTACAGCGCCTCTATCAACGATTCCGACAACGCCGGTGTCGATCCCTGGGGATCTCCCGAGGCATCTCCCCGCCGCCACCAGACCGGCTTTCGGCCAGCGTCCGATCCGTCGCAGTCGCCGTATCAGCAGCCGTTTGATACCGCTCATATCGCCTCGGGGTCGGACCGATCCGATGCCGGCATCTTTGGCTCGGACAACCCTGACTATCAGCGTCCAGAAACTGCCACCAGCGTCCGGTCCAACACCAACACATATACGGATGGGAGCTTAGCCGAGACCTTGGTCGGCCCCGGCTATGATGGCGACTCTGCTGCGCAGTACAATCGCCAGGAACAGTTCCAACAGCTGCCGCCGCCGCAGCAACAGCATCAGCAATATGGCCAAGGTCCACTCCCTCCCCAACCGAATGAATCCTCCAGATTTTCCAGCGAGACCGCTACCGATCCTCTGGTCGCTGCTGGGCCTCAACGGCTGCCTCAGCCCAAGTACAAGCTCCAGGCCAAGATCACCGCACTGGAGCGCACCGGCCGCAAAGACCCCATTTTGCGGTTTGACGTCCATGTAAGCAGCTTTCCTGTGCTTTTATCGGCTTTCGTTCCCCTTACTTTGCCGTATGCTTCTCTGCCAATTGCTCCTCTGCTAATAGACGGTTATCAGACAAACCTCCCCAGCTTTCGAACCACGCAGATACGTGACATTCGCCGTCTGCACTCAGAGTTCGAAAAGCTAGCAGAACACCTTATATCGGCCAACCCCGAAGCCCTCGTGCCTGCAGTACCACCGGCCTTGACATCGGCCGGTGCCGGCACGGAGGAGGACGAGGCCCGCGTGAAAGCGTTGATGCAGCGCTGGCTCAACTACGTGTGCAGCAACGAGGTCCTGATGCACGACGACGAAATGGTCCTGTTTGCCGAGAGCGACTTTGGCTACAGCCCCATGCACAAGAAGAGGCAGCCGGCGACGGGCGTGCGCCGCAAGATCCTCAAGCAGTTTGCCCCTCCGGCTGACGACACGCCTGAGCTGCAGCAGGCGCGGCCCGCAGTCAAGCTGTTTTACCTTGGCACCATGGATGCCGGTCACAAGGTGGACAAGCTCGTCAAGGCCCGAAGAGGTGTGTGTTTAATCGAGGGGCCTTTTACCTGTGAAGCTGCTTGCTGACCTGACCGTTCCCAGGACTGGGACTGGCCGAGTCGGACTTTGGTGTCAAGCTGGGCGCCATGAACGTGCAGGAGCTGCACCCGGGGCTGGCAAACGCATACCGGAAGCTGGGCAAGGTGATCCAGACGGCAGGCGACTACCAAGCGGCGCAGGCGACGGCGGAGGCGACGACTCTGGGCGACCCGCTGGCATACCACTCGACAGACGCGCTGATCTTCAAGGAGACGCTGACAAATCGCCAGCTGCTGGTCCGCGAACTGCTGCAGGCACAGGAGAACTCGCGCAGCCGGCTCAACGCAGCCGACCGACTCAAGGCCAGCTCGAACGTGCGTCGCGAGAAGGTCGACGAGGCCATTGCCGCGCACGCCGACGCCCACCGGCACGAGTCAGAGCTGATGCAAAAGACAGCGCGCGTGACCCACAACCTCGTCTATGAGCGTCGCCGCTGGTTCGCCCGCACGTCTGCCGACCTGCGCCTCAGCATCCGCGAGTTTGTCATCCGCGAGATCGAGGCCGAGCGCCGTACTCTGTCGCTGCTCGAGACTGTCCGTGGCGACATCCGCAGCATCGACAACTCCGGTGGCCTCAGCCGCCTCAACCGCGAGTCTCATCCCGCTACCGTGCGTCGCGTCAACCTGGCCTCCAGCCAGGGCCCCAAAGGCGACGCCTGGAGCGGCGTACCGCGTCGCTCCGACGCCCTTCTCGGCCGTGGTTCTGTCAACACCACAACGGGCGACGACGGCACCGAGGACTTTGATGGCGCCAGCGGCTCCGTCGCTGGCGTTGCTGGCTCAGGACTGCTAAAGGGCTTAATAGGAGCCGTCAGCGAAGAAGAGGACGACGACCGGGTGGATGCGCGGAATGCGGCCAGCCGGTTGGCTACGAGCACGTTCTGATTGCCTAACGAGGGGGCGAGGCGCGACGGCGGCTCTTGTCACTGTTTTCCTTGTTTCAGTAACATGCTTGTTTCATTTCTTGTTTCTGCGGCATCATTCCATTACGACATGCAACAACGGCTTTCCATGTTGGCAAGGAGGCAGACATCACCATTCGATGCAGAAGAGAGGGACTGCCTGGACCATGTAGTTGAGTATTTCATGTCCAGAAGGCGGCTCGTCCCTCGTGTCTCACACTACTTGTTTTCAACACAAAATTCTGTATCTCTATTTGCTCTCTGTATCTAAAACCACTCCCTCGGATCGACTGTTGCGTGGCCGATGTCCCCGACGAACATATGCAGTCTTCTCACGTTCTCCCTGTATTGCACCATTGCTGCCTGATGGAACGATGTCCGGTTCATGTTTATGGGACAATGGCCGTTTCTAGCACGATGTCATTCGTTTGCGGTGTGCTCGCTTCAACATGTGGTGTGGCCTGTCTGATCCTACATCCAAACAGGGCAACAGCCCGGTGGCGGATAGAAAGAGTTTTGAGAAAGATTGAGCAGTCCGCGCCGGAAACTGCAAGGTATCTTACCATTGGCCGAGACGAGCACCAAACTGGGACCCGAGAACATGCCTCGTAACGCCGCGCTCTTGCCTTCTTCCCACTCCAGGAGGATCGATTGACGCACAAGACTTGGCCCACTGTATGGCATGCTTGACCGGCATGATGCCCAACCCAATTGACAATGCCGGCCAGAACCAGCATAATCCAGGCAGCATTCACGACATCAGGGCGCCAGAATATCGCCGTCGGCTACATATCACCTGCAGCAAGCGCTGACATGTTAGGTTTTATCTCGACGCGTGACGTAGAATTGCAGGTTTAGTAAAGTACTGGGTAGAGAGCATAAATGACCAGAGTTTCGACGGGGATTGTCAAGAGTTCAATTTCGTCAAAGCGGTTAGGAAATAACGACGCGCAACAAAGGCTAGCACGAATAGTGGAATCACGGACAGACTGGAAGGGGAATGGGCAAACAGCTAAGAACAGGGGGTGATATTACGAGTACTCATGCTCTACAACGTACTGTGCATCAGAAGATGAAAAATGTCGAGGAAAGAGAGCGAGAACGGACAGGGAAATTACCAGCGGTTTCACTCAAAAATACACCGCAGACCAGTTTGGGTACACTTTCGTCTAAGAACCGTGCTACTCGTGACCGTACAACCCAATTTACGTACAGTTTTTGACGACAGGCAGTCTTGAAGCGCCTTCCTGTTAAGAGAATTGACGTCCCTCTTTCTATCTTGTTACGTCGTACAGTTTGTTGGAGCGGCACCCCTCATAATCAATAAAATAGTCGGAGAATAACAATAATGTGATTTTACAGAGAAATGGCACGGAACAAAGCATGCAGCTATATCTCTGCTCGGCGACCTCGGCGCTCTGACAGTATGAGCTCCTGCCGAGCACACGACTACTGCATGGCGGCACCTGCAGGAGCTCGCTCAGTACCAGAGGTGGAGAGCAAAAGGGGTGAAGTGAAAAGCGAAAAACAATAAGCACGAGTCAAGCGATGACGTCGTCATGCTGTCTCTGTCTGGACCTGCTGCTCATCGGAAGACTCGGTTTCTGGCCGTAAAAGACGAGAAGATGAGACGCCTCGAGAGATGAGTTCTTACCAGTACTATGTAGCTTCAGGCTCGTTAGCGCCAGTGAGGCAGCATTGTAAGCGGCAACGGCCAATGCGCTAGGGCAATGTCGAAAGGCCCATCTGCAACCACAGATCTGCTTCATGCGCCTCTGGGCGGCCACACACTGGACGCTACGAATGCGCACACACCAATGACCAGCTCCAGCCATTGAATCCAGACTCGACTGTCCAGAAAACTCGAGGGACGGCTCGATGCAGTCAGCCCATCAACTTACACCGCAGTCGGCCTCTGTGCATGGCATTATTGGACAATGAGTCGCGTTGCATTTGCGTCTTATCTTCGGTCTCGACTTGCCGTCCATATCTGAATCGCGCAGCTCCTATTGCGCTGTGAAATGTGACAGGTCATCTATGCCATGCAGTGCACATAGTAGCATTTTCCAGGGTACCGCCCAAGTAGCCGCCCACGAGCCTTGCTCAATGACTATGTATTTGCAATGCATCTTACAGCCCAAGGGCCGCCTATCAGGCTACGGGTCCAGACCACTCCTCTTTAGGTCTCCCTAATGCACTCCCTGAACGCCACACTGGACTTGCATCGCGAGCAGTGGCAGCTGGTAGGGCGCTCCTGCCGTCTCGGACATGCAAATGGCACGAAACTGTACCAATTGGGAAGTCATGAAGGGTTGGCGAGGCACTCGAGAGCTCCTTCCCCACGTATTGGGCTTTCTACATTGTATGCCGGCAAAACGATGATGTGAAGCTCCTGCAGGAAACCGTGAGCATCCTGCTTCCATCCTGCTCGTACATACAGAACGAACCTACGACGTACTGGAGCTTATTACGCGAGCTCCACACACACTTGCACGCCCGTCACATACATACAAAGTAAGAGCATTACCTGCACACGACGACCAGATTCACCCCCTCCTAAATCAGGAGAGGTGTTTCTATCCCGAGGAAAGACGGCCCTCCCGTGCTTATTTGTGTAGCAGTAGCCGCTGCAGACGGCGGAAACACACTGCCCGGCAGACATGTGTCGGCTGTACGGCACGCCCCAAGACTTTCACAATATGAATGGTATCATCCAACATGTTTTGGAACGGTCGGGGTGGAGCCCTAGCACAGCTGTGAGTCCACTCTCTATTATCTCACCTCGAGCTAGTCAAAGAGTGCGTCTGGACTCTCAACATCCCCTGCTCTGGCTTTTTGCCTTGGGTCCATGTGGCCAACAATGCATGGCTGGTAGGATTTGGGCTTTGTCTACTTCACCACCCCATGAGCACCGTGCATACGAGCAGCTCATCTGGTCCAGGAAGATAGGACATGATATCAGTTCCTCTCTGCCTCCATCTTAGAAGCAAGGCCGACTAACACCCGGGAGCACACGGACCACTCCTCCGCAATCGTGCCGCTTGTACTCCGTACGGAGCATTACCGAATGGATACTCGTCAAGTACAACGTACGAAGTGGTGCCGAAGAGGCTCGTTGCCCTGCATGGCCGACCAGTTACCGAAACCAAGTGCCCGCTCCGAAAATCCTTCCTTCACACCCTCAGCTTTGCTACTGCCCCTTGCCTAGTCCCGGAATCGCAGCGTGCCCAGCACCGATAGCTCGCTGCTGTCTGACTGGCCACTCTGCTGCCCAAAACCCTTGCCCGATCTTCGATAAGTCGCACTCACGATGTCTGGCTGCATTTGTAGCACAGAACTGCAACATCACCAGACCCACATTCGCATCTAGGCATGACCTCCAATCCATGTTCCCATGCACCGGCGCGGTGCCGACCAGCGCTGCTCGAATCGCTATACACCCAACTACACAGGTCGAGCGGCTTACCGTCCATCGCTGTCTATGCTCGATACTATGTGAATTAGTCTGTTGCGCATATTTTCGTGCCGGCTAATCCTCCATGAGAAAGGACAAGTGGAAGGATGCAAAGACGAGACGAGCCGCTTTGGGTAGTTGGTCTTCTCGCCACTCATCCCCTATAGCGGCCCTTGTTGATCTGCCATCCTTAGCTCTCTTCAGCACACCCTTTCTTCTTCCTTGTCTCCGCACGCGTACTCTGTAACACCCGCCCTTCACTTCCCGTCCTTTGTGCCACTTCTTTTTCTTTTTCTGGCTTTCCCTTTCTAAGCCATGCCCATGCCGGTCGGTCCATCCATCTCCCATAATATCCGCCGTCTTCTATGCTGATAAAAAGGCCGGCCAGCTTCCGTCTTCTCTTCCTACAGTTGCTCATTTCTTTGTCCCAAGTCTCTGGTCAATCTGCTTCCTACCCTGCTGCTTCATTTTTCAACTCATACGTTCACACTACATAGTACTGCATGTGATTTGAAACAAGAACATATTACAACATCACCCGCCGTTTACCCACGCCTCCACAGCCAACTCTTACACCATCCCACGCTCTCCCACGCTTACACCCGCGCTACCCATAGCTCGTCGAAGAGCCTCATCATTTTGACATCTTTACTAAATCTGCTTGAAGAACGGTCATACGGTCTCCTCACCATCCACTCACATGCGCCTTCACCCCTGTTCTCCGACATTCGACCTCAGACTGCCCCCCACGCTTCTGATCCTACAGTTACCGTTCGACACACGAGCTTAGACCCCCTCCCCCTTGTGCGTGTTACTCCATTGGCTTGTGTATCAGAAGCCTAGCAAAACTAGACATGGCTCCCACCGCCATGGTTGCAGAGGCATACTCGCCGCTGCCCACATTTTCCAAGGCATCGACTGTTAGCGCCTCTGTTTTGCATGGCCCATGCGACCTGCGACTGGTGAGGACCCTCATTTCCCTACCCCAGATCCGACGGACGGACGAGATCTTAGGTCTTTGGCCGAAGCATACTAATATAATTTGTAATATCCAGGAAGTACGAAGTATTGAAGACCCGGGTGCCGGCGAAGTGCAGGTCGCCATAAGATCGACAGGAATCTGCGGCTCCGATGTGTCTTACTACAAGAAATTTGCCAATGGAGACCTCTGCGCCTGCATGCCCCTGTCTCTGGGCCACGAGTCGTCTGGGGTCATTGTGGCCCTGGGCCCTCAGGTGACAGGTTTCAAGATCGGCGACCGAATCGCCCTCGAGGTTGGTGTGGCCTGTGGCAGCTGCACCGTCTGCAGAAAAGGGCGGTACAATCTGTGCAAGCAAATGCGCTTCCGGAGCAGCGCCAAGAGTGTGCCACATTTCCAAGGCACACTACAAGAACGCATCAACCATCCAGCCCAGTGGTGTCACAAGTACGTTCCCTCTTCTCGCTCGTTCAGGAAGGAAATACATGCTAACGCCCCTTTCAGACTTCCGGACCACGTCTCCTTTGATGCAGCTGCTCTTCTCGAGCCTCTTTCGGTGGCCATCCATGCTGTGAACCGGGCAAGCCCTCTGCCCGGCTCTACGGCCCTCGTCATCGGAGCTGGCACCGTTGGCCTCCTGACAGCCGCCGTGGCACGCGCTTCTGGCTGCTCCGAGGTCACAATCACAGACGTGGACGAAGGCCGGGTCAACTATGCTATCGCTAAGGGTTTTGCTACACATGGTTTGGTGGCGCCACGGCCATTGAACCTTTCGCCTAGTAGCTCGTCCATCTATACGGAGAGCTCTGGCACATCGACCCCGGCCGAGTCGGGTGCTACGACGCCAGCATCTATTTTCTCACTCTCCAGCCAGCTGGATGGTGCCAAGAGCCTTGCCGCTGACCTTTTGGCACTGACCGCTCCCCCGGCGCACTTGCTTTCGGACGAGGAAAACGAAGGTTTTGACCTGTCTTTTGAGTGCACCGGCAAGGAAGTCTGCATGCGTACAAGTCTGTATGCCACAAAACCTGGCGGCAAGGTGGTCATGGTCGGCATGGGAACGCCCATCCAGACACTGCCACTATCTGTTGCGCACCTCCGGGAAATTGACATCATTGGCATTTTCCGTTACGCCAACACATATGCGACTGGCATCTGCATGCTTTGTTCTGGTGCTATTCCTAGCCTAGACGACATGGTGACACATCGGTTCAAGGGCCTAGATGCGGCCAAGAGTGCCTTTGAGCTTGCCTGCCGTACCGCGGACAAGGACGGCAACCTTGTGATCAAGGTTGTGATCGAAGCCTCAACGGATTGAAGTGAAGATTTCATGTTGCAGAAAAGTGCATTTTCGCAATCTGCCATCTATGGCGGGTGCAATTTCTATTTGTTTCGTGGCGACAAGGGCCATGACGATCAGACGACGCGTTCTAGAAGCTTGAAGGTCGATGCTTGATCTTCTTACTTTTGGAACAAAACAGGACGAGCAATGAATGGCCTGCGCCGAGAGCAAGTTGCTGCGTTACTGGGTATAGTCCTACTGTGGAAGCGGGACTTGAATTGAAGAACTCTGGGCAGGCTTTAGACGATACCACTTACATTATATGAACAATGGGGTTTCTATTTTCTTCACTTGATTGATTCTAACGTTGTGTGCTTCTTGTCTGGGCCAATGGCAACTCAGTCCTTTCGTGATGTCTGCTTGCACTATTAAGGAGAACGTCAAACCCATGCTGTTTCGAATATAGACGCGTGTTGGCTGACAAGCGGTCGATACTGTGCCCTATGAGAGCACCTCGCCGAGTGTCATATCGCGTTCCTGGCCCTCAGATACCACAAAAAAAACCCCATTCATCATACACTGGACATTTGAGAAATGCATCTAATTTCCCCCAGCACCGTCTCCTCAGCCAGTTCCGTCCTTTCATAATGAACCCGCTGCCTCTTTCTTATTTCTTCTTTAGTAATACCGAGCTTGCTTTTGAGCACGGGTGGCTTTCTGACTTCAATCATCTTATAGCAGCATGTCGAGACCTTGCGAGCCGTCACCTCCACCGCCAACGCCGCCTCCTCTCCCGTACTGCCGCATGCCTCGGTTGGACCGAGCGTTGTCCACCACGCTGAACTTGCCGCTCACCTGCCGCACTGCCGCGATGTTCTGCATCACGTCGTCCAGCAGCAGCGATACCAGTTCCACGTCGTTGGCCTCGCGCTGACGCTCCTCCTCATAATCTCCGCCGACAGGTGGCGGCACCACCAACGGCAGCCGCTGCACCAGTGCTTGAATGGATCGCAGGATGGGGAGGGATACTTTCACGCCGGTATCGGCTCCAGGAACGCCCTCGCTGCCACCACCCTCCTTCTCGGCCGCCTCGGCCACTTCCAGGCTCTCCAGATACCTGGTCAGCAGCTGCAGACGCGCGTGCAGCATGCGGATGGCGTTTCCGCGTGTCGTCAGCGTAGCGATGAGCTCTTCATCTTCGCGTGAGAGAACCCCACTTGCGGCCGTGGTGCCATCGGTACCATTGCTGCTGCTGCTGCTCTGTGCAGGTGCATCGGCTGCCACCAGTCGCCGCTTACCGCGGTTTCCCGACTCAATCGCCACAGCCCGATCACGGCTGTTGCTGCCTGCTGCAGTCCCGCTGCTGCTGTCAACAGCCGAGGCGTTGGCCACGCCACCGGCCACAAAGTCGATGCTGATCATCTCGGCATCCCCCGCCTCGACGACATAGGGGATTTCGCGGAATTTGATGACCATCTGAGGCGCACCCCCCAGCTGTGCGGTAGTTGTGGCAGACGTAGGCGCTGCTGCTGCTGATGCAGAATCAGCCATTGCCGTCTCATCCCCAACGTCTGTCATTTCCTTGTCTGCGCTGCTATCGGTGGTTTCACTCGTTGGCCGCCGCCGCGCTGCGGCCACAGCTCCGTTCTCGTCCGGCTCGTAGTTTGTTTCGAAGATGGTCAGCGGCAGCTTGCCGCCAACCGAAGGCGATGCTAGGTCTTCCGGGTGGAAGGCCAAGAAAACCGCCGCTGTGGATTCGCCGCAGAGAGGCATGATCTGCTCGTGGACCTGCAATATGTGCGGTGTCGGGCCCTCTCGGTTCAGCACCGTATACCAACCGACAAGGTCGAGCTGACGGTCCTTATGCACCGTTCGCACTGAAGGTCTGCTGTTAGCCTGTAACGTCCTCGTCGCTGATCTTTCAGCCCATCTCTTGACGTCTGTTTCTGAGCACCTACTTTGTTCTAGGCGGTCAGTAAACCATACGGGACTAAACTGTGCATCGCCCTGGTCGTTGGTAGCCACCAGAAAGTCAAAGGTGTGCTCAAGCGTAACCTGGCGGCCATTCTGTTGGCCGAGCAGGGCACCCACCACAGGTCCTGACTGCTTGCGTAACGAGTGCCGGGTGATATGGTCAGAAATGGAAAGGAGAACGAGAGGGTGCAGAATGGCTGGGACGGGGTTGGACGCCTTTTGCGTCGACAGGAACGGATTTGCCGCAGTCATGTTGTCCTCTGATTTATCGCTTGAGACCGAAGCCGGTCAGCTGAGAATGGCCGGCTGGAGTGGGCCTGACGGCGAGAGAAAGCAGTGAACGGTAGCAGCACGAGTGCCTGAGATACAGAGCGCCTTTGGTATAGCCGTCTTCTAGATTGTCGGTAGGCCGGGAGTAGAGAAGCTGAGCGTCGTGGGTGAGATTTCGGGCTGCCTGGTTGTCTGTTGGAAGCAACCCCACTACAGCCTCTTTCGGCAACCACCAAAAACGCTTATGTGATTGGACAGCCCTAGTGGGCCCAGCATATGGGAAGAAGCTGGTATCAAAACGACAAGCAATTGTTGCATAGAAGCTATCGCTTGTATACATTCACTATTCGATCGTCTAGGTATGTATACCAATCTCTGAGAACGATCGATGCCTGCTATACACTGTCATACATGCATGTATCTCGCACATTATAAGCAATGCTCTGATGGGGCTTAGGAGACTGCCTTCGCGTGCCTTCCTAAACAGTTTCTCTACAGCAGTTCCAAACGGCAAGCACATACGGAGTACGTAATGCATCCTATGGTGGGGTGTAACTATGATCCGGTACACAGCAATAGTAGCAATCGTTAGCAGCCGACATATGCCGTGCAATAGTGTGACTTTTTGCTCTATTATACTCCGTAGCTGATAAGCGATCCAGGAATTGAAAACGTGGCGTACGATTTGTTGCAGACAGAGCAATGCTTGCAGCCCCACAAATATGGCACATCAATTAAAGAAGCGGAGTGAAAGACGCGTAGAACGCGTCGCAGTCCCCACGAAATCTTGTGAGCGACAAAGTGCAGGCGATAACCCTGCAAAGCTGCACATTTACGGTACAGGACTATGCCAAAACCAGGACGGAAACGCACGCGGAGCCAGGCACACGGCGGTCTAGATGGGACGGGCGACGATGACAGCAACAGTGCGGACATGACGGATGTGCGACTAGGAGATGACGAAGGCCAGGACAATGCACGGCGACAAGCACATTGGGATCTTCCGGCGGGATACGACGACCGAAACCGAGCATTTCTGCAGGCGTTCATGGCCCGCGGGGCGCTGAGCTTCAAGCAGGTGCAACATCTGCTAGCAGGGATTTTCAACGCTGAGCGCAAGCGACAGCAGAATGGACGGGAAGAAGCTGGAGACGAGGGGCTGCTGCAGGCAGACGAGATCAATCTGGACGACATGCGGGAGTTTGTGAGCAAGGCCCAACAGGCGCTGGCGCCGCTGGACTTTGACATCCGGAGCGCGGTGGACCAGGTGCGCAACGAGCGGCTGTGGGCGCTGGTCAGCACGGACAGGGATCCAAAGTCGCATCTGGCGGTGTTGCTGACGCCGCGCAAGCTGGCGTTTGTGCACCGGCTGCTGGCGGCGATGTTTGACACGTACAACACGCCGCGGCTGGAGGCCATGTGCATGACGGAGCAGCAGGCGCTGAAGCTGTCGCGGCCGCCGCGGACGACGTCCCGGGCGAGCGAGGTCGGCGCTGGCGACGGGGGGGGAACACAGGCGGCGGCCAACCGCGACAAGGGCCTGAAGCACTCGGTGGTGCTGTCGCTGCTGCAGTCGCTGGTCCGGCAGGGCTGGCTCGACAAGAGCGCGAGCGGGTTCTACGCGCCGACGACGCGGGCGCTACTGGAGCTGGAGCCGTTCCTGGTCGAAGCCTTCAACGATGAAGGGGGCGGCACAGACGCCTGGCAGCGCATCAAGTACTGTGCAGCCTGCCGAGACGTGGTGACGATCGGGCTGCGCTGTGCTCAGACGACGTGCACGCTGCGGCTGCACGACCACTGCGAGACAGCCTTTTGGCGCACACAGGCCGGTGCAGCCGGCGGCAACCGCACATGTCCGCGCTGCCAGACGGCGTGGACCGGAGGATCAGCCGCAGCGGACGCGCAGAGCTATGTGGGCGAGCGGGCGATCACGCTGACCGACGTCTACAAGCGGCGCAAGCGACAGGGCCGGCCAAGCGAGGGCGTCGATGAGCTCATGCGCACGGTGCTGCCGCGGACGGTGCCAGCAGCCGTCATGTCGTTCCGGGCAGGACAGGCGTCGCAGGCGGATGATGGCGAAGACGACGAAGACGAAGAGGGCTAGCGGCAGCTGAGCGATAAGCAGGACACGATACAGGTTCTATGGAGGGCGAATAGTCAATGGCAGATAGTGGCCCACGGTCCAATCAATGCAGGCGGCCGTCGAGGCTGTGTATTGCATGATGATGGTAGCCAAAATGGGCCAGCAGCAAATGACATCACTGTGGCGGTCTAGGCCGCCTGAAAGTTGACGTTTTAGCGCCGATGCTAGCGTGTATCTAGGCGGCCGCCCATCTGAGTGCAGAGTGCAGCAGGCTGTAAGATATGCTACTTTGGGCAGAAAGATCAGCTCCTTGAAGTTGTCTTGCGCACAACATACAAACGCGCAAACTTCAACCGCGACGATGCTTGAGTATTTCACCTACAAGAAGGTCAAGAAGCACCGGCAGGAGACGAAGGCGAAGGAAGAAGAACAAAAGGCAGCAGCGGATGATGTGCTGGACGCAGACGAGCAAATGTTTCTCGAGCGGCTGACGCAGACGGCGAGCCATTCGGACGGTGAAGACGGGGATGACGGCGATGGAGAGGGTGACCGGCCGGCGCTGCCGCCACGGGCGAAGACGCCGGAGCTGATTTGGGACAGCGAGAGCGAGTCGTTTGTGCGGGAGGACGAGCGGCGCGAGAAGGAGACGAAGGGAACGAAGGAAGCGTCGACGTCGACGGTGCCATCGACATCGACGAGCAGTTTCGGGCGGCGTCTGTCGCAGCTGCTGGGGCCACGAAGGGACAAGAGCGCCGCCCATCTGGTCGTTCCTGGCCGCGCGGACGTGAACGAGACGACGGCCGAAGAGGAGGCGCGCGAGCGCGACGAGATGGCGCGGGTGCTCGAAGAGCTGGACCAGGCAGCGAGAGGAGACGAGGACGAAAACGACAAAAACGACAAGACCAAGACCAAGGCCAAGAAGATGGCCTTTGCGCTCTCGTCCGAGTCGACGGAGCTGGTGCGACGGTTCGTGGTGGTGCTCCGGGATCTCGTCGGCGGCGTGCCGACGGCAGCAGACGATCTTCGTCATCTGCTGGACGATCGTGACGGCACGCTCTCGCGCGGTTTTGAGCGGCTGCCGTCGGGCCTGCGCAAGCTCGTGGCCCAGCTGCCGGCCAAGCTGACGACATCGCTGGCACCCGAGCTGCTCGCGGCCGCGGCCGAGTCCCAGGGACTCGCGTACGAGCACAAGGACGGCTCGACCCGCCCGACGGCGCCAAGGCCGCCGCCAAGGCCTTGTTTCTGCCGCTGCTGACGAAGCCGAGCTCGGTCGTGAAGATGCTCAAGGCCATCATGAACGCGCTGAAGCTGCGCTGGCCGGCGTTTATCGGCACGAGCGCCATCTGGAGCGTCGCCCTGTTCAGTGAGTCTTGTTCTCGTTCTTCCCTTCCTTTTCCCTTTGCCCTTTCACTTTTCTCCTCTCTTCCCTCTTTCTTGCCTCTCCAATGCTAACGTTCAGTCCTCCTCTTCGTCCTCTGGTACTGCCACAAACGCGGCCGTGAGGTTCGTCTCGGAAACGAGGCTCAGGCCGCCGCTGCGTCTGCTGCTGCTCTCGATACTGCCACGTCCGTGACCATCGAGGCACCCGTGGCCATCCGTACGTTTTCTCCCGACGACGTCGACGTCCTGCCATCCAGCCACCTGTCACCACCACCTATTGGCAGCGGGGCGGCTGTGCCAAAACCGGAGTAAAGGAAGGAGCGGCCCATCACACCTGCCTCTTGTATTTCTGCTTCCTTTTCGCCCTCCACTGACTTCCTCTCATCTTGTCCTCTTACTTCTCGGTTTGTTCACTGCTTGGATTCTGTAGTCGGTCTGCTGCATCTTTCACATCTCAGCTTCGTTCTTAGATAGAACAGCAATAACTTGTTACTCTTGCTCCTGCCCCTAAACGCTCGTTTATATTGCAAGTCTCGCATAACGCCGTCTCCCACTTTGACCCTGTCACCTTTTCCCTATCAATCACAGACAGACTCCCGACAAGTCACACAGATATTCCCTCATCCATGGACATATCCTCGTTCACGTCGCCCGCCGGAGCATCGCCGCCACCGGCCTCGGCCTTGCATCCGTCCAGGACCCAGAAGTAGACCTCGTCGACCAGATCGTACACAATGTCCTCGGCAATCTGCTCTTCGTAACGGTCGGCCACGGGTCTCAGCTTAGTCAGCGACGACGGTGCCAGCAGTCCGGAGCCGCGGTCAGCCACATCATCGCTGCTGCTGCCGCCGCCCACGTCAACCATCATCACGTCGTCGGCCGCGGCGGCCTCGAGCTCCGGCGGCGGATACCAGAAGTGCGGACCAAAATTGACCTCGACAGCGCCACCTCGGAACGTGCTCACGGCCGGATAGTAGCCCAGCGTGCCGTCATCCAGCCGCTCGCGCGCGCCCTCCTGCATCTTGGCATTGGTCGATGAGGCCGGCGGCAGGAACGACAGCAGGTTCGTGAACGGCGTTCCTTGGAGCACCCCGTTCTTGTACACCCGCACAAACGACCCCGGCAGCGTCCGCAGACACGGTACTGCGTGGTTTGGATTCGGCGGCTCTATCGCACCCGCCGACGACGTCGACAGCGTCGGTGCTGCGTTGGCCAGGTCTTCCAGCTCCTTGATTGGCAGATAGTCAAACTTTTCAAACACCAGCTTCGACGTCTGGAACCGGAACGGGTTGCGGTCTCGAAGCACGTTGGGCCCCTCGGCCGTGTCGCCATTCCGGCCGTCTGTCTGGTCATCTGTTTGCCCATCTGCTCCGTTGCCGTCTTTCCCGTCCACCAGATCGACGGCCGGATTGTACGATCCCTGCACAAAACCTTGCGGTGCAGCGCCTCGGACGGCAGCTGGATCTCTAGCCCGATCACGTCGCCCTCGCGAATGTCCTCGTCGTCCAGGAAACAGTCCTTGGGCCGGGACATGTGCATCTTCTGGCCCTTGCGGTCGCGCACGCCGTAACCATAGGCATCATAGCCCACCGGCGCATCGCGCGACGCCTCCCGCCGCGCCCAACCCATGCGCACATGTCCTCGCGCGTCTGGCTCGCCAGCCTTGGCCTGCCGCACGATGCCCCGCGTTACTTTGCACTCCCAGTACCACCGACCCTGGCGTGCTGCCACGTTGGCCCGTGTCGTCCGGAAGCCTGCGTCGCCGTTCACCTGCAGCCCCGACTGGTCGAAGAACATGCCTGCCGGAGCGTCCTCAAAGCAGAAGTGCGCATAGTGCGGCTTGGGCTCCGTCTGCCGGAAGTAGTTGATCGACGGGAACCGCGGGTCGGCGATGCCGCTCTCGTAGACGTAACCTCTACGGTTGATGGGCCTGGTGGGAGAACATGGTCAGCTTAGCTTCAGCTCCAATCAGGCCGTGCATCTTCATCTTCATCTCAGGCCATGACATACTGCTCTGTAAACAGCTCGAAAAACTCAACCTCCTGTCCGCTGGCTACCTCTGCGCTGTGATGGCTGCGGAAGATGGGGCTCGCCGGCTGGTCAAAGTCGCTCGGCCGCAGCGGCACCGCCAGACGCACCCGCACTGGCAGTCCGTCGCTGGGTGTGCTACCATCCACAACCTCTGCACCGCTGCTGTGGATGCTGCCGCTGCCACCACCACCGCCTGCGCCCGAACTGTTCTCTTTGCGCCTCGGCTCGGGCGTGGCTCGTGATGCTTCGGAGCTCTTGGACTCGCGCTTCTTCAGCGAGTCCTTCTTGGTCCGCTTCTCGCGCGCCGGCGCCACCACGGACACGTCGGGCGTGGCTCGCGAGTCGGGATTGAGTGGCGATCGCACTGCCGGCGTGTGGTCTTCGTCGCCGAGAGCGCGCTTCTGGGGAATGGTCGAGAGCAGAGACTGCGGCGGTACAGCCGTCTCGGCCGGCGAGCCATCGTCGGATACAGCAGCCAGCGCCATGGGCGATGCTACTGTTGGTGCTGCTATGGATGTGGCCGTCGCAGCAGCTGTCGAGGAAGCAGCCGTGGGAAAGGGAATATGTGGAGGAGGAATGGGCGTCACTTTCACGCCGTGAGGAGGACCCCGAGATGCTGCGTCGGAGACCGGTTCTGCTTCCGAAGCCATGATCGCCCAAGCATGAGGAAAGGGTGTGTATGCGCAGCGTCGTGGAGAAGGACGTGGTGCCTCACAAAGAGCCAAGATATACCAAGTATTGAGGCTCAATACTCCGTATATCTGAGTCAAGATACGCGTTTCTGCTAGCTCCTCCTGTGTGGCGCTAGCTTATTCGGGCCAATGAGCGGCTCTGCTGGCCACTGCAGCCACAGTTCAGCCTCGTCAGGCCCGTGCTTCAAAATTTGTCCTGCTTTGCCAAAAAAGCCAGTCGCGTTCTTCGCCAGGTTTCGCTCACTGCCATCCTGTACGCATCCTGCGATCACCACCGAGTCTTGACGAGTTTCGATCAGCTTTCCTGGGATTGATCAGCCGAATCACCTGTTTGTTTGAGAAGCGCGACGAAGCAACGAACTGCGAAGAGAGAGGAAAAAAGATCGCCCCTTGGGAGAATCGGTCGACGGCTGCAGCCATGGTGGCGGTTAAAGGAGGCGTGTGGACGAACATTGAGGACGAAGTACTCAAGGCAGCCATCTCCAAGTATGGGCTGAACCAGTGGGCACGAGTGTCGTCGCTTCTGGCGCGAAAGACGCCCAAGCAGTGCAAAGCACGGTGGAACGAGTACCTCGACCCGAGCATCCGCAAGATCGAATGGAGCAAAGATGAGGACGAGAAGCTGCTGCATCTGGCGAAGCTGATGCCGACGCAGTGGCGGACGATCGCGCCGATAGTCGGACGGACAGCGAACCAGTGTCTGGAGCGATACCAGCGGCTGCTGGACGACGCGGAGCAGCGCGAGGCATCGGAGCTGGGGCTGACGGGAACGGATGGCGGCGATGCGCAAGCTCCGACGGCCGACAACGTGCGGCGGCTGCGGCCGGGTGAGGTGGACCCGGACCCGGAAAGCAAGCCGGCGCGGCCGGACACGATCGACCTAGACGAAGACGAGAAGGAGATGCTGAGCGAGGCGCGGGCCCGTCTGGCGAACACACAGGGCAAGAAGGCGAAGCGAAAGGCACGCGAGCGGCAGCAGGAAGAAGCGCGGCGACTGGCCAACCTGCAGAAGCGACGGGAGCTGAAGACGGCGGGGATCAACATTAAGGTGGTGACGCGCAAGCAGGGCGAGATGGACTACAATGCGGATATTCCTTTTGAGAAGAAGCCAGCGATGGGATTCTACGACACGAGCGAGGAAATTCAGCGCAACGAGCGGCAGCGGGAAGCCTTTGACCCGCGGCAGCAGAGCACGACAAACAAGCGCAAGGGCGACGAAGGCGAGGACGCCGGGCGAAAGAAGCGCAAGGGCGACAAGGACGGCGACCAGGCGGCACACCAGGCGGCCATGAAGGCGGGCCAGATGCAGCGGCTGCGCGAGGCCGAGCAGAGCAGCAAGCGACGGGCGTTGGTGCTACCGGCGCCACAGGTCAGCGAGACCGAGCTGGAGGAGATTGTCAAGATGGGGGCGATTGGCGAGCGGGCCAACATGCTGGCACGCGAGAGCGAGAACGAAGCGACCCGTGGCCTGCTGCAGAACTACTCGACCGTCCAGACGGGTGCACCGATCCGGACGCCGCGAGCAGCACCCGAGGAGGACCGGGTAGCCAACGAGATCCGCAACATCCGCGCCCTGACCGAGACGCAGTCGTCGCTGCTGGGCGGCGAGAACACGCCGCTGCGCGAGGGCGCCGGCTCGACCGGCTTCGAGACAGCCACGCCGCGCAAGCAGGTACTGGCGACGCCGAATCCGCTGGCGACACCGCTGCGTAATGGAGGAGGGACGGGCGGGGCGTTGGCGACACCGCTGCGTCCAGGGCAGACGCCGTTGCGGACACCGCGGGACGGTTTTGCGCTCAACGCAGGCGGCGAGCCGATACCGGTGCGAAGTCGGCTGGCCCAAGGCCTGGCGGCGCTGCCGAAGCCCAAGGATACCGAGTGGGACCTGGAGCTGCCCGAGGCGGAGGAGGAGGAGCGGCGACAGCAGGCGGCAGCAGACGAGGCAGCCCTGGTGGAAGATGCGGCCGACCGCGACCGGCGCGAGCGCGAACGGCTCGAAGCTCAAGAGCTGCTCGCGCGCAAGCGCCGCACACAGGTGATGCAGCGCGGCCTGCCACGACCGTCGACCGTCGATCTAGCAGCCCTGCTGGAGAAGGCAGCTGGGCTGGACGATGCGGCCGAGGCGCTGGTGGCGCATGAAGCCGCCCTGCTCGTGGCCAACGATGCGGCTCAGTATCCGGTGCCGGGGTCGAGGAAAAAACAGACAGGGTCGGGGACGGCACCGCAGCTGGATCGCCTGGAAGACGGCCTGCTGGCCGAGGCGCGGCTACAGGTGCTGCTGGAGGCCAGAAAGGCCCCGGCCCCAGAAACAATCACATCGGCCTGGGGCGGGCTCGTACACGCGGCCGCTGCTGGCACGAATGCGCTGCTGCTTGGGCTGGGGTGTTACGACGAGGACGAGGATGAGATGGAGCGGGTGCGCTCAGCATTTGAGGTATGTGTGTGTGAGAGAGTGTGTGTGTTTGTCTTGAACCAAGCTGACCAACAGTCGGTGCACGAGGCAATGCTGGCGTCGGCCGAGAAGGGCGCCAAGCTGGAGAAGCGGCTAGCCGTGCATCTGGGCGGCTACAAGCACCGGGCAGACCTGCTGCGCAACAAGATGGGCGAGGCGCACGAGGCGTTGCAGCGGGCTGAGGCGGCGCGCAATGGCTTCGAGATCCTGGCCCGGTCGGAGGAGGTGGCCATCGGGCGACGGCTAGCTGCACTGCGTCAAGAGGTCGCGTACGTCAGCCGACGCGAGCGCGAGGCCCAGGAACTGTATCGGGCCAACCGAGAGGAACTGGCATCGCTGGGGGTCAGGGTGTAAGGATTTTGTTGTGTTGTGTTTTCGTTGTGATTCTTTTCCTGTTCCCTCCCTTCCTGTTTTATTACTCTACGTTGGGGCGTAATTATGCTGTTTCGATGTGAGACCGGAAGATATGCAACCAAAGTTCGGAGTAATACGGAGTAGGCACGTGTGCTATAGCCCTGGAAAGCATTACATCGGGCGGATGGGATCGATCGGCTAGCCCTGCAGCTCGCCTTCAGAACATTCCAGGCGGCGGATGTGCTAACCAAGCCGGGACAGCGCCCCAAGCTCGCCTGGCTCTGCCTGAAGGACCCCTCTCCATCCCCCCACCACGGCCAAACCCTTGGCTGGCGTGTGCGTGTGCTGTACTCCGTGCCAGCGCTCTTCTCTCTTTCTGCTTCTCCTCTTTTCTGCCAATGGAGAATAGATTCCAGTGCTCGCGTCCGAACACGTCTGCTGCCAACGAGGCCATCCCGCGCCGGAAAGCCAGAGCCGTGTTGGGCCACACGGCAGATGTGTAGAACTAGCGCTGCTGCAGCCCAGTAACATGCCTTTTTTTCCATAGTATCCCTGTATTCAGGTTCTTCTTCTTTTTGCCACTCGATTGTCCGCTCGCACCCCTTTCCTCTGTCCATTTCCTTCCTCCTCGGACGAAAAGCCCGGGAAAACAGGGACGAAAACGCTGGCCAGCAGGTCACAGAGCGGTCGAGAGCCAATGGCATCTGATCGCTTTCCGGGGGCGTTTGGCCAGCCAGTTCCCCGGCATTCCAGCCGCATTATATACACACCGTATTCTCCTCTCCTAGCTCCAGCGGTCAAAGGGCCTGCTCCGTCTTTTTCGTTTTCGTCGTTTCGTCTTTTCGCCCCCCCCCTCCGTCTCCCCGTCCCTCCTTCCTCCTTTGACCTGCCGCGCCGCCACGAGACGGTCTCTCTCGCTCTTGCCTATTTGTCTGGTCCTCGCGCCTTCCTGCCCAACACGCCGACGCCATTTGGTCCAGCCTTCTGCCAGCGGTGACATTTCTGTATCTCTCCCTTTCGAGAGACGCACGCTGTCCCTTCAATTGCCCTCCTCCACCATCGTCGAGCTCTGGTCGAGGGGAACCGCTGCCAATCCGCGGCAAAGACGTCGCCATGTCAGCGGCCGGTCCATCGCCCGACGCCGATGCCGCCCCGGCTTCTGTCAGCTCCGGTCCCGAATCCGGCTCTGTTTCCAATCCTCCGGACTCGATGTCGACGAAAGAAGCAGCCACAAGCACCAGACCCCTGTCTCTGCTTTCATCGGAGCCGGGCCTGTCCAGTGCCACCGCCACCGTCACCGGCACCATTGACAGCCTGAGCTCGACTGCTGCCAACAGCCAGGCCACACGTCCTTCCACCGCCTCGTCTGTCTCTTCCTTTAGCACGGCACTCAGCTCTTCCGTCGTGGCTCCTGCTCCAGCTCCAGCTTCAGCGTCTGCTTTAACTTCTGCTTCAACTTCTGCTTCAGCTTCAGCTCCAGCTACAGCGTCTGCTTCAACTTCTGCTTCAGCCTCAGCTTCAGCTCCAGCTACAGCGTCTGCTTCAACTTCTGTTCCTGCTACTGCTCCTGCTCCTGCTGCGGTTATCCCCTCTTCCCATCTCCATGACACTCTCGCGAGACGGGTCTCTCCCCTAGTCACCCAAAGAGCTGCCGATGCTGGCGCTGCCAACCGGACGCCTCAATCGGCCTCTACTTCCCAGCCGTCACGGTCACGCAGCCGCGTACAGCGGCGCTTCAGCGGCAGCACCGCCCCCAGCAGCCACAGCCCGAGCAGCGACCGCAACTATGTCCACAAGAAGGAGGAGGCTCGTCCTGCTCCGTTGGGCGTCATTGGCGTCTGCGCCCTCGACGCAAAGGCTCGCAGCAAGCCCAGTCGCAACATCCTTAACCGCCTGATCGCCAAGAAGGAGTTTGACGTCGTCGTCTTTGGCGATAAGGTCATTCTCGACGAGGAGGTTGAAAACTGGCCAATATGGTGAGTTGTTGCATGTTCTGTTGTTCTGCGGCCCTTTCTCCTGCTAACGAACCCCTCAGCGACTACCTCATCTCCTTCTATTCCGACGGCTTTCCGCTCGACAAGGCTGTCGCCTATGTCAAGGCCCGCCGGCCCTTTTGCGTTAATGACGTACCGTTGCAGAAGATCCTCTGGGACCGCCGTGCCTGTCTCCGTCTGCTCGACAAGATCGGCGTGCCCACGGCCCAGCGCATTGAGGTGACCCGAGACGGCGGCCCCAGCGTTCTCGGCCCCGACATCACTCGCCACATCCGCGACCTCAGCGGCGTCGTCATCGAGCCGACGGATCCCAGCAACGCCCAGCTGCCGCCGACCAAGATCGAGCTGCTGGACGATGGCGACGCGCTCTGTGTCGACGGCAAGATCATCCGGAAGCCCTTTGTTGAAAAACCCATCAGCGGCGAAGACCACAACATCATCATCTACTTTGCCAATGCGACCGGCGGTGGCGCCCGCAAGCTCTTCCGCAAGATCGGCAACAAGAGCTCCGAATACGTTGCCGAGCTGAGCATTCCACGGGCCATCACCCATCCGACCGAGAGCTACATCTACGAAAAGTTTATGCGCGTCGAGAACGCCGAGGATGTCAAGGCTTACACCGTCGGGCCCAACTACTGCCATGCCGAGACCCGCAAGTCGCCCGTCGTCGATGGCATTGTCCGCCGCAACACCCACGGCAAGGAGATCCGCTACGTCACGGCCCTGAACAACGAGGAGAAGGAGATTGCGAGCAAGATTTCCACTGCTTTCGGCCAGCGCGTCTGTGGTTTCGACCTGCTTCGTGCCGGTGGAAAAAGCTATGTCATCGATGTCAATGGCTGGAGCTTTGTCAAGGACAATAACGAGTACTATGACCAGTCGGCCAACATCCTCAAGGAGATGTTTATCAAGGAGAAGATGCGCAAGGCCGCCATTGCTGCCGCCGCCGCCGCTGCCGCCGCTGCTGCTGCCATCGCTGCTGAGGCTCCAGCCCCTGCCGCTGTCCCTGCAGCTGCCGGCACCAATGGCTCCCCGCCTGCTGCCGGTATGGTCACGACACCGCCTACGATATCGCCGGCAAAGTTCGACAGCGAGCCTTTGACTGCCGCGCAGAGGGCCCTCCAGCAGAATCTTGACAAAGACAATGAAAAAGTACTGTCTAGATCTGGGACAGTAGATTTCAACAGCGAGGGGACACAGCAGAAACCAGAGCCACAGCCCCAGCAAACCCAGCCACAACCACAGGAGATACACGAACAAGCAAAGCCCATTCACATCCTTAACAGTGCAGCTGACGATATCGTCCAGACTGCAGATGTATTTATGCCTAAGCCCAAGCGCTCTCCATCAAGCTCCACCACAGCCGCTGCATCTCTTCCCATTCCTGTGCCTGCTCAAGCCGCAGCCAACAGTGGTGCCGAGTTTTCCACCAGCGGATCATCTACAGCCGCGCCGCCCATCTCTCTCGCCGACGTCGATGACCCGGAGGAGCCGCCACCGCCTCCTCCGGCCCACTCATGGAAACTCAAGGGGGTTGTGTCTGTCATTCGCCATGCCGACCGCACGCCGAAGCAGAAGTACAAGTTCACCTTTCATACCGATCCATTCATCGAGCTCCTCAAGGGCCACCAGGAAGAGGTCCTGTTGATTGGCGATGCAGCTCTGGCAAGTGTAGCCAATGCGGTCGATACTGCTATCACGGCTGGAATCGAAGATCGTGGCAAACTTCTGGCCCTACGCAACGTGCTCGTCAAAAAGGGTTCCTGGCCGGGCACAAAGGTTCAGATCAAGCCCATGTTTCGGAAGAAGAAGACTACCGAGGACACCTCCTTTCCCCCCCTTGAAGAGCAGATTGCGACAGACGCTGCCACGATAGCCGCTGCCGCAGCCGCTGCTACTGTAGGGACAGTGTCGAGCGACCAGAACGCTATCAAGGACGACGAGGTTCCCACGAGACTGCCACCACGGAGGCACGACTCCCTTTCCGGGGTGACCATGTCCAAGTTCACGGCCGCCGAGAATAGCCTGGTTCTCGACAAGCTCCAGCTGATTGTGAAATGGGGAGGCGAACCCACGCATTCGGCCCGCTATCAGGCGCAGGAACTGGGCGAGAATATGCGCAACGACTTCCTGCTGCTCAATCGCGACATTCTCGACGACGTCCACGTCTTCAGCAGCTCGGAACGCCGTGTCACTACGAGCGCACAGATCTGGGCGTCTGCTTTTCTGGGCGAGAAGGATCTGCCGTCCGACTTTATCACCATCCGCAAAAGTCTCCTGGACGACTCGAATGCCGCCAAGGATGAGATGGACAAGGTGAAAAAGAAGCTGAAGAACTTGCTGCGCAAAGACAACGAGCGGCCGCCACAGTTTGCCTGGCCCGACAACATGCCGGAACCGTCAGAGGTGCAGACGCGTGTCGTGCAGTTGATGAACTTCCACCGTCGCGTCTTACAGTACAACTACAGCAAACTGTACGGCACGAGCAACGGCAGCGCAAGCGCCCCGGGCCTCAGTCCCAGCCTCTCCAAGAGCTCGAGCTTCGAGAAGGCGGGAGCTGGTGCAGGCACTGCTACACCGGGGACCGACAATAGTACCATCACCACGGAGGGAGCAGCAGGATCAGGCGAGACAAGCGGCCTTTCGGCTTCCAGCTCGATCGCCCAGGCAAACACGGTTAATGGCATACAGTCCCGCTGGTGCTCTGGCGAAGATGCCGAACTGTTCCGTGAGCGCTGGGAGAAGCTGTTTGCCGAGTTTTGTGACCTCGAAAAGGTCGACCCCAGCAAGATATCGGAGCTGTACGACACCATGAAGTTCGACGCCCTGCACAACCGCGCATTTCTCGAGTGGGTCTTCACGCCGCCCAAACACATGCTCGAGGAGGAGGATTGGGCTGGCGCGCTTGGCAGCAGCGGCAAGCCATCGGGCCACAAGGATACAGTGGCGTCGACATCCCCGCCGACTGGCCTGCCATCGCTTTCGCCTGTCTCGGCCACGACCTTGACACCGAAAGCCACATTGACGGTCGAAGAGCGCAGGTCCTTTGAGGATATTCGACTGTCAACAGCCTCCGTTCCGCCAGGCAAGGCCGTGTTCGACGACAAGGACGGCAGCATCTTGGACAAGGACCCGCAAGTCAAAGATAGCAGGTCGGACTCGAGCAGCCACCGGGCCTCTGTCAGGCGCATCTTCCGTCGTCGGTCTTGGATGGCAGGGCTTCGTCATGCGGCAAACGAGCCTCCGCTGGCCGAGCAGTACTTCCACCTCTACAAGGGCACCAACAGCCCGACAAAGGCCAAGACCGATGCCCGCTTCGAGCCGCTTCGCGAGCTGTACCAGCTGGCCAAGGTGCTCTTCGACTTCATCTGCCCCCAGGAATACGGAATCTCGGACAGTGAGAAGTTAGAGATCGGGCTGTTGACGTCGCTGCCGCTACTCAAGGAGCTGGTACAAGACCTCGAAGACATGCAGGCGTCCGACGAGGTCAAGTCGTTCTTTTACTTCACCAAGGAGTCCCACATTTACACGCTGCTCAACTGCATCCTCGAGGGCGGAATCGAGACGAAGATCACGCGAGCCACCATTCCCGAGCTCGACTACCTGTCGCAGATCTGTTTCGAGCTCTACGAATCCGAGACGAGCAACCCGGCCGTGAAGAAGGGGCAGCATGAGAAGGACGATGGACACGGACACGGCAACGACAGCGACAGTGCCGTAGAAACATCCATCTACCAGTACAGCATCCGCATCACCATCAGTCCTGGCTGCCACGTCTATGATCCGCTCGATGTGCAGCTTGACAGCCGTCATTGCATCAGCTGTGCACCGCGTCGCAGCCTGACGGCCCACATTGACTGGAAGACGGTCATTGAGACCTTGCGCAGCCGTTTTCACGAGTAAGCCGGTCCTACCCTTGTCCCTTGGTCCTGATGCTTCTCACGTGCTGACCAACCAGGGTCAAACTGCCAAAGTCGTTCTTAGCAGTCAACCTGTCGGATGCGTTTACCTTCCAGGAGAAACAGGCCAGTGATGGCGAAGGACAGGGGCTGGAAATGAAGCCTCTCGTGAAGGAGAGCAAGGCAGCAGGCGCCGAAAAGGCCGGCTCGGAAGCTGAAGCCGGTGCCAGTGGAGCTGGTAAGACTGGCTGAAGATGCAATATATATCACACCGACTTTCACTTGTGTCTCGATGGATTGGACTTGTGCAAGAACCTTCCAGAAGAAAAAGAAATTTGAGGAAAAACTATTTACGTCTCGAACTCAGCGATCGAGCCTGGCGGAGATACGGATCACAAGAAATTTCCGGTGATGATCTAGATCAATGCTGGGGTTGAAGATGTTGATCGATGTGCCGCTATCTGAGGTGTAGGTCGCACGACGTGCATGAGGCTAACTGATATACAACGTGCTTGATGCGGAAAAGTGTCCCGGACGTATAGATTTTAAGATCCTACATATTTTATGGGACAGACTTGACTAGGGGCTTATGCCTGTCTCTCATTGTCAAACTGGCAATCTGGTTTTCATGCATCTGTACTGGGTAGATTAGCGAATCCCTGGTGGAGTCGGCAAGTCCCGAATCTCATGAACCGCAGCCAAACCGGTTTCATATCACTACTCCATATGTATGTATCTTGAAAGTCTGCAGAGGTGGTCAGTTTCCCGAGATGTCAGACCGGCCTGTGTTCGTTGGGATCGGATTCCCCCTCTCTCTGATCATTGTCTCGGAATAAGCATTCTCAGATGGTCCACAAGGCTAAACCACAATCCAGCAGGATTAAAGAAGCAAATTGTGCTCCGTAAGCCGCCCGTAGTCTGCTGAGAAATAACCCGAATGGGAATGTGACATCATCCTGTGGGGGCCATGTATGCAAAGCTTTGGAGTCACCAAAATTCTGAGGGGCAGCTCAAAGCTGAAATTGAACCGGTGAGGTGTTACCCACGGTTACCCTTGTATTAGCGCGAATCTAACGATTCCACGGGTGCGAACTGGGAACAGGGCAGCTGAAATCCGGGAGGTAGTTTTGGGCCCAATCGAAGGGCTGAGGCCCGATAGGTCCAATCGTCACTATACTCGTACATCAGACCCAACGTCGCCAATCCGGAGGGGTTCATCCGATCGGCAATCTGCAACATGCTGCTGCTGGACGAGTTTTACATATTCGCATATGCAGTAGTCAGCATGTTCTAGTCGACAGCTTAGACAGCAAGATCGCATGGGCATCCCTGCAGCACCCTGGGAGAAGAGGGGTGGCGGCCTATCTGAGAAGCGATCCGAGACGGTTCCATCACGGCAGCCTTGTCTCTGCGCACGCCGTTGTTTCAAGGCCGTTCTTGGCAAGTGTTTCGTCGTGCAGCCGGAAATTAGCTTGAGCGTTCCGGGCACAGATTGGTCGCCAAAGAAAGAAAAACCTGGGGTACGAACGCGTGACGACAGCAAGACACCAGCTGGCTGATGACGCAAGCTTTTCAGGACACGACCGTCTCGTGCAAGGGAGAGGCTGCTTCTTTTGCAACTAGCTGCATGCATGCACCGCGCCAAAGAGACGGAGTTTTCCGTGCGTGCAGGGCTTTCGGTGGCAGCCATTGGCACGGCAACAAAACACCCCGGCAGCCGTAGGCCGGAACGAGAACGGTGCAGCCGAGATGCTCACCAGGCCGTGGCTGACCGAAACAGGCTAACCGATGACCGTCTTAGACGTTCAAAGTAGCAATAGTAGCGATAGGTGGAAATACGACACCACTGCAGTCACTGCAGTGTGGAGCCAGCTCAACGTCCTCGCTCAACGTTCGACTTGTGTCTGGAGTTTGCCAGTTTGGTGGAGTCGTCGGTGAGAAGGGCGAGCAGCCTACTTGGCCGAAAATGGGTAGGCTGGCGTGGAAGGCGTGCCCTCTATCCTCTGGGTGGCATGCTGCGAACGGACTATGTGATATCTGACAGGAAAAGCCGCCGCGAGCGGCCAGAGGATGAGGGGACGGCCAGCAAAGGCTGCCGCCGTTTTGGCGTCTGCTACAAGAAAGACTTCATTGACAAGTTCGCGAAAAGGACCGCTATATTGCGAAAACCATCGGTGCACGACGGCGGGAAGGTGCGGATCACAGAACCGCTGTTCTCCCGTGGAAGGAACGTCTAGGAAGGGTTCCCATCAATACTGGGGCCAGATTCTTTCACCGTCTCGTGTTTATACGCCAAACTAGGGCTCCTTAGCCCGATTTAAAGAGGACCTTTGCTCTGGACGAAGCACAGTCAAGACGAGCCTTTACGCAAGTGAGGGCACCCCTTGCAAGCGTTGCCAAAGATCCAAGCCGGTGCAACTTTTCAATACGCGAGATTTTCTTTTGTCCCCTCTGGCTCTGCCTCATCTCTGCTTTGAGGAGCCTCTGTTAGGCCTACGCCCTCTTTCGTATCGTCTTCCAACAGCCCTTGATGCCCTTGCCAGAAGGTTGAACCGTTTCTGCAAGCTCCTCACAGAGAATTTCGGGCAGGCGTGCGAATAGGGTAATATACTCGCCAAATTGAAAACCTAATTATTCCATGTATAGAGCATATAAATTCTCGAGCCCCTGAAACTACCAGTCTTCTCGTGACATCACTCTCCTCGAACCATCACATACCCACCCGTTCCTCCCGTCTTTCTTCCCAGGATCTCGTACGATTTCTTCTGTGAGTACCCGAGGACCTCGTATGTTGATCAGAGTCAGACATCGCGGTTAATCCCTTCGTCCAAGCTCTCTAGGTTGCCCCTGCAATTCGTGCTCGCTCAGAATATCTTGAGTACCCCTGGCTACCACACCTCACCCACATACACGTCACTTCTACGTCTTCAACGTGCCGGCAACGATAAGATGGCCAAGGGTAGCTGCAGCCACGACTTTGTGTACATCAAATCGGACAACGAGATGTTGCAGTGGAATTGCTCCATCTGTGGTGCCGGCCCGTTTTGGGCCATTTACGAATGCAAATTCTGTACCAGGAAGGTCTGTGCAAATTGTCTCAGTCGTGCCTGAGACATCAGTGTCCCACACATAAGCGTGTGCGGAGAAGAAGGGGGGACGTTGTCACATTGGGAATAAAGAGTGCGTTTCAGCAAAGTCTTTCTTAGGATCAGTCCAAGAAGACTGCATCAGTTTGATAACCCTAATACCCGTGTTGATCTGCATGTCGGGTGAAAAATCAAAGCGTTTTATTGCTGGCAAGAGGCCGACGTAAGATATATCATGAACCATGGTGGCCTCTTTTCTCCATATAAACCCAAGCCAAAGAGGAGCCCCTTTAGACTCCCAATCTCCAGATTTCGCTTTTTCCCCTGTGTTTTCAACTAGCAGTACGAGGACAAGAAAATGCCATCTCCAAATACCCGTTCCGGGCCACGTTTTGAAGTCTCATCCAAGCTGAACATACCTCTCTTTGGTTGTGTGTGTGGATCCTTCAAAGAGCCAATCCTGTGCCATCGCCGGTCCACCGATACAACCCTAGTAGCTCTCGTCGGCGTCGCTGTGGCTGGTCTGCACTATCACTCAAGCTGCTGCCGTGATGACCATTGCCAAAACTGCCGCCGCCGATGCAGCCATCAATGGCACCACCGCCACCACTATGGCCACCGTCGTCGCGGCCTCCACTCGGTGGCACTCGTCCACGCACCTGCGCCAAGGCGCTGCGCATAACGCGCGAGAAGTTGCGCTGGTACTCGGTGTTCAGCGTCACACAGCAGGCCTCGTGAGCACGAACAATGGTCTCACAGGCGCGGGTGACGCTGGCGCTGGCCTCGAGCTGCAGCTTGTCGGCGATGAGCAGCAGCAGAAATGATCCCTGCAGCAGGTAGATGCCGAAATAATAGGGCATGAACTCCAGGCCCGGATCGTGTTCGAGAATACGACTGATAGCCTCGGCCGCGGCGACGGCGTGGCCAGTGGCGGTAATGAATCCAGGCGAGCTGATCCACAGATCGTCGTCGTCCAGCAGGCTGATGGGATCCCACTTCCCGATCAGGAGGACGTGCAGAACGTGCATGACGTGAGTGCCATAGGCGGTGACGATGGACGTCTGGATGTCGAGCTCGGTCATGCGAAGCGGAGGAGAGGGAGAAGAGGAGGGTGAGGATGAGGGAGGGGAAAGAACCGGTCCAGAAGCAGCAGGGCCATTGGAGATGGCAGCGGCGATATCAGCTGTGGCAGCAGAGCCATCTTGCTGGCTTAGCGGCGTGTCCACGGCCTGAGGAGACCCAATCGCGTTGCCGTCAGAAGCCGTCTTGTTTTTGGTCCCGTTCTTCTCGGCTGCTTCCCTTTCTGCCTGCTGTTGCTGCTGCTGCCGCTGCTCGTCTCGGGCAGCAGCAGCAAGGACAGCAGGGTTGAGGTTCTCTTGCTCAAAAGCCCGAAGGCTCTGCTCGTAGATGCCGAGATGCTGGGTGATCTGGGCGACCTGGTCTTTCCACTCTCGCGACGAGCGGAAGCCTACGCCGAAGCGCGGATGGTTTCGCAGATGATGCAGGTCGACAATCTCGCCGAGGATGGTCATGAGAGGCAAGAAGAAGCCAAAGATGCTGTGGCCGCGACAGATGAATGTGGGGCCCCGGGAATTGCTAGGGCTGTTGTCGCTCTTTCTTGTGCCATCGTCAGGCGATAGCAGGGGATTAGGCGTCGACGCCAAGTTGATCTCGACGTCCGGACCGGTGGCTGTGTTGATGTTGGTGCTGGTGTTCTTCTCAAAGTTGCCGTTCTGCCAGGCCGATTCGTCCATGGGCTGCAGCAGGTTTTCGCATTCGACATCCAGCAGAAAAAGCGGACGGTTGTAGCACAGAGCCAGGTGTCGGTCCACAAGATAGACCAGCCACCAAATGCGACGGCGCTCCTCACGTGCCTCCTCTGAGACAACCATGCCGTCCTCGCTCTCATCCTCGGCACCTAGGTCGTTTCCATCCAGGGCCTGGCTGCCGTGATAGTACTGGTGCGACATCGGGTTGGGCATCCGGCTTGGCGGATTTGGCGGCAGTTCGCGGCCCAGTTTGAGCTCACGCGCCAGAGACCATGCGGCATTCCACCAGCGCAGGCTGGCTCCTTTGTACTCGCTGGCGGAGACCACAGTAGCCAAGTGCATGTACGTGATGACGTCGTCGAGCGTACCGGCAGCACCAAAGACAGCTCTACCGCCACCACTGTGCTCAGCAGTGCCAGAGAGGCCGGCAAGACCGCCCTCCAAGCCGAAAGAGTCGCCGCCTAAAGACATGCCTAGGCCATTGCTTACTGCTCCCATGACGCCCATTGCAAGCATCGAGGACATGGTGGAGTTGTCGGTGGGTGAGCCCATGTCAGCAGCTGACGATGGCGCGTGAACCAGCGGCCTCAAGAGGCCAATCGTCAGATCTAGCAGTTTCTGGCACGTCTTGAGGCGAGCTGAGGGGACGCGCGTTAGGAAGGGGGCGTCGCTGGTCTGGGCGGTCACCCAGAGCATGCTGGCCAGCAGGGCGGGCTGACAGCGGCGAGGCTTCGTAGGATGCAGAAAGGAGCGCTTGCGAAAGACAAAGCTGAGCACATAGGGCGACATTGGGTGCATCCGAGCGGACGACGAGCTGGTGAAATAGAGGTCGATGAGGTCGCAGGCCAGCGACAGAGGCATGATGCCGCCGAGATGTGGGACCAGCGGCTCGAGCACGGGGTAGCGAAGCTGTGACAGATTGTAGGTTCTGGACAGTCTGGAAGTGGAAAGCATGGCCGAGGATGGCTGTTGGTACATCCGCTGGTGGGACTGGCTCTGAGGCTGGATCTGGTGCTGCATGTGCTGCATGCGTTGCTGTTGGTGGTGATGTTGGCGATGGTGCTGCTGCTGCTGCTGCTGTCTTTGCTGCTGCTGCTGCTGCTGCTGTTGTTGTTGTTGTTGTTGTTGTTGTTGTGGCTGTTGCTGTTGAGGTGGCGGGGGCGATGGCATGGTCAGCCAGGGAGGCGATGCCGGCTCTCCAGCCATCGGATAGCTGCTCAACGTCTGCAGCGCGTACGATAGGTCTGGATAGCCAGACATGGCGGCCGGCGTCGTGTAAGATGTGTGACCTGTTGCCACTCCATTCATCACGTGGGCAGCCCCCAAGGAGCCCATCGCACTCAAGGCCGACTCTTCGGCTGCAGAGGCGGCGACCTGGCGTTGGGCGTACGGCGGTGTGTGGACGGGGCCGTAGCCGTTGAGGTCGAGGCTGGGAACAGGCGAGCTGTCCAGGCCCTGCTGCTGCTGCTGCGTACTGCTGTGGTCTAGTTGGACGTGCAAGCTTCCAATGTCCCCAAGGCTTTCCAGGCTGCCTGTTCGCCGGCTGCGCTGCAGCTCGTCATCGGCCAAATCGCTCATCAGGCTGTCACCGATGATTGGTGTAGTGATGGCTACGGCTGCAGAGCCGCTCTGCTCGACACTCGCAATCATGACGGACTCTCTGTTGGATCGCCCGATGCCGTCATTTTGGTCTGAAGAATCGCCGCTGTTCTGGCCGTCATCCGTCTTGCCCTGGGAGACGGCGGTGGCGGCAGCCTGAGCAGCGGCCTGGCGGGCGAGATCTTTGCGGGATGCCTTGCCACGCTTCTTTCGCTCGCGGATGTATTCACAGCCAAGGCCAAATTCTGACGGTCAGTGGACGTGGTCAAAAAGCAAAGAAGACGGAAGGGCGGACAAGAGGGGGAATTGCCTGATAATGGCAGAACCCGTATAATACAGGAAACGGAAGGAGCTGGTATCCAGGCAAGGAAGGCGCCAAGGGAGGCCAGAAACAGAAGGCGAGGCAGCAAAGACGCAAAGACGCAAAGGAGCAAACGACATACCAGTGCAGTGTGCACACGGGTTCTGGCCATCACATTTGGTGCGCAGCTGGTTGCACTGGTCGCAAGCCCTGCTGATGCGGCGGCGAACATGCCCTACGCTGGCACTGGGCGCTCCGGCCGACCCGTACGTATTCTGGCGATGCTTCACCTGCAGTCCGACATGATGCTGCAGCTGCTGCAGGGCGAGATGGGAGCCCTGGGCGAGCGCGTCGAGATCGGACGTGTGCATGGTGTCTGTGGGATGGTGGCTGATGGGGGACGAGATGGCGTGATAGGGAGAGAAGCGGTGCAGCGGGTTGGACAACATGATCGAGTCTGGCGATGTTCAGAGGCGCGTCCGGTTGGCCCAGGTTGGCTCCGACGCCGACGGCCAGAGTAGGCAGGACGCGCAAGAGAAGGCAGAAGAAGAGGCGACGACAAAGCCAATGAGAGCGAGGATGCAAGGCCCGAAGAGGAGACGGGGACAGGAGCTATGGGTCGGACGATCGCAGTGGTGTCTCTATATGAAGGTGGTGTTGTAGGAAAAGACGGGAAACGGTCATGTGCGCGCTCGCTCGTCACGAAGAGTCTGGTGGCGGCGAAAGCGGGCGGGCGGCTGGACGTACTCATAAAGGAATGGCAGAGGGGGCGACAATAAGGCTGATGGGCCAGAACAAGCTTCTGAAGAGGCCTAGCAGGTGCCTAGACGGACCGAAAGGCGTTTCTGCTGTGGGCACAGGCAGACGAGCAGGACCAGATCATGATTGGTGTGAAAACGTCAGCAGCAGGACATGAGACCATCGCCTGTATGGAGCAGCTATGCGGGCGGTAATTCATGGAGAGCGGGAGGGGGTGGGGAAGAGAAGGAGGGACGGCGGGAGAGGAAGAGACACGAAAGAAGGGGGGAGACCGAGAGAATAACGGGGCGGAGGTGCGCGAAAGAGGCACAAAAGCCAAGAGGCCGAGCAGCGAGCAGAGGGACGGCGACAGGGCTGTCACGAGTTGCAGCCTGTTTTTTTTTGGTTCGTTTACGTTTACGTTTTCTTTCCTTTTCTTTCCTTCTTGTTTCTTTCTCCTTTTCCCTCTCTCTGTTTTCCCTCGTCCTGTCCTCTTCTGGTTTCCCGCTTTATTTTTTCTCACACGCGTGCCCTGCCAAAAGGCAAAAAAAATAAGAATAAAATCAAAACGTCACCATATGGCGGGGTTGGACACATGGATCGAGTTGGCAGGGGTCCGGACGAGAGGGTTGCTTGTGCGGTTCGCACTGTGCAGCCGAATCTCGGGTCTTGGGGTCTCTGGGTCTTGGGTCTTTCGAGCCGGACCTCTGCACAAGGCCGCCGTCTGTCCTGTCGGATGCGGACCTGCCAGAGGCGCCGAGCACAGCAGGCCGCAAGAGGGAGCTCGGCAGTCAAAAAGACCAGGGCCTGGTGGTCTCACGGAACGCTCCATGCGTCTCCATAATCGCTGCACATGATCGGTGGAGATGGTCTGTTGAGACATGCTGACGAGAGGATCATGCACTCGGCGGCCTTTGCTCTGGGACGACGACCAGTGACATCTCGCCCAAAAGACAGCGCCAGACGGTTTTATCTGTGCCAGTGCAGCTTGCTCTTGTTGCTGGACATGTCTTGTACATGGCATCTTGCTCGTACTCCGTCCTCCGTACTCCGTATCTCGTATCTCCTCCAGCTTCTGCCAGTGGATCAGCTGCTGCCGATCCGACACTACGACTAGTCTGGCTTGTGCCGCTTCCTTCTTAGCGGTGTAGAGCCCGGACGGCGTGCGCTCGGGCAAACACCAACGCCCTCGGACACTGTACTGGTACCGTGTTGTCTTGGCGCTTCCACGTGGGAGACTTGTGGTCCCACAAGTCCTGCCAGATGCTGACCAATCAGAGGCGCCATCCGTTCCGAGGACTGTACGCGATCGGAGCACTCGTATGCCTATTGTGATATGTCTACCACGAGACGGCTGGATGTCACTGTAGATCACTGCAGTCGTCATCTTGGATGTGTCCATGGCCAACGAGTGGTCCTACCGGCCCAGAACCCCTGCAGAGAATCACGATAGACCGGTCCGATGCAACTGCTTTGTTTTTTCTACTTTTCTGCCTTTCTGCCTTTCCGCTCTCGACTTCTTCTGCCCTTCCTCAGCTCCGCGGACTCCGCAGGAAGCTCACCACGCCACCGCAGTAGCCCACCAGCCCGTCCAGCCGCGTCCGCTCGCCGTCCTGTACGCTCTTCCATTCGGCCAGCGCGGCCGCCAGACCCTTGTCGGCCGTCTCGTCGCTGTCGTCGTCCATCTTGTCGGCCGTCTGTGCTGCCGCTGCCGCCACCGCGGCCGGGCCGTGCAGTCGCAGGAAAACGGCCATCCAGGCCTGGACGAGCTCGTAGTCGCGGCGCGCACGAAGCCGGCTGGTCAGCGCACGCACAAACAGGCCGAGCTCGCCCTGCTCGGACGCCAGAGAGCGCAGCTCCAGATCGGCCTGGGCAGGGGGTAGCAGCTTGAGGTGATCGACAAAGGGAGAAACTGGCTAGTTAGCAGATAGAAAAGAAAACGATGTAAAGAAGACGGAAACAAGAAGTAAACCCCCTCCAAAAACATACAATCATTCGTCGCACCTCCTTGGTGCAGCTTCATCGAAAAGGCCTGTTGACCCCGGCTGTAGTCCAACGTCAGGATGCGTGACCGCGTCGTGTTGTCGAGAGCGGCGGCACTATCACCACCGCCTCCCGCAGGCGTCAGCGAGCGCATGGCCGCATCTTCTGCCGCGGCCGAGGCCACGGCGCCGAGGAAGAATGGCGCCTTCTCGGGGGCCTTGGGCGCCTGCAGCGGCTTGTTCCGCTGCTTGATCACGTCAAGATGCAGCAGCGTCTGCCAGCGGCTCTTGGGCACGAGGCTGAGCGTCGTCATGTCGGAGCTGAGCTGGTCGATGGTGACGGCCGAGAGGATGTCGTCGTTGGTGTTGTTGTCGTCCTCCTTGTCGTCCTCCTGGTCGAAAGCAGCATCCAACAGTCCGACACTGCCCTCGCCCGAGGCCGTCGGTCCAGCCATGCGTTTTTGCTTCTGCCTCTCCCGGCTTGCGCCCTCGACCACCGGCCGCGTCGGCACATGCGTGAACAGGGTCTTGTTCGTAAAGATGTGCACGCCTAGTGCGCTGTCGGGCGCTACGGCCAGGTACTCCCCAGTGCCCGAAAAGGCCAGGGCGCGGCCGGCGTGCTCCAGCACGACCGAGTCGACCAGGTGGCTCGTTGGCAGGTCCCACACGCGCAGGCGGGCGTCGTCCTGGGTCACGGCCACGACCCAGCGTCCGTCGTTGGAGAAGCAAAAGTCGTTGATCTGGCCGCGAGCCCGTCCGGCCTCGCCGCCACGGCTGCCTGCCCAGAACTCGCGGATCGTCTTCTTGGTCTCAAGGTCGACCAGCCGGATCGCGTTGTCGTCGCATGCAAACGCCACCAGGTCGTTGGCCGCGTGGTATCGGCTGCCCGTCACCGCCACGCCCAGCGGCGCCCAGTCCAGCTGCGAGGCCAGGTGGCCCGTCAGCAGGTCCCAGAACTTGATCGTCCCGTCCAGCGAGCACGACACCACAAACCGGTCCAGGCTGTCCACCACGATGCCTGTCACCGCCTTGCTGTGTCGTCCCGTGCCCGGTGTTGGTCCCGATGTTGCTGCCGCCTGCAGCTGTGCCACGCTGTCGGCTTGCCTCAGCTGTTGCTGCACCTTGAGCTGGCGAGCCTGTGCCGGTGTCAGCCGCGACGGGAACCGCTGTCGGTGCAGCCCCGACTGCAGGTTGTACATGTCCAGTGCTCCCCCAGCCGATCCGACCAGCGCAAACGATCCGCATGGACTGATGGCCACCGTCGACACCGCCGTCTGATCGCCTGTCGGAAACGCCCAGCGACCCGCCCGCTTGCGGCCCCAGAACCATGTGCGTGCCCAGGCATCGCCCTTGTGCGCCGTCACCACACTCTCCCATCCCGTCATCCCGGCTACCTCGGCGTCCAGTGCCCGTGTCGGTCGGTTCTTGCTGCGTCCTGTCGTGTCCACCCGGTGCCAGATCGGCTGCTTGCCCGGCAATGCTCCAATGCCGCCGTCCCGGTTCAACGACGATGCGATGCACGTGATCTCTGGCGCCTTCAGGTCCTCCAGCCTTGTTGTGGGGCCGTGCCGCAGTGCCGACGCCGACAGGATGCCCGTCTTCTTCGCCTTGGCCCGGATGTTGCCCTGGCTCAGCTCGCTGCTCTGGCCGTCGCGCCGCAGACTCCAACCCCAGAGGCTGCGGTCGCGGCCGCCGCTCAGCAGCCACTTGTTGCCAGCGTCAGCGCCGTCAAAGTCCGTCGGCAAGAAGGCCAGACAGCTCACCGGTGCCGCGTGGCCGCTGCGTGAGTGAAGTACGCGCGGCACCGCCGAGAAGGGCGTCTCGTCAAAGATCCATGTCTTGAGCGCATTGTCGCGTCCGCTAGTCACAATCACCGGTTGGCCCGGCAGAAACTCCACCTTGCTGATGCCGCCACCCACGTTGCTTCCCTCTTCGCCCGACGGCGGGTTGTGAGCACCTCGCAGCACGCCCATGATGCGGCCGCCGTTGTTGAGGTCCCAGAACGTCACGTCGCCGCTGGCTGCCGACGCCGTTGCCATCACGCCCTCCGTGCGGCCGTCCTGGCCGGCGCCGAGACCGTCAGTGCGGAATGAGATCGAACACACCGGCGCATCGTTCTCGCCGTCGCCCGTCACGCCCGCCGTGCCCGCGTCCAGCGCCAGCAGCGTCTTGTCGTGCACCACGTCCTGGATCACCAGTGGCCCACTGTCGTACGCAATCGCCAAAAAACACAGCGCTGGCGTCGGCTCCAGACACGTCACCGCGCCGCTGTTCGGTCCCGGTGGCAGGATCGTGTACACCAGCCGCCCCGAGCTGACGTTCCACATCTCTACCCAGCCGTCGCGACGGCCTACAAACACTTTGTTCAGCAGTGTCGGCATCGTGCACATGCCGCCCGTCAGCTCGTTTCCGCCTGCCTGTGCTGCCGTTGGGTGCAGCGTCGTGTAGTGCTCAAACGTCGCCGACTTCCACACCTCGATGCGCGTGCGTGCCAGTCCCACGATCCACGAGCCAAACACGATGATCTGCCGCAGCGGCTCGTCCAGGTCTGCCGGTAGTGGAATCTCGCCCGTCTTGCGGCCGCGCTGGAAGACCCAGAATCCCTGCCGTGTCGACGGTCCGTCCGCCTCGCCCTCGTCGCTGTCGTCGCTGTCGTCGCTGTCGTCCCCACCGCCGCCCCAGGCTGCAAACACCATCTTCTTCCAGGAAAACGTGGCCGTGATGTCGCGGGGCGTCTGGGGCCTCGTGACAAACACAAGATTCAGACCACGTCGAAGATCGTACGTCTGCAGCGCCCGGCCGACGGAGGTCGTGATCTGGAAGGTCGTCTTGCCCATTGGCAGGCACGAGAATGGCACGTTGGTTGGGGACACCAGCCCGACGGTCTGTATGGTCAACACTATGTCTCCATGGGAGAATGTCAATCGAAGAGTGTAAAAACGTACGCGGAATGGAGCAAACACGTTGGAGCCCCGGGACTCGACAGCATCTCGGCGAGGCTTCTTCTCGCCCACGCTCAGCTTCTGGCGCTTGGCCAGCGGCCCGCCAGTCTCCGAGTGCGGCATCTCGTCTGCAGTATACCCGGTGTAAGGGGTTGCAGGATATCGTCGATGCAGGCCGTATGGCGAAAAGGAGAAGCAGAAATCACGCAAAAGTAGAGGCGCTGTTGGCTTCACTCGCTTCAACGTCGCTTCCTCATTCGGTTTTTTTTTTGCATACTGCTTTTTTTTCTTTTTCTTATCGATAAGCTAATAACATGTGGGGACGTCCAGACGATGTTGAGCACAGTGCTTCTATAGACTTCGGGCATTCGCACTGTCAGAGCATCACCATCCTCAGATCAGTTCTGGCCACTCGGTCATGCGCTCGTGCAGGTCCATGACGGTCATAGGCCCGCTGTTCTGCATCAATATGTGGAGTTCTGTAGTCTTGAGGTTGTGGTATTGGTCGGCCACACAGCCGGACGACACCATGGGACCTGCGCTCTGCGAACAGCTGTCGCATCCTGCTGCAGCTCCTCCGGTCCCGGGTCTGGCCTGAGCACTTTCCGCTGTGGCTTATCCTCTTCTGTCTTCTCTTTCTTCTCTTTCGTTTCGCTCGTTCTTTTTCTTCCTTACAGCTGTCATTTCTTTATTCCCTTTTCCATTCCGTATTTTGGCCTTCTGCTCCTCCAGCCGACGGATGTCTACCGAAACCTAATTGTGGGACACCTCCTCATTTGCGGGGGAAGACCCGACAAAGACCTTATCCGATGGCACTATGTCCGTAGCATCGGCTGGGAATCATGGCGAACTACCCTCCAATAGCCAATCATAGGGCGGCTTTCCCCTCTCGGCCAGCGATGTTGCGAAGCCCGAAGCCAACAGCCAAGGCGCCACTCGTCGCACTGCCTTCCGTGTAGGAGTATATGTCCAGAGAGGTGCGCTTTCCCTTTGCGAGCCGCCCCTCCTTGTTACATTACTCCTGCGATCTCCAACTCTGGCATCATGGCTTTCGACACACCTCTCACTGCGTCATTGAAGCCGTCGGCGACCGACAAGACTAGCTATGGTTTTTGGCTGACGTAGGTTTTTTCTGTTTCATTCTGGTGCAACTTGTTCTGCCTTTTGTTCTGTTGTTTCTGATTCTATTTCGTTCTCCTCTGCTCTCTTCTGTTCTTTTTGGTTTCTTCTCTCATTTCCATTTCCTTCTCATCCTCTCCTCTTCTCATCTTCTCCTCCTCACAACCCCAGATATCCAACCGCGGCTGTGGCCAAGACCATCCTGCGCTCGGCCTCAACGTCCGGCTCTGGCCGTTTCTCCTGGGTCCTCGTCGACGCCGAACACGGCCTCATCGCCGACCGCCACTACTACGACCTCACCACAGCCATTGCGGCCGAAGGTGCCAGCCCCATCATCCGCGTCCCCTGGGCCGAGGAGTGGATGATCAAGCGCGCCCTCGATGCTGGTGCCCATGGTGTGCTGACGCCCATGTGCCACACGGCCGCTGATGCCGAGCGCATCGTGCGTTACGTCAAGTATCCGCCGCGAGGCTCGCGTGGCTACGGACCCATGTTTGCCGTCCACGCTTTCAGTGATGTCGCCGGCGGTGACCACTACGATCTCGACGCCGCCAACAGCATCGTCGTAGCCGTCCAGATCGAGTCTCGCCAGGGCGTCGACAACGTCGAGGAAATCGCCGCCGTCGACGGCCTCGACATCCTCCTCATCGGGCCATTTGACCTCGCCCTACAGATGGGCGTCGTCCGTGGCGGCCCCGAGCACGAGGCTGCCATCCAGAAGGTCCTCCGCGCCGCCAAGGCCAACGGCAAGACCGCCGCCATTTTCTGTGCGTCTGGCTTTCTTTCTCCGCTCATCCCTCGTCCCCCTCGTCCTCCTCACTTACATCACAGGCTCCAACGGCGCACAAGCCCGCCAGCGGGCCACCGAGGGCTTCGACATGGTATCCGTCATCACCGACGTCGGCGCCCTCGGCGAGGTCATGGTCGGACATCTAGGCATCGCCAACGGCACGGCCAAGGAGATAGCAGCAAAGCACAATGGCTACTAAAGACGAAATTCTACACAATTTGAACTAGCAAAAAATAATGATATACTTTCAAATTCTTTCATTAGCAGAGATGCATTATATTATTGGCAGGATGTATACAAAGTGCTATGGTCTCCCGATAGTGCGTCTTGTCCCCCAAACAAAATGCCTATTTCCACAGCCGTCTCTGGTCGGTTTCTAGTCTCTTTCCTCTTCCTCCTCACATCTAGCTGAGCTGCTTCGACAGGGCGGTGACCTCGTCCAGGAAGGCCTGGCTCTGGCCGGCCGCGTTTTTGAGCACCTTGGTCAGCAGATGGGGCACGGTCAGGGAGGCGTCAGTTGGGGCGTTGCCCTGGGCCGTCTGGATGCGCGAGACCTGGAATTCGAGAAAGAACTTGGGGACCTTGACGGCCAGCGAGCCGCCCACGGAGCGGACGCCGGCTTCCGTGGCCACGTACACGTTGAGCATGTTCTGGAAGTGCGCGAGATCGGTGCTGGCGAGCGGCGTTGCCGTGGCAAACGTCGACAGCGCGAAGCCGAGCGTCGAGTTCTTGGAGTCAGCAAAATTGATGCTGCTGAACTTGACGTCGCCCGAGATGGCGTCCGGCACGGTGCCAATGGTCGTCGTCGTCGAGCACGTGACCGTGTTGGCCAGCGCGTTGGCCGCGTCGAGCGTCTCGGCCGGCAGCGTGGTCGAGCCGACGATGGTGCAGAGGTTGCAGCGCTGGATCAGCGGCGCTGTCGCGCGGAAGACTGTCAGCAGGAGGCCCGTGGTGTGCTTGGCACATGTATAAGATACTTACCAGCCAGGGCGCCGGTGGCGCAAGCAAGAGCAACAAATGAGACACGCATCTTGTCGGTATGGGATCGTCAAAGGATGGAGTAGAGAGAGAGATGGGATGAGAGAGTGTCTGGGAAGGTCCGAAAAGAGTGACTGGGAAAGAAGGCAAAAAAAGTCGATCAACGACGAAACGAAAGCGAGGATCCTTCCGGAAGGATAGTTGGAAATCAGGTAATTGGGATGAAGAGAAACAAGACAATCGCCAATGGTCAACGGCACACACGGCCTTCTTATAAAGAAAGCAGAAGCAGACACGATGGGGCCGTCTCTGAGGACCCCCGTCCTATCGGTTACATTGCCTGTCTCGGACAAGACGCACTACTCCGTAGTTTCACGATGTTCTTCACTATAGTACGGAGCACTCGTATCCAACTGGATTACTATGTACGGGCGTCTCTTGGCTGCAACGCCAGATCCACACCACAATACGACGCTGTCCGGTCTCGTAAGACAAGAAGATGCATAAGTTTTAGATTTCCCTTTAAGTTTAGGGCTAAACACCCTTGTGACAGCCTTCGTCTGAAGAAGGCAATCCACCAGTGCCGTTTCAGAAGTCAGGAGGCTCTGCTCCCAAGACAGCCCCTGGCTCTCCACACCAATCTTGGCGGCTCAGTCGTCCTCGAGCCTAAACGCCGAGAGATTGCTTCGGGTCGCGCGGCATGTCGTCATGAACCTTTGTTTTCATTCAAGGTTATCTCGCTTATTTATACGAGTATATATATATATACGAGCAATCTCGGCCGTTGCCTCGTCCGCATCCTTTCTACGTCGTAAGTTCGTCGATATGCCGAGGACACCATAACAATGCATGCATAACCCCGTCCAGTGGCCACTGGCCAGCAGTGTGGTATGATTAGTAATCACGACGCCGTCTTGCCTCCATTACCACCTCGCGGCTCTCAGGACCCATACACGCGCCCCTGGCTTGCCAGCGAGGCAGGCACAAGTATCCCGGCACCCTTAATGCCTCCGTCATGACAGGGACTCAAGACCACTCGCACCGAAGGCGGCGCTGGCAGCTGGCTGCTGTATCGCTGGGCCACAATGTCGTCGAGAAAGGCCTGGCAGTCGACCAGGTAGTCCTGGAAGTTGGTGATGCAACCTCCGGTGTAGCCAACGACCAGCTCGAGCGGTGCCGATCCCGACGACGCGGCCGGCAATTCTCCGGCACAGTCGAGCAGGCCGATCGTGGCCGCGGCGATGACAGCTGCGGCCCGCGTCTCGATGGCCTTGGCAATGTGGTAGAGTGCCGCGGCGATCTCGCCAGTCCACTGGAATGGCGGGCGTCCGCTCGGCAGCTCCTCGACCGGAAACTCGGCCTCCAGCATCGCCAGCAGCGACTGCCGCTTCCCCGGCCGGTAGTGGCTCAGAAAGGTCGTCTTGCGAGGATCGAAGCGCCGCAGGAACTTTGCCGGCAGCGCGTCCTCTGGCAACCCCAGAACGCTCGTTACGTAGTCCACCAGCATGATGCGACCCAGCTCGCCCAGGTAGCGACCGGCCGTCATGTACTCCAGCGGCTGGAAACCTGGCGCCTCGACCGTCTGGCTCAGCTGGTCGTCCCAGCGGCTCACAAAGCCCACGGCCCTCATCGCGCCCTCCGATCCGTTGATGCTCCACTCGGTGTTGACGGCGATCCTCATGTCGTCGTCCCCGTTTACCCTCTCGGGCAATTTGGACGGGTGCAGCAGGCTGCGCTTTAGCAGGAGCGTCGCGTTGCTGCCCGTTCCGCAGATGAGGCCCATGGCCGCCTTCTGGTTGCCTTGCGCCCGACGTGCCTGGACCTCGTAGACAAAGGAAACCAGCGTCGCTACAGCATCGTTGGTGATGGCAGCAACGGTGATGGGGGGCAGGACTAGCGAGCAACTGTCTTTCGCAGCACTTTCTGCTTGGGCTATCTCGTACCCTCGGATCAGATGCGAACCCAGGTCGAGCTTGGGCGTCATGGCAAATCCCTTGCCCATGGCCATCAGCTTGGCCTCAGACAGCGACTCCTGCTCCATGGGAAAGCTGAAGGTGACCCCCATCGGCAATGCTTCGTCTGCCGGCAGGCCGAAGCTTGCAGTCCCGTCGCGCACAACTGCCGCAATGCAGCCGCCGATCCACTTGAAGAGGCTGTCGGCATTTTGGCTCTTGAGGTGTTCCTGGATGGGCCAGTTTCGTTCGTGCAGCCGCCGCAACGCTGGCGAACTTGGTCCATCTGATGCTAGCTCGCCATCATGGGAGAGAGTCTGACCGCCACCCAGCTCGATGAAGCCTACCCGCAAATTTGTTCCGCCACTGTTTCCCCGCCACAAAAGTTAGATCCCAGACCGTATGCGGGAGATACCTCTCCAGATAGACGGGAAATTGCCTGCTTACATGTCAATGGCAAGATATCTGCACTGGTCAGTACAGATAGGGCTTAGCAGTAGCCGGTATAGAAATGGCAAGTACTCACGTGCCCTGCTGTCGTTTTCTAGGCGGCAGTAGTATGGACTCGGTTATGGGCGTTGACAGGAATTGGTCCAGAGAATCGGCAGCAAGGTGAGCGAAAGTGGAGGCAAAGCCGCGAGACAAGGCGAAGACGCGGTCTCCATCGACGCGAAGTGGCTGTAGAAAGGTGTCCAGAGAAGGGCTGGGGTTCTGTAGCAGTGAGCCAGCCATTGCGCGAGGGCGAAAATGGGAAAAGGGGCGAGATGAGACGCAGAAGCAATGGAGAAGAGAACAGGTTGACTGCCAGGAGAGTCAGATGAACAGCGAAAGAGGAAAAAGGGGGAATGAGGGTAGTGAGAAAAGAGTGGGAGCAGGAATAAGCAGAATCGGGAAAAGATAGACAGAGCTCCTGGAAAGAAAGCGTATGGGGTTATCTCTGGTTCTGCTCCGCCGTCGCTGCTTTAGGCCTTGACCGTTGTGGTTGTTGCTGTTGTTGTTGTTGTTTATGTTGATGACGGCGTGCTGGTTATTGAATGTAAAGCCTGGGATCAGCCAACCGAACGGCTCCGGCCATGACCGGCAACAGCGCCGGGCTGTTTCTTGGAGGGGAGAGGTCGGGAAAAGGGTCGAAGAAGGCGGCCTGGCGAGAGGAAGACAAATAAAGGGCGGAAAGACCAGGCGCTGAAGATACGATTCGAAGACGCGCACCTGCCCGATGACGCAGAAAAGTCCCTGTGACAGCGCTGAAGCCTGGCGTCAGCGAGAAGCCCCGCTAAGATGGGCTTCGAGTTTAATGCAGCAACGCGCCGGCGACGGAGCGGTGTTGCGTGCACGTGCCTCTGGCTTTGATTGGTGCCTGCCAGTTATAGAAAGCTAGGCCCGAAAGTCGTCACTCGTCATGGCTGAATCGCCATTTGCTGTCTTTCCCTCGTCCTTCTGCTCGACATTCTTCCTGTACAAACCTACGACCGCTTACTCCCTACAAAATATCACCATGGAAGCGGGCCGGCTTCCGTTGCTTGCCAAGCACCGCCAGGCTTCGCCTGCTCGTCGCCTTGGAAGCTCCATCTGGGCCCGTATCACGGCAATCGCGGCCGTGTCGGCGCTCGTCTTCTGGGGGCTCACCCAGGACGGATTCTTCTTCCATGCGGCACCGATGCCTCCTGTCTCTGGGAGCAAACTGGTGCCACTGGAGGCACATATTATGAGCAAGTGCCCTGATGCCAGGGACTGCCTGCACGACCTCATCCTGCCGGCCATGCAGCAGGTCTACGAGAAGACCAACTTTACGCTCTCGTTCATCGGACAGTAGGCGACCCAAGCTTCTGCTTCTTCCTAGGCAGCAGCAGCACGACTGACCAGTTGCAGGCAAGCAGCCGACGGTGGCGTCGAGTGCAAACACGGGCCGGCCGAATGTACGTTTTGTTTTGGTCTCCTCTCACCATCGTTACAGAAAGGCTAACCCCCCACCTCCAGGCATGGGCAACATCATCGAACTGTGTGCCAGCAGGCTCTACCCAGACCCCAAGATCTACCTCGGCTTCACCATGTGCCTCTTCCGCGACTACCAGGACATCCCGGAGCAGAGCATTGTGGAGGACTGCGCGCTGGAGCACGGCATCGACATTGAGGCGATCAACGAATGTGCCACGCTCGATGACGGCGAGCACGGCATGGATCTGCTGCGTCGCAGCATCCGGCATAGCAAGGACGCCGGAGTGACGTACAGCTGCACGGTGCGGCTGGACGAACAGGTGTACTGCATCCGGGACGACGGCCAGTGGAAGGAATGCCCGTCGGGCGGTGGGGTGAACGATCTGGTCTTGGCCGTGGAGAAGCTGTGGCGGCAGGCGAATGAGTAGATTGCGAGAATAGATTGCGTGTGTGTGTGTGTGTGTGCATGTGTCTAGAGCGTATATGTATTTGTATACATGCATCTGTGTATAAGTTCCGTACATGTGCTTGTATCTTACGTGCATCTATGTATACGTGTCTATATATGTGTTTATATGTGTCTATTATGAACTGTACTCCGTATATGTCTGTGTAATGTGTTTATACGGAGTACCTTTGTTTATATATGTGTTCGTATATTATCTATATATATCTATATATCTATATATATTATGTATATCTTTCTATACATGTATTTATGTACATATTTGTACATGTGACTGTGTGTCTGAACAAGTACCTGTGTACATGTGCCTCGTGTTTATGATGTACCTTTGTACATGTGTCTGCCTGTCTACATGCCCTACTCTGGGCTCTCTGCCTTGAGCGGCCCGAAGACGGTGGTCCAGAGTTCGCTGGCCTCGCCGAGGGTGTAGGTCAGCGTGAGGGCGTCCATGCCGGCGTCGGGGCCACCGGCCATATGGTCGAGCTGCTCGATGATACTGTTGAGGCTGATAGCCTTGCCAAGGGCCTGGGTGGCGCCGGCCTCGAGCTGGACGTGGACGATGTGGATGTGAAAATGGTAGTAAGTCGGCTGGTAGTGGACATAGAGCTTGAGCTGGTCGGGCTCGAGGCCGGCGTAGACGCCGACGGCGGCATCCACCAGGCAGGCACGCATGCGGCGCAGCCAGGGCACGTGGTGCTTGCGCAGGTCGCGCAGGCTCCAGAGATCGCGGCGCTCGACGATGGCGAGCAGATGCAGGGCCTCGACCGTGCGGCGGTCCCAGTTGAGGTCGGGCAGCAGCAGGAAGCCCTCGAGCGGCTGGGCCCCGTAGGGCGTGCGATAGATCACGTCCTCAGCCTCACGACGACCCTCGATGATGTTGAAGACCCAGCCGAGCCGGCCGGCGTCGCGCTGCGCCTGCACAAACGGCCGCACGCGGTCGCGGTACAGCGCCGCCGTCTCCGTCACCAGTCGCACGCCCTGTCGGCTGTACTTTTTCACGTGCTGTGCCGTGCAGGGCCAGATGAGATTAATCTTGAGCGAGGGGGTGGCGGCGCCGAACGAGGCCGCAGCTGTCCCTGTTTCTCCTGCTGTCTCTGTTGCCTCCTCAGGCGCTCTCTCCCCCGCCAGATACCAAAAGTAGACGTCGTTGGCGCCCAGGTTCTTGAGCCAGCCCAGGCTGCCGGCCACAGACCCTAGGTACTCGGGCGCGGTCGGAAATGGCGCCCGCTCCAGCGTCAGAAGTGCCGGCTGCCCGTCTATAGCACCGTACAAAGTCGTACGGCGACCGGCCTGGTCTGCATGCGGGTTAGTCCTGGCATACGACGCGGCAATGCTGCTGTGAACAGCAGGCTCGCTTCTCACCTTGGTTCAGCGTCCGCTCGTATTGAAACTTGGGGACCAGCACTTCTGCTGCCGTCGAGTCTGCCATCGTTCTGGTTCAATATAAGTCGGGTTTTATTTGTTTTGTCACGAATGAAAGCAGTCAGTATTGTACGGGCAAGAGTTCCATACAAGAAGCTTTTCGTTAGCACCCCCGCCTTTGGGCTAACCCCACATTGTCCAAATGCGTCGGATCACGTGTTGATCTGAGGTGGGGCAGCGACTGCCAGAATTATACTTCGTAGATCTAGCAAGTTACTGCCAAGTCTGACTTGATAAAATTCCAGACAAATTTCATTTTTGTCAATATGACATCGTAGTACTCCGTACTCTGTAGGCTTAGTCCCGTAAAGCGAATTTATAACAGAGCATTGCTAGCTTTGCAGAGTCCTAACGCATAGCACCCACTGTCGGAATGATTTCTGTCTGCATCTACTCTTCTCCACTTCAGCCTCGCATTCTGGCCCCCATTACTTCTCGACTTCTTCCGGCACCTTCAGACTGGCCGCGAACTCGTTCAGCGACACGCTCTTCTCCACGAGCCCGCCGCCGGACGCGACCCGCGCCAGCGTCCAAACCTCTGTCACGCCCAGGCTGGCGAGGTAGGCCAAGCCGCGCCGATAGTTGGTGGCCACGTGACCAATGCCGTGGCTGTCGTCCGACATGGTGAAGCGACCGCCCATGCGCAGCCAGGCCTCAGCGATGGGCCGCGCCGGGTACGGCTCTTCCAGGCCCTTGCGCAGCGCCGACGTGTTGCACTCGAGCCAGCCGCCAGCCGCCGCCACCGCCCGCAGATTGCGCTCGATCGCCGGCCACACGGCGCCGCCCCAGGCCGCACGGCAGTCGCGCGCCGGATCGGCGCTGAGCAGCCGCACGAGGTCAAAGTGCCCGACCACGCGTGGCCGCAGCGCCTGTAGCATCGCCAGCTGCTGGTCGTAGTAGTCCAGGTAGAGGGCGGCCTCGGGATCGGCTACGACCTTCGCCTTGACCTCGGCCGAGAGGCTATCCACAGACAGCGCCTTTTGCTGACTCGTCTTGACGGCCCGCGCATACGACGCCTTGTCGTAGTCGATCGGCACGCCGTCTGCCCCGACGTGGTGCACTGACCCTACAAAGTAGTCCAGCTCCGGCCGCGCCGCCAGCGCCTGCACGCGCACCCCGTCGTCCGCTGCCCCGTGGATCCACTCTGCCTCAAAGCCGACCAGGATCGTGATCCGGTCCGCGTACGCCTCGCGCAGACGCAGCGCCTCGCATACGTAGTCCTCAAAGAGCCGGTCCAGCGCTACCAGAGACGCCTGCAGGTCCTCGCCTTTCTGTTCCGTGTGAGCGAGTGCAAGACGACGGAGCAGCACCAGAGATGACCAGACACACCTCTTCCGGATACAGATCCTCCACGTGTACTCGCGGCATGTGCTCGCTCATGCCGAGCGTGCGGAAGCCCAGCACAATGGCTTGCTGCACTACCTCCTCCAGCCGATCGACTGCATGGCCGCAGAACTGCCCCGAGTGCGAGTGCATCGTGAACGCCATCTTGGCCTTATCGATTGTCAATCCGCTTCCGGGCCGTTGTCCTGTCAGCCTTCAACCTGCCGTCTACCGTCCTGTATCAATAGACGGAAAGGGCCGGCCGCAAGGGAGAGGAGAGGGCGGACACAAGACAGCGCTGATACCATTTGTTTGTAAAGGCCGACAAGCTTGCACGAATCGGCAGCCTCCCATTCGTCACGTTGTAGCTGTGCTCCCAGGTGGGGTCGACGACAGGACCAGCAGGCGCGTTACTAATCATAAACTTCGTACTCCGTAGAGCCTTCAGTATGGCCGTTATCTATATCTAATATGCGTGCTCCAGGCAAATTTACTTTTACCATACGCTATGCAGCGACTCTTTTCCATGCTGTGACCAAGGCGAACATCCTTGAATAGGGCATGTCTTCACTTTCCCGTCCTTCGCTAATATTTGGAGCCTAAAAACAGAAAACAAGCCAACAGCCAGAATAAGTCTCCATGGCGATGCACACCAGGAGCAAGACAGAAAACACGCCCAGTTATATGCAATCCAATACAGCAATGCGATCCTCAAACCAGTATTAAGTATAAGCAACAAGGTAGAAACGACATGGTTTTGACCTGCGGCCACATTATTGGGACTAGGAGGTTCAATCAAAGAAAGAGTGAAATCGACGTTGCTCGCTTGCTCAGGGTATATGCTCGGGGTTGTTTCGTTTGATGGCGCGCCTACCAGTCCATCCAGTCATCATTGCGTCTTCTCGTCAGCGTCTCCAGTTTCCCTGGAGCCGCCGTTCCCCTTGGCTAGTTCATGCCAAGGTCATCTCGGCGTCGATGGCTTGTATGCCGGCTTCGGCGAGTCTTCGTCCATGTCTTCAATGCCTTCGTCCACCTCGATTGCCACCGTAGCATCAGCTGCGCCAGTAGCAGCCGAAGGAAGTGCATCTTTCGCAACCGAGAGGCCTTTGCGCATGTGCTGCGGTCGGAAGCTTCTCGACTTGGGCGGCTCGACCGACTGCTTGAGAGCATCGGGGTCCTCCTTCTTGATGCGCTCCATTTCACGGTCCGCCAACTCTTTCGTTGTGGCCAGCCGGTTCTTCACTTTTTCGATCTCGTCGAAACAGTCTCCATCCCGCAAGAATTGGTGTGCTGCGTGCTCGCATGTTGACTGCACAAACTCTAGCCCCTTGTCAAGCTCGTCATACACATCCGGTGCCTGAGGCCCGCCTGCAAGCGACGAGCGCCCGGCTCTTGAAAACATCGGCCGGCCGCCTGTCGCGGCTCCTGGGCCCCGCATGTGCCGCGTGCTGACGTAGTTTAGCTTCAGCAAAGACTCATCGGCAGCTGAAGGGGCAGCTGCCTTGATGATATAGTCCTGTCCATTTCCCGTGGCAGCTGCCTGGGCAGCTGCGGCATTTTTGTCGTCGTCCACATCGGGCACTTCTAGGTCGGCCAAACGCTTGATTTGCGCCACTTTGGCAGCCATCTTGGCCTTGCGCATCATGTTTCGTGACGCAGAGACAAACTTGACAAGCTCTTCAAAGAATGACTGCACGTAGCTGTCATAATAGACAATGATCATGCTGCGGGTGCGGTACTTGCTGGGACCTTTCTCAGCACTCGCAATGGAGTCGCTCCGCCTATCGCGCTTGCGCAAGGTAGCACGTGCCTTGGCCTGCGCTACTTTCATCACCTGGTTGGTCTGGTGCTGAAGAGCCGAGACAGCTGTGAGGTCGCCAGGCACCTTGAAATGCGGCGCTAATGGGGACCTGGGCTTGACATCGGCATCAGCACCGGTATCGACGTCCACGTGCGGTCCGGCTATGGGGCCTTTATCTTCGCCCCATGCTGCCGCTTCGTTGTTTGGCTTCAAAGACTCGGTGGACCCCTTGTTGCGGATGGATTTGGTGCGGCTGGGACTTGATGTTGGGGAGAGCTCGAGCTCGACGCGTGCGAGCTCTAGCTGACGCTGGTCGATCTGCCCTTTCAGCTCGTCCAGGCGCTTGACCCAGTCTGGGACATTGGCGATAAGACCTTTGATGGCATCCATGGCCAAGTCCTCCTCGAGTTCTGGGCGGCCGCCTCGGACACCAAGAGAGGAGCGGGCTGGGAGGGTCTGAATCTTGGGAGATATGGCTGCAAATGGCACGCCGGGTGAAGATCACCCAAACGTGACAGTGCGGTGGTGGGCGGTCAAGTCAAGAAGAGGTGAGGGCAGGAAGAGATCGTTTTACTCGTAGCCGGCAGATCAGAGCGGCACCATGACCTTTCCGAAGGGACTCGCAGCGATAGTGTTGCGTGCGCTCGGTGTTAAAGAGACAGGAAACAGGTCAGTGTCGGGGGTAGAACGAGTGAGGTGAGGCGAGCTTATGGACCCTCTTGGCTTGGTCCTGGTTTCGGTGTCTTTTGTCGGCTAGGATCTCCACCGGTTCGGAGGAGCTGAGGACTGAGAGGAGACGACAGAGGTGTATTGGAAGAGTAAAGACGAGGAGAAAAGGGAGGATCAACCAAGCATTAAAAACAAGATGTACATGTCTCCACCTAGTTTTTAAGTTGAGCACAGGATAGCGTGTTTCGACGGCTAGACGTTGGTAGCGCGAAGGGAAGAAGAGGACGAGAAGCTTTTATGGCTTAGCGTCGCGTAGAGCCAACATGTAATACAGCGTAAACGGAGAAGCGGAACGGAGTGTGCGGGACGGATGAGACGGAAGGGTATGACGAATTGTCCGAGCAAGTATGGGACCGGTAGTGGGTTTGGTGTTTTGAGGGTCTTGTAGAATTGGGATTTGAAATGAGGAACAGGGAACAAGATAGAGAACAGAAAACAGCAGATGGGCTGCAGGGTAAAAGTAGCCAAGAGCGGAGCGGGCGAGAAGGATTTCTGGCCAAGCGCGGCAGGTGTCAAAGGGACAAAAGCCGACGACAGGCAGAAACGGCAAGATGAACGTGAGATGGACAAAACAGGCAAGAGACAATAAAACAGGCAGGGACAGAAGGAGGCAGCTAGCTGATTAGGAGCCGACGAGGGAATTGGAAAGGAAACCGAGGCAAAAGAGGAAAGAGGCGAGTGGAGCAGCCAACAACAACGAAATCTACTCCGTACACAACAGCGGTACTAAGATACATAGTATGTGAAAACAGCGCAGGGGGGGAGCGAGGAAAAAGAGGGGAACGGACCGGAGAGAGAAAGGGAGAGAGAAAGCGAATGAGGCGCTCGTGTTCGGACGAGATGCATGCAACTGGTCGGGAACTTGTAGAACGTTACGGAGTATAGAGCACGGAATAGATTGCATGCGGCCTACATAGTACTTGCCTTTTTGGCGTGTATCTTTAAAACTGCGGGACAGGTTGAGGGGGGAAGGAGCGGGCGGAGAAGAGGGCTAATCGCCGCGATTACGGAATACATACACAGTAGTGAGTACTCGTACTATCGTACATTGAAGCCAGGCAGCAGAGCACCGCCTTTTTTCGCGTCTTCTCGACGGGCGGAAGTGAAGATTCCTTTGAGGCACAGCGACATGCTGCCGTGCTATTCTGTACGACGTACGCGCACGACCGATATGCCGTGCGTGCTGGGCATTGCCTGCGATGCTCGGACTGGCTGGTTCTGCCATGCCCACCGGCCACTGCCACACCATGTCTCATCGCGACCAGAGTTGCAGCGGTCCGACGTCACACTGCGATGGAACATACATGCTATGTCGTACCCACGCCTTCGTCGACGAGGGGCAGGAGTCCGATACGACACACGCGGCATAGAAGACGACTCTCCATTTGTGGGATATCTCATGATGTCGAATGCAGCGCGGAAGTCTGCACCCTACAACAGAGTACTCGCACGCTGTAGGCACAATCGGCCTCTCTCGTATCTGACATTCGGCGCCAGAAGAGGTAGAGGTGTGGCAGATCCTGCCGTTTCGACCAGGGGGCCGTGGCAGCGAGGCCTTTCCGTTTGGGGACGCTCTCCACTCGCGGGCCCTGGCCAGCAGCAATATAACAGTGAGATACTATGTAGAAGCTGGCAGGCAGCCTGTCGGAGCATGGACAAACTCGGTCGGGGTCGGGGTCGGGGCCAAGGCTGGCAAAGATGAAGCACAGACGTTGGGCAGTATTTGCCCAACCTGACCGTTTTGTTTCTACGACGTACGAATACTCCGTACCCGTACGGAGTATGGAGTAATACTGCTGTGATCCTTGTGGATGGGCTGTTTTGGATTCTGTTCTCGCCCGCTCTCTCTGTCGCATACCTCCTCTCGTATCTTTGTGGCATGACGCTCCACTTGGCGAAGCGCAAAACACCACCCGGCCATACAGAGCATCCGATGGGGGGGGGGCCAGACCAACCTGATTGCTCAGGCTGTGCCCACAGGGGGGGATAACGTGCGGTGAGACACGTATCTTACTACATAGTATGTATCTCGCATATCCTGTGCTCATGTGCCCTGCGTGCATCGCTCATGCAGGCGGCCGCATGATGAGAGCGCAAGCAGAGGTTACGAGCGGAGGTCAGCGGAAAAACTCCATTTTTCTTCTTTTCTGCACTTGATCCCCACCAGGAGATCCTAGACTAAGAGACGGGCTAGGAGACTAACTAAGAGGACCGTTCCGCGTGTAACGGCCGCGGAGTGCTCCTTACGATACGAGTAGAGAAAGCAGACGCTCTGCTGAGCGTGCGAGTGTGAGGGGGGAAAAGAAGAAAAAAAAGAGAAAAAAGCACGAGCCCGGGTACTTTGACCTTGGTCGGCCGCGGTCCGAAGGATCCCCGGCAGGAAGAGACAGAAAGGGATAGAAGGGCCGAGCAGAGCAGACCAGGTCGGTCTGCATCAATAATTACACGTAAAATACTCCGTATAGTATTAAGTATCGAATCTGCGCGGGTACTCTGTACTACATCGCATGTATGGTTCTCGCCATGCTCGCCGTCGGGAACGGGCGCAGAACAGTTCCCATTTTGGCATGAGATCTGGGGAACGCTTTGGCAGTCTGAGAGAACAGAGCGTGCGTACGTCGTAAATAGATGGGCAAAGAAGCCGGGCGAGCGGAGTGCCGGAATAGATAGAAGCTTCCCCGATGATCGTCGTCGACCGCACTATACTCTGTCGAGGGCGAGGAGAAGAGTCGGGCCAGGGCAGAAGAACGATGAGCGCGTGGAAGGGAGGGGGGCAATTGCGTCGTAGACATTGGCATCAAGTCGGTAAGTGGTTCGGGGGCCTACGGAGGAGTACGGAGCACGAGAGGTGACCGCCGAGGTCACCCCTTTTTCGGGGTGTTTTTTTAATTCATTTTTAATTCGTTCTGAAAGTCTCCCCTGTCCCTATCTCGTGCTGTGAAAAATCGGGGCCTCTTTTTTCCAGGGCTGTCGCATGGCAAAAAGATTGCCGCCAAGCCAGCCGACTGGCCGTGGCAGCCATTAGCGGCATCGCACATCGATCGCTTCTCGTATTGTTGATGGAGACGGTTCGGCCAGGTACGGAACGGAGTACTTCGTACAGAGCAATAAAAATCTTGTTTTTTTTTTCGTGCAATAATACAGAGACTCTTGTTCTCGGCTGTGGGCACGTTCGCTTGCTCTGCCGACCGGCTCTGCTCGTGCTACGTCGAACTCTGTCCGTCGTGCTCTCCTCTCCTGTTGGCACATCGGCTCATCGCCGCAGCAGTCTGTGCAGAGGCCAAGACGCCTGCAGCAACGCTGCATGCGACGCTGCGTGCTCCTCCTGCTGATTCAGCCAGTAGTAAGGAGCGGTACCAAACTTCTGTCTGCTCTCTGACCTTTTGCTATTTCCGCAATTGTTGCCATCTGTGCCATCTGTGCAATCTCTGCCATCTCTGTCATCTGCGACCGTTCTTGTCATTCTGTCGATGCTCTGTGCTCGCTCCCCTTACTTGATCCCCAGACCCAGCCGGCCGACGAGCGCGTCCACTGCCTCTGCCTCGGCCGAGCCCCAGTCGGTGCCTTTCAGCGCGTCGAACTGCCCCAACTGGGCATTCTGAGCCGCAACCAGCCCCCCCCCTCGGTCCTCGTTTTCGCTTGGGCTGCGCTCCAGCCTCAGCCCCAGCTCCAATCCCAGTCCAAGACCCCACAGCTCATCAACGACGGCATTTCGGATGCGTGGCCACGGATGGCGGAGAAGGGCCGCCAGCCTCTGTCGGGCGACTGGGCCGGCCGAATCTGCAGTCTCTGCAGTCACCGCAGCCACGGCCCCGTACACCTTGATGCACGCCTCCAGCTTGCGCACGCTGCCCGCCTTTTCAGCCGCCAGGTACACCTGTCGGCAGAGCGCTGCCAAATGACTGTCGCTGTCATCCTCGCCGACAGACCGGCCAAAGACACCGCTGTAGAAGAGAAAGGCCACGATCTCGAGCGTCGGCACCACGATGCGGTCGGGCGGCACCGGGACCTTGGGCTTCCCCGTTGTCGTCGTCGTCGTCGTCGTCGTCGTTCCTCCAGGCAGATTCCGCAGCAGGGACAGCCATATCAGCCGTCTCTTCCGCCGCGTCGCCGCCGCATCTCCCTGGCCCACGTAGTCTACCAACGCTGCCCGGCTGGCAATCACCAGCTCCTCGTTGCCCGTGTCGGCCGACGTGACGTAGCCGCGCATCAGGGCTGCCATCCACTGCACGGCTGCAGCTGTGTCGCCCGTCTTGCCCGCTGCTGCTGCTGTTGCAATGGGTCCCAGGCTGCCGGCCTCTGCCTCGTCCCACAGCCCCAGCAGAGTGCGGAAGTAGGCCTGCGACGAGAACGTCAGCGACAGCAGCCGGCTGCTTGCCGGCTCGCCCAGAGCCAGTGCCAGCGTCGGCTGGGCCGCGGTGCGCACCCGGTCGAGCTTCTCGGCCGCCAGCCGGAGGACGCGCAGGAAGAGGAGCGATCCCGAGGCTGCTGTCCCGCTGTCGGCCACCAGCTCCTGGCCCCAGAGCGCCTGTGTTGCTCGCAACGCCTGCAGCCGCACGTGCGACCCGACGTCGCCGCGCGCGCATCCGTCGTGTAGTCGTCCAGGCCGGCGGCCAAGATGGTGCGGAACCGTCCGGGGTTGGCTGTCGCTGTCGCTGGTGCTGGCGCTGTCATCATCAGCACTGCCGGGCTCTGGGCCAGTGCTTGTAGCAGGGACACGCGTGCCTCGATCGACCTGTCCGAGGCCCAGCGGTCGAGGATGGCACGGCTGATAGGGTCCTCGTCACTGGTGTCGCCGAGTGCCACCAGCGGGTACGCCTTGGTCAAGGCGAAGACGAAGCCCGACCCGCTGCTTCCTCGGCTTGTCGACCGGGCCGCGGCTGTCTTGGACGTCAGAGTAGCCGCCGGCTGTCGGACGGTGGCGGCCCACGAACAGACGAGCTCGTGACGGGCTGCGGTCGAGAACAAGACCACCAGCAGGATCAGAGCCGCGTCTGATGCGGCATCAACCACCTCGGGCTCCCGTCGGGCTAGCCAGACGTCGGAAAGCAGCGATGCAGCCAGATCTGTAACGGTACGGATGTCGTCCTGTGGGGCGAGAGTGCCAGTCAGAGCTTGCACCACCTGGCCGAACGCGGTTGCAGGCACATGGTTGGCCTCGGAGACGAGCTCAGGACCAGATATGAGAGCTGCCTTCGTTTCTTTGTTGCCGTCGTTTGTGCTGGTGGCTTGCAACACCGGAAAGGACGAGACAATCAGCCGGCTGGAGGCCTCGGCCAGCAGTTCGAGCCGTCTGGTTGTAGTAGCCAGCGCCAGAATCTTGCAGCTCTGCAGAGCCCGGTGCAACAAGCAAATTGTTTTCTGACACACGCCGGGGAGTTCGACCAGCGTCTGTGCAGCCTGAACCAGAGCGGGAAACGTGTCCAGGACGGCAGCGAGCGCGAGCAGCAGGCCGTGACGCTCCTCCACCTGGCGAGGCTGCAGCTTGGTGATGCGTTCGGTGAGCATACTGGCCGTCCCAAGGAAGTTGCAGAGAGTAGGTCCATCAGCGGCGAGCCGCTGAGCAATGTGACCAAAGGCGGTGGCCGCACCGCGTCGAGCAGCCGCATCGCCAGCGTCACCGACACCGCGCCAGCCGAGCAGCTCGTCGCGCAGGGCGCTGCCGTAGGGGTCGCGGGCGAGGGCAGCGGCCTGCAAGGCGACATCGGCAACGGCACGGCTGCGCAGAGCAACGGCGTGATAATCGACGGCCAGGACGAGAGCGATACCGGCGCAGACAGTGTCGGGATGACGGCCAACGAGCTCCTGCAGGGCGGCCGAGCTGCCGCGGCGAATGTTGCCAGCCGGGTCCAGACAGGCAGCCACGACGAGGTCGGTGGCCAGTGGCTGCAACACTGCCAGCGGCTGCAGCTCGGCCGTGGTGTAGCGGCGGGCCAGCGCCCAAACTCCAAAACAGGCGGCGTCGCGCACGTTGGTCCCCGTGGCGCTGCCCGAGACGCTGCGCCGCTCAAAGGCCAGTCCGACCTGCAGCGACGCCACGATGGCCGGCAGGACTGCCAGCGGTGGTGATCGTCGGTACAGCAGGTGTGCCAACGTCAACATCAGCCCGTGCCACTCCAACGGATCAACTGCCGTCAGGTCGCGGCCGCCAGAGCCTGAGCCCGAAATTGACCCCGGAAGCCTTAGCACGTTGCGCTCCAGACCCTCCAAAACTGCGTCGATCACCTGTGCCGCCATGTCCGCGTCCAGCTGCAGCGCAATCACGCTCAACGCCTTGCTCGCTGCAAACCGCACTGGCGTGTCGTTATCTGCTAGCCGGTCCAGCAGATAACCGATGGTCGTCTCGATGATCGCGTCGCCCTCGCCCTCGCCCGCTTGGCCGGCTGCTGCCAACTGGATGTACCGCACCGCAATCGCTCGCACCGCCTTGATCATCATCTTGCGTGCCAGTGCCGATGACCGGATCGCCACAAAGACCGCATCATCCCGCAGAGACACGTCCGCATCCTGTCCCTCGGACTCGGCCACCGCGTGCACCGCTGCAAAGATGGACGCCAGCGCGTCGTCCATGTCCGAGGCACCCGCCGCAGCCGACAGGATGCCGGCCAGAAATGAGAGCGTGCCAATGTAGTAGTAAGAGGGCCGCCTGGAAGTCGGTGTCTGCATCTGTGCGCCCAGCGGTCGTAGAGAGTGCAGCGCCCATAGGATCAGAGCATGACGCACCCCGAGCTCCTGCATGTCCCGTCGCATGGCTACCCGCACAAGCAACGCCCGGGCAGCATCCTGCTCCTTTCCCGGAGCTGCCAGGTAGCCGATCGCCAGAGGGAGTACACGAACGGTAATGGAGGGCAGTAAACGGCTGCTGTTGCTGTTGCCATTGCCTTGATCACCGCTCGGCCAGACGAACCCTTCGATCGTCGCCGACTCGTCGCCCTCTTCGTCGCCAGCCCGCCCAGTCGAGATCGTTGAGAGATCAAAGGGAGCCAGGAAGAGCTGTGCCAACCAAAGCAGCACCACGTACCGCTCCTCCCACGTCCACCGGCCCTCGCCGTCCTCGCCGCCGCGCCTCTCCTGCGCTTCCAGCGCCCCCAGCAGACGCTCCAGGTACCGCGTCTCCACCGGCAAAAACCCGACCACCACCTTCTCTCCACGCACCTTGCAAAACGTGTACAGCAGCCGAGCCACGGCCGCCTGAAGCGACATGACCAGCGACGTCGGCGACGACGACGACAGCGGCGCCTGTGCCTTTGGTGCCTGTGCCACGCATCCCAGGAATGCATCCGCCAGCTCCGGCAGCCATCGGGCGAGATAGCCGTCCAGGAGCTGTGGCAGCTCTTGGAACTGGTCAATCAGCCCAATCAGATGGTACGCCTCGCGGGCACGCACATGGGTCCGGAGCGTGCTGTCTGTCTCTGTCTTCTTGCTGCCTGGGCGCCGCAGGAACGAGCCCAGCGCTCCGTCGAATTCGCTCAGCAGGTCATTGGATACTTTCTGCAGACGGACGTCTGCATCTTCGTCGGCGGCATCCATTTTGGGCGGGGAAAGAGACAGAACGGCGATTCTCGGACAGGCAGCTGCGAGGTGGATGTCTCCTGCTAAGTGCGTTTCTACAGCACTGCACGTGACATTGAAGTTTGGAGGCATCCAGAACTATTAACTTCTGAAGCTCTGTTAATTTGTGGCTCTCCGCTACTCTTGCCTTGCATTCTCACCTCGTCTGGCAGTTTCACGACACATTGTACGATAATACATGCTTTGAACACTTCCCATCACACTGCAAAATATCCGCAATGTGGCTGCGAGTAGGCAGTGCTGCATCGCCAGCACAGCCAGGCCGTTATTGCGTTGAATCCTATTGGCCGCTTCGGGTTGCCGACTCAATATCTCACAGGCCCAAGTCCCGCATTTTCTTGCCTTGCCCCTCATCCCTCTATCTTCGTCATTCAGATCTTTGATCCTCATACTTTAAAATATCTCTGAAGCCAAAACGGCAACCCAAGATTGTCGCAAACTCAGAATGGCGTCCCGCCCAAATGAAGTGCGCACTCTCGTTGCAAGAGTTGGACTCTTTATTAGCTCCGACAAACAAACCAGAAACGCAAAGATCAAGAGGCGCGCAAATAGCGGCAGAAAAAGAAGCAGCAGCGCTGCGTGCCTTGTCCCAGTCCATGGTCGAAACGTTCGCTGATAACGCCAAACTCTCATAGGTTCTTGAAGCTGCTACACTGTCCCCTGTTCTCTCTCCGGACAACTACAACCAACTTTTTCGAGCATTTGTCAACAAAATTGCTTCTGGCACTAGCAACTCGGAATTTCTCGATCCCCGCTTTCTTGTTAGTTTCAACCGAATGCTTTACTGTCCGCAGCTTTCTGCCGTAGGCACGGATCTTCCGTTTGGAAGCGCCATGTAGTCCCTAAAGAGCCGACTCAAGACTGTTGTTGACGCTGCCCAAGAGGCCGATCAATACCGGCTGATTCGAACGCTTTCGATCATCCTGGACTGCATGCGCGAGGCCGGCGTCTGAGACATCAGCAGGAAAGAGCTGATCAAACCATTGGACGACCTTCTTCATAAGTCAGAATCCAGCGAAGAAATGCGTCTTGCTCAGGCCTCCAAGTATGCCCGCAAAGCACTGGCCTTGCTGCCCAGCGATGAGAGCCTGTGGAAGACTCTTGCAAAAGATATATACACAATCGTACAAGGCAGCGCCAAAGTTGCTGGTTCTGTTTCGACTCTGGATCCTTCCAAGCTCCTCGAAGGTCTTGAAACCTGGGCGCAACTACCACAGTTGGTACAGTCCATCATAGACGTTGTCGACCGGCTTTCAAGTCTGAGAGCTGGTTTTAAATCCGTTTTCAACAATGGAAAAGGCGTAAAGAAGCCACCTCGGTGGTACTTTGCACTTCGCTACACCGACATGATGCTTCAGAATAACTGCCCCAAGCTACTCAAGTCCCTTCTTAGGATCCGGAACTCAGATGTCAATCAAATGGACATTTTCTGTGTGGACTCTGTGTACAGCTGGAACAAGCTGTCGCCTCTAGAGCCTTGTCTTGAGGAATTGAAGTCGTTTCTGATTGAGAAAGGCAAAGACGCCAATGAAGCTCTTGTCAAAGAATGGGTTGCCTTGTAACGGGTGCTAACCTACCCGAAAATCCGAAGTCGTCTCCCTTGGGCTGGGGCAGCCGCCAATTTCGCACCACAATTGACATCATAGAAGTTCCAGCCGATGAAGGTCGAGGCGGCCTTGTGAACAAAGCTTGGATGAGCTGTTCCCAGGCACACATATTCTATGCGGACCATGCAATACAGCTTCGGTACGAGCACAAGGCTCTGGGCCTGCTCAAAATAAAACGGTTCAATGGAGACAGCTTGCTCATGGACAAGTGCTATATCAACCTGTCTATTGTGCAATCGAGCGATGCGCAGAAGGCAGAGAGCACTGACTTCCCAATTTCAATCTCTAGGCGCTGGGGTATCAGCGGTGCTCCGGAAGCAGAACAGATGTCGTTGTCCAATATTTTCATAAAAACAAAGAAATCATCATCTGCTGTCATGCAAAGACAAGGATCTCTGGATCGCAGGCGAATTCTCATTCGTGGACAGGCTGGCGTGGGTAAGAGTACGCTCTGCAAAAAAATGGTCTACGACTTCATACATGAAGGGATGTGGAATGATGTTATTGACCGCAATATTTGGATCCCGCTGCGAGAGCTTGAAAGCAATGGGAATGTTCAGCCACAGGTTCAGCAGCTGCTTGGAGTTAAATACTTCAGTGGGGCGCGCGACGGGCATATTCTTGCTAAAGCCTTTTTCGAGACATCTCATGCCGACCCAAACAAGACATTTTTCATCCTAGATGGTCTCGACGAGGTGTACAGCGAAGTTGATGGCAGAAACGAGTTGTTGCTGAAGCTTTTGAACCGACCGCTGGCTATAATAACATCCCGTCCATCCGGCATCAAACGAACTCATATTAAAGATATCGATTTGGAATAGAAACAGTCGGATTCTATCCTGCCCAGGTCAAAGAATACGTCAACGCCATCGCGTCAGATAAAGCAATTGAGATACAGGCCTTCGTCGATAACCACCAAACCGTTCAGGAACTTGCACGTATTCCTATCCAGCTGGATGCGATGTGCCACTGCCTCGGCTCAGAAGAATATGTTGGCCATGACATCAGCACAATGTCAGAACTCTACATCGCTATAACAGAGACACCGTGGCGCAAGGACACCATTCGTCTAGAGAAGTATCATCAACATAAGCCAGAGCGAATATCAACTGGTCAAGTCCGCCAGCTCACTGTTGCCAATCTCGAAAATACAATTCAATCCGAAAAAAACATACTACAACGTCTTGCTTTCAATGGACTCTGCAACAACACTATTGAAATTAGCTTCATCTACATGAAACCGTTTGCAGATTTGGGCACAAGTGCCTTCGGCGTATATAACCTGTTCAAGACATCGGTTCTTCGCACGGCCAACAAAGGACCCTTGACAAAACCGGAGACATCCAGCTATCATTTCATACACCTGAGCTTCCAAGAATTTTTCGCAGCACAGCATTTTGTAGAGCATTGGATATCTGAACAGGATTTTCCAGGGCTAGGCTACAGTGCCGATGAGTTTCTTCGCAAAAACAAGTACAACGCGCGGTATGATGTGTTTTGGCGATTTGTTCCTGGCTTACTTCAGGCCTTTTCGGACGACAAACAACTCATCCGGTGCTTTACGGCGCTTGAGAATGAGCTGCGTGATCTTCTTGGCCCTGCACACCAACGGCTGATCATGCTTTTCTTAAGCGAAGTCGCCTCGTCAGAAGGAAAGCAAGGCTTCGGTCAACTTCGAATGGAACTGGAATCTCGCTTGGGTGACTGGCTGGTTTTTGAAGCAAATTCCGATTGGGTTTATATCTCGCCGCCGACATGGACTTTCCGGATGGCATTGTTAAGGCTTGCATTCAGCAAAATTCAGACAATGCGCTCGGCGGGAATTTGATGAGATCATTTGGCGATAGACCAAGGATCGCTTCGGAATCTATAAAGTGGGCTGCATCGATGCTAAAAGGTGGCGTTTCCAGGGACATGAGAAGGATAATTCTGGGCATGATGCGGAAACCAAGTCTTACAGAGGATATTTTCCGAGAGGTCGAAAAATGCTTGAAAGATGGAGACAGATTTGTCAGAGCGAGTACACTCGGACTGTTGCTTCAACTGTCTGACGTATCAGTCGATCTTCTGCTAGGTGTGGTTACAATGCTAGGAGACGAAGACTACCTCGTCAGATCGGCAGCGGCTAAGGTCTTGGCAAATCAATTCCAGCTACCGCCTACTGGTGACAAAAAACCCACAACAGCATATCAAAGGCAGAAGCAGAACTTGCTAGACACACTCCGACAGGCATTAACCCTGTTGCTGGATGAGCAAACCACAGAGAGCAGGATATACACGATTAAGATCTTGAGTGGGACGTCAGGCCTACCCACAGAATCTCTCAAGGCTGTGGAAAAGCAAATGAACGACGACACCCTTTCTGTCAGGATAGCAGCTGCCGAAGCCCTATTGAAGTCAGAAGCTTTCATGAAGAAGAGCGTACAGGCCTTTGTTGGATGGCTACAGAGCCCAGAGAGCGATAATGTGGTAGCAGCGGCCAGTGCCTTTTGTTTGCCATTGTCTCTGCCAGACCACTTTCACCTGCCAGACGACATTCTAAAAGCCTTGGTAGTACTTCGACTTGGGGACCCGAAGAGCGAAGTCAGGAAGGCAGCATCCAGAGCCTTGGGACGGCAATCAGACCTGCCGGACGACATTTTAAAAGCCTTGGTAGTTCAACTCAGGGACCCAGAGAGCGGTATTAGGATGACAGCGTCCCTCGCCTTGAGCCATCAGCCAGCCCATTCAGACAATATTCTGCAGACCTTGACAGTTTGTCTTAGGGCCCCTAAGGACCCAATGGACCCAAGGGACCTAGGCCACTATTCCAAGATAGCAGCGGCCGATGCCTTAACAACTCGATTATACCTACCAGACGAGATTTTGAAAGCCTTGGCAAATATGCTTAGTGACCCGGAGATCGAACTTGGTATGGCAGCGGTCAGAGCCTTGGAATGGAAATCAGACCTGCCAGACGACATTATGAAAGCCTTGGTATTTCAATTTAGATGCCCAGAGAGCGATGTTAGGATGGCAGCGGCCAGGGCCTTAAGACGTCAGCCAGCCCTTTCGAACAATATATTGCAGGCATTGGTAGGTCTGCTTCAGGCTCCGGAGAGCGAAGCTAGGTTTGAGGCGGTTGAAGCCTTGACTGCTCAGACAGCCCTGCCAGAAGACATCTCAGAGACCTTGATAGGTCACTTTGAGGACCTTGAATCAACGTCAACAATCCAAAGTGATCGACAAATTAGCTAGGTCGCTTATGTACGCTACCAACAATAAGCGGTTTGCATTCCTGATTGCAACGCCCCGAGTTTTCAACATGTTCTACCGCTCATGTCTTGACTACGCCTTACTTGAGCACTTGGCTTGGTTTGTCGAGGGTGACCATTGCTGCATGAACATGTTTGGGCACCATACAAAGGTTCTCTTTGAGCAGCTCAAGAGCCTCATTCAGAAGACGCAGGCAGACATTGGCGTCCCCTGTCTCATTAACGGCAACAAATCTGTTACAGATATCACGGATGTGTCCGATGTCTACGTCGAAAACCCCCCCCCGATTCAGCTCAAGATTTCTATATACGGTAGCTACACCACCAAGGGCCCTGTCTCCAAAACAACTCTCTTATTGTCGGCTCTTCTTCTCCCCGTACTTTTCATTTTCCTCCAACCTTTTTTCTTCACTTGGCTAGAACGACTAGATAAGCAGCATGGCGCTCACGGATCTTCTCAGTAGCCATTAAGAGTTGTTCAGACGTCAACAAAGGAGCACTGTAGTAAGCATGAAGCGCTATGTAGCGCGCTAGATAGAAGGAGGGACAATTTTGGGGGTTTCTGTATTGTCTTTCTCCGTTTTTGTTAGGGGCCACGGTAGCATTCAAGGCCAGCTTTTCAGGGCTGGTACTCATTGGGAAACGTATTCTGAAGGAGACTCTAAAGGGTGAAACTGCTTTTGTATTTGAGTCTTTTTGGGTTGCCTACCCAGTTCGGCATTGTGGGCAGCACAAGCCAATATGGCATTTGAGAAGGCCATCTTTAAGAGAAGAATTGGGCCTTTATTTAACAAATACTGCATGATAGCAGTTAAACTAGTAACTAACAAGTCTTGAAACACTGTGCCCTCTTACTAATCCTTTTTCGGTGTATTATCTGCCCAAGTCATAGTCGCCTCGGCCTGCGTAAGGGCTGATTCTGCATTTTGTACAGCTCTTTGGATGTGGTTAGAAACCTCGATCAAGTTGAGTTCTTTCCTTGTGCTCGATAGGTCAAGTACACATTTGTCGATGGCGTAACGTAATCCAATATGGCTAATGAACATGGCCAAATTGTTTTGCAGTTGATATGCAAATATCAAAGCTTGATAGGCGGGCCTAAGACATGCGCTCGCTTTATGTATTGCCTGGGCCACCCGCGTGATGGCACTGGTTGCAGACAAGGCTGTATCAGATTCTTGCTTTGATTGCCACCATTGACACCGGCCGAAAGAAAAATCCACATCTGCGTACAAGACTGCAACATGGCCTTGGACACTGTCGAGATGATTGTAGACACGCTGAAGCCTCGTTCGGACCTCCTCCCATTGGGAATTCCCTTCCCGGAAATAAGGCAATGTCGGAAATTTTATATCATAATCAAAAGCAACGTCGATAGAAACTTGGATGGTACGAAAACGCTCCTGGTATTCCGAAATGCTTGGTCTTTCTGTTGTTGTCATCGTTACTGCTGTAGCCGCCAAAGCTGTCGAAACAACGACAGAAGAAGCAATGTCCCCAAGCAACAACGATTCGATAGCGCTATCGAACACAGCAGTAACCATATGCACAGCTAAGGAAGCACATCTCGTTGCCGTTTGTGCGACACGGCAAACTGCATATGCGTTGAGCGTCGCAGTATAGCCCTGCAGATATTCACCATTATTGTTTGGTGCCTGTATCTTGCGAACATAAGCAAGGGAAGCCTCAATGTTGTGCAAGTTGGCCTTAGATGCCTGTTCAAGGCCGTAAACAGCCGATTTTAGAGAATCTATGGCGGCTGCTGCTTTGGCTCGGCACGCAACCTTTGCTTCTCGCTCTGGCGACCAATAAATACGTTGCTGCTTCCAGGTGCCCTTTTGTTTTTGCTGTTCTAGCATATTCTGCCGCTCCTGCCGTCCTTGTCGCCATTTTTGCCTTCGATGCAAATATATTGACTGGAACCTTTGAAGCAAACCCGCGCCTTGATTTTGGTCATGATCTGTAGTATTGATGGGGTTGCAAATTATAACTGGAGTGTCCTTGAACCTCGATGAACAGTCGCTACTTGCGAGCGATTGTGTCTTTGCTTCTTCGTCTGCCATCATGAATGAAGATTGAACAGGTACCGAATTCTTGGGGAATCAATCTTGAAGAAGTCGAGGAAGAGGAAGAGATTTTAGCTAAAGGTTTTTTTATACAGAAAAAGAGTAAGCAACACGTCGTCTAGCACAGCACTGATGAGTGATCTCGCTTTACGACCTTCTTTCGCTTTGAGAGTTTGCATGTCTGACAAATAATTCTGCCGCAACAATGTGGTATGTAGACTGCACAGGTTCTTGGTGATACTAGGATGGACTTATACAATTATTTAGTAAGGAGCGACCTATGATTTTGACGGAGGAATTGTAAAACGTAGCTGGGAGAGATGTCAAGGTCCTTGACATCAGAACCAAGCACCAGACAATAGAAGAAATGAACATCACGATTGACTTCCACGATTCGCATCTCGGTTCGACACATCGAGACCAGACAACTAAGCCTTTTTACCGGAGCAGTCATGCCCACACCTGTAATAATGAGTCCTTCGAAGTTGAAACCCCCGCCCCTTCAACCACCCAGGTCCGACTTGCCCTAGAAAAAACCCCGACGACGTTTACAAGGGACCTAATATTCCTGGTATAGACGACCCCGAGCTCGACGCACTGGTCGCCGAAAAGAGACGATACGCCCACGACAGGCCAAGCGATCGGACAACTGAATGAGACAGTCGAGAAAACCATCGGGCGACGAGTTTCGCTCTGGCTTCACTTTCGTCTGGACTTTGGTAGGGATACGTTGCTTTTAGTTATATAAGGACAGCTTTAGCGAAGCATAAGATTTTCCAATACGGCTGAAGCCCTGCGTCATATAGTTATATGGAATCTAGACTTAGTGTTATGCTACACCTCAACACCATGCAGGATCCATCCCAGGATTTCATCCTTCCCACCAGCTGCCCCTGTTTTCTTTGGACTAAGGACCTTAATCCCACCGGCTACATCCCCTGCCGCTCCTGAAAAAGGTTCTTTGACTTTACCTTCCGCACCCTTCTTGGCTTGCAGATCCACCTGACGCGGATTAAGGTCGCGGATAAGAAGCCCTCTTTGGGCCTCTATTATCTCACGTATCGCCTCAGCCTGAGATTTTGCAATATCTCGAGTAGCTTTTGCTTTCGCAATTGCTGCGAGCTGCCTCGTCCGATAGCTGTCCTCTTGGGAAATTGCATCTTCGAGATCTCTTTGGCTTTGAATAAAGTCTAGCTCGGTTATCGTCGCGTTGAAGGTCGCCTCGTGCCATTCCCGATCTAGGTTGTTGGTATGTGGCGACGCAGAAGTCCCCCAGCTTTTTCCAGCCACGTTCCCCAGAAATAAACGATGCCACCAGTTCCGCTTGCTTGCCTTGTAAATTTCAAGGACGTATGCCGTCGGCAACGAGTGCCCGTTATCCAATATGGTTTTGGCGGCGAGTTCTGCCGTACATTCTGCCTTCACGTGCGTCCGTCTGCTGTACTAAATGCCAAACAGGGCGGCGGGAAAAAAGAAAACGATGATGGCCAAACTTAGCCTGCTGTATTGTATTGTATTCTTAGCATATGCATCTTCTAGGACCAATGTTTGATCACTAACATTTCAAGCTGCGTCATCGTAAAGAGGATTACAAAGTTGTCACAACAATCTATATGACGGCGAAAGGTGGTTGCACTGTGAGGGTCTTGATACTGTGGCTGATAATCTGCGTGTTGTATTGGGTAAGAAAAGGGTACTCCGTACTCCGTACATACGTCGTAATAACACGGAGGCCTTCCTTGGTGCAGACATTTCACTGGGGCTATTCTCCACTTATATCTATTCTGTCCAATGATAGTGCGTCAAGCTTACCTTAGTCAGAATGGCCATCCCGAGCTTGACGAAGCCGTCCAGAAATCCAGAAAGAGAAACAAACGAAACGAACGAAAACGAATGATAACGAGACAGGCGAAACGGGCGGTACGCAAAAATCTGCAACCAGGAACAAGCCAAGCCCGAAAATAAGAAAGGGAGCAGCGAGATTCTAAGAAAGAAGACACTTTTCTAGTCCGAAGGCGTGAAGAAGACGACCAAAATTAGGAATCGAGTATCGTGATAAGATGTTCAAGAGGCAGATCTCCGATCAAAATTGTCCATTTAGAACACTCTACTCCGTACAGAGTAAGATACTATGTAGCGTTACCCGTACCGCGCCCCACTATATAACATGCGTAAAATGCGCACTACCTGTTATGGTGGTGCGCGTTTTCGCCCGGTTTTCGCGACCAATTTAGGTGGGGGACATCCACAAACTTTTGTGGATTCTAGGAGGTCACCTAACCCCATAAACGGATCTACCACTACTCCGTAGATACCTAGACTAGCCTTGACTGCACGATACCACTACTATGTAGCTTGGCGGCCAGCTGCACCAACGCATCATCATGGGTCATCTTGGGGGACGGCCAAGGTGTCTGTATGGCACTGGAGCATGTCCGGGGAGCAGGTGCTGACGAAAGAGCATGACTACCTGGATTCGAAGGCGACGCTGGCCGACGGAGACCCGTGCAGGCGGTTCGGACTACTTAAGATGGAGGCCCCCCCCAGATGCCGCATGTTGGCATCTTGTCACAAGCGTCTTTGCGTGCTGACGCTGACAGTTTTGTTTCTGCTGATCTCTTATTCTTTTTTGTGTATCCTCTGGCCTTCTATCTCGATTCTGCACACCAACACGAGCTCTCACTCATCCCCCCCCGGCTTTGCCACCTCTCTCACACACACGCTCGGACTCGTCCTGCCGATGGTGCTCCTGCACGGAAGCAGCCTGGTTGCCCAGGCGCTTGCGCTGCTGGGTCCGCGGGCCGACAGCCGTGCCTACACCGCACAGACGGTCTCGGCTATCAGCACGCTGCAGGGCTGGTACGACGAGGCGGATGGGCTGTGGAACGGCACGGGCTGGTGGAACAGCGCGAACCTGCTGACGACGCTGGCTGACTTTGCGCTGCTGGACGGCGACGACGCCACGCGGCTGGGCCTCACCGCCATCATGGCCAACACGTACGCGGCGGCGCAGGGCAGCGGCAGCCAGCAGACGGCCGTCAAGGTGGTCGACAGCACCGGTCTGGTCCGGTCGTCGTATGTGCGGACGGCCGTGGAGGTGGAAGCGATGCCGGGCAGCAGCAGCAGTCTCGTTGCCGTCCACGACACCTTTTCTGGCTTCATCAACAACTTTTACGACGACGAGGGCTGGTGGACGCTGGCGCTCATCCACGCCTTTGACGCGACCAACCGGACAGACTATCTGGTCTCGGCCGAGTCCATCTTTGCTGATCTGCATCGTGGCGTCTCGACCGACGTCTGCGGCGGCGGCATCTGGTGGAGCAAGGACCACACGTACAAGAACGCCATCGCCAACGAGCTCTATCTGGCGGCGGCCGCGTCGCTTGCCAACCGTGTCGCCGGAGCTGCTGCCCGCGTTAAGTACCGCGACATCGCCGTCGGCCAGTGGGCCTGGTTCCGTCACAGCGGCATGATCAACGCCCAGGGCACCGTCAACGATGGCCTCGTCATCCACGAAAACGGGTCCTGCTCCAACAACGGCGCCACCGTGTGGTCCTACAACCAGGGCGTCGTGCTCGGCGGGCTCGTCGAGCTGCATCGCGCCCTTGGCGGCGCCGATTTGTCGCTGCTGCCGGCAGCCGTGGCCATCGCCAGGGCCGGCATCGACGCCCTGTCCGCCAACGGCATCCTGCACGAGTCGTGCGAGAGCGGCGGCGGAGACTGCGGCTCGGACGGACCAACATTTAAAGGTGGGCATATTTGTTGTACCAAGGACGTGAGATTGTGTACTGACGTCCAGGTGTCTTCCTTCGAAACCTCCACTATCTTTCCCAGGCCGGTCTGTCCAGCCGGGACAGAGACTACTTCCGCGCCTACATCCTGCAAAACGCCGACTCTATCTGGCTCAACGACCGCGACACCACTACTAACGAGCTGGGCCTCGTCTGGTCGGGACCCGTGAGTGCCAACGGTGGCCCAAACACGGCCACGCATGGTTCAGCCGTCGACTGTCTGGTGGCAGCAGTTGCTGTAGTCTAGCAGGCGGACGAAGACAAGGCGTTATAAGGCTAAAGGCGATACAATTGCATTTCATAGAGACCGATTTTGCTTCTCGTACAATACTGGGTTATAAGATACTGGGTTATAAGACACGGAGTTAATTCCCATGCTTTTCCAACACTCTTTGCCACTAGACGGGATATCAGCTGAAAAGGGTTTCGCAACCAGTCTCATTACAGTTCCAAGTGCTGCTTCGCCATATAAAATATGCCCGCACTGTCCCTCGTCTCACGCGAACCTGTGATTAGTGAAGAGTCTGTTATGGAGGACATTAGCTGTAGCACAATGACATCAAGCTCTTCTGGCAATTCGTTCAATCACGTGGTCTCAGTAGTCTTCAAGCGAAAGAGCTAAGAAGCTGGCCAGACTTTCATGTGTCTGTACCGTCGGAGTTGTCGGAATTGTTGCCGTCGTCGGCGCCCTGGCTGCCGCCCGCCTTGTGCTCCTCCCGCTTTTTCTCGCGCCGCCGCAGCTTCTTGAGCCGGTTAAGCCGTTTTTTCTTCTCCAGCAGGTGTTCTTCCTTGGACTTGTGCTGCAGCTTAGCTACCGCCTCCTTCTCGAGCCGCGCCTTTTCGCGCTGTCGCAGCACGATCCGGCGCTTCTTTCCGGGGCGTCGCTTGCGCGAGGCCACACATTCGGCAAGTGGGATCGATGATGAAGCCACGGATGATGTGGACAACAGGGCCCATGGAGGCAGCTTGTTGGCGGCCTGTGCGGCCAGCTGTGGCAGGGGCGTTTTCGTCTCGTCCGGCAGCGCGCTGGCCAGCAGCGCGCGCAGCTCGCTCTGGGACACCCGCACGGTCGTGCGCGCCCGCCACGGTACCTCCAGCCCCCACGCGTTGCGCTGTCCGGCTGCCGCCTGGGCTGCGATGGTCTCGCCCGTGACGGCCGTCTGGGCGTAGCGCGCGAGCTCGGCTGCCGTCGGCTCGCTGGCCACGTAGGCGCTCAGCGGCCGCGGCGCGCTGGCCAGGCCGCCGGGCCCAGTCGCAGTATCGAGACCGTCGCCCGTGAGGACGATATCGTCGTAGAGAACCACTGTCGGGACGGCCGGCTCCGACACGGCCGCCGCTTTCCCGCTCGACGAAAACAGCCGGAAGGCGAATTCGACGCCGCCGTCGGCCGCTGAAGCTGGTTTCTCTGCCTCTTTCGACGTCTCCTCCATGGCCACATCTCCGCTCTCGTCGGGACTCTCGGCTTCGGGCGGCGTGGCTGCTGCCGGCGTCGTGAGCAAGCCAAAGTCTAGCCCGAGCGTGCGCGCCATGATCGCCTCCAGAGCAGCACGAGCTGCCGCAGCAGCATCACCGCCAACAGCTCCCGCACCCGAAAAACCTTCATTGTCGACCGACGAGTCGCCGTCGTGGTAGAGGTCCTGGCGGCGGATCCTGGGGCATGCACATCAGCATAAACGACCAGCTGCAGAGAACAGATCCTCGGACAACTCACGGCTGGGCGTTCCTCATAGCAATGTCCATTTTGCAGACAGTAACAGAGTCCCCACCACCTGTTCAGTTACATTGCCTGGCGTCTTGCATACACTGGGCGTCTGCTGGCTCGCTGTCGTCGTCGATGAGCTCAGATGCCTTTTTTCCTGGCTTTTTGTCTTAGCCAGTCAAAATTCTGTATGCACAGAGTGTGGGGTACAAATTCTCTAGCGTTGTCTGCTTACGTAATGACTTAATGTGAGCACGCGTCGCAAACGCGTATAGTGCCTTCTGAAGGGTAGCGTATATCGACCTCTAGCCGTTGTCAGCACGAAAGCATCTACACAGCGGTTTGTGTTCCGACGAGTCGACCCTGCTTGTTCGAATAACGGTGTATTTAGCTTCGCAGAGAAAATGCCCGCCGCCGCCAAGCCCGAGGAGAAGGGCGAGTCCTCGACGTCGGCAGCAAAGAAGGCGCTGGCTGCTACGTCGAATGGAACGCCCAACTACGAGCTGCCCTGGTAGGCGTCCGTTTCCTTGTGCGTGCTGAGCTGGGCCTGTGTCTGACGGGGTGCTGCAGGGTCGAAAAGTACCGGCCGGCCTTTCTGGACGACATTGTGGGCAACACCGAGACGATTGAGCGGCTCAAGATCATCGCCAAGGACGGCAACATGCCGCATATTATCATCTCGGGGATGCCGGGCATCGGCAAGACGACCAGCGTGCTCTGTCTGGCGCGGCAGCTACTCGGGGACGCGTACAAGGAGGCGGTTCTGGAGCTGAACGCGAGCGATGAGCGCGGCATTGACGTGGTGCGCAACCGGATCAAGGGCTTCGCGCAGAAGAAGGTGACGCTGCCGGCGGGCCGGCACAAGATCGTCATCCTGGACGAGGCTGACAGCATGACGTCGGGAGCGCAGCAGGCGCTGCGGCGGACGATGGAGATCTACTCCAATACGACGCGCTTCGCCTTTGCGTGCAACCAGTCCAACAAGATCATCGAGCCGCTGCAGTCACGCTGCGCGATCCTGCGCTATGCCCGCCTAACGGACGCCCAGGTCGTCAAGCGGCTGCTGCAGATCATCGAGGCTGAGCAGGTGCGCTACAGCGACGACGGGCTCGCCGCGCTCGTCTTCAGCGCCGAGGGCGACATGCGCCAGGCCATCAACAACCTGCAGTCCACCCACGCCGGCTTCGGCTTCGTCTCGGGCGACAACGTCTTCAAGGTCGTCGATGCCCCCCATCCCATCAAGGTCCAGGCCATGCTCAAGGCCTGCCACGAGGGCAACGTCGACGCCGCCCTCGACATCCTGCACGAGCTCTGGCGCCTCGGCTACTCCAGCCACGACATCATCAGCACCATGTTCCGCGTCACCAAGACTATGCCCGGCCTCAGCGAACACGCCAAGCTCGAGTTCATCCGTGAGATCGGCTTCACCCACATGAAGATCCTCGAGGGCGTCCAGACCCTGCTCCAGCTCAGCGGCTGTCTCGCCCGCCTCTGCAAGCTCAACATGGACCCGAAGCTGTTTGCGGCCTTGTCGTGAGGACGTTGGGATCGAAACGAAACGGAAAAAAAAGAAAAAAAAAAGAAAAGGACAACGGGCACCGCAGGCGTTTGGGAGCTGGGACGGATCTAGCCGAACGACGGCCTGTTCAGAGCGCATGATTTGTCATTTCACGCTATACACTGGTAGAAATGAATGTGGAGATCTATATACAAGAATAAGGTGAGAATACGATGGCACTGCTCAGTCGTCATCCAGCTCCTCCTCGAGAGCCCGCAACCGGGCCTGCTGGCGCTGCATCCGTCGCTGAAGCCGCATGCGAGCTTCGAACAGCCTCATGCGATGTTCGGCCTCGAGCATAGCACCCAGGACCATGCCGGACATTTGGAGGTATCTGCAGAGAAGAATCCAAATCGTCAGCTTAGTCAGCTTCGACAGGGCCGCAGCCACACTCCTGCGTACACCTTGAACTGGATCGTCAGCCCCCGGTAGATGGGCGACAGCGCGTGCCCGAAACCGGCCAGGACGCCCATGGCGGCGCCGTACTTGACCATGCCGTAGCCGGCGCCGTGCATGGCTTCCCAGGCGGCCTCAGCGGCCTCCTCGTCGCGCACGGTATCATGGGTGCGCATGGTGGATGGGGCGCCGGAGATGAGAGCAGTCCGGCGGTCACGGCGATGAAGAAGTCGAGTGCGGCAGGAAGTCTGGATGCCGAGATGCTCGTCTGCGCCGGGTCGCGTGATGTTGGCAGTCGTACTGAGTTGCTGAAGCTGTGTGGCTGGATGGACTTTTGAGCGGGGCTTCCGCTTGAGGCTCCACTGTATCTGCAGCTTGCAGCAGGCGCATATTTCAGCAGTACTTTGCACGGTACGGAGTACTTTTCGACTGTTACCGTCTTTGTTCCACTACAACTTCACTCTGCTCGACCTCTGTTTGACCAAGAAATCTTTTCTTTTTGACTAAATTCATACAACTAGTGTCTCGTCTCACCGCAGGCCCATCTACACACTCAGCGTCCCCTTTGTGCTGGGCACCTCGCCCTCCTTGCCGGCCACCTTGCTGGTGGCCTGCCGCATGGCCACGGCCAGCGCCTTGAACGCGCTCTCGGACCGGTGGTGGTCGTTGAAGCCGCGGAGGCAGTCGACGTGCAGCGTGATCCGCGCGGCCTGCGCAAAGCTTTCCATGCAGTGTGGGATCATCTCACAGCTGAGGTCGCCAATCTTCTCGCGCTTCAGGCCCAGCTCGATCACGGCGTACGGCCGGTTCGAGATGTCGACCACGGCACGGGACAGCGCCTCGTCCAGCGGCGCATAGGCCGACCCGAAGCGGGCAATGCCGGTGGCCGTGCCCAGCGCCTGGTGGAAGGCATAGCCGAGCGCCAGACACACGTCCTCGGCGCTGTGATGATCGTCGACTGGAAGCGCGTGAGCAGTGTTCGATCAAGCAATTGAAAGTCCCAACTCACTGTGCAGATCGCCCTTGCAGGCAATGACGAGACTCCAGCCGGCGTGCTTCGACAGCGCGTGCAGCATGTGGTCCAGGAAGCCGATGCCCGTGTGTATGCTGATGGTCTGCGACCTGCTCGCCTGCACCGCATGGCCGCCCTTCTGGCCGTCCTTGCCCGCCACAAGATCCAGCAGGCGCTGGTCCGTGTCGGGCGGAAAGGCGCCGCCGTCGAGGTTCAGGGCCAGCTGGATCGACGTCTCGTTGGTGTCGCGCGCCAGGGCCGCCCACCGAGGGACGCTTGCCGTGCTTGCTTGTGCCATGGCGGGAGATGCGGGAGGTGTGAGAGCGTGCAATGGCCGTTCGGTCGGTGCGGGAACTCGTAGTTTTGTCACAACGGTCGGCGATTCGCCTCTCCGATAAGCGATAGACTTTTTTTTCTGCCGCTTTCCAGCGAGTCGTAGCGCTGTCATTAGCCATGCGCCTGGTGGATGTAGTGGCTGGTCCTCTGTAATTCTCAGCCAATAACATGGGGACAATCGATAGACCCGCTTTAATTTTCTATCTCTCTCTTCCCGACTAACTTTTTTTTTACAACTTCTCTTTCTATCTGAATTGCAGCCTCGCCCTTCAGCACCAACACACACACATTCACAATGGCGCCGACACGGACAGTAAAGAACAAGCATGCGGCCAACAGGTCGGGCATCAAAGGCAGCAAGGCGTCCAAGATGACGCATTCGGATGGCGTGGTCAAGTCGAAGAAACCGCAGGGCAAATCATCGACTGGCGTGCAGCTCGGCGCCGGACGGTCCAAGATGATGGAGCTGCTGAAGAAGAAGAGAAAGGGCCGGGTATTCAGCGAGAAGGAGCTGGACATTCCTAAGCTCAACACGATCACGCCCGTGGGCGTGCAAAAGCCCAAGGGCAAGAAGATCGGCAAGGTGTTCGTCGACGACAGGGTGCGTTTTCGCTGCTTCAAGTCTGTTCCGCAGGATCGTGCGGTCCCATTCTAACCTTGCACAGGAGAGCATGACGACCATCCTGGCGATGGTACAGGCCGAAAAAGACGGGCAGATCGAGTCAAAGATCATGAAGGCGCGGCAGATGGAGGAGATCCGGCAGGCACGCCTAGTCGAGGCCGAGAAGAAGGAGTCGGAGCGCAAGTCCAAGCTCGAGGACACCAAGGCGTCGCTGCGCAAGAAGCGCAAGCGGAACGTCAAGGGCGCGGACGGTGACGACACCAGCGTCAACACGATGGCATCCGAGGGCACCAAGGCGACCAAGGCGAAGAAGAAGCGGGTGTCGTTTGCAAAAGAGCCCGAGACGGACGGCTGAGCGGAAGAGGAGCGAGCGGATCGGAAGATGGCAGGGGTGAGCAGCAGCAGGGTACGGCCAGAATGGCCAGACGGGCTCCGGCCGAGCCGAGCCGAGACAAGTCTAGAGAGAAGACGACAGCACGGCCAGAGCGTCTCTTGTCGGCCAAGCAGACGCCAGGAAAGGAAGACGTCGACACAACAGGCCATTCCCGGCTGGTGGCGTGTCGATGTTTTGGTTTCCTTTCTGCCCATGCACTACCTAGAAGATTGTTGTGGCCAAGCAGCTCGCAGAGATACCCAAAGTCCAATTCAAAAGTCTATGTATAGCTGCCTGCACACATGTCTATCGCAGCAAATGCAAGTCTTGTCTATGCAATGTATGAATCATGGTGAGCCTGCATCCGTCTCCGCATGGGGTCGAACGGCCCTCCCTTGGGACCGCCTTTCTTCGGTGTCGTCGTGTTGAGATCCTTTGGTCGCGGCGGAATCGCGTCCAGATCGATCTCTGTAGCGAATTTGTGCAGAAAGTTGGACACCTGTGCACAGTCAGCATGCGAGTCGAGGCCGAGCGAGGCCGGCTACCGGTCAGCTGGGGAACCTACCGGCTTTGCGTGCCAGCGGCCGCCCATCGGCTCGAACCAGGACAGGTGGCCGCCGAGCGAAGTCATGCAGAGGACGGTATAGGGATTGAGCTTCAGCTCCCCGTACGGCACCGCTTCTTCGGGGGCGATCTAATCAGTCAGAAGAGTGCCGAGGCAGGCGAACAGACAGGTCAAAGGAGCTATGACCTACCGGGTCGTCCTTGGCCTGAATGACCAGGAAGGGGATGCGGATGGCCGTGACCGAGTCTGACGAAGAAGCATCGCGATAGTAGGCGTCTTCGGTCGGATAGCCCCAGGTAGTGCATCTTTGCGGCGGCTGCTGTCAGCGGATACCAGACTGTGCGAGACGGGACAGCATGACTCACTGGACCTCCCGGTCGAACTCGTAGAGGGTGTTCCCGGCCATGATGCGGTCAAAGTTCAGGTCGGTGGTCTTCTCGAGAACGTCTCTGTGCTTGGAGATGAGCGCCTTGAGGTTTCCTGCGGTTCTGCGTCAGCCGGCCTGCCTGCCGAGTACGGTCTGTCGCGCGACATACCTGCCATGACGGACTCGTAGACGTGCTTGCCGACAAACGTCCGCTGGAGCGCCTTGTTGGAGAGCTGCAGGTCGAACGGGTTGCCGACGGCGACGGCGGCCGTCAGCGGGCAGTCGACGCCCTCCTCGCCGACGTAGTTGGTCAGGATGTTGGCGCCCAGCGAGAAGCCGAGCCCAAAGAGCGGCCGGTTCGGAAACGTCTGGCGGGCCCAGCGGGCGACCTGGCGGACGTCCCAGGTGGCGCGGGCATTGAAGAGCATACCGCTAGTAAGGGTACTGTTAGCACAGCCGCGCGCATTGATGACGGCGACGGCCCAGTCGCGGCCGTCGGCGAGCAGTGGCGCAATGCAGTGGCGCAGATACACCTCGTACGAGCCACCCGAGAGGCCGTGCAGCACGAGCAGCATGGGTCGGCAGTCGTCGGAGCCGATGTCGGCAAAAGCAGCCTCGTCGAAAGGCGCTGTCCGCGGCGGCAGCACCGCATCCTCGTCCTCGTGCGGCGCCACGGCAAAGTCGACGGCAAAGGAACCGCCGTACAGGGCGTGCGTTGACTCAAATACCCGCCGCCGATAGTAGACGTGCGGTGCCGCGTTCCCGACAGCCGTCCAGAACGTCTGCAGGTGGCCGTTGAACAGCAGCGGGTTCAGCTGGCACGGCGGCGTGCTGTCGCGACACAGCTGCGGCAGGTCGATCATGTCGCCGTCGCCGTCGCCATCCTTGTCCTTGCTCTTGCGCGTCAGCTGCAACGGCGTCGCCGAGTGCGTAAACTCGATGCTGGCCCGTCCAAACCACTCCATCCTGCCGGACTCTCTGGACCGGTTGGCCGAAACAGAACGAGGCAACGCGGGCTGCCGGGGACCGAATACGTGCGTGCCCTCGCAAACCACAGACACAAATCAGAGATCGGCAGGAGATGCAAAGCAGCGGGAGCGCTATGAAGAACCAATAACCGGCTAGACGAACTCTAGTCGCCTTGAATGCATGCTCAAGATCCAATGCCGAGGCACAAACTGTTGCCGTTTTGGGGCTAAGACAGCCACGTCTCACAAGCCACACACTGACAGCCACGCACAGCCACGGCAGCCACAGTGCCTGTCGTTGCTTGCCTTTCCAGACGCGGATCGATCCACTATTGGACTTGATTCCTTCTTATCCACACGGGACAGACGACCATTTCGTCTTCTCGCCGCTCCCCACACACCTAAACATACGCGACCCGACCCCTGGAACGCGCTCGCCGACCGCCTTCTGCGATCCAGTCCATCTCGCCCTCGAGGCGACGCCGTTCCGCCCGGCCAAACCGCTACATGCGACCACGATGAGCGGATCTCTGCCTCCGAGGCAGCACGCCTTCAATGGCCAGCAGCAGATGATGTCGGGTCCAGGCAACGTCGCTGTGCCCTACGCGCATGGCGTGTCCCACATGCCGCAGCCCGCGGCCGGCCAGTATCCCCAGGCGGGGCCGCTGCCGTCGCTGCAGTTCTACCAACAGTCCCTGCCTTCTCCCCAGCAGCAGCCACCGCAGATCCAAGGCCACCTCGCAGCTCATCCCTCACACTTTTCCCACATGGGCGCCATGCATGCGCAGCAGCATCCTCAGCATCCTCAGCATCAGCAGATCCAGCAGCTCCAGCAGCTCCAGCAGCATCCTCAACATCAGCAGATCCAGCAGCTCCAGCAGCACCAGCAGCAGCAGCTCCCGCAACTCCCACAACACTCACCAATACCTCAGCATCTCCAGCAGCCTGGTGCTCCTCAGCGATTCCAGCCGCAACAGACACCACCACAACACTTCATGCCGTATCCCGTACAGCGGTCCCAGTCGCCCATGATCCCGCAGCCCGGCAGCGCATTTCATTTCCAGCACAATGGCGTGCCGATGGCTGGCCAGATGGCGTCTCCCGCAGCCATGCCGACTACGCCCAGCCCGGTGCCGGCGCATCTACCGTCTCCCATGCAATACATCCCGCAACGACAGCCCCAGCGGCTCTCCCAGCCGCAAGTCGTCATACCGACAAAACCTTCAAACATGTATACAAGCCCATCGCCGACGCCACAGTACCAACACATTCCGCCGCCGCCGCAGCAGCAGCATCAACAGCAGCAGATTCAACAAATACAGCAAATGCAGCAACAGCAGCTACAGCAGCAAAGACAACGGCAGCAGCAGCAACAGCAGCAGCAACAACAGCAGCAGCAACAGCAGCAGCAGCAACAGCAGCAGCAGCAACAACAGCAGCAGCAACAACAGCAGCAGCAACAACAGCAGCAGCAGCAGCAACGACAACTACAGCAGCAGCAGCAACATCATCAACAACAACAACAACAACAGCAACAACAAATGCAAATGCAAATGCAACACAACCACCGACAGCAGGAGTTTCAGATTATGCCAACTGCCAGCCCTAAAGTCTTTCAACAATCGCCTCGACTATCCATGCCTTCCCCGTCTCTCCAACAGCTCTCACAACCAGTAATTCACATACCAGCTATATCCGAGCAGCAGCACTATTCACAACAACCCCAAGTTCAGCAACAGCAGCAGCACTACCAACACTACCAACAACCACCGGTAACGCCAAAAACTACTGCCAACTCCCTACCAAAACCGAGTCCGCGCATCTCGACCAAGGGCGGTGTCCAAAAGCCGCTGAAGACCCCTCGGAAACCCAGCGTTGGCAGCGTACGCGCGTCGCCCAAACCGGTTCCGAGACGGAGTCCAGCCGACGCCGCGGCCCTTCTCATTTGTGTTGCCGACGACTGCCTATCCAAGGCACAGAGCGCGGCTCCCGGACTGGCCAGGTCGCGAGACGAAGGAAAGCTCCGCGGGTACTACAAGCTCATGGCAACCGGCTTGGGCTGCCTCGACGCGGCTCTACGGAGCGGAAAATTCCCACCACGAGTCGAGGTCAAGATCCGGATTCGTTACGCCTCCATTCTCAGCGAGGAGACGGAAAATCTCATGCAGGCCGAAACGACCCTGCAGCTGGCTGTTGCGACCTGCGAGAAGGCGAGCTTGCCCTGTCCTTGGACTGCTCTTGACATGATGCTAACCGGTTACTGCAGTACCGTCTGGCCGATCTGAGGCCGTATGTCCAGTTTCTGTTTATGAAAGTTCTGTTTCGGAGGAAACCGAAAGCTGCTCTCATTGCGATCCAGAGCCATATAGAGGACTGCTCTAGTCGAGGCCATACATACTGGACATACGCCTTCCGCTTTCTCAAGGCGTTTTTCCATTTTGAAGCCGGCACTCCCGCGGACACACATGCGCTGGAGAACTTGCATGCCATCACCACCCTTGCCGAGCAGCGTGGTGACCGCGCCGTCTATGTTCTCGCATCCCTGCTGCAGGCTCTAGCGCTCTTCCGGACGACCGACGGCGATGTTGTGGAGAAGGTGCACACGTGCATCGCGGCAGCCTCCAAGTACCAGTTGGATGAGTCTGTGCACATCCCACAACTCGATGTTCTGTGGCATCTGCTAGACCTCTCCTGTAGCTTCTACCAAAAGGAAAAGGCATTGACGGACAAGATGAACATACTGCAGACGCGCCTAGAAGAACTAAAGGACTCTCCTCTGTGGACATCCGACTCGTCCGAGCTGCTTCTGCCGTTGAAACGAGACGGGACAGGATCAGCCACCACGATCAGCGAGGACACAGGCGATGTTCTCCGGCCAGGAGAAAAGTGCGATTATCTCGTCCTGGCCAGCTTCAGCAAGGTCAAGGCTTTCATTCTCGGGTAAGTCTCATGTTGATCCGTTGTCGAGCAGGACGGGTAACTAACCGGCATGCCCTCCAGCTTCACGTTCAGTGGCCTGACCCTGGCATCCAAACAGCAGCTGAACGACAGAAGGAGCATGGACTACTGGGCCGAGGCATTAAAGATGATTGCGCAGAGTAAGTTCCAGGCCAGCGAGTCGGCTTTTGTGATTTTGAGCAGCAGCACTGACAGGCTTCTGATGACAGGCGCCAACGCCAAACCAGCAACGCCCATATTCCTGCACGAGGCTGCTGACGGGGCCCGCTGGCGGGCCACCATGACGTCGTACATTCTCGTGCTCACGGGCCTGAACGCGGCTACGCACTGCGACTGGGTCAAGGTACAGGACTGCACGATGGATCTGGACAAGTCGATCAGGGAGGCCGACGACGGCCCTCTGGGCGTGCTGGCACTCTACCTCAAGGGTGTGCTGAGCCAGGGCACGGGCGAGCTGCAGGAGGCGATGGACACGTTTGAGGACGCGCAGTTCTCGCTCGTGGCGGACGCGCGGCCTTCGACCAACGAGGGCCACGTCAAGCAGGAGATTGCGCTGCTGGCGGCCATGAATCGGCTGCTGATCATGCAACTGGACCGACTGCGGAACGAGCCCAAGATCAACGAGCTGGTCGAGCAGCTGAAGCACCTGTGTGCGAGCCACACGAACCCTGAGATCCGCACGGCTTACAGCCTCGTCATGGCGGCCATCAACACGCAGCCGCCACTGTCGATGCACGACATCAAGATGCACATCCAGCAGGGCCTCAATGGGTCGACCACCAGCAGCAACGCCCAGTGCCTCAACATTGCCCTCAACACGATGCGCTACCGGCTTTTTGAGAACGTCGTGGGCGACCAGGCGCTCAAGAGCGCCAAGGCCGGGTCGACGCAAGCCAAGAAGAGCGGCAACATCCTGTGGATGAGCGTGGCCGACGGCATGCTCGCAGACACGTACGAGGTCCAAGGCCAGACGGCCCAGGCCCAGATCTCACGCCAGTCCGGTATCCAGTATGCCAACGACTCCTGGGAGAGCACTCAGGTGTAGGCGTACGACAAGGAACAAGGCGTTTTAGGCGTTTTGGATGTACTATTAGATTCCTCTTATGGGATGGTGAGAGCAGGTACAGAGTAAGATAGTGTTAGTCGGACGCCGGAAGAACAATAAAGCCGAACGAGTGACGGCTGCAAACGGTCCCAGCCCAGGCGGGAAGGCGCGCCGCAGTGGTCCCTTCCCCAAGACGGTGACCAAAAAAACTAGCAAACGGCAGAAAATTTGAAGGGCTCCAAGAAACGACTTGTATCAAAGAGCTGCTGTGCAGACCTGCTTGTGTCTCCCTCGCGACAGAGACGAGCGACCGGACGAGCGATGAGCCAATTAGCTAGCGGCCAGCGGTCTGGGCTGGCACGGTCAACCCACCTGTGCACGTCATGTCTACAGGCCTGGAGCTCGCAGCTGCAGCAGCCACCGATTCAGCGATCGATGTGGACGCAGAGCGGTGCCGCCACCCATCGGCAGTACGCAACGGCGAGGCCGAAAAAGGGATCTCCAGCAGCAAGCGAAGAGGCCGAGCCGGCTTCGTCGCCGCCGGCAAAGCGTGGCCGGCCGGCATCATCGACGAAACGGGCTCGGTCCACCATCACGACCGTGGCCCAGGCCAGCAAGACACAGCTCAAGCTCTGGCGAGAGACGCTCGTGATTCTGAAGAAGCTCGAGGCTGTGCAGGAGCGGCTGGCCGAGCAGGGACAAGGAGCCGCCGGCAGTGACCGCAACATCACGGGCGACGACGACGCCTCCCAGGTTCTGCCGGCCATCTCGGCTGCGGAAGAGGCCAGACCAGGCGCCATCAAGAAGGCCGTGGCGCTGGCCAAGTCGGCCGACAGCGATGGGCCTGACCAGGTCAAGATGCTGACGAGCGCGCTGCACCTCCTGAAGACGGTTCTCAGCACGCAGGGACAGCAGCAAGAGCAGGCCACAGACCAGTCCAAGGACAGTGGTGAGACCAACGAGATACCAGAGGGGAGGGCGAACAGGGCTACCCGCAGGAAGGCCCAGAAGAAGAAGGAGGCAGCTGAGGCAGCCACAACGTCCGAGAAGCAGCGCCCGCCCTTGGTGACGTTTGTGGCATCAAAGGACAGCGGCCCGTCCAGGGCAAAACGGAGGGCACAGGCGGCAGCACAGGCGGCAGCAGAGGCAGCAGCAGAGGTAGACGGCGGTGCAGCAGCTGAGGCAGACGCAGACGCAGACACGACAGCAACAGAGAGCGAAAAGCCGACATCGTCCAAGAAGAAGGCGACCGAGTCGCCGTACCAGGTCAACCGGGTCAATTCGAAGCACCTGGAGCTAACACCGGTGGACGAGGAAGTTCGGCCGGTCCCAAAGCTGTCGTACGGGCTCGACCGGGCGCTGTTCAATCCGGGCGTCTACCACCTGCAAGACCCGCGGTCGCGCGTGTTCAACTTCGACCCGTATCTGGCGACGATCATGCCGATCCGCGAGTTCGACTTCAACGCACTGAAGCAGTACGTGACGTCGTCCAAGGACCCGACGCTGATCTCGATGGCGGCGCGGCTGCAGAAAAAGTACTCTGGGTCGACGTCGAGCATGACGAGCATGCTGTCGCACTTCCACTTTCTCCTGTCGAGTTGGCGGCCCATCGATGCCGGCCACATGTCGCGGTCGTTCTCGGCCGAGTCGCTCAACTTTACGCGCATCACCAAGGCGCCGGCGGCCACGTTTCTGCACTGGAAGGACGGCACGTACGCCATCGACGCGGACAAGGAGTTTGACACGGCCAACATCCTCAGCATGCTGGGCAAGTCGATGGAGAAGCTGTTGACGCTGTCCAAAGACGACTTTGAAAAGTACCGGGTCAGCAAGTCGCACGAGCTGACGGACGCCGAGCGCAACGACCCCGAGGCCTTTCACTACACCACGTTTGGCGACTTTTTGATGCGGTCGCAGCTGGACGCGCACGACGAGCGGCTGCCCGGATCGGGCATGTTCGACCTCAAGACGCGGGCGGTCGTGTCGATCCGCATGGACGCCCAGGCCTTCCAGCAGGGCCTGGGCTACGAGATCCGGCAGCGGTTCGGCCAGTGGGAGTCGTTTGAGCGCGAGTACTTTGACATGATCCGGTCGGCCTTCCTCAAGTACTCGCTGCAGGTGCGCATGGGTCGCATGGACGGCATCTACGTGGCCTTCCACAACACCCGCCGTATCTTTGGCTTCCAGTACATCAGCATCAACGAGATGGATAAGGCGCTGCACGGGACCGATGACCGCACGCTGGGCGATCGCGAGTTCATGCTCAGCCTGGACATGCTCAACGCCGTGCTGGACCGCGCCACGAAGCGTTTCCCGGGCCGGTCGTTGCGGCTGCACTTTGAGACCCGTCCGTCCGAGGTGGCGCCGTTTATGTACATCTTTGCCAAGCCGGTCGAGCCGGAGGAGATCGAGGAGGTGCAGACGGCCAACAAGGCGTCGGTCGATGCGTTTGAGCAGAAGATGCTCGGCATCGTGGCAGGCGACGCCAAGAAGGAGGTGCTGACGGCGGAAACAGACGCAATCGCAGAGGAGAGCCCCTCGAGCCGGGAAGAGGAAGAGGAGGACGAGCAGGAGGAAGAGGAGGAAGAAGAGGATGACGTCGACAGCCAGAGCTTCGACGTGTGGGAGTCGATGCGGCAAAAGGTGGAAGAGACGATGGAGAACGAGACGCTTGGGATTGCGTCAGTGCGCGAGACGATTGAAGACGCGCTGGAGCAGAGCGGACTGTTGCGGGGACGGTCGCCTGACGAGACGCGCGGCTATGTGGACGCGCTGCTGGACGCGGTCACGCAGCCAGACACGGAGAAGGTAGCCGAGAGCATCCTGAACGAGGGAGAGACGAGGACGGAGACAGACGACGAGACGGGCGCCGTGACAGAGGTCCAGGACGAGGAGGCTGGCAAGGCGGCTGAAGAGACGGCCACGGCGGACAGCAGCGAAGAGCCGGCCTCGTTCGAGTCGGAGAACCCAGCGGTCGAGAAAGAAGCAGCGGCCGAAGAGACGATCGAAGAGGCCGTCGAGGTGGCGCAGGATGCAGACGACACGCCGAGCAGCAGCCAGCAGGCTGTTTCTGTTTCTGGTCCGGGCAGTCAGCGTGCTTCGGACACGATTTCGCTCAAGGACCTCATCATCAAGCTGGCCGATCAGGTGGAGGCAGCCCAGACGGACGTCGTGGAAGAGCCGGAGGAGCAGCAGCAGCAGCAGCAGCAGCAGCAGCAGTTGCAGCCACACGAAGACGACGACGGCTCCATGGCTGTCGGTGCCGAGGGTACGGACGGATACAAGAACAAGCGGTTTGAGCGGATCCTGACGGAGATGATGGTACGGTCGAAGAAGGCGGCCAAGGCGGTGGAGCCGAAAAAGGGCGGAGACGACGGCAAGACGGAGTCTTTGGGCGCAGCCAGTGGGGCGGACACGGCCGATGCCGAGCTGCTGGGCATGATCCTGACGCTGCGCAACAAGGTCAACGGACAGTATGTCGCGCGGCCGGAGCAGCTGACTAAGCACGACGCCTGGGTGGTAGAGTACGCGATCGAGGAGATGCAGCCGGCCACGCGCACGCACAGCCTGTACGAGATGGTCCGGAAGCGACGGCGGGCGCTGCTGGGCCCACGGCAGGCCAAGTCGACCGCGTTCGACCGGGACTACATGGCGCGGCTGCAGGCGCTGAGCGCCAAGGGACGGCAGTACCGCAAGGAGGAGAACCGGACGGCGCGGAAGCAGCCGGTGCGCGTGTATGGCGTGGACGAGAAGCTGGTCTGGGATGACATCTTTTCGGAGGAGGAGGAGTGATGGACGAGGAAGAGCGATGAGCGGGAAATGAAGCCAAACGAAGCGAAAGAACAGCGAACAGCGAACAGCGATGAACAACGGCAAAGAGCAGGGTGTAGGATCGTCGGTGTCTCAGCACTGTGTACATTAGAACATGATTTGGACGGACATGCTTGGGCATCTGGATCGGGGCTGTTTGTCTGGCAGCCAGGAAATACAGACATCTTCACTTGCAGTGGTGATCATGATGGCGGTGCTCTGCCGATTTGGGGATGCCGGTCATGTGACGACAAAGGCCCATTCTCATCCTAGCTGGTATCCTAGTCCCCTGAAACGCCATCGCTGTGCAAAACATGCAAACATGAGCCCAAGATCCAAAACCGCGTCGGCCTCAGACAAACGTTGCGAACCGGGAGAGCCCCAAGACGTCGCGCTTTGTCGTCGTGTTGGTCAGCTGCAGATTGCCAATGTTGCACCAGTTGTGCACGGGCTATATTGTTAGCATGGATCGTTGCCTATGCATAAAACCAGTCTCCCAACACCCACTCACCAGACAGCTGAGGTACTTGCACCAGCCACACGTCTTGCGGTAGACGTAAAAGTTCTTGAGCAGCAGGACGAAGAGGACGATGACGAGAACGACAAAGCCGACGCGCAGCAGCCACCAGGCCCACCACAGCGGGCGGCGGTTGCGGAAGGTAGCCAGCGGGTTGCGCACAAAGGCGGCGACGCCAGAGGCGGTGGGCGACGTGTAGGTGGCATTGACGGCGGCGTAGGTGGCGTTCTCCTCGCCGACGCGACGGCGCAGGGCGTTGGGCGAGTGCAGGACGGAGACGCCGAGGGCGAGGCCCATGAAGAAGCCGCCAATGTGGGAGAAGTTGTCGAGGCCGGGCAGCAGGCCGAGCACAAAGGAGATGAGGACATCGAGAAAGATGAACATGAGATCCTTGACCGGGTTGCGCCGATCGCGCCACGAATACAGCAGGTCGAGCAGGGTGAGGGCGATGACGCCAAAGAGCGCGCCGGACGCGCCGGTGGACGAGATGCCGGTGGCGGCGTAGTTGCCGCCGAGCACAAAGCCAAAGATGCCGGAACAGATGTAGACGATGAAGAAGCGGATGGAACCGATGGCGCGCTCCATGTCGCGGCCCATGGTCAGCTGCAGCATCATGTTGAAGCCGATGTGGATCAGGCCGGCGTGCATGAACATGGGCACGATGAAGCGGAACCACTGGTCCGGCTGGGGCGACTGGTCGGCATTGCCGTCGTACGCCGGCTCGGGCACGCCGCCAAAGCCGCACAGCTGCGAGAGCGTGCAGAGCGCGTCGGACGTTGTCGTGTTGGGACACGGCCAGCTGATCGTCTCGGTCGCCGACTGCACACCCGCCACGTTGTGCATGCACGGCACAAAGCGCGAGCCCATGTTGATCATCACGTATGTCGATGGCCCGATCATCACGTTGAACGACGGGTGGATCATGATCGGTGACCCGGTCAGGATCCCGTTGCGCACAATCTCGGCAATAAACACGGCCACCTGCACCGTCGTCAGGAGGTAGACCACGTACGGAATCCGTCGCCGTGACGCTCCAAACATGCCCAGCTCGCCAAATCGCACCGGTCCCTTGCTCGTCTGCTGCTGCTGCTGCTGCTTGTGTTTGCTCGTTCCGCCCTGTGGAATGTCGTACACATGGTCCGGCGAGTCCATGCCGCCGCCCCCTCGATCACGCAGTGGAATCCCGTCCACGGCCTGCAGCATGTTTTCCTGCGACGGTGTCCGCCGTGCTCCGTAATACGCCGTGTCCGGCTCGTGCTGCTGCTGCTGGCCTGGCAGCGACTGCTGCTGCTGGTATGTCCCGGCCGGATACATGTGGTCGTCAAAGACGGTGTCAAACGGCGACAGGTTGGACGTGCTCGCTCCGACCGGCGTGCTGCTGCCACCCACCACCGTCGTGCCCGAGTAGCTGTCGGCCGATGACGACTGGTGCCACTGCTGCTGTGACGGCCGCTGCGCGCTGTTGTTGTCGCGCTGGTACGGTGGCAGTGGAAGGGCCCCGGACACGTAGTTGTCGGCGTAGGAACGGGACATGGCCAAGCGAGATGCTGGGAAATGGCAGGGCTGGCTTGCTTGCTTCCGCGGCCCCTGTCGATGGGGGCTGTTCTCGGTTGGTCTCGTCCGCTCGCTTCGTCTTTGTCGTTTCGTCGCTTTCTCTTGTCTCTTTCGTCTTCGTCTTCGTCTTCGTTTCGTCTTCGTTTCGTCGTCTTCCCTTTCCGTCTTCCGTCGTCAAACAAGATGAAAATCCAAGACAGCCAAATGAAACGGGCGTGCTGCATAAGATGATGGGGGAGAAATGAAGAAGAAATGAGAAGACACGCACACTATAATATGGAGCAGAGTGCTTGTGCACGATGGGGCTTGGCCAACGTTCAGGGCAGTGCACGCTAGCAGCTGTCTGGTCAGGACGCTAACGAGCGATAGCCACAGGCACCGCCTTAGGCTCAGGTACGGACTACGTAAGAAGGCTGGCTGTTCTACTTTTAGACGGCATCAGCCACAAAGCATACGGTGATGTCTTACGTCGTCCTTTGTAGTCCAGGATCTACACATGGCAGCAGATACGAGATGCAGTGTACTCATATTGGTTGGAGTCGTGAAGCGTAACATGGTCTTTCCCTTCCCTCACCTCTTTCGCTCTTCCTTTTCCGCCTTTTCTGCCTCTCCCTCTTCCGTCTTGCCCTTCTTCCGCAGGTCCGTCCACACGTCGCCGATCTGTTCCACGATCAGCTCCCAGTATCCGCCGCCTGCTTCCAGCACCTCCTTCTCGCGCCGTGCCCGCTCCCGGGTCCAGTCCTCCTTCTCGCTGCCCATCCAGATCTTGTGCAGCGTGCCCGGCTGCGCCTCGCTGCCCGCTTCGGCTGTCTCGGCTGTCTCGGTCGCCAGCCGCCGCCGTTCTCGCTCTGCCCGCATCGCCGCCTGTCGCTGCACCGCCGCCGCTGGCAGGTCCGAGTCCGTCATCGCGCTCATTCGCCGCTGGAACCGCTGGCAGATCGACTGGCCCGTGTAGTCGTACGTCAGCTGCGACGACGCAAAAAAGGCCCCGCCCGCCAGCAGCAGGCTGCGCGCCCCCATCCGTCGCGGCGGCAGCAGCAGCCCGATCGGGCCCAGCACCGCCGCCGCCACGCTGACGTGGTGCATCCACGGCGGCGTGCCATGATACGCCGTGGCTGCTGCTGTTGCCGCTGTCGTCGCCGTGTCGGCTGTCTGCCCGCTCATCGTTTGTTGGTCGTGCGCGTCTGCCTGTCGTCTGCGTGTTGTCTTCTTGTCGTCTGCCTGTCGCCTGCCTGTCGTCTGCCTGTCGTCTGCCTGCACTTGGTCTGCCTGCACTTCCTCTGCCTGTCATGCTTCGCTCCCTATCTGTAGATTCTGCCTGCGAAAATTCGTCAAAACTCACTAGCGCATCGCTTTGCGCACGGACCGCCCAACAGCTGCTTCGTTCCTCCAGCTCCCTTCCCCTATTATCTCCAACCTAGGAATCCGTTCCCAGAGACTGCCTGTTCTCTGTCGCTGCACTGCAGCCCTTCTCTTTCCGCCTACAAAAAATGGCGCATGGCTTGACTGACCATCTCCGCTCTGTCCGCCTCGGCTGGGCTGGACAGCGCTGTACACTGGACAAGTATACAAACACGTGACGCCTCCCTTGAGCGAAACGACCTCGTCAGAGCCGGCCGGTGGGCTGGCGGCTGAGATCACCGTGACGGCTGGTGCTGGTGGTCCTTGCATCACTGGCTCCCAGGCCACTTACGGTGGCATCCGAAACGGACCTTGCTCACCGTCAGTTAAGCCCAACCCGCTTCCTCTCACGGGTTCCCCACCTTTGCCTCTGGCCTCGCGCCTACGGACTATTTCAGACGCTCGCCCATTCTCCCCTTTCCCAGTCTTGTTTTCCCTGGCCATTCTGCCAATATGCACTCTGTGGCCCATGCCGCTTCCACCTGGCCGCTGGGCCGGCTGGAGGCAGCCGTGGCAACGACAGCAACACGATGCTCGTCCAGTCTGCGCGCCGTGGCCTGTCCTCGTCTCCGCAGCGGTCAGCATCTGCACCGCCAAAGCAGCCGGCCTGCCACGATGACGACAAGGACGGCGCCGGGTCCAAGGGCAGCGGCAGCTACGAGGCCGACGACAGCAACAAGGAGAACGAAGACCCGGACCAGACCAGCTGTCCCTCCCCGTCTCCGCTGCCCGCTGCCCGTGCCCGTGCCCGAAAGCTCTGATCACGGCTGCAGGCCTGCCGACGGCAGCAATGCCAACACGGCCGCGCCAGACAGCTCAGAGCCTCGCTTGCTTGCTCCCTCGCTGGTAAGCCGGGCCGTCTCCCCCGCATCGACCACAACGCTGACTCGGCAGGTCCACGACCACTGACCCCATCTGTGCGAGCACGGCTGAGCAGCGTATGGGAAGCTCGACCTCTGTCGTCCGCCATCCACAATATGATGCACTTGATACTTGCTTTTCCGTCGGCATACTTCTGGAAGGGCAACGGTCTTGTTGGCTTTCTGTCTGCCAGCTATCTCTTCTGCTCTTTTCAGCTCGCGTTTTGCTCTAGATTCCGTCTCCTTGACCAACCCTTGTTTTTGTCTCTCCATTATTTACCAGTGACATCCGACGCCAGTTGACTCGTAGCTCCTTTCCGAATTACCCTTTTCGGCGTATCGTATTGGCTCTTGAATGGCCTGCATACCCGCACGGGTTCCATAAAGAGCTTCGCGCTAATCCATTTCTGGATTCCGTGCAGGCCCCGCTCTTGAGCTCAGCACTTACATCTTGACTTTACTTCATACATCTGATATGATGGTCGTTCAGTGTACTTTCTTGATCCCTGCTGCTGGTATTGATCTTCCCTGCCTTCTCCCTGTAACAGCGATTTTGCCTCTTCCCAAAAGCACACATCCACTTGTCCGGCTCTTTTAATTCAGCCACCCTGGAGCAGTACAATTACCCTTCATTGTTCCCTTATGTAGGCACTCTCCCACCATGTTCTCCCAAGACGTCCTCCCATCTTCACCCTCACTACCAAGTCTTTCCTGCCCCCGGCCCTCCTCGACTCCTCCGCCACCGGACGGAGCTGCGTGTAGTCACGTGATACCCACCAGGCCGAAGGCTACGACGAAAATTCTGTCATCCACCTCGTCGCCATTCTTCCTTGCAAGGGTCTCAAAAAGCCGAGGAACAGCTGCAGACACACCTCCAGAAATGGGCCGCCGGTACCACACAGTTTTCCGCTCCTTTAAGCCCAGCCAGCTCGTCGTCTTCCTCGCCCTAGGCCCGACGGCGGCATCGGACAGTTCGGACAGTTTCCCGTCTTCAACTTTGTCGCTCGCTTTCTCCAGTCCCGCACCCTGATGGTCTAACGTGGACCTGACCATGCAGCTAGCGAGCGCACCGCGGAACAGGCTGTACGGAAATGTACGCACCTCTGTGCCATGCGTAATCTCTAAATATCTTCTCTTTTACTGATCACCTATCTGCCTGTATACCTGCCGGAACCTCGTGCCGGGACCTCTCGATCCCTGGCTCTCTCTATCTAGTATGGGGAATGGGGAATCATTTGTTGAAAAGGGTGCAAGTAAATGATGGGAAATCCAAATCCAAAACCGTAAACCAAACAAGGCAGAAGAGAGAGCAGAATGCCGAGCCGCCTCGGAGCACCCCTCTTCTCTCCGCCATCGCCTCTCTCCCTCATGTGCGCGGATCATACACACTCGCTTTGATGAACTTGTCCAGCGCAACATCGCCCCATTCCTCCCACTCAATCCACTGCTCTTCTGGCAGCGCGCTGACGTTGTCGCGGCGGGCCGCCTTCATGACCTCGCGCGCCACCACCAGACTGGCCTCACGCACCCGCTCAATGCGCGGGTAGATCAGGCCCTGCTCCACCTCATCCGCGCTGAGCGAATGGGCCAGCGAGTCTGCCGACGTGTACACCATGTCGTCCGTGATGCGCTTCGCCTTGGCCAGGATCGCGCCCAGGCCCAGGCCCGGGAAGATGTACACGTTGTTGCCCTGATTTGGGTAGTACGTCACGCTGCCGGTCTGATCGGTCCCATTGGTCCCGTTGCTGGCCACGTTGGTCGTGTATGGCGCAAACGGCGAGCCCGATGCGAAGATCACCGTGCCGTCCGTCCAGTCCACCGCCTGCTCAAACGTGCACTCCGCCTTCGTCAGCGGGTTGCTAAGCGGGAACAGGATCGGCCGCCGTCCCACACCGCCAGCCTCAACCGACGCCTTGAGCGCGCGCACCGCCGACTCGGTGAAGATGCCGTACGTGGCTGTCAGGCCCACCAGCGCCGACGGCTTGACGTACTCAATCACCTCCTCCAGCGTCTTGAACTGATGTCCGTGGTTGTCCGTGCGCGCAAAGTACTTCTTGTGCTCTGCCAACCGATCGCCACGGTCACTGGTCACCAGGCCCTTGGTGTCCACCAGCCAGAACTTGTCGCGTGCAGCCTCCTCCGTCAGACCGTGACGCACGTAGTACTCCACAAGCTGCTTGGCTACACCGACACCGGCCGATCCAGCGCCCATGAACACAAGCCGCTGGTCGTCGATCGGCACGCCAGACAGGCCCACGGCTCCCATGTACCTATCCCCAGTTAGCTGCTTTGTCATGTGTATGTCACGTGACCACTTATCCGTGTAAGCCCACTGGACAGCGCACTTACCCAGCCAGCACCACGGCACCTGTGCCCTGGATGTCGTCGTTGAAACACCGGTATGTTTCGCGGTACTTTGCAAGATACTTGAATGCCTTTTCGCTCTCGAAATCCTCAAACTGCACAAACATGTTCGGGTACACGTCGGCGCAAGCTTCCATGAACTCGTCCATGAACTCCTCCTGCTCCGAGACGGGGACACGCTTGGAGCGCATGCCCAGGTACAGCGGGTCCTTGAGGTTTTCCTCGTTGGCAGTGCCACAGTCAAGTACGATGGGAAGCGTCTTGTGCGGCAGAATGCCTGCAGCGCCCGTGTAGAGAGCCAGCTTTCCGATCTAGGACGGTGTTAGTGACGAGGAGAGAGAGAGATGATGGATGGGAAGCAGAGCATACCGGAATGCCGACACCGTTGAGACCGAGATCGCCGAGGCCGAGAATGCGCGAGCCGTCAGTGACGACACACATGTCGGGATCCGGGTACGGCCAGTTGCGCAGGATGGTCCGAATGCTCTTGCGCTGCTTGATGTTGATGTAGAGCGCCTCGGGGCGGGTGTAGAGGGTGGAGTACTGCAAGCAGACGTCGCCGATGGTCGGTGTGTAGACGAGCGGCATCATCTCGCCGGCGTTGTCGATGAGCACGCGATAGAACAGGTCGACGTTCTCGCCCTTGAGGTGGGACAGGTACAGGTACTTGTCCACGTCTGTCGGCCGCGACCGGATCATCTTGAGCGCACGCTCGACTTGCATGTCTATGCTCTCCATCGTATGGGGGACGAGGCCGGTCAAGTTCTTGGCCAGGCGCTCTTCCGGTGTGAAAGAGAGACCTAAGGGATAGGGGAAGTGGTCAGAGCCAGGGGGCAAAGAGACAGACTATATGCACTGCTCACCTTTGTTCCAGTGCGCCTCGCGCAGCACCTGGTAGCCGCCGGCCTTGTCTTCGGGAATGTATTCAGTCATCTGATCCTGCTTGACTTCGCAGTACTTGGTCTGGACGTAGCCACGGTGGTGGTCGAGGGAGGCCATCTTAAGGGATTCTTGAATGGCAGAAATGTCGACGGATGACATGGGGTTCAGGGAGGACATGCGACGGGTGGACGAGAGCGAGAGGCGCTTGCTAGATATAGTGCTGTGGGTGCGGGTCGACGCAGCGGCCGACGAGGGAGACAAGGAGCGTGGGGTGGAGGCGTCTGAGCCGGCTGACGAATATGAAGCCATAGGTACCATTGCAGCAGACTGCAGGTGACGGCGGAGCCGCAGAGAGGAGGGGCCTGGGAGGGGCGGAGAACAGCGGCGGCGGGATGTGGGCGGATGGTTGCTAGCGGCAGACAGTGCAGAAGAGGAGGGCAAAGAGGGTGAGGAGGATGAGGAGAAAGAGGCTATGGTCGTGGAACGACTAAGCACGCAAGACGACAGGACTGGAAGGAGGACATGGTGAAAGAGTGGCGGTCGTCCACGGACATCGGCGCGGGTTAGTCCATTTAACATCTTTCGACGGTGCAGAATCAAGAGACCTGGCCGTGGAGCTAGGGACACAGGGGTGGAAGCAGGGCCCATGTCAGTGCTGTTTTCCGCTGCAGCATGAAGAGTGGAGTGGGGGGGAAGAAGGCACAGGAGAATATGGCGACGATGAACAAGTAGAAGGGGAGGGGGGTATGAGGGCCGGTCGGATCAGTTGGAGGCGGACGGATGCCGTCGCACGCCCGTCTGAGCGAATGCGAGAAGAGAGGGTGGGAAGTATCTCGACAGCGTGTGATGCTGGGATGGGCCAGGAACAAACAGCAGGGAGAGAGTATCGGTACGACTCTTTCCCTAGTCGATAAGATACGTCGCAGACCAGTCGGCGACACCTGCCGGAATCACCCGATCGAAGTAGCCTGTCTGCGTTGCAGGTACTCCGTGCGGGCGTGGCTGCTCGATCGGGAAGCAATGCAATATCTTGTAATTACGGAGCACAATGGTCCGTCAGCGTTGGGAATGCGACAAGGGAAGGGGCGGTCGAGGCCGTGGCTGTGACGACCGGCCAGCAAAGGCAGGCGGCAGGCAGGGCCAGACAGGCTTACACCGCACTTTTACACAAAACGGGTGACTGCCTGCGAAAGTATGACTCCGAGCTTGTATCGGCATTTTTGCGGATCTTTTTTGTTGGGCGGCCCTTTTTATTTTTAGCTTCATCACATACATAGTACGGAGTACGTCGTAGTCGTTCTCGCCCGGTCTCCCCCTCCCTTCTGTCGCCCGTCCGGACGGCCCTAGCAGAGACTTCTGCCGGCGCAACACAGCAGACGGACGTCCGCCGTGGTAGGCTTCTCATCCAGTTTGCCGCACGTCGTTGCCGTGCAAGTAGACAAAGAGCGTGCGTCGCCACCCCCCATTTTTTGCCATGTAGCTACTACGACGTATGTAGCACATTCGTATCTGGTCCTCCCAGGCCCCCCTCTTTGGGTTAGACAGCGTTGCAGCGTCCCGTACCGTGGGTCTGGAAGCTCTTGTAGAAGATGCCATTGTCTTGTCGTTCTGTCATTTCCATGTGTTCCTAAGAGCTCCTCTGATGTTGCTCATCTGCTTTTGTGGCTCCCGCTCGTGATTTTTGCCTCCGGCTCAACCCCCGCAGCCACCATGCGACAATGGGCAGAAACAACGCGACCAGGCTGACTCTTGGTTGGGGGTCTTCGGATCGACGTGATGGGAGCTCTTCGAGCCGCACATCAGCACGCTGCACGTATCTTACTCGTACTCCGTACTCCGTGCTCCCAAAACTTCAGCTCTCGTCAACTCCAACTGCCCGACATCTTCCGACTGTCCGCCACGGTAGCCCCTGGTCGCCTGGCCGAAGTCTACTGCACTAGCCTCCCCCACACTTTGGGGGCTTTGGAACGCTAACGCCTACTGAACTTGGCCCTAATCCGCCATGCACCGGTTATTTATCGTGCCCTGCAATGGAAGAACTTGCAGACGCCTCGAATCGGTGATTGTCTGATCCACCCTCACATCCATGCTCCACAGCTATCAAATGAGGGTCGGACTCTCGCCGAATCTGCCACTGTCGTGCCAGCACCGGCCGCCATCGTGTCGGACAGCGTCCTCGAGCCCAGCATCAGACGGAGGTGCAGCTCGGCGGAATCCCTGTTTTGTGTCGCATAGGCCAAACAAGATACGAAGCATCCCGGCCCAGGCTAAACTGATAGCGAGGAGAGGGAGGAAAAGATACGATACATAGTAAAACGAGAGATTAGAATACAACGGAGAAAAAGAAAAGAAAAATCCAGCTGTAACTCGCGAGGAAGAACCCAATCCTTGTTGGACACGAGCGAGTGGCTGCTACTCTGTACGTCTCACATCGTCCAGCCGAACTTAAGGACGTCAAGGGCCTGCCAATGCATATCTTGAATAACACGGCTTCTGCGTGGTATGGCCGTCTTCACAGCCCGGCATGACAGCGCTACGTCAAACGAAGCTCGGCTCACATCAGCAAAACACCGCCTGGGCTTCCGCATTACCCCGTAGTCTGCATGTGTCGCTTGATGTCTCGTCCGCGTGCCACGGAGTCGATCCTCGCTAGCTGGCACATACATAGTACATACTTGCACCGAGTCCCCCCAAACAGCACATGCAGCTCTAGTCAGCCCTGCATCTGCTACACATGTATCGTGTGCATGAGACCGTTCCGTGTAGGCGCTAGTGAAGCAGGCCAAACCTCGCAAGTCTGCATTGCCTACCACACATACCCTGGCGCTAGCTTCCCCGGATTTTCTCTGTTTCTCTATTTTTATTTCTCTGTATTGCTCCGAATAGCGAGCCGCCGAGAATGGGTCGGACACGGCTCATCCAGACTGCACTGTCAACTGTCTCGGGTGGACAGGTCCAGACACCGTCCGGTCTGACGATATAACACATCCTTGCTCGATCCTGTCACAAGTACGCTGCACAAGCACAACGGACCATGTCCGATGCCTGTCCCTTGTGCCGCCTCTTTCTGCTCATTTTTCACCAACGCGTACAGCCAAGCCGAGCCGTCGTTGACTCACACATTGCGGTCCGGCCTAGTCTTCCTCTGGGCCGTAGATATGCACACGCTTTCTCCGCATTTTCACTCCCTACACTGTTTGCATCGCGGGGAAAGTCCCTTCAGCCGGTCCCTTGGCCGTTGGCCGAGGACGGACAAGCAGAGGAATTCGCCTAGATGGAGCACCACGGCATCAGCTCGGCGTTCGGTATCTCTGCTACGTTGCACATGAAACTAAAGTAAAGTATACGGGAAATGTAATGTTTTTTGCAGATTCTAGTACTCAGGAGGCAACATGACGATGCTCTTGGGGATGGGTATTCATCGGACAAAAGGAAAGACTTATGTTGGGTCGGATGACGAAAGACAAAAGGGAAGAAAACAATGCAGCAGGCTTGCCAATGTGTCCAGTCACCTCCCCTTTGAGGCAATGCGAAGAGAAAAAAGAAGAAGGAAAAAAAAAAAAAAACAGAGACAAAATAGGGAAAGGCACAAAGGGAAAAGGAAATTAAAGGAAAACAGTACAACGGGTTCTGCAATGAGAAGCATGACAAAGGGAAGAGGGAAAAAGGCATGAGAACAGACCCAAGAAAGAAGAGCAATGTCCACTCAACCTCTTCTGAATACCCGTTTAGTCCCACCAGCCTTCCCGATCTCGCCAAATTTTCCTTCCATTTGGTCCGAAGCCACGTGCTCGCCGCTAGCGATCCGCACCTTTTCCTTAACGCTCTCTACCCATGCCTTGCTCTCCTCGCTCATCTCAATGTTCTTAGCTCGTGGCCCCGACATGCCCAGAGAACTGCCCTCTTCCGTCCAGCTAAGTCGGGAGCTCGATCGTGACACGGTCGACACCTCTGACAACGGCGTCTCGGACGGCTTGGTCACCGCCACCAGTGGCGTCCGCGGGACCTTGCTCTCTTCACCCACGCTCATCCGCGTCTTACGCATGATGAGAGGTGGCGTAGCTGGCGAGCCAGGGGACGACGATTCTGGCCGGCTGGGCGGGCTGGACCCGAATCGGTTCAGCGCAGACGACATAGCCATGGACGCGGTCAACGTTGGCGGGAGATCGCGTATCTCAATCTTGCTCTCGTTGCCGCTCTTCGACCGACGGCTGTGGTGACTGGCATACTCCTTCAGGTACTCGCTCAGGTCGGCCCAACCACCGCCTACACGCACCATAACCCGCTCGCCGCTCTCTCCCACAGGTCGGATGAAGAGCTTGATAGGCGGCTCGCCCGTGGACCGCGACAGATGGTACAGCTTGATGTCTCTGTTGCTTCGTTGATGGCGCGGCCGGGGGTTCCGAGAGAAGGCCGGTGCAAGTAGGAATGAAGGAGTCATGGAGCGCGACGACATTGCAGATGTGCTGCGAGCGCCATCACTGTTCGTCCGAGCCTTGCGGGGCATTTTGAAGTCGGGCGGGTTGAGCTGGTTTGGCGTCGTCGATGGTTGCGACGACAGATGGATCTTTGCTGGAATTGATTCTAGTATGCTGCTGATCTGCTGCTGGAGCTGGTCATCCTCGCTGCCAAAGCTCGTCCGGCGACTGTGTGGGGTGTGCATATCCGTTGGTATGTCCAATCCATCGTTGTCGTAGTCGCCCATGATGAAAGAAGATTCAATCGGTGTCTTGGGAGCGCCGGAGATTTCCTCCCCTGGCATTTCGGCCACCGTGGGCATATCTCGGAAAGTGGCAGGCGACCGGATGCTGCCGTGAAACTCAGGGGGTGAGCTCGAAGGATTCTGATCGTAATCGACAGACCCATCGTCGTCTGCGGCACCGATCTCGGGCTCGGTGCCACGTTCTTTGTGTGAAGACACGAAAATCGGCAGCGGGCTGTCCAGGGTTGGCTCTGGTGAAGTTCTGCGCATCGGAAGCGACGGTTCCGAACCTATGGATTCTATCGAGCTTCGCGGAGAAAGGCTCGGAGGTGTCTGGTAGCCGACGACAGTTGTAGCGACAGAAATATGCATGTTTTCGGGTGGGCTTCCTGCCGGGCTCTCCAAAATGCGATCGTGACATTTGTCTGAGCTTGGTTGCTTAGTATCAAGGACGTCGCTGACCGGAGAGTCTGTTTCGTATGTGACATCGGTAAACGAGGGTGTGCTGGGTAGTTGCTGCGGTGGCGAAAGTATTGACTTGTGATGGAAAGGCGTCTTCCACTCAGACTCGCAGATTTTCCGCTCGCAGAAGGCCACCCACTCCGCATAATCTTTCTCGACAAGGTCAATGCGATCGATCCAAGCCTCGGGTACAGTATCGTCCCATCCGTCGAGGACGTCCAGCATGTAGTCGGCAGCCTGGGCCGCCCTTGACACCTTCCGTTCTACTATCGACTTCATTGCGGAAACCTCGTCTCGACGCAGAACCTGGCTCTCCGAGATTGTCAAGTCCTTGGCAGCAGTGGCCACACTACCGACCTGGACGGCATCCCAGGCTGACTGGATGGCAATCTCAGCAGCGTTCAGTGAGTCGAGAAATGTTGGGATCTTTTTCAGGACCAGTGTGCGGATGTGCCAAGTATCCAGCAGCCGATGCAGCTTGGAAAGAAGTGGTAGCGCCTGGAGAACAATGGCGGTGACGACGGCCGTAAGATCGTCCATCCGGATGACCTTTGCAGCAGACACAGGAGCTGAGCGCTGCGGCATGCTGTCCGAAGGGGGAGTGCTAGGTGGTGACAATGGCAAGATGTGATGATGCAGTACGTGGTGCTTCATATCCTCCACCTCGAGGTATTCAATCTCCCGCTGAATCTCGGCGACTCTGCTCTCGTATCGAAACACATCAGACGCGGGAAGGCTTCCGATCCACAGCTCGTCGCCGGGCCCTTTGCTTTCAACACTGCCAAACCGGCTCGAAGTGCGTGTAATTTGGCTTTCTGGTGTCATCGGATCCGCTGATGTTGGCGGTGATGGCGGTGATGCCACTGTGGGAATCTGACCTCCAGTTATGGTCTCGATGATCTGTCTGCTTGCGGTCGGCTCCTCGAAACCGACAGAGCCTCCACCAGAGGGCCAGGACCACCGAGATAGCTCATCCCACCACTCGTAGATGCTAGTAGATGCAATGGCGGCTCGCATAGCAAAGGACTGGTCGGAGGAGGGGGCGGATTCTAGACATCGCTTCAGCGGGCCAGACGGGAAGCGCAGCGACTGGGCAGCCGTAGGCGGCGCCAGACGGGAGACCAGTTCGTCGACATGAAGCTGGTGATGCTGGCGGATGGGCGAGCCGGACATAGAGCGGTAGTATTGGTGACTCGGAGCAGAGAGCCGCGCGGTCGGCGCAGGGAGAACCGGAAAGCCACTCATGGCGGCAGGTGAAGAGGTTTAAGCTGCTAGCTCTCGTCCGTCTCTAATGACAACCGGCAGTTGTCTTCAGAAGCAGGACATGTCCTCTTCTACGAAAGAGTGTCTGGGTCGGTGGTCCCTCACCCGGCCGTAGCCGTCCTTTCGGTCTTTTTTTCTTGTTGGGCAGCCGTGACGTGGCGTCGCCCGATGGCCTTGTCGGCTTGGACAGTGGCTAGCCACACGGATGGCTGAGAAGTGCGTGGAAGGAGTGGAGGAAATAAAGGTCGGAGGGAGGAATCGCATCGGATATAGGAGGCGGTATTCGGTAGAGGCTGCCACGTTTGCACGGGTGCCACGACGTGTCGGAGGGCCGGCACCGAGCGGTGTGAGGCGCAGGCTGTCAATAGAATTTCGATAGCAAACAAACGGTTGTGATAAAAATGACAAACACGCAATTAAACGAAGGACAGAAAGAGAGGAAAGTCGGGCGGAGAGGTAAAAAGCAACACCGGACTGAACTGTTTCAGGCAGGAACAAAATCGAGGATTAAAGGGGAGGCAAAGAGAGAGACATGGCACCGAGAGGTGAGAGACAATGACGGAGAAACAGGTCACAGAATGTATGTTTCCTTTTGCATCCATTCTCCCCTCTCCAGCTAGCTCTGCCATGCATCTTGCAGTGACCGACGGGTGGAGTTGGGCGTTGGGCATCGTCTTGTCTCCTGTCGTTATTCGCTCCCGGTTAATTTGGGCAGTATAATTACGCGCCGCCACGCCTGACCTAAACGGAAGCATAGTCGGCTCGTACTGCTGGCCACTACCCCCAAAAAGAAAGAAACAATGTTATAAGCGGGCCATCGCGCCTGCTGGCCCGAGCTTCTACTCGTAAGTTACCCATCCAACTGCACAATCGTCTTCTTTCAGCAATAGCAATTTAAGCAGTACGATCAGCTGCTCGGCTCACACGGCATGCTAAGCCCCGTCGCTCCTGCCGCAATTGTGATGTTACGAGTATAGCCAGCAGACAAGTGCCACAAGTGCAGATGCACAAACGCGTCGCACTTTCCGTAAAAGAGGCGATCGAGGCTGTCGCTGCAATACGCGTTGTGCTCTCGCGTTTGTTTGAACTCGTAATTTATTATTGGTTCCTTTCTGGACAGATCGCCGTGTTCGCACGATACAATTGTTTTTGTCTATTGAGCCAAGACCTCATCCCGCTTCAATCCCCCCCAACCAGAGCCACTCCCAATAGAGACCAAGTCGGGGTTTTTTTTTTGCACTCCGACAACGCCAACTCAAAAATATAAGCTGCCTGACATCGCTGCAATTGCCTTGATACACGTCGCTAGTATTCCGGCTGTTGCATCGACTCGTTTCCAAATGTGTTGTTAAATAAGAAAGCATGATCCGTACTACTGCCCATGCCCTCGGGGGGGAAGTCCAGCCACTGGTCAAAGTCCAGCTTCATGCTGTTAGGGTCTGCCACCGCGACGTCCCATTCGAACGGATCTTCCGACGCTGCGCCAGCCAAAGGTGTCAGGCCGCACATCTGTTCGTTGCTGCTATTGGCATCGACACCGGTCATGCTGGCGTTGACGGACATATGATTGGTGCTGGAGGCGCTGGCAGTTCCCACATCCGAGCTGGCAGCAGAGCCAGCCGAGCTGCTGGATGCAGCAGTCGCTGAGATACCACCATCTGCACAGTTCTGTTGCGCGTCCCGGGAAGCGGATTTGGCAGCAGGTGTCATTCGGTAAGCCGGTGACGAATCAGCGTTGGCGATATTGTTATCAGCGGGTGTCATGGGGTGTGCTGTTGCCTTGGGGGTGGTGGCAGCATATACACTGACGGCGTGGGCGACACCATCTTCAGTGTACGGCACTGCCACGTTGGAGGTGGCGTTAAGAAGGGAGACGGAGGTGCCATTGATGGGTGTGCCGGTACCATCCTCAGCGGACATGCAGCTATTGCCGCTGTTGCCGCTGTGGCCGCTGTTGATGCCGTACGCGCCGTCAGCACCAAAGTTGACGACGGCGGAGAGATCGATGCCGGCCTTTTTCAGGAGTGACTCGACAAAACCCTTGGCGATCTCGGCGGCCGCATACGTTTCACGAAGGCTCTCCATGATCCGCATACATGTGAGGAAGCCATATACGGCCTGCTGGCGACGTTCACGTGGCACGCCACCCTTAATATCGAGCAGGTGTGCGAACATGGCCGGCAGGAAGACGGTCACGCCAGCGGTCGGCAGATACGACTCTAGACGAAGCCGCAACAGCTCGCCACCCATGCGGGTGACGCAGTTGGCAGCGTCGCGCACGCGGGCCCGCGAAAACTCCTGCTGCTCGATGGGCAGCATGGGCGAGCCAGGTCCCACCGGCTGTATCCGCGGCCGGTGTAGTGCCGACATGGTCGTGTGGTATACAAGATGCAAAAGCGTGCGCTGCACGGCGATGGTGGCCCGGCCGTTCTGCACGTCTGCCGGCGTCAGAGCGGCATAGCGACATGACGGCGGCAGGGCCAGCAACCAGGCGCGCAGCTTGGCGTCGATTTTGTCCACTACGCTCGGTCCGTTGCCTTGGCCATCCTCGTTGACCGGTCGATTCGGGAACAGCATCATGGTGCTGTTCGAACCAGCTGAATCCGCCGAACGCTGGCGGCCCCGAGGCAGGATGGTGTACTGCTGGTGCAGCATGTTGCCGACAAGGACGCAGAGCTTCGCCTTCTCAACGCACAGCTCGGCCAGCTTCTCCTGCATCTCTAGGTCGCGCACTAGGCGGCACTCGGTCGGGACAGAGTCGATGCTGTCGGGCAGTATGGTCTTCTCGAAATCCACCGGCGCGAGCATGGGCACGTCGGCATCTTCGCTTCGGATCCGCTTCGGTCGTCGCATTCCCAGCGCAATCATGCGGTCCCGCATGAAACAGCACCACCAGAGTTCAGTTTTCGCAGACGCTGGCGGTGAAGCGGCTCGCCTGTCGTGCGAGGATCGCGGTGGAGACCGATAGTGTGCGCCAGAGACACGGCAACGCCCATCCAGTGCCAGGTGTCCTTCTGGTCGTCGGGCGTCTCGTACCAGTACGTCATGAGAAGAAGCGCCTGGACTAATGTGAGACGGTCTGTCTCATAATCGAAGTCGTACAGGGCCTAGACAGAAAGGAGGGGTGTCAGTAACTTGAAACGGTACTTTTGATGGCAAGCTTGTGCCTACCCTTGCTTTCATGAAGAAGGTCTTCCGCGCCTCGCGGCGGCGGCTGAAGCCAACCGCTTTGAGATACTTAGCCGGCACAAAGGACGCAGCGGCGAACATGACGGCATGGTAGAGCAGGAGGCTGATGGTGCCGTTGCTGCCATCGCGGCTGCTAACCACCTGCAGGAACGAGTTGAGCTCCAGGAGCGGCATGTATGGATGGACGAACTCGACATAGGCGTGCAGAAGGGCCCTCTGCAGAGTTTCGTCTGGGAGAGTAAAGGCGCCTTTGCTATGCAAATACACGACGTCTTCCGGAGCCATTTTGCCCGGGAGCGGGCTGATGAAGCCGGGAAGCAGAGCGGACGCCTGCTGTTGTGGGTCGCCAAGGAGGCCGTTGAGAGGCAGCAGCGGAAAGGCGGCCAGGTTGAGAGACGGAGCTGCAGGGTCGGCGGATGGTTGTTGGGCCGATGAGGTTTTTGGAAGCAACAAAGCGTTGCCACCATAAGCAGCATTGCCCAGATTGACACCTGCGGCGGCTTCACGGCAGTTAGTGGTTGTTCGCTTCCATGTGGCCGTTGCCGGTGGAGAAGAGGAGGAGCTTGCTTACAGGGGAAGGGAAGATTGTTGTCGGAGAGAGTGTCAAAGGAGTTGCCCGAGGCGGCGACAGAAGACTGAGGGGCGTCACCACCAAAGGCGTTGCTGAAGTCGAAGCCGCTAACACTGCTGATGGAGCCGTTTACAGAACCATGGCTGTGGTCGTGGTCGTGTTCGTGGTCATGGCCGTGTTCTTGGTTGTGGCTACGGAATGCATCGGCGCCCTGCAGGACACCTGCAGTCTCACGTGCGTTGAAGAGACCTCTCCTAATCCGCGTTGCGGTTGTCAGTCGGCCATGTCGGCCACGTGGCTATGCCGGCTGTGCCAGCCATGCCAGCCACACAGAGGGGAGCCGGCTTACCGTCGTCTTCGGCCCTCCTGGACCACACACTCGATCTTGTCCCAGCGACAGTTGCCACAGGGAAAGGTCTCGACCACGTCGCAGCGAACCTTGCGATTCCGGCAGCTGACGCAGGCGCGGGCAGCACGACGCTTGATGACCTTGCCGGCAGCGTTGGTGGCAACGACAGACGCGCCGTCGGAACCGGTTGTGGTGAAGCTGGCCGAGCCATCTTTCTTCTCGCTGTTCTTCTTGCCGCGGCGTTTTCGCTGACCGCTTGGGTTCGCAGTAGAGGCGGTGGCCGAGCTCGCGACCGACATATCGGACTGGGTCGAGCTGCTGTCGACGGCCGGCAGCAGGGCGACGGGCTTGCTGACGCTGCTAGTGGTGCTGCTGATGCTCTGGCCACGGTTGACGAAGCCATTGGCATGGCCGTTGCTGCCGCTGAAGGGAGACATGTCGTCGTCGTGCATCATGACGTCGTTGCTGTGGCTGCCGTGGCTGCTGCCGTCGAAGACGCTCATGACAGAGGAGCTCGGGCTTGACAGATCGTCCATGCTGGATGCAACGCTCTCGGAGATGGTTGGGGTACGTATGTATGACGTGTGTGGAATGCAAGGTATGTCTCGTGTGTCTAGTCTACCGTTGGCGCTGCTATACAGCCGGATAATCCTCTTCTTCCTCGAGTTCGGGCGGCAAACTGGAGGACGAGGGTGTCGGAGGCATGTATGTGACCTCGTACAAGATAGAAACACGGGTTTGCATGTGGTTGACAAGGCGAGGCGAACGGGTGGTACCGCTGGTAGGGCTGGTGACGCAATTGGACAACCGTTTTGGCTCTTACAGGGACGAGAAGTTGGAGAAGGCGTGCGAAGAAGTTGGAGGCCAATAGGAGGGAGAAAAAGAAAGTATGGAGTGGAGATTGGTCTTGAACGAGGAAAAAGGCAAACAAGTTCGAGCAGAAGGAAAGTGACGAGAACAAGGACAACAGCAGCAAGCACCGCCGACTGTAGAAAACAGGAGAGAGTTGGACGAAGGCGAGACAGAGAGGGGAGAGAGGAAAGGCGAAAAAAAGAGTGGAGATGAGGGTGGATTGGTTTGGAGATATAAGTACGAGCAGTAGTGCTGGAATGGTCACCAGGTTGTGTCCACACAGGTTCCGTCCGCGCACGAACGCGAGTGCCGAATGGGATGGGGAGGTAAGACTACATAGGTGCCAGGCGGGCTGGCCACGAAGCAGGCGGCGCCTGGCTGCAAGGGCGGCCTGTTGCAACAGGCTGGCTTCACCGGGACTGTAGGCTTGTGCTCGTGTGCTCCAGTGTTCGTCGTTCGTGGTGCTAGGTTGCGTCGTACTGGGAAGCGAAGAGTACGGGCAAGAGCGAAGGGCCTCATGCCGACTTGCCATGCCGGCTTGGCCTGCCTTACCAGCAATAGAGGGCGAGAAAAAGGGAAAAAGCGGCTAGTGCTGTAGGCAAGCGGACGCCATGCTGAAGAGGGAAGCGGGATGGGGCCCAGACGCCTAGACGTCCTGGCTACAAGAAAGATACAAGCAGCTGGATGGGGGACAGGGGCCCTCTTTTCCCTCGTCTGGCAAGATTCTACATACATAGTACTCTGTAGTATACGCCCGCATCGCTTTGCCCAAAGCTAAGAAATGGTGTGAGGCAAAACCTGGGGATGGAGGTTTGTGCAGAGTCTTAATTGTTATGTAAAGCGTGCACGTTTTTAGAGTGCCACGGCCTCCACACTCCGCCTTTTTTATTTCTCCTTGGCGATCCTGCGGGCTGTGGAGGGATGCGTGAGATGGGAGGTGTCATCTGGCCTACATAGCACACACATCTTACGACCTGTTGCTGCTTGTATTAGCGGTCCCTTTTTGGGGTGTTTGTCTTCACTACGCCTGTATTTGGCTCGTCTTTTTGGTCCCTGTTGAATAGGGGGAGGGGCCGAATAAAATAAATAAAAAGACTGGGGATAGATGGCGATGGGGCAGACTGAACTCGATGCTCACTAAAAGCCGAAGAGGCGACGCAAGATAAGAACCCCATTGAAAAAGGAAAAGACGGGAAAAAAAGACGGCAGGTCTGGTGGGGGGGAAGGAAAAAAAAAAACCTGGGGCAGCCAATTCGAGGCAAGACATAATAGGATTACGACAGGCGGAAATGAGCGATAAAGCAGGCAGCGTAAATGAACAGAGAGCCAAACAACCCAGCAGGCATTTGTGTCATCAAACCGGGGGTGGGGGAGGGAGGAACGAGGACCATCCAGAAGCAGCTAGCCAAACAATACTCCGTACAAGCCAGATACAAGCGGTCTACTTGACCGAGGGGCAAGGCGCGGGCCTGCGGAGATCGATAGTAAATACGAACGGCGCATCGGGGACAACAGGTCGGACCCCTCCCGAGCTAGTGTATTACACGTGATTGGCCAGCGCCCACAACGCAAACAGCTTTGCAGACTGTACAATGTGCAAGGCGCGACGCCATCGCCGTCTGTCTCTGACCGGTCGCTGGCGATGCAAGATGGCCAGGTGGCACGGGGTGCTGTGTAATTCCTGTGCAGGCAGACCGATCGAGACAGGAGAAGATGGCCAGCAAAAACAGCCAGCCAATCAGAGACGCGAGATAGCGGCATTTCGAAGCGGTTGCTGTCTTCCTTCTCACTACTGCGTACGGAGTATTCCGTATGGCCCAACACGCGTAGCCGTCTAGCATTGGCGCGTCCTCGACAGCCACAATCCGTTTGCGCATTGTCACTCTTCCCTCGTACTCGCATACGCCCAGGTGGAGCTCCGTGTCCACCAAACCAGAAGACAGGGTGCATAGTACTATGTATCTTAGCTGCCCACACAGCATTGGGGGCCGGTTCTAGAGCGGCCTCTCATCCTCGCCGCCCTGGTGCGGGTAAAACTCTTTTCCACTCGGCCTACGGAGTAGAGGAAGCTCGCTTGCCAGCCAAGAGTGGGGCCTCCTGTGCTCCTGGGCGGCGGTGCATATCCGTCGCGAGAATCGGAGTCGATACCGCTTCTTTGGTGAGACCGGTCGGTTCCCGGACTGCCCCGGCATCCATATCGTGCAAGAAAGTCCGGGTATTCTTCTCGGGCACGTTGCTCCTACTTGCGTGTGTCCACGTGACCTCTAATGGCGTTGACGGGCAACGACCCAACCGGGCGGCGAGCCTGAGCCACACGGCCGACATTTGGGACTGGCACAGCCACCCCATGCTTACTCATCCCGGTTGGCGCTGCATTGGTGTCCATCTCTTAATCTGCACTCAGTGCTCGCCGAATGGGAGAGGTTGCCAAATCGGCCTCCCTGCCGTCTCAGTCGCGCAAGCTTTCTTTTCTTGTTCTCGCACAAGTAGTGTCTATTTGGGCTCGCACGGTGTAATTTAACATTGCTTGTGTCCTACCTATAGCCACCAATCCAACACGTCTGCAGCAGTCGCCGGGCAAGCTAGCGGTAGCCTGCTGCAACCTGCACGAACAGCTGTTCCATGCGCAGTCTTGTGACGAGTTGGGGCGACGAGCGAGAGTGTGTGTGGTGCTCCTGGCTGTGGCGACAGCATCATCAGGTTGAGGGCGAAAAGCCAGGAAGAGGAGAAAAAAAAAAAAAAAAGAGGCTAGGCGCTTTGGCCATCACAGTATTTAGTGGACCCAAGACACGACCAGCTGAAGAGCGTGGGCAGGGGAAAGAAGCATGTGCGAGCAAGCTTAGCCCAGCGCCCTTTTCCTACAGTAGTGTTTTTGCATGCTCTGCTGAAGTGCCTAATCCAATTACGTCATAGCCCAGAAACCTTTCCTGGATGACACGGTGAGTGAGCCAACATGTAGCACGACAAGACTCCGAAAGTCTCGCACAGGGACGGGCCAGCGGCCGCAGGAAGCGCAAGAGGACAGTGTATGGCAGTCTGCGCCGTCTCTTACCGGGTGTCATATCGACGCACGAGCTTGGCAGCCGGCGGCCCTTGCTGCGATAAACTCGTTATTAACTCGTTCAATCTGTTGGTCAAGACCGACAGCAGAGCAGCGAAAAAGAAATAACGTCGGCCGCTAGTTAGATCGATCGACAGGAAATCGGTGTAGGCCGTAGCTGTGGTGGGGGGGCGTGCAACAAGGAGGCGAGCCAGCGTGCGGTGTGACTGTAAACATCTGGTGGCATTTTCTTTCCTCGAGCTCGCTCTGTTGCTCGCAGGCCTCCCCCCAGCAGCAGGGTGGCCGAAAGAGGATCCACAGAAGAAGCAAGTAGGCCTTGATGCATGCTGGAAAGGGGGGCCAAATACATGTATTAAGGTTACAATGCAGCCAGCCAGACCAGTCAAGTCTCGGCGAGTTTGATTGCACGGCAGCTGGGGGGGGGGACTGAGAATGACGCCGTGTGTTGCACTGTCCTGGCAAAGAGGATGAAATTGGGACAAGATACAGTGTGCCCGTTATGGAGGAACTACGAGGAGATCGGCAGCTCCTTCCCTCCTTTCTTTCTGCTGTTGCCTGGTGGCTATATATATCCAGTGCCCCTGCCTGCTCTCGCGCAGTGGGTGCCTTCCCCTTTTGCTCATCGTATCCTCACACCTGTCTCCTCGTCTTCTCACGCGGTCTTGTTGTCTCTGTGATCGTGACAGCTGCCCCAACTGCCACAGCCCACAACCACCACCACCACCATCAGCCCCAACAGCCCGCTCGACCGCCATCATGGGAGCGCGTACCGGCGTCAGCCTCAAGCTGCTGCAGTTCTTCTGGCGCGGCATCACGTTTGGCTGCGCCATCGTCGTGCTCGGCATCTACGCCTACTTCTTGGCCACGATGCACACGCACAAGGTCACGACGCCGACGTGGGTGCGTGCGGTCGAGGGTCTGGCCGGCTCGGCCGCCCTGTACTCGCTCATCGGGCTGCTGCTGCTCTGGTGTCTGGCCGGCCGCTCGCTGGCCTCGCTCGTGGCCGTCGTGCTGGACGTCTGCTTTGTCGTCGGCTTCCTCTACGTCGCGATCGAGAACCGTGGCGGCGCGTCGCGCACCTGCAAGGGCAGCAGCATCCGCACACCCTTTGGCACCGGCGCCTCCGATACCACCATCGCTAGCACGCGTCATGACGGCAGCATCATCCGCCTGCCCAGCTTCCGCACCGCCTGCAAGCTCGAGACCGCCTGTCTGGCTGTCTCCGTCATCGCCATCGTCGCCCTCATCCTCGCTGCCCTGACCGAGATGCTGCTCGCGCGCAACCACCGCCGCGAGAAGCAGTACGGCGCCGTCAACCCCGGCAACGGCTTCACCGACGGCACCGGCAAGCGCCGCCTCGGCCCCTTTGGCCGCCGTCGTCCCCAGCAGCCGCAGCAGCCCCTCGCGGACGAGAACGCCCTGCCCCTTCACCCTGACCCCAACGGCGAGCTGGCCGAGAAGCCGCCGGCCACGTACGGCAACTCGCAAAAGTACTGAGCGGAACCAAGGCAGACGACCACTGATGTATGTAATGGGAGGACCGCAGATACGGAGTAGAGATATCCTGGATGACGGAATACCATGCGTTGTTGCCTTGTATTAATTGTGATTGGTTGTGAATGTTGAACTGTGTTTGGCTGGAAGTATGTCTTTCCCTAAAGTCTTAATGACCTTCTATTCTACCGTATCTACCCTTCCCATTCGCCCATCACGCTCTCCCCTTCGGCCAGCTCGGTCCAGTTGAGGTCCAGCTTCAGCTCCCGCACAAAAAAGTCGTGTTCTTCCCGAAGAGCCATGCGCACCTCAGCCGCCATCTTGTCGGGATACCGCCGCACGTTGAACCAGTGGGTCAGGCTGCGCAGGGCCTGTTCCAGCGGCAGCGAGCTCTCGACGTCACCCTCGACGTCGCTGCCGGCCAGCCACTCGTCGCGCAGCTCTGGCCGACAATGCAGGTACACCGCCGTGATCACGCGCATGTTGCCCTGCCGCCACTTGCGCCCGCAGTACGGCACCTGGTTCTTGAACAGTTTCAGCGTGTATAGCCGCAGCTCTGGCTGTGGCACCTTGAGCATCTTGCGCAAGATGTTGGACGACTTGTAGTGCACCAGCAGCAGGTTGCGGTGCGCCTTGTTCTTGCAGATCTTCTGCATCACCCGCAGCAGGTTGATCAGCGAAAAGAAATTGCGCCGGTTGAACTCTGTGATCGGCTCCGCCGCCACGTCGCCAATCGGATAGCCGAACTCATCCACTTCCAGCCGCCGTCCCAGCTGGCTGCTAAACGCCTCGGCGCTCGTCGATGCTCCTGCCGTGGCTGTCGATGTCGGTCCTGCTGCGGCGGCCTGCTGCGGTGATCGCTGCCGCTTGATCGCCGGTGGCGCACACTCGTCCTCGCTCTCCTCCTCATCCTCCCCGTCTTCTTCCCCGTCTCTCTCTTCCTCTGCGTCCCCTTCGTCCTCCTCCTCGTCCGGTCCGTCCTGCTCTGGTGCGCCAGCCCGGATGTTGCAGAAGTAGAAGAAGCCGCTCTCGACCCGGTCTGTCCGGCTGTCTACCAGCTGCTGCACGTCCTGATGCGCCCACAGCTTCAGCAGCAGTGGCACGTAGTTGCAGTCGAGCAGCAGCTGTGTCAGGTACTCGAACTTGAGGACATCTGTGTGCTTAGTCAGCATAGGCTCGCTCCCGTCTGTGCTTGTTTGTGCTTACGTGAGACTTTCAGCCACTTGAGCAGCAGCAGTAGGATGCCCGACACGGCTTTGCTGCTAATCTCCCGCGTCCGAGCTGCGTCGATCTCCTCGGCCGACTGCTCCATGCCTTCCGTGCCACCGTTGCCCCGGCCGTTTGCGCCTGTTGCGGCCGGATGTTGTTGCTGGCTCTGGGGTACCTGGGCCATGAGAACGGCCACGTTCATCAAGACAGTCTTGAGCAGGACAATGACCAGGGATTGCAGGTGTGGCAGAGCCTCTCTCTGCAACAGATTAGCGGAAATTAAAAGAAAGCGAGCAAGCTCAAAAAACAGCAACAATAACCAATAAACAGCACAAACAAAAACACTCACATAAAAATCCTCAAGTGCATCCAGCCGCTGCTTTATCCGCTCGTTCAATTCCTCTGGCCGGGGTCCGAGATCCGCGTTGGACTCGTCCTTTTTGGCAGCCGGCACCTCGCTCGGCTTCACGAGGCCCAGCTCCTCCTTCTCGGCCAGCGTCAGCGACGACAGGTCGAGCTCCTCGATCAGGTCGTCGTCGGCCGAGTCCCAGCCGCGCTCAAATTTGAGAAAACGCTCGCGCTCCTCCCACAGCTGGCGCGTCGCCCGGGTCATGCGCACGCGGTTCGAGAACAGCTCACCGGCCTCGAGGATGGACGACGGCACGTCGCTGCCCTCCCACTTGCGGCCAACGAGGACGTCCTGCAGCGCGGCCGCACCCTTGCCGCCCACGCCATTGCTGGTCGCGTCCAGAGGCGGGTACATGAATGGAAAGTTCTGGTTCGTCTGGTAGTTCTGCTTCTTGACACCCTTGCCGGCGGCGGCTGGCGACGGCGGCGGCGATGGTGCCGGCGTGGCGATGTGCACCGGCTGGTTGAGAATCGACGCGCCGCCGTGGGCACTGGGCGGCCCCGAAAGAACGCCACCGGCTGCGCTGCTGCGCGCAGACGCCTGGTTCGGCAGCGGCGGCAGCAGGGTCGTGCTGTCGTCCTCGAGCGGGATCAGCGGCTGGGGCGGGATGTAGGCCGGATACTTGGATGTGATCTCCTGCCGGAAGGCATGGTAGTCCAGCGGTGACGCCATGATCAGGTTCTTCTCCTTGTCGGCGTCGGCCGTCGACTCGGCCGTGGCCTTCTTGGTCTCGGCGAGCTCCCGGGAGCCGCCAAAGACGAGCAGGAGCGACTTCCAGAGCAGCAAAAACACCTGGCACTGCGGAATCACCGTGCTGTCGTCCCATCGCAGCCGGGAGGCCACGGCCATCATGAAGTCGGGTATTGGCGGTTCCAGGCTCACTTCTCTGTCAGAACAGGATAGGACAACAAAGGACAGGACAGGACAGGACAGGACAGAGCACATACCTAGCTTGACGTAGCTGGCCGCCAGGTCCAGAGGACTGCTCAGGACTGCCTGCATCATCACGTAGACGATGGTCATGAGGTTTGCCAACTCGTCCTGGGCGTCCTGGAAGACGGCCGAGGGCAGCTGCTGGGGGTCTTCGGGTCCCCTGAGGCGGTCAGCCGGACGGATGGACAGTGACAAACGAGACAGCAGCGGCCTACCAGAATGGCTCAAAGGCCTTGCGCAGCGCCTCCCAGAGCACGGGTGCGCCGCCGACCTTGGCCACGAGGGCGACACCGGCGCGAATGGCGTCTAGCTGTCGCTGGCGGGCAACGGTGCGAACTGCCGGGGTCCTCCGGGCGCCGGCAGCCGGACCACCACATGTGGCTGCCCAGCGGCCGAGGACGACGTACAGCAGCACGCCAATGGCCTCGGGACGGTGGCGGTGGCGCTGTCTGGTCTCGTTCTCGGCCAGGACAGCCAGGGCTCCGGCGACGAAGCGCTCGCGCACGTCGGGCTCGACGGCCTCCCAGGCCAGGTCGCGACCGGCATCCACGCGCTCACGCTCCCAGCGAGCCTCAAAGTGCTGCTGGGCGTTGTTGAGGCGAACCCACTGCCAGATCTGGTAGGAGAACCATTCGTCCACCTCCTCATCGAAGCTGCCCGTGTCCTCATACACGTAGTCGTACGCGACCGGCTCGTTGCGCGGCAGCTCGGCCGCTAGACGCCGCAGCTGCAGGAGCGACAGCGAGTCGAGGCCCTGCTGCGGTCCGCCGCCAGACTCGCTGTTGTTGCCATTCCCACCTCCATTTCCATTTCCACTCCCGCTTCCACTCCCGTTTCCAAGTTCATTCCCGGCATTGCTGCTCCCGACCACCGCACCCGTGTTCATGATCTGCGCGTCGTCCAATCAAAAGTGTCGGTCTGTCCGGCCTGGAGAGAGCCCGGCCTCGGCCAGCGGCAAGAGCTGACGCTTCTCTGCTGGTTCAGCAGGCCGGCTGCTTTCGATGTAGGTGGCGAAGCGGAGGCTGGATGGTAGACTGTCGAAACGGGCGACTCGCAGCAGAGTGAGGCACGTTGGAGAAGCCAAAAGAGTGTGTGCGTGACCGTCCGATGTGGAAAAGTCGTTCCGGGCCGTCAATGCAGATAACAGATCGTCTTGTTCGATGCCGTCTTTCGAAAGCAGAGAAGCTCTAGTGGAGTTTGCAGTGGCTGGCTGGCTGGCGGGGAAGGAAGTGGTAGAGGGGTTTTGGCCAATCAGCGCTGTCGGCACCGATTACCGTGGCTTCCTCGCCGGTTTACTCATCGGTGTGGCGTACGTCGTAATACAGAATCAACAGTCACACATCACTCGTCACCTCACCAGCGACACTACAAAACGGGTCCTGGATCTCTCGCCACTCTTCCAGGCTCTGGGACTATTGGACTTTTGAAGTATGGATTGCAAAGCAGAGCGTCGTTCATAGCTGGCCCCCAAAAACATGTCTGCAATCGACTTTTCTCGACCTGGTCGATCTCTGTCTCTCAAAACCCCCTCTCTCTCCATAGCCTTCTGTCGGTAACGACGCCATGGATCTGGCAGACGCCGGCGATGCCGAGGACCAGCGGCTGGTCGAGCTCGGCACCCTTGCGGCCATCTATCCCGAGATGGTCGTCGACGAACACGATGCCTTCACCGTGATGCTCGAAGTTCCCGTAAATCCCCAGACAGCCGTCAAAGTGTCGTTTCCTGCCACGGGCACCGGGACACTGGACGTTCACGAGCTATCCTATCTGCCGTCCCTGCAGGTTCGGGTGTCTCTGCCTCTGGGCTACCCAGAGCAGCAGCCGCCCCAGATCAGGATGACGACAGACCCGTCATGGATTCCGGCAGCTGTTCTGCGCAGCCTCGAGGACGACGGCAGCCGGCTGTGGGACGATCTGGGCCGTGACCTAGTGGTGTTTGCCTTTGTCGACCACGTCCAGCAGGCGGCCGACGACGTGTTCGGGCTGGTGGACAGCAGCGGCTTCGTCTCCGTCGACCGACAGCACCAGATCTTCGTCCTGGACTACGACATCAAGGCGAAGCAGGCCGCCTTTGACAAAGAAACTTTTGCGTGTGGCATATGTCTAGGTATATTCACTGTCTCCCATCTTTCTTACGGCACATGCTGACACCGACAGACCCCAAGAAGGGCTCGGCTTGCCACCAGATGAAGGACTGCGGTCACGTCTTCTGCGTGCAGTGTCTGCAAGACTTCTACGGCAGCGCGATCCGAACGGGCGACTTGTCGGTGGTGCGCTGTCCTGAGCCGAATTGCGCCAAGAAGCGCGAAGTACCCCGGCCAGCCAGCCAGAAGCGACGGCCCAAAGCAGTAACGGTCAGCCCGGGCGAGCTGCTGCAGATTCCCATTGCCGAAGAGCTGGTGCAGCGCTACGTCGACCTCAAGTACAAGACGCAGCTGGAGTCGGACAAGGACACGGTCTACTGTCCGCGGCCTTGGTGCAACGGCGCCGAGCGGTCGGACCGGCACCAAAGGCCGGTTGGCTTTGCCGATGTGGAGGCGGAAGCTGAGGCGGGCGAGGACGAAGACGACAAGAAGGAGGACCGCTCGTCGGACCGCCGGCTGGCCATCTGCGAGGACTGCCATTTTGCCTTTTGCACGCGCTGCCGGCTGTCGTGGCACGGCGACTTTGTCTACTGCGCGCTGCGGCGACGCGACGGCGAGCTGGCCGAGCCGACCGAAGAAGAGCTGGCCACGCTGCGCTACATTGCCCAATACACGACGCCGTGTCCGACCTGTGCAGCCGCCGTGCAGAAGTCGAGGGGTTGCAATCACATGATCTGTTCGCGCTGCGACACCGACTTCTGCTATCTCTGCTCGGCCTGGCTCGATGCTCACAATCCCTACCAGCACTTTAACAGCAGCCCGACGGGGAAGCGGACGGCCTGCTACAACCGGCTTTTTGACGACAGGGACGACGAGGAGGCCGAGGACGAGATGCCCGAGCTGCCGCCTCCAGACGCAGACCCCGACGGCTTCGATCTGGTCGATTTCGACGACTTTGGCGACTTTGGTCAGGCTGCCCCGGCAGCAGCCCCGGCAGCAGCACCGCCAGAGCAGACTGCCGCCAGGCTGGTCAGCGTTGCTCGTGAAGGGCCGCTCGTCCTGCGCATTGCTCTGGAGGACGGCCCGGCTCAGCCGCGACCACCTGTGGCTCCTCTTGTTGTTCCTCCTCCTGCGCCGGCGGCACGCAATGTCGACAGACGGGGTCAGGGTCAGGGTCAGGCTCGTGGCCGTGGTCGTGGTCGTGGTCGGGGAGGAGGACGCGGTCGAGGTGGGCAGAGACCGCCAGCAGCCGCAGCTGGAGGCAATGCAGAGGCGCAAGTGCTGAACGGCGACATGGAGGCCTGGGTCCGACACTTTGTGCAGCTGGCGTTGGAAGACAATGAGCACTTGATGGATGTTTGAGAGAAGACGAATAGCCGAATGGGAGACGAGATGGAGACACTGCTAATGGCAGCGTGTCCTTTTCTAGAAGGCATTCACCCTTTGTCGAGCGATCGCTGGTCGCCGGCACTTCGCGGTCGCTGGATACTACACTATGGCTCTGACTAGGCGGCCGTCTTGCCTGCTCGTCTGTGACGCTGTCTACGGGTGCGGCAGTGAGCGGATGCCACTCGGCTTCATGTTACGCTGGGCTCAGGCTGGTTCATCCAGTCTTGCTGAGCTTACGGACTTTGGGGGTTTTTTTTATTTTATTTTTTTTAAAATAATTATATGATATAATAGATTATAGTATAATTCGTTTATTGCGCGGCCTTCTCCCACGGCCTTCGCCCACGGCCAACGTCCAGCATGAACTACCGAGACCGACAGAAGAGGGGGGCGTATGTAACGTACGACGCAGTGGCGTGTGGCAACCCCGACGGCTGCTACGACGGCTTCTACTGCCCGTCTGGTTGTGCTATAGGTCTGCCATTCTGTTAATGCCAGACAGATCCGGACTGGATGCCGGGTTGGTGAGATACAAACAAAAACAGCTCAGACTATTGGGACTGGCTGTTTGAAAACACGCTGACGACAAGAGCCGGCCGGTATGACCTGGCAAGATACGAGCAGCTCAGCAGCGGGGAGGAACTAGATGTGTTCCTTGTCACCCGTCGGACATTTTTTATGTCTATTTCCAGCTGCCACCTGTTTGGCTTGCATGGCCCTGCATGCCATTGCACGGGGATCCTGGAGCAGGCCTACGACTAGACGGAAGACAGAGGTCGGTCGATGGCAAGGGGCGCAGCACTCGTAGGGGAAGGGGGAGGGGGGACTGCTACATAGCAGACCATGTTTACCGTATTTTTGGAAACAGGAGATGATCGATTCGTCTAGCTCTCTCGACTAGCAGCGGCAGCAGCAGGCTCTGCAGAGACACACCAGAGGGGCGTCAGCAGAGATAAGGGGGGGGGGGGATGACAGCCGTCCAGAACCAAGCAGAGTTTTCCTCTGGTTATATTATTTCTATTTTCTTTTTTTCTTCCTTCTTGCCAATGGTTGTCAATGGTTGCCAATGGATTCCTCGTTTTCTTGGTTCTCCCCTATCGGTGCAGGTCGACAGGACCAGGACCGAGAAATAACATGATAGGGGTGACCAGAGAAAGCGGGAGCTGCGTCGAGACAGCAGCTGTAGCAAGTTTGCCGCCTGCGCCGAGCCCACATCGGAGGGGGGGGGAAAGCAGGATGCTGTTCTTTCTGGCCATTCTCGGCTCACCCCCCCCCTCCATCGTGCTCGTACATACTCCGTACATAGTAGACCTCTGGCAGCTGATTATTCCTGTCGCACTGCCGCGTCTGCAGTAGCTGATGGGACTGCCCCCTTAAGCGTGCCTAACCGATGTGACGCCGGCCAAGTGCAGGCTCTGGACGACTGGAGACTACTGTACTATGCAGTAGGAGCAGGAGGGTTTCCGCGTGTCTAGAGAGCCTGTCGGGCCTATCACAACGGCCAGGCCGGTATCTTGCCTCGAGGGGGGGAGGGGAGACCGAGACAGGGAGACGATACTATGTAGGGAGACGACAGGGAGGCCGGAGACGTGGTCCGTAGCCGTTGCTCTTGCGTGCTCGCATCCGTTCTGGACTCACACCGAGTCTGCTATGAAAGATACTCGTATCTTGCCCGTAAGATACATTCCCAACGGTCCTGGCCAGCCAGTCAGAAGGCTCCTCCGGATAGGGAACGAAGTGGCCCGGGACCACTCTTGGAGCCGTTTTTTTCCACACTTGCCGTTATACTACATAGTACTCGTACATACGAGTAGTTTGTACTGTCTCCTGGCTCTGCATCCCCACTTCTCAGATGTCTGAATGGCATCTTCTGGGCAGCAAGACGTTCAGGGGAGGGGATAGGGAGCCACCAGAGAGGTGACGAGGCAAAAAAGGGTGAGCCCGGGACTAGAGGAACCTGGTGGCAGACAGATAGTGTGCGGCAGTACTCCGTACTATGTATGTACAAATCCAATAAATCATCGCACTGCCACCGTAAGGTTGCACCTGACCGCAGAACGGGGCCAATATGTATCGAAACCAAACGGGGAGCCAGGCGTCTTATCACGGCTCTGATATAGGGCCAGCATCAGCTCGTATTTGCTTCCCTCGCCGGTATGCGCAGTGATCTCCGATGCAGATGGAGCCTGCACCTACTGCTACTGTGTATCCGTATCTTACTGCATACGACGTACTATCACAGACGGAGAATTGCACAGAATCTCCCCTGGCTGGTCAGCAAGGCTGCTCCAGCGAGACTTGTTCGGTTCGGCAGCTCCAGACTGACTCGAGAGAAGCTGCCGACATCTCTGTACATCTGTACATAGCCGGGACACAGCACTGCCGTTGGCTGATTGCACTCGACTCACGGTCCGTGATGCTCCCACCTCTCGAGGTGCCAGCGCAGCGTGATATCCGCTACGGAGACACGGGGCAGTCGTGCAGGAGCTCATCTGGGCCGCTGCATCTCGCTGCTATCCTGCTGCCGTCCGCCTGTTCTTCTTGCCTTTCCCGGGCGGCCAGTCATCTCCGAGGCCAATCAAACATGACTGTCCTACTCCGTATATCCTATAGCAGAAGAACCAGACGCATTATCACAGTAAGATGACGCCGTGCCGCCCTTGGACTCGTCAGGTCATCGTACCGAACAGGCAATCAATAGCCGCAACGGTCGGGTGGGGCGTCCAGGAAAAGGCAGGCAGGGCAGGGCCTCTCTTCTCCATCCGAGCAATATGTCCCGGAAGGCCATTTCATCACATGAGCAGAGCTGCTCCATACTTTAGCAGTGCTACCGTGCAGCACGGAAATGCACCCAATCTCGCCTGCTGGCCTTTTGTCGTCGGCTCTCGTTTTGATTGCCATTTTGCCATTTGGCCATTTGGCTATTTGGCCATGGGCACCATCGATTGTTCGCTTTTACACCCCCCCTGCCGCATTTCCACACCGTTGCAGCAGTGTCCCCAATCGGGTTAGCGCATCCGCACCTTGATTCGAAGCGGAGAGATGGATGGGTTCGCCTTCTTGTTCGCGGGCTGGCGACACGCTGAACAGGAAACAGAAACAGACGGACAGCACCAAGCCCGAACAAGAAAGGGGCGAAAAAAAAAAACGAACCATGCCGAAACGCAGACACGTCCAAATCGGCCCTTCCAGGCTGCTACTCAATGGAGACGGGGCTGTCTGGACTCTGTTGCGGCCTGTCTCTTGAATCGCCTCGAACTGTCTGTCTTTCCTCTCCTCTCTCATCTCCTCTTCATCTCCTCTTCATCTCCTCTCCCCCGTGTCAGAGCACACCGCACACATTCGTATACGAGTACGATCCTCGCATCCTCTGCACGATGTGAGCCAGGGTCTGGCATCCCTTGCCGGCCCGAATCGCTCGTCATAGTACGGAGAGCTATCAGAGATGCGCGGTCAGTAATCTCGACAGACTGCCTGTGCGCAAGAACCGGTCAAGGCTGCGAGCAGCACTCGGTGAGTGGTCTAGCTCCGGCTACAGGCCCTGCTGTACTCCGTACCGTATCTCGCCTTCTCTCGCCGGTCTCCGTACACTTGCTCGGAACACAAGGCCAATGGCCGTTTATGACGACATACCCTTTTTTTCAGCTCGCCCTCTTTTAAACCCAGCATCTCTACCGGAGTTGCATTCCTCTATCGAGCCTAGACTTTTTGCGGGGTATAGCACAGAGCAGCTATAGGCGCCTCATTTCTTTGCAGATGCGATCCCCTCCCCCGTAATGAGCGCGAATTGCTTCTGTACGCAGACTATAGCAGCCCTGTTAAGCGCAGCTGGCGTCCTCGTACTCGTCGCATTAAAGCTCCGATGCTCTTCTTTATTGCCTGTCTCCATCTTTAATTACGAGTACCAGGCTGCCGTGGCAAGACTTCCGGCTAGTCTTTCCAGAAATCCACTGGCGATATTGAGGGCTCACGGTACCGAAAATTGCATGAATTCCCCTTTTAGAACAGCGGCCACGCACTAATTTAAGATCAGGCCCTGCTAAGCCGATCGCCTTATTTTCATCTACGGAGAACGTCGTATGCGCAATTTCGGTAGATTATAGGGCCCCTACTCGCACACCGCTACACATAAAGCGGCCAAATAAGGTCCAGCAGACCCAGGCCGTGCCCCGTCGCATGGCCCGTTTCGGAAACCACCCCGTCCGCAACTTCCTCTTAGGAACGGCTCAGATGTCATACCAATATCCCTCTTTCCCCTTTGGACACAGACGTCGGGCAAGGCTGCAACGAGCGGTCGGCCAGCTGGCAGAATCACGAGAGCCAAGAGCCAAAGCAGATGAGACGGGAAGCCGGACCACGAGCGGCCGACCGAAATGAGGACAGGCAGATACATGCTCTGTAGTACTATGTAGGAACACGGCCGGCTGTCGAGCGGCCAGAGGCCAGAAGGTGTCGGAAAAAGCCTCAACCGAAAAACAGAAAGGGCAGCCCCGTCGTGTCCACCCCATCTTTCAGAGCAGCTTCACGGGTGGGCCTCACTGTCACGAAAAAGCCGCCACTTGGCCCCGATGTGCAGGGATGCGTCACTTATCCCCGACAGCCACGTACGTTTCACGTTGAAACAGAGGCCCAGTCAGTGCTCTGGAGGTCGAGGGCCAGCGTGCTTCGGTGCAGGGTCCGCGATGAGGCTGCGACATTCTCCGGCTCGCCTTCTTCAGCGCCGATCGCACTTCCTGCTCGTGCTTATTTTATCTCCCTATCTCGCTATCTCCCTGCCTGGACGCCACTAGGGACAACCCAATTTCGACTCGTATGCTTACCAATAGCAGTTCGTCCTGCCTGCTGTCCGTGCCGGCCGACTTGTTCTAGTGCTCAAAACAAGAGGCCCCCCTGTCGCCTCGTACACGGTAGCTTCTCCCAACTGACTAATTACTCGTACGACCGCTTGGCTGCGAGCCAGCATTGGTCCTGCG